GTTTCATTGGTTTTGTAGTCAGAAATATATATTGGCTAGCTGATATCCTCAGTGTCAATTTCTGACAGCCGTCGGAAATTTCGACAGCTGTCAGAATTCAACACTATCTACTACCTAGATACTATTGATTTCCCTAGTTGTAAAATACTTGACGGCCGTCAGAAATATAGGCTGTCTGCTAAGATATTGTTAATATCCTTAGCCTAGATCTCTAATAGCCATCATGGCTATTAGAAACCTATATGTGATCCGCTATCCCTGAGGTAGCGCTCTTTAAGCGGGGGTAGCGGTCTTTCAGCGGTCCTTGAGGTCTTTTAGCGGTCCTTGAGGTCTTTCAGCGGTCCCTTAGCGGTCCTTGCGGTCCTTTAGCGGTCCTTTAGCGGTCCTAGAGGTCTTTTAGCGGTCCCTTAGCGGTCCTTGCGGTCTTAGACCGCAAGGACCGCAGTAGAGTGGGTCTTATTAGCCAATCACTATCTAGAATCTAGCCAGTTCCATCTCAAATTATCTATCAATCACTTTCCCTTATAGCAATCCCCCTGATTATTTGTTTGCCTTGATGAAAAGATAATTGTATGTCTTTCCTATTACCCCCTAGCCTTACTTCCTACCTTCTCTTACACACTACTCATCAATATGTCACAGAGCTAGGCATCCCAGTTCTCTGATAACTATCCCTCATCAGTCTTTGAGGACAACCCTACAGATACACTCTCCTTCCTTACATCCGATAGGCCATTTAACCTAGACGAAGACGAAACACTAACTTCAACTCCTAGCTTAATCTTTACACGACCAGCGATACCTATCCCAATTCCAGAGACCCTTAAGCCTGTTGGTCTATACGGAAAGAAGCAGTTTCTTCTTTGGACAGAGATGGTCAACGAAGATTTTGTCGATTGGTGGCGAAGGACTAACTATGGAAGCCGAACAGAACGAAATATCTTTGAGGGTAAACGCCAGGCAGGCGCTTGGGAACACTTCTACTAGGTTGCTGCTATCTCTGATGGGTCTCCTAAGGTAATGTGTAAGTAGTGTGATCATATCCTTGCTTATCCTGCCGACCGGCACCGAGGAACATCGACTATGAATAGGCATTACTCACAAGCTACTGCCTGTCAAAAAGGAAGGGGTAAGACACAAGATATTAGAAAGATAATCTCAAATAGGGTATAAATGCTATCTATAAGGCTAATTTATACTAACTTATATGATTATCTCTAGGCAAATCACCCGTCTAGTAAAAAAGGCTTCTCAGTGAACGCTTAGATAGATAGGTTGACTACCTTTATCGTTACTGTACGCCTACCATTTTAGCTTATTGAGCACCCTAAATTTCGCGCCCTTATCGAGATGGCTTCTTCTACCCTATCTACCCCTAAAATACTAAGTGCTAGGACTATCCGTCGGCATCTTCAGAAGATAGTTACAGAACGTCAGGAGTCTCTACTTTAAACACTCCTAGAGGGTGCTAAGCTTTCTATTGCGTTAGATTGCTAGACCTCTCCCTTTCGCTAAGCGTTTATAGCAGTCACTGGCTACTTTATTGATCTTGAGTGGAACTATCGTGAGATTCTACTTGGCTTTAAACCTCTCTATGGCTCTTATATAGGCGCCTATCTAAGTAGTGTTCTACTTAGGCTACTTGAGAAGCATCAAATTACTAATCGTATGCTTACGGTTACAACTGATAATGCATCGAATAATGGTACATTACTGACTACTCTTGAAGAGGCTATTTCGTCTCTTAAGCTTCCTAGTCATATACTAATTATTCGTATACTATGTATTGCACATATTATACAACTCAGTCTCAAGGAGCTTCTTGGCCAGATAGACGCGAACCCACGAAATAATAGGGAAGAGATGGAATAGGCCGATCGGGGAGATAGCGCCCGGCAAGAGAATCGGAAGATTATGCAGACCCTAAATAAAGTATACTACACCTCCTTTCTGCTATCATTTCTCTATTCAATACTAACTATATAATATCCTCTAGGTTCGAAAGATTGCTGTCTATATCAACAAAAGCCCCCAGCGCCGCGAGAGCTTTAGTGCACTTCAGACCAAAGAACCAAAGCTTGTACTAATACAAGATGTCCGAACACGCTAGAATTCTACCTTTCTGATGCTTCGGCGCGTACGTCGGCTACAGACTACATTTGATAGATTTTGTGATCAGTTCAATCTGACTGATATAAAGCTAGATAAGGATGAATAGCGACAGGTTGACTATCTACTGTTAATTACCTATCCTTTCTTTAAGTTCACTTTATCTCTATCAGCGATAACTGATGTAACTATCTATAATATGTTTAGGATCTACAATACCTTATTTACCTATATTGATAAGGTAAAGGCGCAGCTAGCACGAAAGAGAGTTAGGTGGAAGAAGGTAATAAAGCTAGCGCTAGAGCATAGGCGTAAAAAGCTTACGGAGTATTATAGCTAGACTGATGATGATCCGAATAATCTCTATGCAATTGGGACTATCTTAGGCCCACGAAATAAGCTTGAGTTCTTTAGGACATCAGAATGGGAGAAATACTAGGCACCGTAGTATTAAGAGTCCCTCAAGACTTATATCGAGCCTTACCAACAGCGCTATACAGAGGCACAGTCAATATTAACTACCCAGTCACTAAGTAACGATATCTCTGATATTAATATACTTCTAAGACCTACCACCTCTCTCCAGTCAACGCTAACTACTCCAGATGAAGTTACAAGATATCTTGGAAGTAGTAAGTCTGATGACACTCCCTTATACTAATATATCTTAGCTTTTATTAATATTATATCTCTCTAGGTACTGTTCAATTAACACCCCTAGTCTTCTGGAAGGCCTATAAGGTAGAGTATCCTATCCTAGCAAGCCTTGCTCGAGATATCCTTATAACTCCTAGTGGCTCCGGGGTAGAGAGGCTCTTCAACTCTGCTCGCGATATATGCCACTATCGCCGTAGCTTATTAAAACCATAGACTATTCAGGATCTGATGATATTTATGTGTATAACAAGATTTGATATACAGTCGGAGCAGCTTATGCTAATGGATGAGTTTCTCTCTACCTAAGAGAAGCACGCGAAGAAGGAGCAAGATGATACTGAGCAAGATGATAAGGAGTTTGATCCTATCAGCGATGATGAGGAAGGTAGGACAACAGATACTTCTGTGGAAGTATCTATTCAGCAGCCTAGTCAACGAGCACTAGGGAAGAGAAGGGCTATTGATAGTCAGCTTACTGAGCTAGAAGATGATGAGATCCCTCTACCTGATTTTGATATCCAGAGGCGTTCATCAGGGCGTATCCCAAAGAGATTGAGACATGATACAGATTTTGTATATAATTAGTAGAGACAAAGAATCAGGTTTTTTCGGCCGAAATCATTATCATTAGTTTTTTCTGCAGAAATCCTCTTTAAGCTAAAATTAGCCTATACAAACAAAGAATGAAAGTAGAATACTGAAAAATACCAACTGATTCTACATAAAATATGCATATCACGGGGTTTCCTATGTTTGTCTTGTTTACAGGACCGCACGGGGGACCGGGACCGCAGTGGTGCGGTCCTAAAAAAGTCAGGACCGCCCAGCGGTCCTAAAAGTAAGGACCAAGCCCTGCATGGTGCGGTCCGGTCCCGGTCCCGGTCCGGTCCTAGGCGGTCCTTGCCGAGGTCTATATAGCACTATGTTCTGTGCTACATCAGCTCTTTAGCTCAAGACCTAATTTATTATATCATGCTATGCCATCGTTCGAAAAGAACGCAGAAAAGCTCTATCAAAACGTTAATAAGCTTTGGCGGATCTTTATAACAGCAATATTAACTAACGTATCGCGAAAGATGATCTACATATTCGATGCGCTTGATGAATACTATAATATTGACCGGGATCGATTAATTGAAAAACTTCAGTTCTTTCACCGCCAGCCAAGTTCACCAACACCAAATACCTATTTGAAATTCCTAGTCACCAGTCGGCTATATCATCACATTCTGAATTAGTTCCGAGCGATTACAAATCATCTTCCACATCTCTACTTAAAGGGCGAAGAAGAAAACAATCTGATCCGTTAGGAAATCGATCTAGTAGTTAAGATACGAATCAAAGAGCTAGCCTAAACAGTGGAATTGTCATTAGATATATAGTAGCGACTTAAGCAACAGCTCTTATAGATGGAATACCGTATATACCTTTAGTTACATTTAGCTATAAACGATATTCAATCTATATTCGAGGATAGCTTTCGACCTTTTAAGGAGTCGATCCTACCAATCCCACCGTCCGTGAATGGGGCATATGAGAAGATGCTTAGTCGAGTGCCTCTTCGCCGAATGGATACTATACGAAAGGCTTTATAGATAATTGTTGCAGTATGACGGCCTTTGACTATAACGGAGATGGTTATAGCGCTAGGTGTAGCAACCTCACCAGAGTCGCGGACCATATCAGAGGCCAGACTGAATTCGTCGCAGATTGGCAAGAAGCTCCGTCGATCATACGGTCTTTTCGTCTTTATCAATAACTCTAAGATCTATCTTATTCATCAAACAGCAAGGGAATTCTTGATCGCGAAGACTATTTCTAATACTATTGATTCTGTATACCCGTAGAGTCTCAGTGACGCTGAGGATTAAATGGGTTCTGTTTATTTGCGATACCTATTGATAGAAGATTTAGAATAGGATGAAGAGTCCCCTGGTATAAGAGGTTTCTTAGAATATTCCGTAGTACATTGGCCGGAGCATGTACGAACAATAGCTTTGGATTTGGAGCTACGAATCGTGAATCGACTGCATCGATTATATGATACAAGGGCAAAATTATTGTCACTGTGGTTTCCAATTTTTTGGAAGGCATTCAGGCCATACAGCAACACGCCTACGCTGAATGCATTGTATATAGCAGCCTTTAATAGTCATGAGTAGGAGGTTGAATATCTACTTGAGGTAGATAAAGATAATGTGAATATCGCGGATAGTACATCAACATACCCTATTATGTGGGGGTCGTTAAATGGACATGGCACGGTGGTGCAGATACTGCTCGATAAAGGAGCTGATGTCAACGCCCAGGGTGGTGAATACGGAAATGCGCTCCAGGCTGCTTGTTTAGAAGGAAACGACAAGATCGTACAGATGCTGCTCGACAGGGAAGCTGATGTCAACGCCCAGGGTGGTCGATACGGAAACGCGCTCCAGGCTGCCCGTTTAAGAGGACATGATAAGATCGTGCAGATGCTGCAGCAGCGTCGAGCCAATCAATTGACAATGTCTTCCCATTTTCCTAAAAGGCTCAAGTCGGCGTCAGACCGAGCGGACGTATCCTAACATACCTTGAATTGTAATCCCTCTTACCTGGTCATCCCTTGACCACCTTTTATCAATCCTAGCATTCTCGCTGCGCGTGAATATTATCAGAAACGCATTATTTGCACTTAGTCCACATTCAGTCAATACCCAAAGAAGCACTTTGCCCCCCAACACTGTATATATTTTGTGAATTACTTTTTGATGGCCCTCATTTTTCATAAGAAACCTGAAGTGGTGCCGTTATTAGATTGCTGACAAATGGGAGATGAAGCTGCAAGCGACCACATGACGACCCCATAATTTGTGATTACTGATCACAAAGCAGCCCTCGCCAAATGGTAGCTCAGGGTTCCTATCTAGAGTTCAAATACGAGGATGAAAACTTTGGGAGCCAAATCATCTGACAACGCGTCACTATCGCGTCAGCTATTATGCGATGAGCGAAGGACGCGTTGGCTCGCATACACGAATGTCCTAGATGACCTCAACACAAAATGTTGCCCCGACTCCGCAGGTCAATTATTCATCGAATGTGAGGACGCATGGGATATGGCGGAACTTTGATCATAGAGTATGAAAGAAGATGAAAAAGACAAAAAGCCCGCGAATGCCCTTCCAACCGTTGAATTCTATCACCAAGCCAAATCCTCATCGACCAGACAAAATTCCTAAATTCAATCTTCGAGATTTCAATACTTGATTCAACATTCTACACAATGGCCGCCGTTCAAGTACGAAACCCCCCTTCCTTACCATTACCATCCCCCTATAAACTGTCTTACCGTGTGACACAGGTCGTCTCTCCTGCCGAATATCGCGCAGCGCGTCTGAGTCTACTGGAGAAAGAAAAGGAAGCTACGCGTGTCCGGGACACCCTCGCTGCCGAGCGACGCAAGCTTCCAATCGTCGAAGTAACTAATCCTTACACCTTCACCATCATCTGCCCAAAGGATAGCGAAAAGAAGAACCTCAGTCTTTCTGACCTGTTCTTCGGCCGCCGCCAACTGATCATCTATCACTTTATGTTCGACCCTTCTTGGGAAGCGGGCTGTCCTAGCTGCACCGTGATGGGCGACTCATTCCCTGCTCTGGAACACCTCCACTCGCGCTCCACTAGCATCGTCGCCGTGTCGCGCGCCCCGATCGAGAAGATCGAGGCGTACAAGAAGCGCATGGGCTGGACGTTCCCCTGGGTGTCGTCCTATGACAGTGACTTTAACTTCGACATGCATGTGACGCAGGACGAGGCCGTCCGCGCGGTTGAGTATAACTTCAAGAGCAAGGATGAGCTGCTCAAAGTTGCCCAAAACTACTTCACTAAGGGAGAACAACCAGGAAATAGCGTCTTCTATAGGGGTGACGGCAAAATTGGTGAGGAGGGAAAGATTTACCACACATACTCGACCTACGCGCGTGGTGGGGAGCATTTGATCAACACCTTTGGCTGGTTGGACCTGACACCCCTCGGCAGGCAGGATGGAGAAAGCGGATATCCTGGTCTCGGGTTTCGGCGCAAGGACGAGTATACTCAGGATGAGCTGAAAGGGCTGCACTAGGCGTGCTTGCTCCATCGGCCAGGTCAGGCGAGAATAGCGATGTGGATTTAGGATAGTTGTCGAAATATGTGGAGTGGTAACTTACCACTAAGAACGGGCTTATTCATCAAGCGCCCAGGTTTCTTATGTTTTTGTATGTAATACTGGCTTACAGAGAAACTCAGGCTTTGTAACAGCCGAGTATCGGCCGCACGGACAGAAATACGTCCGTACAGCCAGGGGATAGCCATTCAACAGGCAATCCCCCTGATTTTCTATCATTATCGATCTGATCAATTATCTCTCGTCCTATTGGACATCTTTCATACTAGCCCATACAGAATCAGCCCATTCTGTCAAATTCTGTCAATAGTTATTGAACTGGTTTTAGTCTGTCAGCAGATGAAGGGATATCTTACCGCTAGCAACTGATTGGCTGCTACTGAGTTCACACTCGTTTAGTATTTCGTATGTAATTAGAGATTAGTCAGTAACTCAGGCTTTGTAACAGCCGAGTATCGGCGACACGCCTGTATCACAGGGGATAGTCTACAGCAGCGCTTCCCCCCATTTTCCTTCTCAATCAATCAATGTTATTCATCTATATTGGTTCCGCTTGATATCATTCGTCGTCTTCGCATACTCGGCTATACAGTATCAGCTTGCCCTGATAGGAGGTAACAGGACAGGAAGCCACGCTATACCCGGAAAGGGCTAACCTTAATCTCGTATTCCGCCTCGTGCGAATCTCGGGATATGTTAACGTGGCTTCTTAACATGCCATCTAGTTGGCTTGTTGTTGGCCGCCCGCGGCAGAATAATTACCGAGACCCTCGCCCACATCCTTGCATCTTGCCTGTAGTAGCTCCAGTTACTTGAGACCTGGCTAGTGAGTGGGTTCCATGCCACTTAAAAAGAGCGTAGCTTTGATGAGGATATTCTCCATGCCATACTGTATAGTGCTGTCGGCAGTCCTCGAGATGGGGGTTCTAGAGACAGGGATGAACGCCCGGGCCTGAGAAGTCAACAGGCGAAGAGGGCAGGCCGCGGGTGTATACTGTAGAACTAGACGGCTGGACTGTAGGTTAGATGCAAGCTAGGCAAAGTACTGTACCAGCGAGCTCTTGCAGGCTACGAGGAGGTCCTAGAATCTCAATCTCGGTCCCGTCACGAGCGAGCTTCACCTCGCGGTTGGCACACGAACACTGCGTAGGCGGCGAGTGCGTCGGAAGGGCAGGTTGCCGAACGACTGCGCCTCCCCATCTGCCTTCTGCTCGACACATAATTCTCACGAATGATTTGCTATTGTGTAAGCAACAAGGATGGATTTCTCGTATTCGACTTGGATTATTCATACAATCAGGGAGTCACTATTCGTGTACATACCTAGTGCTTATTATTTCCGAGCTCGTATTCATGTGGCTTTGCCCGCAGTCTTCCAATCATACTTAGGTAAGGCTCTGACGAGGCTAGCCTCATCTCAGCCGCAGTCCAAGGACGGGGGAAAACTATGGCACAGTGTTGAATCAAAAATTTCTCAAGGAATCCTTGTGACTAATAATAAGTCACGCCCTTTCTGACCTGACGCTATGGTTCCGAAATCCAGTACGCTGTTGGTAGCATAGCTGGCGCCATGGCAGACTTCAGGCTTCGAAAGGCACACTCAAAATCCAGAAACGGCTGCCTCAGATGTAAACAACAACGAAAGAAGGTAGGCCACGGCTGTATACATGCAGAAACGCGTAGTCATGATCTAATATTATCCCCTTAGTGCGATGAATTGCAACCGAGCTGCTCTAGATGTGCCAAGCGCATGCACAGTTGTCGATATCAGGGCCTTCGGAGTGACCTCAACTCATCCGAGGAGCAGGACTTGACAGATGGGTCAATTCCTGCCTTGCACTCCCCGTTGACGCGACCCGGTATTCTTATTTCACACACGGACGAGCCACTTCCACTTTCGAGAGATCACCTCCCCGTTCCTGATTCTACGCCTAATAGCTCTTCGCCAAGTTCACTATCTTATTACTCTCCAAGTGTTAACAGAAGTGGAGATTTGGGACTGGATTCGTGTTCTCCTGGGATCCTCGATGCGACAGAACTCGATCTCTTGAGCCACTATCTCACGCATACTAGCCAAATTATACCTTTCGACAATCTCGATCTCTACGCCCTTTCCGTAGGAATGCCAAATCTGGCGTTCAACAGCAAGCCCGTTATGTCTTCATTGATAGCCTTGGCAGCAGCATGCAAGACTCATGATATAGTCAAGCAAGCCCAGATGTCTCTGGACGGTCAAACCCTGATGGAGGTCCGGGAACTACTTGTACTTGCAGAATGTCATCACGGGGCATCCCTCCAGCACATACAACAAGCAGTGCTGAGCTCTGATTGGTATGATAACATTCTCGCGAATGCGGCGTTGATGGTCTTGTACGCCTCTGCAAGCCATTCCATCCGAGTACGCCTCGCGGCGATCGCAAAACGCAGCGGCCAGCAGCTCCCAAATGATGTGCTTCCGCAGCACTCACAATGGATCTCCTTCACACGCGCAGCTCATACAGCAAGCACCGCAGTCCTCAAAGGCATCTTCGACGCTAATAGACATCGATCTGCCACCATCAGCCCACCTATGTTTATACCACCCGAATTACCAGAGAAGTTACTAACGCCACAGAACGGCCCGTCTGATAAAATCGGCCGTCTCTTTCTCCCTTTAGTCGCATCTACATACGGTCGAGCCTTTGAGAATCTACGCAGGAAAATTGAAAGTACTGCAGCTTGTTTTGAAGGAAGAGAGATACCTGCTCTCCGCCAGCTAGAGCTCGACGCTTGTTCGAAGACTTTACTTTTTCTTGAGGAATGTGCATCCGCCAGCCTATCTACAAGAGAGGTTCCGGTGGAGGCGGAGGTCTCCGGAAATCAACCCATCCTATTTGATGAATTTTTTAAAGTCTCGCCATGGCTTGGAAGGTACATGGTCAGTGTCACATCAATAACATCACCAAGGGCACTTCGACGAACAATCATGTCCTTTTTGAACAAAGCGCCAGCAGAGTTCCTCAGCCTCATCCAGTCCGTGCTAGATTCATCATTTGCCGAAGTGAGTGCCGAATCTTGGATGGCACGGGGCTCACCCAGCCGTGAGATACCGTCACTCCGTGCTACACAGCTACTAGCCCTGGACATCTTTGCTCATTGGTTGGTTCTTGTCATGTTACTAGATGGCGTATGGTGGATTGGCGATATTGGACAGTGGGAACTGGGTCAGGTGGTGTGTTTGATGAAAAGCAAGGGCCTTCTTCATCTGTCGGGTGGGACTGGCGAAACATGGTGGCCCGAAAGCATGTACTCGGTCAACATGGAGCTCACCCCCAATGTCGACCCTGCAGGATGGGGGTGACCAAGCTCAGACCTGCAGGATCAGGTCCGACTGCTGTAGCCGGCACAACGTTCACCATCGTCGATCACTATGGAGAGACATAACAGCCCGGGTTAGTGGAGTAGCGCAGTCTATTCACATTTTCACAGGTCAAGGTGGAGAGAATAACAGGTCTTATCAGGTGAGGGTCAAAGTTCACCTTAGATAATCTCAGCTGAACAGACAAACATTAATAACAGAGTGGTTGTTGTTGTAGCATATCGCTTCGGGGGAAAGTCAGGGTAAATAAATGCTTCTAATACCGTATAGATGATGCGGAATAGGGCCGTCTTTGCGGGAATTGAGAATGGTGACGGGTCCATGAACTTTGAAGCGTGACTGTCTTCTCGAGCTTTTGTGGGCTGTTGAGTTTTGAACCCGTGGCTATGCGAAGCAGATAAAGAAATTTCGAGGAGCATTCACTACTCGCTGGGACGTGAGGCCTAGAAGGAATCCATACCCGCCTGATAATGCTAGATTCCAGGTAAAATCACTCCCGCCGAAAATCCTGGACGCAGCCCTGGCGTACCGGGGCGTAAGTCTCGCGTCTGAGCTCCGATGTGGGAATACGCTCACGGTAAGGGCAAGGAGGCTGAGAGCCGCCAAATGGCGTCCTCTGCTTGTGACTGCCTACAGTATTCCATGAACGTCGTATTATGAATACGCTCGGGTAGGTCGAGCCAAGCCTAATACGACATCCGCTCAGGCGGGCCACTCTCTTGGCAACAACACCCGATGACTATCAGTTTCCTTGACATGGTGGAATAATGTCGCTTGGCAGGGATTACTCCCTCCTAGTCCGTTAAAGATTTTCCAGCAGCACATCTTAGGCAATGCGCGTCGTATAAACTGAACGTGTTGCCTAAGCCACGCATGATGGCTGAGCAGCGCCGATTTGGAATTCAAACCGGTGAGACTTGATGCGAAGTAAATGATGCTCACACAGTTAGTGATGCTGAAGAGTATTTGGAATATAATACGGAGATTGCTGCGATGCGGGGAATATGCCGAATTGTAGGGATTGAGATATATAAAGACCCCGATCGCTGTTCTTTTGATCTTTCAACTTCAACTAAAACAACCCCAGCCACACGAGACATCAACATCTCCTGCTACTCCCAAACCAAGCAATCACCTCAAATCCACCTAATCCCTGACAATCATCATGCGACCCGAGTCTGCACTTAGCTCTGCCCTTGCTGTTGCCATCACCCTTGCCATTCCAGTGAAGGCAGCGCCTCAGCAGATGTTCAAACGTGCAACAACCGAACTCAGCTTGACGGCTCAACTGCAACTTGTGGACACGTGAGTTTTTGAAATCAAATATTCCACTTGAAATTGATCATCTAATTGTTTAGGGCCGTCGACCGCTATCTACTCCTCCCCAAGGACGAAGATTTTCTCTTTGATTTCAAACATAGCGAATTTCCGGTTGCCAACCGCAAGACGTTTCCTGCCCTTGTTGGCTATGGAGCCTCCATGAGTATCTCGCAATTGGCAGGTTAGCAGAAATGATGGAACCAGTTTTGATCGGCACTAATCTGTCCAAATAGCATGCAGCATGAGCTTCCTCCACCTTCACCCTCGTGCTACCGAGCTATTCGCTCTTACATCTGGCCGTGTGCATTCCGAGATGGTACCTGAGGGGAGCGTCCTTGACTCCGAAGGTAATCAACGAATCATTCGTGCAGAGCTCGGCCCCGGGATGATGACCATCTTCCCGGCAGGTTCGTTCCACACGCAGGTGAACCCCGATTGCGAGCCGGCCAATTTTACAGCAGCATTCACATCGGAGGACTTTGGCTTTTCTTTGGTGGCTGACCAGACATTCAGCTTCAGCGATGATGTTATCGCTGCCACATTTGGTCAGACCATTGCTGGTGAGGATATTGATAAAGTCAGGGATGCTATTCCGGGGACTATCGCCATCAAGGTTGAAGAATGCTTGAGCAAGTGTGGGAAGCAAAAGCGCCAAACTTGATCAGTTTAACATTAGATAGCCAAGGGGGTGATAAGCAAAGGTTTTTGTTCATATACTAGGTAGACTTCATTTACCATGAGCCCCGCCGAAGCGATATACGACTACAACAACCATATCGATGTATACCTGTACGTACAAGTAAAGCGTACCAATGCCTGGAACAAACTTAGACACTCACCCAGCCCTTGTAGCATGACTGCTGCTCGTGTTGTTGCCACGGGTTGCTCCTGGGGCACGCGACGTCTGCATCTTGTGACGCTCCCGTAAAATCCGAGACGGCTTCTACCGTCTTAGTTCGCGAGGCGTTTTCTGGCTTACCTACATATTAGCATTTTTAGTGTCGACGCGGGAAGGCAGCAATGCTAAGAGACGGCGATATAAGCTGTCCATGTAGAACGTTAGGTATATAATTCGAAATGGTGACTTGATTCCGCGAGAGGGTGTTCCCCGCATAAAATGGTGACAAAATGAAACTACTAATGGTAGCGTAAGCGAGCCTGATGAGTGGTAAAAGAAGATGATACTCCTATTTGAGGAGGAGACTCCCGATGCAGACGGGGAACGTGACATAAGAATGAGAGTAACATAGGCTGTCTAGTTAAGCATGAAGTGTAGTCATGCGGCAACAATCAAGATTATCACCGACTAATACATTCTATTCACTTGTATACGCGGTACTCTGGGGTCACCCACGGGTACTCGCCGAGAACCCCCGGGCAAACCACAGGCTCTGGGACGCAGGCTTGAGCAGTACTGGGGGGTTTTGCACCTAGCGGTCCAAATCAGAGTCACCTTCCTCGGCGAAATAGGCTTCGTCGGGCATGTCGGTGGGGCCATAAAAGTGGTCATGGCCGGCGTAGCAGGCGTCAGGGAAATCCCACCGGGGGTAGTCGCTGTCATGTTCTGCATCATAGTCATGGTCGGGTGCGTAAACGTCCTCATGGAACACCTGCAGTGGCTTGGAGCGTGATGGGAGCTGGGTAGGGTTCCGCGGAACGGGAAGCACGGGTTTGTCGGCGCGCTGGGCGCAGAACTGGATTTAGGCCGGTGAAGAGCGAGGCTGGGGAGGCTGCTGCTGCTGCTGCCAGTGAATTAGGTACTGACCCTGCTACTGCGGTTGACCTTGGGTTGGGCGAGCCTGACGGGCAGACTGGCCACAGGAATCGCGCGATGTGCGCTCACAAGCCTGAAGCGCGACCTGGTCTGTCCAGCCGCGGCGCGGTAGCATAAGTGCAGCTTATTTAGGAAGAGCTGCAGGGTCGTGCTAGCGCCGATCTGAGGGAGGCTTCGGCGTCAGTGGGGGTCGATGCTGTCCCGGATTTTGGGGATCTGGTCAGTTAGGTTGTCATTGCCGGTGCTTTGTAGTAGGCGGAGCAGGTTCTGGGCATACTCGAGGGCGGAACGTCCTGCGCGGATGTCGCTGTAGCCGTCCGTGTCTTTCTCCGGTTCTGCTAGTGCATCTTCAAGATTGGGCTTGAAACGGTCTTGAAGAGAAGCATACCAACCCATTTCGAGGGTGCAGGTTTGCATCATGTCTTTTTCGCGAGCGCCGAGTTCATAGGCATACCATCTCAAGGCGTCGCCACGCAGGAAGGAGTGGATGTTGGCTGGTGCAAATTCTGGAGACTTTAAGGACGACGGGTTCTTGACTCGGTGGACGAAGACGTAAACGTTAGTATACCAAGTAGTAGGGCCATCGAAGATCAAATCGTCGCGGTCAGGGAGGCCGGGGTCGAAATAGCCAATATCGTTCGCTTTCCATTGAGTATCGTTACTGACTAGATGGTCGGGATCACCTTGCATGCCGGGAGGACCGTGTAGAGCGTGGTCCTGATGAAGCTGCTGGATGCGGGTGTCTAGGCGTTCTTCCAGTCGCGCTTCCAGGAGACGGTCAAGATCGGTCGTCGAGATGGTAATCAGAGTGTTAGCGGGCGACACCTGGGGAGCGGTGGCGGCATCTGCAGCGGTCAGCACCGGGCCATAGCCTGAGCTAGGCATGGTCAGTAACTCGGAGGTGCCACTAAGGTCCGGTGAGACCGCTCGAGCGGCAGAAGTTGTACGGGAGATTGTAGTCGTACGGGATCTGGTGACTAGGGATGTACGTGCCGCCTCCGGGTCTTCCACAGGAGAACTTGAGCTAGGAGCAATTGAGCTTGGCTGTTGCGAGATTGACTTGCTGGCAGCTGCTGGCAGCAAGAAGAAATAGTAAGTGGTTCTCGAACTTGGTCGATACACGTGATGCTCACTGGAGGGAAGCTAGGGTGGTTCCTGAGACAGTAGCGGCTGGTCAGAAGTCACTAGTGTGCATAGCTGTGCGTTAATCTGTCAATGGCTCGGCTGGAGCAGGAGCAGTGCCGGAGAGAGGCGTTCGCGTAACGTGAAAAGAGCCTACTGCTCGCGTCTGTACAGTTTCGACAGTGACAGGAAAGGGTGAAAATGACTTTCGTTGTGTGAAAGAGACAACTGGAAAGGAACCAGATGCGTTCAACGAGACAACGAAAGTGAAGAGAGAAGAAACTATGGAGGTGGTGTCCACTGTTTTGTAGAGCTTCCATACAAATAGGCCCCATCCGGTTAGTCTGGTCAGCTGCTCCCCACCACCACACGTCCGTCAGGTGATCTCCAAGTCCATCGTCCTGTCATGCGTCACACCTCTTCCGGCTCCTGGAACCCCGATCACCACTCACGAAGGAACGGAAATCATAGATACCCGAAAGAGAAAAAAAATGGACACAAACTGGCTGACTGCACGCAATAACCATACATACGAAAATGGCCGCCGCTACTACGGCTTCAGGTCCGAATTCCCTTTCCCAGACGACAAAACGGCCGTCACAGCACACGGGGCCATCAACGGCATCTGGCATGAACTCCTAGACGGCAGAACCTTTATTGCCCCTATAGAGCCGGTCCAGAAAAAACACAAATTTCTCGAATTCGCTACCCGCAGCGGCTCCTGGACGCTCATGGTGCTGGAGCGACATCATCCTGCCCCGCGCTTAACGGGCATAGACGTGACTCAAATGTCTACATATCTCGGGTATTTCGAGAACCACGAGATTGAAGGCGAGTGGCCGTTTACTGCAAAGCAGGCATTTCATTTGATCCATGCGCAGTCCCTGGGCGGGGTGATTGCCGACTATGACGGGTTCTACGCTAATGCGTTCCGGCATCTTCTCCCTGGCGGGTGGTTAGAAGTGTGGGAGAATGACTTGCGCTTCTTTACCGATAACCCACAGAATGAGACCCGGCTGGTGGCGCTCAGGGAATGGGAGGCGCTAATGCATGAGGCGGCGGCTAGGTTTGGCAAGAGAATCAACGTGGCAGCCGAGCAGAAGGAGCTAATGCACTTAGCTGGCTTTGTACAAGTCGAGGAACAGATATTCAAGGTGAGTAAGCCTAATATGCTAAAAAAAAGATATTTGAAGACAATCCGTGTGTGTAGCTTGGGAGGCTGACTTTTGAGCACCTGCGACTAGGTCCCCTTTGGCGACTGGAGTGATGAGCCAAATTTGAAACGCACTGGGTCTTCCTATGTGTTCCAAATGCAGTATGCGCTGGAGGGATACACCCTGCGTCTATTCACCAAGACATTGGGCTGGTCGAAGGAAGACACCGATGCCTTGATTAGTCGGGTGCAGGAGGAACTAAAACAAGAGGACCTGCGGCTCTATTCATATTTCCATCTCTTTATAGGGCAGAAGCCCGCAAACGCCCCTCGAAAATAATAGGAGGGAGGGTGGAAGTGTGGAAAAGACAGAGAAAAGAATGAAGTACATTATCATGAAGCGGAATTAGGAATATGCAGCTATTGTTTGTATATAGAATACTCTACCAATTATGGCCAGTAGTAGTAGAAATAGAGACACGTTGGCCGGAGCTATCCCTTCTGTGTCAGTCGATCCATCCTGTTAATGATGCTACGTAGAATAAACTGGCCGGAGCTCCTGCGTGGCCGTGCGCACGCCAAGTAGTCGAATGTTGGCGTCCGCGCGCCTGCTCCAGACCAGGATACATATATCGTGGATATTTCCAGTGATTATGGTTCTGATAATGGGGGTGTGGGCGCTGCCACTTGTCGCTACGCGGTGTATGTGGTCGACCAGGTTAGCGTTGTAGAAAGGATAGAGTATTGGTGATAAAGGTGACCCCTGGGGGATGCCTGTGGCCACTAGTGCTCTTTCTATGGGGCCTTCTTGTATGACGAGCATGGTGCACCGCTCGCTAAGGAAGCTGGTAATCTACTATATAATAGCCTCTGGAATCTGTTGATTGACGATGCGCCTGTCTCGAAGTTTTCCGGCTCGCCCGTCCGGACTCATGGCGTAACTGCTGGAAGCGGTCGTGGTCCTCTTCGGTTGCACTCTCCGAACATGCCTACCCGCGGGCCTGGGAGACCTTCCTCCGGAGCTCCTCCAGTTTATGTGAGTACGTGGCTTTCGAATAGTGGCAGAAACGCTTCTTCGGCACCGAGTCCGACTCATTCGCTGCCTTGATGAACGCGTTAATATGATAACTTCTCCTGGAAGGGCCGGCCATTGCTCACTGATCGACGTGAGTGTCTCGCTCCACGCCTTCCAGTCCGCGTCCTTTCACTGCCGTCGTTCCACCGCGAGCACCGGGTCCCATCGGCTATCGAATTCAGACAGTATTGGAACGTGGTCGCCGGCGAATAGCCACTGACGTTGGTCCTGGCAGCGGTCACACCGTTCTGCGAGCGTGCCGGGGGCCGTTACAGCCATTCTCGAAATCGGCTTGACCAATATACACTGAGAAACTCTTTCCTGGCCCCACCGCCTTATCGAGCGAGCATCTTTAAATTGAAGGGAGCAGTAAAATCGACTCGGTAAGTTACAGTACCAAGCTACGTAATATTACACCATTGGTACAAAAACCCGTGGAATTCCATGGAACCCCGTAGAGTGGCGAGTGGCAGCTCATGCCTTGTTTCCAGATCTGCCTCGAATAGGCTCTCCGTTTTAGCCGCACGATAGGTGCACCTTTGCTGGTCACACAATTGCGACCACTATTCAGCAATGCCAGAGCTATCCCAACCTCTATAGACTAGCGTTTCAATAAAGACTAGAAAGTACAAAATATAAATCAGTTGGCATACTTTGCGCATGATCAGTCGTGACATTGCTTTTTGCCTTGGCCATAGGGAAACTATGTACTGAACCCACGGCTACTGTATTGTAAGAATAAATCGGAGGAAGATGTATAATTTCTATGGGGAGGTTAAGACACTACTTTATATCTGCAATACTTAAGGCATTTAACCTGTCTACAAGTCGCCGGGTCCTATTGTGATCAGGACCAAGGGCCTTCTCGTACCCTGCCAGTGCTCGCTGGTACATCTCCTCTGCCTCTTTCATCTTGCCCTGATCAGAGTAGAGATTGCCAAGGTTGTTGACTATATCAAGAGTAGACGTATGATCAGGACCGAGGGCCTTCTCGTAGCCTACTAGTGCTCGCTGGTACATCTCCTCTGCCTCTTTGATCTTCCCTTGATCAGGGTAGAGAAGACCAAGGTTGTTGACTGTATCAAGAGTAGACGTATGATCAGGACCGAGGGCCTTCTCGTACCCTGCCAGTGCGCGCTGGTACATCTCCTCTGCCTCTTTCATCTTCCTTTGATCAGAGTAGAGATTGCCAAGATTGTTGACTGTATCAAGAGTAGACGTATGATCAGGACCGAGGGCCTTCTCCTTGCCTGCCAGTGCTCGCTGGTACATCTCCTCTGCCTCTTTCATCTTCCCTTGATCAGAGGAGAGAAGACCAAGGTTGTTGACTGTATTGAGAGTAGACGTATGATTAGGACCTAGGGCCTTCTCCTTGCCTGTTAGTGCTCGCTGGTACATCTCCTCTGCCTCTTTTATCTTCCCCTGATGTTTGTAGAGATTCCCAAGGTTATTAACTGTATTGAGAGTGGACGTATGATCAGGACCTAGGGCCTTCTCGTACCCTGCCAGTGCGCGCTGGTATATCTCCTCTGCCTCTTTCATCTTCCCTTGATCAGAATAGAGATTGCCAAGATTGTTGACTGTATCAAGAGTAGACGTATGATCAGGACCGAGGGCCTTCTCCTTGCCTGCCAGTGCTCGCTGGTACATCTCCTCTGCCTCTTTAATCTTCCCTTGATCAGAGTAGAGAAGACCAAGGTTGTTGACTGTATTGAGAGTAGACGTATGATCAGGACCTAGGGCCTTCTCCTTGCCTGTTAGTGCTCGCTGGTACATCTCCTCTGCCTCTTTCATCTTCCCCTGATGTTTGTAGAGATTCCCAAGGTTGTTGACTGTATTGAGAGTGGACGTATGATCAGGACCTAGGGCCTTCTCGTACCCTGCCAGTGCGCGCTGGTATATCTCCTCTGCCTCTTTCATCTTCCCTTGATCAGAATAGAGATTGCCGAGATTGTTGACTGTATCAAGAGTAGACGTATGATCAGGACCGAGGGCCTTCTCCTTGCCTGCCAGTGCTCGCTGGTACATCTCCTCTGCCTCTTTGATCTTCCCTTGATCAGAGTAGAGACTCCCAAGGTTGTTGACTGTATTGAGAGTGGACGTATGATCAGGACCGAGGGCCTTCTCCCTGCCTACCAGTGCTCGCTGGTACATCTCCTCTGCCTCTTTGATCTTCCCTTGATCAGAGTAGAGAAGACCAAGGTTGTTGACTGTATTGAGAGTGGACGTATGATCAGGACCGAGGGCCTTCTCGTAGCCTACTAGTGCTCGCTGGTACATCTCCTCTGCCTCTTTGATCTTCCCTTGATCAGGGTAGAGAAGACCAAGGTTGTTGACTGTATCAAGAGTGGACGTATGATCAGGACCGAGGGCCATCTCCCTGCCTGCCAGTGCGCGCTGGTACATCTCCTCTGCCTCTTTCATCTTCCCCTGATCAGAGTAGAGATTGCCAAGGTTGTTGACTATATCAAGAGTAGACGTATGATCAGGACCGAGGGCCTTCTCCTTGCCTGCTAGTGCTCGCTGGTACATCTCCTCTGCCTCTTTTATCTTCCCCTGATGTTTGTAGAGATTCCCAAGGTTGTTGACTGTATCAAGAGTAGACGTATGATCAGGACCGAGGGCCTTCTCCTTGCCTGCTAGTGCTCGCTGGTACATCTCCTCTGCCTCTTTGATCTTCCCTTGATCAGAGTAGAGACTCCCAAGGTTGTTGACTGTATCAAGAGTAGACGTATGATCAGGACCGAGGGCCTTCTCCTTGCCTGCTAGTGCTCGCTGGTACATCTCCTCTGCCTCTTTTATCTTCCCCTGATGTTTGTAGAGATTCCCAAGGTTGTTGACTGTATCAAGAGTAGACGTATGATCAGGACCGAGGGCCTTCTCCTTGCCTGCTAGTGCTCGCTGGTACATCTCCTCTGCCTCTTTGATCTTCCCTTGATCAGAGTAGAGACTCCCAAGGTTGTTGACTGTCTGAAGAGTGGACGTATGATCAGGACCGAGGGCCTTCTCGTACCCTGCCAGTGCTCGCTGGTACATCTCCTCTGCCTCTTTCATCTTCCCCTGATGTTTGTAGAGACTCCCAAGGTTGTTGACTGTATTGAGAGTGGACGTATGATCAGGACCGAGGGCCATCTCCCTGCCTGCCAGTGCTCGCTGGTACATCTCCTCTGCCTCTTTCATCTTCCCTTGATCAGAGTAGAGATTGCCAAGGTTGTTGACTGTATCAAGAGTAGACGTATGATCAGGACCGAGGGCCTTCTCCTTGCCTGCCAGTGCTCGCTGGTACATCTCCTCTGCCTCTTTTAGCTTCCCCTGATCAGAGTATAGAATCCCAAGGTTATTAACTGTCTGAAGAGTGGACGTATGATCAGGACCGAGGGCCTTCTCGTACCCTGCCAGTGCTCGCTGGTACATCCCCTCTGCCTCTTTCATCTTCCCTTGATCAGAGTAGAGAAGACCAAGGTTGTTGACTGTATTAAGAGTGGACGTATGATCAGGACCGAGGGCCTTCTCGTACCCTGCCAGTGCTCGCTGGTACATCTCGTCTGACTCTTTCAGCTTCCCCTGAACAGAGTATAGAATCCCAAGGTTGTTGACTGTATCAAGAGTGGACGTATAATCAGGACCGAGGGCCTTCTCCTTGCCTGCCAGTGCTCGCTGGTACATCTCCTCTGCCTCTTTCAGCTTCCCCTGATCAGAGTAGATGTTTCCTAAACTATGGAATGCTCCCCACACCGCAATATCATCGCCTGACCAATCCCCATGACATACATAATTTGCGTGTGGAATAAGCCGTTGTTGAATCTCGGAATAATGTCTGTCACTTGCACTGGGGACAGTGTATCCAACCGATATTAGTGCCAGTTCACTGAGCTGGATCGAATCCACATTTTTGTCTGCGATGGCAAGGTGAAGACACCAGTCTTGTACCACTGGGTGCATAGCATAGCCTCCGTTTTGTTCCTTAAACTCAAGGAGAGAGAATCCGATGAGCGTCCTAACACCGTTTTTGAACGCCAGTCCGCTTGATATAGTCCTTTCGAGCCAAATTGGGAGATTTGAGCTACAACGGCTGCTTTGTATTAATTCATACCAGATATCTCGATTATCAAAGCGAGCAAGTAGCAATAGCAGTGACGCTGCGTCCGGGTTCCGCTTCTGGATCTCGTCATATGAGATCATCCAGCTTTGTAGCATGTTACCTTGTTGGTACTGGCGTTCAGGATTCGATTGCAGCTGTAGGTCGGACCAAGACTCTTGGTAAAACTGCAAGTACTCAGTAATACTGGTTCCAGTTTCATGCATAAACGCCCCGGCAATGATGATTGCCAGTGGAAGTCCATCTAGACGGCTCGCTAGAGCAACGGTATCTATATATGTTGGTATCATAAAAAGTTTGTGTGATAAGTTTTTTAATACCTGGATTGCTCTCAACCTCCTTCGCTGTATTCTTCACTGATAGACGGCTACTTTGTAAGAGTAGCTGGATCGCATCCTTCAAGTCAAGTCTATGGATAGGAAATGACGTCCCCAGCTCTGTCAACCCTTGCAGCCGAGAGGTAATGAGAATAGAGCCATGGTCAGCTCCAGGGAAGAAGTCAGCAATATCGTATGCATCACCGATAGGGCCACACGGGGAGTATTGGTCCACGTTGTCAAAAATAATGAGCCAGCGTGAGTTTCCCTCTATTGCTAGCCACTTTAACACATCTCTAGCTCGTTGCTCCACCTCCTCGTTATTCATTGCCACGTCAGTATGTGACCGTCCTGGCAATCGGGGCAAGATAGAACTCAAAGATTGCAATAGCGTGCCGCGGTCCTTACCACTCAGCCAGAAGATAGCAGTAAAATCGTGTTTGTGGTCTCGTGCGAAACGAATCGCTAGTTGTGTCTTCCCCATTCCCCCAAGCCCATGAAGAATTGTAACTTTCCGTGACTGGGAATCCGTGGGCCGTAAATACTGCCAGAGTTGATCTAGCTCGCCTTGCCTTCCCAAGAAATTCTCAATCACTGGCACAGCCGTCAGGTCTAATGGGACGTCAAAGCGGTGAACTATAACGACTATTTAGCAATCATTTCAAACTACTTAACGAGTACTGTAGATATTCTCTCACCAGAGTCCGCTAGAGTGTCTCGTGCCGTCGGGGTACTGGCAATCTGATCGATTGGGACCATCAAGAGAAGCTCTTTCGCATAAGCTGCCGCTACGGCTGCCGCATATCCCTGCCACTCCTCATTCTTGTGTGAGTCAGCGTAGTCGCAGATCCCCCGAATAACCAGACATGGAAAGTCATTCATGAGTCCCGCCGCTTCCATCTCCACACAATATACCCCCAAGTCCCGAGCTAGCTGATCGCGCCGCCTGCTATCTTTCACTACCTGATTTGCAGATCCAATCAGTCCATAGTGGATGACAGGTTCTTCGTGCTCTCGTTGAGGCCGTAGAGATAGTTTGGTTCGATCACAGTGCATACAGGTGCTAGATGTAATATGTTCATATTCTGCTTGGAATAGACAATCCTCTTGGGTTGGTCGGGCGAAATTTGTAGCTTTGTGCGGCGCTATTTTGACTTTAATGCTAGAAATGAACTCAACCACTCGAGTATCTTCTGTGAGGTGATGAGCTTGGAGGGTAGCGAGAGCAGTCAACAGAACCTTGGGGGGCCGATTAAGCATCCCTGTCCGCTGGAATTGATCACCGCTTAACGCTTTACCAAGATCATATTGGATGACGCCTCCAGAAGTGCACGTCGGCTGGCTCACTACAATATCCCCTAGTCGAATATCCGCATTGCTGCTTGGCACTCCTCCGCCGATACCAACCATCAAACCAATGCGGATGGCGTGGAAAGTAGACAGCAACTGCATCGCAACCGTTGAGGCTGGAATATTGCCGTACGCGCCACTCGGTAAACTGGCAATGACGATATTTTGTTCCCCGATGCTTCCAAGTATATATGTATTTTGATCCATCGGCGGGCGAGGTAGAGGTGGGTGTATTTCGTCTAACATCAGCTTCGCGGCTGCCGTCTCCACAGGTAGGGCGGATATCCATCCGACCGTGTAGTCGTCATAGGATAGAGGGGCCCTGGCCATAATGAACTATTATGGATCGGATTTTGCGACGGGGACGTCTGGTTGACTAGATCCGTAAAAGAATATGAGAGACAAAGATGTCTTAGAGCGCAGGCACATGAGAATGAGTGCCGAGAGTTTGTCAGGGTGCGGGGTGGAGGTGAGGCTGAACACAGACCTCCAGTCTCCCAGTTCTGAATTCACGTGTCTTGCACTTGTACTAAACCAGAAAAGGACTGGTATGCTATATCGTGCTGGCTTGGGCGTTGCCAAACGAAGTCATAACGGGTCTTAACTACTTCAGCCGGACCGGTCCGCTCCTAGCGTCATCTAAGCCACTTGTACAGTAGAAGATGGTTAAATAAAGACAACATTGCTTGCGTACAGCAAAAGCAAGGTGGTGGTCGGGCAGCAACAGCACCCACTCTGCGTAGAATCCCGTAGAATCCCGTAGAATGAATTGGTGCATATGTCTCTAAGTCGGAAGTATTATCGGCCCGCCACATTCAGGAGCTGACCCACTACTCCAAGTCCACATAGCACAGTCATTCAGACAGCCATTCCACTTTATACCGAGCAACATGGCACCAAACCTCAAACCCGCACAGCTCGAGCTTATTCATCATATGATGCAGAGTAACTCACTAACGACGTCTCAGATGGCCCATGCTGCCGACTGCAGCAAACAATCCATAGTACGCATACGCTCCAACCTTAAAGTATTCGGGAATGTTAGGGCGCCGCGAAATGGTGTTGGATGCCCGCGAAGCATCACGCCGTCCATGATCGAAGCTCTCTGTGATCATCTAACGGACAAGCCGGCATTGTATCAAGATGATATGGCCCTCTTCCTCTGGGACGAATTTGGAAAGCATGTGACGATACAAAGCATCAGCAGAGCGCTTGCTTCCGTCGGATGGTCGAAGAAAGTAGCTCGACAGATTGCAAAGGAACGAAATTCAGATTTGAGGGACTTCTACCTCCACAATCTATCTTCTTTCAAGTCTTACCAATTCGTCTTCGTGGATGAGTCAGGCTGTGATAAAAGGGCGGGGTTTCGACGAACCGGTTGGTCTCCTCTCGGTGTAACACCAGTCCAAATTTCTAGGTTCCACCGGGATAGACGCTATTAGATACTCCCTGCATATGCTCAGGATGGAATTGTCCTCCGACGGGTATTTCAAGGCGCTACCGATGCCGATGTCTTCGAAGACTTCATCGAGCAACTTCTTCAGCATTGCAACAGGTGGCCGGAGCCAAGGTCGGTCCTCATCATGGATAATGCTTCATTTCATCGTACGGAGAAGATCCAGCGGATGTGCTTAAATTCCGGCGTTAAGCTGATATATCTCCCCCCTTATTCACCGGACTTAAACCCTATTGAAGAGTTCTTCTCCGAGCTCAAGCAATTCCTTAAGCGAAAATGGAAGGAGTATGAAGTGAACCCAAACCAAGGTTTCGATGCCTTTCTTGAGTAGTGTGTTAACGTGATTAGATCAAGAGTATCAAGCGCCAAGGGTCATTTCTGGAATGCGGGTCTAATAATTGATAAACCCTAATTCCCTCGCCTAGCTGCATTGAAGATATCTTAAATTATAATGTATAGATGCCTAAAAGAATCCACCATAAACAATGCTCGCATTAAATATCCGCTTCGTTTATCACGCATCCGTTGTAGTTCTCCACCCAGTACCTAATATCCTTGACAAAACGCCTCGTAATACCCCACTTAACACTACGCGCTTTGAAGTAATTAGGATCTTTGTCTTCATCAATCTGTGCTAAGTCCAGTCCATCATCTAGGGCTACATCGCACGCCTTTCTGACCTCGGCTTTCAATACCTCGTCATCTAAACGGGACTATTGCCAGCTGCTATATTCTCTCACAGCAACATCGAGAAGACCTGAAACATGGATGGCAGGAACGTCGACTAAAGAGGCAAGAGTATTCTCTGGAAGTGCGGATGTTGACAACCCGGGTTCTTGTGGCGCTTGTGTTAGAAGCACATTTGTGATAGTAATGGGAGGGCAGCTTGTCTCGGCGGTAGATCGATTATTAGCCCGCAGTCTGTCGAGCCGTTGTCTCTCTACCCTGTAGATTTGCTCGCGAATCATACTAGGCATATCTTCATGCGACTGTAAGATCCCACCGCTCTGCACATATTTTACCAAGCTCTCCAGCTGATCCCGGTAGAGCTTATAGTGTTTTTTGCCATAAGGATCCTGCCAGCAGTGCGGCCCGAGTTCACAGGACCCAGGACAACGCATCAAAGCATATACCTCTTTCTAGGCAGGCGGCTCTCCGGAAGCTGCTTCCTTAGCAAAGATCTGTCGGTCTCGCTCTTGAAGCATTCGCTGGGTAGCAGACGAAGTGCCTCGCTTATCAGTCGTCCTGCCACTTACGTTTAAGCTCGAAGCGTTCTCCATATAATTGAATAAAATGACCAGTCTCAGTTTCTTGCCAGCAAGAAAAAGGTCTCCCCAATCGAAAAGCTGTTTTTCTATAGAAGGCCAATCAATGTTAGTTCCATCAAACCTCAGAGTAAGGCCCTTCTGCCGAGTGGCGGATACGATAACAGACGTGTCGTCCGATTCAAGTTGTCGATGTGGATACTTCCGTACAAGTAGCTCCTTTAGCTTTGGTTGCAAAAAGAGCCTCCAGTGAAATCGAGGGGCTAGAACCAGATCTTGTTCTGTATCTTTCGCCACCGTCCTGTCATTGAGTGTGACCTTCCACTCAATCAAGTAGTGGATACAAGTCGGTAGATCCTCGTTATATGTTTGACCTTCCTCCTAATCACCGAACTGGAGTAACGGAAGACTATTCTTTTGCGAAGTAGTTTGTTATGGCGAAGCGTAATTGATAGGGGAGATAGGATCGACGTTGATAAAGCTTATGTCGGACGGGGAGGCGGGTGACCAACGGAAATTGCCAGGTGTCAGTGCATATTGTGACGTATCGCCCCACGGGTCAAGCGCTATGCTTTATTGAACGCCATAATCATCCTGGCTAACGACAGAACTGGGAGTCATTTTCTTGGGCCTCCTGTAACGACAGACTAAGGGTGAGTGATTATTAGTTGAGGCTTACACCATCAGGAGCCGTTGAGGGTGCTGTTCGCCTACAAACAACCGCCAACTGGTTCAGGATGGTCGTTGGCCGCTAATATCACTTGTTGAGGTTCTCTGGGCCAAAGAGACACCCTCGTAAGTGATGAATAGCAAACACCGCACAAAAAAGGAGAAGAAAGAGGTTGCCCAGCAGATCATCGAGTTGCCTGGCGCTAGGTGGCCTTCCCCACATGAGTTGCGATCCACCACGGGTTTCCATGAAATTCCACGGGCTTTCTTTTCGTACGGATAATGTAATCTTACGTCGCCTATTACTGTAACATACACGGCGCATTTTACTGCCCCCCTCAGTTAATGCGGCCCGCTCAATAAATGATCTACGCTAAGGCCTTGGCGGTGGGGCTGGGAATGAGTTTCTCAGTGTATGTTGGTCAAGGCGATTTCCAGAATGACTGTAGATCAATCGTCGTCTTCGCTCCATCATACGTTGTCATTCCCCTCTTAGTGAGCAGCTGTATGCCATGGTCGCCCATGGAGCAGATCATGTCTTCAACATCTTGATCCAGCTGGGACGCCTGACTAACATGGCCACCAGACCACAGCGGGTGGTGCATGTTGAAGTCCCCCACGATGGAATGATGGTCGGCGCTCCCCGTGCTTCCCCACTGTTCGCTTCGTAGCCTCAACGTACGTTTTGCTGCCGCTGCGCTTTTTGCCCTCTTCGCCGCATCCTCGCCATGCATCTTCCCTGCCATATACACGTTATGCACGTGCATGTTGCCCATTGTTGTTTTGACCGTCACTGTGCGTTAGTCTCTGGAGTGGTGCTTAACGACCATGTCTTCGGGTCGATACGCTTACTCACATACGTGCAGACGCGCGGGCGGCCTTTGTGCCCTGCACCTCTCCCGCACCGAAGAGATGCATCATCACCTTATCCTTCGATTTCATCGTGTTCGCCTGCGGTATCCGGAGCGTTTTGTCTAACATTTCGGCTGGGACGTGTTGTGAGACGCCCTGTTGCTGCGAGTGACAATAATACGGGCTTAACAGACAGAGAGAGAGAGATTGCGGGGCTGTACCACAAAAGTAAGGGGTTAAAGTGTGTTCCAACATTTGAAAAAAGAGAAATCACCCCGTGACTAGATTAACAACTATACAAATTGATTCTAACTACTAGCCTCTGCCTCAAGGTCTTCCCAACTCCAAACCGGCCCAACACAATACGTAGTACCCACCTTCAACAGCCCCGTGCAATCTCCAGCCGCACTACCAGCGAGACTGGGGTTGACCTGGCGGAACAGGTCGCTTGTGATACCGTTCGACGTGCAGATCTTCGCGCACGTCTCATCTGCCGCTGTAACCGTGTACCAGCTGCCGCAGTAAAGGGTAGTGCCATTGGCGACAGTGCTGTTGGCGGGCGGCAGGATGGCAGTACTTGTGTAGCCCGTGCTGCCACCGGGTGCGACTACGACTCCAGGGATGGGGTTGGAGACGTTGTAGATGCCACCCTGCGGCGACAGGCAGAGGGTGCGGCCGTGGATCCAGACAGTGGAGACGAGGTTGTCACAGAAGTAGTTGATCCACGGATTGTAGGCGCGCAGGTTTCCGATGCCGATGCCCGTATCGAGCTCGATGGACTCGCAGGTATCGGTGTCCTCCAGGATGTATAGCTCGTGGCAGGTGAGCGGAATGCAGAGCTCGTTGCCTATAGCCAGCGTAGTGCAGTTGGTGATATGGTCGGTGTTGGCGCTCTGCAGGGCAGCTGAGCCTATCGAGTAGGCCAGTGCCACACTGTCGCAGCTGTCGCCAGCCTTGGAAGTGTAGGTGACGTCAGTGAAGCAGGGGATGGCCTCCTGCTCGATGGGCACGTATTGCGGATCCTGCACGTCCGTGGGGCCAGTCTCGACCCCGCAGGTGCTATAGATGTACTCAAGTCGCGCCTTGAGATATGGAGACTCCAGCGGGGACTGGAAGATGGAGTAGGGCGACGACTGCATCATGCGGTTCAAGTTCACGTAGCACCACGAACACAGCTCGTTCTGCGGCATTTCTTCGTACGAATCGACAACCTTGAACGTATCAATCAGATCTGCCTTGTTAGTTACAATTGTATATCATGGTAGGAATGACGGGTGAAAACATACTGTTGCAGTAGCCATCGGTGTCTGGATCTTTCAAACAGGTCTCGTTGTATCCCGTCCAGATGGTGCCTCCTGCGCGTGCAGGAAAAGTAACGGCCGAGTTGATAGTAAAGTTCTGGCCCTGGCATGCCGAAGCAACACCGTCATAGTAGCTTTGCAGAGACCGGCCACAGCCAGTGTCGCACACGGCGTCGGTCAGGTTCTTGCTGTCCAGGGACCCGCGCATCTCGGGCTGCTGCCAACCTTCCAACATCTCATGGCACTTGATCCTCTGCTTCATAGCCGTCTGGCAGCCTGTCGTCAAGTCGACAATACGGCTGCTGTCATCGCGGTAAATCTGGAATCCTTCAAACTTGCGTTCACCAATGGTGGTATCGGACGAATTGCGCACCCACGCGAGGATGGACGATAGGAAGCCGTTGCGGTTGTCGACGGCACGCGTGACGAGCTCGCCAACGGGTGATACCATCTCAACAATAGCCTTGGTGCACAGATTGTAGATCCAGACGTCGTTGCTCTGCTCAATGAGGAAACCCCGCTGCTGGCAGTCCTCGGTGTTCACGCAGTCCTGGCTATAGTCCGAGAACCAGCTGTACAGCCCTGCACCCAGCATATACACTGTCTCTGAGTCTAGGATGCGTACAGCCCACGAGACGGCGCAGGTAGCTGACCCGGTGTCACAGTCGTCAAACGTTGGATCGTCCTTGAAGAGACCGGTGGTAAAGGGCTGCGGCGCCTTGGGCGTCGGCTGGAAGTAAGGAGACTCGGTCTGGATCATCCCGAGCACAATGTCTTTGGCGCCAGAGAGCTGGTACTGGTATAGAATGCAGTGCTCCGATGCCGTGCCATATAGCCACGTTGGGCCCTGGCTCTCGATCAGCACTCCACGGCCGACATAAATGTCGATTTGGTCCTGCGAGATCTTGTCGAGGTCGTGGTCCGCCACCCACACCCACACGTTTTCGATATAGGCAGAGCTCTGGGCCGTCATATGCAGTAGCAGTGAAGCTGCTTTGCACGCGGGATTGACGGATCCAGACAGTTTAGGGCAGTTTTCGGACTGGAGATCAGTTCCAATGGCACCGCCGACTCGGAAATGAGAGTCTAAACATATTAGCACCGTAACAGATATACAGAGGGACGAATAGAAAGAAGAAGGAATAATGTACCCCATAAACCAGATGAACCCTGAATTGACTCGTGTACGTTCCACTCCATCAGCACTGCTCCCGCGGTGTTTCCAGAGACAGTAAAGAGCATATCCTGAATCTCCACCACGCCGATATCACCAGGCTGTCCAACCTTGACCATGACCCGCGGGTTCATTTCATCCTGGAACTTGGCACCCTTAGCCATGATTTGCGACCAAGCCTGGCCAATGATGCGACTGCCAACAGGGACATTGAGTGTGTCCTTGACGACGTACACTCCGAAGGGGAAATAGACAATAGACGAGAGGTTGGCTGCATTCTGGAGAATGACATTAAGAATCGGGCCATCATCTGTGACTCCATCACCCTTGGCACCTAGAGACTTGACGTCCATGATCTGGGCCATGCCAATGTCGTGGTACTTGGGGCGACGGCGCGTAAAGTAGTTGGGATTGACATGACCAGTGGCGGCGAGCAGAGATGCCGTGCGATTCATGGCTGGAATGGCCTGTCCGTTGACGAATCCACTAACACCTGACTCGCTCGAGACCATACCGAATCCCCAGTTATCAAGGAAGACCTGATCACCACCGGCTACTAGGGTAGTGCCCAGCACGTCGTCAACAATGGCGTCCTGCACGTTGAAGAAGCCCGTGTTCTGCACCAGCAAAGCTGTCGAGTTTTCCGAGTATAGCGATGTTACGATACCCTTCGGTGTGTTGGCAATCAGGGCATCGGTGACAATCAGCGAGCCAACGGGCTGGCCATTGCTTAGGGGCCCACCAGCGCCACCAACAATGATGATGCCCGTGGTGCACGACTCAATAATGATGTCCTGCATGGTCCACGCCCAGTCCCAGTGGATCTGCAGGGCCGTTTTACAGTTAACAAACACCAGGTGGCTGGTGGTGAACTGCTGATTGCCAAAGTAGGCGCCAAAGTTACCTCCGACAAATGTGAGGTCAGCGAGGAAGCCGCCACTGCCGTTCTCCATGTAGATGCCCTGCTGCGTGCTGTCCGCTAGAGCGTAGAATTCAATATTCTCCAGCGAGGTGCCCTGTGCCACCTGCCAGTGGATGGCACACACGTACGCAGACGGATCCGTGAGCCGCACGTCGATCTTGAAGTTCTTGACGCTGCGCAAAAAGTTGTTCTGGTTGATATACCATTCTTCTGTGTCGCTCACGTACACATCGGAAGTAATAACGCCTAGACCGACAAAGCTTGACGCCGCCAGAATTGTTGGCACTGTGACCGGGTCACCGAGGAATTGCGTGTTATAGTACTGGATGATCGAGCTGCTGACCAGATAGGTGCCAGGGGGGAAGTATACAACGGCCGGGTAGATAGTACTGGAGCCACAGTCGGCACCGCAGCGGCCTCCGTCTGCAATGGCCTTGTTGATAGCTGCCGTATCGTCGGTCACTCCGTCGCCAACTGCTCCGTAGTCCATGACGTTGCGCCACACCTTATATCCAGAAGGCGCAAATGGGCTGCCGCCGCGTTGTTGCATGGTCGCCATCCAGTAGCTGGTGGCCGCTCGCTTGCTTATCGGCAGGGTCTCCTGATTCTTCTTTTCGTCGCCCTCGGACGGACTAAAGCCATTGAGGCCACTAGGTGTCTGCAGCTGCTGGGGTGGGAAATTGGTGTCATTCGAGCGCAGTGCATACTTGCGGCGCATGCGGGCAGCCACTTCCTCATGGTCTCCAGCAGGTATGGCCGGGGGAGCAGACTCAGCGACGATGCGCGCAGCTTCTCGGATATCGTCGGGGATAGAGTATGAGTAGCCGAAGCTGCTGTTGCCCGTGGAGCGTTTGGTCACGCCCTCCGATGGGCTGTCAATATCTAGAGCCGGCGCAGGGGTTCTGGCGCCGGTATTCTCATTGGTGTCATCGAACTCATACTTGTTGAAATGAATGTTTTCCAGACGCAGCTTGTTGGCCACCGAGAGAGCCTCGAGAGCCTTGCGCACCGTCTCCTTTGCATCCTGTACGGCAGCGGAGGATGCGGGAGACAACGAGGGAGAAGAAGAAGTAGTAGTAGAAGAAGACACAGCAGAGGAGGCACGGGCATGATGGAGATGCTGGTGAGCAGCATGATGGCCATGGGCAGATACGTGGAAAGCCAGCAGAGCCCAGCAGAGAGCCGTGAAGAGGACCCTCAGAGGGGGAATCTGGTCGAGCATCCTGCACTGCAGACTCCTTTTTCCTCAGTCTTGTTTTGATTCTCTTGGGGAGATACCCTCTCTTACTATATCTCAAAGGGGACCTTGGACCGGAAGGGAAAAAGGAATTGCAATTCCCACTCGCTAGTCTGCCTCATGGCTTCTTCCGGTGTCGGCAATATACCTACAATAGAGCGGCTTGAGATAAGAACCAGAGTAGTATTCATTACGAAGTACTCACGGAAGGAAGGCGACGCGAAAGGCAAGAGACAACCAAGAGAAAGCCAAGAAACAGCCAAGAGAAAGTCGAGAAACAGCCAAGAGACGAGGTCAGCTATGTTCGGCATCAGGGTCCAATCGAGACCCTGAGGCTATATTAGCTCCTCGATAGCGTGGCCCGGGTACAGTTAGCCGCGAACTACGCTCTTAGTGGGAGGAGCCCTAAGCACCCGCTGCACGAGGGTGGGCATGCTAATCTCCGGAGACCCCGCCTAATGCATCCGTCGCTACACTCCAGCGCCGAACCCCGTCCTATACAAGGGATTCTTATACTAATGATTTGTTTTCGAGTGCCCGATAACGGTGATTCTTACCGATTGTGAATTAAGGAACTAGAAAAAAGGCCTCATTCTCTAAGCGAGCTCATCGATAGTCAAGTGTAACTCTACCTTTTCCAACATCCGACTACTACCATCCAGTCTTGGCAATTGAACTATTTCTATATTCGGCTTTAGTACTAGGGGGGCGATGAAATTATAGTACACATTGCAATTTCCTCTATCCTGCTTTTCTTTTCCTTTCTTTCATCCTTCCATACCATTTACCTCCTCGCCAGCTGAAGTGGACAGAGCATACCTGGTAGAGTACCTAGGTTGCCTGCACCATGCTGACCCGGCTGCTCTTCTTGGTTCTGGCCCTGTGCAGCTTCCTGCAGGTACAGGCCCAGGACTGCAGTGCTTCGAATCCTTGTGCTACCGGATGCTGTTCTAGGTATATCTCTGATCTTGGTCCTGCTTGAACCCAAACCAATAGCTGACTTTTACCCTAGCTCGGGTTACTGCGGAGTTGGAGACGAATTTTGCGTATGTCTTCGTTTGTGAGGATTAGGGTGTAGACTACCCAGGTTGTAGATTTCATCAGCTGATCTCTCTCCAGGGTGCCGACTGTGTGGCTAGCTGTGACTTCCAGGCGGAATGCGATGCTAACCGGCCTTGCGCGAATGACGCCTGCTGTTCTTCTTCCGGATTCTGTGGCCTCGGGCCAGACTGTGAGTGACTTGTTTATTCTAGACTATACTACGAGTGTCATAATTGGTGGCTGACTGTAATTTAGACTGTTCAAAGGAAAACTGTGTTGCTGGCTGCGATAATAAAGCCTATTGTGACCCTGGTGGCTATGGCGAATTTGCAGAACACGCCAAATGTCCCCTCAATGTCTGCTGCAGCAAGTATGTGAAATTGATCATGAGAGATTAAGATAGAAATGAAAGGACAAAAGGCTAATGTGATGTAGGTGGGGATACTGTGGCATGACTTCTGAGTTCTGCGGCGACAAAAAAGTCAAGCGTCCTTCAGCTAGCTACAGTCCGAGCACGCCTCTGTATACCATCGTCGGCTACTACGAGGGTTGGTCACATGAGAGACCATGCCATAGCTTCTTCCCGGAACAGATTCCATTGGGAATATATACAGTTGAGCGACCCCTTGTTACTCAAAGTGCGCTGAGACCAGAGAGGCTAACGAGACCACTAACCGCAGCACCTCAACTATGCTTTTGGCGCCATTGACCCGGACACATTCGAAGTTAAGCTGGCCTCAACAGAGGAAGAGGACCTGATCAAGCGGCTTGCTCGACTCAAGACCCAGGACCCCGACCTCAAAGTCTTTATTGCGCTAGGTGGTTGGTCGTATAACGACCCTGGCCCGACCCGATCCACGTTCAGCAATCTAGCTACATCCAAAGATGCGCAAAAGAAGTTCTTCAAGTCTCTCATCTCGTTTCTCTCCACATATAATCTCGACGGTGTTGATCTTGACTGGGAGTATCCCGGTCCAGATGACATTGTAGAGCGCGGTGGCCGTGAAGAGGACTTTGCCAACTTCCCTACCTTCTTGCGTGCACTGAAAGAGGCTCTCAAGAGCGCCGGGGGACGTGATGGACTGACCGTCACGCTTCCAGCCTCGTACTGGTTCCTACAGCACTTTGATATTGTTGAGATGGAGAAGCATGTTGACTTCTTTAACATCATGACTTACGACTTGCACGGTGCCTGGGACCGGGGCAACAAGTGGCTGGGGCCATATTTGCTTGCGCACACGAACCTGACGGAGATCCAGGATGCCATGGATCTGCTTTGGCGCAATGAGATCCCAAGCAAGAAGGTAGTCATGGGCACGGCTTTCTACGGCCGGGCCTTCACGGCCACATCAACGTCGTGCATGGAGCCCGGCTGTACATTTGAGTCAGCGGGCAACAAGGGACCGTGCAGCCGTGAAAATGGCATTCTTCTCAATAGCGAGATCATGGACATCATTGACGATAGGGGCCTGACGCCGACACTGTACAAGGAGGCTGGAGTCAAAGTGGCCCACTGGGACGACCAGTGGGTGGCCTACGACGACGAGGAGACACTGCAACTCAAAGTCGACTATGCGCTGGGACTGAACTTGGGCGGCGTCATGGTATGGGCTGTGAGCCATGATACCCCGACTCGCCAGTTCTCCAATGCGTTCTACGCCCGGGCAGCTAACCGGCACGGCATGATCCTCAAGGAGATCGACGACAACCACCACGACCAGGTGCAAATCAAGAAGACGATCGACCAGTGCAAATGGACCAACTGTGGTGACGGCTGTCCCAATGGCTACCAGCCAGCTACGCGCATCGACGGCAACAAGCACAATGTGGGCGAGCTCATGATGGACAGCACTGCCTGTGAGAACGAACTCCACATCCTGTGCTGCCCTGAGACGTCAATGCCGACGTGTGGCTGGTACAAGCACTCCAACAGCTTCTGCGACTATACCTGCCCAGACGGCACCGTCGAGGTGGGCAGCACCAATGGCGGCTGTCACAGCGGCTACCAGGCTGCCTGTTGCAGCGTGGGCACCAGTGATAAAAAGATGCCCAGCATGGACGTGTACGACAGCTGTGTATGGGCCGGTGAAGCCAGCGACTGCAACGCCGACTGTCCCATCCTGAAAAAATATGAGCAGCTGTCGTCTGCCGAGGGCAGCGGTGCGGTCAAGTGCAAGCCCGACCAGGAACGCAAGTACTGCTGCTATGATGATGACGACAACAAGTGGACCGGCGGAGATTGGTACAAGTTTGAGAACATGTTCGTGCAGTTCGTTGACGATCCACTGAGATGCTCGTCCGACTGCCCAGGCAACATGTATCGCCTCGCCATGGAGCGAACGGGCGTGTGCAAGAACAAGCCCGGCGCAATGTCGTACTGCGCACTCAACAGTCGCTACGACACCGAGTGGAAGGAACAACAGAACGTCACCGACCTCAAGGACGCCCTGGGTCACTTTTTCCAGAGCCCTACGTGCCCTAATCAGGACTCTGGAGGCCTCTCTACCCGCGACGTCAGCGATTCCCAGGCGCGGACCCAGGCTCGAACTGTGCTGATTTCCATCCTGAGCGCAGCATACTATAACAGTGACCTGATCGCCGACTATATCTCGTACTGGAACCTGAAGATCCAGGATTATTACTCCAATCTGCAGTTCCCGGGCTTTAGAGATGATCTTAACGACTGGTCCGGCAACATTTACAGTCTGGACATCGAGAACCTGGCCGACGACATCCTGTGCAATCTTGAGGCATACGACGATCTAGCCAGCTCCAGCCCGGTGCTAAGCTGTTCGGCGACAAATGAGTGCGCCGACGCAGATAGCGACTGCGCCAACGCCGAGTGGGACGAGACGTGCAGCGATTTTTCGACGATAGAAAAGCGCGTTGGAGCTAGCCGGTTGTACTGCTTTGTATATGACGACCAGACTGGAGGCGAGGGGGATACTGCGATGCATTCTTCCCAGTACCAGACAGTCAGTGAGCCTTCGCGTAACAGTGATGTCCGGCTGCGCGTAATTATATATCGCGACCTGGCCGACTGCGCCAACACTGAGGTGCAGATGGTTTTCCTTCCCAGTGGAAACACTTACAATGGCCGGCCAGTACACAGTAAGTCCTGCTGATCATATCACGATGAATTCTATCGAGCTGCTAATGTCTTTTCCCTCCCCCAAGTGGAACATATCATGGAGATGAACACAGAAGGACGCTTCTTATCCGACATCACATACGGCCGACTGGATGAAACCTCGATCAACGCGTATACTCCTGTACCAGCTGGTTTTGTATCTGACGCCTGGATTAACGGGCCCAATATCAACCCGGCTACCTGGGGACCGCCCATCGGAGGAGGCCAGAGTCTCACCAATTCCTGGTGGCCCTCTGTTCGCATCTTCGAGGCGTACGGCAGTCTCCGAAACCAAGACAACTTTTTCATTCTCGATGCCTATCTCAACTTCCTCAAGAACCGGGTCAGTCTTTTTCTTTCTTTTGTTGGATCTCAAGAACTAACTGTTGAACAGGTCTGGATGTGGCGTCGGTGGAATCGAGGACCACTGGCCGATAGTTCCATGACAACCTACGTTAACGACATGACAAATCCTGACCGGGCATTAACGCGCATGCGCAGTGTCATTACTATATTCCGCTATCTCAACGCCGAGGAGGTGCGTCGTGCCCTACGCGCTCAGTACCGAGAGATCGGTGCCGAGCGGTGGATTGCCAACCAGGCATGGAACTTGGCGAATCCAACACAAACATTTGATATCCGGCCCATTTGGATAGCCTGGTTCAGGAACCACGTCAATGGCATGATCACGACGTCGACCAGCTTCCTCAACCGGTGGCTTGATGACATGGAAACAAACTGGCAAGGTCAGACTGGGCCTTTGGCTGTGCGGGTGCTGGGGGACATTGAGCGGTTGCGGGTGCAAATACGTAATGGAGCTGTGAATATTCGGATCGATGACTTTTAATTCGGGTTAGCTCTAAACAAATGTATATCTAGTGTGTATATGCCGTTAATTGGATGATTTTACATTCAGAGTTGATGTCTTTGAATGCCCAGTGACTATGCTGAAGTCTGAACAAAGACAAATTCATACTTGAATATTCAGACACGGATTTTGTTTAATAGCCGAGGACAGCATTGGGGGAACCTATGCCTTCCATTTTGAAAGAGAATACGATTGAAGGACGAAGCACCCTAAGAAATGGGGTCATAATGAGAAATGCAGGCCATCAAAAAGTAACTCACAAGATAAACAGCGTCGTGAGGCCACAATGCTGCTTCGGGGATAGACTAAACGCGGACTGAGTGCTCAGTAGATGCAGGCCTCTGATAATTCTCTGAGCAATCAGGGAGTCTAAGCCCGGGTGGACTGAAATATAATTACTCAGTAGGTCTGACTCCAAGGGCTCTCATAAAAGCAATGACTGCTAAGAAAGGAAAGCCCCAGCATAGGAAGTATGGTACATTGAGTCTCCTATGTACTACTGTGTATGGCATAACCTTCTATCTTATCTATTCCACAATCCACATGGCTTCAATTACTGTATGCTACATCTGACGGAATCGGGCTCGAAAAGCAGCAGTCCATCGGATCTTGCTAGTTTACTCGAGCGTCCTCTCAACCGGGCTCGTCTCGCCGTCCTCGTTGGCGAGTGACAGTTCCTGGCTAATGAGAGGGCATGTCAGCAATTAGGATCAAAGCCCTGAGCCCACCAAGCCTCCGAGTTCCCTATGGTCTCTTCGTGGAAATTGAGTGACTCACCGTTCCAGAGCTCCGCATAGACTCCGTTCAGGTCTAGCAAGTCCCGGGGTGACCCTGTCTCCACCACCTCGCCATCCTTAAGCACCAGGATCAGACACTATGGAGGTAGTGTCTACTGTTTTGCAGAGAGCTTCCATACAAACAGGCCCATCTGGTTAGCCCGGTCAGCTGCTCCCCTCTACCACACGTCCGTCAGGTGATCTCCAGGTCCATCGTCATGTCATGCGTCACAAACATATCTAAATTTTAAGCCATTCAGAGTATTATTTTGATATATTACCATGAAATGCAATGTAATTTAGGCATTCAAGATATAAATATATCTCTTCGTTAATACGTATAGTTATTTTTCTATATTGCGCTAGTAGGCTAGGAACGCTATGTAGACTATAGGACTTTAATGTCTTACCTAAAAAAGATATAGTCGTTAAGATATGAAGTTGTAATTTATCGCGTTTAATATGGTGTTTTGGGTTGCTCGCTCGGCCGGGTTGCTCTCGGCCGGGAATTACGTTATGTTTTTGTATGTTTACATACTGTAGGCTTTGTAACAGCCGAATGTCGGCCGCACGGACCGCAAAACGCCCGCCGGCTAGGGGTTGACCTCTCAATAGGCCTTTCCCCATGATTTCGGCTGATTCCTTCGATACCATCATCATTCGATTCAATCAGCTTCGTCCTATTGGATATCTTACATACTAGCATATACAGAAATAACCTATTCTATTAGTTATAAGCCCGAATACACACTAAATATTATCAAGATATAATCAACGAAGCCGTTGCCCCAGCGTCCCCTCGACTTTCAGTCGAAATCGTTTCATCTGCTCACTGAGCAGGGGCTGAGCAGCGCTAAGCGGACTCAGCTGAAGATGTGACTCATGATCCGCAGTCCTCATCTGTCATTGCCCGTGGCGCTCTCTTAATATCATGACCTCCAAACTCCCCCTGAATGGCGCCGAGGCTCCCTCCCTCAAAGCTCGAAATGATTCGGCATATGATCCTTAGCAAATCACTGACTACATCGCAGATGGCTCAAGCCGCGGAATGTAGTAAGCGTTCCTTCATCAACATCGGCAACAACCTTCGCTGGTTCGGAAATGTCAGAGCACCACCAACTCGTGTTGGCCGACGACGAAACATAACCCCTCCGATGATACAGGCCCTGTGCGACCAACTACTCGGAAAGCCTAGGTTGTATGTGGATAAGATTGTGATCTTTTCATGGGAAGTGTTTCGTGTACAGCCCACAAATTCGAGCCTTAAGCGGGCATGGACAGTACTATCTCTTGCAAGCCCATCCCTGAAGCCTTATTTGACCAGTAAGAATCTCACTAGACGGCCAGTGGTAAAGTTGTCTCTCCATCTTCATCCTCATCGTCATCTTCATTCATAGCCTGAAGTTTATGTTGACCTTCCTTAGAGGTGACTTTCCTCCCTCTAATAGCAACCCAAAGCAACTTCCCCTGCAACACACCAAAAATCACATTATCGACCAGCGGCCACAAAAAGAAATTCCACGACTTTATCAAAGCAGGCCATGGCATAGCAGTCAACCCCATCAAATGTTTAGTGAACCAGGGCCAGACCATCACAGCCCAGGACATAGTCAGAATACCGTGTACCCCAGCCTGACTAGCGATTCCGGCGAGGCTCAAGGGGGACGCAGAATCTAGCTTTGTCGGACCTCGCGTTGAAAATGCAGACCAACCCAGGTAAACGAGGGCTGGGTTGGTGTAGAATAGCAGCTGAGGAAAGCCATTCGTAAAAATCTCAACCAATGTACGGCGAGAATTGCCAGAAATGAGAGGGATAAAGGTGTGTAACCCAGTGAGCACATAGACCACTATCAGTGTGATCTTTTGCCTGGGTGGTATGGAGCTAAAGGCGACACTGGTCAAGAATCTGCCCAAGCAGGCTGTTAGTGATAGATTTGGGAAGATAGAAGTCTTCGTGGAGTGGGTCGCTTACTGAACAAAAGCAAAGATCATCCAGACCGTCGCAATTCGGGATAGATTCATCCAATCATGGGACCTTAGATCAATAGGGTCTCCGGGTGACAGGGATTTCTTCGCAACATGCCCGGCATACATATGAGACAGATTCGCCTGTTCTGTCGCACTATGGATATTGAAGCATAGGTATACAAGAGAAATGTTTGTTTTGTATCCCTTCTCTCGGAGCTTGCGAACCTGAGCAATGTAGGCTACAAGATTGAAAGCAATCAGAAACCTGACAAGTTAGTATGATTACCAGATTCAGAATTGCGGATGAATCGATGTAAGGAAGGATTGTAGTTACCGGAATAGCCAGACGGACATCGTGGGAGTATATATAGTCCCTTCTTTCTTGACCACGTCAAAGGCCAGAAACGGATGTTGCGGAACAAAAGAAGAAAGATTCGGTTCGAGGATACCTGGCGCGTTCACTAGTCGCAACTAGTTACTAACGAGTAAACAGGGTTACGGGAATTAGATAAGCAGTGCCAAGATCTAGTTAGTTAGACCAGAGCTCGGCCCCGGGCCTTGCTTGAATCATCACAACGCTTCTCCAACCTTTTTGCAGCGAGATCTAAAACAACTACACAAGTCACCATGCCACAGACCAATGGGGACGAACTAGGTCTGGCCCAGGTGAGTCTATGAGCCTAAAGGATGGCGCCTGTCCTGCGGTTGATGGGGATGGGGCCCGCCTTGCGTCCACTCCCATCCCACCTCTTTCTATACGATGAGCATGCTAACGTCTCAAAGGCCTTAGCCGATCTAGCAAAGTATTTCACTTGATGTCTATCTATCTGGTTTCGCTATCTGACATGACAACAGGGGCGAACGGACCGCGTCGGCGCTGGAGAACAATCTCAAAGATCTGGAGAGCAAGATGGACGAGTTCTTGGCGCTCTTTGAGGGGCAGGGTTCATCTCAACCGGACACAGGCGACGCAGTTCAGGACACCACGAAAACACAAGAAGAGAAGGTCAGCCCCGAGGAACCGAGCCGTTGAACAGCCCGCCCATGTGGAACTGACCGTCGGGTCCCTTCTCCACCACCCCAACCTCCGTGATGATCCCGTCGATCAGGGCCGCTGGGGTGATATCAAATGCCGGGTTCCACACATTTATTCCCGGAGCCGCGATGCAGACGGTCTCCAAGGTCACGCTGCCCTCAACAGCCGTTGCGCCAGCACGGGGACCCTTGATGCTGGTCATCTCCGACGCGGGACGTTGCTCAATGACGATATCGCTTCCTGATTTGGTCGCCAGATCGATGGTGGTGCGTGGTGCAGCGACGAGGAATTTCACTCCGTGGTGCTTGGCCAAGACTGCCAGGCTGTAGGTACCAATCTTGTTGGCTGTGTCTCCGTTGGCGGCAACTCGGTCTGCGCCCACCACGATGGCGTTCACCCCAACCTGGGCGTTCGCCAGCAATGCCGCCGCCATGGAATCCGTGATCAGTGTAGCAGGAATCTTATCGTGAACCAATTCAAATGCCGTCAGACGCGAGCCTTGGTTGTAGGGTCTTGTCTCTGAACAGTAGGCGTGGCGTAGGACGTTCTTTGATGCGAGGGAGCGAATCACCCCGAGAGCTGTGCCGTAGCCCGAAGTGGCGAGAGAGCTGCATGCCTGTTAGCAATCCCCACAAGGAGTTGGAGGGTCTGCAGAGGGACTGATCGATCTGTCCTACCCGGTGTTGCAGTGCGTCAGAACCGCGACATCCGCAGCTCCGGGCTTCGCGGCATGAGCCATGATCCACTCCGCACCGTTGTGTCCGATGCGTTGGTTGTCGTCCAGGTCCTTGCCCAGCATATCCTCGGCGCCCTGAATGAAGACAGCCACCACACTCTGGCCAGTGGCCCCCAACTGCCCCGCTTGTGTTGTCACCGCCGTACCCAGCTTCTGCGCCGCATCGGCCAGGTTGACGGCGGTCGGGCGGCTGGTGACGAGATAGTCGAGTTTCTGGGCAATCAACGTTTGCGCTTCCTCGGGCGACGTGGGAATCTTGTTCGCGGCGCCGAGCGAGTGCAGTTCCGAGGCAAGCGCAAGCATTGCCACGATCGCAATGGCGGGTGCGCCTCGGACCTTCATCTCCTTGATCGCATTCCATCCATCTTCGGCCGTCTGAATAGGAATGAACTTCTCAACAAAAGGCAGTTGCAGTTGGTCCAGGATTTCCAGGTGGCCCTGGCTGTATTTGATTGCTTGTAACATGTCGCAGCCGGAGTGTGAGGGTGGTTTGTCTCTTCTTTTTTTTGGAGCCCCGCGCCACTCTGAAGACACCCCGCGGCAATGGAAAATCATGCCTCAGGCACCAAGTGGCGTCAATCCGCTTGCCTCAGGCAAGAGACAACATCGTCAATGAGCTGACCAGAACTCAGTCCGCTCTTTAACATACCCAACCCCACGGTCATCTCCGTTGTCTGCCAGGCTACCGTACCGACATGCGTATAGACCACGTCACTGCGGTCCTTCGCGGTCTAGTGTTTATGTTAGCTGACCAGCAGCCAATCCTCATCTCCTATACACCGCGACAGTCCGGCAAGAAGGGGAAACGGGTCTCTGGGATGTAAATGCGTGGGAAGCTTTTGCAGATATCTCCTGATTTTGACTCCGCTTGATCTTAGTCCAAATGGATGCATACTAGGCTATACACTTCCGGGTTGCCTTGACAGCAAATCACCCTGTGAAAGGGATGTCGATCCTTGATTTCCCCCCACCTGGAACCCCGAATTTGCGTCCCCGAATTGTATAGAGGTCGTAGTCAAGATGGCATGCACACAGTCTTTGACTTCCAGTCAGAACAATATGCTGACCCCCAGATAATGCGAAGCCGTGTGTTCTCCCAGGACGATTGTAGGCAAGTGCGATAGATGCAGTAGCCATTCATCCGGCGGCTTGTCGTTCAAAGTCACGGGTAGAAAGCCGGCCTTTTCTGGCCTCCAAAGTAGTCATTTCCGGTCAATGCACAGGTCCTCACATTCTAGTTGTTTTCTACTACAAGCCTACGATATCTGGCCACAGCCCCCAGCGGGTCGCCAGGGGTACTCCCGGCCGCCTGCTCAGGGACGAGAGGAAGATGTGGACGGGGCATATTGGGAATCGGGGAATTTGGATAAGCAAATGAGGCAATGCATCTCAATGGTATATGGGCTAGAAAGATGTCATGTGTATTTGACCAAACAGAATATTAGCGGTCCATCGCTGCATGGCTGCTGCGAAGCTCCAAAACCTCCCTTGATTCATAGGTGGTAGAACACTTCCTCTCGGGGATAGCCAAAGACCGCTCATCAAAGCTCAGATCACGCCACGTCCTATACGGTGTATTTTTTTTTGGGCAACTCCACAGAAGGTCCACCGCTTATCGCGCCCGGAACGCGTGCTGTCATCGGCGCCTGCCATAGGTTCAACTCAAAAAGGAACTCAACAAAGAAGTAAAATTAACAGAAAAAGGGGGGTTTCCCAGTAGTCGTAGGAAAAAATTGTACTGACAAGATACTTGCCATGATAGCGATTCAGCTTGTAGCCATGTGTGTCTCATGCAGGCGGTGAAGTGCTTCGGCATGTCTAGGTTGAGTGCATAAATACCGCTCCTTCGCACGGTGCAATGATGACAGATGGCATTATCAAAGCTCTCCCTTAGCCAAGCTAATTGTTGCTCACCCAGAGCTTGGTGATTCGGTAATATCTTGAGCAGGGCATGTGATCAAGCGGTGACACCTAAATTAAAGCAATAAGTAACATGACAATCAGCATTTAACCCAATGGTGCCGTATCCATATAGCACAATATACGTATCTTCATAATCTGATGCAGTGAATTCACGGCTCTATAATCAGGTGCAGCCCGTTCCTGGTCACATAACACATAGACCTGTGGCAGGCAGATGGGGGAGAAAACATGGCGGGGCCACGCCTCGCAAGGGGCTGGGTTGAGCACAGGATCTACTGTAGCAGCCATATTAGACACAAAAACCTGCATTGTCCATCCCTTGAGAGAAACTACATTACTTCTTAGGTCATCTGAAGTCCGAGCGCAACCTCTCTTAGTGCAGACTTCCTGCAAAGTTTCATACTGGAGCATTGCCCTGGATCAATCTTTGCATTGAAAGTATTCATTCGGGCTGGAATGAGATCAGTCATGCAGACCAGGGATCTCGGGCCAATCAAGGGATCTCGGCGGGAAGAAGGTATATTTATTTTTCTTATGGCTGCGTGTACTGGAAGAAAGAAGCGATTATTTGAGAGCAGCTTGCATTGGCTGATAAATAATAACTAATTTGGCACGTTTTTTCTCCCCAACCAAAATTCAGCATGCTATTTTCTACACATTGCCTGCTTTTTATTGCATTCTTAATACCCCTTTTCCCGGTTTATGCCGTTGCAAATGATGCCCTAGCACGAGCGCGAACAGCATTCGACACTCTCCAAACATGGTACAATGCGACAAACGGACTCTGGAACACTCGTCAATGGTGGAACTCGGCCAGCTGTATGACTACGATCGCGAAAATGGCTGCCATTGACCCATTAGTCGTGGATACTGCAGTCTATGTGTTCAACAATACTTTTAACCGAGCTCCGAGCTCTAACCCACACCCAGGCCCGGAAGTTAAGACAGGTTTCCCGCAAAATCATACATCTTCAAGAGCGAACGATTCGGGGAATGCTTCACAGTGGTTGGACTCTGCCTACGACGACGATGGATGGTGGGCCCTTGCATGGATTGCTGCGTACGATGTCACTGAGGATAGCGCCTACCTCGAACTAGCAGAGGGGATTTTCTCGAGTCTGGTGAGAGGCACTTTTGCGCAATCTTGTCCGGTGTGTACTTACTATCTCGGTAGACTGCTGCTTGGGGTACCAGCTGTGGTAGCGGTGGCCTACCATGGAACCCCACCAGCACGTACGTGAATGCCATAACAAATGAGCTTTTTCTATCGATTGCGGCACACTTGGCCAATCGGGTGCCATCTAGACAAGAGGAATATGTAGATTGGGCGCAGAAAGAGTGGGACTGGTTCGCTTCTCAGGGCTTTATGGGAGAAAACAACACCATTAGCGACGGGCTTTTGGATAACTGCAAAAATAATGGTCAAACTATGTGCGCTTGCCGTCCCACAGACCTATTTGTCTTCTCCAGCTTATCTCTGTCCAGATGGTCCTATAACCAAGGGGTCGTTCTCGGCGGTCTTGTCGAGCTAAACAAGGCTGCACCGAATGTCAAACTCCTTGAATTCGCCAACATGATCGCGAAAGCTGCAATTGGAACTCTTTCCGATTCCAACATGATAATTCACGAGTTATGCGAGCCAAATGACTGTGCTCCGGATGCTACTCAGTTCAAAGGCATCTTCATCCGCAACCTGCAAATGTTGCAAGAAGCATCCCCCCATCACATTTATAAGCAGGTCATCGACAGCTGCGCAAAAAGTATTTGGGCGAACGATAGGAACTCTCAAAATCAGCTTGGTGTCAATTGGGCAGGCCCTTTTATGGATCCGGCGGATGTGTCAACTCACAGCTCGGCAATGGACGCACTTCTTGCTGCTATCACGGGCTAACCATATTGTTAACTACACTCTGTGTGCAACTTGCATGGGTCATACACTACTGGAAACGTAGTGAACATTCAGAAATCACGATTGCCTAGAGATAGTATCCGATTTGTTTGTTAATCTGGAAAGTACGCGTGCAGAAGATATAAGAGCTGTGTTAAAACAGCGAATCATCAAGAAGGATGAGTACTAAACGAATGTGGACCCATGAGCAACCAATCAGTTGCTAGTGGTAAGTTATCCTTCATGTTCTGACATAAGGCCTAGGTGCAAGTTTCGCTGCGTCGATAGGCACGAAGACACCATCCCATCTGCAGAAGGCGAGACTATCATTCCCAAGGATAATTAGTCCAGAAGTCTAGACACCCGTCGATTCGTCTGGTCCAATCGAAGCTTATCCACATATCCCAGGACTCCGGAATTCACCTCCGTTCGTAGACCCTTTGTAGATATTGCCAACACAGTTGTGAATAGGTGAACGGCAATTTTTCCATCGATGCTCATTCGCGTGGTACTCACTGGAAAATCCTTCTTGGGAACAAGGTATCCAATCAGCATGACCAAACCCATGGCAGAAGTAAGTGCTGTGTATAGACTGTGCTCATTGTGGTAACCACTTCGCTGCTCCGATTTTGCCGCGCCTCACCGTCCCGTCACCAGGAAGCCGGGCCTGCTGCCTGAGGCGGAAATCGGGGGCCAGAACGTGAGCTTCACGGGGCTGGCCGCAAGTCATCTTCGCTGGTCTCGACCAACGGCTCAAGTGGCCGCTGAAATGGGTTAAACTTGGACCTCAAAACATACTTCGTTCTGGTCCATGCCTCTCCCGCCATGTCGGCGCGTCTGCTGCACCCGGACGAGTACGAACTCGGCTCTAGGTCGTCCGTTGATTCCGATGGCACTTTCAACCTTGACGATGATGATTTCGAGTCCCAGATTCCTCCCACATCCAGGCTGGGCGCACGGCGACGGCCTTGGTTTGCCCGGCTCTTCCCTTTCGCTTTCTCCGGGTACCGACGCCTGAAGACAAATTCCCGACCCATTCTCGTCAGCTCCGCGCGCCCGACATGCGCCCGACGCTTCTCCTTTCGCCGCCGATGCTGCAACCTTCACATCGTCTTCGGGGTGGTTCTCGCCCTCGTTCTTTTTGCTTCCATCTTCACACCTTCCTACACCCATCCACCCGCACATTATTCGACCCTGCGGAAGTCAGCGCTGGAAAAGAACTCTGCTGGCAGAGGCAACCCACATAATGAAAAGGTATTCATTGCAGCAAGTCTATACGACCGCGGCGGAGACCTCGCACGGGGACAATGGGGCACACAACTCCTCCAGTTGGTTGACCTTCTTGGTAGTCACAATGTGTTTGTGAGCATCTACGAGAATGACAGCGGGGAAGAAGGGCAAGCCGCCTTGCGAGAGCTGGAGCAACAGATCCCCAGCCCGAAGAGGATTGTTTTCGAAGAGCATCTGGACCTCAAGACCATTCCATCTATCACCATACCGGGTGGCGAGACTCGCATCAAGCGCATTGAGTATCTGGCGGAGCTTCGAAACAAAGCGCTACAGCCACTGAATGACCAACCCGACACCCGCTACGACAAACTTCTTTACCTGAACGACATTCTCTTCGAGCCCGTTGATGCGCTTCAGCTGCTCTTTTCAACAAATGTCAACGGAGACGGTAGATCCCAGTACCGCGCCGCATGCGCAGTTGATTTTGACAACCCCTTTAAATTCTACGACACCTATGCAACTCGTGATCTTCAGGGATACTCCATGGGACTTCCATTCTTCCCCTGGTTTTCTACCGCTGGAAGCCACGAAAGCCGAAAAGATGTTCTGCAAGGAAAGGATGCTGTTCGAGTCCGTAGCTGCTGGGGAGGCATGGTGGCCTTTGATGCCAAATTTTTCCAAGACCCATTGCCTACTGGCACCACTCCGGCGCGTTTCCGCTCCGGAACTGATCTCTTTTGGGAGGCATCCGAATGCTGCCTCATCCACGCTGATATTCAAGATCCTCAGACTCGCGTGGATGAGATCACGGATACGGGTATCTACATGAACCCGTATGTGCGGGTGGCTTATGATCGCCGAACTCTTTCGTGGTTAGGAATCACTCGTCGATGGGAGAAGCTGTACTCGCCCATCCACAATATTGGCAATCATCTTGTCGGTCTGCCATGGTATAACCCCCGCCGCACTGAGGCACCTGGCCAAAGCGTGCAGGAGACTGTTTGGATCCCCGACAGCAGCCAGGATGGCGGGGGTTCCTTTCAGACCGTGGATCGCACCGCTGGCAATGATGGCTACTGTGGCCGCCGCGGCCTGCAAGTCATCGTGGAAAACCGCAAGCCAGGGCAAAAAGGTTATGAGCCGATCCCTGTGCCATCGATATAGAAATGGACGTAGGCTGGTCAATGTAACGAATTGTATGGCCAGCTGTCCGTGTAATTCTTGTATGATTTTACCTCACATAGCTTGATGAATAATAGAACGACATACTTGTGACCGTGTTTCTCCACAGACACTGCTACCATCAATCAGCCCTGGTGGCCTGCTGCTTGCCGATTCAGCCATGAGCTTCGCTCCTGCGGGTGCGTTTCCATGCCGAAGCCGCGTGCCAACCTGGCGGCGTCGACCACCCGGGACAGACATGTGCAACCTGACTTGCAGACCTACATCCGGTCGGCATGCAACCAGTACCTGACGATTTCACTACCGATCCGGAATTGCCGAGGCGTTCCTTTTGCTGATCTTCAGTCGCCAATGACTTTGTCCCTCGATGATCCATAAAAGTGGAGTAGACCATCTCCAAGTCTCCACGTTGGACCACTCTGTCCCCGCTTGATGTTTCTTGGTACACTTGGTCCGGCAATTTAGTATCCGATGTTGCGGTACCTACGCCATATAACCTGTGGATAGCGCTGCAGAGTATCAACTTGCGATTGCAAAGTGTGTGGCCTTTCAATATGTTTGAGGTCTCCCTTGCTTCTCCTAACGTCTCCTAGCGCTAAACTAGTCCAAGCCTAGCCTATGTTAGACGACGTCTATTCGCTTATTCGAACATACTCCTGCTTTCCCTCAGCCCTACGTCATTCCTAACTATGCTAATCCATATGCCGCGACCATGGGAGGCCAGCTTTCCCGCGTCAACGCCACAGGGCCCTCTCCAGGACATGTATTGATACTGATGAGTACCAATGCCCCCTTGAGTGGAATGCTCAGCGTGCTGCCCTACATCGCCGGTAGTACGCGAACTTTTCCCCCTTCAAGGTCCAGTTCCAGCTCTAGCCTATAAAGATGACAGAGAGCAGCGGGCCCGGGTGTCACCTAGGGAGACCTTGGATCAGTTCCTAGAATACTACCCTTACCGTCCAGTTATTAGACTCTGACACCGAAATGGTCAGTGTAATGGCTCCTGGTGGGCTTGAGTAAGTAATGGGCACAACCTACATTGGCTGTGAGATGCCTTTCACTTACAGGACTTTCCCAGGGATCTCTTTTATGCTCTTGGCACCAACTACACCTCTGGCACCGTCACTCCCTATATCCCATCTCTACTCGAATAGCAGTAAGCGTGCTCCGTCAATATCTCGACTACGTAGCTTCGAAGGGCTTTCTACCACGTGTTATACACTGCTGATCTAGGCATAGAAATAATGATGTCTGGTGATACGCATCTCGCCCTTCGCCAGTCAGCGTTAGGCGAAGATATTCAGTAAATAGACTGCTTCTTCTACGGCTGAAGCAATGAGAATCAACGGATTGAATCCTGGTGGGGATAGCTCTCAGGGTCAAGTATCTTCCTCTACTACGAATATTTCCATATACTACAGCGCGATGCGTTCTTCTCAAAGCAGTCTCTTCTAGAGTAGGTATCACCTCTTGCTATCTATATGCCTACCCTCCGAGCTCGCATCCACTCATACACGAACATTTGGCAAATATATCTAATCCGGCGACAGTTTCACCGGCCAAACACTATCCCAGGGAAGCCAATCATGAACTACTACTATCCCGACGTTCACGTTCAAGTTCATCAGCTATCCTTTGACTAAGAACTCCATCGATGACTACAGCAAGACATGGAAGGGTGTCGCTAGCATGGTGTCGTTCGCAGCTTCAGCAGATTGGGCAGCAGCTTGTGGGCGTTAGCTTTGACCCTGAAGATCCATCACTTCAGCTCTATGGGGAAAGAGACCGGCCATACCGAGCGGGGGAAATTCGAGTCACTGGGGATCTGGTTCGACTTCGCAGAAGGAGCGGAATATATGCTTTCGAAGGAGCTCGTTGTCAGCGATAACTTCATCCCTTACGTCGAACGTGACGAAATCAAGAAAAGGAGGTGAGTAGAGCGGAATTAATGACAAAACTAGTCCACAATTAGCACTCTCGTGCTAAGCATAAACCCCCGAGTTCAACCCTCGGTTTTGTTGCTCGGTTTCTTGCATAAGTTGCACAAGCTTCCGGGCGTCAGCTCGCGTCCGTTCCATTAGCTCATCTTGCCCACTTGTCCATTGCAGCCGCTTTTTCCAAAACTCCCATCTTTCCATCGAGAACGAAGAGTCTCCCTGCCATAGATTGTAACCACTCAATTTTAATTTTTCGAGAAGAGACAGATCTCTCTTTCCCACAAAACTAAAGATAATATGCCCGTCAATCTCAAAAAAAGGAACCATGGCGTGTACATCGGCCTAGATTTCATTATCCAAGGATCTCAAGTGCAATCGTGGCCTTCGGTCTTACTTACATTCAACATTTGCACATAATCAGTAGGGCGGCCAGTATCTAGAAAGCGGTGGCCTTGCCACGGCGGCGGGGGTTGTTGTGCACGAGTCCATGGATCCTGCTCTAGTGCGAATACGATAAGTCGCAATGCCACGGTTAACTCCCTTGAATTAGGGGAATCGGGAGGATAGGCGGTAAGATAGTGCGCATTGAAAGCGTTAGCGTTGTGAAATTCAACCCACCCGTAATAGGGATATGGGCCGGATCTCATCTCCCAGCAGCCTATGATAGAAGGATTAGTATAAGGTATCCTACTCCGTAAAAATCTATTGGCTAGTAGAACACAATAAATATTAGGAGGATATAAACTTTTCGCAAGGTTCAAGCCGTGATACCACGCTAGAAAGGGAGACGACTAGGTCGTTTTTTTTGAGTGAAGGGGGAGGGGGGATAGGCCACTCACGCAAATAAGTTTTAGATCAAATATTTGTGAAAACCTCCAAGGACCTCCAGGTTTCTAATTTGTCCTCGAAACGACCGGCACGGATCTGCTCCTCGGTTCTTTCCAGCTGGGGAAGCGCACGAATAGCCTCAATCAACTTGAGAATAGCAGGCTGATAGCGCGGCATGTAAATAGCAGCATCCCATAATAACCAGGAACCGCGTTCGCCTTTGTCCACGACATCATTCTGGCGCTCGTCTACCACGCGGCCCTCGTCAGCGAGCGACATTAGCTTGCGAGCAGCGTCCTCTGCTGGAATAGCATCGGATGTGCTGTAGCGCTCAGCAAATTCTTGCAGAGTTTGTATTTCGTCCAGGGTCGGGGGGTCTTCCTCATCTGGGTCAGGATGGGAGAAGCGTTCCCACTCGGTGTAGTCGTCTCTCATTTGTAGCAAGGTTTCACACCGGTCGTAAACAGGTGTCACGGCTGAAGAAATTTATTCGTCGGCTTTTCAAATCGTTCGCGCCAGTGACTACAGTCCAGCATGCAGTGAGCCCTTGTCTCGGTAGGCTGTTTGAAGGAATGTTTGCCTGATTTCGCCCCTCATGATATTTGCCAAAGTAGCAGGATTAGTGGATACCTGGAGAGAGGAGATACTGTATATCCGCCGAGATTAGTCATGTTATGCCCACATAAGTTACATAAATTGCCAGCTAGGGGCCAGAACACATGTCGCCGTAGTGGTCCATAAAATCCCTCACGCCGTCGCAAACAGCAGCTATGCATGCCAACGCCACATCGACGAGGAGTGTCTGGCACGGGTACCGATCTTGGACCTCAGCCACTGCGGGATATATCTACACCAATCTGACTGGACTTTATACCCCACCCGGACCCACTGCCAGATAATGCGTCGCCGGAATCGATGAGGGAAACGACCAGAAGGATTAGGAACAGATTAAAGGGAAAACGGGTGAGGGGCTCAGACCGCCTCTTTCAACCAAGGGCAAATTACGCCTAAGAACTTGTTCACTAATGAAATGAAAGGAGGCAGTCATAGACGTGGTGGGCTGGTATGTCTGGTCGGAAAATTGTATCGTCGAACAGCGGCGGGATAGGTGGATACCAGAAAAGGGAGACAATAACTTATTCCCAATCCAAGATTGGTCATTGGCAGAGTCTCTATGCTGCCATCTGTAGACTATCCATTCCCTTGGTTTGACCCGATCGATCCACTGAACTTTTGGAGACGAATCCACAGTCCACGTGACTGGCTCTATTCCCTCACTGGCGCGCCAGTCCTCTCCAGCAGTGTGATCATCAAAGATTCACAAAGTCACGAACGATGGAGTATTGCAGTAACACACTCTTAAGTGATGTTACTGACGACGAGGATGGCCGACATTTTGTGCCCGATCCTCATGCAGATCTGCCAGTCTACCTCACAATTCATCGGTGAGTCCATGGGGGAGACCGCCGAGAATCATGCGCTTTTTTCTGCAGAGACAGAATGACTGATGCAAGGTAGGATTCGTCGACTCATCATGGCCACCATAGGTGAGCTCTCTTCTATTCAGAGGTGTTAAAGTAGAGGCTCACAAGGGCGACCAGATGACCCGTACACATCAGAACAACTCAGAGATCCGCAGATGAATATGCTGATAGTGAGGCCTCTGGTCGATCGACTATATAACTCAGAAGATGTGTCAGTGGGTATGTTTTGATCCCATTGTTATCGCATTGGAATCATTCAGGTCCTATCTGCGGATGATGGTATTCTGTATTCAAGAGGGAGCTAACTGCTGGCTGATCCAGTTTACTGTCTGCTAGTGAACCGCACACAGTTCTTGCGGGAGCAAAGTTACCAAGGTCATCTTCAGACGGTCAGCATTACTCGCGCTACCCTCTGCGAGATCCTGGCCAGTCGAGTTCTGCGACGATTTGATGAAGACAACCCTGGCCTGGTCGGACTGCTCTTACTTGCCAACATTTTGGTGGCGGGATTCGAACCTTTCCAAAATGCACCTGAAGAGGTCAGAAGACGAAATCCCAGTGCGCTGCAGTGGCCAGTGCAGAAACGCGGGGGCTACGAGCGGAAAATTACGGCGCTGGAAGTCGCCATTATCTCCGAAAGCAAGGCCTTCCTGAGCTCGTCGGCATGCCAAAAGGTGGTGGATGCCGTCTATCGCGGGCAAGTTATCTACACACCGCTTTCATTTGTCGATATCATCCCCGATCATTACAAGCACAACCCGATTGCGTTGTATAGTCCTTGGAAGGCGCCCATCTTGAATCACTACCGACTGATAGTGCCGCGGCTGCGCAACATTATTGAAGTGTGCCAGTTCGCTGTTCTATTGCTTCTCTATGGGCTTACCATGTTTTACCGTGATGAGAACAAGGTAACCATCCACGAAATGGTCTTCTGTGCTTATGCGAGCGGATGGATACTTGAGGAGTGCGCAGCCATCATAGAGCACGGATGGTACGTGCATACGCAGAATATCTGGTCTTTCCTCGACATCGCATTCTTCCTCATCTACTCGATCTATGTCACCCTGCGAGTGTACGCCGCGGTTGTTGCCGATGCTAATCTTGCCGCAAATGCACTGGATATTTTATCCGTCGCAGCGCCTGTGCTTCTGCCGCGGCTGGCGTTCAACCTTATGCCAGACAACTTGCTATTCATCTCGCTGCGGGCGATGATGAGAGATTTCACTGTGCTGACCCTGCTAGCCACATGGTGTTTTGCCGGCTTCTTCCTGTCCATGAAATGGCTGCATGGTACCAGTCCCGAACAAGGTCGCGATTCGCCTGGTTCGGCTACCATTTCTAAATGGATGCTCTGGATTTGGTTCGGGCTGGATGGCACTGGATTCGAGCGTTCAGCCGACTTCCATATCTTCCTCGGACCAGCGCTAATGATTGCATTTGCCTTTCTCGGCAACACGCTCTTCCTCACCATCTTGGTGTCCATGCTCACAAACACATTCTCAAAGATAGTGGAAAACGCAACCGCAGAGGTCCATTTCCGCCGTGCGGTGCTAACTTTCGAAGGAGTCAAGAGTGACGCAATCTTCGCCTATCGGCCCCCGTTGAATATCCTAGCCGTAGTAGTTCTACTACCTCTCAAGTTCGTCATCTCGCCCCGCTGGTTTCACAAAGTGAATGTATGCGCGGTGCGACTTTTTAACGCCCCTCTACTCCTGGCCATCAGCCTCTACGAACGGCACCAGCTGTGGCGCACTCGCAAGGATGAGCCCCAAATCCCATACAAACGGAGCTCACTCTTTCGGTGGACGTTCTCTGGATTCTCTCCTCATGGTGACATCCAAGCTGTGTTCGATATGGAACCTCCAAGGAACATATTGGAGGAGAGCACTCTGATATGACTCATGACAATAAAAAACTTTCCAATAAGCTCTCTTTTGCCACAACCCTGCAAACATTTTAATTCAATCGGAGTTTACAAATCACTCTTCTGACTGGAGCGTCTACATTTACGAACCGAGTGGACACCGAAGGGGGATGCATCTACTTCATTCATTGGATGTGGAATACAACGGGCTCTGTGAATAAAGAATGTGTTGCAAGGAACTCTCAGCAACTACCTAGATAATTATTATAGAGGAGACTGCCATCATAGGTCTCGATTACTCCTCCTTGCTACGTATATCCGATGAGGGCTCTCATAGGAAGCGTTCTCAATGTGTAGTTTCGTTCCCAAGTCTTGCCAGCAGTATTGCCCTTCGTGGCGCCGTGAGGGCCAGGACGTCGCAAGATTCGATACACATCCCGCCAGACTTCATGTTGACCGGGTCTGCTCGAAAGCAACCCGACTTTCTCTTCAGCTATTTTCTTGGTGATAAACGAATTTCTTTTTTTGTTATTTCTGGACTGGATTGGCCGCTTCATTACTGCAGTACGTCCCGAAACTGGTGCAACTACCTCCATGGTATAGGTTATAACAAGAAGAGTCCATTCAACGAAGATACAGAATCTGAGGGAGGAAAGAAGACAAGGAAAGAAAGAAGGATGGGCACTCTCTTTGACTACTACAGCCTACATGCCGGACTCTTCTGGGTCGAAACCTTGCGTGTTAGGTGATTGCTACAATATTTAACGTCTTTGCCTACCTCGCCATGTGAGGCACTCAATAAATTTCTCAATTATAAGCTTATGATTGGTGAGGTTCAATCAACACTATCGTAACTGTCGGCAAGATCTGAGTGAAAAATGATCTAGACAACGTCGAGTTTCCTCAAATCAGGCCGGTTCAAATTCAAAGACTTCCCAGAGACCCATAAGCTTGCCGACTATTACCAAAACGGAGGATCTCGGGTGTGCTAGTGTAGCCATTATGACTTCGGGATCTACATATGGCATTTGACATGAATTCCTTGCTGTGTCCATATCGGATCACAATTCGATACCTAGTGGGAATTTCCAGGCGTGAAACAGAATGATGATCCTCTGGCGGCACGAAAGGCACCTCAAGAGGCTGAAAAAAATACTAACACATCTGCCTTGCAACCTCACAGAGTACAGATATCCAAGGAGTTGGATATCCACATTGGCGGAGAACCCTTACCTTTCTTGACCCAAGAGACTGGGCCATCAATTTGAAAAGTGCTTACCTAGACCATGAGAAAAATTCTAGCAAGGAAACCTTCCATTTTCAGATCCTGCTCGAAGAAATATTATACTTGGACTTGCAAATTGAAAATTGGGCAGCATGCTCGCCGCAATAATAACCATTTCTCGATACAAGAAGCATGATAGGCATGACCACAAGCAAGGCCGCGGACACTGCTCTCTTGTTCCATAACATTCAAGCATATACCGCATGCATCGTCGGCAAATAAGACATTTACCGGCAAATATTTGACGCCCATCTTGTGCAGCCTGAAAAGGGTTTTCGAGACTCTTGGAGTCAAGAGTTGACTCTAGATCCCAGGCATTACGCATATTACTCTCGGCAAGCGAAAACGAACTTTGAACTTTGGCGCCATAGTTCATTCTAGAGAAATGTATCGGATCTTTAGCGGGAGAAAGAGGAAGCTGCACCGGTGGATTGGAATTTGCCATAATGTTTCGCGAATTCAGAGTCGCAGGTCGGGGCCAGTTCATTCTATGCGACTCATCAACACAGCTCTAAATCTCAAGCAAATAAGATGTTTACACAACACCTTTCTGTGAATTGATGGATTTTCCACATCTGATATTCGACAATTGGTACGCATATGTCATGATCGTCCATTGTAGGAAGAGTCTGTTCCTGCTTTTTTGACCGGTCTGACTGTAACTGAATAAAGATAGGAGCAGTTGTCGGCTGGACTTCCTCCATGGAGCGTCCTCGGTAACGCAAGAACCAATGGGCAAAAGCGGCAAGGCTGTGTGGATTCAATAGATGAGCTTAATATTGCAATAATCTTGTCGACCCTCGGGGGGGATACTAACCAGAGGCCAACTGCCAATGCAACACATATGACTGTGGTCACTAGACCTCGGCAAGGACCGCCTAGAGCCGGACCAGGACTGGGACCGGACCGCACCACTGCGGTCCCGGTCCCCCATGCGGTCCTGTAAATAGAACAAATATAGGAAACCCCGTGATATGTATATTTATGTAGAATCAGTTAGTATTTTTTAGTATTCTACTTTCATTCTTTATTTATATAGGCTAATTTCAGCTCGAAGAGGATTTCTGTAGAAAAAAAACTAGGTGATGCCTGCATGCTCTCGCTCAAGCGAATCGGGGCGCCCTGTAATTGTGGTGCTTGTATACGTACTGTGTTCGAGGATGTGCTCCACGCTGCCATTCTCCGCGTTGTGAGACTTGGTGAAACGCCGCGACCGCCCAAGCCGTGACTGGCTCGTGTCGTTGCCTGCAGTTCGGTGGCCGCTGAAGCGTCCGCTAAGTTCGTAGGAGCGGGTAACACTCGAGAACTTGCGCACCGAGGAGATGATTAGGGGGCGGATGCAGGGGATGGAAGACGTAATGATAATGATCGTATTCTCAATGTAGCCCCAACGCATTAGCTCGAGGCCGACAGTGGCACCGAGGTTGGTGAGTCCGGGCACCTGGTCGAGTTTCGTTGTCTTGATGATGGAGGCGACCATTGCGCTATAGGAATTGTTAGCTTTGGTCTAAGGATAGGTGGTAGTTGGATACAAACATGCTACCCAAACTCAACAGACCAATCAAACTAATCTTGATGCCCAGCTTGAGATTGAGGTTCCAGAACACTAGAGTTGGGAAGATAACTAGGAACAGGTCGGTGGCGGAGTTAAATGCTATAGATATATCAGCCTATGCTTAACAAGACGAGATCAAACAACATACAGTTAGAATAATAGGCGAAATTGATGACGTCCCCTGTGTCGCCACAGGTGGTATCCATAGCCGCCTCGATACTCCACATTGCGGCGACATTACGACAGATAGTTAGCGGTAGCACCGCAGCAACAATATTCCCCGCAGCCTGAATAAATAGAAGAATCCATAACACAATCACGTATGCCTTGTTAGTACTAAGGACGGCGAGGAGGTATATAATAAAGGCCGAGCGGGCAATAGTGGTGCTGAATGTCACGAGGGTCACTTGAAAGAGGATATACTTCAAGACCAGCTGTTGGTCTTGAGTGTCTAGGTTGAGCAGATTGCTACCAAACCCATGCTTCACGCTTAGGGTCAGGAATACCGTTGACACAATAATAAGAATCTAGACGGGGTTAGTGCACTGCGCATCAAGAACATAGCAAATGAACTACAGAGTAGTTCCGGGCTCGTACCTCCGCAATAATCATCAAGACATCGTCGACGTGGAACCGTTTGATCTTGATCTTCGCAACGACCCTCAAGAAAACAATCACCGCGGCGATGATCACCCCGGCCCAGATGCTCCTTTCTAGGGCTGGGCCCTTATCATTCGACATTGTGATAGCCGCGGGAGAGAATGGGGAGATGACAAGAATCTCTAGAACTACCGCATGGCTGTTGGAACCGCGCCGCAGAGAAGCATTCCTCAATAAATCCGGTGCAGCAGAGAAGCCTTCCTTAATAAATCGGTTGCAGCAAAGGTGCCTCAAGAGCCCAGTGCATTATACTTTCCAGCCACAATATAGTTGAACGTTGTCCCTGAGCGCGAGTGCGCCACGAAGGCCCGGGCGTCATACGTGACTTCCACGGTACGGCCTTGGTCATAAATTGCTTGTAGCCCATGATGAGCTTCCAATTAGCAGCGCTGCGTGCTGTGAGGCTATAACGAGAAGCCATGGTCTGTCGCTTTGCGTGGGCATACGAGGATGGCGTTGGCCAGCCAAGCTCTGGTCGAGTGGATGGCCCCCTATTGTACCACCAATATCTTTGGGCATGATGGTTCCAAACCATGGACGACACTCCACTTTCCCTCCCAGACTGGGCATCCGAGCCATTCATTGGCCCTGAGCCGCCTCCCCTGAGACATACAATCGATATCTCGGCTTCGGTTTGATTGCGTCTTTTTGCAGAATTCGGGGATTCTCTGGATCCCGAGCCTGCACTGACCTGCCCATGGTGGACCTCAAGCTTTCTGCAATCTGCTTGGCTTTCCCTTCTGGAAGGATGCTGTGTTCCAATTTGCATTGACAGTTGTGGTGAAAGATAGGGATACCCTGTTACTTGGCTCTGCATGTCGATCCACGCTGCATATCCCTCCATTCCCCTGTTACATAACCTGCAAGGCAATCCTATTTGTACGAGCGCGTCCCACAAGACCCAGCGTTGGTCACTCGGGTCCCCGGCAAAACCTTTGCGCGCGTACGGAATCCTATGAACTGGGATCCCTCGAATGCCACAACCCACCCGGTGCAGCCACAATCAGACCGACCACGTTCTTCTGAACTATTGTCTAAGCTAGACGCTCTGGGGAACATCTGCGAGTGGCTGTGAACTCATGTTGCGGCAGAGAAGGCCAAATCCGGGCCGTGGCCACGTGCTTGTGGCTGAGAAGGCAAGCTGTGGACGGGCCGCGGGCATTGCTTGGTCCTGCCTGGTCCAGGCCGAGGTGGTGTTGCCAGCAGACAATGCAGAAGTCGAGGCATGCGGCCCGGGAATAATTTAAACTCGCGATCGGCAAACTCATCCTCCAGTTTTGTCTGTAGCTATCTCCATTCTTCTTCCACCTCACTCCACCATGAAGGACTGGTCGGCAACCGTTGTGGCCCTTGCCTCAACGGGAATTGCCTACTCGCCTTCGCGCGGGTCGCGCGATTCGAGCTTCGAGACGTGCCGCTGCTCGCCCGGGGATGCCTGCTGGCCGGCCCCTTCGGCCTGGGCCTCGCTCAACAGCAACGTCGGTGGGCGTCTGGTTGCGACTGTGCCGATTGGCAGCCCTAGCCACGATCCTACCTATAATACCACTGCCTGCGCCGCTCTGTAGGCGAGCTGGACGGAACCGCAGACTTAGTATGTAGATAATTCCCTCGCACAACAAAAGTTTTACAAAGCACCAACCCATCTGCCGGAATTAGCTTGAAGCTAGCCAGGAACAAGAAGCTTGGTGGGGGCTGGCTTTGGGGGCCGGCTTGGCGGGGCTTTGAGAGAAGAAGCTTTGTGTACGGAGTACTAGAGCACACTAGCGACGCTCTACAACGGCTTTGTTATCTTCCCGTTTATAGCGCCATTTGGTCTGCACAGGGGGCTGATAGAGACAAAATCAGGTCGTGGTGCCGGAGCAATCTTTATGGTGGGCTTATCGGTTTACCAGCTTTGCGCCGCTCGAACTGCGGACCAGAGGGATTTTGCCACGTAATGCTACCATCCGACTCCTTGCCCTCTCACGTTTACGGCTGATGGAAAGGGAGCCCGTCCGCAGGAACGCAGGACGAGATAAGGAGATAAATCTGCCGAGTCCGTGCGGAGGATGGAGTTATGACTACAGGTCGGCTTAGCCCCTTTCTTATCGGCCCTCATCCCATAGCGTAATTCCCAGTTAACCAGAACAACTAGCTATCCGGAACACCCTATCCAAAAATATGTCTTCCTAACTAGACTGCGCTAAAACCCGCGAATGGGTTCTGATATCAAAACCCAACCTAACCCAACATGGGTTTTGGGTTCTATACCTAGAACCTAACCTAATCTAATAGGTTTCTATTTCTAGAGCAAAAACCTATTAATAATCTATTTAAACCTATTTCTATATAAAATCTTTGTCTTGGTATTTATAATACTACTAACTAATAGACTGCGCCAAAAACCGCAATTGGGGGCAAACCTTGCCCCCAAAAAACCAAACCATAAACCATTGCGGTTCCCTAATAAGAAACCTCAATGGTTTATGGTTTGGTTTCGTTTTAGTAGTTCCAAACCGCAACCATTGCGGTTTGGTTTTTGGGGGCAAGGTTTGCCCCCAATTGCGGTTTTTGGCGCAGTCTATCCAAGCCTTGTCCCGAGTAAATCGGGAATGGAACAGAATTGCCACGCCAGTCTTATACCGACATCTCATCATCCGCCTTAATTCAGATGGAGAAATTACCCGCAAATTGCTCCTTCGGCCGGACAGCCGAAGTGCACTCTCACACGTGAAAACATTGAGTCTTGTGGCGGAGCCTTATCCGGCTACAAGTCGAGGAGTTCCCAATCGATTCGATGATCTCCCTCATGTTCTGGAAGGAGTAGGGCTAGGGGAACTAGGGAGCGACGCCATCCACCGAGTTGGGAGTCACGCCAAGGGAGACTGGACTCTCATTGCGGATTTGATCAGACCAATCCCCTCTTTACGCCTGCCTTTCTCAATCATGGAGTCCTTGGTAAACATGGATCAACTCTACTCGAACTGAAATTATATAAGCTCCCCGGGGAGGACAGTCAAGACATGCGCAGGCTTTTACAAAAAGGACCGATTGCGCCCGTATTTTCGTCCGATGATATTTTAGAGCTCACAGGCCGGTGTCCATCTCTGCAGAAGCTACTTATATGCGAACAACGATCTCAAGGTCTCGGGACGGATGTCTGGACTGCATTAGGCCGGTTTCCATACCTTGAGGAGCTCAACCTGATGCTGAAATGCTCACCTGAGATGGGTGCCAACATGATGCCGGTCCCGCCCCGTGAGCTGTCGGAGTTTGAAAAGGGCCTAGTGGAATTTCATGCCCCTTGCCCGAGATGGGTTGTTCGGGACTGCATTATCAACTGTTTTATCAACGAGAGTCTAGCTAAGGCATTCTTCATGCACATAAGCGCATGTCAGGATGCAAAACGCTTCGCCCAACTGGTGACTCGCCCTCTTTATAGTACAGTCCCTGGCCATAATTTCCTCAACCACCTGGCTCTTATGTGGACGGTTAAAGTAGATGCTCTAACTGGCCTGCATGCAACATCCAAACAGACGTACAAATCTCTCGTTCTGACAACGGGGACTGGGTTTGAAGCTGAGATCCTATCGATATTTCAATCCATCTGACAGAATTATTTTATATATCTCTATAAGGTAATTTTGGCCTATCCCACGGGACCCTGAGCACTGGGGCCCGGTTCCAGTTGGAATATATGGGCAGAAAATAAGAAATATGCTCAGTTCCGAAGTTTCCAAGGTTTGAGGACCTGAGTTCCGGCAGCTTCTACATAAGATAGTTTCCACATAGAGATAATTGAATGTTCTGATTTAACCTGCTGAATCCTGACGGCCCAGAGTCCCCAGACCATGACCATCGAAGTTCAGCGTCCGCAATAAATTCTGTAATGGCAGCCCTCCGACTTCCAAGGTTGAGGTAGGACGGGTAAATTCATCGGGCCTATATGGAGGTATAGTACTAGGAGTTGGTGAAATTACTGAAATTACTAAAATGTACTTTCATCGACCCATACAGTGGGGGGGCCTGTTGCGCTTGGATTTGTTGGTACTAATGACATCGCATGCACTCTCGATAAAATATGGTTGAAGTAACAAAAAATTTAGATAGGAAAACCTTTCCAGCCCTCTGATACTGGTGTTTCCTATATAGACATAAGACGGGCACTTAAAGAAACAGATAATAAGACATATTTTCGCTCCCCTCACTCAAATTCAGATCACTCAACCTTCCTCAGATACTATAAACTGAATGGTAAAAGGAACATGCTTCGTTCCAGTTCAACGCTCCATCAACATCAACATCAACATCAACATCAACTACCTGGACAAATGTTGCGAGAAAGGGCCCATGGTGGAGTCGCTCAGACCATAGCCTGGGGGTGTCCACACGAATTGTCTTTCCCACCTTGATGTAATTACATCTGGACTTATTTGGTGGAGAGATCGAGTATCGGTTTACCAAAATAGACAGGTGGTACCTTTGGGGTGAAAGGTGCTAGGCTCGGGAGTTAAACTGAGGGAATTATGTTTGCCACTCACTCGCCATCTATTGCGGGGACGATCAAGGAAATCCGAGTGCACCCTCCACCCAATCTACAACGTTCCATTCATTACAAACGCTTTCGCGATGCGGTGGCGATGCTCTAGCTTAGGATAAGCCAAAAGAAATCACTCGTTAGATAGGTCAATCCAAAGAGAAAGGATCACCCCGAGCGGTTTGCCATGACCAATTATTATTGCTACCACAGGTACGGGTCATGAAGTGCCACATGGAAAAAAGTGTTGAGCAAAGTCGTCTGGTGTTCTTTTGTTGCTTCTCCAGAAGCTCTTCTACTCTCAAACCGAAATCTGCCAGGTAAAAACTAACTTTCCGGATCCAGTTGACTACTTGTTTATCAGAGATACAGACAGTGTCATAACCTTGCGAGAATTGAGGCAAATCTACAGGCTCATAATGTGCATGACCTTTAACGGCGATAATTGTAATGATTTGTCAGCTGAGATGGTGTGATACCAACCCAGTATGGGTTTTAGCATCGGTGCCCTTATAAAAGTGGGCGGGTACATATCATCTGGAAATTCTCTAAACCCTCTGTCGGGCAAATCCCTCAGAAAGCTTCTGTAAAATACAAAAGTTATGATCGATTTTCTTTAGCATTGTTTAGGGCCAATTTCTCTTGGAGCGAGCGCAAGGAGGGGGAAAGACTAACTAGGTATACTATTTGCAGCTTGTTTCCGATGGACAATTACATGACCTAGTCTTTTTTCGGCAATACATCTGCAAGTGCTCCCTTGTTCAAAATAACTGCTTGATTTCTTTTACTCTCTTATCTAGGTACGCATTTTGGTCGGCTTACATTATTCTCAATGAGGGATTTATCTCAGTAGCACCTACAGACGGTATAGTTCTAAGACTCCGCATGGACCCCGATTACAAAATGGCCTTTACTGATAAACTAGCTTTGACCTTACTGGGATTTACATCAAACCATTATGTAAAGAATTACTTGTCGTTGTAGGTATTCAACAGCCTCCTGAATATTTTTGGCTGTAGAAACCACGATGTTGGGTGAAGAAAATGCCGCACTACATCCTATTTCCAAGCTGCATGATAGCTGTCCCCCTACTTAAGCTGTCTGAATTGTAGCGATCACATGATATGGAAGGTTCCGGCGGCCTGTAGCGTAAAACAGAGAGCTAATCTCTGCCTCCCTTTCTCTTCTTTTCCTTCCTCAGATTCGATATCTTCGTTGAATGGACTCCTCTTTTTGATGATTTGCCACGTATAACACCGCCAAGGTGTAGTGGATACAGGGAGACTAGTCACAGGATTAATTCATGTAAATATCGCTTTATTTCAATTAATTAATGCGTTTTGGTTGGAAGTCTCTGTTTCAAAAAATAGTTGTGGGCGGAGTTGGATTATGTTTAACGTAATTCACGGGTAAGCGGATCACACATCCTCATTACAAAATTTTGAATCAGGATACCTCAGCCAAAACGCATCAATTAATTTAGATATAGCGTCATTACATGAATTAAGAATTTAACCCCGAACTAGCAAGCTGTACTCATATTTTAAAAAAATGTGAAGGCTTACATTCCTCGAATCGCGCCAGTAGCGGTGGTGTAGTGATAAGCCCGTGGCAGGATGCAGGGCTACGCTTGGTCGCCCTCGCCCTGTAGGATCTTGACATCTTGACGCTGGCGCAACATTTACCACCTCAACGCGTCTGTGGAGAGATAAAAACAACCCGGGGTAGTGAAATACCCCAGCCCTTTCACAGGGTCAATCCCCATGGACATGAAAGGTGCCTGAATATCGGTAAATGTGTACGAAATCGTGCACGCAAACGTACACGCACAGAGACAGTAATTAATGCAGTATGATCTTATTTCGTGAGACATTAAATCGTTTCAACCCAAATCCTGCTAGACGCCATAACACTTTATTTACAGAAAATTGATCACATTGCGCCATCTCCTGAACAACTGTTTTGTTTTCCGGAGTTCATTGTCTTTCCGACCCTGGTTTCTTCACTCTTTTCGGACTCCGCTATGTCACTGTTTTTTGGACGTGAGCTCATGCCTTTCTCCATACGACCAGGTGGTTTGTTTTGGTCGGACCAATAACCTGTAGCAGTCTTGGAGGTTATTGCTGTAAACGATGGCAATTCATGGATCGTGCTAAGTCGCCTGCCTCTCTGATCGGATTCGTGCACGTGGTCATTCTTTGGACGGATTAGGAATTGAAGTGGAGGATCTTGCATCATCTCAGCATGGAATTGCTAATAAAAGATCTATGCTGCAATGGTGAGAAATCGTTTGGCCATTGAGACATATCCTCGGGACCCCTTGATGCATGCCGACCAGATAAGCACAACTGTCTCTCTGGACACGGAATGGCAAAACCAGCTCAATGAAAAGGAGAGATAATCGCTTACATCTGCCGAAAGAAAAATATTTCGGGTTTAGCATTCATTCGAATGATGCTTGAAACTCGTCGTCGCAGGGCCCAACATTGACGCGTGCGAGACGGTTTTGCAAGGAACTGTTATCACTCGTTCACCCTTGCATTCCGGTGCTTGCGCAAGGTAGTGAAAGATAAGCTTCTCACGGTCTAACCAAGTTGTCGCGGTCATAAGGGTTAAAGATTTTTTGCACTGTGCCGGCTGCAAGGGGCACGTAAGCGGCACGGATACAAAAAGTATCTGCAATTGCTCAGACTAGTGCTGAATCATGTTGTTATTGAAGGGAGAGCGGCTAGTACTTATCAATACCTTCCAGTAGACGAAGGCTGTGGGGGCTACTGGAAGGCTTGGATAGATCGTCATACCCCCCCCTTGTCGTGCTGGTCATTCTAGGAAGACCTGGTATTGACCTGAAGCGCTATCTGGATGCTGTTTCTGGGAGAAAACCTACGGACCTTCCTGAGAGAGAAGGTCTCGCGCAGCAAAACGGTAAGGCTCAATGACATGGTAATTGTGGTTTCAGTCATCCATCATTTCCAGCGTGATCTGACCAAGTGCTTCAACAAGACCGGAGTTTTTTGGGCTAATATCGAATCACGGCTCCAAATATAGCCAGGTCATTTCTCTCGGACTGGCATGTCGCCAATTGGTTTAAGATCGGTCGGGGCCAAGGGCAGTATACGCTGTCCATTTATGTGAGCTTTGAACAACAGGTTCCAGAAATCCACACAATCATTTGGCACGATGGTGTATTGGCTCCGAAGTTTTTGCCACATGAAAAGATACCAATATGTGTTTTGTGGAAGACAAAGAACTTGCTGTACTTGTGGATTGAAATGAACTCGACGTATTCTCCGTCTGGGTGACAAGACTCGAGAGGCTTTAATCTGATTGCCTTTATTAATCAAAATGAAGTTAAATCTGTCAGAGCCGTGACGTACCTGATGCTCTGGCAGGTTAAGTATAGGTGTATGTCGTGGACGAAGAAGTACACTTCGATTTGCGGAAAAGCCAGATTTGTTATAGCTAGTAACAGGGTACTTTGATGATAGTGGAAGCCTTTCATGATCTGTTGCGCCCGTTTCTGAACAGGTAATGAAAATTTCAGGTCCAGTAAACTTTTTCCAAGGTCCGAAAAGCCACGTCGTATCGCTGTCCTTATCCCTGTCATCGTAGTAAAGTAAGTTAAATCTTTTTCCGTAGTACAGCGATTGAAGCATGATTAATTACCATCCAATTAATCGGGGAGTGGAGCATGGCAGATTTCTGTCTCTCTTGGTCCATGCTCTCCAAAGAGCATTTGAAAGTCGTCGGTAAACTTTTAACTGCGGTTTTCGTTGACGAATATAGCATCTGGTGGCCCAGATATCCTCCGGCTCCCATTCAAAGGACAGGTAGTCGACATTTTGCGATGTGTCATGTTTAATCGCGAGGTCGTCGAGAGTTTGCGTCATTTTGGGCTTTCCGCAATGGAGGATAGAAAAATTGCGATACATCACGATGTTAACTATTTATAAATTCGAGATGGCTTCCATTCTTGGCACTAAGGAAGTCTTGAGCTCAAACTGTGAGAATGAGCATCATGCTTGTGAAAGTCAGATAGATATAGAAATTTCAGTCATTTATGTACGTCTAAGAGTAATTCACTTTTCTTATCCCAAATTAAAGGACATTTTACGTTGTTCGTTTTGTGAGGTTTCAGCCCTTCGTGCCGGTTCGATGAAGGAATGTTTAGGTGAGACGTACATGACATTTTTATCCTACAGGTAGAGTAACTTTGCCATGTATATAATGAGAGTCCAGACAACTCTGCGAAGCTAGAGAAAGGCCAACTCAACTCAAGAATGGGAGATAAGGAGTGTTTTGGCTTGCGCTTCTTGAAATGCTCTCAAGGGATGGGGGAAACTAGCCGCCAATTATGAAGCTGTTTACCGGCCCGTGAATTTGGCACATTCCTTGGCGGGCCCCTGAATTTGGCGACACGTTGTCTCAAACTCGATGGCTCCCTTCAAATTCATTTATCACCAAATACAACATTTGCACAAGAAATATTTTACCTCTCGAATCGCAGAACAATGGAAGTATCTTTCTGAGCCATCTGTTCTGGGCAACATTGCCTCTTTGACTCGATTTGCGTTTAGAGATCAAGTTGCAAGGTTGGTATGCCATATGAGCATTTTATAACGAAATCGGCTCGAAAAATATGATGAGTCACCAATCAGTAACCAATCAAGTTGATTTCAGAGATAAGGTGCAGGAGGTGATGTTCGCGATGAGCTTGACGGACCCGAATTTCTTATCTTATCTTCTCCGAATTAGAATGAGCCGATTTTGTGGCAAAGCCGCCTTTGCCGCATGCCAACTGTAGTCCTAAAATCGGACGTGGAATGCACCTCCCGAGCTTGTTTTTATTTCATTTTGCGTCGCCAGCTAAAAGCGGGCTTTACACTTGAACATTTAACAGCCATTTTCAAGTGGTGTTGGCATGTCACATACCTTCTCCCTTTGAAGGCATAAGCGTAAAGGATCATGTTGTGTAAAAAGATAAATGCCGAAAGAAGGTAAAAGTGAGGGAAGGGGGAGAACTGCCCTTCCTTTGGTAGATCGGTTATAAGTGATTAATTTCCCCTTTCTCAAACGCTAAGCGACACCGTCCTGTTCCAGTCCACTGACAACCCCGCCAGTCCAAAGTGACTCCATAACGAAGCAACCTTCAAGATCGCTTGCTCAATCATGGCATGGGGCCAGGAAAAGCCAGTAGCCCTTAAGTTGGGCTCAGAGATGCCACAAGCGGCAACTTCTGCGGTGCTATACCTGGCCCGCTATTTTTTGCGCTTGACTGCTGTGCAGCTCTCTGTCACTCTTCAGGCGGTTTACGAAAATATAAGTGTATTTGTCTTATCTTTCACTATATTTCGGCTGTGTGCAATTATTGCACTTCTTCCAGTCTATATTTTACAAGTTTCTTTTCGACTTCTTCCAACTGTCCTCGGAAATATTCGATGCCTTATTTTACCGTGGAACAAGCTCATCGAAGATACCGAAGCTTACAGAAGACAGTGGGCGATGCAGGCCCAGCTTCAGCTGGAGGGAAAGTATATATTCCGGGAGGATGAGATTGTTAGAGTCGACAGATTCAACACACATTGGATGAACGATATTCGTTGGTCTGACAACACTGAAGAGTTCCTTGTCTGTGGCGCAAGAGTGAGATACGTTCATTTAAGGCCAGCTGTCCACGAAGGCGGCCAGAATGGGTGTTTACCCAAGAGGCCCATCCTACTCCTACATGGAAGTCGAAGCTGGAGTTATATGTGGAGAAAGGTGTGTTGGAACTTGTTACTTCAAGTCTGTTCATATGATACTACGTCTACGCAAAGAACATGGATTACATTCAACTGTGAGCTGGGCTAATATTCCATATGCAGATTATGACCAAACTTCTCGAAGAGGGCCATGAGATTTTCGCCTTGGATTGGCTTGGTCATGGACTAAGCGACAAACCTAAGCATCACGAATCTGTTACATTTGAGCTGCACATGCGGACATTAATTGCCTTTTTCAACCATGTGCAACTCAAAGACGCCATCCTAGTAGCACACAGTTGGGGCGGGTAAGTTTAAATTTTCATTTATTTGCCATTTGCACAAAAGGGCTGTGCTCCTGGTACTCCTCACCATTTTCGTCCGTTACTGCCAGCTTTCTTATGTACAAATAATAACAACATTTTAGGTGTGTGGCTCTATGCTCTATTCCTCGTCTCCCTTCATCATCATGCAGTGGCCTCTTTCTCATCAACTCATTCTTGCCGCATCGACCTCACGAGATGAGTCGGAACTGTCGTCTTTTATATGCAGTCTGGTTCCTCTTGAGTAGAGTCTTGGATGGTTATGTGTCTGAATCCACTATCACACGATTCATATCTCCAGATATTTTGGAGGGAGACGTTGAAGGATACGAAGCACCTTACCGGCACCTATCCGCGAATGCTAGACCTAGTGTCGAAGATTTTGCATATATGGGCACTGGAATACCGCATTTTCTTCTAAAAGATCTTCGTGAGACACCGCTGTGGAAGATATTTGAAGCTATTTGTGGTCCAAGGAACTTCAGTGAGCTGAGCGCGTTAGCGCTTCTATCAGAGAGGGGTGACAATGCGAGAAGTTACTGGCAAAGTCAACAACCAAGCAATTTGCAGGAAGCTGCGGAGAGCAGACTCAAAATTGCTGTTGTATTTGGAGAACGTGATCCATTGGTCGAAAATTACAAGGAGACCCTTGTGCGTGTCATTGGCAAGAACAACATGGCGGACTGGGCACCCGATGGTATCTGGCTCCAAAACGCAGGTCACTACCCCATGGAAGATAAGCCTGAGGATGTTGCACGATTGATAGCTAGATTGGCCTAATCAACTACCCGTGGGATTTGTTAGCCCTCTTTTCTCTGCAATACATTCCTTGGCATTGCCAGCCATCCTTTCATAGTTAACCTGCCCCCGCGGCCCAAGAAATACTGTAGATGCTCTTCACCTCTTGTGTCGATCCTTTAAGCGACTATGCCGATTATAAAGTCAAAAGGGGTTGGTCGGCAGACCACTAAAAAAAGCGCGACATTCGAATTACTCCATATTGAAGAGGGTATCGGTATGCATGAAAGAGCGTAGAGATCCATTGTAGATCACCAAACGTTCTCGAGGCCAGAAAGCTAGCGTTCTAGAATTATACTGAAGAGTTTGAAGTCATTCTGTCTCTGTCTTTGCGCAGAAGCTTTCTCCACCTTCCTAAAGAAGTCTCCTGTACCGCTTGCTAAAGTATGGAGGTCAGTACCTTGTGTGACATAGCCTAAAATGACGATACTCACAGGAAGACACTTGGAAATCAACCACAAAACACCGGTAACAACAAGCGAAAAACAGCCAAATAACCTCCAGTCTGGATTATCCTGACGCAGGTGTTAAGTAAAGTGAAGAAGGCAGAAACTATAGGGTGAAGTCCACTGTTATCTGGAGATCTCCCATGCGAACGGGCCCATCAGGTTAGTCCGATCAGTTGCTTCCTTCTTCACATGTCCTTCGGTGAACTCCGAGTCATCTGAACACAGTTCCTTCGCTCTCCAGGTCCCTTGTCTGTCATGCGTCACACCTTCGTTGAATGGACTCTTCTTTTTGATGACTTGCCAAGTGGAACAGATAAAAGGTGATTTTTAAACTTGGCATAATCAATTCTAGTAAAGCTCTTGCCCGAAAATATAATGTTAGAAAAGGTCTGTTGTATATTCATGTGAAAGATCCAAGTAATCAGTAGTAGACCCAGGGAATAACCTGGGAACTACCAGAATTACTTAAAAACACCCAGAGCTTCTTCACTCTGCTTCCCTTTTCTCCTGCTTTACCTCCGGACCAACGATGAGAACGGAATCACTAGTAACTACTGTGACGCATGACAGAACGATGGACGGAGATCACCTGATGGACGCGGAGTGATGGAAACACCCGACCAAGCTAACCTAATGGGGCCTGTTTGCATAAGCTCTCTACAAGATAGTTGCCAGACCCTCCGTAGTTTCTTCCTTCTTCACCTTCGTTGTTTCGTGAATGCACCTGGTTACTTTTCCAGTTGGCTCTTTCCATGATCGTAACAACTACCTGAACTTATGATAATTGGTAATATAGGGTACTTACCTTTCTTCGTCAGAGTTGAACTCCCCCTCAAGATGCTCACTACTAATCATTAGAAAATATCCCGAGTAGCAGTTATAAAAATATACTCACAACCAACTCTTCGAGGCGTTCGCCGTGACCACATAAAGACCACGGTAGCTAGGTGAACCCTAGAGATAAATATTAGTAACAAGTAACTACGAGGTAGTAATTTCTGGATACTTACAGCGTGCTGCGATTCGATATGCTTCCGGATTGTAGAGCCAGACGGGGCCCCACTGTTGCCACCTCTCTTACTATTATCAACGGTTAGCTTTTAGTAATAGAAGGTTTTAGTAACTCAAGGTGCATAGCCACAGAAAGGGCAGCGAGAGGCGCAGCTCGGAATTGCCTAAAGACCATTAGTAAATATGGTAATAAGTAAAAGAATATTGAAACTCACAATAGGGCCGGTCATCTTGAAAACGTTGTACCGGATATCGTTTTGATGGGCAGCGCAGCCACAAACACCTTTATTGACCTTACAGGTACTAGGGTTTACTTTGTTATTATCGACATCATCTACACAAAACCGGTAATACTCACTGCTTCTGGTGCTTCAGGACGTCAACCTCACTCGCGAAATTAATCTGGTCCTTAGCAACGCGATCAACCTGGATTCTACCAGTAGGTCCCGGCAGAGTAGGAAGACCTGAGATCTTCTGGAAGTGCTTGGTAGGTGCTGGAGCTTTCTGCACCATAGCGGCAGCTCTTGCTTGAGTAGTTCGCAAAGTTGCAGGAGTAGCTGAGGCCGGCGCGGCCTTCTTCTTTGGCTGCTCGCGGCGGGCATTGGAAGGTACTGGTACGAACCAGTAAAAAGTGGATAGGGAGAAAGAGATTTAGATTGTGTACAAGATTCTGGTTGAGACTAAGAATAAATATCAGTCCATGTCTCTGATAAGGATAGTTCTCTCGCCGGGGGGAAGGGGAGGGGGGATTGGTAGAAACTGGCAGGGACTAAATATATATTGGAGAGAGTAGGAAAGAGAGGAATACGACACAACTTCTCTTTTCAAGTATCATCCAGATGCTCCCCACTGTAGTCGACGGCAGAGGATGACATCTCCATGGTATAGGGTATTTGGGGAGGGACGGACGAGCCTAAATGTAGTGAGAGAGCTCATTCAACACCCTCATCGCGAGACGCCTCCTTGGACCTCGTGGATACGCTTGTTGACCTCAGAGGCGTATTCTGAACGATCCTGACGTATCTGGAGGCCTTCGAGGGTCGCTAGAGGATGCTGAAAGTGAGCTGGAGGTTTAAACATACCGCTGGATGGAGTAGGTGGTGGATAGTGGATGACGGTGGAGGAGGGGGAAAAGATGAAGACAGAAAATGTTGATGGGGAGGTGGGTCGTGGTGTTGGAATCCTGTCCAAATCCGACTCTCACTTCGACTAGGAATTATCACTAATTTCCTAGTGAATAATAGAGTTAGACTATACGTTAGTAGTAGATACTTGCAAGGTATAAATTATAAAATCATGCTATTCAGAATTGGTTGTCTCTATAATTAAGGATACTGGTATTTACTACTCCCTACCCGTATGAAAGGGATTGGCACTCACTCAATGAGAGTGGTTAATTCGGAGATCGAACTCTCGATTTCTACCTATCCTAAGTCTGAGCATCTCGTTTTGATGCACACGATCTGCTGCTCTAGATATTTACCAAACAAATCAGCTACCTGGTCTAATTGTATTTGATGCTCCAGCCTTCCACTTTGAACCCTTTGCCGTTCAACATTGGTCGTAGGCTGCACGGATTTTTTGTACCGTAGTCCGTTCCATCGAAGTTTACTTTTCTATTAGGAAGTTTGGTAACATCGCCCTGATTAATTCCAAGGATTCACTGCACAGAGGTCCCGCGTTCATAGCTTTACGCATTTCGTCTAATCATGAGATTTTGTTTGATGGGCTCCGGTACAGTATCTACATGAAATTTCGAAAATAGAGCCAGCCATCCACAAATAAACTGCACAACTGGGGCGCATCAGTTTGGTTTCCCCGACGCAGGTTGACACCGAACACCACGAGAAGGTATAATGCAGGGTCCCAGCAGCCGGGTGAAAATTGCTACCCAGTGTGAGCTCACTAGGAGGGGATTGGAGTACTAGCATAGAAGGGGAGTGCAGAAAAGAGGGAGTAAGAAAATTTATTCCGAAATCTATATTTTTTTGACGAGCTAATGACATTTGCTAAATCGCCGAAAGCTAGTATCGTTCATTGGGTCTCCACGAAGGCCGGAAACATTTGTACACATACATCGGGCATGCGGGAAACATGGACAAGGAAAACGTATTTGCATCGAGAATCGGGTGGAGTACCATGCATCCAGGCCGTTGGAAACCTAGCCCAATTCAAACGAGGCCAGAAGTGAGAATGCTGAACGGAATTTAGTCAGACTTGCGTGCGTGAACAAGTTGTCCGCTGGGTATCATCTCACCCTACTTTCGATTGCCCTCGCCGCCCTCACCAGTCAGAGCCCTCTTGCTTGATAGGCCGAGGGCCGAATAGTTCAGCAGGATAATCATCATCCGACGTGTCGGACGAGTCCGAGCTGTCCGAAGAAGACATATCCCACAGACTGGAGCGAGGTTTGCGGGCCTTGGCCGTCGCTTTCTCCATCTCTGCCTTCTTAGCTTCTTCCTTTTTCCGCGCATCCTCACGTTCTTGCGCCACCTTCCTTGCCATCTGTGCATCTAGCTGCGCCTTCATCCTGAGATACACATCGTGTGTTTTATTCAACTGGAAGCCCGAGGGGGTCCCGGTGCTCGGGGCTTCTGAGGAATTGCTGGTCCCATGTCTTAGCGACGAGTGACGGGCTGGATGGGGTAGAACTTACGTCGTCTCTGTCATCTTCGAGGCCCGCTGTTGGCCGAGGAGCTCCCTCAGCGTCCCGGGCCAGTCAGGCTCCTGGGCTTCCACAAATGTCGGGGCTTGCAGTGATTTCCTGTTCCGGTATGTTAGCGCCCCTGATGGAGGCTGGAGAGGGGGCTGGCTTACTTTGGTGGGCCCCCATTCCTCTTGGCCATCTCCTTCGTGTCGTCATCTTCATCGTCTTCCGATTGCTCGCTGTCCTCGTCACTTTCCTCATCACTGCCCTCATCACTGCTCTCATCACTACCCTCATCGCTTCCATCGTCACTTCCCTCGTCACTGATTTTATTACTGGCCCGATGGCTCGCCTCATCACTGCCTCCATCACTGCCCCTGTGACTGTCTTCATCATTCTCTTCATCACTTTCAAAAAATTTAATCATCTGGCAGTCCTCTTCCTCGTGTCCCTCTTCTTCACCGGCATCCCCCTCCGCCTTATCCCCGTTAGCTACCACAGCTCGGGGGAAGCTACATCGCGAGGAATGGTCGTTCCAGCTGTAGGAAGAGGTGGCTGAACCTGGGAATCCTCGACTGGCTCCGTAGCGACGCCCACAGTCACGTTCCCAGCCTTGTTTCCGGTCACATGTCCGTTAGCATGAGGTCTGTGCAGCGTGCCTTTGCTCCGGTGCGTTTCAACGCGGTTTCGGCGACGCGAAAGCGTCTTCCGAAGATTTTTGATACTCCTTGGGGTTTGATTGGTCCTCACGCCTTGCTCGAGGTTTTGGATCTTTGCATGGATCTCACGCATTTCCTGCAAGAGCGGGCAGACTTCAGGATTCGTCGTTGGATCCCGAAGTAGAGCCTCGAGGTTGTGAATCTCTTGCTGGTCCCTCTTCACATACAGGTGAAAGCGCTCTCCCTGGGAGCTAGTCGGCTGGCTACTGGGAGGAGTAGCGTGATCGGATCTGAAGGAGGAGGGTGTGTGTTGTGGCACCGGAGTCTTCTGGAGCGCCGTGAACGCAGCATGCGGGAGAGGAGGTGGCGGCATGGACGCTGGGCTGGAAGCCAGATCTGTGGGAATGATGTTATGATTCGCCAGGTTCTGGATGGGCGTGGCCGTCATGTTCAAGCTGAGGCGCGCGTTGGGAGAAGGATCTTGGATTTCAGGCTCAATCCGAAGCCGCTTGGACGGCTCAGTCTGCTGAGGACTGTACTTGCGTTTTTGCGGCTGCGATTCCTGCTCGAAGAAGGCAGCCGGACACTCCGTAACACGGGGAGAGACCTCGCCAAGCTCCTCGCTGGCATGGTGGGTAACTGAAGGAGTCTGTCGAATCGTAACATGATCCTCTTCTACCGACTCAAGCGGGATGTTGTCGGGCTCATCCTCCATCTCGTCCCCTTCGAGGATTGGAGAGACCTTCCCGATGGCACTCTTTGCCAAGAGAGATCGCCGTCTTGCATCTTGCGCGGCACCATCCCAATCCTGAACAACCGAAGGAAATCGTTGCGGGGAGGATGCGAGGGGCGTTGTCGGAGGCTTCTGAACCACGCGAACGGTGCCGTACTGATCGTACCCTTCTCTTTCGAACTTCCCGTGATCAATCCAAACATCGGCAACTGTGTCGTGGACTTCATAATCGATCTCCGGATCGGCGTCGTTCAGGAGTTTTTTGACTTGGAGGAGTCTGCCGGGTGCATTGTGAGATTGGAATAATCATAATGAAGACGCAATGGCTTTCTCCAGGACAGGGAACTCACTCTTCACTAGGTCGCAGTGATCGCCATTTGGCTTGAATCAGGTTCACCAAGTCTCCGAGCGACGTCTCGTCCGGATTGCGGATCAAGAGTAGGAAAGACGGCCACTTTCGGGGTGTATTGGTTTCGTCCTGACTCTGCTCATTGTGGTTGCTCCCTCCAATCAGGGAGCTGAAAAAGCCAGGCCGAGGAGAGATCTGCTCTCGGGGTTGGACCACGACCTTCAGTCGGAGTACAGCCATGGGGTCGGACCAGAATGGGATATTTTCAGGAGCACATTAGAGTCGTGGTTCCAGGAAAGAGGCTGCCTGGACGATTCGGAGTCGGTGTGAAGGAACTGGACGTGTATGAAGGTAGGCGCAAGAAAAGCAAGAAACACGAGAGCTGTAAAAGGAGAAAAAAAGTCCGGGGAAGCCACGGAGATAGCCCGCGTGTGGCCTGGTTTATCAGGCCACAACAATGGCCGGGCACTCGCCCCCATCGACCTTCTGTGTTTCCCATCATTGTTGAGCAGCGAGTATTGAAGTGTTTGATAGGGAGATGGTTGCCTACCGCAGCAGCACTGATTTAACTAACCGAGAAGGGGAGATTATGAAACTGAAGATAGGCTGACCGGTAGCTGGTTGACTACTTGTACATTGCCTTTGGTCGCTCGTTCAGGGAAGGAATGCACCAACAACGGGAGCAAACGCATTAACCCCAAGGAAATAGTCACATGGGGCCACCTCAAAGGAAAGGAGGAGATTCTAGAGTTTTAAAGTCTACCGCCACCGCGCGGTGCCCGCGGCCATCAGAAAGCTGATGATGATGGTATACGGTGTTTCTTAGTGCATCAATACGATGAAGTGTGTTGAGAAGCAGCGGATGGAGAATACCACCATATTGCAGCCTACTATATGGGATTAACTTCGAAAGAACTCTCTGAAGAAAAGCACGATGTAGCAGAGTGATACTACTCGGGCTGCCTCGATCGTGTTGATTGGAAACCCAGCGAGGCGAATGAAGCTGTTCGCATGGCGAGGTGAACTGCAGCGGAATCGCCTGCGAAGAGACTTCGAGGTACGCATGAATTGTCCGGGTCGGCCCGTCCGCCGTTGTTTCCTACAGCATTCAGTTACGGAGGTATGCGCCGGGAGGCGAATTTGGCATTAGAACCTGACATTGGACTTGCATTTAGAAGTAAAAAGTAATGCACAGTATTGGTTGGGGCAGGAAACGCCAACCAGGTAGAAGAATAAGCAGCCATGTGATGAGGGCTGAACGAAGGGTGAAAAATATGCAGGAAAGAGAGAAAGGTCGAGTCGAATCGTGAAAAAAAAAAAAAAGTTCCGTGGGTATCCAGCTATTCAGAGTCAATCCAATGACAGAAATTATTATATGTATATGGGTCTTCTTCAACTTCCGTGGATGGCGGGCGGTCGGCCACCGCAGGGGCAGTCAAAGAGCGAAATTAACTTGAATCGGTACAGGGTCATATCGTGTGCCACTCGTGAGTCTCCTAGACAACCTCCATCCCGGGCTTCAGCGTCTCGAAAGAAGTGATGGAAGTTCGCCGATCCTTGATGAATTTGGGCCAGGTGTTGGTGAGAACGAGATACTTGATGCTCGCCTCTGCATCCTGGAAGACATTGGCGTCGAACTCCTCGGGAATCTCACCCCAGTAATGCACACGGTTCCTGATACAGTTCGTCATTTCCTTCTCAGAACTTTCCGAGACGGTGGGCGAGGCTGGCTCAAAGGTGAATTTGTCGAAGGGGCTGACGGGGTCGGCCTCCCGTTCTTCGCCGTAGAGAATGCGAGCGGGCCGTTCGAAAACCTCCTCGAGCTTCTTCAAGTCGTGGGAGGAGATGTTCACGGGAAATTCGGCGTGGCGAACACTGATGAACTCGGCGTAGATGTGCAAGGCGCGGTTGAAGTGCTCGCGGAAGAGGTCCTTCGTGCTACCGCTCCGGGGGGAAGTGCTGTCCCGCAGCGCAGCGGGAAGCGAGCTCTTCCACTCGGCAACGCTGGTGAGGAAGGCAATGTTCTCTCCAGAGAATTCACGGAGTGCAGAGAATTCCTGAAGAGGGGTGGGGTTGCGTTCCAGAACGTGCTCTAGGGCGCTCATGGTCAGAATACTGTCGCGCGAGCCACTACTCTTGATGGAGTCGTTGGTGGACTTCCACCCCGACATAATAGACTCGACAATAGTGGCGTCCGAGTTGATGGACTTGTTTTCAGACCCAGAGGCCTTGACCTTAGTCTCCCATCGAGCGATCGAGTCGAGGGTCTCTTGACGAAGGGACTGGTGACGAACAACCTCCCAGCAAGGAAGGAAAACAGTAAAGATTTCGATAATAAGGATAGACAGGCAGATCCTATGGGCCAAGTGTTAGGGTCAGGGAGACTTTTAGGGGGCCACATCGAGGAGGGCAGACTCACCATTGCGGAGGAATCCAGTATTGGTTGACCGGAGCCATGGCAGGAACGTAGAGAGCGATAAGCCACATTGGGGTAGCGTGAAGACTACGGGAGAGGTTAATAAAAGGTGATTGTGACTCCCGTGTGGGTACTCACCTGCCAATCGCGCAACCAATGGTCTGCACGCGCCAGCCTTGGGTATCATGAATGTTGCGCGCCTTCCAGAGGATGACGGGGGCAACGACCCAGGACCAGAAGAACTGCCAAAATACGCCGGGCCACCTGGATGATCGATCCATTGTCAGTCGTTGTGGAGCCATATGGCATGTGTCTTGCATTTCTGGTGGAATCTTACCACTCCCATCCTGTACCCTGTGCCGTCTTCTGGGCCATTTCGCTACCGTGAACCTCCGTACCAGGAATGCCCCAGGAGCTATGCCACTTGCGAGAAATGATGTACATCAAGATTGTGAGAAAAATTTGAGCGAACATTGCAGCCCCAACGGTGATAAGGATCTTGGTAGTGTAGTCGAGACGCCGGAAACGGTTGATCAGACCAGTCTTGGGCTTCTCGTCAGGCGACGCGTCGGTGAACCGAAAGCCATGTTGCGCATACTTCCGCTGAAGCTTAGCGACGTGGAGAAAGCGACTGTTGGAGGCGTGGAAAAGAGCGATGCCACAGGGGAGGTAGGTCCCCATGATCCAGTACTGACCGTCTCCGGGCATGAGGGCGCCGACCATGGTGCCAAATTGGCAGGCCAGCCAGTAAAGATGAAGAAGAACAATTGAAGAGAGTGACAGGGCGAGGCCTCGGATTCGGAGAGCAGGCATATCGCGATTGATAATGAGATATACCATGCCGGCGGCAACTGCAGCCGTCCAGACACCCGCCCAGACGGCCCACCAGATGCTCACCGGCGAGAGGTTTACCGCCGCCTGGGACTCGGCGGTGATTCCCAGTTCCGAACCCATGATGATTTGTTAAGCAGAAGTGCTGAAGGAGAGTGATGAAGTTGGATAGCGCTTACCATCCAGAAGGGCGGGGGCCGGGGGGGGTGGCGCTTTTAACGATGGGCTCGCACGTACTCCCCTGCAGGATCGAAGGCTGCGAAATGAGTGGCGGCGATGGATCCGGTTCAGGTCCCAGCCTGCGACGGAAAGTGGGCCTCTGAGCAACTTCTGGGGCGTGCGAGACCAAGCAGCACGAGCGTTGGGGGGAGACGTCCCCTGTCGATCCTTCGATGCTGTGGGCCAAGACTGATAGCGGGTGGGAACAGGCCAGACCATATCGGGGTATAGATGGGCGCCGCTGGACTCACACTGACACCCAATTGGCACTCCGAGGCCGTCTGGCCCCGTCGCGTCGACGGGCTCTGTAGCTGCAGGTATTTGTCAAACTCTTCAGGTCCTGATTGGGCTCACGAGGTTGCTCGCGGGGGCCTTCGGAGTTCACTCGCCGATTCACGATCTCGCAACAGCACCAAATTTATTTCCTTTGGAGGGCTATTGAGTCCGATCGGCGACACTATCGATTCCCAAAACTCTGCATGGCCCAATTTCTGCTCTCCACATATCATCATCTTTCCTATCTACATCTCCGCAGCGGCACCAAGCACCGGTCGGCCGGGTCAGCCGGGCGGGCATTTAGACGGTAGCCCCAGTGCTGACCCAGATGAGGCGGGTCCGCGGCTGTTCGTCATGAAGTTGAGTTGATACAATGATCAATCCATGGGAGATCCAGCATCCTTTGTCTGGATGACACAATGGGTTTGTGATTGTGTGGACAATGAGCAAGACCAGAGAGGATTTCCATCGTGTGCAGCGCTTGACTCCACTGGAGATGGCTGAAGACTGGATACATACTTCACGAATCAATAATGCGGGAATGTCGGGGAATGTCCGGTGGTGAGGACAAACCATGACTAGTGTGACACGCGCTATATGTACTCCGAATTATGACGGCTGCCGTGCGATTCTTGCATCCTCGACTGCTTAGATCCAACGACAGAGACAGGGGCCAGATTGCGAGCAAGTCACTTCCGAGCAGGCCAGACGCAACTAATGGACGCGTCGCAAGCCGGAGAAACAGGGCGCGATCGCAAACTGGCCATCGAATGCGGGACAAGAGCCCAGAGAGATGGATCAGCGCAACTAGTAGAAGGTAATCCAAGATTGCGGCCCTATCGAGAACCAGCACGGGCCGAATCGGTCCATCGACACAATGGATGACTTCATTCGCACAGGGACGGTGCTGGCCGGTGCATGTGTAACCCCGATGAGGCCGTTCATACCATGCCATGTAGGGATTATCAGTTGCCCTCGGGAGACTCGGGAGAGGCGCCGTCACGCTAGTGCTGGCCGCGAGAGCGGCCAGGCTCTGGAGAGCCCGGATGGTTGGGTTGGGAGACCAATTAATTGACTATTGATTAGAGTATCCCCGAATGGGAGGGAGTTACCCCGTTCCAGACACATGAGCTGCAACATTTGCTTTGGCCATTGCTTTGGCTCATTATTGAGGTTTGGCCAGAGTGATGGAGACCAGGTAATGCTGGATCCCCTGAATTGCCCGTCGTGACCATGTCCGGATTGGGAGTAGTCCACCTCTTTGCCGTCGCACGGAGAAAGTCTGGCCGAGGTAGGCGCAACGCGGTCGACTTGGTCGACTTGGGCGAACGCCACCGCAGTGGACTAGTTCCCGTGTTGGGCCTTTCTGCCTTGTTGCCTAAAATCTGCCGGGTGCGCTGAGAACGTGACACATTCTGATGCCTGAGGCTGCCTCCAGGCACCTGACTGCAAACCGCCGAGTTTCGTTGGGCCGCCCGTCGCGTCGCCGAATCACCGCGCGCGAAACGCAGCGGCCAACTCCACTGCGACAAATTCCCCAGAAGCGCCCCCCTCTTTTCCCAGGTTCGCGAAGGGCGTTCTCTCCGATTTCCGGCAGATGCGCCTCTTGAGCACACGGTCGTGTTTCCTGGGGTTTTATATCGGGCGAGCATAGACCGATGCTGATGGACTTGGAGTATCAACGGAACCTCCAGGCACCGAATGGTCCACCCTTGATCTCCCCAGGCGACTTTCGGTCCCCGCGACTGTCCCGGCCTCCGCCGGTTGTTGACTACCTGCACAGGAGCCCCGATTCTGGCGAGATGGAGAAGACCCCGCCTAGCATCGGAAAGCGCCGAGGCGGCAGTCGAAAAGCCTGCAACGAGTGCAAGCAGCAGAAGGTGAGTGCCACATGCAATTCCCCGTGGGCCTTCCCTTCGGCCCGGCGCAACCCCCTCCCCCCACCTGCAGACAGTGTGCTGATAATATACGTGCACTCTCTGCCCGGAGCAGCTGCGATGTGATATTGTCCAGACCCCCGCCGCGGCATGCTCCCGCTGCCGTAGGCTGGGAATTGATTGTAAGGTCGAACAATCTTTCAAGCGTATCTCCAAAAGAAGGTGATTGGCGCCCTCCATATCTAGCGAGTGAGATGCACCCCCTACTAAACAGCACATCATAAACAGGCGCAATGCCGAGATGGAAAAGGAGATCGCAGACCTCCGCCGCCGTCTCGCGACGAATGAGGATCCTGATGAAGTGGCAGAGCCTCATGCACGCGACGACCAGTCGCCATGCTCGGAAGCAGCCTTTAGCCGCCGTGACTCGACTGGCCGAGACCAGTCGAGGCCAGTATCAGTACCAGCGGAGTCGTATCCGTCGATGGCAACCCCATTAACCATGAAGAGAGATGGGTCCATTCGCTCTCAGGAAGAGAATACGCCGTGGCGGCTTGAGGATATCGCCCTCTCCCGGGCGCGAGTCGCACGGCTCTTCGAACAGTAAGAACCGGATGTTCCCCTTTCGCTGACTTGGATCTGTGGCTCATCTACCTCTTAGATATTTCAATTATTATCATCCCTTTCTTCCTCTTCTGAACCTGCCAAAGCCTCCGGAGGTCTATTTGAGTCGATGTCCCTTACTTGCCTGGACAATTGTCTGTGTGGCCAGTCGTCGATCTCCATCCGATCCGGGCCTCTTGACTGCTCTCTCTGGACCGTTCAGTCGACTCTTATGGTCCACTATTACGAGTGTTCCTCAGAATTACCGGGTGGTCAAGGCATTATGTGTCCTGTGCACCTGGCCCCTGCCAACCACAAGCCAACGAACGGATGCCACCTTTATGCTTAGTGGCCTGATGATGCAGATTGCCATGCAGCTGGGATTGCATCGGCCCGTCCAGGCTGAAGAGTTCACCACATTCCGGATCGAGGCCCAAGGAGAAGCGTTAAAAGATCGCCTACATACATGGGTGATCTGCAATATCGTCGCCCAGAAGTGAGTTTCTTATCTCCCCGCGGAATGTACGTTGCGAACTATTCTTACCTCTCCACCACAGCGTTGCAACAGGATATGGCCAACCCCCTTGCACCATTTACGACTGGGCTCTCGAACCTCCTTCTCTGAAAGATGCCGATTATCGCCTCCCTGGCGATCTGGCGGTCCGGTTACGCATTGAGAAGTTCTGTGACCGAGTCACCAAAGCTTTGTATAGCAGCAAGCCCGAGCCGGCTGAGTTCATCAGTGCGGAGAAGCTCGTCATCGTGCAGATTCTTGAAAGTGAATTGCGGGAGATGGAAGTGGAGTTTGGTCGAGAGATCTCCGGTACCATTGCACCATGTTCATATCCGTGATTCGCCTACTAATGCAAAGCTCCAGCCATCAATATGATCCACCTGCGTGCCGCTGAACTGCATCTTCGATATTTCGCCTTTCTGAGTTCCAATGCACGAAATGATGACCTCACTAAGCTCTTCCTCGCCACCACCTCCTTCCTGGGACGCGTGCTGGATCTGGAAACCTCCCCAGGCGAGCTGATCGGCCACTCGACGAATTACATTCTTCAGATGATCGTGGCGGCGGCATTCGCTCTGATGAAGCTGCTTAAGAGCAACTTTAGCCGCCATATTGACTTTAATCATGGCAAGCTTTTGTTCAATGGCGCCATCTCGGCCATACGCCGGATCAGTGTGATGGATCATGATCGCCCGGTCCGGCTGGCGGATATTTTGGCTCAAATGTGGAACGCGACCGGGCCCGAACCGGCCGATGAGGATGGGCTCCAACTCAAAGTTCGCTGCCGGATGAGCATGAGCCATGTCTACGATACCGTCTGGCGATGGCGACAGCGGTTCCGACCGGTCAAGAGTCTGGAAGAGATGCAAGGTACGTTTGATCTGGATCACCATATCTGTCTGTCTGGCCTGTCTAACACACGTGTCTAGCAGCCGCGGCGGCAAATCATGCCCTGTCAACATCTACCGGACATATGGCACGGCCGCAAGATAGCTCTCTGGGAGACCCGTCCCTGGTGCTCCCCGCCCAGTTTGACGAGAGCGGCGCCTTCTTCAGTGAGACCGGCTTCTCCGAGGTGTTTGATTCTCTAAACTGGGTGTTTGAGGGCTTCCCTGACAGCTTTGTTGCACCCCCAGTTCTGTAGCGAGGGCGCACCACCGGGATGGAAAAAGGTTTGACCTGGTCCTTGTAGATGTACATTCCACCTGATCTGATTGTATCAATTCCCGATCCAGAATCATACCTATCTCTCCTGGGCGACAATCTCAAGCCATGTTTTTAGGTCCCCACGCCTGAAAACTATACTGTACCTACTTCCCTTTGTATCTGGAGTCCTACGTCTAGAAATCTTGAGATAAAACGTACCTAGTGTCCCCGGCAGGGAGCCCCTCCCCTTAACCTGTACTTGGTCTTTGACCATCGTACAAAGCCCCCTTGCCATAAAGTGTATATGGTCTTGAAAATCCCCCCGAGACCTTTCCTTTGCAGTGCTTCCAGTCCACCCATACACGGCAACGGCACCCTTTGCGGCTCTGGTGTCGCCAGTGATGCTTCGTGGTGGTGGTGTTGTTGTTGATGTGTCAGCACAGCGTTCACGCCAACTAGTTAACTACAGTGATTAGCACCTGGACGCTTGCCTTTCGTCGCGTCCCCGAAGGCGACTTCCACAACAGGGGAACAGGGGAAATGATGGCTCTCGTCATCGTCGCCGTCCGGGCGTCACACAGGTGTTATTGGACATCACAACAAGGGTGGATAAGGGTCAGAGGCAAGTTGGATGTGAGACGCATTGCTCCATAGGCTCAGACGGGGAAGATTGCTGAAACACCCCTCTACGTATGATTCTGGCCGTAATGTCCACTTGTGGTATCCTCCTGACTCCTGGCAGTCTGTCTGCGCTGCCTCGCGAGGAAGATCTCACGGTCAATTCCGGTGATCGCGGCCTGGCCGAGGGTTGGGTCCCAACTGCAGGACTGCAGGACTTCAGGACTGCGGGAATGAAAAGTGGGTCTGCCCGTTCGGCCCCTGGCGATATCCACTTGGCCATGGGTCCTCCCGTCTTTGGGGGGAGGGCGCTGTTGGCGTGGGCGGCATTGCAGGTAGCACCATAACTGCAGACTCCCAGAAGAGACCCGATCCCTGGTCGACATGAAGCGATAGCCAGGTAGCACCGGCATGCCACCGGTGCCTTCGAGCCCTGGTAACACAGTATGCCAGTGACATGCTGCAGTAGCTTGCAGGCCGCGCCGCCGCTCAGCCGGCCGAGATCTCAATGGAAGATTCTGTTCGAGCCGCGAGCTGCCACCTCAACCCAGCAACCACGACCGATCCTTCGGTAGAGGATTATCTAGCTAGATCTTGAGACTGCAAGCTTCCTATCCATCTAAACCCTAACCCGAGGCGAAAGCTTGGCTGGACACTAGCAGCCTCGGTGTTTCAGAGTTAGCGGTGATGGAGCACCTCGAGACAGCAGACGAACTCGGCCAGTCCTGATTCTCAAGTACACCGAGCTCTGAGCCTGCGTGGCATGAAATCCGTGACACGATGTATCTCCATCGGTCCTCCCCGATTCCTTGACCCTTCGACCCCGATCATCCTCATCCTCCCATATCTACACCTCTCCATTCCTTCTCGTTCAGATCGGTTCGGCTTCAGCGTCCCAACCTAGTTAGGTGCCCCGCTAGTGAAGCTTTTCACTAGTACATGGTTGGCCAAGATTTTCTTCCCGCATTTCCAGCGCGATTTCCAAAGCCATTTCTAGCACCCGTTTATTTAATTGATTCATTTGTTCCTTGAACCCCTACAACCCTTGGACCCTTTGGACCCCAAACAGAATTGATCACACATGATGCCGAGATCCGTTCAGCACTGGCCAGGGGGGAATTCCCACTTGCATCCAACCACACCCAGAACCAGATTTATCTCTGGACGAGATCAAAGAGGAAGTCAAGGGCTGGCTACTATTTGTACAGGTATGTCTTTATAGCACTCATTCAATTTTCTTTCGAACAACCACGCTTTCAGCGCTAACTTGCAGCCAGGAAAATTGGGTGTCTGCCGCAAACGCAGGTGTTTCCTCCGATGCGGAATATGAGCTAAAGCACCGGCGGCAACTGGTGGAAAAGTGGGCTTCGGCTACACAGGAATTTCGTGATGTGAATTCAACTCGGTCAAATCCGTCAAATCTCCGAAGTCCCTAGAACTAATTATTTTCTTTCCCCCTCATTCAGGCATACCAATCGCGTGCGCCTGTGGGTCTTCCAGGCACAGAGGGGCCAAAATCGAATGCACCCATTGAAGGCCTTCGGTACCCAGCCGAAGCATTGGAACGTATCTATGACACTCTTCAGCCAGAATGTTCCCTCGGCCTTATTTGTTTTGCCCCTGTTGACGAGGCCCATCCTGAAAATCGGGCGCGATTGGTAAAATTCGCCATCCTGTCGTATAACTATGATATCGAGACTGGGCACATTTTAGGCGATAACTACATTCCATATGAGGCTCTCCTCAACCCAGCAACCACGACCGATCCTTCGGTAGAGGATTATCTGCCCTGGCTAGATCTTGAGACTGCAAGCTTCCTATCCATCTATCTCACACATACTGGCACTGTACTCTACCTCGGTAATGAAGGCCCGTATATGTTGGTTGATGAACTAGGCCTACAAAGTGGGCGCCTGACAATTGTCGAGTATGAAGTCAATGGGAGTGTGAGAGATTCCGTTGAGATCCGCCCATTTAATATGAAAATGCCGTACTTGTACGCTTTCGTTAACTGGAAAGGTTTTGATAATATCAAACATACTCGTGGTGCTTATAGACACCAAAATACGCCGTGAGTATCCCTTGACCTACCAAGTCAACCCAACAAACTAACGCATGATATCAGACTTGACATGGACCTACCGGTCGTCGATATTCTCTGTCAAGCTAAGGAGGCTAACCAACTTCCAAACTCAATGATCCTCTGTGACCGAGAGCAGTGGACAAGCGATGTCAAGCTTTATGCCCCGGGCTACTTGGCTCTCGAGGCCGAAGGGCGCGGGGGAGACTACCCCCTAACCCGTCTCACTGTACCAGACGAGAATATTAAGAAGCAGGTTATGATCAGGGTGCAGGACCCCAATTTCTCACATCCCCATTTTTCATTCATTTCTCTGGGCCAATTTCCATGAATCTACCAGCTTGAAGTGAAGAGAGCCGTTATGATGCCTTGGAAAGTTAGGATTACACATTCTTAATTGAACGTGCGGCAGATCAAGCGAGATCGAGGAGGTCTTTGTTGAATTTACCGAGTCTTCCAATATACCCACGATGTCACTTATCTGAATTGTCTTGGAGTCGTACGAACGTTGACCCAAGAAATTCCCGTAAATCAAGATAAACCCCGAGGCCGGGAGACCAGTGCCCCTTTATGCATTCTGCTCGGTTCGCACGGCTGAAATCAGTAGCGATTGGCCGCAAACCATTTCATTCTCATGCTTATTTCCGATTTGCTCTGCGGTTTTGCGGTTTTGCACGGGCGGGTAATTTCCCGAAACGATCGACAGTGCACGTTTTTGGCAGCGTACGGTAATTTTACGCGTGGCGTACCGCTGGCCGTTTGCGCCTTTTTTTTTGCCTCAACTCGACTCGACTCGGCCTGCTTTTCCCTTTCGACTCTCTCGCCTCGTTCCACCCGCCATGTCTTTGATCTCTCTGATGCTTCAAAGTGGCTCAAGGCTACGCGGCTAACAGCGGCGTTTGTCCGCCCTGTGCCTCCTGCACGAGAGTCCCCGCTCGTCAGCGATCGCCAGTACTCCCACATGTATGGCAGCGCCTCCCCCGATCCGGGCGATCTGGTCATGGACATCAGGACCAAGCCCCCGTTGACTTTCTTGGCGAATAGGAGCAATAAATTCCCCTCTTTTGAAGAAGAAGCTCGCCCTACCACCACTCTTCCCCCCAACGGATTGTGGCCTCCGCCCGGGAACGACGGCACCGCCGTCGACATCTATCGACTATGTTCTCAGCCCTTATCCCTCGGCTCAACGCGATCAAGCAGCGAGTCCCGCTGCTGAACCAGCTGCATCTGAACTTTATCTTTGTACATTACGCCTATATCATCTCCTGGGTGCTCATCAGCTCCATCCTCATCTACCCCGGCGGCCATCTCTCCTACACAGATGCTCTCTTCCAATCGTCCGGTGCCGCCACCCAGAGCGGGCTGAACACGGTCGACATCAACAAGCTGAGCCTCTACCAGCAGATTGTGCTCTATTTTGTTGCGATTTTCTGCACCCCGATCTTCATCCATAGCGCGCTGGTCTTTATCCGACTGTATTGGTTCGAGAAGCGGTTCCAGCACGTGGTTCGGGATGCCCGCGCCTTGCGCACCACCCGGTCCCGCATGGATACGATGACCCAGGACAAGGACAGCGAGGAGATCAATCGGGCGGAGTTGGGGATTGGCGGCCGACCGATTGTGGTGCTGCGGAACAATGCGGGGGATGCCCGAGGCCATCGACTCCCCGACCCGACGCCCAAGGCCCCCGACGCTCCAGAGCAGGAAGAGACCCCCGACGGAAAGAAGACCAGTGAGCGCTCCAGCTCCGAGAAGACGGAGACCCCCCGGCCGAACGTGGACTCGGGCTGGGGAGTCTGCGGGTGCCGTCCCAGCTGAGCCCCGAGCACCACATCGCCTTCCTCGAGAACCAGCGCAAGAACAAAGGCGCCCTGCGCATCCCCAGCCCCCGCGAGTACGACCGCGGCGGAGTCCCCGAAGCCCTGGAGGACGGCGAGGACGAGGAGCCCGAGCAGGTGCAGCAGCCTTCAAGCCCACAGGAGGATCGCCGACGGAGCTCGACGGACTCGGACGAGGTCGATCAAGTTGGTCCTCTGGAGGGACCTCACATTACAATCAATGAGCCGGATTTCACACGCACCCGCACACGAGGTAACACCTTCTCGCGCCTGGATACGAGGCCCACCATCCGTGACACCATGACCAAGGATGCCGACGACACCGGGCTGGGCCCGGTGACCACCAAGAATACTTTCCGGGGCATCTTCCGATCGTTGACCCAGGAGCGGGAGCGGCCCACCCAGCCGTATCTGAGCTGGAACGCCACCGTGGCGCGCAATTCCAACTTTGTGGATCTGACGGAGGAGCAGCGTGACGAACTCGGTGGCATTGAGTACCGCGCGCTGAAGACGTTGGCCGTGGTGCTGATTTCGTACTATGTTGGTTTCCATCTCTTCGGCCTGGTCAGTCTGGTTGGCTGGATTATGACGGTGGACACCTGGGGCAACGTGGTAAAAGAAGACGGCGTGGGACGGCCATGGTGGGGTATCTTCACCTCTGCGTCTGCCTTCAATGATTTAGGATTCACTCTGACGCCGGATTCGATGTACTCGTTCCAGAGGGCGATCTTCCCGCTGCTTCTCATGTCTTTCTTGATAATTATTGGCAATACCGGGTTCCCATGCATGCTGCGCTTGACGATTTGGACGCTGTCGAAGTTTGCTCGGCAAGGAACGGCCTTCTGGGAGGAATTGAAATTCCTGCTGGATCATCCCCGTCGCTGCTTTACTCTTCTTTTTCCTCGCAACGCTACGTGGTGGTTGTTTGCGATCCTGGTGGCTTTGAACGGCATTGATCTGATTTTCTTCATTATCTTGGACGTGAGTGCTCTGCTCTTGAGGTTGGGGTTGGTGTTTTGGGGCTTCCCAACTGATGCTAACCATCTTGTTGACAGTTGAACGATCCCACGGTGACCAACTTGCCACCCGGGATCCGTGTCTTGGACGGCTTCTTCCAGGCCGCCTCCACTCGCACCGCCGGCTTTGGCATTGTGAGCCTGTCGGACCTCCACCCGGCCATTCAGGTGTCCTACCTGATCATGATGTATATCTCCGTCTTCCCCATTGCCATCTCCATGCGTCGAACGAACGTGTACGAGGAGAAGAGTCTGGGCATCTATGGCTTTGAAGACGAGACTGAAGTGGATGACCACACCTCGCCCAGTTATATTGGTGCTCACTTGCGGCGTCAGCTGAGTTTCGATCTGTGGTACGTATTTTTGGGGCTCTTCGTCATTGCCATCGCGGAAGGCGGTCGGTTGGAGGACGCGCAGGACTATTCCTTCCAGCTGTTCACCGTTCTGTTTGAGGTGGTGTCGGCCTACGGTACCGTGGGATTGTCCTTCGGATACCCCGGCGTCAACACCTCCTTCTCCGGCCAGTTCAACGTGGTGTCCAAGCTGGTGATCATTGCCATGCAGATCCGCGGACGCCATCGTGGCCTGCCCTACGCACTGGACCGTGCCGTGCTGCTGCCGTCGGATGCCCTGAACCGACACGAGGCCGCTGAAACGGAGCGCCGGATGCGCCGGCGGGCCTCGAATCTCAGTGGCGGCGAGTCTATCGGTCGGCCCCAGTCTGGCCGCCTGTCGCAGTCGCAGGCTGACGCCCTGTCGACCGGGCTGGAATCTCACGACTGGCAAACCCATCCTGCGCCGAATGGAGACGCCTTGGTGCATCGCTCGTCGACTGTGCGTTCGGCCCGGTAACGATGGCAGGGCCGGCCTTGCTCCGTATCTCCTTGGTTGGCATTTTGTGTATATTTTCATCATCTATAGAGGTCTTGGCGTTCTGGTTGTTAGGGACACACGAGCAGGGGAAACTCGCGGTTAGTCACATTTGGATTGTATCTGGCACATCTTGGACATATACGAGCCTCCTCACGAGGACTAACTTTGATTCTGTATCCATCGCGCCTCGTAGCTGTCTGATGGGGGTGCATGACGTAGGTGTCCTCCACGCAGTGCGGGTTGTTTACATTCTTTTTCCGATTGCGGTCGCTTCCGCCCTCCCGTCCAACTTACCCCTGGCGCACTCCCAATCTCCGGACCTTTGTTTTTCGGGGAACGAGCAACGGAACGGACGCAGTAGAGAGCCTTCTGATGTCATGTTGTGGGAACAGGATGTCATTTCAGGGCCTTCGAGGACGCATTTGGACTGACTGGCGATCGTTGGGGAGCCATCGCTGGCGCAGATTTGCCTGGGTGCGCCGGGCGTCCATGCACAAAATATACTTTCCCGTATAGTTAAACTCCACACGGAAAGTTGGTCGTGGCTCGTTCCTTCACGACTGCACCACCCACCTTGAGGGTACGAAGACGGCTCTTGCCAGAAATGCACCGTGCAGTGTCTGTGTCCAAATCTCTTGCCGCGCAATATCTGGTCAAGTAAGGTTCCTATGAGTCTAATGGCAATTGATGATTTGCAGGCCATCCACAGAAGCGAGACTTTCTGACGTGACTTTGATACTTTGATCCGCACAGGCACTTGTCACGGTAAGTTTTCTAGTTTCCCACCGAAGCCCAAACGATGCGTCGGCATCGCAAACGGATCCCAATTGGCACTTTCCCTTTCTGGGTTGCCAGCATACCACAGACGGCCATGATCTCATCAGTCTCGGTGAGGTCCGGCTGAGATCTTAAAAACACAATCAGCTTCGTCTAGCTCCTCTCCGTCACCTCTGAACCTCTCTCCCGTCTTCGGCATTCGTTCGACCACTAACCAGAACCCCAAGATATAGACGCGACTCGCGTGCTTCATCTGCTTCATCTGCCACGTCATACCCAACTCGTACCCAGCATGGATGATCGACGTCTTCCACCCGAGTATGCCCACCGCTACAGCAGCGCCACTTCACAATTTCCCCAGCTCACACCTACTGATGTCCCCAAGGCCCCCATCGTGCCAACGGTGACTGGCGCGGCCGCGTCACCCGAGCGGACCCCCGAGTGCTCCCCTGGTTTCACCCCCGAGGCTGGTCGCGACGCCGGCGACTCATCATCGCCGCGGTAGTGGCAGTGGTGGTAATTGTGGTGGTAGTCGGTGCAGTGGAGGGCGTCAGGGCCAACCGATACCCCGATTATACGCCGTTGAACTATCAGCTGGTCGATACATACCAGGGGACTTCCTTCTTCAATCAGTTCAATTATTTCTCCGATAAAGACCCCACCAACGGGTTCGTGGTGTATGTCAACGAGGAGGTGGCGCAGGATCTCAACCTCACCTATGCGACGGGCACCTCGGCCGTCCTGCGCGTGGACTCCTTCACGCCCAAGGCCGTGGCGGGTCGCAACTCGGTGCGCATCGAGTCCAAAGCCAGCTACGACACGGGCCTGTTCGTGTTTGATATCATCCACACCCCCTACGGCTGTGGGACCTGGCCTGCACTGTGGCTGACCGACGGGTACAACTGGCCCATAAACGGCGAGATTGATATCCTCGAATCCACCAACTGGGCTTCGCACGGCAACGAGGTGACTCTGCACACCACGCCCGGCTGCAAGATGAACGTCAAGCGCAAGGAGACCGGCTCCGCCGCGTACGAGACGTGCGATAACAGCACCAACGGCAATGCTGGCTGCGGCGTGATCGGCGACCCGTCCACGTACGGACCAGCATTGAACCAGAATGGCGGTGGGGTACGTACACTCAGCATCCTTGCTTCTGATGCGAAACCACGAGGCAATCATCCACTGATGCACAGATTCCAGATTTACGCCCTCGAGCTTCGCGACGCAGGCATCCGCGCCTGGTTCTTCCCCCGCAACGCGATCCCATCCGACATCTTGGGATCCAACGGCAAGCCCGACCCTTCGACCTGGGGCACCGCGCTGGCGGACTTCCCCAGTACGGAATGCGACATCGCCTCGCACTTCCGCAACCAAAGCATCGTCGCCAATATCGATCTGTGCGGTGAGCTGGCGGCACAGCCGCAGTATTACACCCAGATGTACAAGTGTCCCGCGACATGCTCCGACTTCGTGGCGAACAATCCGAGTAGCTTTGAGGAGGCATATTGGGAGTTTGGGGGGTTCAAGGTTTTCCAAGCGATTTAGAAAATGCTTATTTTAGCCGGTTATTCTCTTTTTCTTTTTGTGTTCTTGCTTGGTTTTAGGTCATTTTCTTAATCTGGAAGATATCCCTATGGCTTTGAGTTAGCTTCGACCGGGTCGGTGGTGTTTTGGTCTTAAGCGTGTTTTGGGTGGTGGGAGTCAAGGACGTCCATTACATTGTTGAGCAATCCAGATATCGCAATATAATACACGGTAAATTCGGCGCCGAAAACGCCTACTTTGGACGCCATTTTAAGCGTGCTATTTACCAATATTAGTCACGCGCCAAATGGCCACGCCAGCCAGTAGTTTGGCCTAGCCTTGTTGGGTAACAACCGATCGCTGCATTGTGGTCGCGCGACCGAGGGTGAGAAGGGTGAGTGTGCAATAGACAGGGTGAGAAGCCAGACGAGAGCGGGTGATTCTCACCCTCCGTCGCGCGACCACAGAATAACCCTTTCAGTCGGACAGGAACAAACAGTGCTAGATATGGGATCAGCACCGTCTATGTACTTAGGACGGCGCAACGCACACTCCATCCGCCTCACTCAGGCATTCGGCTCTTCTGTCTCGCGATCTCCTAATCGCAAACAAATACAAGGACTGTCTGATAGGATATTAGCCATTTCTCGCGCAGTAGCCGGCCTGCGCGCTGCTCCACGCGGATCCATAGAGATTATCCACTGGGCAAGCGAATCTTTTTCGAACTGGGTTATTTTATGACCTGATGGGCGCTTATCAACGCGAGAGATTTGGACGTGTACGCGCGTGTGTAGTGTAGTAAGTGGTATTACGTATATCTTCGCTGCTGCCCGAAGAGATTTGATGCGGCCATTTTGAAGATCACCCCGGGCTAATAAGATCTTGCCCTCTTGATTGGCCAATTTCTGCGAAGATTCGTAGGGTATGTGTAGTTGTGTGAGCAGGGAGAGATTGACATATTATCGCGTTGGCCGTATCTTAGCCTGCTCTCCTTCTACGAGTTTTGGGAAGGCGGTAGACTACCAATCTAAGCGGTCTGGAAGTGGGTCCTATGGTGTTCAAACTTTTGCTGTCACTGTAACTTGATATTTTTGTATCGTCGTTTTCGCAATGCACGCGCCTAACAAATCTCAGCCCCTGATAGTGGGACCGACCACTGATCACATGATGTGGGATCGGTCGCTGTGAGAGATCAGAACGGAATAATTGATTGTCCTTCCCGTCATGGGAAGGACGCTAAGCTAAATACTTCTGATGATGCTTATGTAACATGATACCCGGTGGGCCTAGTAGCCAGACAGCCAGGGGCTGTCGGATTATAGTTCCGCCGCCCGTGGACTGCCTGAGGCAGTAACAGGTCCTGGGACCACATCCCAGAACTTCGGTCACTGGGGCCCCACTGAGCCCTCAGTAGGGTGCGACGGTCAATGCTCAGCAGGGCGCCCCCTATATTCGCTTATGTAAGCTCGGTAATAGTATGAAATATGTGGTATCTATGTAGTTACATTCCTGAATTAGCCCGGTTTTGTTTACCCGGTATGTACTTCTTACCATCTCCTATAAACGTTTTACTAGTTTTCTACTACTTACAGTACCTACAGTACTAGTTAACCCTCCCCTACAGCATCATAGCGCAATACGTATCGACTTGGTCGCAGCATCGATCTACTAAGATTTCAGATCTTATTAATACTGCACCTTTTTCTCTTGAGCAGGATCCTCCACGGGAGGTTGACGCAGAACTAGTTGACTCACATTCTTTTTGACTTTGGCCATCTTGCCAACGCCTGTCGGTCGGGACTTGAAGAAGCAGAGAACTACTGTAGATACTTCCCAGTTAGGAAGTGGATGTGGATGTGTAAAAAACCAGGTAAAAACTGGTATTGGTGGGTCGAGGAGATACGTGGACAGGTGTAAGGTAAGGTAAGCGTTTGAAATGAAAGTGGGTGGAATTGGGTGCCTGAGGTTGCGCACCCTACTGAACTCTCAGTGGGGCCCCACTGACATGTGATCACACCACATCCTCCCCCACTTGGCCGTCCTCGTCGTCAAAGAATTCCTTCTGGCTGAAGATCTATATCAAAGAGCCCTTCTATCTGTCGCGCCCATGTGCGCGTGCAACCACCATCCACCAATTATTTCTATTGTAGACGTTTCAGAGATCACCGGCCGTCGTCTAGCCTTTGATATCGAGGTCTTTGAATGAGCATTAAGCCTGGAATAGCATCAAGAGGCCCGTTCAGCGGTCTCCCTGGCCTGTCAGGGTGTCGAGGATGTGTGGCAGCGTGTAGGGTAAAATATGGCTGCCTCGACGGCCTGGTGCGATCAGAATCGTTTATATGCGTCGTTTCGCCTCACTTCAACACTCCGTCGTCACGATTTTTCATGTCCCACGACCACGGAAATTCGTTCGATTCGCTTAAAGATTTCCCTGCCGCCGTCCGTCCAGCCCTCCGTGCGAAGCTCGCTGCGTTAGCAGCCTATCAAGCTGCGAGCCCTCCTCGCCGCGGTCGTCCGAAAAGACCTTTGCGTCAGATGGACGCGTTTGGTGAGCTCTTCTGGCACCTCTTGAATGAATCGTTCGTTACTCATGATGTCCGTACAGGCAATCCTTACGTCGAGCCGCCTGAAGAGGCAGAGACTGTCGAGGTTAGCCTTACCGCCGCCAGCCAGTTCTTTTCGGGGGGTCACAGTAACGACCCCGCCGCTGCTAAATATTACGTCCGCCGCCCTGGCCCTTTGGGCTGTAGAGGAGTCTCCTCTTTCGTCTCTGGACGAAGAGATCCTGGCATTAGCCGAGGATGAGCTGCCTGCCGAGGGTGCAGCGCCCGCGGCGCTTTCTCAGTCGTCTGTAGCGCCCTATAAGCGCAAGACGCCGGACACGCAGAGCCTACGGCGGTCTCCTCGCCTAGCCCCTACTGTCCGGGCTAGTGGTATTCAGGGAGTAGACATCCCCAGTCCTCCGGAGGTTCAGGTCGTGTCGTCGGGTCCTTCTTCCGCAGCGCCGCCTATAGCGCTGACCCCGACCCCTCCTATGCCGTCCGTACCTTCCCCTGTACCGGCTACGCTATCCTCTGCTCTGCCCGTACCCCCTCCTGTGTTATCCGTGGTACCGCCTCCTACTCCGCCTATAGCGCCTCCTTTTATACTATCCGTGGTGTCTCCCTCCGCGCCGGCCACAGCCACCACTTGTCCGCTTGACCAGTTTAACCTGACGAGTGACGGGAACCCTATAGCTCATCTTGCCCAGGGTCGTGAGGCGGAGCTGCTCCAGGCCCGCCTTACGCCCGAATCTCCGAATGTGGATTGGCGGATAGGGAAGGATGGGACGCCCGCGTATAAGAACGTGGCGACAACCAAATACCGGATTGTAGGGTCGTTGGGGCAGCGTGTTGGTTATACCGCGCCTGAGGGGGAGGAGTGTGTAGCGTGTCAGAAGGGCTATGGCCCGTTCAAGTCCTGTCGTATTGCTAGGACGAAAGACGCCGCCGCCTCCTTGGGCGCGTGTATGAACTGCGCATTCGGCGGTAGTGGAGCCACTTGCTCGTTCCGGATTGACCAGCCTGACTGGGTCCGTGATTATTTCGTGCAGTTCTTCCCGGGGTTCACTTTCGTCCCTGGTTCTGCACGGAAGAGCCGCAGCAAGGGTAAAGGCCACTCCGAGCCCGTTAGGGAGACTACCGCGCAGTCGGCGCCTGCCACCCCAGCTGGGCCTACCGCCAGTGCCGCGCCCGTAGCAGGGCCCGCGGCTGTTCCTACAGCGGCGGCCGTAACAGCGCCTGTGTCGGTCGTTACTACTACACCTGCAGGAGGCCCGGCATCTGTCTCGTCCGTTGCGCCTGTGACAGCCCTACGCCTGCCTCGACTGCCGTCCCCGCCTCGGCCGCCACTGCTACCAGCGCTGTCTCGACCAGCCTAGCTATCAGTGTGCCTCTGGTTGGGCCTCGGTACCAGTCTCCCTTAGTGGACGTCGATTCCAACGACTGTCTAGCCTTGATGGCTGCTGTTGCTGAGCTCGACGTGATTCAGGAGCGCCTTAATTTTGATCGTCAGGCGTTGGTTCGCCGGCTATCGGTCCTTGCGGCCGCAGATGCCGCGCCGATTATTCAGACCTGGGGTGGTGCGCTTAGGGGCAGTAAGGGGCGGTAGGCTTCTCTTTTCTTGTTGTTCTGTCTGTACGGAGCTCTGCCTCCGTATCTAGTTTAGTTATCCGAATAAACCATTAAGTGATTCTATTCCCTTCGTAGTCGTTGCTGTCTCTTAGCAAGACTTGCCCTTTTAACGGGTCTGATCTGCTGGAGCTATCTCAGAGGCTGTCTAGGTCTTTCTCTGCGTCCTGTAAGGGCTTCCTTCTTGATAGGTTCAGAAATGCTAGAGCCCTTTCGGAGGCAGTCTAGGTCTTCTCCCTATCCCCTGAGGTCTTACGGCTTCGCCGCTCGATCCCTAGTATCTTCGCTTCCTGCGAAATGCATACGGCGTCTTTATAAGTGTAGTCTCGACCTGTCGCTTACTGTCCTGAGTGGTCTCTTCTGTGGCCTGGGTGATTCTTGACGCATCAACCTTTTCCCTATCGCTATTGCGTAGACGCTCGACTGCGTCTGTCTGGCTTTCGTGATGGTTTGCATGTAGCTTTGACTTCTCTGGCTGCTCGTCTACAGCCTGTCTTTCTTCTTGAGTGTCCTGTTACGATGATAGAAAAGAGCCAACTGGAAAGGTAACCAGGTGCATTCAACGAGACAACGAAGGTGAAGAAGGAAGAAACTACGGAGGCTCTGGCAACTATCTTGTCGAGGGCTTATGCAAACAGGCCCCATCAGGTTAGCTTAGTCGGGTGTTTCCATCACTCCGCGTCCATCAGGTGATCTCCGTCCATCGTTCTGTCATGCGTCACAGGATGGACGTATGTGTTTTCTGAAGGGAGATTCCTTTCTTTTGAAAAAGGACTACCTACAGGTAGATATGTTTTTTTCTCTTCTTTTCCTCAAACGTCAGTGCATCGTTGAATATACCGAGTTTTTCTGATTAGGCTGGCTATAAACATTATGTTTACTTCTATATACCTTATGGAGGATATAACGGTCATTAATACTATATCAGTGCAAGCTGATACTGTATAGCCTAGTATGCAGAAACGACGAATGATATCAAGCGGAACCAATATAGACGAATAACATTGGTTGATTGAGAAGGAAAATAGGGGGGGCCCGCTTTCGCCGTGGTAAATGATCAGGACGTTCGCCCGTCTTCTTAGGCCGGCGTGGACTTCCCTCTTGGTCCTTTCGGCGAGAAAATAGAAGTTGGACCACTCGTTTCATGGCTGTTGGGCATTGGGTGTGGCCAAGGAGAAGGAGAGAGGGAAGAATGACGTTTCTTTTCTTTATCTATTGACAGGGAGAGAAATGGAGAACTTGGCCCCCGCCCCCCAGCCTCCCGTCATGGCTATGCAGCGGCCTTTCAGCGAGGGAACAAATTTGGACTAGATGAATTTCTTAATTCTGCAGGTAGGTATAGACCTTGGCGTGGTCCGACTCGGGTTCTAACAAAGCGACTAGCGCTCGTGTATGATCTCACTCTACAAATAACCAGAAATTTGGTCATCGCAGTACTGCACAAACGTCGCTGCAGCACCCGTCCCACCCTCCGCCCTCGTTCTCATTGCCAGTAACAAGTCCTGTCTCGGATTCGGATGAAGCCGGCCCCAGGGGAGTACATATTTCCCTCCGTCAGAAATTGTGAGCTCACCAGAGAGCCCAGCCCAGAGCTCCGTGTAAGCACCCATCCTGGCTGGATATAAAAGGGGGGAAACGAACCAGGGCACCCATGGGGACAGATGGCGAGTCAGCGCTGACTTCAGGTTGCCGGGGTTCACAGCCACGCTTAGAATTCCGTGAGAACCGATCTCATCGGCAAAGGCGTGGGCCAGGAACCAGTTGCCAACCTTTGTATTCTCATAATTGCGTTGGGGGTCTGTGTCTGGCCGCAAAAGCTCGTCCAGATTCACACCCTCTTTGGGAGTGGAAAGATCCACGGTCACCGATGCTGTCCAGATAATCCGCACGGTGGCGGGCGGCTCGTTCTGAGCGGTGTGTTTCAACAGGGGTAGAAGAAGCTTGGTCAATAAATGTGGGCCGAGGCAGTTGGTCGCAAACTGGAGCTCATGGCCCTGCGGTGAAAGGGAGCCACGCGGTGGGTTGGAGACGCCGGCGTTGTTGAACAGGACGTCGAGCCGGGACTCGTTGAAAGTGATTGTCTCCACGGCGGCTTTGATGGAAGTCAAGTCGTCTAGATTGACGGGAAGGAAGCAGATATCCCCTCTGGACGAAGGCTGGAGAGACTTGATTCCTGCAATAGCTTCTACAGCCTTCCATTCTGAGCGCCCAGCGAGATACACCTTGCCTCCAGCTCCGTAGAGAATCGTACACAGCTCGAGACCCACGCCGGAATAACCGCCGGTGACGACAAACACCCTGCCCTCTTGGCTCGGAAGGTTTGACTCAGTCAGAGTCGGGTGCGGTGGAAAGAACTGTGACCAAGTGGTTCCCATGATGATGGCACTCAACCGTGAGAAAGGTGGCCGCGGCTCACACGCTTGCGATCAGGCGTACAAACTTGGCCCGACTGCAAGCGCACAGACCGCTTCGAATGCCCCAGACCTCCCATTTGAAGATGTCAAGCGTACCACTATCGGTATCGGCTAGTACTGGAGATTGTCCAACGAGGCTGCGATGAAGATCAGATAGATGGATGACGGTAGAAAAACAGGTGATTCGCTGTCCCCTGGTCCGTACGAGCGCACTAGTGCCCGTCGGCAGAGACCCGGCTGTTGGATCTAAGAGAGGAACGTACTACTCCCTATATTTTTTATATATTTTTATTTTATCTATACACTATACCTATTCGCACGACATATATTCCATGGCAGTATAGACTAGGAACTGAGCGCAGTCGGGAGACGGCGGGAAAGAAACCGGTCCGTGCGGGGATTAGCCCCTAGTTCAGATTAGTTCAAACTCGGGCGCGCGAGACGGGCGAAATTTGCAGCCAGAATCGCCCACCACAGAATAGACTGATGAGCGTCTGTATACGCATTCCACCAAAATGAGGTTTACCAAAATTCAACGGATCCAATTCCTCATAGAGGAGATGTCAGAAATCCTGAGGGAGATGCAAGATGAAGAGACACCCGCAGCACCGGCAGAAACATCAGTATTATTCACGGGAGCAACAATCGAACTGATACCGCTCAGGGTATCAATATGGGGCAGCCCCCAGTTATGGGGCTAGGCACTGAGACGGACAGTCAGAGTGAGGGCACGAATACTGAGAGCAGTAACAGTAGCTCTTGGAACTCAGAAACGGAAGTCCCGGAGGTTTGCGTCCGTTGCTTCAATATGTGGGAGGGACACGTCAGCGCCGGTCAATTCGATCTTCCTATGTGCGTGTTCGACGAGGGCCGAAAGCGTAAGAAGTGTCGGTACTGCTCTAGTCGGCGGAGCGAATGTGTAAAGGTTAGTAGGGTTCTCAAACTTAGAAAGGACACTAACCGAAGAGAACTCTAGGTACCAATATCACTTCGCGAGCCTGTTCTACATCGGCTGGCCCAGCTAGACCGCGCGGTACTAGAGGGGGATACGCTAAAGATCGACAGGAAGCGGATGAAATTCCAGGAGACATACTTCGTAGCGCACGGGATGGTCAGGCGCACGTTATCTAGCGAGGAGCGGACACGGCGAAGAGTCCGAGCTGCGATGCGGAGGGCAGAGCAGCGGCAGACGCGACAAGTGGTAGCAGTAGTAGCAGAGGCCGGGAATCAAAGTACATAGCAGAAGAGATGAGCAGCAAAAGGCGAAGCAATGATGTATATTTCAAGAATGGAATTCAAAAAAAAATTAATCAGAGTTGGTCTCGAGAATTAAACTTGGGTAGGGGATATTCGGCTCCAGCGAGCAGAGCACTCTTTAGGCTCCCTGAGAACCTGGATCGATTCAAACCTTTGGTCGCGCCGTCGGTACTGCAACGCCGGCCAACCAGCGTTCACCCATTCACTTAAGGTTAAGTTAGTACAGATGACATCATCAATGCTTCCATTCAGGAACAAGCCGTATAACAATCACCCTGCACCCATGATTGTTTCTCTATTCTTCCATCCATTCATTCATTCTGGATTTACTAAGCATCCTCCTTGCTGGCTGATGTCGAGGTAGACAAGTCAACCTGCCACTCAAAATGTCATTTGCGTATGAAAGCGAGGGTGTTGTGTCAGAGGAAAGAGGTGCAGGCATGTTTCTCGCGCACCTTCCCTCTGACACGCCAGTCTATTGCTACAACAACAAACTCGCTCTTGAGAGCCTCTTCCCTCCGTATTCAGTCGAGGATCGCTTTATCGTCCTGAAAAACTTCCCACCAGAAACCCTTGCCGAACACGAGGAAGACTTGCCCGGACGCTGTGACTATTCGCCATCACTTCAGATTCTCATCATTACAATGCCTGGTCTACCTCATGAAGAAGCGGCGGACAGCTTTCAGATAATTATTGCGACCCTCGCCAAAGAGATGAAAGTCTACAGACGGCTTGCGAACTGGGGAGCCACTCGTGTCGATACCCCTGATCGAAGCAAGCAGGCAGACCGGTCGTGGGGGCCACGCGGCCAAATGAGAGATTTTCCAACAGTGACATTAGAGACTGGCTTCTCAGAGACAACCTCGAAACTGGAAAAGGACATCGCTTGGTGGATAAATGGATCACAAGGTGACGTGAGAATGGGAGTGACTGTCGACATCAAACGAGCATCCGGCTCCATTGAAATCAGATCCTGGACGCCAGTATTCACACCATTACCAAGCCATGTCCAAATCACCGCAAGCGGTCGTCGTGTTGTCGATCGAGACATCAGTAATCCTCCACCACCTCGAGTCGCCCAGAGGATCTTCATCAAGAGAGGGAGAGACGGCTCCCGTCCTACGATTGAAGGGGGGGATCTAACTATCCCATTTGATGCTCTCCTGTTGGACAAACCGGGAGAAGACGAGCATGATTTCGTGCTGACAGCCGATATGCTATTGCATGATTTGGCAGAGCGTGTCTGGGATGCTAGTGACCTGGCTGAAGCGAAGAAGGCAAAAAAGAAGACTCGGTAACTCTTATGATTATGAGTTAATCGTCCGTTGAATCATAGTCACTCCGGGGTTGAGTGACAGTTCAATTGCCTACAAATATTGTCACGTTCCTGGAAATTGAATCAACGTCTCTTTAGACAATCAACTTACCTTTATTCAGTGTCAGCGTACAGCTGCCCAAAGCGAACCCCTCAGTGATCGCCCACTAAATCAAGGAAAACCACTATCTCCATGGAGACGCTACGTGTTACGGCGCTCGAGTATTGGTATGCCTCTTAATTCTCGATCGGCTTGCTCGGGCCAACTTTCCTTGGTCGCCCCGTCCCATCACCTACTCGCTTGACTTCAGCAACCATCTGCAATACCCCTATATGATCCTTACCTGGATCGATAGTACGCCGCTGAAGTGGTCGGATAAATTCCCGACTGGAGCGGCTCGGGATAAAGTACTTTGCCAGCTGGCATCGATACAGTCGTTAGCGAAAACAGCTTCCGCCCTGAACACTCAAAATTATTATGAGTGCCCCACTGCCAAGACATTAGCGGGGAGTTTTAACTCCAAAGCCATTTATAACTTGATGAAAATGACGATACTGAGGCAGCATAATACACACAGCTTACAATACAATACCATTGCCTACCTTGTGTAGAGTAATGTCACAGCAAGCTGATACTGTATAGCCTAGTATGCAAAGACAACGAATGAGATCAAGCGGAACCAGTTCAAAATGAATGAGTTGATTGATTCAGTAGAAAGATGGGGGAGAAGCGCTGTTAAAAGCACACACTCAGATACACCGCTATTCGATGTGTCTGATGTCTCCGGTACTCAGCTGTAACAATGGCTGCATTACAGCTCGGTTCCCTGATTACATAGGAAATACTAAACGAATGTGGGCCCATCAGCAACTAATCAGTTGCTAGCGGTAAGTTATCGCTCCATGTTTCGACAAGTAAATATGGTTTTATGTCGATGATAAAGAGTCAACTGGCGCATGGTCGCATCATCTCAAACTTATGAGTTCATGTCCTGTTTCGAAACACTGATAGCAATGGCGACAATCATCGCAATGTTACCGAGATGGCTGAGGGATTGGGGATGAAGTATAATTACATTCGATTAGACTGTCTATTCTCAAAGCCTCAATGGTCTTTAAAAGGGGAGCGATAGGATAAAACTCGATCAGCTCCATATCTTCCAAGCATCTGCACGATTTTGACGTATTATTCCGAAGAAGCTGCCTGGAGCGCATTTCCGTAGCGTCTACCCTAGGCGTTGACGTCGGCCCCTCGCTCTAACAGTATCTACAGGATCTTCTCGTTTCTGTCAGAAGAAGCAGCGCAAAGCGCATTTCTGCATAGTTAACCCCGGGTGTAGACATCAGCTCCTCGCTCTAGCAGCATCTGCACGATCTTGTCATGTCCTTTAGAGCAGGCAGTGTAAAGCGCATTATAATCGTCTTCACCCTGGGTGTTGACATCGGCTCGTCGTTCGAGCAGTATCTCCACAACCTTATCGTGGCCTCTAAAACAAGCAGCGACGAGCGCATTTCCGTACTTTCCACCCTGGGCGTTGATATCGGCTCCTCGCTCAAGCAGCATCTCCACAACCTCATCGTGTCCACCAAAACATGCAGCCTGGAGCGCATTGCCGTACTTTCCACCCTGGGCGTTGATATCGGCTCCTCGTTCAAGCAGTATCTCTGCAACCTGTTCGTATCCTTCAGAGCAAGCAGCGACGAGCGCATTTCCGTACTCTCCACCCTGGGCGTTGACATCGGCTCCTCGCTCAAGCAGCATCTCCACAACCTCATCGTGTCCACCAAAACATGCAGCCTGGAGCGCATTGCCGTACTTTCCACCCTGGGCGTTGATATCGGCTCCTCGCTCAAGCAGTATCTCCACAACCTTGTCGCGTCCCATAAGACATGCAGCCTGGAGCGCATTGCCGTACTCTCCACCCTGGGCGCTAATATCCGCTCCTCGCTCAAGCAGTATCTCTGCAACCTTGTCGCGTCCCATAAAACATGCAGCCTGGAGCGCATTGCCGTACTCTCCACCCTGGGCGTTGATATCGGCTCCTCGCTCAAGCAGTATCTCTGCAACCTTATCGTGGCCTCTAAAACAAGCAGCGACGAGCGCATTTCCGTACTTTCCACCCTGGGCGTTGATATCGGCTCCTCGCTCAAGCAGCATCTCCACAACCTCATCGTGTCCACCAAAACATGCAGCCTGGAGCGCATTGCCGTACTTTCCACCCTGGGCGTTGATATCGGCTCCTCGCTCAAGCAGTATCTCCACAACCTTGTCGCGTCCCATAAGACATGCAGCCTGGAGCGCATTGCCGTACTCTCCACCCTGGGCGCTAATATCCGCTCCTCGTTCAAGCAGTATCTCTGCAACCTGTTCGTATCCTTCAGAGCAAGCAGCGACGAGCGCATTTCCGTACTCTCCACCCTGGGCGTTGATATCGGCTCCTCGTTCGAGCAGTATCTCCACAACCTTATCGTATCCTCCAGAACAAGCAGCCTGGAGAGCGTTTCCGCAGTATCCACCCTGGGCGTTGATATCGACTCCTCGCTCAAGCAGCATCTCCACAACCTCATCGTGTCCACCAAAACATGCAGCCTGGAGCGCATTGCCGTACCCTCCACCCTGGGCGCTAATATCCGCTCCTCGTTCAAGCAGTATCTCTGCAACCTGTTTGTATCCTCCAGAACAAGCAGCCTGGAGAGCGTTTCCGCAGTATCCACCCTGGGCGTTGATATCGACTCCTCGCTCAAGCAGCATCTCCACAACCTCATCGTGTCCACCAAAACATGCAGCCTGGAGCGCATTGCCGTACTCTCCACCCTGGGCGCTAATATCCGCTCCTCGTTCAAGCAGTATCTCTGCAACCTGTTTGTATCCTCCAGAACAAGCAGCCTGGAGAGCGTTTCCGCAGTATCCACCCTGGGCGTTGATATCGACTCCTCGCTCAAGCAGCATCTCCACAACCTCATCGTGTCCACCAAAACATGCAGCCTGGAGCGCATTGCCGTACCCTCCACCCTGGGCGCTAATATCCGCTCCTCGTTCAAGCAGTATCTCTGCAACCTGTTTGTATCCTCCAGAACAAGCAGCCTGGAGAGCGTTTCCGCAGTATCCACCCTGGGCGTTGATATCGGCTCCTCGTTCGAGCAGTATCTCCACAACCTTATCGTATCCTCCAGAACAAGCAGCCTGGAGAGCGTTTCCGCAGTATCCACCCTGGGCGTTGATATCGACTCCTCGCTCAAGCAGTATCTCCACAACCTTGTCGCGTCCCATAAAACATGCAGCCTGGAGCGCATTGCCGTACTCTCCACCCTGGGCGCTAATATCCGCTCCTCGTTCAAGCAGTATCTCTGCAACCTGTTCGTATCCTTCAGAGCAAGCAGCGACGAGCGCATTTCCGTACTCTCCACCCTGGGCGTTGACATCGGCTCCTCGCTCGAGCAGCATCTCCACAACCTTGTCGTGTCCTTTCTTCGAGGCCCAGGCCAATGCGTTCGTTCCTGTTTCGTCTGCCGTATTGATGTCGTGTTTCTTGACAGTAAGTAGAAATTGAGCCTCCTCTTTATGACCGTTAAATGCTGCCAGGTGAAGTGAATCCATTAAATGCACACGGTGGTATGGCATCATTGCCTTCCAAAAAATTGGAAACCACAGCGAGAGCCTTTTTTCACTCATATCATATACTCTATGTACTTGATTAACCCCTTCCATGTCTAATGTCAAAGCAGTCTTCCGTACGTGATCAGGCCAATGTACTGCTGAATACTCTAAGAAATCCCGAATATTAGAGCTCGACTGTCCTATGTCGTCTTCCAAACCTTCCATCAAGAGGTATCGCAAACAGATCTGAGCCATCTGGTCTTCTGCATGACTCAAGCTGCTCCAATATGCGAAACTCAGATCGGCCGAGATTTCCTTCTGAATCAGAAACTCTCTGGCAGTTTGATGGATCAAATAGATTTTGGAGTTATTAGTGAAGACAAATAAGCCGCATAAACTTCGAATTTTTCTCTGTAGATGGGTTAGATCCAGCCCGGCCTCCATTATTGTTCGTGCCTCGGAGTAAGTGGCAATGCCTAGCGCCACAGCCATCTCTCGTATTGTTAGAGGACGTCGTGCCGCCACAATGATCTCCAAGATCTTCTTGACTGTGTTCATATGGTCTGCAGGAACTCGACAGAGGATCTTTTCGTATGCTGCATTCACAGAAGGTGGTATCAGTGTGATCGAATTCTTTGCAGGCCGAAGGCTGCGCTTGAAGGTGGTTCGGATATCATCAATAGCTAGATGTAGCCAGAGATAAGTACGGTGTTCCATGTGAAGCAGCTGCTGTTCGACTCGCTCGTGGACCTCCAGAGCTAGAGGCACTTCTTCGGCCAGTTCCTTTACTCGAATCTTCACCACTATATCAATTTCTTCATGAATTCGGTCATTTTCTTCCTCACCCTTGATGTGTACATGCGGGAAAGAATCAGTGATTGCTCGAAAATGATCCTGTATACTATCGTAGGGACGACTAGTGGCTAGGAATTTTAAACAGGAGGCATCCTGTGTCGATGGCGATTTTTGATGGTAAAAGAACCGGAGCTTCTCAATCAATCGGCCCTGATCCGATTCACGGCATTCATCGAGGGCATCGAATATGCAAATCGTCTTGTGGGATACGTCAGCCGATGCGGCCGTTATAAAGATTCGCCAAAGCTCGTCAACCTCGTGTCGCAGTTTCTCCCCGTTTTTCTCCCAGGACGGTAGCGCATGGGACAAAAGATGAGGTCGTTGGCTGAAGAGTTGATGTAGTATTGAACATAGTGCGGTAGCAAAATGGTTCTGTTCCTCATTATCCTTAAAGAAAAAGAAACACGTTGTCACTGCTGAGCTAGAACCTTGGAAGTGGTCGTCGATGATCGATCTCGCCAAGACAGACTTGCCGCAGCCCGGGTCGGCTGACACCCATAGAAGATCATTGCTGCTGCTTTCCCACCAGTGAATATATTCAGCGCTCTGTAGGGCCCATTGACAGGTTCCTTCCACTCTTCTGGGATTGATGTTCTTTTGCTCCTCGTAGTTTGAAATCTTAAAAAGTTGATGACAACGTTGTTGCTGATCTGTCAACGCTCTTGATTTCTGCTCATTGTGATGTTGTTCTTGTTGGTTGTATGCTCGGTCCAAGCGCTTGTTGGTGCCTTCGATTTCCTCTTTGAGTCCCGCTTGTTATAGAAGTTAATTACTTATTATTCAATATTAACAATTGAAGATTATACTTACAACACACATCTACCACCAAATTCTCTTGCGACACATGGGTTGTAGGTATATACCCTAGCAGCTCCTTAGCATATGATGCCGCTGCCAAGGCCGCATATCCTTGCCACTGCTTGTTTTTGTGGGTATCGGCGTAATCACAGATTCCGCGAACAACAATGCAAGGGAAGTCCATCATCAAGCCAGCTGCCTCCATCTCAAAGCACAAGGCCCCAGTGTTGAGCCTGAGCTGCTCGCGCGTGTATCCATCCTTGATAACAGCATTTCCAGATGCAATAATACCGTAGTGGGATTGTGGATCACTGGTCTCACGTTCACTTCGTGTTTCTTCCCATTCTAGTAAGCATCCATCACAAGTGCTTGCAGTCGTAGGATGAATGTGTTCGAGTTTGAAAAACCGGTCTTGTTGTGGTCGGTCAAAGTTCTTCCGAGTGCGTGCCGTTCTACCGATCGCCTTGAGGAGATATTCAGGATAGCAAGGATCATCCGTGAGCTCGGCGGCCCTCATCAAGTTGATTGCTGCTAACAGGGCCCTAGGAGGGCTGTTCAAAGAGCCAGCTCGATGAAACTCTCCTTTCGTACCGACCTTCCCCATATCGTATTGAAGCACTCCGCCAGAGGTGCCTTCAGGGCAGCTTATCACAACATCACCAAGCCGAATGTCATGAGTAGCCGACGGAATTCCACCGCCAACGCCGACCATCAACCCGACCCGCAGAGATTTCGAAAAGGTGCGGACCATATTATTTGCGACAGTCGTGGCCGACGTAGTTCCGTATTGGCCGCCTGGGAGGCAGGCGATCGCGACGTGGTGTTTGCCGATTCGACCTAGGGTATAGGTGTTTGAGTCGCTTGAATCTTGCACGTCGAGAATGCCAAAGCTTTCATCTAGCATTTCTTTGGCGGCGGCAGCCTCGATCGGCAGGGCACATATCCAACCGATCTGGAACGTCTCGAGTGGGGGTTGGGCCATCTCGGAGACCTGGTCTAGTTAGGAATCAAAGGTATATAGGTAAAGATATTGGAAAGATAGAAAAACGGGTGCAAATATTGATTTATTATCAGCGAATCTCGATAAGAAGAGCACCGATTTGGCATGGGAAACAGAACAGACGCCATTGTCAGCCGTAAAGGACTCAGCTTCGTGCTAAACACGTAGCCCAGCAGCGGGCGGCAAGAGATCAAATGCCATTGGCCGGGTGGAGGTGGTTTATCACGTGGTGGAACATTGAACGTGGTCGGTACGTCCCACGCCGTTCCTGGAGCAGCAACAGTGGTACAGTATGGCGCCAAGGCTTGAACCATGGCAGCATGAGCTCATTCGTGACATTATCCAGGATCGCGAGACATTCACTAACGCACAGATCGCCGAAGCTGTCCGCTGCACCCCACGGTCCATCAGCGCCATCCGATCGAATCTCAGATGCTTTGGAAATGTCCGAGCCCCTGCCAACGGTGTCGGTCGGCGACGGAGCATTACCCCACCCATGTTAGAAGCTCTCCGCGAACATCTTCTCGAAAAGCCCGATCTGTACCAGGATGAGATGGTGGTGTTTCTGTGGGATGAATTCCGTGTGCTTGTAACAATCTACAGCATTAGCAGGGCACTAGCGTCGATTGGTTGGACTAAAAAGGCAGCACGGAGGATAGCACGAGAACAAAATGCCGATTTACGAGATTACTACCTTCATTCGATATCGACCCTACCGATGGATGGACGAGGGCCGGCAAGCGAATGCATATTTGATACTCAAATTCTACCTTTTCTAATGATTGGAAACCTTGTCAAGTACTTAGAAAACACACCCAGAAGGTCCTTCTGGAAAGAAACAAAGGGCTTCTACCACTTGGTACCTAGCGTAAGCATTTAAGTAAGCCAAAATATATTGTAACTACCTTCGGGAGGTCTTAGAGGTCTCTAAGAACTAAGCTTCAAGTCGGGCGCTCACCCGTTATACTATATAGTCTGTTGAAGAAAATATCGGGCAGAATGTATTCCTAAGATTTATCCTCCTCCAGCAGGCCCCCCCAAACCACATCTGCAACACAGAGGCCCTGCGCCATCGCCGGGGCCACTCCCTTGATCAGACTACCGGCATCACCACAGACAAACACCCCTGGCACACTAGTCGCCCCAGTAGGCTCTTTGCACGCGATGACTGAGCCATGGCCAGGGATTTCGTTGATTTGGAGGCCTAGCTGTAGTGCTAGGTGGGCACTAGCGGGCCGAGTAAGTGTCTTATACACTAGGAAGTCAACACGCTCCGATTTGCCGCCCTCTAGATGAATATGAGCCCCAGGACCTTTGTTGGTAGGCAATGGCTCTAGACGGCTAATAGCTGTATGTTGTAGAGTAACGCCTTGGGCCAATGCGGGTGCAAATAGCTTCTCGGTCTCGCACTGCTGCTCTTTGGTGTAGAGACCATCGGTGTAGACAACCACGCGCTTATTAAAGCATCGTGCCCGTAAAGCAAGATGCACATAGTGCGCCGACAGGGGCTTAGCAAGGACCCCAACACCAAATGGACGCTCGGCTCGCTCAAAGCCGTCGCAAAGTAGACACTGGTAGATATGGTCAGGCCAGCAGGTCTCAAAGCCGGCGATCTCATTTGGGAGCTCATCGATAGCGCCGGTCGCGAGGATAAGGCGGCGACCCTGGTAAACCGCGCCCGTAGCTGTCTGAACCTCAAAGGCCGGGCTTTCTGGGGTACCAATCTGGGCGGCACGCTGGACAGTGTCAGACTCTAGGCGAATGTTCGGATATAGAGCTGTGATCTGATGCTGACTTTGAGTAAGGAAGTCGATCGGATTCATCCCTTCGCAAGCCAGAACGCCATGCATTGCATGGCTCGCCCGGTTTCGATAGTCAGAACCAGCGATGACCAGGACATGTCGGCGAGCACGACCCAGGGCGCTGGCTGCTGCAAGACCAGCCGGGCCGGCGCCGAGAATGAGGGCGTCAAATATCATAATGTGTATGGTTCATATGGCAGGAGAAGAAGCAGAGAGGCAGCAGATAATGACATGATTTCAAGTACTCCGCTCTGCGGTGGTACCACCGGGCGTCTGGAAGGCTCAAAATTAAGACGACACCAGACTGGCGAGAACGTGAGCTAGCTAATAATCAGCGATGTAACTCACTATCAAAGCACTGAACACTATTCGTCCAAAGGTCACAGACTTATGCAGCCAATCTTGGCACTAAAGCTTAGCCTGGCACTATGATGCAAGCACGGCGATAAGGTAAGCTAGCTTATCAGCGATGTAACTCCCGAGAGAGACTACATGTCAGCTCAGCCCAATTTTTATCGGCGCTCATCCATAAGTCTTTCCGTCCCCATATGACCTGAGCCGACCCTCTTTCAAAAATTAACCTCTTACACACCATAACACATCGTTAGCAACTAATTTGGTCTAATATTGCTAAGTGTAAATATGTCCTTTAGTTACAGTTCTTCGGTCGCAAAATTAATATATACTCTTTAAAACCTTTTTAGGTTATTAGCTAACTCGCTATATAGAAACTGTGACGCATGACAGAACGATGGACAGAGATCGCCTGATGGACGTGGAGTGAGGGGAACACCTGACCAAACTAACCTGATGGGGCCTGTTTGCATAAGCCCCCCAATTGCGGTTTGGTTTTTTGCGGTTTTGCGGTTTTGCGGTTTTTGGCGCAGTCTATGTACATTGTTCAAGCTAAACAAGCCAAACGACAAGCTGGCCTCTCGGAGCCGATATAACCATTTCCATATCCGAAGCGCCATGTCACCATCCTCATTCTCGACAACTTTCCGACAATCCAAGACAAGTTTGTCAATGACACTCCATTCGCCCGGGCTCCCAACAAGGCGGCGGTTCCTGGAGAAGTGGAGCTTGTCCGAGCCCCTCCACTCGAAGTTAGTTACCCGCGGGAAGTGCTGACTGTCTGACTCGCGGGGCTCGCAGGACCTAGCGAGATCGTCCAGAAGGGAAGCTTTTCCTTTCCTTCTCCCTAAAACCGCACTGTGGACGAAATAAGAATCATGCCACAAAGAAGTGCGTCGGACATTTTGAGAGATGCTTCGATCGACTTGACCTCGTACGAGGATCTCTACAAGCAATTCCACGCCCATCCCGAACTCTCACTGCAAGAGGATTGGACATCTCGAACGGTTGCGGCCCATCTGGCCCAATTAAATGCCTACGAAATCCACACCCGCATTGGTGGCTATGGGCTCGCTGGAGTCCTCAAAAATGGAGAGGGAAAGACCATCCTCCTGCGCGCTGACATGGACGCCCTTCCGGTCAAGGAACTCACGGGTCTTCCATACGCGAGTTCGGTCACCATGCGCGACGCCGATGGGATTGAGAAACCGGTGATGCACGCCTGTGGTCACGACATGCATATGACCTGTCTGCTCGCTGCGGCGGAAACGCTTGCCAAGATGCAGGATGCATGGAGCGGCACGTTGATCGTGCTGTTCCAGCCGAACGAAGAACGGGGTGCCGGCGCTCAAGCGATGGTAGACGATGGCCTCTATTCAAGGATCCCGGTTCCAGATTATGTCTTTGGCCAGCACGTCATGCGCATGCGCGCCGGGCGCATTGGCTCCCGTCCGGGAACGATCATGGCGGCGGCCGATAGTCTGAAGATCACCGTCTACGGGCGCGGTGGGCACGGTTCACTGCCTCATCAGACCGTCGACCCGGCGCTTCTTGCTGCGCACATTGTTGTGCGACTGCAGGGCATCGTGAGCCGAGAGGTTGACCCCAGTGACCTGGCGGTTGTGACCGTCGGCAGTCTCCAAGCCGGGCAGACCGAGAACATCATTGCGGACCGGGCTGAAATTGGGCTCGATTTCCGAACTGTCAAGCTGGTGACCCGAGAGAAGATCATCACTGCGATCCAGCGGATTGTGGAGGCCGAATGCATGGCCAGCGGCTCGCCCAGGCCACCCGAGTTCACGCCGACGCGGCGGTTCCCGCCCACCGACAATGACACACAGCTGGCGGCGCAGCTGGCCGCCTCTTTCGAACAACATTTCGAGGACTTTGACGGCGATACCCCGAGAACCAATGTGAGCGAGGATTTCTCGACGCTGGCGACTTGCCGAGGTCTTCCCAGCTGCTTTTGGCTCCTGGGTGGGATTGACCCTGCACTCTGGGATCGGGTGCATCAGAACGACAATCAGCATCCCACCGAGGAGATCCCCGGCAACCACTCGGCCCGTTTTGCGCCCATCATCCAACCCACGATGCAGGCGGGGGTGGATGCACTTTGCCTGGCTGTCTTGACTTTTCTGAGAAAGTAGATGAATAGGGCCCAGAGCAGTAGCCATCGAACACTAGAAATGAGATCTGTACCGTCCTAGCGCGAGTTCTCTTCTGTAGTGGCATTGCCCGCCTCCTGGAAAAAGGCTGTGTGGACGGGAGGACGATGGGGGAGAGCAAGTCGACAAACTACACGATTTGCAAAGGGCAATCTGTTTCCTGGCCGGGCGTGTTCACCGATTTTGTACAGTACACCCTGTACTATACAGAGTACGGAGTACAATACATGACTGTACAGCAGTCACCACACTTCGTTGCCGTCACAACTCACAGTTCAGCCCTACCAAACACCCCCACGGTGCGTGGCGGGCCCTGCCGATCGCCAAACAACGTCGCTGCTTCTCGGCCGGCGCCGCTGGTCCCCTCAGGGCCCAAGCGCCCTAACTGCATTTTCGTCCTTGGCCGCCGATTTTTTCCATTCTTCCACTCTTCCCCTCCACCCTGCAGAGTTCTCCTCCCTCTCGTCCCCCTTCCGCCTCTTCTTCCCGGCGGTCAATTTGCGCATCCCGACGTGCCCCCGGTCGGAACAGATCCGTCATGGAGAAGCCCACCCAAGCCTCGGCGGTACCCGATCTCGAGGCCAGCCCATCGCCCGATAAGCCTCGTGAGTCGACGGTCACGCGACAATGGAAACAAATCCTGGACCCGTCCCATGCGGACCTCGTGTGTCTGCTGTTGTGCTTCTTGACGGGACTGTGCGATAGCAGCGCGTACAACGCCTGGTCCTGCTTCCTGGGCATGCAAACCGGTATGACTCCAGGATTCCCCCGCCCTTGCGCCGACACCCCCTTAGGGATACTAATGCATCTGGGACGACAGGCAATACCATCTTCCTGGGCCTCGGAGCCTCCAACCAGCCCAGCAGCAAGCCGTGGGGCTGGCTCAAGTCCCTGGTCTCCATCGCTGCCTTCTTCTCCGGTGCCATGATCTTCTCGGCCGTGACGCGCCGCGTGGGAGCCCTGCGCCGCGGCACCCTCTTCCTGTCCTTCCTCATCCAGACCATCCTGATCATCATTGCCGTGGCCTTGATCCAGGCCGACCTTATTCCGCATACCTCGACCGACATGACTCTGGATGGCGGCCCCCTTTTCCTCGAGCTGATTCCGATCGGCCTCTTGGCATTCCAATCGGCGGGCGGCATGACCTGCAGCCGATCGCTTGGGTACAACGAGATCCCGACCGTGGTCTTGACCAGTGTGTACTTTGACATTGCGTCCGACCCGAAGATCACCGACAAGCCCACCACCAACGTCAAGCGCAATCGCCGGATCGGCGGCGTCGTCTCGCTGCTGATCGGCGCCATTGTCGGCGGATGGCTGAGTCGCAGCAGTGGTGGCATGGAGTCGGCATTGTGGATGGCCGCCGGCTTGAAGCTCGTTGCCGCCATTGGCTGGTTGTTCTGGAAGGCTGCTGCGCCCAAATAGAGCTCGAGGGATGCAGAGCGAGCCGCCCTGCCAGGATCGCGCCCACAACGGACGGATTTTTACACGTACATATTGATAGATCCCGTTGCGATGCGGCTGGTGGGGATTGCTTGAGACGCGCTCGGCAAAGACGACGCGCATTGCAGTACTGATTCAGCGAGATAATGCATATAGAGTATCTACACGGTACAGAGATAGATAGATCCCGATTCACAGGCATTAATTACCATTAGCTTGTGGGCGGACATGAAAATGATTTTCGAGTATTCCCGGCTCCTACACTCCTCACCGAGTATGAATCAATTACATGAGCGAGGAAGGTCCTTGCTGGCCACGAGACCAACACCGTAGTGTGGATAGCCTCCTTTCTCGCCCGTAATTGGCAAGGACTATCCCGCGGAGGCAGCATGACTGGCAATCGATCTCCAGTCAAGGGGATTAGGGAATATGCCGGCCGAGAACCTGTTTCGCAGTGGGGGAAACAACCCCTGCGATAAGCTGGTAGCTGGCACCATCGCAGCCTGAAATGGTGCCATTCCCACCGAGTGGGGGTCGAGGGGGGGCTTATCACTGCGTCGAATCTCCGCGCTGCCACTGGCCCGCTGATGAGCTGAAAGCCGGTTGGATGCACGGAGCAGTGCATCTACACTGTGTACTCCGTCCCTATGCGTCTCGATGTCGGTAGATTTAAGCTTAACTGATACCCAGCCTCTTAACTCGCGAACTCCCCTCTCCATCGCCCTTCGACTTGGCCTTCTCTTGCAGAAACCCCCGCCTCCATGTGGCCATGTGGGGCCATGTAGATAAGCAGTAACCACCTAACTGCCGTTGCTCGTCGATACTCAACCGTGACAATCAGTCACTAAGCGGCCACCAAATCCCGCTTGGACCGCTGCCACCCCACCAACCGAGTGCGGCCGCTGCGATCGCGATGCTTTTCTCTTGAGATCGCCCGTCCATGACCAGATCCTGCCAAGACCCTCGGGATCCCGACCACCGGCCAGGGCTGCCATGAGGGAGACGGGACTACCTTCTCCGCGTGCGGAACCCTCGGAGGGACAGGGTGCCCTTGAGCTGCAGGAGATGCAGACTCGCGAGGACGAGGAGCAGCTGGGCTACTCGTCCGCGTCAGCCTCGTCGGGAGAAGAGTATCGAGTCACCAGGCGAGCTACATCTCGTTCAACTGCGCGGCGCCCTCAAACCCCGGAGAAGGGCTCATGGAGCAAATTCGCTCGGTTCTGGACACACCATGTGACTCTGACAGTGCCCCAGCGAAGCAACCGTGACTACTTTGGTGAGTTTACTAGACCCCCTCCGTCCTCGTCTATAGTCGTCTCAATCCCGGAGGGCCCTGCAGAAAATGGGTACTCCTCCCTGACCGAACGGCTACTGACAACATCTAGCTTTGGAGAGAACATTCCTCGCATATGTCCGCACCTCGGTGACCATCGCGATGCAAGGAGTGGTGATTGCGCAGCTATTCCGCCTTCAGCCAGCAGAGGACCGGCTCAAATTCTACAAAGCGGGCAAGCCGGTATCCGTAGCCTGTCACTGCGTAGCCATTATCGTTGCCCTGATTGGAGCGTATCGATTCTGGAGACAACAAAATGCTATTTCCCTGGGCAAGGTGCATGCTGGAGGATGGGAGCTGAACGCCGTGGGGTTTCTACTTTTTGCAGTAAGTCTGGTATTTCCCCATGGCTGTTGGTGCATGAAGGGTGGATGCATAGCTGACAATTCCAAAGATCTTTTTGATCACGCTGATTCCGTCCGTTGCGATCATTATTGAGACCGATTGAATCCAACCGTGCTGACGCGGCCTGCTGGGTGGAAACAATTCTTGCCCTACGCAGTCTGGTAGAATAGCCAGTTCCGACGAAGGTGGGCGTATTTACAGGGCGAGAATTCCCTTCTTTTGCGTTCTACAATACCATTGGGAATCAAATTCACGAGAAGCGACCCGAGCACGCTCGAATATGTAAAGGCGGTACAGCAATATTCGAAATTGGCTTCCATGTTTTACACAGAGAATTATCTCACGCCCCACCGCCAATACAATGGTGGAAACTACCTAGGTTAGACTCGGCTAGGCTGCAAAATCATCCTTGTTTTGAACAGTCTGGGCGTATGGTACGGAATATGGAACGTAATACGGGCCCATAAGTTACCCCGTTTATTCAAAAAAAAGATTTCTGGAAACTGTCATACAGACAGACGGAGTTTTGTTGCCCAAAGGCTCTGAGAGTTAATGGATTGAATAGGAGCTCCTTCCTGAATACTACTATACACAAGCTATATCTTTCAGTGAGTTTGATGGAATCACAACTGGTGGATATTATATGTAAATGCTTATCGTAAAAGAAAGAGAGCTGTTCGTCTTGGCGATAACAAGATTTGTTGATCCCCTTATCTTTCACTATTATATACCAAAACAAGCTTCCTTCCATGGCAATTGAATAGGTTGAAGCCCTATTTTCTGCTGAAGAGGCGCGAGAAAATGTTGCGCCTACCATGTCGGTCAGGTTTGGAAACTGGCTCAGAGGTTTCTGTGGGACTGGCTAGGATTTGGTCATCTTCTGTTTCAGTCGGCGCTTTAACAAGCTCGAAAGATGAAGACTCACCCTTCCCACGCCATTCATTTAGGGTAGACTTGAAGGACATAGTATGTGGATGGTCAGGGCCTAGTTTTCGGTCGCAAAGTGGAACACATTCGCCCATCAACAGCAAAGCGGCTTTGCGTTGACCCGATGAGCGAAGGGTATAAGCGAGATTGGCCATACTCGTCAGCGTGTCAGGATGGTCGGCGCCGAGCTTCGTCTTGCTCGTCTCCATGACCTGTACATCAAGCTGCTCCGCCTCTTCCCACCGGCCCTGGTTCCAGAACGTCGACGCCAGATTGGCTATACTCGTCAGCGTGTCAGGATGGTCGGCGCCGAGCTTCGTCTTGCGAGTCTCCATGACCTGCACAAAGAGCTGCTCCGCCTCTTCCCACCGGCCCTGTATCCTATACGTCGACGCCAGATTGGCCATACTCGTCAGCGTCTCAGGATGGTCGGCACCGAGCTTTGTCTTGCTTGTCTCCATGACCTGCACAAAGAGCGGCTCCGCCTCTTCCCACCGGCCCTGGTTCCAGAACGTCGACGCCAGATTGGCTATACTCGTCAGCGTGTCAGGATGGTCGGCGCCGAGCTTCGTCTTGCTCGTCTCCATGACCTGCACCTCGAGCTGCTCCGCCTCTTCCCACCGACCCTGGTTCCTATACGTCGACGCCAGATTGGCCATACTCGTCAGCGTCGAGGGATGGTCGGCACCGAGCTTTGTCTTGCTTGTCTCTATGACCTGCACAAAGAGCGGCTCCGCCTCTTCCCACCGGCCCTGGTTCCAGAACGTCGACGCCAGATTGGCTATACTCGTTAGCGTCGAGGGATGGTCGGCGCCGAGCTTCGTCTTGCGAGTCTCCATGACCTGTACCTCGAGCTGCTCCGCCTCTTCCCACCGGCCCTGGTTCATATACGTCAACGCCAGATGGGCTATACTCGTCAGCGTGTCAGGATGGTCGGCGCCGAGCTTCGTCTTGCGAGTCTCCATGACCTGCACCTCGAGCTGCTCCGCCTCTTCCCACCGGCCCTGGTTCATATACGTCAACGCCAGATTGGCTATACTCGTCAGCGTGTCAGGATGGTCGGCGCCGAGCTTCGTCTTGCGAGTCTCCATGACCTGCACAAAGAGCTGCTCCGCCTCTTCCCACCGGCCCTGTATCCTATACGTCGACGCCAGATTGGCCATACTCGTCAGCGTCTCAGGATGGTCGGCACCGAGCTTTGTCTTGCTTGTCTCCATGACCTGCACAAAGAGCGGCTCCGCCTCTTCCCACCGGCCCTGGTTCCAGAACGTCGACGCCAGATTGGCTATACTCGTCAGCGTCGAGGGATGGTCGGCGCCGAGCTTCGTCTTGCGAGTCTCCATGACCTGCACAAAGAGCTGCTCCGCCTCTTCCCACCGGCCCTGGTTCATATACGTCAACGCCAGATTGGCTATACTCGTCAGCGTGTCAGGATGGTCGGCGCCGAGCTTCGTCTTGCGAGTCTCCATGACCTGCACCTCGAGCTGCTCCGCCTCTTTCCACCGGCCCTGGTTCCAGAACGTCAACGCCAGATTGGCCATACTTGTCAGCGTCGAGGGATGGTCGGCGCCGAGCTTCGTCTTGCTCGTCTCCATGACCTGCACCTCGAGCTGCTCCGCCTCTTCCCACCGGCCCTGGTTCCAGAACGTCGACGCTAGATTACCCATACTTATAAGCGTATCAGGATGGTCGGCGCCGAGCTTCGTCTTGCGAGTCTCCATGACCTGCACCTCGAGCTGCTCCGCCTCTTCCCACCGACCCTGGTTCCTATACGTCGACGCCAGATTGGCCATACTCGTCAGCGTATTAGGATGGTCGGCGCCGAGCTTCGTCTTGCGAGTCTCCATGACCTGCACCTCGAGCTGCTCCGCCTCTTCCCACCGGCCCTGGTTCATATACGTCAACGCCAGATTGGCTATACTCGTCAGCGTGTCAGGATGGTCGGCGCCGAGCTTCGTCTTGCTCGTCTCCATGACCTGCACAAAGAGCTGCTCCGCTTCTTCCCACCGGCCCTGTATCCTATACGTCGACGCCAGATTGGCCATACTCGTCAGCGTCTCAGGATGGTCGGCACCGAGCTTTGTCTTGCTTGTCTCCATGACCTGCACAAAGAGCGGCTCCGCCTCTTCCCACCGGCCCTGGTTCCAGAACGTCGACGCCAGATTGGCTATACTCGTCAGCGTCGAGGGATGGTCGGCGCCGAGCTTCGTCTTGCGAGTCTCCATGACCTGCACCTCGAGCTGCTCCGCCTCTTCCCACCGGCCCTGGTTCCTATACGTCGACGCCAGATTGGCCATACTCGTCAGCGTCGAGGGATGGTCGGCGCCGAGCTTCGTCTTGCGAGTCTCCATGACCTGCACATCAAGCTGCTCTGCCTCTTCCCACCGCCCCAGCTGTCGGTGTGCGCCGGCTAACATCTCAGAGCTATCGAGGGTCTGTTCACCCTCCGAGCCAAACATTAATACCCTTTGCTTCCGCGATTTAGATGCCATATCCATTGATTCCGCAATATTTCCGCTCCCCTGCGCATACCATGCCCCTTTGTAAAGCAGTGTAGCCCATTTTCTTCGTGAGTCTTCTGATTCTGGTCGTTGTGACATGGCTGATTTCACATGTGGAAAGAGCGACTGGCACTGTGCCCAGTTTTCATATTCACCTGTCGGAAACCTTTGGCACAGGATCATGATAAATTGCTCCTTCCATCGCTCCAGCTGTCCGCCAGTTTTCAGCCACACACGCACAGTAAGTTGCACCAGCCGATGCATTGTGAACACTGTGTTGTCCTTATTGATAGAGATAAATGAAAAGTCTCTTAATGTTGTGATATCATCCTCAAAATTATAATCCGTCTTAGATTCAGACGTGCTATCCGTATCCTCGTCAATGTGCTCCAACGTAATCTCCTCCGAGCTCGAATCGTCGGTTTTGACGTCGCATTGAACTCGGAGAAGATCCTCTGAGACTCCCTGTCGGTCAAAAAAGCTCATGAGAGAGAGCAAATCAGCGGCCGACGGTCTTATTCGTCGAATATGGTCGAAGGATATTTGCCACGTAACCAGAATCGAATTCTTTGCCTCCCAATCTCGATAGAGATGACCAGCCTCATAATCAAGAAGCTTTGTCGCTTCGCGATCACTTTTCCGAAATATTTCTAGGTACCGGGAGACAGAACAGCGAGGCGCTCGATGTACGATGTAGCCGGCCGCCTGTATGATCGCTAGTGGCATGAACTCTAGTTCTTCCGCCAACTTTAGAATATCAGGGGTTTCCGCTGGCAGTCCAACTTTTCGTTGGAGAAGTTCTAGCGCCTCGGGCTTTTTCATTGGTTCGACTTTAATGATGTCCTGGTGAACGACAATTTTCAACGCTACCTCTTGGCTCCGACTTGTGATAATTATTGATCCGTTCGGGCTTTGGGGGAGAAATTCTAATAGTGGCTTTGTTGGGGCGTTGGTTTGGCCGACCTTCAGACCCTGCTGACTTGTCGCTAAGGGCTGGCGAAGGAACCCATCGTCATCAATATTATCAAGAATCAGCAACCACTTTCCTCTCTTGCCATCCTGGAGCCAGCTTTCAACTAGTTGGAATATGTTCACTGTGGGATCCTGGCGCCCGACCATCTTAGCCTGGTCGGCGATATCCCGGAAACTTTGCTCAAACCGGACCGCGTTACTTGCATGGACCCAAAAAACCCAGGTCGCCGGTGATTGGGATCGGACTCGGTAGGAGTATTCGATACTAAGTTGCGATTTCCTATCGATTGTTAGCATTGACCCACCCGCTAACCCCCTTGCACTCACCCGACACCACCGATGCCCACAAGAGCTATCCTGGAACCTGGGACTGAGATCTTTCTATGTATCTCATCGAGCAGTGTGTCGCGACTGACAAAGGCTGGGTCGCGGGGAAACGGGACGGTCGATAGAGGGGCTGGTGGAGTTTCTGGTCGCTCTGGGTTAACGGTGATTAGTCAATTTCAGCTTGGCAGGGGTTTTATGAGACCTACCCGGGGGAAGATGGATCGATCCATTATTGGTTCCCACCTGCGTACCCCGGTTTCCGTCACCAAACGATATAGATAAAGATGCCATAGCTAACATGCGATGTAGACACTGCTTTGGTTCTGGGGTAGAGGGAAGGTCCCTACCCAGGCGGAGTTCATTCTCAATCTTACTATCAGGTGACTTTTCTAGGCGCTAAAATGTGTTCGGTGTTCAATTCTAAATTTAGAACAAGGTGTGGACGGCTCTCTCTGAGCCATTCGAAAGGAAGAAGCGGGGACTTCGGGCGTATTGTCTTGTCAGGTAACTTACATTTCCATTATGGGTGATCTGTAGCCTAACCTAGATTAGCCTAAGCCGTTTTACCATCGTCTTGGCGGTGGGGCTCGGGATAGTTTCTGTGTGCAAAACATGGAAGCCAATTTTGAATATTGCTGTACAATGCTTCTAATCCACGGCTAAGCCGGTGAAGGTCCACACCCTCACGAACGCCTGGACGCATCAAATCTCTCTATACCCCAAGCTCTCTTGCGTTAAGACTGTACACACGGTAGAACCCACAAGATAGATCATGTGGAGAGAAAGGACGGATTCACGAATCAAATTGGAGCGGGGAAGCTCAGCAGCTTACAAACATCCTGCATTCAATGTTAGTAAAAGCACCAGGATGATTAAGACCGCTTGCAAGTAATGCGCACCTTTCGCTTTCGCCGGAACTGATCGTAGAGCTCCTTCCAGACCTCGCGATCGCGGCAATCGCTCTCTTGCGGAGTCCCTGGATTTTGGTTGCATGCGGGTTGCAGCGCGGCCAGCTGTTCCTGGGGCCACATCACCCAAGGCTTGGGCAACGGCCAGTCAGAAAAGTGCACAAACTTGGCCTCCGCTAACACCTTGTCAGGATTCCACTGCTCGTGCTCGGTGCCCAAGAACCTGCGATGATTCTTGGTGCGGAATTCTCCTGAAATCAGACCGTACTGTCGGTGTGGGAGGACGAGAGCATTGTCCCCGTAACGACTGTTGAGGATCTCCATGTCGTACCGGCTATTGGTGATATTGATTTGACCGAAGATCGCCGGCTTGACCGCTTCTTTCAGATAGGTAAATTCGCGGTAGGACGGTTCAATGACGGCGAGAAGGGACGAGAGGGTTTGCGTCTCGGGCAAGAGCCAGTATGCCCGGGGCATGGCAATGGTGGTGGGGGGAAGGAAAAACAGCTCATCCATGGGCTGCAAGAGCATCATGTCGGAGTCGAGATGGATGACTCGATCGTACTGGACCACGCCGAAAGCGTACAGTTTGGCGGTGCTGGTATCCCAGGAGGACTGGGAAGACTCTAGTAGTCAATGGAATGTCAGCCTCCAGAGTCATGTATGAGTTAACTGCCAACCACGTCTGTCTCAACAGCAAACTCACCTCCTCCGCCAGCCGACTCCGCCATGATGCCTTCGATGGTGACCGGCACCATCTGCACATTGTACTGTTCCTTGGCCAGCACCAACAGCTGGCTAATGCGGTCTGTATCGTCCTCGATCACCAGATCCCACTCCTTCGGGTAGAACAGCAAACGGTCCGCGCGAGACCCCAGCCGGTGCAGGGCCTCAAACACCATGACACAGTTGCAGAGATAAGTCTCACTAGTCGCATATTGTGTATACGCAAAGCGCGACCAATCAACTTCATCGTAATGAATATGGGGGAGCGGCAGGGGAGGAAGCGGAGTACGGCGCATCCACTTGATCAACAAGAATAACACCAGCACGACGACCCAGGTGCGGACGTGGCGTAGCTGCCGCTTGGCGACGGACAGAATTGGCTCATCGGGAATGTCGAAAAAGTCCTTCTCCGAAGTATTGGATCCCCGGCGATAGGGGAATGCGGAGCTTTTGATCGCCATCTAGACTGTCGAAGAGGCAGGCGACGGGCAACCTTAGCGGCCTCGTCGCAGGGCGGAGCCTTGGCGCTCCTTATCATCACGTGGTCGTTATTTAGAGGATCCTGATCCACTGCTGGTAGCCTGGAAATACAGGCCATATAAACAAGAACTGCAACGAAGGGTGACAGGAGGGTAATAGGAGGGGTAACAGGAGGGGTGACAGGAACAACGACGCTCTGTCCATGCGGTGGCTGCGTGCTGTACCGGACTCCGTCGGGAGGATTTTCGAAAGGGGGGTGCATATCCTCGACAGATAAAGATAAATCTACAACTGTGACTTGTACATGAGATATATATCTCTCTACTCCGTGAGATCCAAACTGCAGGAAATCAGGCATGGAAAAAGCTCTACCTATCAGGTCTGGAGCATAGTACCACCTAGTCGCACGTTAATCTCGACGATGTGATTGATATTGTACCCAGTAGAATAGTCTGAATGCATCCAAGGGCCTTATCAACCGGCGGTCTGGAATCGAAACCCCGGAAGGATCGGCGGGGCCTCACCATCCCCAGTCATGGCGACATCAGCCAGGTTGGTCTCAGTAGAGGGCGCTAGGAGCTCCATCGTTCTTCACTTTAGGGCTCCACAATAGTTGACTAGTTGCATCATTGCGTCGTGATCAACGGTAGCAGAGTGAGCAAAGTGAGGTGATACATCGCGGAGATGGCGCCATCACGTGGATCCACCTTACCTAATCCCCACACTGGGTGGGTCACGAGGCCTCGCCGGTCTTGGGTTATCCAATCACCCCAGTGTTAGTTTCACCGCCTTCGAGTCGCCTTCCGTTGCGTGATCCTCGACAATTCTCCCTCATCGGACTCATCTATTCCCTGCAGCACGAACATTCACGGCACTGGGCTTGTGCAATCGCCACTTAGCCAGGGCCACCGACTATTTGAATCGGATCCCTCGTTCCCTACGACCTTCAAGTCCCTTCTTTCCCTCGATAGCGTGTACCTCGACCATCTACGATCACTGGCAAATCTTATCTTGACTTTCAAGGTATCCGCCAGGGTCCTCGTTATCCACGATTGCCCCAGTGGCCTGCTGTGCCCCGACACTGGCGCCTTGGTGGATGCACAACCCTTCCTTCGCAAAAGTCATCGCTTCACCTTCCTGAGCGATCAGATCAGCTGCGCCTAGCGACTTGCAAGCACAATCGCCAACTGTTACGACGGACCTACCCTCAACCTTATCGATCTGCTTTGGGCCAGACAGACGCGATTACCTCACGGCGAAAGCCACTGTTTCTCTTTGCACAACTCGGTCTGATCCACTCACCATGGAGTCGACGCCGAAATTATCGTCGACTGTGACGGACTTGACGGCCAGAACGCGAAAAGATGGAATGACCGCTGATTCCAATTGCTTCCCACCCCATGATACCAACGACACCGCCACCAGCGACGCTCTGACGGAACTGGCGAAGCAGAATGTCGCACCATTCCTCGCCAAGTACCATCCACGGCAATATGCGCCCCTGCGATCGGAGGACGGCACACCCTCGGTGCCGCGGACGGGAAATGCAGGCTACTGTTATCGTCACCAGCCTGACTCGAAGTGCAGACGCCAGGCGGATGAACAATCCATGCGCCAGTTACAGCGGGTAGGCTTTCTGACCCCCGTTCATTTTCTGTAGCTAATGACCATCTCTAGGAACTGGAAACGCTTCCCCAGAGTGATCAGCAGGGTATTGCTCATGTCTGGTCGCTCTTCTCTGCCGCCCCCGCCAAGCAGCGCAAGCTGATGCTGCAAGGCATTTTAGCCCAGTGCTGCTTCCCTCAGCTTTCCTTCATCTCCGCCAGTGTCCGAGAACTCATCCGCATCGATTTCCTTGCCGCCCTCCCCCCGGAGCTTTCGTTCAAGATTCTCCGATACCTCGACACCGCCTCCCTCTGCCGCGCCGCACAAGTATCCCATCGATGGAGAGCTCTTGCTGATGACGACGTTGTCTGGCACCGGATGTGCGAGCAACACATTCGCCGGAAGTGCAACAAGTGTGGCTGGGGCTTACCTTTGCTGGATCGCAAGCGTTTGCGGGAGTCAAAGCGCGAAATCGAGTTGCGTGCGACCAACTGGGGCAACCAGTCCTCCAACCACTCGGGCGAAGGTGCCCCCAATGACACCTGTTCAGTGGTGGAACTTCCTACCGGCGGAAAGCGCAAGATTGATGCCGACGACCAAAGCTGTGCTATGATTAAACGCCACTGCATTTCGCCAGCGTACAAGCCCGAGCCGGATGACGATTACTTCAAGACACGGTATCGACCTTGGAAAGACGTCTATCGCGATCGCTTTGTCGTTGGCATGAACTGGAAGCACCGACGCTGCTCGGTTAAGGTTTTCCGAGGTCACACCGACAGCGTGATGTGCCTGCAGTTCGAGGACAACATCTTGATGACTGGCTCGTACGATGCGACTATCAAAATCTGGGATATGGAGACTGGAGAGGAGCTGCGGACCCTCCGGGGACATACTGCTGGCGTGCGCTGTTTACAATTTGATGATACCAAATTGATCACAGGCAGCCTCGATCGCAGCATCAGGGTGTGGAACTGGCGCACCGGCGAATGCCTCTCCAAGTATAACGGCCACACAGAGGCGGTCATTGGCCTCCACTTCGATGCCACTCTCCTTGCGTCCGCCTCGGTTGATCGGACTGTCAAGATCTGGAACTTCAAGGACAAGTCGACATTTGTTCTGCCTCATCCCGAGGGTGTCAACGCCGTCAAGATAGACACCACCTCCCGTACCGTTCTGACTGCGTGTGATGACGGCGCAGCACGTCTGTGGGATCTTGATACCAAGACTTGCATCCGCGTTTTCCACAATCATATCGGTGCGGTGCAACAAGTCATTCCGTTGCCGCGTGAGATCGAACTGGAGAACCATCTCGCCGACTGCGAAAATGACCATTTCAGTACCTCCTCCCAGAACGATGACGCGGTCAACATCCTCTCGCCTCTCCTGGGGCACAAGTCTCTATCCCTACAACCTTCACCCTTTGGCTCTTCTTTCGACCAGGATCAGGATCGCTTGGAACCCCCGCGCTACATCATCACCAGCGGTGTCGACGCGACTATTCGGCTGTGGGAAACCAACACTGGCAGATGCCTGCGCACCTTCTTCGGGCACCTGGAGGGCATCTGGGCATTGTCAGCCGATACCTTACGCATTGCCTCGGGCGGCATGGACCGAATGGTCAAGATCTGGGACCCTCGCATCCCGACATGTCAAGACACTTATGAAGGCCACTCTGCCGCTGTCAATTGCATCGGGCTTAGTGATAGTCGCTTCGTCACAGGTGGTGACGATTATCACGTCCGCATGTATGACTTCCGGGCCTAAGTCTCCCCTTCACATCCTCTACCTCTCCCAACACTATTCTCCAATCGCCTTCTTCCTGCCTTTCATTTTTCCTTTTCATTTATTTCTGGTGTTATTATGGTCGATGGTTAGATACCCGGGCGCATTTCAGAAACATTGAATTTATTTTGTACAACGCAGCACGGCTCGGTATCTCATGGGTTGGGCTGTTCCTGGTATCGATGAATGCATAAGTGCATTAGCGGCGCTGGAAGGGGCTTTTTTCTAATATGATTGCTCAAGGTTCATCTTAATTAAAATACTATCTTTATCCCACATACTGTATTGAGTTATTGCAATGTATTTCCATGCCAGCTTCCACCGTGGTAGCGTGTTGGTAGTCCGTTGTTCCACTTTATTCCGTGGCGCACTTGCAGCACCCAAAATTTGATTGATCTTGGATCTCGTAAGAGGCGCTACAGTAATATTCGAAATTAGATATACCCCTACACTCTTTGACTTTCATTCCCGAACCGTACAACCATCCTAAAAGTAGCAGACTCGTAAGGTCTCCGGTAGTTCTACATATTATTGTACAGTATATTGCCATAGATGAGTCACCGTTATAGTACCGAAATATTACATAGAACCATCCAGACTCGCTACTTTACAGTAACATCGGCGGATTTGTGAAGGGTAATGCCGGCTTACAGGTGACCACTTGGTCATGAATCTGCAAGACAGTGGGGGGCCTCGGGTCGAATTCGGCTGAACTCGACCGAGTTCACCTAAAACCCCAAGCCAGAAGAAATAGACGGGTCATTTCCCCGAAACTGAGTATTCGTGTGATTATCCAACTCTCAAGACTCGGTCAAAATGTCGGGTAGCTCGATCCCCGAAGAATCCCGGCGGAAAAGAGTTCGTAAGGGAACGAAGAGCTGCTGGGAGTGTAAGCATCCATCTCCGCAACGAAGCACGAGACTAACGGTGAATAGGTAAAAGGAGGAAAATCAAGTGTATTCCCTCCAGAGATCTCTCTATCTGCACTGGCTGTCTAGAAAGAAGCACTCCGTGCCTCAGTCAAGAGTGGGTGGATGATCCTTCACCACACCATGCTGACGAGTCAGCGTTGGCTCGGCGCATGGCAAGAGTAGAGGCATTATTAGAGAGCCTGATGGAGACAATGAACGGGGGCCAGCAGCGTGACTTTGGTACTTTATCCATTCCAGCGACGGCGAAAGAGTCCCGACCTCTCTTCCCATCACTGTGTAATGGATCCGGGGTGCAGGCCGAAGTTGGTATCCTGATGGGAAAGCTTGAGATTCTACGCCAACGACTAGCTACGATGTTGCCTTGTCAAGCGGATGTAGATTGCCTCTTCTCCTCGAGTCATGGATGGTGGCTTATCCAGCAACATATGATGCCGTATCTACCAGACTTAACTGAGAATGACTTTCACGGGTTGTTCAATGTCTCCAATGTCTCAAAACGGACATCCGTTAACTATAGCGAGACTACTTCTCTGTATCGCGATCTGCATTCAGCAGCTTCCACCTGACATGGATATGCGAAAATTCCAGACTAAAAAACCACTTCGAGATATGATGAGCGATATCACTGACTTTCTCGTCCGAAAAGTCACTTCTGATGACGAGCAGATTGGAAGCATTGAAGGTATTGAATGTCTTGCACTTCAGGGAATTTACGAGGTCAATGCCGGCAATCTTCGAAGATCATGGCTTTCATTTCGGAAAGCCATCGCGATAGCTCAGCTTTTGGGCCTGCACAGAGTGGCTGTCAATTCGTCCCAGGAAGGGCTTGATTTCATGAAGACAAAATGACGTCATTTATGGTATCAGGTATCGAGAGGAGTATGTGGCTCACCTCGGGTTGCATAGACTCATGCTGAACCCGACTAGGAACGGTACCTCTCCACCCTGCTCGGCGTACCGTCAGGTACAGGCTCAGCAGCCTTCCCCTTTGACGACGATGCTGCTTGGCTCTCCCAAGAAGATCTTTACCATAAACATCTATACCATATAGCTGGCCTTATTCTTGCTCGCAACCAAGAAGATTATACTCATTCCTTCTCCACTACTCAGAGAATTGGTGAACAACTCGATTCGCTCGCAGATCAAATGCCGTTAGTCGGTGGGAAATACCTACTAGCATACTCAAGAGCCGCACAAAAGAAGCATCTGTCCAGTTCGAGCGAATAATGTGCCAAATCTGGCATTTCGAGTTAGCGATGCTTGTGCATCTACCATTCATGCTACCCGCGGCAACTGATCGACGATACGAATATTCGCACGTGTCTTGCCTAGATGCCAGCCGGAACCTGATTAAGAGATGGATTTCCATTCGTGAGAGCCAGAGCACGCTTCTCTTCTCCAACCTCCTCGAATTCCAGGCTTTCACAGCAGCGACAACTCTCCTTCTAGGGCTCCTCAGCGCCCCAAAAAGCACAAATCAAGACGACTTACAAGAAAGGTACGAGGATTCTCAGCTCGTGGAGACGATTATTCAGAATTCCGAGAGACTTAAGCAGCAGGGTGCTGGGATGTCCGTTGGTACTCAGAGTATTTCAGTCATTCGCACGCTTCAACGGTTATCCCACGGAGGAAACCCATCGGACAAACTGCGTCTTGAAATCCCTTTTTTTGGAGTTATTCGGATAGTGGTGCCCTGCAACCGTTGGAGGGTGAGCGGATTGTAGGGGCAAATGCATGCCAAAATGCCTCTTTTCTTCGACCTGCACAATCGACTATGTCCTCTCCCATGACGAGAATGGATCGCATCCGGAATTTTATTTCTCATCCTACAAGACAGGTATCTCGGGAAATACTTGGGAATGAAGAGAGTTATGCTGGCAATGGTGAGGGGAGGGAAGATACTATCTTGCAGATTTCTGGCGGTCAGTTTCAACTTCCTGAGGCGTCGGGAATCCAGGATGGTCTTGTTACCAGTGAGTGGTCTTTTCAGGAGAGTGATATGATTTTCTTTGACAGCTTGGTGAATACGGATTTGGTGGGTAACTGGATGCTCTAACCCAGCCACAAGAGTCGAGAAGAGTCGAATTTGGTAGATAAAGGGAATAGCCTGAAACGATGTAGGGCTATTTTTTGCTTCAGTTCGTACATAATTTAAAAAACAAATTCGAAGGCTGTTTAGGTTCTTGTTCTGTCTTCCGCCGGATTAAGAATCTCACGGTGTAATCGGCGGAAATACCATGTAGGCGCAGGTGTTTTTACTATATTCGGCCGAATATATGCGACATCTAAACGGAGGAACGGCGGAATAAGAGGCGGACAATATGCTACAGTAATTAAACTATTTCTTATAAGAACCTGACTTCTTCATGCAAGCAAATCCAGCTGACTTCCTTAAAAATACTATTGCGAACAATCACCCTCCAACCAAAGGGAATCCTTACGAGAAGCATGGAAGAATCTCTCATGGCTCTCAAGCAAGACACTGTTAGTATTAGAGCCGCTGCTAAGACTCACATCGTCTCCTATTCCGCCGATCTCACCTCACCTGTCTTCCAAAATTCAACCGAGCGCGCTGCCAAATTGGCCACCTACTACCTCCCAACCATTTCGTTCTTTGCCGACGGGAGCATTAATCAACTATCCGATCCATCGCTTTATGTACCACTGATCTCAGGGCCTCTGGATAGACTGGGAGGCCTTCCTGAAGTGAGAGGACACAGAGTTGAGGCTGTTGGCGAGAACAGTGCAATTATTTGGCTTTCATTGAGGGTGGATGGGTTGGAGATAGTTAATGTCTATTTCTTCAGAAGGATGGAAAATGGAGCTGAAGGGTTCGAGGGTGGTATTTTTGATGGGGAGATGTGGCTTTCGAAGCAGCTGGCGAAGGAGTAGATCGGCTTTTTCGTGACCCCACTGTGCTAATACCGGGACCCTCCAGAAATGTGATTCACGAAATCCATCTCCTTATACACACATGTCCAAGTCTACGTAAAGGGCGATGGATAAGGGTTCCAATTGGTAGACCGGTTAGTACCTAGGGGTGCCGTCGCTATATGTCTACTGCACAACTACATTAGAATGTAAAATGAATTGTGGAGGGTGATTGAATTAGGGTAAGCTATCTCAAAACATGCCATGATAAGAGAATTAATATCTGATTAACCATCCAGGCAACGCAAATTATGTAGCGAAACAATATGGAGCAGTGCGGCCACTAGGTGTGAAGTAGAAACAAAGCAGAAACAAAAAAGTCAAGTCATATTCTCATGTGCATCGTGTGTGGAGAAGAGCCTGATGTCGGATGATGTCAAAAGGCTGCTGTCAAGTCCGTAATTCACTCGATAGTGATCTTCTTGGTGGCCGAAGCAGTGGACTTCGGCACTGTAACAGAGAGTATGCCGTTCTTCAGGCTGGCTTTGACTTTGTCTTGGTCGATGCCATTCGGGAAGGAGAAGGAGCGTGAGAATTCACCGACAGAGCGCTCGCTGGCCCAGTAGCGGTGGCTAACCTTGGAGGCCTTCTCCGTGGTTGCAACTGCCTGTTCAGTTCCCGCCTGCTCCTCTGGCTCGGCTGTGCTGTACTCGCGTTCGGTGCGGCCCTTCACGACCAGAGTCTGCGGATCGGTAAATTCGATGTCGATATCTTTTTGCGCGATACCGGGTAGCTCGCCGTCCAAGTGGAATGCCTCTTCGCTTTCACGGACGTCAAACCGGGGGGCGAAGCTGCGCGCGGCGGAACGGTGGCTGCCGCGGTGGTTGTCATAATCGTCGAGGAGACGGAAAAGAGGGGCGAAGTCGCCCGGGGCGGGAAAGCTAGCGCGGAATAGAGACATGGAGGTCTTATTGAAGTGGTTGATATAGAGGAGAGGAGACGATAAAGTCGAAGCGTTGGAGGTTTGTATAGCTTGGCACTTAGCAGGAGTTGGCGTGAGTTGATATGAAACTGTGAGTAGGCTGGACCGTGAGGGGTGTTATATAGAGCAGAGACAGCCACTTGCAGCTTCCAAAATCTAATTATAGCCTTTGATCTTGGAAGTCGCCTGTGTTTACCAGATGTTGCTAGCAGCTTCTAGACGATGCTTCTTCGCGTTTCTATGGGTCACGTGCCATTCGGCGTAGAGGGTATACTGGAGGTGTCGCCCAATTTTAGGCAGTATAACCGCTAGACCAAGAATACACTACTGTACATACAAAAACATGAGAAAAGCGGGCACTTGATGAATAAGCCCGTTCTGAGTGGCAAGTTACCACCCCACATGTTCCGACGACTGTTCCAGAAGCGCATACCCGTAGGTGCGCTGTTTTTGATGTGGTGACGTCACTGGGCGGGAATACTCAGTCATCTCAGCTGGCGAAGGAACTAGTAATCAGTCATAGTTAGCTCAGCCCAAGCTCACGTTCACCCTCAATTCGGCTTCCCTGTTCAGCATAGAGAGCAATGTCGCTCGTGCAACATGTTTCTTCCCTTGAAGGCGTCGACCATGACCCAGACGCCGGCATTGATGAGGACTTCACGCCTATTGCACGCAAGATCAGCTACGATGTGCTGCAAGCGCCCAGTCATACTGTCCCGGTCGATGAACAACTACCAGCAACAGCCGCCTACGAAGTTCCTGTTGTGAAGAGACTAGGTATGTGCGGTGCAAATTATATGAATGATGACTGACGGCGTACAGCGCAGGTCGCTTTTACAATACTGGCATGCTGGGTCGCGTCCGGCATAGTGTTTGGGTTTGCGGCACTGAAGCCCATCCTAGTAGAGGAGGAAGTCTATCACAATCAGTGTACCGAGGACGAATTGCAAGCCGGGGTCGAACTATGTGTCCAGCAGGATTTGAGGTATGTTGACCCTTGAGCCAGAGTGTCTCTCCCTAACATTGTAAAGTCTCAACCTCTTTTTCACCATTGCGTCCATCACAGCGAATGTCTCTGCACTTCCCGTTGGGACCATCCTCGACCATTATGGATCACGCATTTGTGGCCTTATTGGTTGTGTGCTTCTTGCACTCGGCAGCCTGTTCATGTCGCTTTCATTCCTGCTGCGCCGGTTCCACGGGCTCATCGCAGGCAACTTCTTCCTAGCTTTTGGCGGAACCTTCATCTTCGTTCCGTCTTTCCAAATTGCGAACGCATTTCCCAGACATGCTGGCACCATAGTCGCACTTGTAACAGGAGCATTTGATGCTTCTGCCGCTGTCTTCCTGCTCTATCGATTCGCCTATGAGGCTTCGGGCCATACATTCACCCCAGATAAATTTTTTCTGAGTTACCTGGCCGTTCCGGTGCTGATAACCCTCGCGCTTCTCTCATTTATGCCAAAAAGGGACTATTATTCAACACTCGGGTTAGAAACTGAGATTGAGCGGGCCGAAGATGCCACCCGCGATGTGCACGAATCCGACGATGAAATCGAGAGTGAAAGCCAGCTACAGCGCGTACGCGGTAAACGCGCCGAGAGCAGGCAGAAGACATTCTACGATATCAACGAAGCCCTGGGTGGCTCAGAGGAGAGACAACAGCGAGCCAAGCGCGAGGAAAACCGCCACCAAGTCAGTCAGGTCTGGGGCGTATTGCATGGGATGCCAGCTCACAGGCAGATGGCGACCCCATGGTTCATTCTAATTACTCTCATGACTATCATCCAAATGCTTCGAATGAATTATTTCATCGCAACTGTTCAAGCTCAGTACGAGTACATGCTTGGTTCAGTCGAGGATGGCGAACGAATTAACAACTTCTTCGATATTGCACTACCCGTCGCCGGTGTTTTATTTACCCCTTTTATTGGGGGTTTGTTGGATCGCCTCAGTGTGCCCGCGATGCTTAGTCTCATAGTGGTTTTCACCACGATCATTGGCGTCCTGAATTCCATCCCGGCTATCTGGGCAGGATACATGACCGTCCTACTCTTTGTCCTGCTGCGGCCTCTCTATTATTCAGCCATGTCGTGCGTTCTTACCCTACTATTCGCTTTGCTGAGATTCACTAACTGGCAATTTAGCGACTATGCGACGAAGGTTTTTGGCTTCGCAACCTTTGGTCGGGTCTATGGAACGATCATTTGCGTCTCTGGACTCGTCAATTTCTCTCAATACGGGTTGGATACACTTACCCATGGACCATTTGGAGGAAATCCAATCCCGATCAACTCAGCCTTGGCGATTGCTGGATTCCTTATCGGTGTTGTGCTTGTAGGGTTTGTCACTGTGGCAGGTAGGCGGCTTAGAGCTGATGTGGTCAACGATGACGAGAGAGAGCCGCTGTTGCTGGAAAGAGATGAGGATGAGGATGAATAGATGCTCTGCCAAATTGTCACTAATGACCTGGTTCTTATAATGATGGAATCACCAGGGCTACAGAGGGATACGCTTCTGTTGCACTAGGAGAATATGCTATATCATTCCTTCCAAATCCAAAGCCATCCCTCGTGATTGAGCTGTGACGTGCTACATTTCTAGTTCGTCCATTCATCTAATAGAACAGGAAACCTTTCGCCACAAAAGCTATCTAGATTGCGAATCGAGGAATTTGATATGTTGCATAGTAATTCCGGAAATCGGTCACCACATACACTTTTCATTGCTTTCCTCATACCTGGGGCCAAGATGCGCTGGTCTATGTTATCTGCTCTGTAAATCAGCGTATTTTTTGGAATATCAACATTCCCGTATACTGCCACTGGTGACGCGCGCTGCCTCACTCGGTATGCCCTAATCAACAGGAAGCTCGAAGCAAAAATAAGTAGAACAATTATTGACACGCCAGACACCCTTGTGCGCGTGTGATGCAAGATGTATGAGTAAGGTAGGGGTTAAACTAGCTACGGTCGAACCCTTAGGTAATATTGTATGAGATCAACACCGTTGAATGTAGTAAATTCTGTATAATCGCTGCACGGGACAGGATTAGTCGTGATTTTTCTGAGCACCGTTGAACTTTTCCTGAGTACCGGTCAGCTGGAACCCGAATCCGTTTCATCAGTACTCCAAATGATGGGCCAGAAGTCAGAGACGAAAGGACCGCCGTCTGCCAAGAGCTGCTGAAAAGATTCGTTTTTGCCAATCTGTCCAAGAACAGAAACTATGTAGCGTGTCACGAGATTCCTCATGGGGTCCATCCGATTGCCGTGATTTGGTGGTGTGTTCGAGTAGACAAACCGAACAAACTCAATAATACCAGTGACTCCCGCGTCATATAGCTTGAAGCTTCTTAGCGTTTCCTGCAGCTTGGAGAGGATCAGTCGGCGCAACGACTCTATGCCATATTTGTCGGCCAGGACATAGAGTCTAGCTTGGTCGATAAATACAGGGTTGAAGTCTTCCCAGGGACCGGTATTCCGGGGTGGTGTGTAAGCGTAACCCAAATCGTCGCTTTGGCTTTGCCTTCTCGGAACGATCAGGGTCCTGTCGAATGCACCGCGCAATTGTTTAGTCCAGATGCTTCGTTCCGCATATGGAATTTCGGCATCATTGCAGATGGTGTGCTTGGACGCGGGCGATTCGTCTGGAGCTATCGCCAAATCAGTCTGAGGCTCAGGCTCAGGCTCAGGTTTAGGTGCTGCGTCCGAATTCGCATTCAAGCGACGTTTCTTGTGTTTGCTTTTTCCCTTTGCAAGTTTTGTGCCTTCCGCGGGAAACATGCCATCTACCAGGCGAAATGTAGGGGGAGTGTAGTTTCGGAAATAAGCAAATTCGCATAATCGAACAAATGTGTCCTCATCCACCTCTGACCAGTCAACGTGTCTCGTTTTCGCCTCGATCATTTCACCGTTCATTAGAGCATTCAGACTTGGAGAAAGCCCCGCCAAAGCAGAAGAATGCACAGTTACTTCCTTCTTATTGGCCCCAACTGTGAAGGTGAACAAAGGCGAAGAAAGACATCTTCAAAGTATTAGACCCATATCATGACAAGACTACCGTAGAACACACACCTTCCGAAGGCACCCTCCATTTGCAATAATGATGCAATGATGATGATAGAAGTGAAACTGAAGCGACCTCCGCTGTCAGAGGAGCGATGAATATCAAGAGCGTTGACAAAGTAGATTTCTGCGCCTTAGACGGTTCCTTCACAGGCAGTGTGTACTCTGCATGCTGCCGTAGAGATGTGTCCTGATTTTATTGGCTGAATTGCCGAGTCGCTCATGCATAGAAAGGATCAATAACTGATTGCATCGAACTCACAATGATACGATGGACCCTGCTGGAGTGACCAGGTGCATTCCCCGAAACAAGTAAAGTGAAGAAGGAAGAAATTATGGGGGAGAATCCGCTATTATGTAGTGGGCTCCCTTGGCAACGCGCCCAGCCAGGTTAGTCGATTCCTTCAGTCACGCGTCCCTCAGGTGATCTCCAAGTCACCTGATCACGGGTTCCTTTGCTCTGAGAGATCAGAACGGAATAATTGATTGTTCTTCCCGGCATGGGAAGGACGCTAATCTAAATAGTTACTTCTGACGATGCTTATGTGACGTGATGCCCAGTGGGCCGATTAGCCGGGTAGCCAGGGCTGTCCGGTGTGTAGTGTCACCGCCCGTAGCCTGCCTGAACCAGGGAAGAGATGTTGGGTATCTTTACCATCTCTCCCCCTGATGTTCTTCTTCAATCAATCAATCTTTTGATCTGATTTTGGTTCCGCTAGATCTTACTCGGTATGAAACCATACTAGGCTATACCTTTTGAGCTTGTTACGACAAGAGTGTACGCTGTCGCACCAGTCTGGGGACGTACTGTATGCAGAAATATACTCTGCTTCACTTTGCAGACCAATGGGCATGAAGTAGTCTGCCTCCCCGTATATACTCACTAGAAGTATCATAGACAATACTGTGACCATGGGAAAATCTTTTTGTTCACGTTACTTCCCGCTGGGGCCTTAGGCCGCTGCTTTGATAATCGCCCAAAGTCATCTCAAGTCGAATCTCATAATGCGGCTCCAAGTGTTTCCCTCGCCAAGACGCATCTCATTCGGATTAAGATAGACGACAAAGTGAGTTCCAGGAAGCTAGCTGTAGATATACGAGCAACACATCCACAATGTACATTACAGATCGGAGACCATGAGAGTCAGGAGCTTGGGCCAGCTGCAATTGGAGGCTTGTAGTACAGGGTGGAGAACTGTCAGCGAAGGACAGGAACTGCTCAGTTGGTCCAGTCTAGTCCAGGTTAAGCCCCGTTTTCAATGAGAAGCCTCGCCACAGCCTCGTGGCCACGTTCGGAGGCCCATTGAAGTGGTGTTTTTCCAGACTCGTCGCAAGTATTAAAATCAGCTCCTTCGTCGATGAGAAGCCTCGCCACAGCCTCGTGGCCACGTTCGGACGCCCATTGAAGAGGTGTTTTTTCATTTTGGTCGTGAATATTAACATCTGCGCCTCTGTCGATGAGGAGTCTTACCACGGCCTCGTGGCCACGTTCGGAGGCCCATTGAAGTGGTGTTTTTCCAGACTCGTCGCGAGTATTAACATCGGCTCCTTCGTCGATGAGAAGCCTCACCACAGCCTCGTGGCCATGTTCGGAGGCCCATTGGAGTGGTGTCTTTCCATGTATAGAGCGAGTACTATTAAAATCAGCTCCTCCGTCGATGAGAAGCCTCACCACAGCCTCGTGGCCACGTTCGGACGCCCATTGAAGGGGCGTACTTTCATTTTGGTCGTGCGTATTAACATCTGCTCCTTCGTCGATGAGAAGTCTTACCACGGCCTCGTGGCCACGTTCGGAGGCCCATTGAAGTGGTATTCTTCCAAACTTGTCGCGAGGATTAACATCGGCTCCTTCGTCGATGAGAAGCCTCACCACAGCCTCGTGGCCATGTTCGGAGGCCCATTGAAGTGGTGTCTTTCCATTCATGGAGCGAGTACTATTAAAATCAGCTCCTGCGTCGATGAGAAGCCTCACCAAAGCCTCGTGGCCACCTTCGGAGGCCCAGTGAAGTGGCGTCATTCCATATATATCGTTAATTTTGACATCAGCTCCTTCGTCGATGAGAAGCCTCACCACAGCCTCGTGGCCCTGGTCGGAGGCCCATTGAAGTGGTGTCTTTCCATGTCTATCGCCGGTATTTATATTAGCTCCTCTGTCGATGAGAAGCCTCACTATCGCCTCATGGCCCTTCTCGGATGCCCGCGAAAGTGGTGTTCGTTTTCCTCTGTCCACGTCATTGACAGAAATTGTCGTCGTAAGAAGAAGCTTGACAATTCCTACCCGACCATCTTGGGCAGCCCAAGATAGCGGTGTCCGACCTTCAAATTCCTTGAAATCTTTCCTATAATTCAGGCCATCTGTAATGTCCACTCCATCATAAATAGTTGAAGACAAATTCAAAAGTGCCGCAGCAGTGTCTTTATTACCATTGGCTAAAGCAGCAAATAGCGGGTACTTGTATCTCTCTCCGAAGACTTCAATCTGCCGGTCCTCTCTGAGCCTTGTGCGGACGAGTTCGGGGAAGCCCTTTTCTGCAAGGATATATATTAGACTTGCATGAGGGCTATATCGACGGTTCATGAACTTCTGGAACATATTGTTGATTTTGATCCAGTTAGCGATGGGAAAAGAGGACAGGAAATCGTCCTGAGCAACAACCTTCGCCGCAGCGCTGGCATGGTAGAGAATATGCTGACTGGCATACTCCAAAAACGGATATCTTTTTGAGATTTCCGTCCGGCCATCGGAGTCAGACTCTGACAACACCAAGGTACGATCCATGTACAAGCTGCAGCAACTTTTAAGCGTTTCATGGCTCGGACTCTCACAGTCAAATCCATATTCGGGCCACAACTCTTGTAGTCCGTTATCCTTGATGAGGAAATCTCGGACAGATTCGTGGATGAATTGGACTGTCGGCTGCTTGGACTTGGTGATCTCAGCGAGGCCTTTTGAGGAGCTAATAACATATCTACTGAACCTGTAGAGACTGTCGCTCGCATCTGGGTTGGTGACGTCTGGAATTTGATCATCGACTAGATCCTTCAGCTCTAGACCAGACCAGACAGCATGATAGAACTCCTGTGGTTGCAAAGGGCGATTTGCGTACAGAATCCAGAGGATGGAAAGGCGAAGATCTTCCATATTCTCATTGTCCCGTCTCAGGATATCTTTGAACAGTTCGCTCAAATTACTCGGTATTTCTGTGAGTCGCCTTCTCAGAGACATGGCGCCCCGTCGATACTCCTTGTTAAGAATATCGATAACTAAGACGACCCATATAAAAACACCAGCAGCTTTCCCGAGGATCTGGGATTGCAGCCCCTGGGCAAGTATGGCATCTTTGACTTGGAGGCGGCTCGCGACGTAAGTTGCCAGGTCATCCGCATGACCGGACTGATCCTCCAGTATCAGCCGGATTCCCTGTTGAATGAAGATATAGGGGTAATGCCGACTGGAGAAACAGAGTCGGAATAGGATTCCTTTAGCTGTTGACTGTTCGGCCAGATCTTCGAAGTACTGGACCATGTCCACAACTTGTTGTTCATCACACTCGTCAAGAGCATCAATGAAACAGGTAAAAGAGCGATCGCCGAGAGCGGATAATGCGTTGTAGAAGAGATCCTTGAGGACATTCAATGAAGGGCAACCATTTTGAGTCTGGGGAACTAGGTCGGAGTCATCTAGAACAGCCTGGAGGTCAGGGTACCCTTCAAGCAGCTGAAGCAGCAATGATCGATACATCCCTGATATTGATTTTTCCAGGTATTCGCCTCGAGCATTAAAGAAAAACGAAGCAATGACAACATCCTTATGACGAGCCTTGCTCTTCATACTTTTATATACGAACTTCATGATTGTCGACTTGCCAGCACCTGGCTTACCACTGATCCACAAGAATCCATGATGTTGGATCAGTTTTGCGGGATCAAGCCACGTTTCGTAATCGGGGTGTCTGAGAAGCCATTGACATGTCTTAGTGAGTGCGGCTTTTATAGTCAATTTACGAGAGTCAATTTGCTTAAACTTAAGAGAGTCTAGCAAGGACTGCCGACGTTCGTGGGATGACAATTGATCTAGATATTAGGCGTGAGCAGCGAGTCAAACTCATGTTCGCAAGTTATAAGCTTACTTACGAGAATCAGATGGGATAGTCCCTTTTGCAAAGGTTTCGGTCGTAGGTATCTCCTCAAGCAGTTCTCTCGCATATGCTGCAGCAGTTGCTGCGGCATACCTTTGCCACTCCTTGCTCTTATGCGAATCGGAGTAGTCACAGATTCCCCGGACCGGAAGACAATGGAAATTATCCATGAGGCCGGCAGCCTCCATCTCAAAACATATAACATCTAGTTCTCGAGCAACGTTGTCCCGAGTCACGCCATGTTTTATGACTTGGTTCCCCTAAGCGATCGCGCCGTAATAAATCATTATCTCGTGCGGCATCCGCGTGCTTCGCGGCACCAGCTTTGAATGGTCGCATCCATCACAGTTAGTCGTTGAGGAAGATATGTGATCATATGTCGCTCGGAAGAGAAGATCTGGTGCACTCGGGCGACCGTATGCTCTGTATGTCTCCATCTTCTGCCGCAGGATGGTTGGGATTCGACTAGGGCCCAGTTCGTGTTTCGAGCGGAGGGCAGACACAGCTGTTCCCAGTAACAGGTCAGGGGTCCTAGGGGTTGCTGTTCGCTGGAACCTGCCCTCGCCTATGATTTTCCCAAGATCATACTGCATCACCCTTGTTCCGACGACAATGTCGCCCAGACGCAAATCAGCCTTGCTTGGCACGCCACCGCCAATCCCGACCATCAAACATATGCGAATAGCTGGGAATGTCCGCTTCATGTTCGCCATGACGGTCGCTGCGTTATTTGTTCCATACTGGCCTTCTGGTAGACACGCAATAACGACATTATGTCGCTTGATGTTTCCGAGTACGTAGGTGTTCCTATCATGCGCAGGGGTAGGCAGGGTTTCGTGAGGATCGTCTAGCATGGCCTGAGCTGCTGCCATCTCTATGTGTAATGCGCAGATCCAGGCGATCGTGTACTCATCATGTCGGGAAGTAGGCAAACTGTCATGGGAGATCTTTCGTCGCTTGGACAGGTGAGATTCTGCGGTGACTGTGCCATGGTTATTAACTGACTGGAACCCATGATTGGCGCCATGATATGATGTTGAAGTCATGATTGGAGTAGTATGAGTTGTCTGTTGGTTTATAGGGAGGGCATTTTCTGACTCTCAGCTGCACAAGAGGGGCAGACAGATGCAGATCGTCTGCCCCATCAGGTGACTTCAGGGCGCTTAAAATAAGCAAATCCGAACATGGGGGGGAGAGAGACAGGCTCCGCTGCGTTTCTATGGGAAGCTCTCTACGAACAGTGTCAACATATTATGACTAATCCAGTCCTCCAGATACGACCGGTTGGTAGAGTATGCCTGATAGTGGAGGAAGAGTTCTGCGAGATTGTCAGGGTCTCCCTTTCCTTTGACCTATGTGCATGTAATATTCCCTGGGAGTTCTCTCCAGAGTTTACAGAGAATTGAGGCCCTATACCCCTGACTCATTAATTATTACCACAGAATACAATATAGAATGCAGGAATTGGTTGAATTTAGAGTTAGGGTCCGGTAAGCAATAGAATAGAGTTTAGAGCTACAACGGATCTCCAAAAAATCGTATGAACATCCAAATACGTATGCTCGGTGTATCTACAGTGGCCGTTCATTGGTATTTGGAACACAGTACTTCCACCCACTAGCAATAATACCTATATGTTCCATGGAAATACTAATGAACGCTGACTGCATTTAGAAGCTGTGTGTGTAACTATAAGCTCAGCCCTCTAACAAGAGAATTTAATCCTCATGCTCTTTTGTTGCCCCTTCCAAATAGCTACGAAAGGGTGATTTCGATCAATGATTATGGGCCATACTAATCCGTTGAGGCATGGGTTGCCCATGTTGGCATTACTTTTGAAAATTTGAGAACTATATGTCACAAAGAAATATTGCCATCCACCTCGCCTGGGTAAGAAGCAATATAATTGCATCAACAGTTTGTGGGTGATTGAAAGGAAGTCATGACTGAGGCGCAAATCGTAAAAGCAGGGTATCATTTTTAGGCATCGCGGAGAAGTCGGTAGACATCGGAAACTAGGTAGAGACTGCCAGCGATGACAATAGGGCGGCCGTGAGCGACCTTGCTGGCCCATTTGATCGCAGGCAGGAGATCGCCTTCGAAACTCTCCACCTGCCCAATTTCCGAGAGAGATTGTACAGCCGAAGCAAGTTCGACAGCGCTGGTTGGTTTCACCCAGGGCATTCCATCGACCGGACCAAATTCAACCGTGGCGACGTTGTCTCCAGGACGTATTATGGAGCAAAGGACCCCAGCTAAATCTTTGCCACTTGACGCAGCAACCACCCACGTGACAGTTCCCGACTGTGGCCGGAGCTTGCGGTCGACATACCGACCGAGTACTTCGGCAGACTGCGGGTTGTGGGCGCCATCCAGGAGAACTGGTTCGGTTCGTTGAATGAGAGGCTGGAGGTTGACGGACTCCAAACGGCCAGGCCATTTGACGTCAGAAAGATGTGGCAGGAGGGAGAAAGCATCCACGTGAGGTCGAATCTTGGACAAGGCAAGACGCAGCGCAGTCACTGCGCAACACATATTCTCTTGCTGGTGAGGCTCGAGATCCAATTTCTGGAAAAGCTGTGCGAGAGGTGGAAGTTGCTCCTCGACTTTGTCTGGACAGACAAACGTTGCGTTAAGGCCGAGCTCTTGGATGCGGCTCGACAATGACTCAATCACGGCAGTCTCATTGGTGTTGTCAATGACGCAGGGCACGCCCGGTTTGAGAATCCCCCCTTCTCCAGCGCAATCTCCTCGATTGTCGAGCCCAGGAAGGCCTGGTGATCCATCCCAATCTTGGCAATGACGGAGACCAGCACATCCGTCAAGATATTGGTCGCATCGAGGCGACCACCCATTCCCACCTCCACCACCCCGACTTCGACTCGCTCATGATTGAATATCTCGAAGGCGGTAGCGGTCAAGAGCTCGAATTCGGAGGCGCCGATACCTAGGTTCTGGTCTCGTTGTTTGACCTGGGACTCGATTTGCCGGAAGAGGGACTCCTGGACAACCCGTTCGCCAATGGTAATGCAGTCCCACCGGTCAATTAAATGTGGGGAGGTGAAGCGGCCACACCGAACCTCTCCTGCGGCGAGCAGATGGGAAAGATAGGCACTGATCGAGCCTTTACCGTTGGTGCCGGCAATGTGAATGGCTTTCCATGTTAGCGGTGTCTGCTGAAGGAGACGCGCGACGCGACTCAGGCCTAACTCGATCATTCCTCCGATTGTTTAAGGGGTGAGACCGTCAAGTCATGGTCAAGAGAGGAAGGGACGGGGCAGAGTCGAAGGTCCAGCGTCTCGAGGCCTCCTCGTTGGGAAGTCGCCGGCGGAGTCGGCGAAGTTTCCCGCTTTCTTCGGCGGGCAACGTGGGAAGCCGTGCACGTGACCAGCATCTACCTCAATCGTTTGGAGCTTGCACACAAACAACACGGCGTGCGGTGGACGATCGCTAGAAAAATATTCGTGAAATGGCAGTTATGAGATAGTCACGGAAGGGCTTATTCAGGTAAGCTCGTAATGTTGTGAGAGTCATCATTCGGTTTAGGTACCTAGCTGTATCGCTCTACCTGAGTAAACGTGGAGGCTTCTCGCTCCTGCACTTTATTACAACTCAAGGTCATGTCGCAGTAGTTATTATGTCGACGGGTATGGCTAGCCTAGACACTAAGCGTGATGCCAGGCCACCTCAAACCAACCGCGGTTTGATAGAATCAACATAAGATACCAATTGGCCTAGAAGAGAACAAGGAGTTCGACCTCGGTAATGGTACAAGAGTTTCCACCGCTACCAGTCCTGAAAGATCCGGCGTCCATTCATTCGGCTGCTCATTACCGCGCAAGACATAGGTAAGAATGAAGAGTGGTGGGAGGATTCGCAGCGATGGAGTAACTGAGATCAGCGGGACTGCGCGCATTCTCGGCTCTTTGCTACTTGAAGTATGTGTTGCATCTACAGTAGCTACATCCGTCTAGGTCATCACTAGAAATATCATATGGGATCAATTAGGTGATCAAATTGATGAATAAACAGAGGGGGCCGACGTGACTCGCGTAACAACCCGCCGAGATGGCGTTCGTTAGCGAACTAACGGAAGACCCCTTCAAGCCGCCGTTTCACTCATTGCACAGCGCTCCTCTCCCGTATCCCTCGCCTTCATTACTCCGTCCATATCATCTTCATTCATCATGCAACATGATCCAACCACACCCGGGCTGACTCTCAAACCTGGCGAGTGAGCGCAAAGGCAGCCCACATGGCAGCCAACCCACGCATCACAGGCGCTGCAACCGTGACGCCGGCCGTCCAAATCAGCCTCGTGCGTGCTTTCGCCTCTTCTGCGTGTGTATCTGCATCATTCTCCCTCGGGAATGGTACATCCGGCACAGCCACATCCAAAAACGCGCAGAGGGGTTCCCATTCATCGCCCATGTGGTACTCCAGCCTCCGTTCAGGTGGAACTGTCTCCCGTACAGCGCGGTAGTACGCCTCATATACGTGTCTCGTATTCGCCAGAATCTCAGCCCGACTCTGGGCGCCGAAGAAACCGAAATGGGTCTTGCGCATCGCCTGCACAGCCGGTATACCCATCAAATGCAGCCCAAGGAAGCCGTTGATTGCCGCCATGGGCTGCCGCATGACACGATCAAGGACCTCAGCCTGGAAGCTGGGCCACCATCTCTCAAAATTGCGCTGTACAATGACAACTTTCGCATGTGGATAGGCTCGGATAAGTTCCAGGGCAAAAGGGGACGCCAGGTCGGTGACGGCGTCGTACTGCGCGCCCCACAACGCGTCCCAGTCGGCGCAGGTGAAGGGCGCTCGGGGTCGTGCGCCTGGCACGGATGGCCAGGTCGCCTCCGCGGCCTGTTCCAACTGGACCCAGGGGGTATCTGTGACTTTTTCGAGGAGTCCGTGATGCGTTTTGTAGCCGAGGATCTGGTAGGCGCGGGCCATTGATTTCGTCCCAGTGCGGAACAGACCCGCGTTGATGATCAGCAAGCCATCGCCCTGCTTGGACTCGCCAACTCCCGCCATGTTCAAGCGCCTCAGCCTCAGGGCGTGTCCGTTAAGGAGACAGACAAGAGCAAAGTGTGCCGCCGCCAAACTGCAAGATTGATGGCTGGTAGTTCCTCGTTGTTGAGGGTGTCGGCTGGCAACTGCTTCTTAGTGCTGACGGGCTGGACGTCAATCGATCAGCATTCAGTCGACCGGATTAGAGACAATCCATCTAGTCCTGATTCGTTTGTCGGCACTGCCTCTACCAAATGCCCGGTGATTCCTCACCAAGATACGCATGGAACAATTAAGCGCATCGTGGCTTACAGGAAATAGCCAAAAAGCCTCCAACCCGTCGAGAACGCTCTCGGCTGCAAGGTTGTGTTACGATGGGTGCCACACTGCCCTTCATAGTTTCAGCCTTCACAGATGCAATGAGATACATGTCTCATCTTGGGCGCGATCATCGGCCTTACTGCGAGTGCCTTTTGTCTCGCATTCCGCGTAGCAGCCTTCCAGGAAACGAATACTTGTCGGTGTAGCGGCCATGGGACTGGCTTTGATCTGTTTCAGCATCAATGCAGTTCTTCCAATTGAATCATTACTTCAAGTCTCTTAATGCTCTCCAAATCTATCATCCCTTGTCAGTCGGGGGCCCAAGAGGGTACAACAGTCCGCTAAGAGTACACAGTCACATAAACAATCATGGCCAAAGAAACACCAAACCATAACCTGAAAAAGATCAAATCATTCAGCATGATCCCTACGACCTTGAGTGAACCAGCCTTCCGCCGACCCAAACAGCTTTAACGTTGCGATCATCACCGCTCCACACCCACTTGTGAATCTTCTCTTGCCACGTCTCGGAGCCAAAGAGGTCGACGTTGCCCACCGGCCCAGTCTTTACCAGGCCCTGAACACCATTCACTTGCCCATCAAGAGGATTGTCGTTGTCGCCCAGGTCCTTGACACCGCCCAGCTCGATGAGCTGTGCGTCCCAAATCATGCCCTCGTCAAACCCGCCGATATCATCTGCCATATCCACGACGGCCGCGCCGCCGCGCGTTGCGAGGTACAGACTCTCCTCGACAGTGAGTTTCTCCCGACCGAGGGTGGGCTTATCAGAATTGCCGTTCTGGAGTGTCTGCTTGCTCTCCGTGTGACAGAAAGAAGTTGTGTGGCCGAGCAGACGTGACGCGAGGCAAGCCTGGCGCGCGGCCTCGAGGATGCTGGGGCTATAGCCGCCGCTCACGTCGGTGCCCAGGCCGACTGTAATCCCCTCGTCTAGGAAGACACGGACGGGCGCGATCCCGGAGCCTAGCGCCGCGTTCGATGCAGGACAGTGGGAGATTTTCGCGTCCCGCTGGCGGATCAGACTGCGCTCATCTGGCGTGAGATGGACTGCGTGAGCCAGGATTGTCCGCTTGGTGAGAAGGTTATACTTGTCGTAGACGGCGGCATAGCTACTTGCCTCCGGGAAGAGTTCCTTGACGAGTGCGATTTCGTTCGTGTTCTCAGAGATATGGGTCTGGATGTGCAGCGGTGGGTTATACTCCGCGGCCAATTTCCCAAGGCCCTCGAGAGCGGGACGCGTGCAGGTCGGTGCGAAGCGTGGCGTGACAATCGGCTTGATGAGAGCACCCTTCGGGTCCAAGGTGTGGATATACTCGATCGTCGACCTTGTTGCGCTCAGCGAGTCATCGGCCGAGATGTCCTTATAATACGACGGGCAGAAATCCGGGTTGTCCATGCACACCCGTCCGATAAATGCCCGCTGACCGCGCAAATGGCATAGCGCAGCGAGCGCATTCGTTGCCGGGACGTGGATGGTGGCAAAATAGGACGCACAAGTCGTACCATTGGAGAGCGTGCGCGCAACAACGTGATCGTAGATGCGCAGCGCAGATGGCGGGGCATCTTTGGGAAGCTTGCCGGTTCCTTTCGATTGGTCGGCTTGGACTCCGAAGCCCGATTCGACGGGAAACGTGTAGGTTTCCAGCCAGTCGAGCAGAGTCGAGGAGCCAAACAGGCCGACATTTGGAAACTGGGGGGCGTGGATATGGGTGTCTTGTCCAAAATCAGATAGAGACTCGCTTATGCAAGCTAGCAAAGAGGAACATACCGATAAAGCCCGGGAAAAAGAACTCGTTCCTCTCTTCGTTCGCAATAACGATCTTCACCTTGACCTCATTCCCATCGGAGCCATTGGCCTCGGGTGCGTCAATATCCACCCATCCATTCCGAGCCAGCAGGGCCTTGAAGGAGACCTCATCGCGCGCCTGCCAGTCACAGCCTTTGATCCGACCGTCTGTGGAAGAAACCCAGAGTGCACCGCGATTGCGAACAAGCTCTGTCTTGGGCGGAGGGCTCAAGTGTGGCAGGCGGGGCGTCTGGATAAATGTGCCGCGATAGACGGTATAAGCGTAAGCCTGCGCCATGATGTCTTGCCGTCAGGGTGTCCGCCAGTTGATAGCTTGGTAGATGGATTAAGGTCAATGGCAGCACACGAAAGTAAAAAAGTGAAAGGCTATATCAAGCAAGTCTAGCACATCTAGGGTATCAACCGTCGTAAGTAGATCGACTACTCCAAAAATTTCGAAAATCAACACTCCATCATGATAGCAGCTGGGTCAATTGATATAACTTACCTTCTTGGCGGGGGTCTGATAACGATCTGCCCGAACAGGCAGGCCCAGCACGGCACTGCGGAGGACTAAGGGTATTCCTACTGAGTTCAACACTGGTTTCTTCTGTGATAGGATCGCGTGGCAAGACGAGGAGAGGTGCAGCACCCACGGGGCATTGCAGGATCAACATGGTGCCTTTCGGGGAGAGCGACTGCACCCGGCGATCGGCTGTCTCCGAGAGGATGACGGTATTATTTCACAATACCGAGCTGGTGGGGTCGACTAACCGTGCGGACGAGTGCGGACGCGTGGTATGGTATGGTAAGGGAAGTGTTGATAAGCGAGCGCGGGGGGTGTTGGAGTGAAGCTTAAATCAGAATCCACTCCCAACATGAATGCGTGAATTAATATATTAAAAGAAAGATCTCGGCCAGTAAGTCCATGGGATCGATTGGATCGGCAGGCATATTCTCCGGTCACAGCCAGAGCCTCACCTGTCACTGTGTTCGAACTAGAAGAGTCTTCAACGGAAACTAGGTGGCATGCCAAACCGCACACCGAAGATCAGATCGTCGTGTGCGCCGTACGGAAGACTGTACCACGGCTCTCGTTGGCCAGAATCTGCAACATCCTTTCTTGAATGATAGCCCTCGTTTACGTTTGGGCTGGTATGGAAGCCATCTAGTGGCAATCGGGGGACCAGCAAGTCACTTCAGAATACTCGGATGCGCACAGCGGGCGCTCGTCGACACGGAGGACTTTACGCGCGGACCACGGCCATGGGGCGTCAAGAAGAGCAGCTGGGTCGATTATTGTTCAAAGCGTGATCATCATAGTGTGCACCCCAAGGTCTACGGCAAAATGCACTTGACAAGTAAACTTGACAAGTAAACTTGACAAGTAAATCCCTGAATGTAAGATCGATCATCCCGCTCTAAGCCCCACGGCCCGTCATCTTGTGCGCTCGGGCCAAGTTCTCATCGATCTGTCGGGCTTAATTTCCCCATTTCACAAGGGAAATTTTCCCCGTCCCTCTGGCCCAGCGGGGCCCCACAACCACCGTAGGCATGGCCCAGGATGGCAGACCGGATCGATGATGAGATGCCGATTCTCTTCGCGCATGCCGTGGAAATGCAGCTCGACCATCGAGGCGGTAACAGGCAATTATCGTCGGGCCTTGTGAGTTCTGTTCAGACGCGGGGCAAATTGCTCGCCTCCACAATGAAATGGTGGGAAAGAGACACGCCTGGGTTCCAACATGATATTTATACCTTCACCCGGTCGACTCTTCCCCGTCATTCCTTTAATTCACTTTGCCCTGGGCAACCACACCGGACACCGCAAGTTGTTGGACGTGCAAGCCTTATTATCAAGTCCATACTTTGAACGGCACTTTTCTTCTTCTTCTCCTTCTTCTATCTCCTCGGAGCGACGCACATATACACCTTGGCAAGATGTTGTCACTTATAGCAGTTGCGCCCTATGCGATAGTCCTTGGCCTGATATTTTTCATTTACTTTGTGGGATACCCCTATTTTGAGTACCTTCGTGATCCCAAAGGTACGCGATGTCTGGAATGCGCAGAATGAACCGAACATGGTGCAAGATGACTGACAGCTGGCCAGGCCTTCGAAAATACCCCAATTTATCTCCTTTCTCAGGGATCTCGGCACTGCCGTTCATGTTCATGGCCGCTCGAGGCTTTCGATCTATGGAGCTGTGCCACTTGCACAAGACGCACCCTGTGATTCGGACCGGTCCCAACATGCTTTCGTATGGAGATGTGCGAGCTATCAAGGACATTTACGGTCACAACACCAAATGCATGAAGGATGAGTCCTATGTCGTCACTTCCGGCACCCATTTCAACCTGGCCGATGTCGTCGACAAGCCGGACCATGCGAGGAAGCGCAAGGTCCTCTCTTCAGCCTATGCTCTGAAGAACCTGGAGACCTGGGAGTACAAGGTCACCGACAAACTTCAACGGATGTTCAAGCACTTTGATCAAGTCTGCACTCTTGCTCCCAAGGAGGACGTTGCGTCAGGCACAGTTGCCCCGGACCCCCAGGACCTTACTCTCGACCTGCGGGCATGGACCAACTTCTTTACCCTTGACGCCATTGCCGACATTGGACTCTCCGAGAAGCTGGGCTTCTTGGACCAGGGACACGACATCGTATTGGCAGAGAGGAGAGATGGTACCACATACAAGACCAGCCTGCGTGAAGCGCTCTACCCCACGGCTCGCAAGCAATCCCTGATTCTGTGGAACTATGAATGGTACCCCGTGCTCGACAAACTTGTCAACGTCATTCCATTTTTTGGCCGCATGGGAACGTCGGCGACTGACTGGGACCACATTATGTGGCGCCGAGGAAGCGAGCGGCTGCGTCGGTACGAGGCGGGTGAGAAGCTGGACGACTTCTTCCAGGCCCTCATGGAGGATAAGAACGGCCACCCCAACAATCTTGAATGGGGCGAGGTGGTTGCCGAGTGCAACATCATGATGAATGCCGGCAGCGTGACTACGGCCGTTGCGATCGCGAACGTGATGTACCAGCTTCTTCGCAACCCTCGCTGCCTGGCCAAGTTGCGCGAGGAAGTCGACGCAGTGCTGGACGAGGATGAGGTCGTCGCTGACTATGACAAGGTCCGGCACCTGCCATATCTCCGTGCTTGCCTGGACGAGTCACTTCGCATCTTCCCACCCACCTCTCATGGCCTGCCGCGCGAAACGCCTCCCGAGGGTACCAACATATTGGGCGAGTGGGTGGCGGGGAACACCTCCGTCAGCATGTCGGCCCTGGTCGCTCATCGCGATGAGGGTGTTTTCCCCAATGCAGATCAGTACATCCCCGAAAGGTGGCTTGGGGAAGAAGGCAAGGCGCTTCAGCCGTACCTGATTGCCTTTTCTGCTGGCGCTCGATCCTGCATCGGTCGCAATATCTCCTACTTGGAGCAGACGAAGGCCATTGCATCCATGGTCCATCGGTATGATTTTGCTCTGCCGTATCCCGGCTGGGAGCTGAAACGGTTGGAGACGATGAATTTGATTTTGGGTGCGATGCCGGTGAAAATATGGCGGCGCCAGTTGGGAGCAACGGAGGCCTGATTTCATCACGGAGAATTTCGCATTCTTCCTTTCTACTTGGTTTTCTTGATTTATGATGACCCCTTGATGAGATCGACGTGAAGTTTTAAACTCAAGATTTTTCTTGGTTGAGCGTGTTGCAAGTATTCGTATTGTGATTCCCATCTCGAAATCCCTTTACGCGCTGATACACACATGATAATGCCTGCCGGGGCTTTGCTGTCTGGACTACCACCGCTTTTATGAGGGCGATCAGGCTCATGCTCAGTGATCTGGGCAGTAGAGTCATGTAACCACTCAGTGGCCCATCATGGATGCCCAGGGATCGCCCAGGGATCATTCAGTCACTGCTTACCCACCAACAACCATTCTCCAGTCAGCGATATTTCTTTCTTCCAGCCCATATCACTGTACCCAAAAGGAACACACTCCACAGGGCCATGTATTTTGTAATAAATAGTACGTTAATAGTACTTGTGAGGCCCTTCCCTTTTAGAGGTCTCTACCTGCGTCATTCGCCCCCCACCAAAACAAATGTGACGTAGACCATCATGCTCAGAATTATGTAGTTTAAAGTAGCCTTTGCTCTATCATACGTCGGGTCCTGTGATATCTATATCCCTGGAGCCCACAAAGAGGAGGAGGCTATTCACAAAATTACCAAACACTGACCGAGAGTTAACTCAACGTTATGTTCTATGTACTTCCAGTGTCTTCTGACAAATTGTGACTATCCCAGACGTAGGATGGCAAGGGAGGAGCTTCACATTCAACCAGCGGATGATCTCGTTTTCCAGCCATGGTGGTAAACTCCCCTGGCCACTAACCGGCAATCTGTACATGGATATAAAACGCCCGTTATTGATCAAGCCAGGACCAACATAGTTGATAAAGGACCAATTGAGAGGTGTCAGCCTCATCACTGTCCCCCATTCATGATCCTTCACCGCTTGGTTCAAGAGTCTTTGGTCGGACGCCGTCAACTCTGAAACGTTTATCCTCGCGCCCTTGTCGGCAAGAAATGCGGCTAAAACAAAGTCGAGGTCTCGTAGTGCCCCATGTAAGGCCCAACCCCCTCCAGCTCGCATCGGGTCCGCGCCGTACTGGAAAAGCAGTCGAACCATTTCCATGCGTCGGGCCTTCTGTTCCTGAGAAGAAAATTCCAAGGTAACAGTGGGGATAAAGTTGCCCACCACACAAGCCAAAGGGCCCCATTTGTCCTCTCGGTCGATATTTGGGTCGGCGCCCGCCTCGAGTAGAAGCTGAGCCTGCCCGGGATGACCACAACTATGAAGAGGTCGCCATCTTCTACCCCCAATTTCCAAGCCAACGCGATTGACATCGATGCCGGCCGCAAGCAATAGCTTCGTGATTTCGTCGTTATGGGTCAACTCTCCTTGCAAGGAACATGGGGACCACATCAATCCGATTGTTGCACGTAGCTCGCCAAACGAGACGGGCGTATTCCCTCTCATTTAGCTGGGCACCCATCCCCCCTCTTTCTAGCAAAGCCTGGAGGAATCCGACATGTCCTCTTTCAGCTGCAACCCAAATTGGGTGGCCCAGACGAGGCCCTGAATGAAGAGTCGAATCCCTTCCCCACCATATACGTTTATCAAAGAGATCTGCGCCCGCGTCGAGGAGCCTGTCTAATAATGCTGAGTCACCATGCTCCGCTGCCCAGGTTAGGGCCGGGATAGAGAGCTTGGTCCGGCGAGAACTTGGAGGTCGTAAATGGTGATAGTGGTAGAGAAAGGAGTTGAGTTGGGCGAACAAGGCGCGGTTGGTGCGTGCTAGCGCGTTGATAGAACTTGTCGAGTCCAAAAGCCCCGCTATACGTTGAAGCAATTGGTCAGGCAACTTGCAGAGGGACATGGCTTTTTGACGTATTAAAAAGCTCCTGGCGTGTTGCATTTTGTTGAGCCAGCTTATCCACGTCACTCAACTCTCTGGACCAGCCTAGGGAACAAACCGGGATGCTCTGGTCAGGCTCAGTAAGTGGATCCGTTTGGTTACGGAATGATCAGGATGGCATGGAAAGCCCCGCCAAATCAGAGCGACCACCCTAATTAGTGGCAGGGGCTCTGCGCAGTTGGGATCCGTCGGGGTAGTTGCCCCGCGCCACGTCCCGCTCCCATTGCATCTCCACGCGAACCATTCGTTAGCCAGTTCTTCTGCATCCTTGGATCCTATTCCCGCAAACCGGAGCCTTCTGGAGTATTGCTAGAGCTTCTGGGAATGTGACTCTATCTTGATACATTGTGCCTATATGCGACCTGCATGAGCCTCCGTACCGCGCCCGACAAGATGTTGGAATCCTGCCCTCCTGCGTGGCTGACTTGTACCTCAGATGAGGGCCTGAAGCAGCAGCAGAACGGGCTGGGCTGGGAGTTCCCTTCCCCTTCTCTGTTCCCTACATGTTTCTATTCTTCTAACTTCCTGTATGTCTACAAAACTCCATGGGTTTATGTCACGAATGGCAGCCTCACCACTTCTCTCCGCAATGTAGGGCGGATGCGTTCCTGTCAGAACTGGCCTTTGTTTTATTTCTAGACGCGCGCATGTGGTGCCTGTCGACATTGAAAGCATCAAGTTTGTGGCGAGGTGTTCAGCTGTATTAAGAGCATTGAACGGCACGCACTGCTCCATCGAATAGGTTTTGTGCGTCCCTTGATGGGTGGGTAAAAGTACCGCCATGGCGTTGCCGTGGAAACAATCGCCCGCGCTGATCAGTCTAACCACCGGACCTTCCAGGTTGATGCCAGACCAAGACCATTGATATTCTCAAATGGTGCTGGGAAGTGATATTGGATTTCCTGAATTTTGACCAGGCCGCATCCTTCTAGCCTGGGCTACTGAACACCACAGCGGCTCCTTGCAACCCATCATGTTCGCGCAACGACCTTCATCCCGCTTCCTCGCCACAGGCGCCATCATCTCAATCGTCGCCTTTACATTCCTCCTCCTCGGCACGCGCCGGTCGCGTGACGCGGCATCAAGATATATTCTGAAGACACCTAGCGCGGCATCGCAATCACAATCGCATTGTGAGCTAGACGCGCATGCAGCTGTGTCGAATGGGAGTTGGGAATTCACAGCTGCGCGTGATGGATTGAACCATGGACTTTCAGATGAGCAGTGTCGAATGGCATTCCCGAAGCTTTTCGTGGAGGTGGATAAGTCTGCGTCATTGAAACAGGAGGCGCGTATCACATACCAAGATTTGAATTCGAGAGAGGTGGAGGATGGAATGGTTCGCGCGATCATTGACAAGGGCCAAGTAGGTTTATGGATGCAAACTGATATGCTTCAGGGTTGGTGGATCTAACAAACATGTGTTTTTCAATATAGTTATACATCGTCGAGTACGCCCCCATGCCCGTCACAGCATCGCGTGCCCGCGCGACACTAAACTCCCTACACCGTGCTTTGGTGGCTTACCCTGGCCGGGATCGTCTACCGAGTATTGAATTTATCTTCACGACTGAGGACTTCGCCAACGACCCAATTGGAAAGAGCCCGGTGTGGGCCTATTCTAAGCGTGATACAGACGACTCCGTCTGGCTGATGCCCGACTTTGGGTACTGGGCCTGGCCAGAGGTACAAATCGGACCATACCACGAAGTGCGACGACGCATTGCCGCCATTGATGACGGTGAAACATCTGAGGACGGATCATATGTACCTGGCTTGCGTTTCCAGGATAAGAAGAAGCAGCTTGTCTGGCGCGGAAGCTTAGCGACCAACCCAGGAATTCGCAGCAAGCTTCTCAAGTCCGCCCAGAGCCGAAGCTGGGCCAGCGTTCGAGTGATCGACTGGGACGACGAGAATGACATCCGCTTCAACCTCCTCCCCATCGAGGATCATTGCCGCTACATGTTCCTCGCCCATACAGAAGGGCGTAGTTTCTCCGGCCGCGGCAAGTATCTCCTCAACTGCCGCTCCGTGGTGATCTCGCACCCACTCACCTGGCGTGAAGCACACCATGCTGCGCTCGTCTCGTCTGGCCCGGATGCGAACTACATTGAAGTCGACAACGACTTTGCGGACTTGCCCCGCAAGGTGGACTTTTTGATCGACAACCCGCAGATCGCCGAGCGCATTGCTGCGAATGCGGTCCGCACATTCCGCGATCGCTACCTTACGCCAGCGGCCGAGTCTTGTTATTGGAGGCACCTTGTGAGGCAGTATGCGTCTGTCCTTGATTTTGAACCGGTCTTATTTGCGACGAGTCGTGATGGGAAGGTGGCCCCAAGAGGCGTGCCGTTCGAGACTTGGTTGCTTATGAATTAATGACCTTTGGGAGTAGTTTTGGCTGCGACTCAGGCTGTGCTGTTGTATTAGCGATTATTTGGCGTGCATATTATTGTGTATATATTTTCTTCTTCTTTTCACAGGTCGTCGTCTAGCGTGTTTGTCGGCCTTAGTATGCGTTGCGACGTACTCAAAATCCTCCCACAATATTCACTACTATACATATATGGTATATATAGCCCCGCGAATAATGACCGCTTCTCTTCGAACTATGCGCAATCCTCGTGATGGAGACATGGCGACTCAAGTTGTACTCTCCGAAGCAAGCCGCGGCGCAGTCGATCGATGAATCACACCTTCGCAGCGTTCAATTGGTGGACGAGCCCGCCGACGGCCCCACCCGCGATAAAAAAAACGACGGCGTGCGCGACGGTCGAGTCACCAAGGAGCGGGCAGCCTGCAATTCTCCAGGATGCAACATGAGCAAGCGCTCATTCGAGGAGTCCAGGGGCAGCCTTCCGCCTGAGGCCGATCACAATGGCTTTCTGCCCATCCACGATCTGCTCTCGCCTGGCGACGACCAGGAACATGACCCAACGCCCCCTTCCGGGCCGTCCAAGAAGCCCCGGAACTTCATTGCCACGGTGGTATGTCAATGCACATTTCCTCAGAAAAAGTTCGCTTCGCTGCATTTTTCGTCGAGCGCTAACATTGGGCTAGGCTTGCGAGACTTGTCGCTTGAAGAAGACGAGATGCGACGAGTCCCGGCCGAAGTGCGGGCTGTGCAAGTCCCAGGGCTTGCAGTGCGTCTATAATGAACGGAAATCATCCAAGTGGGTCTTGTCCAATCGATTATCATCTAGGCTTTAGTGAGATTGCTGATTATGGGCGTAGACGAGATCAGTCACTCACAATGATCATGAGTACTTTACATCGGCTGGAGACCAAGTTGGAGAACATACCGTCATCTATCTTCAGCGACCTGCAGTCTCTTGGGGGGCAATTACGCCATATCAGTGATCATTCGCAGGAGGCGCAGCCATCTCCTGCTCACCGTGATGATGGCCGCCGCACATCCGTGATGCCTTCCGCCGCCACCCCCGGCTTCACTCCGGCTGCTCGAGGTGGAGATGACTTTGACTGGGAAGAGAACCAGCCAGCCCCCGACTCATCCGGTCGCATCTCCATTTCGTTCAGTCAACATGGGGTCATTCTGTGGCCGGGGGCACGGAGTATTCTCCCAGAGCAACTACTCTCCGCCTACGAGCTACTGGGCAAGAATTACGTGATCGAGCTGGAATCGATGCGCCCCCCTATGCCCATGTTCACGAGCCCATTTCCGCTGCATGGGGGGATCACTGGCTGGAAGCCTTACCGCTGGCCATGATCAAAGGCCTCGCCAACGCTTTCTTTGCCGTGTTCAATCCATTTACGCCGATCATGGATAAAAGCTTCTTCTTCTCGTTTACTCTTGGCTCAGCTATTGAGAGTGGCTTTGGATACACCATGGAAAGCTGTCTGGTCCTTAATGTACTAGCTCTAGGCTGTCTAGGTGTCCTCGCCTACCAGGAGGGGAATTATCCGCTCCCGGGGACGCAAAGCCGTCGCTTTGAGCCACCGGAGTGGATGAATGTGGTCTATGAAGAACAGCCGGGCCTCCGGTTCTTCAATGAAGCCCGTCGGCGTATTGGATTTTTGATGTGTAGCAACGACCTGCAAAGTTGCCAGTTCTATTTACTTTCTTCGTACGGGACACACCAACCTCTACAACCTCACAACACTCATGCTTACTTGTCGCAGTGTCTACTACTCCCAGATCCCTCGTCCAATGGATGCATGGGCAATGATCCACCGCGCGGCAACTTGCTGCCTTTCGATGTTGACCAAGTAAGGATCATCAATTCCTGACAAACCCCTTGCGGAAGTGTCTGTCCACTGACTGTTATCTAGCCACGATGTATGCTTTGACGAATGGGAAGGCGACATGAAATCTCGTGTGTATTGGAATTGCCTCATGAATGAGACCATTCTTGTCCAAGAACTACACCTGCCGCCCAGCGGACTCTTCCGTCTCGAGGATAAAGTCCCAATTCCGAAATTTATTGGCTTTGAAACGACGGGTTACACCTCCGCCCGATATCCATCCACCCAAGTCGTCGATGATTCATACTTTCAGTATCACTTCCTCGCACAGGTGGCGCACCGGATCATCTTGACCCGCATCCGCCATTCCCTCTACTTCTACTGTATTTTCCACCCCCCTCAACTACTGCAAAGTTAGATGATCTAATTTATGCGAATACAGCCGATTCTGGAACAATCCCCCTCCCTGCCGTCAATGCTGAACTCCACCACCAGCTTGAACAATGGCGCACAAACCTTCCGCCTGCCATCCAATTCACCGACAACCAACTTCAGCCATCATATTCTACCCCGGGCGACCATTCTTCCGTCCATCCTTCGCCCTCCTCAGCCCCGTCACCAAATCACATCGCTCCACACTCCTCTGATCCAAACCGTCCCTTATCACCCGCAGTAGCTGTCACTGATGCCATGCTACGTGGGCGGTATATGATTGCGAAGTTCCACATTGGCCGACCGTATCTATACAAAGCGCTGCGGATCCCGAACTTGTTGACAGATGACGATCTCGAGCAGATTAAAAGTGGTTTGCAAAATGCGATGGATTGGCCTGTGGCGCAGGGAATCTTTCGGAAGATGAAGAGTTGTATTCCGATCAGGTTTGCTTTTTGTTCACAGTAAGTGACGGGCTGTTTCGTTGTCTGAATCTTTCCAGTTTATGGCGGAGCTGATGTTTACCACCTCAGGTTTTTCGGTCAGATTCTGCTCTTTTATTGTATCGCCCATTCACCCAGTGCTCGTGTGCGGGAAACCTTGCCTAGCGGATGGGAGCGTTGGAATGAAGAGATGTTGCGGTTTCTGGAGGACTGCGCGCGAAATAGTCCGGCTGTGGCGCAGGACCTGGAACTGCTACGCTCATTGTGGCCTGGGCATGATTAGTTGGCCTCCACCAAGCCTTTGTTTCTCATTTTGTCAACTCTGTTTTCTGGTGTCACGTTTTGACGCTATTTTGTAAGGTGGTCTTCTCTTTATGCACGGTGTTGGGAGCGCTGGGGCTTCTAGCCATAGATTTTAATGATAATGTGGTCCAAATAAGAAAAAACCAACCCCTGAGACATGGGATCTCAATATTTTAGTCACTTCTCCAGTTGGCTGAAGATGTATAACATAGCCCTCAAAGACTTAGTTCCTATAGCTCCTGCCATCCGGTGTGCATTCCTCCTGTATAGCGACATATCGTGATGCTTCAGTCCACATAGACCTAAGCTCAAAACTGCCAATTATGTGGAGTTGTAACTTGCCACTTAGAGCGGCTTAATTCTATGGACCTACATTTCCTAGCTACGCTATATTTGCGCATTAAATTCTCAATTACAAATAATCGTTCCTGGTACGGAGGTGCATTTCCACACAAGATCGCACAGAAGCTTCATCCTTTGAACGCCAGACTCGATAGCCACCAGGTCAATATAGTGGAACAACCTTTTCATCTAACCATATCACGCTTTTCCAGTCATCAAGTGTCCGAGATTGGTGTTCAAGACACCAAGCAATCCGGCCAGCTTTCATCTTCTTCGTCAACCCAGCCTTCCGAGTCGGCTTCATTTTCTGCAGGCCAGCGTTTTTGAGGATACGCCAAATCGTCGCAACAGAGATATTGATTCCCTCCTTGCTAAGCTCACCAGCAAGATCAGTACAAGATTTCTCTCAGCCATAATGATCTAGGCGCACCTTTACTAGGAGGGTAGTCGTAGCCGTTGTTGGCTGATCGTGCTTAGTTGGCCGGCCAGCGCGTGGGGCATCTTGCACAAACGCATCTTGAATAGTACTATGATTAACCTCAAAACATCGCTCCATTGCACGTGCGTAGATCCTGTTGACCGCTGAGACAGAAAGATGGGTAATACTAGCAATCTCATGCCCGACTTTAATTTGGCGTTTTCAACATATCCCCTCTATATCCAAAATGGTGAGGGAATATACCCAGCTTAAAGCTTTCTCTGCATCTCAACCTCGTGAATCAGAGGAACTTCATTATTCGAAACAATCTCTATAATTCCGTGGAACGCCTTGTTAAAGCTCAAGAAAATAGAAAAATTTATAGTAAGCCAATTCAATGTATGATTTAGACTCATGCAACAGTTTCAATTTACTTTCTTTTGTTTTTCGCAATGGGAGAATACCTTTACCAGGCACAGTGTCCACCATCCACGCGTAAATCGGCACCTGTCATAAAGCTACTACCATCGCCCAACATATAGAGCACGGGGCCACGATACTCATCCACAGTGCTTAGTCGGAATAGCATATTATCACCCGTCCACTGATTCTCCATTCCGGGCTTTTGAAGCGCCTCCGCGGTAGCTGCAGTGCGAATATAGCCGGGAGAGAGTGAGTTGACACGAATAAGGGGAATTCCTACTCGGGAGCCCCATTCAGCGGCCAAGGAACGCGTTAGTTGGTGGACGGCTGCCTTAGACGAATTGTAACCAGCAGTATCCACACCCTAGTAAAGTCAGTGGATAATAAGGATAAAACCGATGCGTGGACATACCCTATTGGCACCGTATCCACTCATGCTTGCGACTAGAACCATACTTCCAGAGGTATTGGTCCTCACGAACTCTCTAGCGGTTGCCTGGGCAATAGCGAACGTTCCAGTAACGTTAATATCCATCATCTTGCGGAATCCAGAGGCAGGGAATTCAGTCGATGGTCCATTCAGAGAAAGCCCGGCGCAAGCAAGCAATCCCTTAACTGGATAGCGCAGGGTAGGGATGAATTTGGCGTACGTCTCAGTGATGGCCTTATCGTTAGTTATATCGAGCGGATAGTAGGTGAGCTGACTGCAGTTCTTGACGGCGGCATTTTCTACATCGCCTGTATGTAGGGATCGTTTCGATCAGACCACGAGCAGATTTTAGAAGTAGGGAATTGGAAATACTAACCCCAGTTTGTGGCAGTAGGCTTGGGAGCGAGGTCCAGGCAAACAACGTCAGCACCGCTCTCCATAATCGCGATTGCAAGCGTGGTGCCCAAGAATCCATTCGCGCCGGTGACTGCACAGTCTCCTGTCAGTATTCAAGCAACCAAATCGCATGATTGCGAGGACTGACTAATGATGGTGCGCTTGTCAAGACGGAAAAGGTCTGATATAGGTCGTGATGCATCTCCCTGCGAGGGCTTAGCCTCGCGGAACTCCAGGGCATGAACGTTGCCGTCACTTCGGTTGGCCATGGCGAATGATTGCTTTCTGGCGGACCTTTGGAATATTCAAAGGAATGAAGAAGGGCATTGACGCCCGAAAGGTACTTCGTATTTATGTAGATGCGTGGCCCCGCGCTACAAAAAAAGGATAACCCGTGTTAGGCCCGTATGCTGATCTCCTAAGCATGGGCGGACAGGCGGCCCGCTGGGTGGGTGCTGGCCGGCGTGGGGGAGGCAAAAATGTGGCGCCAGGGACCGTGGAAGACTTGTTTGCAGAATTTGTTTGCAAACTTGGGCCGAGGCCGCACTTAATTGCAGTCACATGAGATGGGTTGACCCCCTCAGTGGCAGAACTTCGGTCACTGGGGCCCCACTGAGCCCTCAGTAGGGTGCGACGGTCAATGCTCAGCAGGGCGCCCCCTATATTCGATTATGTAAGCTCGGTAATGGTATGAAATATGTGGTATCTATGCAGTTACATTCCTGAATTAGCCCTGTTTTGTTTACCCGGTATTTAGTTCTTACCATCTCCTATAAACGTTTTACTAGTTTTCTACTACTTACCTACTAGTTAACCCTCTCCTACAGCATCATGGCGCAATACGTATCGACTTGGTGGCAGCATCGATCTACTAAGATTTCAGATCTTATTAATACTGCGCCTTTTTCTCTTGAGCAGGATCCTCCACGGGAGGTTGACGCAGAACTTTTTGATTCAACTGATGATCGTATCTTCCATGAGCGCAATATGTCTCAGGTAAATATATATCTTGACTATAACGCAAAGCTTTTACTAGTATATAACTAGTACCTAACTAGTAGATTTTCTAGCATGACGAGCACATGGCAACTCCGTTGACAGATGCGACCCGAGATGCAATTTCTGCTGCAGAAATCGACTTTGTACCGCTACTCCCAGAGTATCCAAGTACTCATCTAGCTGGGTATGCATATATAGTGAATCTCCGCCATATGACATTAGCAGAGAAGAAGGAAGCGCTCGGCGCAGTAAGTTGATATCTTTACTAGTCGAGTACTAGTTATTTACTAATATCCTACTAGGTCCAATACTCTCGCTTACGCGATGGTTCATCAAAGGTCATTTTCTGCTCATTTCTCGGCTGTAACGTTCAAAAACAAGGATATATATGCTCTGGGATCAAGCATTGTGAATACCTTGATAGCTATCTTGAGACTATGCAGCATTCAGTAGTCGATGGTGATCTAGTCGGCAAGATTTTTACATTCAGACAGCAAAATAAGCAGTCATATCAGTTTGGACAGCGCCAGCGAGCTTCTACAGCGTAAGTAATTACTTCTACTAGTACTTAACTAGTATCTAATAAGTATTTAGGATGTACGAAGCTCTTCAATGGAGATTTCGAGACCAAAAAGCATGTGCAAGCGCTAACGTAACCTGCAAGCTTATACATGGCAAATATCCCTACCCGGTAAGCCCGATAAAATACTAAACTAGTGGATTACTAGTAACTAACTAGTTGGTAGAGTATCGCTGGTCAAGATCTTCCATATATTGCATGCATCAATGCTACAAAAGATAATCGTCCGCAGCATTTCCATAACAGTCTAACAGCTAGACAGTCTACTCTTGATATATCTCTTCTAAGATACCTTATTGATAAAGGCCTTTCTGAAGAGATTGTAGAGTCATGCAATTTGATCTATCAAACAAATAGTCGGGCAGTGAAATGCGGTAAGACCTTCAATTTTACTAGTATATTACTAGTTACTAACTAATAAAAAGATACTATTCACCCCCAGGGGCGCGGCAAAATCATCAAACAATTCCCAGGTTGTCAAGTACGATTTCGAACGTTTATTCCACTCGATTTAGAAAGGTATCCATACGCTATTTTCTACTCTCGTGGAATTCATAATCACCCGCCACCGCCACCTAACCGGCCACCATACGAGCTTATCCAAGAGATTTCAAATCTACTTGTTCGCATGCAAACACCTGACACAACACTTAGTACGTATATATTATACTAGTACCTTACTAGTAGCTAACTAGTATTAGGTGTCTTCCTTCGTAGTAACGAGCTTCGAACATTTTGCCGCCAATATGGCAGTGAAACACTATCGGGACTACACCAAAGCTTTGCTAATACTGAGCGGTTCTCTGCAATCATTGCAAAACAACGAGCGCTAGTATATCCATGTGGTAGACAGCTTTCAGGGATTTATCATGAAATAGAACGAGATCCAACCTTAAAGGTAAGTCTGTTAAACTAGTAACTTACTAGTAAGCTACTAATAAAACTCTTAGGCCTATGTACGCGATATTGCGGAAAATGATCATGGTACCTTTGTGTTTTGTGCACTTGATGAACAGCTTCAACATCTCGCCTCTCTCGAATCCTTCGAAGTTGATATGTCATATAAACGAGTGAAAGGCATCTTCAACGAGGTGATATTTGCAAGATTTGTCCCAGAGCATGGAAAAGGTAAGCTTGGTTGATAAAGATACTAGGTGGATACTAGTAACTAACTAGTTCTCCCTAGTCATGACTTTACTTCGAGTATTTACCGACCAAGAGACCACTAAAGGATATGAATTTCTCTTTGCCCGGACCTTTAACCTTATCAAAAAATATATAGGCCATGATATCAAGTTTCACTATCTACATGGTAGTGGGATAAAGTCAATCGTCTGCGATATGTGCCCAAAGCAGATGACAGGTAAGTTTCTAATATTCTTACTAGTCCACTACTAGTAACTAACTAGTAATAGGGCTTGGAAGAGTGCTTCAAAATACTGGTCGTCAAGATCTAGGCTGGAGATGGCATGCTATGAATATCCTTATATTCTGCAAGATCCATTTCACTCGTACAGTCTATAAATTGATACCAGAGAGCGGAGATCCTAATGATACAACATACCACGAAGCGCGAAGTCGACTACTAGCTTTAACAGAATGTCAGACTAAAGCTGATTATATGAAACTGACGGACCTAATTAAAGGTAAGGATCCAAATTACTAGTATTTAACTGGTTACTTACTAGTATTATTTAGAACATGATCCCGATCTTACTGGATGGGTCAACCACAAGCAAATTGATATAATTGCAGCTGGTCTTTGTAACGCTTGCTCACCAATACAGTCTGAGTTCTTTGAAGAAGCGAGACGACATACAAACGCTGTAGAGCAGAGTCACTATAAATCCTATTATATGGGTACCCAGGACTCTTTACTTCAAGCGGTTCTAAAGTAGGTCAGGCTACTAGTAGAATACTAGTTACTAACTAGTATTAGGTCTAAGCTTTTTGATCATCGTGATATTGATCAATATCTCCACCGGAATCAGTTTGATATTCGCCATTCCTATCATGCAGATGATATAGAGACACGATTCAAGAGAAGCCTATGCCGGGAGGAAACTAAACGCCAACGACGTTACCAAGCCTACCAAGGCAATCTTGACGAAGTAGACCTAGAGGATCAAGAGCTTCATGAATTCAGCTCCTCAGGTCATACAATCCAACGCGCACGATCAAAAAGACTAAAAAGAAGAAGCAGTCAAACTCCTTCTTCACGCGGCCGTTCAACGAGCAGTTCGGCAAGCGGTATAACGTAAGTAAAGCTACTTTACTAGTAAGGTACTAGTTAATAACTAGTACTTTAGAACACCCTCTTCGTCACAGCGAGAATCTCCCAGTCTTCGTCGTACTGCATCGATAAACCTTCATCAGCAAAACCATACTACCCCTGCGCAAGATGAGAGGATACGGCTTGAGAATCGACGAATGGAGTTAGAAATACAGCAAAAGGAGCTCGAGGTAAGAAAGATGCAGCTAGAGTTAGAAAGCATGCAGAATAAAAAGTAGGAATTACTAGTACTTTACTAGTTATGAATTTATCATTTCGTTTGTTAACTGATATTGCATTCATAAAGTTCTTGGCTAAGCCCAGAACTAGTTAAGAACTAGTCAAGGGCTAGTTCGTAAAATCCATCGTAGAAGAAAATAAAACCGCCGGGAAAACTAGTCGAAAACTAGTCACAAACTAGGTTCTTACGCTACGCATCGTCCCCATCATCGGCCTCAGCCTCGCCCTCACCCTCCTCATCCTCAGGCTCATCCTCCTCATCAACCTCCACACGAGGGTCGACGAACATATCGAAATGCTCGCAAGTGTCGATAACCTCGTCATGGCAGCATTCTAAACTAGTTAGTAACAAGTAATTATAGTATTTTAGAGTACTTACGCCGAGGAGTGCCGTTGTCCTTGCAGACCTCGCAAGGAACAGGAAGTTTCAGGGCGCGAATAGCGCGACGCATTCTGGTGATATGCACCTAAAATTGTTAGTCAAAGAACTAGTTAGAAACTAATTAAGGATTAATAATTACCGATCCATCATGCTTAAGAGGGAGAGGAGGCAAAACCTCCTCCTTCTCTGCCTCGCGATCGTCGTAGGCCTTCATGAGGGCATTGTAGAACTCTGTAAACTAGTTAGTAACTGGTTCGAAAAATAATAAAATAATAAAGAAATAAAATAAAACCCCAATTCAGTTAACTAGTTAAGGACTAGTTAACAATTGGTATTGATTCACTTACTTATGGCCTGAGCCTCCTCACCCTGGGTAGGGCGGCCACCGGAGTCCTCCCCAGTCAGATGCACCAAAGGATGCTGCTTGTGGACATGCTTGCGGAGGTTGTTGGCAGAGGTGAAGCGAGTCTAGGATTAGTTAGTAACTAGTTTAGAATAAAGAAAAGTAAAAGAAAAGTAGGAATTCACCTCATTGACACAGCCCTCCACGCGACAGTAACGCTCCCCAACCTCAACAGTGCAGTACCCCTTATCCTGTATGATCTCTCAGTTTCCAAGCTGCAAAATAAGTTCTGAACTAGTTGACTGACGTCTTCCTTCAGGGAAGGGAGCTCCAGGTCAGCCTTGCTGAGGTCCAGGTAACGCTGGTAGTTGAGCTGCAAATCTGTCAGCTTTGGAGTCCCCAAATGAGTCCAGAACTAGTTGACTCACATTCTTTTTGACTTTGGCCATCTTGCCAACGCCTGTCGGTCGGGGATTTGAAGAAGCAGAGAACTAGATACTTCCCAGTTAGGAAGTGGATGTGGATGTGTAAAAAACCAGGTAAAAACTGGTATTGGTGGGTGGAGGAGATGCGTGGAGAGGTGTAAGGTAAGGTAAGCGTTTGAAATGAAAGTGGGTGGAATTGGTGCCTGAGGTTGCGCACCCTACTGAACTCTCAGTGGGGCCCCACTGACATGTGATCACCCTCAGTGGTCCCAGGGCCATTCTTGCCTCAGGCAGTGCAGGGACTGGTTGCAAAACTCTCGGGGCTTGCTTCATTGGCGGCTATACGACATCAATTAGTTCTTGCTTCAGTTCTCTATGGCCTGTTGGTCCCTTGACTGCTTGAGAAGTGCGCGTCTGTGGGCTTTCGTTGCTCACCAAATTATGATATGTTAAGATCGATATTGCAATAGGTACAAGACTCTGAGCTGGCCGTTTATATTTACATCAAAGTACTTTGTATGTACAACAGTTCTTCCAACACGAGATTTTTGAATTCAATTTCCCGGCAGCAGTTCCTGTATCGGTAGTCGATTCTGCATGATGTCATCGGCATTCAAGAAGTCAGTGCTGTCGATGCGATGCTCAGCAGCTGCGATATCTGGAACGATCCCGGAAGCAACATGGCGCTTTGCAAGCCTAGTTCGGGCAATTTCACGGTCCACTTCAATAAACCAGGACTCATCCAGTAGCGCCGCCGCTAGACTCCATGGCTCGCGATTGAGACTCAGATAAAGACCCTCGAAGATCACAACCCTTGATTTTTGTGAAATGGGAATATCATCATCAACAGGGTCTTTGGTTGCATGATCAAAAGATGGTGCGTAAACTGTAGGCGAGTCTGCCGTCAGAGGCTCTCGAAGAGATTGCACCAATCGATAGAAGGCTTCCGCATCGAAGGTAAAAGCAGCTCCCCTACGGTGAATGGCAGTTGCAGGGTCGGGCATAGCGGCTAACTGTGCCCTCGATAAATGATAACCATCCATTGGAATGCATACTGCAAACTCATTGTTGGTACCTTCCAACTCATTAAGTCGCGTAGCTATAGCGGCTCCAACTGTAGATTTGCCTGAGCCAGGTATGCCCGATACGCCGATCAACACTCGTGTGCTCGCATCTTTGCTTTTGCTAAGTGCTACGAGCGGGTTAGCAACGCAGATCAGATTTTTGTCTCAATGCAATGCTCACCTTGTACCTTCCGCGCCAGGCGGTCCACATATTCTGGTACCTGGAAGTTTAGAACAGCCATTGTGGTCAATCGAGCTAGCAAAAATCTGCTTGAAGGAGCAATCTATAGTAGCTAAATAATTCTCCATTTCATCTTTTCCCTACTACCGCAGGGTTAATGCGGAAGCGGCCCGCCGGGCCCTCCAAACCGGACGGGGCGGATATTGAGCGGGATTTGAACCGGGCTAGTCGGGAAACTGGGCTTATCGGGCCAGACAAGGCACCGGCATCTTTCGCTCTAGACTGGGATACGTGGCGTAGCTATAATGATGTCTAGGTGAGATTGATGACTCCGCAAGTTGCCCCCGCAGTCTCTTCCCCACGAGTCTGGAGCACCGGGAGAGGAGAATGGACCGTGTTGTCGGCCGATTGCCACGAAAACCCCCACCGGATAATCCAGAAGCCAACATAACGCCTCGAACAGTCCATGAAGATCATCAAAAATCGAGCCTGACTGCAAGTTTCCTTAGTAATTACCCAATGAACATGCACAGGGACAGTCATAACATAACAAAATCACGGCCGAACTACAGGACCGACTTTTTGCGCGCGACTTGCAGGCATCATCGTTTCAAAATAGTATACTTGGCTGTTCAAATCTACATCATGCCGATGTTGACAATTTGTTTCCTATTGCAGCGGTAAGTGGGTAAAAGTTCCGACTCTAATGCCGCATCATATATTGATTTATTAGGGGTTGTGGTAATCAGGTAAAATGGTTGTCATTTTACTCCTTTCCTATTGTTCTGGCAAATGTCATTAGCAGGCAAGGCAAGAGGAACTCGGCTTCTTCTGATGAAACGGTCGGTCCAGCTGTTGTCCGACAGCTAGTTCACTGTATTTTGGTCCGAATCCCTCCACTCAGCATTCAGAACCTAAAGTAGTGTTTCCGCCTGACCAGGGACGAAAGTCTTAACCTGCTGGGGAAATAGGGAAAGTCATGGAGAAGTATGTTCCATGATCATGCCATCATGGCATAGGAAATCCGGTCCCGAGGTCCACAGCAGATATCAAGCGCGGAAAGAAAAACGGGGCTTGGAATGGGCTCCGCGCCCTTATGGACAGGGAGTGGAAACCCAGCTCTACTATGATCACCGATTGTTTGGCTTTGCGGTACGTTGGCGGAAGGCGGCCCGACGTTGCCCATATTCTTGGCAGTGGATGAAGAATGTGGCGTCCTGACACTTCGGCGGGCCGCTTTCCGACAATCCATTTTCCGGGGAATGCGAGGCGGGGAAACCTTTGTGACGAAACAACCTAGATGTGGAGCAGAGCATATATAGTCGGGGTCTCTGGGGTAGAATTGAGGGCTTGTTGAGCTAAAGGGGTCTTGATTCCCAGGGTCCACATTTCTCATCTCCACATTTTCGCGCTCGAGTCCAACGAATTTGAAATCTCTTGCAGTATGATGGCCAACCTCGACGAGACACAGAGTGAAGCCCACGGTGTTGCAGTTGATTATACGGTTCCACATATCTCTGTTTGGAAGGCGCCATACCTGTGGAAAGCCAGCTTCTGTGTCGTTGGCTTATGTTTATTCTGTATGCTTCATCAATCTTCAGCCCCTTTCATGATAACTGTTTGACGACTGACCACGCATAGCATCTGCCAATGGCTACGATGGGTCGCTTCTCAATGGTCTACAATCATTAGACACCTGGCAAGTCTTCATGGAGCATCCTACGGGTGCCTGGCTCGGCTTCATCAATGCGATATACTGGATAGGAACATTCTTCGGTGCCCTTGTCGCAGCCTGGACATCCAACAAGTTCGGTCGAAAAGTCGGTATCTACTTCGGTATCTCGCTACTTGTTGTTGGAAGCGCATTGCAAGCTGCTGCACCTCACGATAGTGCGTTCATCGTTGCACGACTGATCGTTGGTATGAGCTCTGGTTTTCTCAATAATGCAGCGCCATTACTGTTGAATGAAATTTCCTATCCAACCCATCGGCCTGTGGCAAACGCCTTGTTTATGTGCGGCTACTATCTTGGAGCATTGATTGCGGCTTGGGTGACATTTGGTACTCGCGTGATGGACTCCTCTTGGTCTTGGCGCATTCCATCTATCACTCAAGTTTTATGCCCCGTCCTCGCCCTACCCGCGCTCCTTATGGTTCCCGAGAGCCCTCGCTGGCTTGTCTCTATGAATCGAGTTCCCGAGGCGCGTGCTGCTCTTGCCAACCTACATGCATCCGGAGACCTGAATTCTCCGGTAGTTAATCACCAGGTGATTGACATACAGCACACGTTAGAGTTGGAAGAGGAAAATGCAAAAACATCTGGATATGCAGAGATGATTTCGACCCCGGGTAATCGCCACAGGCTTTTCATCACTATCTCTGTTGGCTTTTATGCTCAATGGGTCGGAAACGTGGTGGTGTCGTACTACCTTGCATTGGTTCTGAAGAACATTGGTATTACGAAAACTAGAGATCAACTTCTCATATCTGGCTGCCTCCAGATTTGGAATCTGATCTTTGCCACGGTCGGAGCCTCCCTTGTGGAAAAAGTAGGCCGCCGGGTCTTATTCTTGCTATCTGGAGCCATCATGCTTGTCAGCTATATTACTATCGCTGGCTTGTCGGGTGGATTCTACACGACGAAAGTTCAGTCTATCGGAACGGCTGTGGTGCCGTTTCTTTTCATTTATTTCGCAGGCTACGATATTGCTCTGTGAGTTATCTCCGATCCTTGTAACTGGACCATGCTAATTAGCGCTGAACAGAACACCACTGTTAACTGCCTATCCATGCGAGGTATGGCCGTACCGATTGCGCTCGAAGGGGCTCAGTGTTGCGTGGATCTCAGTCGTGTTTGGAAACATGTTCAACACATTTGTCAACCCTATCGCCCTTGATGCCATCGGCTGGAAATATTACTTCGTTTTCGTGGCTGTTTTGATCGCCTATGAGATTACAGTATACTTATACTACCCCGAGACAAAGGGACATACGCTCGAAGATATGGCTGTTATTTTCGACAAGGATGATGCCATGACCAGTCATGTTGGGGAAGAGTCAGAGGAGAAGACCGGCAGCACGGAGCTTGTGGAGCGGGTCTGAGCGAATGACTTGATCTTGCCATGGTATACCTGATCTCGATCGATAGCACACCAAGATAGCCCTATTATATTCTACGTGTGCGAATAAACTTGGAATGTTGTAGTAGTGGCATGTAACTGTGTTTCTCCAATTGTGATACATTTTGGCACCTTGACCTCTATACTCAGCTCGTGGCTGGTTTCTGTTAGTATCGTATGATTTACAGAAAGCTTCTTCAATTTATTAGTGAGGTTTCCTCCGGTGGTATCTAGCTACACGTTTCTTTTACCTCTGCACTTTGGCAGTCATCCCTTTGCCGATAGTACTAATGCTTGCGTCGCATCAGATTTCCAAGTCTGGACATTTCAAGTCCTGTCCTGACTATTCAAGTACAAAGGAAATATTCTAGTCAATTTGACTCTCATTCCAGGTACTGGAGGGCGAAAAGCCGTTAGTATGAGCATTGTTCACGATCCATAATCAAATCGTGCCTGTCATAAAGCAGATACCATCACCTAACTTTATTTAGAGGAACGGCGGATACATTCCCTCATTAAACTGAGTTTTAAGGAGACTTTCCGTAAGATTATGATTTTAGGCCTGCACGGAGGTCTAACATATAATCACAAAAATCGCGTTAGGAACTTACTGTCAAACCTCGATACAAGCATTTGTACAGGATATATCAAAATTATCCCCGAAAGAAATACTACTGAGATGTACTTTCTGTATTATCGGCTTATAATCGCTTGGGGCCAGATTTTTGTTCACGTGGCGGAAGCTCGCGATCTGAAGATCTGTGATAAACGGTATTATATGAGAGAGGCGGTTACGTCCTGACGATCGGACATGGTATTTCAAACGAACACGGGGCCGCTAGATCGATATAAAGTCCTATCGCGTGCATGCCTCTAAACTCATCTGACCCCGTGGGACTCCAGTGTGGGCGACCCGCTCAGAACAGGCCTGACGCGGGAGGGGCAAGTGTAGGTTCGGAGAAGGTCCTTGCCACAGGCTTAGTGTCCCAGCGGGCCGACTCCGCCGCGCCCCGTTTGCTCAACTGGAGTTATGATCCCAGCAATCAAAGTTGCGAAATTACTTTTCATTAGATAGTCGCTCAAATCGATAAAAAAATCGACTGAACAGGGGATATAACTACATGCCGAACGAGAAGGTCCAAACAACAGCATTCCAGTCTTAGAACCTAATCTCACTGTATGAACCCATGATTTTCTTCAGTTTAATTGTTCAAAGATATGTGATAACAATGTGAATGTAAGATCCTTTTACTCTATCTCACCATTTTGCATCATCATTGTCTCAGTTTCCTGCAGCGGATTTTTGAATCACACAATCTGCGGAAAAGCACGGCGGATAGGGGACAAGACAGTAAGCCTCCTCCCAGAAGTGACTCCATTGTAGAAAGAGATGGTTGCTTGCGCACGCTTGACTATTCCATCGGGTGTCAATTCAAACATCTTAAAAAGCTCGTCTGGAGGTCCAGAAGCTCCAAACCGGTTGATGCCAAATTGTTGATGAGAATAACGATCCCAGCCCATAGTTGAGGCGGCCTCGACCGACAAGACGGGAATATCGTCAGGGAGCACTTGCAGGCGGTATGACTCCTTTTGCTGATCAAAGACTTCGAAGCAAGGCATAGAGACAACCCGAGCAGAAACATTTTGCTTTTGTAAATTTACAGCGGCTTTCAAGCAGACTTCAACCTCAGAGCCTGTGGAAACCAGGGTAATAGCGGCATCAGTTGTATCCAAAACAACATATCCGCCCTTGAGAGCTTTCTGGATCGAAGAGCTCGGAAGTTGAGGCAGATTCTGGCGCGTGAGAGCGAGAATGCTTGGGGTTTCCCTTGCTTGTAGCGCGGCAAGATACGCAGCACTAGTCTCATTCCCATCAGCTGGTCTCCAAACCATGCAGTTCGGAAGTGCACGGAAATGAGCGAGCACTTCGATCGGCTGGTGCGTGGGGCCATCTTGGCCAAGGGCGATAGAATCGTGCGTGGCAATGTGAATGACACGAAGTTTGCTCAACGCAGCAAGACGGATAGCCCCAGCCGCGTAAGAGGCAAAGTTAAGGAACCCTCCGCTCAAGGGGATTATCATACCATAAGCTGCGAGACCATTCATAATTGCTGCCATTGCGTGTTCACGAACTCCGTACCGGAGATAACGGCCAGACCAGGTACCAATTTTACTTGCTGGAGGCTGGAAGTCGACAGCATCCTTCCAGCGAGTATTGTTAGAACTGGTGAGGTCTGCGGACCCAGACAGCAACTCCGGCAGGCTTTTGTTAATCGCCTCCAGAACAGTTTCGGACAGCTTCCGTGAGGCAACAGCCGCGTTTGAAGAAGTATAGACTGGTAGCTCGTTTTCCAAGTTATCCGGAAGTTTGCCCTCGACTCGACGGATCAACTCAGCGTGCTCCACCGGGTACTTCTGGGCATATCTTTCAAGTTGTTCGTTCCAGTCCCTCTCCTTTGCCGAGCCTTCATTTGCATGCTGGCTATAGAGGTCATACACCGTTTGGGGCACCACAAAAGACTGAGCAGGATCGAAGCCAAATTGTTTCTTGACGTTTTCCACGTCATCTTTCTTGAGAGGATTGCCATGAACACCACTTGTTCCTTGAAGCTTCGAGCCAAAGCCGATCGTAGTCGCTAGCTTGATCATCGATGGTTTATCGGTGACGTCAAGGCAGGTTTGAATCGCCTTCTCAATAGCATCCAAATCACCATCGCCATCCGCTACAACTTCGACGTGCCAGCCATAAGCTTCGAACCGCTTTTGGACATCTTCAGTGAACGTGCATTTAATATCTCCATCTATTTTAGATTTCGATTAGCTCGTCTGTCATAAGAGAAGAAAGTGCTCAAGCAAGAGAGTTCACCGATAGAGATCTTGTTGTCATCATATATGCACACCAAGTTGCCCAATTTCAAATGGCCCGCCAGCGACGCCGCTTCGCTGGCAATTCCCTCCATGGCACAGCCATCGCCGAAGAAACAAAAGGTGCGGTTATTGATCATCTCGTATTCTGGCTTGTTGAACACACTGGCAAGGTGTGCTTGGGCAATCGCCAGGCCCACGGCATTGGCAAAGCCTTGACCCAGAGGACCGGTCGTGACTTCGATACCCGGGGTTTCATGAGACTCAGGGTGACCCGGCGTTTTGCTGTGGAGTTGCTAGTAGGAAGGCCCATTAGCAATATACCATATGCATGTAACTGAACCTGAAGACAATGTACCCGGAACTTTTTGAGATCCGCCATGCTCAACTCGTAACCAAACAAATGCAGAAGGGCATACTGAAGCATGCATCCGTGACCGTTTCTAAACGAGCTAGGTTAGTATAAATATCGCGGGGAGCCCAGGTTCACTTGACTAACGACAAGACAAAGCGGTCGCGATTTACCCAGTTGGGGTTTTTGGGGTTGAAGGTCATGAACCTGTTAAACAGGACATGTGCGGCCGGTGCCATGCCCATGGGCGCACCGGGGTGGCCTGAATTGGCATTGAAAGTGGCATCGACAGCCAAGGTGCGAATCGTGTTGATCGCTAGTCTGTCAATTTCAGAAAAAGGCATTTTCGGATTTGAAGGCAAGGGAATGCAGACAGTTAGCGAGCGAGGTCACGTAAGGGTGTGATATTGTCAAGTTGGTTTATATACATCCCTACCGTCCAACCCTAGCCACAGTACCCCCTCCAGCAATCAAAACAGGATCTCCACTGCGGAAAAGCTGGCCCGGTGAGCCGGTGAGCCTGCGAGTCCGAACTTGAAAACGCTGCCCTGTAGATGCGAGGATGGGGTAGCTTGACATTGAGTGCGGCGGGGATGCGGGCCGTCACGTACGATCACAATCGCCTCGGTCGGCACCTTCCGCCCTCATGTTCAGCCAAGACGTGACCGTACGCAAGCCGACCCATTGTTGAATGCAATTCCCACCGTGTATGATCTGGTCCCCTCAAAAGGCCATCTTCTGCTGCGGCTAAAGAAGCCCGTTTCGCTCGGTGGACCCGAAATTGCTGCTCTCCTCGCCACCCATGTGTGCGGCGGGCCGCTTTCCGCCGTCTTTAGTGGGGTTCAACAAGAACCAAGCGGAGGGCTTCAACAATTGAGTGACGACATGGAAATAGAGCTGGCGAGTGGACCAATGGAAAAGCCTCCTTCGGGCCACTCCAGTTCACGGGAGAGGACATGAGGGGAAATGCATGGGAGGCATACCTCCGCGAGGCGGAAGAACAAGTATAAAGGACGCGGACCAAGAACGTGAATTGCTCATCTACCATCTTCTCTGTGATATTGCAAACACGATCATTCCCCCAAAATGACTCTCACTACTACACGACCCCTTCAGGGCAAATTGGCCATTGTGACTGGAGCATCTCGAGGTCAGTGACGCGTATGTTCGATTTCCGGGATGGCTTATAACTAACGACTGCATGCAAATAGGGATCGGTGCCGCGATTGCCCGCCATCTCGGCGCCAAAGGATGCTCCATCCTCGCCGTCTATACTTCGAACTCGTCGACCAAGCTAACTGCGGACCTGTGCGCCGAGCTCATCTCGCAACACGGCGTGCAAGCCCACGGTGTCAAGGCCGATCTCGGCCAGCCCGAGGCGGCCCGCGCTATGGTTGAGGCCGCCAAGGAGCACTTCAGCAAGGACGGCCAGCTCGTCATCAATATTCTTATCAACAACGCTGGGGTCGGAGGTGACTACCCGCTGGAGAAGGTGCCCGTCGAGGAATTCAATCGAATCTACGGTGTGAACGTGCTGGCACCCATTCTTGTTACACAGGCGGTGCTCCCGTACTTGCCCCACGACCGATCCGGTCGTATTGTCAACATCTCCTCGGTGGCCTCGTCTATGGGCTTCGCAACGCACACACTGTATGGAGGCACCAAGGCTGCTCTAGAGGCCATGACCCGCACTTGGGCCCGTGAGCTTGCCGAAAGAGCCACCGTGAATGCAGTCAACCCTGGTCCTGTCGAAGGAGATATGTACTTTGCTGCGGGTGAGAAGTTCTGGAAGCAGATGGAGCCCTTCCAATTGAATTGTCCACTGTCTGCCGTGCGGGAGGGTGCAGATGACCCTTCACTGGTGAAGCTTGCAAAGGAAAAGATGGGTGGCCGCCGCCCGGCGTACTGGACCGAAGTTGCGGGGGTGGTCGGTATGCTTTGTACCGAGGACTCGGCGTGGTGCACAGGATCCATTGTCAATGCCAACGGTGGATTCCGCTTCACCACTTGATTTTTGGATGCAAACCGGCACATGTTGAAATCATCGGTCGGATAGATCAAAAAAAGAATATCACGTGTAGATTTGAAAGACGAGAAACCCCATGTAAAGCCCCGCATCACGTGCAGCGGCAGCGAACCGAAGCGGCAGACACCCGCGCTGGTTACTCTCTACACGCGACCATCTCCATGGAATCCGAGGAGCGCGCCCATCGTCAGCGGGCCACTATGGCCTGCAGGTTTTGCCGCCAGCGGTAAATATCACCCTGACCGCAAAGCTGACTGGTCATGTAGAAAATGCAAACCCGGCTAAACCCTCAATTTCAGAAAACGACGCTGTGACGGACAGCGGCCTGCATGCTCGAATTGCGAGGCCGCCAATGTGGAATGTCTTTATATTGATGTCGAACAACGCAGGTATCTATCCGTAGCAGTCCCATGGTAGTACACATACGCTAAAAATCCCTCAGATTTGACATAGAGATCTCGCTGTCTACCATTGCCGAGCGGTTAGATCGTCTGGAATCGACTGTCAGGGAGCATTCGAATGCTCTAACTGAGATAGGAACAGGGGCTGCTGGACAGACCCCTGTCGCAAATTTCTTGCAAGCTCACAGCCATTCCCCCAATGTCTTCATGGCATCACCACATGGATCTGGCATGTCGCACGACACGACTGCAAGCGGGACGTCACACATGGCAATGGTCTCTACATCCGCTGAAGTACTGCCTCCAATGACAATTCCATTATGGCATTCGACTACGACTGGCTCTCTCCTGTCCTGTCCTCAGGTGAAATCGCTGCTGGGCGATTATCCAAGCGACGTATTTTTGCGCATCGAGGAGCGGCGAGCACCCCTTACCTCTCAGGGCCTGGTAGGCAACCCAACAGACCTGTCTGCGATACAGCCTCTGGATCGGAGCTGTACAGATGACTTGATGGAATTATATTTCCAAACCGTAAACATACAGCACCCTATCCTGGACCGCGACGAGTGTATCGCTCTTTACCATTCAACCGTGTCGCGGCCTTTACAACCGTCTTTGGAATCAGCTCTACTATTAGTGGTGCTTGCTTTAGCCGAATGTGCCAAAACTCAGCCACCCGAACGGCTCAGTGCAGACTGGGCACCTGGAAGCACCTATTTCCTGCCAGGCCTTAGCATCTCGCTTGAAGCCTACCTGAACACTACAGTCCCCTCATCAACGCTTCCACAGTGCCTGTATTTGATGGCATTGTACTATAATTATATTGTACGACCCCTGGACGCTTGGAAACTTGTTCATATGGCATCGACCTGCTTCCAACGACTGTGGATAAGGTAAGTCTCACACCAGGGAATAGACGCTTTCACCGAGGAAGGCTAAATAATGAATGCAGATCAAAGCCCTCCTCCGATCCAAGCGAGGCACAAACCCAGTCACTAATTAGATTATGCTGGGCGATTTTCTCCCTCGAATGGTAAGAAACCTGCGTCATTGCCTACGACGTACGCTAAGGGCCCCAGTGACCTGATTGCGGAGCATCATCTGCCCCGTAGTGGCATCGAGAACCTAGTGGACAGGTTACAGCTTCCTCTTTGTGGAGACCCGCCGAATCCTTCTCTGCTTGCATGGCTAGCTGAACTGTCCGCCCGCCGACTTCTCAATCGAGTCCACCACGCTATGTATGAAAATGATCAAGAACACTTGCTCCAGGCGGACCATGTGACTAGCAACTGTGCTAGTGGAAGGGAAGAAGAGGTTATAATCAGACTTATGAGCTCCAGACTGAACGTGTCAATGGAGCTAGATACGCAGTTGAATCATTGGTATGATTTGATTCCGCAGATCATCAAGCCAGATTTGACACAGATCCCCATATCCGTTGGTGATGCCGTGATAGTTCTCCGGCATCATTCTGCGAAGGATATCATCTTTCGGCCATTTTTACTCTTTGCTTGCAGCCTCCCCTCGACTGTGCGGCCTCCGGAATCTTTGATTGAGATTTGCCAAACAACAATCTATAGCTGCCGCCAATACGTTCGGGCGGCAGCTATGAGACTGGCCGAGCCTTCTGCGTCGACAGAGATTGTGGTCCATTCGTAAATGCTCTTCGTCCCCTTTTCACACACAGAAACTAACCTTTCAGAGTTTTCGCTTCCACGATAATTATCACGATTTCCGCACTCAACCCATGGTTAACAGAGTATGCACCAGACATTGATGACTTGCAGGGAATTGCGATCTCTACAATGCAGCGCTGGGCATTGCCAGGATCTTGCATTGAAGCGATGACCCTGATGCTTGGAGCCATTCGAAATAAAACAAAGATGCTCAAGGCAAATAGCGAGCTAATATAGAAAGGCGGATTAGAAATTGGATCTAATTTTCATAGATCAAAAATCCTAATACACCTACGAAGCTTGAGACCCGGCTGTTTTGACATCCGTCATTCGAGCATACCAGTTTTTTGTTCGGTATAATCTCCACCCGCCGTTTTGACCAACGACATTGCATGAAAGCCCCGTTGGCGAAATTCACTCGCTGCTTACAAAGACATTACTGTATCATTATCAACATTTCTTCCATCTTTCTACACAGAGTGCTTCGATTCTGATAAATTTTGAGACATCTGTACTACGATATTTTCAATCGTTTGATTTCCCTAATTCTCGCCCAGACGGACGAAGCTAGGTCAGCATCTACAAGAAGATCGAGCGTCTTCGTCGGTTCAGTCTAAAGCCTACGGATGCCATTCAAGCTCTCAATAAATCTTTGTCCAAATGGAGTGGCATCCGACAAGGTTGTAGGCCGCGCGACTACGCCCAGAACATGCTACATCTGCCAAAATCGGCCGGCTGCAAGTCTGTGCATGACCAGCTGCTACCCATTCGCTATAATATCGAACCCTCGCTCCGCAGAGATATCCGCGAGCCCAAGGGAGTTACTACCCTTGCCAATATTATGAGAGCCCTCGATACCCGCTATCGCGATTGAAAAGACATGGCTTCCAAGCAAAACCGTCAGTTGTCTGAAGGCCGCGCCAAGCTAGCTTCTCACGCTCCCAATGGCAAGTCTAACGTCAACCAGCGCTCAAACCAGCCACCGCAATTCCACCCTACACAGCGTTTCCAACCGCCCGGTAACAAAAACTATCAGAAATGTTCCTATTCTACCCAGCAGCGAGGGCACCAGCAGTACCAGACCCAGTCCCAGTACCAGCTGCAGTCTCAGCAACAGGATTTAGCCTTCGATATCTTCAAAAAAATGGGTTGAGTACTTTAAAGCTGAAAGGATGAAGATACAGAGGAAGCTACTTAAGCTGAATTAAAAGCAAGTGCGTGAAGTCATCTCACCATGCAGTCGACTAAGACTAGTAAACTATGAGCGCGTAAGAAGAACCCTTGTGTTATGTATCTCGTAGGGCAGGATGTACCACCAGGGCAAAAAGCCCAGAATGTGGAATCTGTGAAGATTTTACATGCCTGTCACTACTTATATGTGATATACCGTGGAGGTGGCAAGGGAAGACGCCTCAAACTCTTGTTTCGAGCGTATTTACGGTGTCGCTACCAAGTGGGCGGTTTGAAGGGCAGACTAGGGTAGGTTGTACCGGGGGTCGAGTACATGGGAAACGTCACTGTGCTGGAATTATGATACATGAAATGGATGACGATGTTCGTGTGGGTCTTTAGCTTTGCCGAGTGGCCCGCTGTTGGCTTAAAACTGATTTTGTTATTATCAGCCATCCACCGGCCGCCCACCGGCATCCCACTGGGCTCTAGTCAGCCGTCCATGTGTTCCTGAGAGGTAGGCAATTCCATTCATAGTGTCCACTAACCTTTCGGATGAGGGATTAATTTAACAGGGTTAATAAGCAGCTTAAATTTTTATTAATAATCAGGAATACCAATCATTATATATATGTGAAGAACCTAGGGGTTCGCTTGGAATACCTCCAATAAGTCTATACTCAGATGAACCAATCCGGACTTACACTATCATGTCAAACCCCCAGCCATACAAAGCATTTCGACGCGCGAGTGGCAGTGTACCCCACACGCTTGAGCTAGTTACAGAGACTACTCCTTCCTCGCTTGGTCCTGAGGAAGTCCTGATCCGCATCCATGCTGTCTCTCTGAATTTTAGGGATGTTGCGATGACAAACGGGGAGTATCCGCTACCGGTCAAGGAACGGGGTGTCCCTACATCTGATTGCGCCGCAGAGGTTGTCGCCGTCGGCTCCACAGTGAAGGATTTTCGACCCGGAGATCATGTCCAGCCACTCTCTGATCTGAAGGCCATGATCGGAAATGAGCAGGAAACGGCAACACTGGGTGGAGACGTTGACGGTGTTTTGCGACAATTTGCTGTGTTTGATCATAAAGTGCTGGTCCATTTGCCTGAGCATCTGTCATGGGAGGAAGTAAGTGATCCACCATATACCAACCAATAAAGGAGCAAATTCCTAACTTTGCCATATAAAATTAATAGGCATCTTGTATTCCTATTGCTGGAGTTACCGCATGGACAGCCTTAGAAATGCCGAGATCCAGTGGCACGGCATTGCTTCAAGGTAAGCCTATTTCTGCTTGGCTCAAAATGGAATTCCTGATGAGTTTGAGATAGGCACTGGAGGCGTCAGTATGTTTGCTTTGCTGATCTGCCTGGGGGCTGGTATCCGCCCTATTATCACCTCTTCCTCCGACATGAAGCTTGAAACGGCCAAGGCAGTTGATAAGCCAGGGGCTGTAGATGTTATCAACTACCGAACTCACCCTAACTGGGATGAGGAAGCACGCCGACTCACAAATGGACGCGGCGTCGACGTTGTTATCGAGAATGTTGGGATGACTACGGTTACCAAGTCTCTTGCCTCCCTTGCGCGGAGAGGCACCGTTTCCTTGGTCGGCTTCCTGGGCGGCTTCAAAGTCGATCAGTTTCCCGATACCATTACTCCGGTACTGCTGAAGAGTGCCACTCTGAGGTATTTCTTCCCACAACATTCTTCAATCCGCGTATCTTTGAGATTTTTAACAACAGTTTTTAATTTAGAGGAATTGCGACCGGCTCAAAGACCGATCATCAGAACCTGTGCAACTTCCTGAAGGAGAAAAAGATTTCGCTGAAGCCTATTGTGGACCGCGTCACCTTTTCTTTTGAAGAATCACAGGCCGCCTTCGATTACCTGTATGCCGCTAAACATATGGGTAAGGTCGTGATCAAACTGTAATTGCACTAGCCTCTCATAAAATACATCAAAGTATACAAGCTTATTTCATCTATTCTATTAACAGTTAGACCTAATTCATTATCAATATTAGCATACATACCAGAACAGTGTTTAATAATGACTAGTAACTAACGTAATTCCCGGTTGACCGGGACACCCGGCTGTCCGGGACACCCCCCCCAGTAGAAATTTTTGAATCAAAATATATCAACCAAAACGCATCAATTTAGCTATATCTAACGATTTTTACATTGATTGATCTTATGGCCAATTCCCCTACACCCACTACACCTTGGTGGTGCCCTTGTTGCTGGCTGAGCCTGCTGAATAGCCTCATCGGCCTGCTCATGCGAAACGACCCGATCAGGTTCAACTAGCTGATTTAGCTGCGCAACTAGCTGTTGACCCTCTTCGACCGATAGGCCTCCTTCGTGAGCTATCTGTCGATTTGATCGTGTGCGTTTTTGGCGTATTTTCTCATTCCCCACGCGTAGATCAGCGTTTTCTTGCGCATATATCGCAAGGTTATGAAGCGATATATAGTGGCCTTTGATGATTTGATCTAGAACGGTTTTTGATGGGCTCGGAGGGCTATTTGACCGTCGTTTCAATAGATCTTTGAGTAACGAAGCTGATTTTTCTAGTTGAACGACGGTTCTAGGTGTTTTTGGGCTAAAATGGCTATCGCTGGTCGTTGGCCGGCTATTCGGTGGTGACGGTGTTTTGAGTAAGATATTAAGCTTCGAAAGCACCCGTTCTGGGTCCATTAGAACAAGACTAGTAGCTGCGAAAGCGCTTTGAATAATATGTGGTTGAAAGGCCTCCGCACGCGCCCGAGGGTAATCAGCGAGGAAATCGAATTTGTCGATGTGGTTGTATGACACGCGAGCCAGATCGCTCACGAAGCGGCCGTATGCGCGTTTTAATATAGCAAAACAGCCAACGTCAAGCGGTTGTAAGAGATGTGAAGAGTGCGGAGGCATACAAAGTGGTATCACATTGTTTTCAGCGCAGATTCGGTCGAATTGAGGTGTAAGATGGCTACCGTGGCCATCAAGAATCAATAACCGATATCCCCCCTTCGTACGCGCTATAGTCGCTAGAATAAAGAGCTTTTGTAGCCAACGAAGGCCAATTTCATCGGTTATCCAGCCGTTTGGCGAGACCTCGATACGCCAGTCTTTTGGAAGATAAAGCTGTTCGTCGAACCAAGAAGCGATGAAGTTTTTGCCTTTAAATATCACGCATAGCGGTAGCGAATAGCCGTCAGCGCTTACTGCTTCGACCGTAGTAACCCATTCACGATTGCCTGGTTATAGAAGCGATCGCCGACCGTAGTATTCAGCCCTCGTAACTACTTTCTGTGTAGCTATAAGACCCATAGCGAAGCCGGTCTCATCAAAGTTGTAGATATCCCCCGGTTGGATACCTTTCTCGTCAATAATACGTTAGACGGTCGCAAACCACTCTCGTAGTGAGTTTGGGTCTTCGTTTTAAGCGCGTTGGTAATCGTAGCGTCGTGAGAAGGCTGAACGAAGCTCGTCTCGTCGGTTAACGAAGCTTGATGGCCAATTCTTGCCTACTATAGCCGGAGGGTTCTCACCACGCGTAGCCAATAGAATATTAGCCATTTCTCGCACAGTAGAGGGCCTAGGCGCTACTCCACGCGTATCCATAGAGATAATCCACTCAGTAAGCGCATCCTCTTCGTATTGGGTCAATTTATGGCGAACTGGGCGCTTATCGACGCGTGAGGTTCGGCCCTAGGCGCGCGCATGTAGGGTTGAGAGTGGTATTTCGTATAGCTTCGCTGCAGCGCGGAGAGAGTTGATACGGCCATTTTTGATATCATCAAGGGCTAATAAGACCTTGCCCTCCTGATTAGCCGATTTCTGCGCTGATTCGGTGCGTTTTGGTGGCATGGTAGGTGGTTGAATTAGGTGGGTGGTTAGAAAGACGTGTTTTTGGATGGGGTGTCCCGGACAGCCGGGTGTCCCGGTCAACCGGGAATTACGTTAGTTAATAAACACAGCTGAATCATTAGTTTATGCGGCCGGAAAATGAAGGTCTTGGCATAATTATGAAACTGCGCGGGACCGGTCCTGACTACTTCGAAACAGACCGAAGACCGGGCTGGTCCCGGTCCTCGCCGAGGTCTAGTTCTAACGTAAAAGTCTGATTATTCAAAAATCAGCGCCAATCCAGCTCCAAAACAATCCAAAAATTTTCTCTTCTCACCTCGGCATAATGTTCACTCAAAACCTTGACGGACATAAAATAGCATAATCATACTATACCAGGAAAGTTCGAGGGATCTCTTCCAGGTCTTAGCCGACGGGACCACGGGCGGGGCGGGGGGCAATCTGGTTAACGCCACCCCACATGAGACCCAAATACCAACTAACCTCAATTCGAGGCATTAAGTACCTCGGCGAAAATATGTCATGTACTTTGTACATATAAGGGCCATAATCCTACCAGTCACGAGACTTTTCTCTCTATCAGCCGCCAAAGTTCCGTCACTGCACGAGCTCTTTCTCTCACTCTCTGACACACATTCTCCCCTTCTTTCTCGCACTCAACGAGAGACTGGACTGTGTAGTATCGCTGGACTCTCCCAGTATTAGACATGTCTCTCCAATCCCTCCCAGACGAAATTCTTCTGCGGATTCTATCTTACCTGCCATCCCATACCGATGCAGCAGCGGTGTCTTTACAATGCCACCGTTGGCACCGGCTTTGTGACATGTCTAATCGTCGCAAATACCGCCGCGTGAAACTCCGAGAGACGTTAGATTTGGCAGTGGCTTTGAAAATGCTCCGATCGATCCTCAAAACACCCCAGTATGGGGGGTATGTTCGCTATATAGAGCTGAACCGATCCCCATCGCTCGATTATAGCTTTTTGGTGCGGTCATACGAAGTCAAACCGCCGCAACGGTCTCTCCGTCCAAAGGACCAGGACCGCCTGACTCGGGCGATTAGGCGCGCCGGTTTTGATGGCCCGGAAGAACAGGAGAAGGTGCTCAATGTCTTACTGCAGAGTCCGGCTACCATGGAGTAAGCTTGCTTTTTCCCTGCCTCGTTTCTAGATTAAATGAATTCGCTGGCATATTTCAAACAAAAACAAAAAAAAAAAGCTCAATTCTGACTTTGATTAGCCATAATGACCCACGAGCCCCATTCCTCGCCCAGGCGTTGGCAGCATTACTAGTCAGCGTTTCGCCACTATTAGAATCCTTGAGTTTCTGTCCTGTCGGCCAGGAGCCCTCGAAACTCGCAAAACTAAGGGCCCAAGCCAATGGAAACCCGCTCAAGGAAAGCGATTACTTCTTTAAGTATCTCTTGGACCGGGCGAATAGTAGGCCGCAGGAGACCCTACCATACCTATATTGTCTTCGCCGGGTCCGTTTTCTTGTCGATCCTGATACAAAAATCAGTCCCTGGTACAATTACCAGCGCTATGATCTATACGGCAGCCTCAACCTAGTACGCCGGCTCCCCGCGATAGAATCTATTCGAGTCGATGCGATTATGGAAACAGAAAGCCCGAGTATTGAGCCCCCACCCAGATCCGCAAATTATTCCAAAATCATCATTCGGAACTCTAATATAGATTCCCGATATCTGGTGCGGACCATTGAGTCAGCTAAACAGCTAAAAGAGTTTACATATGCGATCGGTGGCCGAGGCTCGAGCGATGGAATGGGCAATTTCATCCCAGATCACGTCTTGCAGGCGCTTTTCATACACGCTGATTCGTTGGTGCATCTAGATTTGGATGTCGAGGCGGAACTTCCACTAGTGCATATATTCGATCCGACTCTTAGACAATACCTTCTTGACGACAGCGAGGATCGACTATCGAGATCCCATCCCGCCTATCAGCAGGAGTGGGCAGATGAACTGCAAGGGCTCCAGGTAGAGCAGAGCAGTCAACCATCGCCTTGCTCTCTTCGTGGGCTTACGAACCTGAAGAATTTGAGTCTCGGCATTCATCTCCTCTACTACCTATCGCGGGGAATTGGCGCCGATCAGGTCGACGATGCATCATTTGCTATTGTGGATCATCTCCCTCCCAACTTGGAAGCGCTTTGTATCTATGGGTACAAAAAGGGAATGAAACCGAAGGTCGAGGGTCTCGGAGGCGATGTGTTTACTAGGCAATTGGAGAAATTACTCGCCGAAATGGATACCAAATTGCCCCGACTATCATATATCGAGGGCATTGATGAATTGATCGAAAACGCGGCTACCGTCGAGCATCCAGAGACCAACGATGAGGATCTATGGGGGAGAGAGACAGATGATGAATGGAGTGATTATGAATACGAGTAGCTAGTGTGTGACACATGACAGACGATGGACTTGGAGATCACCTCAGGGACGCGTGACTGAAGGGAGCAACTGACCTGACTAACCTGATTGGGCCTGTTTGCATAGGAGCTCTCTACATAATAGCGGATTCTCCTCATACTTTCTTCCCTCTTCACTTTAGTTGTTTTGTTGATTGCGCCTGGTTCTTCCAGCCGGCTCCTTCGTAACACGCTGCATAGGATTCCATCCCATGTAGGGGCCGTTCTATAATATCTTATCTTACATAGAGACTGCTGTACAGTGGCGACTGCTATCGCCTTCCATGTCGAAAACAGAGGCTCTTTCAAACACAGATCATATGGCACATTCAGCTTAAGCCGGGTATGGTTAGCACGGTATTTGTAAAGCCGTTCCAGAGTTGAACGGTATAAGGCGAACCTTTTACGTCAAATTGATTCACGTCTTCTTCCAAGAAAACGAGATCGCATCACCTCCAAGCAGGATATTTTGTACTTGGGAGTTTATTTTCTCCCCTCTTATGTTTCTTTTCCCCTACTTTCCCGAGGTTCGAGCCAACGACCGACAACTTTCGCCGTCAATCTCCAAATAATTCCTGGACGATATCTTGGAGCCGAGTCCAGACCCTCTATTACTGTGATGGGTCCCTTGCAGTTCGAATTCAGACTCATTTGCTAACCTCTGTTGAAGTCCCGGTAATGACTGCCCAGCTGATCCGGTTCCCGATGCAGCGTACTTGGACTTTTGCCTTTGTCCCTTGAAGAGTCCGTACAGGACGGGTGCATTGGCGACGACAGCGGCGGCAAGTAACTCAATCGACGCCCAAGTCGTTCTGTTCACTTGAACGGTGGAATTTTTGGCGTTTTGGGGTAGTCTAGCGATGGTGATGGCGACGATGAAGAGGCCGACAGTGAAGAGGGCTGCCAGCTGGAATTTTCTGGGGGAGAGAACGCGTCAACGAGATGCATATGGTGATATAGGTCGGGCCAAGCTTACTCAACAGTGGATCGTTTAACCAGAACCAGAACAGGAATCGGCATAGCGATAAGCATAATGTCTGTAATGATATTGAGGACCCCTAAATGAGGAAACGAGAGTGTTAAGGGGAATTACATTGACACGACCGTTCCGGAAGGCATACCGAGGACGATCAACTGGAGCTGTGCCTGGCAGCATGTGCCTGAATTTGTTAGAAGGTGACATGAGCACGAAAAAAAGTAAAGAGAGAAGGGCATACCAGGATCCGGCAACACGATCCAGTAATGGTTGAATGGATCGCACTCCGTGAAAGTCACGATCTGTACAGTTACATACGTCGCTGCGAATATGCCGATATATGCGATCATCGTGACCTTCTCCCAGCGAAGGTGCGTGTGCAGTCTGCGGTAGGTATCAAGCAAAACCAGCTTTTGCAACCAGAGACTAAAAGAAATATGAGAAAAATAGCCCGTCGACCCTACGTTTCATTCGATCCGGGACATACTAGGAATTATAGAACACTCGATTAATGAGCACGAACTTGCTCGCGATTTCTCTGCGACGGATCTCCTCAGGGGTGAAATGGTGTGTGTGTCTGAACGTGGTAGCCATATTGTTAGTTCCCCAGATGAGAATAACATGGACCAAGGCGAGGCGTACGAGCGCGCAGAGAATCGCTCCCATTGAGAAATAATCGCCCAGAACGAACTGTAATCCTTTCAACTTTCGCACAAGGAGCCGAAGGACAATCAACCCGAGTGTCACCCAGGTAAACACCCAGAGAATGATGAGGGTGGAATCCATTGCTTTCGAGGGTAGGCTGTGAGAGCCTCCTAAAGAAGAAGAGGGGAAAGGAAACGAAAAGGGATCGACAGAACCAAAGACTGATACGAGCCGAACTACTGTAGATTACATAACAGGTGACGGGATGGGGGAGGATCTGGTCTGCTACGTCAGGTCTCTCCCAATAACCATAAGCTTCTCAGCAGGCATTCTTCATCATGGAGGGTTGAAAATTCCCCACCCAACCCTGCCAAGAAATAGGGGGGGTTTCATCTCATTTTCTCGCTTTTGGAGAAGCGAGGTAGGGAAAAGTCAAGTCTCTAATCCCCACCTCTTCTTCATTCCTGGAATTAAAGTATAAGTGACTTTAAGTTTCACTAGGAAAAGTCTGCCGCGGCTGAGCACCCGGCTGCGCTCCACCCCCGGTTCTGCGTTACAGAGGGCGAAGTGGCCTCGAGCGCAGCACATGGCTTGATAGTGGAATCTAGTGGCGACGTCATCTTCTATTGTGCAGGTTGCGTAAATCTGGTTCGGCGCCGACCAGCGCGGCCAGGAATTGGAATGGGCTCAGGTGGCCCTACCAGACCCTACCTTTGTAGTAGGTTGAAAAATCTTTTGTCCATGTGACGCATGACAGAACGATGGACGGAGATCACCTGATGGACGCGGAGTGATGGAAACACCCGACCGAGCTAACCTAATGGGGCCTGTTTGCATGAGCTCTCTACAAGATAGTTGCCAGAGCCTCCGTAGTTTCTTCCTTCTTCACCTTCGTTGTTTCGTGAATGCACCTGGTTACTTTCCAGTTGGCTCTTTCCATGATCGTAACATGCAACGAAGGTCCTTTTTCACCCTTTCCTGTCATCTTTGAGTTGTACAGACATAGACAGCACGCTGTCACCGTCTCACTTAGAGCGACGCCCCACCCTGAACCGAAACCGACGAATCCTGAACGATTCCAACCGAACCTTCCCCTGCCAAGACAAGCCGACGTCATGGCACGATCCCGTTCAACGATCCGACGCCGTCAGAGCACTGCGGCTAATGAGCCTCACGACCAGACCCCAGAGAACCTGGCCGGAGAGCACGAAACGAACAGCGATGACGATGAAATCGCTAGCGCCGAACCTGCCGGATGGCAGGGACTGGACGAACCGATCTCTTTCCCCTCTGAGGGGGACCTTGACCTTGATTTCATCAAGAATCACACGCCTGAACAACTCCTTGACCTCCTCCGCCGAGAGTGCCGCGAAATTCGAACTCTCACCAACCAGCGGGATGCTATGAACGCTGAATACGGGGAGGCATAACGGGATCTTGAGACTGTTACCCTGAGGGCTGGTCAGCTCGCTATGAAGGTTGTCGACCTACAGGAGCGTGGGCAAGACCGTCCGTCGACCCACGAGTCCCCGATGGCTGTATCTCGCCGTACCGCGAAACTCCCCGACCCCCCTCTCTCTTTAGCGACGGCAAGACCGTACGCTTCGACCAGTGGGCGAACCAGATTCGACACAAGCTACGTGGCAACGCTGACCACTACTTGACTCCGTCCGACCGAATCTACTATGTTTCGAGCCGCACCGAGGGCAAGGCCTTACTCCATATTGGTCCCCGAATGAGAGATGGAGCGTCTAACCCGTACGGCGACGCAGAGGATATGATCAAGCATCTCGAGAGTGTCTTCTCAAACCCAAACCGAGCTGCGGAGGCACTCCACGAATACACCTGCCTAACTATGAAGCCCAAGGATGATTTTGGCGACTTCCTTGCTGATTTCTCTCGCTTGGCTGAAGAGGCTCAGCAGCCTGAGCAAAACCGACTCCGCGACCTTTATGGCAAGCTACCACCGATGCTCCAGACCTAGACGATGTACCTACTCGATGACCCAGACGTTAGCTTCAAGAGGTTTATTGCTACCTGCCAGCGTATGGCCCTGAACCTAAGCTTGTTTTACAAGCAGAAAGAATCTCGTCGTGCCCAAGCGGCCGCAACCGTCTCTGGATCAGCCTCAGGCTCAGCTACGACCACCGCTTCGCGTGGACGCCCTGCATCATCCCCTTTCATTAAGCGTGAGGGTGCTACTCCGGCTTATAAACCAATGACCGCGGAGGAACGAGCGACCCACCTGAAGGAAGGTCGATGCTTCAAATGTCACGAACAAGGATACACCTCACGCGATTGCCCGAAGAAGCCGATAACCGTCGCTTCGATCGATACTGCTAAAGAACTCGCCGATCACGAAGCCCCTACCACTGCCAATGCCCCTGAATCGGGAAATGCCTAAGCCTGGGGAAAGTCTCCTTCCTAGGTGGTATGACTTTATCACTTTTCGCGCTGAATCTACAGAAGTTGTTAGGAAGAGGAAACAGTTTGTCTTTTAATGCCCAAATAGCCTGCAATGGACATTCATTCTCGATTTCCGCGCTTAGTGATACTGGAGCAGATGGATTTGTATATATCGATACCCGATTAGCCCTGCAGGCCGCGAAGGCCTTTGGGCAGCCAGTGATACGGCTAGAAAAGGAGGTGCCGACCCGAGGGTTTGACGACCACCCTGGAAAGCCGATCACTCATGCTATTGAACTGACACTAATGATTGATGGCCGCGTGCAACGCCGCTTACCAATGTTGGTCGCTGATCTTGGCAAGCACGACCTGATCCTCGGACGCGAGTGGTTTGCAGAGTACAAGGTCCTTCCCGACTGCGCGAAGCGCCGATTGATCTAGCCGGAAGAACAGAGCCTACAGGATGAAGTAGCCAGTCAGCTATCTACTATCCTCCCCCGGACGATCTTACGACGGCCTAATCCTAATCACCAACGAGATGCCGATCGACGCGACCAGCTTTTTGAAAAGATCGATCGCCCACCGCAATATGAGCCGATAAAGACTGCGGCCGAAGACCATAAGAGTGCACTAGCTAAAATGGAGCGTGCACTAAAGGAGGTGCAACCCCGTCCTTCCTTAGAAAGACAACGACCAACTCCTCAGACCTATACCCCCCCATCAGAAGCTATCGCGATGATTGGTGCTGTGGGATTCCACCGACACACACAAAGGGGTGGCAGCGAAGTCTTTCTAACCTCACTCGAGGAGATTGACCGGATCCTAGAGAATAAACGACACGAGCGTCAATCAGAAGAACGTGAGACAAAGCGCATTATTCCCAAGGAATATTATGAGTACACCGATGTATTTTCACAGCAAGACTCCGATACGCTACCACCACACCGAGAGTTTACCGACCATCGAATCGTCCTCGAGGAAGGCCTAACCCCTGGATACTGCCCGCTCTATAAGCAATCAGAAGAAGAGCTTCAGGCGGCCAAGGCCTACATCACAAAGAACCTTGCGTAAGGGTTTATCGAAGAAAGCAAGGCCCCCTATGCTTCCCCAATCCTGATGGTCCGGAAGCCCGGCGGAGGACTCCGGTTTTGCGTCGATTACCGCAAGCTTAACTCGATCACGAAGAAAGATCGTTATCCAATTCTACTGATTGATGAGATCTTCCAACGGCTAGGCAAGGCTAGATACTTTACAAAGTTGGATATCCGGCAAGGATTTCACAGAATTCGCATGGATCCTGACTCAGAAGACCTCACTACCTTCCGTACACGATATAGGTCCTACAAGTACAAAGTGATGCCCTTTGGAGTGACGAATGGACCCGCCACGTTCCAGCGGTTCATCAATATGACTCTTGGTGGATACCTCGACGACTTTGCCACCGCCTTCATCGATGATATCCTGATCTACAGCGAAACGATAGAGGAACATATCGAACATGTCAAGAAGGTGCTTCAAAAGCTTCGAGAAGCCGGACTACAGGCAAGCCTAAGCAAATGCGAGTTTCATACGCAGACAACCCGGTTCCTTGGCTTCATCATCGGCACTGATGGTATTAAGGTTGATCCGGAAAAGATTGCAGTGATCGTCGACTGGCAGTAGCCTACCACAGTTCGCGGGGTGCGATCTTTCCTAGGATTCTGTGGGTTCTATCGACGATTCGTGAAGAACTATAGTCGGATTGCGAAGCCACTAAATCGCCTCACCGAGGATAAGACGCCGTTCGAGTGGAGCGCGCAGTGTGAACAAGCCTTCCAAGAACTTAAGAAGATGATGACGACGGCTCCGGTATTAGCTCACTACGACGCATCGGCCCCTACAAAGGTCGAGACCGACGCATCAGATGGGTGTGTCGGAGGAGTCCTCTCACAGCTCCAGCCTGATGGCTATTGGCACCCTGTCTGCTTCTATTCGTCAAAACTAACTACCACGGAGCAGCGATGGGACACACATGACCATGAGATGTTTGCAATCGTCAAGGCCCTCAATCTTTGGAGAGCGGAGCTAGAGGGACTACAACGGGACGACCGATTTAGTATCTTCTCTGACCATCAGTCGCTTCAATATTTCATGACCACAAAGAAGCTAAACGCCCGTCAGGCGCGTTGGGGAGAATTCCTGTCGAGATTTCACTTCCTGATACGCTACTTTGCAGGAAAGCGAAATATCATCGCTGACACCCTCTCACGAAAGGACCCTAGTACTCATGATGGGCAGAACCAAATCCTCCTCCCGCGCGAGTGCCTCGAACAAGGTGTGCACCCCGATGACAATGACCCTCAACCCCCTCTAGCTAGAATCGCTCCGGTAACGACAACAAACCCCGACGACGGATCCCAGACTATCTCCGATGCAACCGGGGTAGTCGCGCGCGTTCTCTATGCCAATCAGACTCATCCCTCCCTCGACGTGAACCGAAACCAGGCAAGAATAAGCGAGGATGGACATTGGGAGATAAGAGGTGGTCTTTTGCTCCACGAAGGAAGACTGGTGGTGCCAGATGACGGAGACCTTAGGGCGCGCCTACTTGATGAGGTCCATCGTCAACCATGCACTGCGCATCCTGGCGAGACTAAAATGAAGGCCCTTCTCTCAAGTCGCTACTGGTGGCCTAACTGGGCAACCGACGTCGAACGATACGTGGATAATTGTCGAATTTGCAAGCGGACAAAGACATGGAGAGACCGACCCCCAGGGTTGTTACAACCACTCCCTGCCCCCGATCGGCCATGGCAGCATATCACAATGGATTTCCGGACATTCCCCAAGGACAAGCATAGCTACGACGCGGTATTCGTGGTGTGCTGTCGCCTTAGCAAGCGCCAGGCCTCTATCCCCTGTCATAAGACGACTACAGCCGCAGAAATGGCTCGATTGTTTATTATGCATCTCTTCCGATGGGTAGGCATGCCTGACTCAATTGTGTCGGACCGTGGAGGACAGTTTATATCGGCGTTCTGGACTGAGTTCTGCCGAATTCTTTGTATCAAGCGCAAGCTATCTACCGCTCACCACCCGCAGACCGACGGCCAGACCGAGATAGCTAACCAATGGATGGCCCAACGACTGAGGGTGATGGTCAATGAGCACCAAGATGACTGGTCCGAATGGCTGCCGATGATTGACTTCGCCGCGTCCGCGCTACGCCAAGACTCGACGAAAAGGTCCCCCTTCTTTGTGGAAAGAGGATACGAGCCTAGAATGTCATTCGATTAGGACCTACCTACCGACGCTTCTCTTTCGCCGCAATCAACTGGTGATGCACAAAACTTTGTGGAACGAATCGAACGAATCTGGAAAGAGACTGCTGAAGCAATCGACCACGCACAAGGGCTCCAACGCACACAGGCGAACAAACACCGCCGCGAGGTGGATTTCGACGTAGGAGATATGGTCTATGTTACCACACGCCATTGGGGACTAGACCGCCCAAGCCGGAAGCTATCGGACCAAGCCAGCGGGCCGTATAAGATCATCGCCAAAGAAGGCCATGCGTTCAGGCTCGAGCTACCCCCATCCATTAAGGTACACCCAGTCTTCTCGCCAAATAAGCTACGCCGTGCATCGAAGACCGATCCCTTGCCAGGTCAGATCGAAGATCCTCCACCGCCAGTCCTGGTCAATGATCAGCAAGAATGGGAAGTCGAAGAGGTCCTACGGTCACGCCTACACTACCGAAAGCTACAGTATAAGGTCAAGTGGCTAGGCCACGACAAGGACGACGCTTGGTATTACGCAGCCGACTTCAAAAATGCGCCGCTGAAACTGATAGATTTCCACCGACGATACCCCAACTCCCCCGGACCCCCAAAGAACCTGCAGATCTGGCTAGCTGCAGCAGAAGTCGACGAATTCGTTGGTGACCATATCGACGATAATATCCCAGAGTCTCGGGGCGAGCCTCTTTAAAAAGGAGGGCTATGTGACGCATGACAGAACGATGGACGGAGATCACCTGATGGACGCGGAGTGATGGAAACACCCGACCGAGCTAACCTAATGGGGCCTGTTTGCATGAGCTCTCTACAAGATAGTTGCCAGAGCCTCCGTAGTTTCTTCCTTCTTCACCTTCGTTGTTTCGTGAATGCACCTGGTTACTTTCCAGTTGGCTCTTTCCATGATCGTAACAGTCCATAGACTTCGGGGGTGCCAAGGTATTATAAGCCGAACGTGACCGGAGGACTGGGTGGAGAAGCTAATGGTATCTGGCCAATCCGTTTCAATAATCACCCTACTTCTCTTCATCGAGGACATTGTTACCCAGCCAGCTTTTCACCGTTTTCCGTGCCTTCTCCCTTCGACAGTTGAATTTGGATTTCACTTGGTGTTTCACCGGGCGCCATTCCTTTTTGTGCTATTGACCTACGCAACAAAACGAAGAAAATCTGCCTCTCTCCGTGGCATACAACCCATATTCATTTCTCTCGGGTACAGTGTTGACCGTCATTGCCTCCATGTTGGGAACCGTGGCGGTACTCTTTGAACCCCTAATCATCTGATGAGCTAAACCCAATATGGTTTCAGCGTAAGTTTCTAGATTGTACGTACTCAGCTACAATACCTGTCCTGTATAACTCTAGTATGAAGGATACAAGGGTCTCGAATCAGTAGCCTGGATAACTGCTAGAACTTCTAGTCTAGAAGGGTCCATTCAAAGTGAGCAAACTAGGTGACCTTGCGTTTTTGAAGGACCTAATGTTAGGTGTTTGATAAGGATCGCAGAGCACAACTATTCTGGCCTGGATCGAAGCGTTGTGAGACAATGGTGAAGCTGCTACTTGCGCTGGGCGGGTGGATGTGGACTTGAATGACTCAGGTGGCAGCACGCCATTGTCTAAGGCTGCGTGAAAGGGCGTTTAGAATGCATGCCAAGGGGGATAGATAGCTTTTAGGAACGGAAGCAGCGTGAAGAGGACATAATGGAGATGAAGTCTACCCATATCAATGAATTATGTACTTGAAACCCCGGGGCTTCTATCTGTACATCCGTGCTTGTGTATTAACTTATGCTACGGATGTCTACTAAAGGCAGAATATAGTATGAGAAGAGATAGAGGACGACCCTTTCCTACAACCTTGTCCCGTACCTTGTGTGAGGGGAGCGAAGGAAAATGACTAAACATTCAGCTTTGGCCAAACAAACAAGCTCTTCATTCCAAAACTTATGTTCGCTCCATCCACTGCTGCAAAACAGCCGCAACCTGCAAACTATTCTTCTCCATGAACACCATGTGTGCATTGCCATGGATGCCGATATCCGCCAGCTTGAGGTGTTGCGCCGGCACGCCTGCCTGTTGCAAGAACTTGACTGTGCACCAGTCATACGGCGCGTGGTACGACGATTCGGTCGTCAGAACCAAGACGGCGACATGGGCGAGGTTGATGAGCTGTCTCGGTGCGGGGGAATCGGCCTGGATTACGCAGTCGGAGTACAGGGACGAGTTGGATGTAATCACCTGCTTTACGAGGTCGGTGACCGGATTGGTCACGGCGGGCAAGTAGGTCAGGGGGATATCGGTAAGCCCGTAGGCGCGCGTGGAAGTGTTGCTGAACACGGCCTCCTGAAAAGGGGGGCCGGTTGGTTCGATCGAGACGATGGAGTGGACGAGATTCGGGCGCACATCCGCGATGAGCCAGGGCATCAATCCGCCCTGAGAGTGGGAGAGAAGGATGACTGGCGATCCGATGGTGTCGAGCAGGGCGGCGCCGGCCGCCTGGACGGTCGACTGCTGATAGGTTGCTGAACTGAGGAACTCAACCGTCGAGGAATAGTAAGCGTCGAAGATAGGGTCGCCCATGACGCCTGTCCCGTTCCATTGGGTGTGCAGGGACGCCTGCGGCCAAAGCTTGTACAGCTGCGGTGCGGTGAAGCGCTGCTGCAACAGCTCGGCGCTGTAGGTGCTCAGCGTCCCATTGCCAGGGAACCAGGCACTGCGGCCGCGGAAGGTCTGGTCGATAATATAGCATGCATATCCTTGAGAGAGAAAGTAGGAGGCCCAGCCTTCCCCTCCGTCAGGCTTGTTGAGCCAATTCTAACGATCACGGTTAACCTCGTCCGCCACGGGAAGGGTAGAAGGGCGATCATCGATACGTACTGTGCCTGTTTGAGCTTGTCCATGGATGAAGACAATTGGATACGGCTTGGTAACACCCGCCGCTGGGGTCAGCATTTCCACGTACATCTGATTCGCGAAGACATGCTCGCCAGCACTATTCAGAATGTATTGTCCTCCAACATACATGTACGATCGCTGGGCTGGCACCTCGCCGCGCCAGGCTCGTGAAGCCGTAGCAGCAATTGCCCAGGCGATCAATAATAATTCTGTCTTGACATGCATCGTACTTGCTTATGAGAGGACTGAGTTACCTGTGGGCAAGGTTCATCAGAAACAGGCAATTTATGCTAGGATTGGTTAATCTAAACTAAGAGACAACAAATTGGGGTGTTTACCTTTTCTGCCGATCTTCACTGGTGTAGCCTCAGCGGTTTTTGCCGGATTTTCTCCGTGCCGCGCGAGCATCACCGGACTCTTGCCGATTGGCGCCAAGAACAAGGAGAAATGGAGACACACCCATCCGTTCGCAGGAGTCTCTAGCCTTTGGGAAGCGTGGCAGCACCTCCTGGGAGGCATAGGGACCGTGCCGGGGAGCTCTTAAGAGCGCAGGATGATCCCACCACCTTCCCAGGAACAAGAACGCCCCATAGTCACGTGTAGTTCGTAATACCCCAGCACCCCCCAGATCTTTGACAAAAGCTGGTGACGCGCGCTGGCGCACACCCTAAGCCCTGAACGCAAACAGACTGGAGAATGATTCAGAGTTGAATGTTGAGAACGGATTGAACGGCTTCAGTTAAAGCTCCAGGCCTTGCTGGTAACAGCAAATCGTGGCCCGCAGCATCTTCTAACCGTCTTGTTCATACGATATATTTATCCCACTCTTGAAACAATTAGAGCAGAATGTTCAGAAATTAAAAGCCCGAAAATTTCTTCATTTGGTGAAATAAAAGCACAAGCAGCTGCTCTTTAACGCAGAAGTGCCTAGAGGATTCGTCGTGAGAGAAGCTAAATTACAACGTAACTATTATGCACCTGTTGCTGTCCCTATAAGGCGACAAACCATAGCGCTGTGTAGACAAAGACCAATTCAATAGCCGTGTAACAGTGGTACGACAAATATCGAGATATCGCTGCATTTGTGGCAGCAATTGAGACTCTGTCAAATTTGGCTCCAACTTGGTCGCCGATTGCTCAAATTTGTTTACTGACAGCGTCAGTTTTCCCACAAGGATTTCCATAACATCGTCAAGGTTGTTGCCCTGGTCAGCGTGGAAGAGAATGGGAACTACGTTGAGCATAGACCCGGATGTCTAGTTGCATGTATCAGACGGGTAGCTTTGCCATCCTTGAATTTCCACTTACCAATTCTTTTTTCGCGGAATGTATATCATTAATACTATGAAATATACACTTAGAGCCAATAATTCGTGGGGGAGTTGATATGTCTTACAGCATGCATAGAAAACAGGTTTCTGTCCAAATAACCTTCATATCCTCCGACTCGATCAGAGATTCGTCAAGCTTTCCTTGGGTGATGAACCTATCCGCTTAGTGAAGAAGCGGGTCGCCTGACCAAGAGTACAACTCACTCAAATATAGCAATAACGGGGTATATCCCCGATGTCCAGTTACGTAATTCTAAGTGCTGATCAGGTTTCAGAATTTGCCCAGATTCACGAGCCACCTGTTCCTTTGTAGTCCAAATCATGTAGGACTGTAGCTCCCGAAATAATCGATTGCGTTGACCTGTATCAATTAGCCATGTGTCCTTCAAATTAATCTCAAATAATACAAACCTGAATCCATTACTGTTCTTAACACTTCACAAGCATCTCGAAAATAGAGCATTGTGGAAACCGGGCACTGCATGTTTTGAAAATCCTGGTTCTGGAATACGCTTTCGTCTGTCGTATTCAGCCCTAGAGCTAAACGAGCATATTCCAAGGAGTCTTGACAATAGGAATTGGCGGCGCTTTCGCTGTGAGCAATTAGGGTACCGCCATCATCAATTTCATCGTCCCACAAAAATATCCATAGCATGAAAATTCCAGCAGTTCGAAGCTCCTCCCACTTGGCTTGCGGATATAAGCTAATACTGTAAGTCGAGTGGTTACTTCATGTAATTTGCACATCTGTCACATACCAGCATGTCAGGAGGGCGAAGTCACAAAATTTCAGAGCGTTGAGTTTCCGCTCGTCGTCAATGGTCCTGGGCATCTTAATTAGGTCACTTTTGGCTGATTGGAAATGGTCATTTGGAACGTACTTCTCAAGCAATACATCAATTTCACGCCGGAGGCACGCCAGCCGCGTGTTTATGGCAGAAGGCCAATGCTGAAAGATGGCTTGCAGGTTTGGAATGCGAAGGGTTTTTCCGCTTAACTGAGAAGAAAGTTCCAGGGTGTCATGAATACTGCCCATTTTGATTAAGAGGTTCAGTGTAATAGAGAGAACTAATGGTTTGTGGATACTGTCTGGGTGGTAGGGCCGTAACTTATGTACTAGCTAGATCTCTGCAAGTTTAGGTTTTGTGGTCTTACTGGAGATAGATTCTTTGCACGGTGAAAACCTCCACTGACAAATGATTCCTGGGTTGCAACGATCTCAAAACTATATGCTCGAAACACAGCTTTATTTCCCTTGCAGTGGGCGCGAACGGCTACTTATAGATGCACCGAGAATTTATGTGACAACAATTATTCAACACGAAGTCGCCAACGCATCTCAGTCCGGATTCGATGGGCTGCATTTAACGAACCTTACGGCTTCTAGTTTATCCGATTAACATATGTATGTATGCAACTCGACAGAAATGGCAACCTGTGTGACTTCTAGTAGGTATGCAGCGTAATATGAAAATCCCTTGCTTTGCAGCACGCTGTAGAGTAACTCGGTGATGTTTTGGGAGCTAATAAACTAAATAGTTTGTCTGGTTAGGAGCTTCATAGCATATACTAAACTGTGGAGATGCGGGAAGGCATGTTGATAGTTAAAGTAGTCATGAAGAGCACTCTAGACACGTCGAAGCTCAGATTGCCAATATTTATGTCATTTGTTTTTGATGCAAGATATGCCAAGCTAGCGTGAATTACGATTATGACTAGCCACACGGTAGGGATAGGCAACTCGGGTATAATATAGTGGTTGACAGTAAGGATATATAGGTGACTATACAGTGGGCATATGCCCTGACCGAATCCGGCGAGTTGCTTTCTCTGGCCACTGTATTAGGGCCTCACAACCGATATGAGCGCGGCAGACTGTTGATTGACGATCTTTATTTACTCTATGTCTAAAATAGAAAGAACCTAGCACAAGAAAGTGGTAATAAATTAGCAACCAACCATAATGTGTCATTGTCAGAGTATGTGAATTATCCCTTTAAGCAGCACTCCGGCGGCAATCGTGGCAGGTCTCGAATCGCGTGGAGCGCCATAGTCTGGCACATTGGAGCAGAAAGTGCTGCTTCACATAAGCAAAAAGGAGAAGGAATAAACCCCCAAACCCTAATAGCTCTCTTTTGACTATTACTACATGCCGGAACCTTCCATGTCATGTCTCTTCCATATCAGTTGACGGTCGCAATTAAGTTGAAAAACGAATTAAAGTGAAAGAAACAGGTGAGGATAATTTCGAACGTCCCTGTATTCTTTTCAGTCCCTTCTTCCTATTCCTGGAATGCCGATTTCCATAACTCTTTTACGGGCCCATCTGAAGGACGGCAGACAAAGAAGAACTCCTGCAGAACTACCAGTGCATCGTCCCACTTCTCTAATGATAATCGTCCGGCGGTTTGTTGTAGTTGTGCCAAAAACCATGAATGGCAATCCCGCCCTCCTGAAGCCAGGCTTCCGATGAACAACATCCACATCAGTAGATCTGGGGCGGTGCTTTCGAGAGATAATATGCCTTTTTGGAGGCTTCTGCGAAGGTTGCGAACAAAGATCCCCGCGCAAGGCATCCCTGCGAATCCTCTGATTCGAACCACGGTATAGACCAGAACTGCGAGCCGCAGGGTATCTTGGAAGGCAGGGAGTGAGTGGTCGTGTGCCAAGGATAACAATTCGTGATTCAAAAGGAGCAATCCATCATTATCCATCCGTGTTTGCTCCCTCGATGAGGCGCCCACATTCTCATAAAAGGAGACCAGCTGCTGTAGTGAGCGAAGAGTTGATCGAAGCTGTGGATGGAGCCCTGACGACCACGATGAGTTGAAGAAACGGCGTCCCACGAAGGGAGGGGTTTCGGTTTGACAGAGTTCCCAGAGGAAAAAGCAGTCCTTGCGGACTTTGAATTCCCATTTCCATGACTTGTTGAGCTGCACGGGGTAGTCATTGATCAGCCCCCGCATGAGGTCACATCTAGTAAGGGGATTAGATGTGTATTACATGGGAATGGAGTGGTAGGCCTACACATAGAGTATGGAGATTGCGTCGTAACCCAAATTGTTTAACCCACCGAGAGCGTCAACTATTTTCTTGATAGCTTTCTCATGTGCGCGGACTGCCTCTACGTTTGCTTCGGCTGCCTGGTGATGTTCATCGAGTCAGTATGGACAGTAAGATGATATCAAGCCGGCCACCTAACACCACAAAAGCATCACCTGTGTGGGGAAATCATTTACCTCTACACACAATATATGAGCGATTACTCTCAACGTAGCCTCCGAGTAAAATTCGTATGGCTTGATCAGGATGGCCTGAAGTGATTTAATGGTCTCAGACCGCAGCCGGATCGCATCTTGGGTCGAAGTGCGCACCATCTGAGATGGGGCACCGGTAACAGAGTGAACCGTCGCCCGATGGAAGGCGCTTGTTGAGAGGAGGATCTGGACTAGAGCTGGATGATTCAGTGCCGTCCGCAGGTATCGGAAGGTAATTTGCTTGTCACCCAAAGGGAAACACAATTTGGTGGCATGGACTTGGTCTAGGGCATCCGTTCGTTAGACCCTCGCTATTATATAGAAGCAGAATAAACTCAGGTCATAATCGCACCGGTAAGAATATACTCACAATGTTTGAGATAGATGGTCATACTTTGGTTTGTAGGGCGAGATAGAAAGGGGAAGGCCATCGAAATGCACGCCTCGAGAGACTGGTATATGACGGGAGACTGGGGGTTTACCGAGCTCTCATACCCAGAATCCTGACAATCCACATCGCTAGACCGATGGTAGTCGGCAGCCTCAGCCGGTGGATGATCACCATCGGCCGGCAGTGGCTCCATGGATGTTTGTAAGCTTTGCATTCGGGCTTCTTTTTTTAATCGGTGATGCCGCGCCCTAATGAAGGATTGTTTCTCTCGGGAGGCTGCCCGATCTCGGGGATTCTCCTCCTGGGCATTGATCCAGAGAAACTCCGCGGGGGGGTCCTTTCGATCGGTCTTCGCCTTTGCAGGAGTCTCCGACCGTGTGTTAGTAGGGCAGGTCGGTTGAGCCAGTCTGACCACGAACATCGACTGGCTAGACATCATGGCGAGTGACAGGGATGCAAACCGCAGATGGATTTTACGTGAGTTACAACCGATTTATGTAGGCCCACCCTGTTCAACATTTATGCCCCAAGGGCTACTAACCCCAAGTGAAATCACGGAGGCTGAGGCTGACCTGAAGGCTGATAAAGCTGCGCCCGTCCCCGCGCATTCCTTTCGGCTGTCGCTCCTATTGGCCATTTGGTCTCTGGACGGCCTCACCGATGGGCTGCCAAGCAATCTGGTGATCGACCACAGTCGCACAGTGTCGGCGTTTCCGGCCAAGACGTATTCCTTACCCATTTCTTTCATTGGGCGTACTATTCACACAGTGCAGATTACATGCACCGACAGTCCTACAGTGGCTGAAAGAGGGACAGCGGTTGGCCTCTTGAGGTCGGGAGGGTCGCGTTCCTCGGGCTTGAATCGGCAGCCCAGGCACTCCAATTAGTTAGTGATTGCACGAGGACTTCTCCATAGCCAGGTTACCTAAGTCGTTATACGTAACTTAAGTATCTTTCCAGAAATTTGTTATTGTTAGAATTATGAGTTACTATTTAGGTACATGGAATCAAGATTAGCGCAGACATAGCTATATATCTGACCGTGTTCAGTCATCTTTGCTCCACTCTGTGGGTACATGTGCTAAATCACTTATCACCTAAGCTTTTCCTTAAGCGCTAAATAAAACCTAGCTCCGGAGAACAGGAACACCTATACGAGACGGTGCTTCAGTGCTTTCCCCGAGCATGTCTTCAGATACCCGACTCCCCAGGGCGTGCTTGCGCCAATCTCTCCGCACCTCGCGGAGACACCCGGCCGCCGTTACTAAGCAACACTTCCCCGCCAGACGAATGGATGTGTGCAACTCCAACGGGTCCGTCGCCACCTTTGCCAGATTGAGTTAACTCGCCAATCACGTGCCAAGCGATCGAAACGGGAATACCCTGTGGAGACGCACGCTATAAGCACTTGCCATAACCACTTGCAAGGTCGCTTCTCGCACAAGATGGTCGGGGTCAGTCGCGACGGTCCGGCATCAGATCGGAAGACCCCAACGAACCCCATCTTACCAGATGGCGGAGCAGACAGCGATGACGAGGAATTCCATGATGCACGGTACCCTGCAGATGAGGAAGCCGTGAGTTAACTTTGAAAGAGAATCTGATCCCGAACCCCTAAGAGAGCAGAGACTGATATCGATGCAAACAACAACAGAGACTATTGAAGGAAGCCCAAGACATTAAAACGGAGGCAAATCAGCTTTTTAGTTCAGCATGCTACGACCAAGCCATCTCATGCTACGACCGCGCTCTCTCTTCCTGCCCCAACTACCTCGACTACGACGTTGCTGTCCTCCGGAGTAATATTGCAGCATGCTACTTGAAGCTGGAGGACTGGAAGGCCGCGGTGGATGCCGCGACAGCTTCTCTGGACCGCCTTGAGAAGATCATACCCTCAAACGCACCGAATCAGGTTCAACGTGACGTGCATCAATCTGATGCCACCAGTGCAAACACGCAGGAGAGCGAGGCAGTTGTTGAGATATCGGCCGCGGACGCAGATGCAGAAGAGAAGCAGCTGGAGCACCTAAAGGAATTGGACACGCAGCGTACAAATGTGCAGCGCATTCGGGCCAAGTCTCTCATGCGACGTGCCAAGGCGAAATCCAACCTTGGAGGGTGGGCGAATCTGCAGGGCGCAGCTGAAGACTACCAGGCTCTGAACTCAATGCACGATCTCCCCGCAGACGAGAAGCGCATTGTACAGCGAGCTCTGCGGGAGCTCCCATCTCGAGTGAACGAGGCGAAAGAAAAGGAAATCGGGGAGATGATGTCGAAGATGAAAGATGTGAGTTGAACCTCTCTTCCTACGATCAGCATGATGCTAATGGTCAAATGAATGCAGCTGGGCAATGGCATATTGAAACCATTCGGCCTATCGACAGATAACTTCAATTTTGTGCAGGACCCGAAAACCGGTGGCTATTCCATGAACTTTCAATCCTAATGAGACTTCCCGGGGATTCCTGGAATGATTAACCACTCGCCGTCGAAGAACAATACCATCACATTGCGGGGCAAAGCTTGCATATTGCTCAATAATTAACTTGCGTCATTGATTCAAGAATTAGAATTGGCTAAGCGTCAAGTGACAGGCAGTTCAAATTGCCGACAGCAAACTATTCGAAATGTCTCAAGGGCGAAACTTCTCCCAACAACTTGTTAGAAGGTCCACTTTGTCAGGTCGCATTCCGGCGACCTGTCGCGCACTGCCATCATGAGCACCCAAGACAAAGTATGCGATGACTTTTCTAATTCGAGTGCCCAGCAATGCCTGGTACTCTGGTGTTCCTTATGACCACGTCCGATTCTTAGAGAAGCACCGGAAGTCTTCGTCGCTTCCAGAGTACAAGCGGACGAGTACAAAGCCCCTGATTTAATCATGCAAGTTATCGTGCACAATAATGAACATGACACCGTCGGCGGCGAACCCGTTGGTGAAACAGCCCGGGTGATTCCAGAAATACAAGATATCGAGTCCCTGGGCCTTTCAAATACCCCCGATAATGATCACACCGGCTCCAGTTTTCTCACGACACTTTGTTTCTCCACGTCTGGTCTTGGCATTTCTCCAGGGCTTTTGGAACGTACGATCCATAAGCATCGTTTCCATCCCTTTTGTGTCTCAGTACCAATCCAACATTGCCAACCAGCCGACATTATTCTTGTGGTAGGCGCCGATTGTATGGTTCAGAAACTCAGCCCTTCTTTGAGAGGTCTGCAAGTGTAAGTTCAGAAGTATGAACTCAACCGGGCATGTGCGGACCCTATATGTATTCCTGTATCTCCGTGCCTTTTCGTTGTAGATTCCCATTCTCAAACGATGGTGCTGTATGGCAGAATTGAATGAGATTCACCTCGTGAGAATCGGAGTAGATAGAATTCTACCTAGGCTTTTTTCAACATGCTCTAGTCGGGCGCCGAATAGTGCATAGCTAAATATTCTTGCCTGATTCGGTTAGTGCATGCATACATCAAGGTTATGCATAAATGGTGACTCAGCTTCGCCGTCGTCATCGCCAGACAAAAACAAAGGAGCCTTCCGAGCGCCTTCGTTCTCGGAGCTCGCACCTCATCGCTTCTGACAAGTTTCCGCACCTCGCCTGCATAATTTTCTGTAAATCCACCTGACGGTCCTCGACTAGCGATACATCGCCGTTGTCGCTCTTCAGCCCCTCAAACCCCTGCGCGGAACGCTCCTCATGGGTCGGTAGCCCGAAACCCCGCAAACGACTATTACACCCCAGCACGCGAAGTGCAAAGGGCCTGCTTGATTATTCCACGATGTCGTTGACGACATCTGCGGCCACCGCCTTACTTACAGTCCTTGCCGATGGCTCCGAGGACGGTGATCGAGAACGCCATTGGGAAGACCAGACAAAGGGGTCTCGCGATTTGTACACTCAATTTGTGCTCAGTGTCGCCCTGGGCTTAGGCGCTTTCGTGTCGTTCTGCGTAGGTCTTTGGGTCATCCATGGTGCCGGCTGCTGTCTGTCGCTAATTACATTCTTCACATACAGGTCCTGCGACCTAAATGGACGGAGCTATATGCTGCCCGGAGGAGACAACGTTGCGCCGCTTCGAGGCTACCGGAGCTTCCGGACAGCTTTTTTGGATGGATCCCGGTCCTGTACCGGATCACGGAAGAGGAAGTTTTGCACTCTGCAGGCCTGGACGCATACGTGGTAGGTATCAGGATCTCTGCTGATTTCATTCACTATCCTCTACGTGTTCTGCTAACGCGAACTTGATGCTCAGTTTCTCTCTTTCTTCAAATTTTCTATTCGATTACTGCTATCAATCTTTGTCTTCGCGGTCACGATTATCCTCCCACTCCACTACAAGTACACTGGCAAGTACGGCCCTCCGGGCTGGGATGATGTTGCCCCGCCCGGTAATCAGTCCATGAGTGCAATTGGACTGCTGGGGAACAACAAGGACAATGACAAACTTGTGACTGACCCTGGATACATATGGATTTACGTATTTTTCCCCTACATTTTTAGCGGCTTGGCCATCTACTTGCTCCTCCAAGAAACGAATAATATTATTCGCACCCGACAAACTTATCTCGGGAATCAAACCACTACCACCGACCGCACAATTCGTTTTTCAGGAATACCCCAGGACTTGACAACGGAAGAGAAGATCAAAGACTTTGTGGAGGGTTTGCAAGTGGGCAAGGTAGAGACCGTCACTTTATGCCGAAACTGGCGTGAGCTGGACCACCTCATGGATGAACGGATGCGCATTATGCGGGAGCTGGAACGAGCTTGGACCAAGCACCTTGGATACAAGCGCCCACGAAGTGATGGGAATACATTGCCCCTGACGCATCAGCCTCAATACACCAGAAACCACTCACATCTGGAAGAGGATGATGAAAGGTCTGAGTTGCTACCGGGAGCCGAGCAGAATCATGTTTCTGGATATTTCCATGGGCGCCCCCAAGTCCGTGTGTGGTACGGCCCTTTCAAAATGCGGTTCCGCATGATTGACGCGATCGACTACTTCGAGGAGAAGTTGCGGAAAATCGACGAACAGATTAACTCTGCGCGAGAGAAGGACTACCCCCCTACAGAGATTGCTTTTGTGACTATGGAATCCATCGCGGCTTCTCAAATGCTTGTCCAGGCAACCCTTGACCCACATCCTATGCAGATGTTCGCTCGGCTTGCTCCTGCACCTGCAGATGTTGTTTGGAAGAACACATACCTTTCTCGTTCTCGACGGATGACACAGTCCTGGCTCATCACGCTGGCGATTGGATTCCTCACTGTCTTCTGGTCGGTTCTTCTGCTTCCAATCGCGACTTTGTTGCAACTGGGCACCTTGCACAAGATTGTGCCTTCGCTAGCGGAAGCATTGGCCATGCACCCCATCTTAAAATCTTTGGTTTCGACCGCTCTGCCAACCTTGGCATTCTCTCTCTTGACGGTCGCTGTCCCATATCTATATGAGTGTAAGTGTCCATTGCTGCTTGTAAACGGCGCTTCTAGCACACAGCAAAGTACTAATTTGGTTTGCAGGGCTCTCCAACAATCAAGGCATGATGTCTCGCGGCGATATCGAGCTCTCTATCATTTCGAAGAATTTCTTCTTTTCGTTTTTTAACCTCTTCCTCCTTTTCACCGTTTTTGGTACTGCGACTGGATTCTACAGTTTTTGGGAGCACCTGCGCGATGCATTCAAAGATGCCACCACGATTGCCTTTGCTCTTGCCACCTCCCTGGAGGGCTTTTCGCCGTTCTACATCAACCTTCTGGTTCTTCAAGGATTGGGCCTATTCCCCTTTCGACTGTTGGAATTTGGCAGCGTTGCATTATATCCCTTGCACTTCTTCAGAGCTCGGACTCCCCGGGAATTCGCGGAGCTGTCCACCCCTCCTAAGTTCAGCTACGGTTTCTCGATCCCACAAACCATCTTGGCTTTGATCATTTGTATCGTCTATAGCGTCTTCCCGAGCTCATGGTTGATATGCTTGGTTGGCTTGGTCTACTTCTCGATCGGCCAGTTTATCTACAAGTACCAGCTCTTGTACGCTATGGACCACCAGCAACATTCGACCGGCCGCGCGTGGCCGATGATTTGTAACCGGCTATTCCTCGGGCTGGTTGTTTATCACTTGGCCATGATCGGCGTGCTCGCCTTGCGTGGTGCCATCACTAGGTCGTTGCTGCTTGTTCCTCTGCTTGGCTTCACCGTGTGGTTTTCTTATTGGTTTTCAAGAACATATGAGCCATTGATGAAGTTCATCGCTCTTAAAAGCATCAATCGTGACCAGCCTGGTGGCGGCGATATCTCTCCTTCGCCGTCGTCCACTCTCTCACCATCCTCTGGCATGGACCGGGATGCCCTTCCCATCCGGATTGGCAGCCATGAGTTTGGGTTGCGACTGAAGAAATACGTCAACCCGAGCCTCATTCTACCTCTGCATGATGCCTGGATTCCCGGTCGCAGCCTTCCCTATGCCAATGGAGCTTCTCCCGCCGGACAGGATGAACTCGCGAACAATGCTTCTGCTTGAGACACGAGACTTTCTTCGCACATTCCTCGCCATCCTAAACAAAGGCTGCAACTATTCCCTTTCAATCGCGCTGTTCCGTCGAATTCCTTTCTCGGAATATTTCATGATATACGACCTCGATACCTCGATTGTATTTGTTCGCACAGTTGAGTTGCTGCCAGATAGTCATTTCCTGTGCTCTTCTCCGTCGATAGACTTACCCTCTCTCTTGTACACAGCGCTCTCAGTACCATTAATTTTGTCTTCATGTATATTCTCCTGCCTCCTACCTGCCAGGATTCTCTACCAGTTTAGCGCTGAACAGGAGGCTCTGAGCTCAACCGGAAATAGAGGAATATGGCTCTTGTGGGATGCCCCGCCATGATGGCTTCTCAACATTACCATAATCCGGCGCCCAGCGGGTGGCCTGTTCACAAGCTGCCATGTTAATATATCCTTAAACATTTCGTTCTGTTGATCCAAACTACTTTCCTCGGTAATCTCCGCTCACCTAGTCAGTCAAACCCTCCGATGGTAATCTATTCTTAAACTCCGAGTTTTAACTAACGCGGACAGCCTCGGCCGCTGAACGATTTGGTGCCTTTGAGAGTGACCCGAACAATACTTCCACGCAACATGCGAAGAAAATTCATCACACTGCATAGAGCACTTCTCATCCCACTTCCACCGTGGGTGACAGGATAAGCCGCGTTTGTGGCTACGGTGGAAAGCGTTCGGATTATGTTTATTCGGTGGAGTGGGTATTTTCCCATTTACGAACCTAACATGGTCCACGCGGAATGTGGCGTTTCAAACACCCAATCTGCGTCGACAGTGGCGTGGCAATCTCCACAGATCTGCGTGTTCGAAAATCTTGATTCCATCTGATCAAGCCATTTTCGGGTCCATGGGGGGTGAGGCTGATAGCTGGGTACTGGCGCGGAACGTCCTTGATTTCTGGGCCCGGAGGCGGTAACACATACTTCGTTCATCGAGAAACCCAGAGATTTTGACATACGAACGTCTGGGAATAGCTGCACGTAGTCATACTGGGGACCGACGCGGGCACCGGTTGCAGAAAGGATCTGATAACGCACAGTATTCCTGCCCGTCGCGTGGTTTTCTTCCGATGCCCGCGCGACAACTGAGCCAACATAAAAAGTGCAATTTTCCTGAGCCGGACGAGCCCCATAATTAGTTTCCGTCAATGCAAGCCAGGGGCCAAGCGAAGCCTGAAGCGGGCCAATTCGAAGCTTGAGGGGCAGGGATCACCGGGGCGCCATACTGGACGAAATATAGCCGGAGCTTGGTAAGATCACACAGCGATCTGATTAGATCTGCCCATCGGCTTAATCTGATTTCTCCCTGAGCCTGGTGAGGCTGCAGTGGGTTTCATGCGGTGTATTCGCGCAGAGAAGGGTTCGAAAGGATTTCCTTTGGTGTCTATCTGACCATCTAGCAAATGAAAACATTCATTCCACACTCACCCGTCGGTGCCCGCCTGGTTGTCGCTCTGAGCCTGCATTGAACCAAAGCTACCGATCTCGGAGTGTTTTGTGGTGTTTATAAGAGCAGCGTGTTCCTTCGCATACTTGTTCTTGTTTAAGTTTGTGTTCTTGGCCTCGTCCCTTTTTCTCCGTTTACCACCATGGCTATCCGCCTTTGATTCAACTGTCGCTAAGCGATCGAACAATCAAACCAGCACCGATGTGTCCATGATGCGATGATCAAACCGACTGACGTTGCTCCCTCGTCTATTGACTAGTTTGCAGGATGATCTGGAGTAAGCAGTGTTTGTTGTGGTCAATGCACAAAGGGTAACTCGAGGAGGCGCTAGCGGAGGCGATATAAGTAGGCGTCGAAGTTCGTTCAAGAAATGCCAAGATGTACCGGATGTAGTGTTATAGAAGCCGAGTCAGGTTGATTGATGTCAGAACCCGTCGATCCTGCTCTCAATATATCCATCTTTCTACATGTCGAAATGTAACCTCTGCCCTCTTTTGCTGTTTGCATCTTCTTCGTGTTCCTCTCTGTTTCTCTCCCAGGATTCGGCATGCACTACCTTGTGTTCTGCGATACCTTTCCTGGGCGACTTTGATAGACCCAAGCAATCCGTACTAGTCAATTGACTGAAAATGAGTCTATTTAAGAGTCTGTCTATTGTTCCGTAGGACTTTTGAACGCCTATTGGTGCCACCCTATGGAACGTGCTCTGCGATTGCTTTACCTTCTATAATGATATATCTGAGTCGTAGGCTGGCAAGCTATCTAAACGCTTCATCGCTTGGGGGGATATCGGTCGGGGACGCTCTGGAACGTAGTGCTCCGGAACGTAGTGAACAACCTCTACGAATTCAACATGCACCGATTGGTACCCGATCATCCCAAGATCTTTTAGCTCGTCGAAGAAATTCACCACGAAGTCCCAAGGTGGCCTTCCGCGTGGATAAGTCCTTACCTTTTCTTTATAGATTCGTTCTCCTTCCTCGTCAGTGAACCCGATAAAATAAGCTAACCGCCTTGCAGTTTGCCTCTGGTACTTACAAGTCCCCTCTATCCATACAGGAATATGGGACTTGACCGCCGCCAAGGGATTTTTAGCTGGGTCTTCATCATCATGGTACCAGCGGGGTAGCCCTCTAACCGTTTCAATAGACAAGATCGCTTCCTGATCTAAGTCTATAGGGAAATAGATTGTCAGGACCTCATAAGGCCTCTGTGGAGGGAAAAGCGGGTTTGCGCGTATAATCCTCCCAGTAGCACGGACCGGCCAGGCAACTTCTTGTCTCCATAAGCGATGTGTAAGGGCTTCCTTCAATCTAAGGGAAAGCGCTAAGGTAAGAAACTCTTCCCTATCTCTGCTACTTCTCCACTCTAATAGTTGGTTAATTATTAGATATTTAGAAGACAATATAGCATCATCGTATATTAAAAGGTCAATACTACTTACCGATAATTAACCACTCAGTCTCGCTTAGTTCACGTGGACGGCCTCGGGCGATAAAGATGCATTCTTTGAGTTTGTGTATCTCTTGGAGGGTGGCAAAAAGTTCGTCGCTATTTTGGATGACACCATTAGGTGGATCTTTAAGCGATATCCATTCTATCAATCTAGGGCTTCGAGATGGCCTTTCCACTGGAGGTGGATCTTTGCTGTTTGTTTTTGTGATAGTGTTGTTGATAGTATGCAAGTCATTCTGTCCCTTTGAAGCGCGTTTCGTTGTAGTCTTCTCAGCATTCATTTTACGGGCACGTGTGACCGATCGAGTGACAGGCATAGTGTCGCGAACCAAAAAGGCGGTGTTAAATGTAGAAAAGAGCTTGAGGGGTATCAAGAGGAAAGGGGTCGGTTAAATGGATATCCGGATTTCCGGGATGGAAGATCTTGTCGGAACAGAGATATGTAGGCCATATAGGTGCACCAATTAAAAACACAATGAGTCTAAATTGCTACAGCGTGTGACGCATGACAGAACAATGGACAGAGATCACCTGATGGACTTGGGTGATGAGAGCACCTGGCCAGACTAACCTGATGAGGCCTGTTTGCGTGGAAACCCTCTACAAAATAGTTGACAGGGCCTCTGTAGTTTCTTTCTTCTTCACCTTCGTTGTTTCGTTGAATGCACCTGGTTACCTTTCCAGTTGGCTCTTTTCCATCATCGTAACACAGCGAAGTGCAAAACCAGCTTCACCGTTCCACACTCTTCTCTTGATCCTGGGCCCCACTACTAAGACTCTAGTCTGAAAAATGAGTGCTGTTTAGTGGAGGGTAATATGTACTCTTTGTTCTCTCTATAACTTACCATTTCGATCGGTAGAACCTTCCAGATCTAGTCACTGACTGACTCAGCCATCTAGAACTGTGGCAAACCACAACGCAATAGACTGTATGGGATTTGGAACCTCGTGGAACTTAATGGGACATTCCATTAGCACTATAGGGCCATATAAATTCTGTTTTTCTCCCAGGCCCTTCTTTTACAAAGAGATTAGAAAATAGAGGAAGGAATGAAAATGGAAATCATTGACACCTGCTATACACGAAATCGGATGAAAGAAACCCGCCCTGATGCGTGTCCCAAGGTAAGTGAATCCCCATTAATCGCCGAACAGCTAGGCCGAAACTCAGGAGGAAGCCATAGGACATTTTTGCCGTTCAGGTTTATCCACTGTCCTTGCTCAATGAAGATCGCCAGATTCCTATGGGCTGAATTAGAAGCATGATTTTCGTGCGCGGACTGAACATCGAGGGTGCCTAAGTCGGTGATGAGATATGAACCATCTTGAGAAAATTCGAGTTTGTTGACAATTCCCTCAGTGCCCAAGGTCTGCTGCAGCGCGCCCGTCGCCGGATCCCAGAGCCGCACCGTTTGATCAGAAGAGCTGGACGCCACTAGCCGGCCGTCGGGCGAGAAGGCCACCGACTCAACCCAGCCCGTATGGCCCTCGAGAGTCTGCTGCAGTGCGCCCGTCGCCGGATCCCAGAGCCGCACCGTTTGATCAGAAGAGCCGGACGCCACTAGCCGGCTGTCGGGCGAGAAGGCCACCGAGTTAACCGAGCCCGTATGGCCCTCGAGAGTCTGCTGCAGTGCGCCCGTCGCCGGATCCCAGAGCCGCACCGTTTGATCAGAAGAGCTGGACGCCACTAGCCGGCCGTCGGGCGAGAAGGCCACCGACTCAACCCAGCCCGTATGGCCCTCGAGAGTCTGCTGCAGTGCGCCCGTCGCCGGATCCCAGAGCCGCACCGTTTGATCAGAAGAGCTGCACGCCACTAGCCGGCCGTCGGGCGAGAAGGCCACCGAGTGAACCCAGCCCGTATGGCCCTCGAGAGTCTGCTGCAGTGCGCCCGTCGCCGGATCCCAGAGCCGCACCGTTTGATCAGAAGAGCCGGACGCCACTAGCCGGCTGTCGGGCGAGAAGGCCACCGAGTTAACCGAGCCCGTATGGCCCTTGAGAGTCTGCTGCAGCGCGCCTGTCGCCGGATCCCAGAGCCGCACCGTCCTGTCTCTAGAGCCGGACGCCACTAGCCGGCCATCGGGCGAGAAGGCCACCGAGTTAACCCAGTCCGTATGGCCCTCGAGAGTCTGCTGCAGTGCGCCCGTCGCCGGATCCCAGAGCCGCACTGTCCTGTCCCAAGAGCCGGACGCCACTAGCCGGCCATCGGGCGAGAAGGCCACCGATAGAACCGAGTCCGTATGGCCCTCGAGAGTCTGCTGCAGCGCGCCTGTCGCCGGATCCCAGAGCCGCACTGTCCTGTCTCTAGAGCCGGACGCCACTAGCCGGCCATTGGGCGAGAAGGCCACCGAGTTAACCGAGTGCGTATGGCCCTCGAGAGTCTGCTGCAGTGCGCCCGTCGCCGGATCCCAGAGCCGCACTGTCCTGTCCCAAGAGCCGGACGCCACTAGCCGGCCATTGGGCGAGAAGGCCACCGATAGAACCCAGTCCGTATGGCCCTCGAGAGTCTGCTGCAGCGCGCCCGTCGCCGGATCCCAGAGCCGCACCGTCCTGTCCCAAGAGCCGGACGCCACTAGCCGGCCATTGGGCGAGAAGGCTACCGATAGAACCCAGTCCGTATGGCCCTCGAGAGTCTGCTGCAGCGCGCCTGTCGCCGGATCCCAGAGCCGCACTGTCCTGTCCCAAGAGCCGGACGCCACTAGCCGGCCATCGGGCGAGAAGGCCACCGACTGAACCGAGTCCGTATGGCCCTCGAGAGTCTGCTGCAGCGCGCCCGTCGCCGGATCCCAGAGCCGCACTGTCCTGTCTCTAGAGCCGGACGCCACTAGCCGGCCATCGGGCGAGAAGGCCACCGATAGAACCCAGTCCGTATGGCCCTCGAGAGTCTGCTGCAGCGCGCCCGTCGCCGGATCCCAGAGCCGCACTGTCCTGTCCCAAGAGCCGGACGCCACTAGCCGGCCATCGGGCGAGAAGGCTACCGACTGAACCGAGTGCGTATGGCCCTCGAGAGTCTGCTGCAGCGCGCCTGTCGCCGGATCCCAGAGCCGCACCGTCCTGTCCCAAGAGCCGGACGCCACTAGCCGGCCATCGGGCGAGAAGGCCACCGACTCCACCAAGTCCGTATGGCCCTCGAGAGTCTGTAATTCTGCACTCCATTTTTCGTTAACTTGTGGGAACTGGCGTATCCAACTAGGAAGCTCTGACTTGAACTCTCTGCGGGTTATTGATGTTTTGGGGGCAAATATAAGTCCTGCGCAATAAAGCTGAAGAGGCGCCTCATCGGCTATCTGCCGATTCTTAAGAACGAAGCGCTTTCCATCGTGCACAAAATCAGATATTAAGGAATTGTCGTCGCGCTATATCTATTAGTGTAAATCTTAAACTGCTGTGTACTATGTTACTTACTGGTATAAACGCGTGGAGCAGATCAAGCATACCCACCACCTCCGATGAGAGACCCAGCAGACTCATCACCTCCACCCAGTGCAGAAAATGCTTCTGGAGGAATAGTAGCACATCTTCTATCTCGGAAGATAAAGCCTGACTCTGTTCAAGATGGTGTATCCAGTAGCGACAAGAGTACTGAAGTTCTGGTGGTAAATACTGGCGGAGAAGTTGAGGATTGATGTGTGCCCTTTGTGTGCTGGGGCTTTCCAAATTACAGATATTTTTCAGCAAATGCCTTTTCATGACTTTAAGACATAATTCAGCAATCTCTTTGTGCTTCCTTGCCTCGTCTACCAAAAATTTGCTTCTGGATTGAACCAAAAAATCCCGAAATGATAGATGTAGAATCTTCACCGGCAGATCTTGGTTAGTGGGCACACTTAGCACAGACTGAAATGAATCTAAACGATTGCTGATTAGGTCCGGCTCAATACCGAGAAACTGGGAGAGTGTGTTGACGGAGAATGGAATCGCGAGAAGAATAATAATCCCGACTATTTTCTGGAACTCGTACAGGAGCTGCTGCTGCTCCGACTCATCACTCTCTTGCTCATCCAGCAGTCGCGTCAGAATTGGCAGGTATGTCTTATCCATTCTCGATACATATTTGGCTTGGTCCTTTAGAAGCTCTGCGAGGCGCACTTTGGGTTCCCATTTTGAATTTTCGATGTAACGGCACACAGTGGCAGCCGAAATAAATAGTGGAACGGACATCGTGACCAATTCCTGGAGGACGTCATCGCCGGGCCAGTCTCGGGAAATATCTCTGTCGTGTTTGATTTTTGTAAATCGGTCCTGTAGGAATAAATATATATCATGTTCTGTCACTTCTTCGGGTATCTCATGAAGAGCTAGGTCCTGATATTCATGGTCTGCGATCTCTGAAAACCCGAGGCTGATTGGGAGTTCAGGCCTGCTGGTCAAGAAGATCCGAAGGCGAACCGCTTTTACCTTCTGTAGAAGAGGCAGTAATGGGATTATAGTTCGGACATCTTGATCATGTTCACATTCGTCTAAACCGTCAATCACTATCACAGCGGTTTGAGGTTGTCGGCCGAGTTGGTCAAGATTGAGCAGCGGTCCCAGGAGTAGTTTCTCAAACTGTTCCCTGAGCGATTTTGACGCAATATCAGGGTCATCGTGGAGTGCCTTGTGCACACCAGACTCCAGCCCAGAGATCCTGAGCATCAGTTGCCTTGTTAGTGTCGGGAAAAACTTCTTCGCGTTTCCTCGGTCCCCTTCACCCCTCTTAAAGAAGAAGCTGGCACCTAGACGGTTGGTGTCCTTGAGCGACCTTGCCACAGACCGAGATATTGTAGATTTTCCTGTCCCAGCCATTCCTTTCAACCAGAAGATACACTTTCCGTGTGGTGACGCAGCCCATTCTTCAATTTCGTTGAGTAGTTCAGTTCTAGTGCCTGGAAGACATTCATCCTCATGTCGGTTCCCAAAAGAGTCAACTGCTGCCTCTTGAACAGCCGGCAACTTGCCGAAGTCAATCTTCTGGTCCAAACATTCAACCCTCGTCAGAACGGTTCTATCCAAAGTTAGTAATAGTGCACTTCACCATGACCAACCGAACTGTATCCTACTTCTGGGTGTTATTGAGACTACTCAATTCCTGACTGACTAGACGTTGTCAGTACACTAGCTCGAACGAAGAACGGGATGACCTAAAAGATATGCTATTATATACATTTTTTATAATATTGAGTCACGAAAAGCCTTACGAAGCCAGAAAATCAGAATGTAGGATCCTTACCTTGTTGAAGTACTTGAGCTACTTGCTCGGCCCAAGGAGGCATAGCATCCACACGTTGCGGCCGTAGAACTAAGAGTAGCTCTCGTGCATATGCAGCAGCAGTAAGCGCAGCATATCGGTGCCAGTCGTCATTCTTGTGGGAGTCACAATAATCGCAGATTCCGCGAATAATGAGACATGGGACATTGTTCATAAGACCTGCAGCCTCCATTTCAAAGCACAGAATATTCAGCTCTGGGTCATTCGCAAATTTATCTCGTACAATGGCGTCTTTGAGTACAGAATTTCCTGATGCGATATTTCCGTAGTGAACATAGAGTATACGGTGGTTCCGGCGCTCTGGTCGGTCTACTACCGAGTGTAAATCACATTTGTCGCAATTGTGTCCATCCACATGTGAATAGTTTTTAGCATAAAGCCGGTCAACCGCTGGTTGTTGATAATCTTCCATGTCATCGAGACGCCGAAGATGTTCTCCGAATCTGTCCGGCTTCCTTTTATCATTGTGCAGTCTGCGCATCTCCGGAATAACTCCTAGAAGTTTCTCAGGCGGCGCGTTGAGTTGACCTGTCCTGTGAAACTGGCCATCTTTCAACTTGCCTAGATCATATTGTATCACTCCGCCGAATCCATCTTTTGGTTGGCTCACGATAACATCCCCCAATCGGATGTCATTTCGGGTACTTGGTGCGCCCCCTCCGATGCCTACCATTAATGCGAACCGCAGCTGTGGAAAGGTCCGAACCATATCTCGGGCAACGCGGGCGGCTGAATTCGTGCCATACCGACCGGCTGGAAGACAACCGATCACCACATAATGCTTCGCAATACGACCGTAGACGTATGTGTTATCATCGTTGTCTTCGCTTATCTCGGGCCCGTTGAATTCTTCGTCGAGCATACGGGAGGCACAGAAGTACTCTTCTTCTAGGGCACAGATCCATGCTACCGTGTAGGAGTCCGTTGAATCTGGGTCTCGTTGCTCAGGTCGATTCATTGGATCAGTAGAGGGAGGAGCTACTGTTTTCACGTTGTCGGTTGTGCTTCGATATTTTTTAGAAAATTTGCTGGCTGGATCAAGTTCGATTCGTCGCAAGATAGACGGGAAGGCCGTGAGAATGATATGGAAACAGAAAGTGTTTCAACTTGAGGGGAAAGAGGGGCAGGCAATAAAGGTGAGGCTGTGTGAGGACGCATTTTTATTGGTGCTCGAAACCAGCTGATCATTTTGTAACATTGCCGCCGAATAACTAGTTAGACAATTCGCTATTAATAACTTTGGCGCCAATTACTGAATGAAGCCACAACAACTTAAACCCTACGATAACTCGGGCAATTTTATCTTGGGCCACTAAAGCTTCAGGGCGATGTCACCAGTTGCTTAAGCCTCCGACAATGTTGGGCTTTTCTGGCGAGATAAGGAGGGGTAAGTTGCCGGCTCAACTATCGGCCCGAACCGACCCGGAGCCATCTCGTTGCCCTGCACCCCTGGCCAACTCAGCTTCTTCGGTTGACAGCGCGACAAAGACCATTATGGCGCCCCGACTTGCACCCTCCCAGCTTATGATGATCCGCGACATGATCAGCAGCAAATCGCTGACTACTTCTCAGATGGCCGAAGCGGCTGGCTGTAACAAACGCTCTATCATAACCATCAGTACCAACCTGCGAATGTTTGGCGATGTCCGAGCACTCTTGATCCCTGGCAGCCGTCCTCGTGTCATCACGCCCGTCATGCTCGAAGCACTATGCGACGACTTGCTAGAGAAACCAGATTTATACCTAGATGAGATGGCAGAGTTATTGTACGATGAATTCGACGTGCTCGTATCTACATACACAATCAGTCGGGCCCTTCGATCGCATGGTTAGACCAGAAAAATAGCTCGACAGATAGCACAAGAAAGAAACGCGGATCTGAGAGATCACTATCTGTATCAGCTGTCATGATTTCGCTCGTATCACCTAGTCTACATAGATGAATCAGGCTGTGATAAACGGGCTGGCTTCATGAGGACGGGCTGGCTTCATCAGGACCGGCTGGTCTCCCCGCAGCGTGGCACCTGTCCAGGTTTCTAGTTTCCAGCCAGGTCAGCGGTACCAGATTCTGCCGGCGTATTGCCAGGATAGCATTTTGATGTCGCGAGTCTTCCAAGGATCGACTGATGCTAGAATGTTCGAGGACTTTATTGAACAGCTTCTCCATCATTACGGTAGATGGCCAGAGCCAAAGTCTGTCCTTCTTATGGACAACGCGTCTTTTCACCATACTGATCGAATACAAGAACTACGCTCAAATGCCGGAGTCAAGTTGTTGTACTTACCACCGTACTCCCCTGATCTAAACCCGATCGAAGAGTTCTTTGCAGAGCTCAAAGCGTTCGTGAGACGAAATTGGCAGAAACACACAGGTGAAGATTTCAAATATTTCCTTGAATAGAGCCTTGATGTCGTGAGGGCTAGAGGAGAAAGTGCAGAAGGTCATTTTCGACATGCGAATCTTGAGGTTGAAGAGCAATGAAAAGAGATGTACTGTGTACAGTACATATATATTTTTTATAGGCCAAGAGACCGGTAGGCCAACATGGAATTAGGGGTGAAAAATTAGAGACATTTTTCTGTCAATTCTGGCGCAGAATGCGGAGTATGATCCAACCTTCTTGCCTACAGTGAATTGCACGCATTTCTATATGACAATCCATGGCCATGTGAAACAGAGTGCTCATTGACGTAATGTACAAAGGTCCATTTAAATATACCCATTTCTCAAGCTAGCGTCTTGGCGGTGGGGCCCAGAATTAAGAGAAGAGTATGAAACGGTGAGGCTGGTTTGGCACTTGGCTGTATCCGCCTGGCAAGCCACAATGCATTTTAGCATCCTTTTTCTGCCGCAATTTGCACTGACCACCCAATCCAATGACACGCACCACTACTACAGTGATCTCTTCGCGATAGGTATCAACTTGTCCTTATGAAACATTTGAGCAGGAGGTTTGCAATCTACAAGCAATTTACATCTCACTCCGCCAAACAGGCTCTGGGGCGATGAAACTCGGCCCAACAAGGCCGTACATCAATCAATCAATAGTCTTACTCCCGGTGGAGCTTCCTAAGATACAGGTGCTATGCGGGGATTTGCGCCTTCCAGTGACAAGCCTGGTGCGCATGCGAAGCTGCCCGCAGCGAGATCAAATGGAAAAGAAGAGAAAGAAACAGAGATGAGCTCTCTTCTCTACTACTGCAACGCCGCCGGAACCTTCCATATCATGTGATCATTACAGCCTCAAGAGCATCATGGAACAGATTCTTCTTCTGCGCAACGTTCCTGTGAAATATACAGTCCATGTCGGGCTCCGATTGTGAACCACCCTGATCTCCAGCTAGGCATAGAGTGGCCAACTGGATTCACTATGATGACCTGGCGCGAAGTCTTTCCGACAGCAGGTTCTCCTCTCACCCCAGGTCTGCGCATGTCGGCCATGTTCGATTCAAGGCTGGGCCAGGATCTTCTCGAGTGCAGAAGCGTCCCTGGGGACGAATCGTACCTTATACTTCTGTGGAATGGCGACCAGACTTGTCGGGTCCGAGTTCCCTCGAACAGGATGCCAGTCTACATCATCATGGGGCTCAATACGGAAACTGTTGAGCATGCGCATGAAGACCAGGTATAGTTCACGGTTGGCCAAGAGAGATCCCGCACACATACGGTATCCCATGCCATAGGTGAAGAGCGGTGCATCAGGCTGCTCAAGCCACCGCTCAGGTCGGAAAGCATCAGGATCGGTCCACACGTCCGGATCTACGTTGTCCGTTAGTTTTGAGACAAGGACAAAGACCAGGTTGCTTAAGCCACCACTCACCCATATTGCATGCCCACGCATTCAAGAAAAACACGGTTCCTTTGGGGATAACGACGCCGTCGTAGGTGACATCTTTGATCGAAGTCCGGGGAAGGGCGAGGCGAAGCACGGTGAAGTAACTGGCATTGTGTGAGATTGAGTTTCCTCTCTCTGAAGTTGGGAGTCACACTCACCGTAGGCACTCCCTCACTAGGGCTGCGACATATTCACATTTCTGATCATCGTCGGCTGAACACAGTGGTTCGTTCTGTTCGTACATCTCCTGGATGGCCTTGGCAGCCTTGTCCTGCACATCAGGACGAGACGAGAGAAGACCGATACTCCAGGCTACGAGGGTAGTGACAGTATCGAGGCCACCTGAAAGCATAGTCAAGCTGATGGAGGTGAGCTCCTCGTCGTTCAGCTTGGTCTCCTTGTCTAGAATGACGTTTGCCTGAATACACGGCTTATGGGTTCCCCTGGCCATGCGATCATCCAAATCCCGGTTCAGAGATCCAAGGTATCGGTCTCGGCGAATCCGCATCTCGGCGGCCTTTTTCGTATTTGTGCTGAAGGGATTCAGGCGCAAAAGAGGAATGTAGTCCTGCAGGTTACCAGTGGTGCTTCGGAATTTGCTAATTTCCTCCTCAACGTGGGTAATTTCATCGAAGAGGTCTTCCTCCTGCGATGCAATACGAACTCCCCAGTTCAGAGTCAAGGCGAGGCTCAAACTAAGACGTTGAATCATTGGCATCGGGTCAACCGGGCTGTTGCCGCCAGCACCATATCGGTAGAGCTCCTCCACGAATGCCTTGGATTCTACATCCAAATGTGAAACGTATGACTCGACCGATGGACGATTGAGAGCAGAGGCGGCACCCTTTCGGCGCCTTTTCAGAGAGTCGCTGTATGGGGAAGTTCCAATGGTTGTACCGGCGGTGTTGGAGAGGATCTATCAACGATTAGGTGTTAGCATATTCAGTGGACCCATGTTGCCTCGATGGAACAGGTCGACACACCTTATGGAAGGTATAGAATTCCGGTCGCGAGCTCAGAGCCTGGGCATTGTGGCCAAATAGCAACTTCGCGGACGCAGCCGAGTTCACCACAAGGACAGGAACATTGCCTAGCTGGATCTGGTACACAGCTCCAAACTGCTTCGACCATGCCCGGTACTGCTCAGCAGCGTTGACTCTGATCTGTGCCAAGTTTCCAATCAATGGAAGGCCACGGGGGCCCTTCAAGCCTTTCACGCGGGCTGAGGACCGGATAAATTCGTTCAAAATGACGTATAGGACAGGTAGGAGGACAGCAGCGATGCCGAGCGAGTGCCAGGGATACTGCAGGACCTTGCCCTGCAGAGCGGTGAGGGCGGCTGCGATAGCCATGGTGTGGTGTAATCGAAGAGTGTGCCCGTCACAGAATAGAACGCAGCTCGACTCGATGCTCAAGATATACAGAGATGCCGGCTATAGCCTGAGCGCTGAATTCCGTACTGCCCAGACTTATTGGTTCCCGCGTCACACTTGTGGGACTGGGCGATCCGCTCAATCTCCTTACCCCACATTCAACCCCAGAAGCAACGCTGGCCGAGCTTCCGCGAGCGGAGGAGTTCCGCCGTTGCGCTCTTCCCGGAAAATTAGCGCTCAAATGACAACATTGCCATTACTACGCGCCTGCTTGGTGATTACTTACACTCAAGTGTCAGGTGCAGAATTAACTAGAGGAGATATTCTGATTGAATATAAATGCTCCGTTCCATCTGTTGAGTACCAGTTCTATTCTCTTGGTGGATACGTGAAAGCATCGGGAAACCAAGATGGTCACATCTTCATGAGTACCCTTGCCCATCAGGCCGGAAAGGATGCAAAAACCCGTCCTCGGAGGAGGGGAAAAATAGACACTCCATATTCGTACCATAGGCGCAAGGCGTCCGACTTCACAGCGGTGCCCCAGCAGTTGTCCTCACACTATTCGAGATGCCTCGAAGCCTATACCTCGGACAAGGAGGCGCCTATTGAAAGCGTCGACATCTCGCGCCTTTGATAGTTGGTTAAGCGGGAAAAGTTGCAAATATTTCATCTGACTTACTCTTTGAAGGGGAACTAGCAGCCTTTCCCGTCATCACTTATTATCTAGCCCACCATCTCCGCGGCTCCTTGCCACATAACATATAGATACATTTTACGATCTCGGATGGCTGCCTTCACTTCTAGGATAGAGAAGACTTCATCCTTATCGCGTCCTCTACGGTAGCCATCGACACACGCAGTCATCTGGACATCACCGAAAGACACTGGACGAATGCGCAGACTGGATATGAAACAGTACCAACCCGATATCCAAGGATGTTCCAGCAAGCTGATTTAAAATCAACTTTGTCACCCCAATAATCAGGGGGGTGAATCACGGTACGGCATACACGGACTAGTGTCACACTTTGCTTGGAGGAACATCTGATCGGCGAGCAGTCAGGATACCGAATACGCAAACAATTTCAAGTAGATCGAGAGAATGGAGCTATGCCTTTTCTACCCGGGTAAGGGTGAGCTTGCTTTATTGCGGGTTAGTAATAATGTCGACGATGCTCATTGCTCGCTACAGTAGCTTGCAAAATCGCCTTGCGCTTCTACACACACACTTTCTTCCACAAACCCAGTTGCCAAGATCACGTTAACCTTAATCGGTTAGACTTAATAAGCCTCCTTTCTAGAACCTTCTGAAAGGTATGGTAAGGAACAAGACGATGACAAGACGGCTGCGACCTAGGCGGCGCTCGATATAGGCAGTTCGTGCTGTTCAGTCTTTCTCACCCCCAACGCCCGCTGTTTATTGTGTCAAAGATGGCTCCAAACTTATCCCCATCGAAGCGGCAGCTGATCTGTGATATGATCGAGAGCAATCTAAAAACCGCTGATATCGCTAAGGCAGCAGAATGCAGTGAACAGTCTGTGAGATATATTCGTTCCAACCTACGCATGTTCGGCAGTCCCAAGGCACCCCCAATCCCCTCCGGCCGACCGAAGAGTATCACACCACTTATGCTTGAGGCTCTTTGCCATCACCTTTCCGACAACCCTGGATTATACCTTGATGAGATGGCAATTTTTCTTCGGGAGGAATTTAATGCCTGTGTGGCTAACTCTACCATCAGTCGGGCTCTGGCAGCAAAAGGCTGGTCCAAGAAAACATCCCGGAACCAAGCGAAGGAGCGCAACGCAGATTTAGGAGACTACTACCTCAATTATTTATCGGAATTTGAGTCGTATCACCTGGTTTATGTGGACGAATCTGGATGTGACAAGCGGATAGGGTATCGGCGGACAGGTTGGGCCCCGCTAGGGGTCGCTCCAGTCCAAGTGGCTAAGTTCCATCGTGGTCAGCGATATCAGATCTTGCCGGCATATTGCCAAGATGGTGTACTCCTTTCCCGCGTCTTTCGGGGCTCGACCGATGCTCCTCTATTTGAGGACTTTATTGAGCAGCTGCTTCATCATTGTGGCCGATGGCCGGAGCCTAAATCGGTATTGGTGATGGATAATGCATCCTTTCACCACTCTGAGCGGATAAAATGTATGTGTCTCGAAGCAGGAGTTAAGCTGGTGTATCTTCCACCTTATTCTCCTGAGCTGAATCCCATCGAGGAATTTTTTGCGGAGCTGAAAGCTTTCATCAAACGCAACTGGCAGTTGTTTGAAGATGATCCGGATGGAAATTTCGAGGAATTTTTGGAGTGGTGCGTAGATATGGTTGGTGCAAGGAAAGAGAGTGCTGAAGGCCATTTTCGCCATGCTGGTCTGACAATTACGCATTATTGATTGCCGTATATATGGAGCTCATATGTATTCGAATCCTGATTCAAGCATTATCCAAGGTCACGATTAAATCCGTTTATCCGTAGAATTTGTTTTTTATTTTTTATTTTTTTCAATTTCAGAACAAGCCCTTCAGTTGGGTGGGGTGGATGTATATCTAATTTAGATCTATCATAATGAAGCTTTTCGAATTCACGTGGGACACTCTTGTGGTCGGAGACGGCAATTTGATAATCCGGCTTCTTGCTGCTGGTTGGTTGTCCGCTGCGTGATCACAACTCAACCGCCAATAGCACGAGGTGCCTTATGCAGTTCGAGATCCTCGTGTGCCCAATGACTCGTCAAGTTGCCTCACTCGCTGATGCGGGCGGGCGCTTAGTAATGCCCCAGATGCATTAGGCTGATGGCAAGGCGTCTCTGCGGTCGCAATCACTCCTCGTTACCCCTCTCCCCCCGATTCTGTTGAATGGATGAGGTTATAGCCTACCGACACGTTTAAAGCCAAGCGATATTTGCATTTCTACCCATTCACCCGGGCATTTGCGGCGGCGGCAGCGGCAACTTATGCCAGACAGTTGTTTTTCCAGATGCCCATTGAATGAAACCGATCCCCGTGGCGAGCATGGCGTCCGCTATATCGTTTGAGCGTTCGAATTCGGGGTTCCAGATGGGTGTGAACCACGGCTCGGTCACTAACCACTTCCACATGCCTATTGAAGCGATGAAAGAGACAAATACTATGCCTTGTAAGTCAACAGAAATCCTAATTAATTTAGCAGACTCAATAATTCTTTCTTAGGTGATCCATCTCAAGCCCACTATGTTATCCCATCCATGGAAAATCGACACTTTACTGGCCGTGAATCCACGCTGGATGAGCTTAAAAACAAGCTATTTCTCCAAGCGAATACTGAAAAACTAGCCCTATTCGGACTAGGTGGCATCGGCAAAACCCAGGTTGCTCTTCAGCTGGCCCGCTGGGTGAAAGCGCATGTACCAGACTGCTCTATTTTCTGGGCTCCTGCCCTAAGTCTCGAGAGTTTTGAGCAGGCATGTGCGCAAATCGCGAAAGAGCTTCAAATCTATCAGAATGCAGACGGTGAAAGTGCGATGGAAATGGTGCACCGACAGCTGAGCTCTGATAAAGCCGGAAAGTGGCTTTTCATTGTCGATAATGCCGATGACGTGGACTTACTTTCCGATGAGCTTGATCAGCATTTCCCCGCTAGTAAGAACGGCGTAACTTTGCTCACTACTCGTTCCCGCGAGGTAGCGATGTCTTTCGCCGGAAGGCATATAGTTGAGCTCCAAAAGATGACAATCGAGGAAGGAATCGCTTTTCTTACTAAGATTGTAGGAGAAGAGTCGCTTTGTGGCAAGGAATCCACTATACAGTTATTAGAGGAGCTGAACTTCCTACCTCTAGCCATTTCACAGGCCGCTTACTATATTTGTCGAAATGATGGAACGACCACACGGTACCTCGAGATTATGCAGAAAACTGAAAAAGACCGGATGCGTCTAGCGAGCAGAAACTTCCACGATAGCACTCGCTACCGGAAAATGCCAAACGCGGTGACTACCACATGGCTTATCTCATTCAATCAAATCAAGGGCTCTGATCCCTCTGCTGCTGATTTGTTGGAATTTATGTCTTACCTTGAGCCAAAGGCAATCCCACGATCTGTTCTCCCAACTCTCAATTCGGAAGAAGAGATGGAATTTGCAATTGGCACGCTGTGCAGCTATGGATTTCTGACTAGGAGAGACAATGAGGATATGTTTGATATGCATAGCCTCGTACAGCTATCAACACGAATGTGGATAACAGATGCACAGAAGACGCAACAGATTATCGCGATTGTAACCCAACATATGGAAAGATGTTTTCCATCTGATGAATACACAAATCGTGAGATATGGAGAATCTACCTACCACACGCCCTTAAAATTCTCAGGAGAGAGGAAAGCAGAGATGTAAGGGAGAGGTATAGCTTACTTTCCAAGGTCGGAAAATGCGTCCTAGCTGGTGGCCGAGCGAAAGAAGCTGTCAATCTTTTTAGAGACGTGTGTGCGTGGAGTCAAAGCCACCATGATGAAGAACATCCCTCTCGACTGGCGTCTCAGCACGAACTCGCACGGGCATATCAATCTAACGGGCAGATCAAGCAGGCTGTGGAGCTACTTGAACACGTAGTCGCAGTGCGAGAGAGAACGCTTGATGAAGAACATCCCTCTCGACTGGTGTCTCAGCACGTACTTGCAGGGGCATATCAATCCAACGGGCAGATCAAGCAGGCTGTGGAGCTACTTGAACACGTAGTCGCAGTGCGAGAGAGAACGCTTGATGAAGAACATCCCTCTCGACTGGCGTCTCAGCACGAACTCGCACGGGCATATCAATCCAACGGGAAGATCAAGCAGGCTGTGGAGCTACTTGAACACGTGGTCGCAGTGCAAGAGAGAACGCTTGATGAAGAACATCCCTCTCGACTGGCGTCTCAGCAGGAACTCGCAGGGGCATATCAATCCAACGGGCAGATCAAGCAGGCTGTGGAGCTACTTGAACACGTGGTCGCAGTGCAAGAGAGAACGCTTGATGAAGAACATCCTGATCGACTGGCGTCTCAGCACGTACTTGCAGGGGCATATCAATCCAACGGGCAGATCAAGCAGGCTGTGGAGCTACTTGAACACGTGGTCGCAGTGCAAGAGAGAACGCTTGATGAAGAACATCCCTCTCGACTGGCGTCTCAGCACGAACTCGCACGGGCATATCAATCTAACGGGAAGATCAAGCAGGCTGTGGAGCTACTTGAATACGTGATCGCAGTGCGAGAGAGAACGCTTGATGAAGAACATCCTGATCGACTGGCGTCTCAGCACGAACTCGCACGGGCATATCAATCCAACGGGAAGATCAAGCAGGCTGTGGAGCTACTTGAACACGTGGTCGCAGTGCAAGAGAGAACGCTTGATGAAGAACATCCTGATCGACTGGCGTCTCAGCACGTACTTGCAGGGGCATATCAATCCAACGGGCAGATCAAGCAGGCTGTGGAGCTACTTGAACACGTGGTCGCAGTGAAAGAGACAACGCTTGATGAAGAACATCCCTCTCGACTGGTGTCTCAGCGCGCTCTCCGAATCGTGACGCAGTCGATCAGAGTGCAGATCACGGACAAAATGTTCTCATCATCTCCCACTGATACTAGGGCTTAGTCGAACTGCTCATCCTCGAATAAATCCGCTGTATATAGTATCAACAAACTCTACTAATCCTTCTAAGTCTTGCCTCTCGGCGGCACCCATAAAAAGCCAAAATCGAGGTAGTAGAGTAAGCCTGAATCGAAGAATGTTACGGTCTGTAACAATACTATGCAAACTATGGAGCCACGGGTAGGTAAGGCACTAACCGTATATGGTTAGAGCTATCTTGGCATCGAGGATTGAAAAAGAAAGACTGAATGGAAACACGCAAGGCGATTTTGCAAGCTACTGTAACAGGGTAGCGGACGCGATCAACTTCCAGTCCTGAAGTCCAGGCAATGTCCCCCGAATTCCAATAGCATAGAACTTCAGGAATGGCATCCTGAAGATTAACATGATTAGACAAAGCGAATCACTTAGCGCTCACTTTTAGCGTTCAAATACCGCCAGGTTTCATTGGCATAGAGAAATTAGCTCAGACCCAGTGGGGGCCGGATTTATCGTTGATGCCTACCATCGCCTGCAAGGCTGGGACTGCGCCACCAACTCGCTCCCCAACGACACGCGGCAGGGACATTCTTAGCTGAATTGCTCCCCCCGAATATTTTCCAAAACAATAATTATCGAGTCTTTCCCTTTGAAGTCGCCGTCCACATCACGCTCAGTGGAGATTCATTCACAGAATTTATTTTCATCATGTCGACTGTCGATCACAAGAACCCCGGATCTCAGGACCTCGCTCCTCAGTACGAGGATCTCTTTGCGGAGCCCTCGTCCAAGCCGATTACGGGAGTAAGTCCACAGTCTGGCTATCGGGATATCTGCAAAAGATATCCAAGGGCAATTCTGGGGTCTGTCTGATACTGGAATGCAGATACATGGCCTTCTTAGAACTACGATACTAACATCTCATGCATGAACGTATAGTATGCCCGTGTTTCCCAGAATGATGATCACGGCGATGTGGAAGGTCAGGCGCACGAGCACGACGGCTCCCCGGGCGCGATCAAGCTAGACACCTCGATTGTAGGAAGAGGTGATGGATTGGCACCGCATATCCACTGCGAGGTCTGTGATCGACGTTTGGATCGGCGGGAGAGGCGGCGCAGTCAGGCCCATTGCTGCCGTGCGGTATCGGCGACCTTTGTTCTCCTGGCGCTGTTCCTCATGATTTTTGGGATCGTCGCGATGGTAGTCACCCACAAGCGGAGATATTAGATTTGTTATCGCCGTGCCAGCCCTGATGGTCAGTGGTTGGGGTTCAGTGCGGGAGTTCCTTGTTTGCTGCCCGTTTATGGTGAGATAGGTATATAATTACGAATCAGATGTGCCATTGGGAATGCGACATTGCGAAGGCAGTGAACACTCCTCTCTATATACATCTACATGCCAATGATCTATTCTGCTTCCTGATACAGACGACAATAACGAACGATACACAAAGCAAAAGATGAGAACGGATGCAGGCGGAAGGATGGTCTGTCTGTTTCGACCAAAGGAAAGGGAAACGGTTTCAAGATAGGGTATATCGGGGTCATTGTGCACATCCAAACGAGATGCCCAAGGTCGGCTCCCGGGGGTTGGCTGGGAGATCCTTTGAAAACTTGTGATTTCGCTCCAAAATCTCGGTCACGAGTTCATAGGGAGACAATGGTATCATTTTGGGTGGGGTGAGGGCAAACTCGACATAATCGGATAAATTATTCGTTGCGCATCTGGCGGAAGAAGTCCATCATGCCAGTGAACACAACGAGCAGGATACCACCACCGGGGCCCAGACGGAGCACCTTGGGGATGAAGCCCTTGTACAGGGCTCCGAAACCCTCCTCCTTCATGACAGTGCCCACGGCGGGCCAAGCCCAGTTGTACTTAGGGGTTTGGCCGGCAACCTTAGTGGTGTTCTGGATGCGGGACTTGACGACGTCCATCGGGGTGTTGAGAAGTGTACCAGCAATACCACCAACAGAACCGGCGATCAGGTCATTGCGGGTCTGCTGGCTCTTGTTGCCGGGCTCGGGCTTCGGCAACTGGGCGCGAACCTGGAAGATACAGCCGAAGTAGCCTGCATTCCACAGGATGTGACGCCAGAGAGTCGACTCCAGACCGTTGTACATGGCCAGAGGGCCCTCCTGCTGAACAATCTTCTTCACCACATCCAACATGCCGTTGTACTTGCCGGCGGAAGCCTTATCTTGCAGACGGATCTTCACCAGCTCGAACGGAACCACCACGAAAGCCTCGGTCGCACCAGCAGTCGCACCGGTCAGGATCGCCAAGCTCTGGGTCTGCTTCTCCACGCCGAACAAACCACGGTAGAAAGAGCCCCAGCTGTCGTTGGCGGCAAATTTGGTTGCACGCTTGGGGGCCTCCATCAGGATAGGCGCGGAAATACCACGGTACAGACGAGAGAAACTGTAGAGATTCAAAGGCGCGTGAGCCCCGGGGATGATTGCATGAGGACAAACGAGCTGAAACTCACCCTTCATGCTTGATGATCTTGCGGAAGCAGTCAAACATGCCATTGTAGTGCTCAGCACCAGCGACGGCGGTTCCAGTCTGGAGTTGACTATGAAGAGGCGATGCTGCATTAGCCTACAGTAATCGGGTCCGGATGAACCATCCGATTAGAGGAGGGGTTCACACATACACTCGAGTCTTGACAACGTCCAACGGGTACCTGTCAGAGGCGCATTGTTAATTTCTATCAATCCCCATACTGTGCTGGGCGTTCGCTTGTTTCGCAAGTCGATCATGCGCCACGGGGGAAGGGAGTGGTAGGAAAAGCAAAATCGTACATCAACAGGATCTGCTCGTGTGGGGAGATGTGCGATTAGTCAGTGGACGACTTCACTGGGTTCGCCACACGCGACAAAGCCGACGGTAAACGCCTCTAGGGACATTATTGCATACCTCAGACACACCAGCCACCGCACCGGCGGCGAACTGGTAGATGAAGGGGAGCGGCTGTTGCGGCTTGTCGGACATGATGGGCGACCGGCGGACCTGGGCGGGCGGAGTTAGCGTCGGTGGAGGGGATCGAGACCGTATGGCAGACCCACCAGAAAGACGAGACAGCAACGAAAGAAAGAAGGAAGGAAGGTAAAAAAAAAGAGAGAGATGAGATAAGAGAGGAGGAAAAGAGGTCGTAGCCGGTGTCGGCAAGATTCGGTGATTTCCCCGGAAGCAACTGCCTCGCTGGGGCCTTCACCGCAGGAACGAACTGCCGCCGATTACTAATGCCGGCACAAGGACCGGGCTGAGTCAGCCCCATGGGGTTTTGATTTTCCCCAGGTGCATCCCGCAACCTGATGCGCCTGGTTGGATAATAATAGAATAGGTAGCGATTGGCGAGTAGTAGCCAAAAGTTGGATCCTACGGGTGATGAAATAGAAAGGCATCGAAGCATGGCTCGTATTGTGCTTACAAGCAGACACCACCTTTTTCTTGTTTTCCCAGGTACCTACTAACTACCTACCAAAGGGATTAATTATCCCATGGTCCTCTCCCGAAATATATAGCAAACTTTAACATTAACCTTGGGTGTGCTAGCTACACCTATCCAGGGTTAAATTGATACGGACACTCACGTACGAAGTTCAGACGAAGCACTCTATAGAGTTATTTTGCAATAGGGTAGGCAGAAGTCTTGGAAATAAAGTAAGGTTGCCATCTAGTAATTTGTTTATCTCTAAAATCTAAACATCAGGCCGTATCCCGTATAGGGTATTCATCAGCCAAAAATTCCACAAGATTCTCCAACGCCATCTTTGCACCGCTGGTGCACAGCTCTAGTGAGGCTCACAGAGGAATGTGCTGATATGACATTTCGCTGGTGGTAAAGTATTCCTATATCCATGAATTCATAAAATTCCGCCAGTATCCAGGCCTCATAGAGCCAGGATGATGGATTGCGGCGGGAAAGGGGAATGTCACCGGGGTTTCCGGGAGGATATGTCTGTGACAATGGCCAGAGTCTGGCACGGCCTGATTTGGACGCAGGTCTTGCTCTCAAAGCCTGATGTGCATTGTGTTCGATGTGGAGGACTCTATTGCATGTCTGCTGCCAAGAGGCAGCCTCCGAGATTCACGGTTCCCGGCGTTATCTCTAGGTCCTAGTGTCTTCAATGCCGGCTTTTGAGATACTGTCTCAGTTTGATCGAATGCTGTTTGTCGGCCTGTTCTCGCCATAAGTAGTCCCGATCCAGCCGGGAGCTGCTCATACATTGCGAAGAATCGATTTGATTTCATCTCGGACCTGTTCAAACTGTCGTCGGAGTTCAGTCTCCAGCGGCAGAAAAGCGAGATCGAACAAGCTGTCATCCGCCTCGGTCGGGAAGTGATCCTCGTCTACTTCATAGTCGATATTGTGTGGTGAGTCCGGGGCGGACTGAGGGCCGCGAGTCACCATCCCAGGGTCAGTTGGGTTCTGCATCTCCGCGAAGTCCAGGTGTTGAAAAGGGTCCGGTGAGCGGCGTGGGCTTGTACGCGCGGAAGAAAATGAAGGTTGTTGCCGGCATCGTTGGAAAAGAAGATCGATGAACTGAAGGACGCGATGAAGCTCGCCAAAAACCAGGCTTGCATGGGCTACGCGGTCCTCGCCATCTGCGGGACCTGACGCGGCCACAGCGGCATGCCGAGCTAAAACATCCATCGCAGTAAAGACGAGTAGATAGCGGAGTTGATGGTTGCTCTGGAGGCAGGAACATTCCAATACGGAGGTCGCCACTTGTAGAATGTAACGATTCAAGGCTATGGCGTCGTTGACTCCGGTGGACCCTGGTGAATCTGCCCAGGGGATAAATGGATTGCTGGCATTCTGGGCCCCGGCGAGCTCGGTCAGCATTTTCCGTGAGCAGCTACTCTGCCCTATCAGCGTTCCGTGGCAGAGGTTACTAATAGATGATGAGGATGAGGATGGCGCTAGGCAGTCGAGCTGGGCCTGCATCGGCAGGTCACCTATTGAAGGCCATAATTGGTAGGCGTCAAAGTCCAGAGACGAGGGCAGCGTGTCTGCGATATCGCCAGTTGTGCCTCCCATCGGTGCTTTCATCTCACTCGCAGGGCTATTGAAAGGGGAATGTAGCGACCCGAGGAGGAATGGGGAGAGATCTATGCCCGGCGATAACCCGGTCCCAGACAGTCCATGGACGGGTGGCAAAGGAAGCCCGCAGATCTGGTCCACGAGGGGACTGGGCAGCGAGGCCGAGCCTTCGGTGGTAGTCCCATCGTCCGGCTTCGTGCTTGCGGCAGTTATCGAGGTTGGAGAGGAGGAACGGGCGGGGCGGGGCGGGCTGGGCGGGCTGGGCCTGGGGGTCCCGACCCGATCGGCGGACAAGATTCGCGCTGAGGCTGGGCGCCGACCCGCTCGGTGGGAGAGTTCATAGTTGCAGCGGAGACCACGGCTTTGACAGCGGACACACGTCGGTTTTTCCTTACTGCATTTGACTTTCACATAGGCACACTGGCTGCAACTCTCTTTCAACTTTCGACGTGGTGGGCTACCGGGACCTCGCATGGTTACCGGGGGAGAATATCGTCAAGGCGTTGAAGACTTGACGGGTAGGCTAGTTATAGGTGGAGGCGGAGGCGAGTTGTTGCAACAAGACTGGAGAACCACAGGGATAAACCACAGGGCATCGACCGTCATCTTTATATCTATATCCAGCCGGGTATGCAGTGCATGACTGGGGGCCAAGGGCGATCTGCCGCAACGTGGTCCACGATCCACCGACTACCGAGTGCTGCACGTTGGGGGGCGGTCATGAAAGTCTCATCTGAGGTAGTATTGATCTCATCGTAAGATTATCAGCCCCCTGAACGTGTAGCGCAGGTGGGAGAGATCTGATTGGCCCCCCATTGCCCAAATTCCTCGTGTCCAAGGCAGAACCACGCAGGGGAGCTGTTTCATCTGCAGAACCAGCTGCGGGCCGTATTGCATACCAAGGGCCATGCGCTTGCTGGCCATGTGGCTTCTTTTGGGGGCCAGCAGTTGGGGGCCTAGACTGCGAGATTCGACAGGATTTGCTGTTTTGGGAGAACGACGAGGAGCCCGGGATGGCATGTAAGCACGGTGCCATGTGTTTGTTCGACGCGGCATCGTGCAGTTACTACTTGGCAATCTCAAGTGGCCTGCATAGGAAGGGCATTCCTCGCCCGTAACGGTCTCTTCGTGTCCGTGTCTGCAGTATCTGAGCCTTGCAAGCCTTGTGGGCCTGCTATACATAGTGCGATAAGGCTCACGCGGAGCATTCTTTCTGTTTTACATTGCCTTCTTTCGATCGAGCGCAGTCGCTCACCCCACTACATTGCTGCCCCACTTCTCTGCAGGACACGAAGGAAATGGTGCCGCGCCACCTCGCCTCAGGATCGACGTAACCCTCTCGCATCTGGAGCTGACAAAGGAAAGGGTAGGGGGTTCGTTACAAGAAGCGTCGATCGGCAACGCTGAAATTGGAAGGTTGTTTGGCTCTCCAGACACATCTGAAAGAGGAAAATGTGATGCAGTACCGTTACTTCTACTGAGATAGAACTATGCGGAGTACTAGACTAAGCCGTGGGCGTTGGCCCGGAAAGATGTCCGACCGGGATCAACTCGAGGAGGCAAACATGGGGGGCCCTGGGGGAGAGAGGGGGGCGCCGGGGGGGAATTGAGAGACGCGCCATTCCGAACCCACGTCAGCGTATGGAAGGAATATGGCAACGTGATGGGACATGGTTGACGGACAAGAACGGTATCCAGTGCGACGAAAAAAATAATTGTTAGGCATAGTTGGCAGTGGGGTGTTTGGCGGGAGGCCGGATAATAGCCGTCACTCGTATTTGCTCGAGGAAAGTAGAAACTAACTTCGCCACGATTAGACTTCTCGATATCCTAATTGGGCATTCTAGAACTCAAACCGGTTTTCGGGTCGTGTAGACGTACCAGAAACGTGTGATTCGAATGCGAAGGGTGCCATCCAATAGGCCACTGTAAAGTTTTGTATACTCGATGGATACAAAAATGGAACTAGCCGGCCAGTGCCATGTTGCCGATAGTCCGAGATGGCGCTCAAGGCAGCGCTTATCCAATTGCTTTCCGCAGTAAGCTGCATGTAGGCTGCATGACGAGCCCCAAACTGGCAACTCGTTTGATGGGTGGCTGACACGCTAGGAAACCCTAGTCTGTCCGATGGTATGGCCCCATGAACTATCCTTGAATAGCTTATAGCTGGGGCGCCAGAAATCAGGGACCAAGAAGCTATGCGGTACCCAAGCCCCCACTCCCAAACACGTTTCGTGTGGTTGTTTCATCTGCCTTGCTTAAGGGTCCACGGGGCCAAGGACCATGAAGCGCGACGCTCAGCCCGGGGGCCTAGGGGCGTCTGCTAACTTAAATTATATCTGGTTCTGACACGAGAATGCACATGTGGAAATGGTAAAGATAAATTTTCGCGGGTACATTTAGGAGCTGGATACCTAAAAGACCCATGAGAAATACTGTACTGGCAACCGGTTTTGACTTGTCGGCTAAACTAACTAAATCTCCGGGATTAGAAAGCGGGAACCCAATTTTCCTTGCTCACCATTGAACTTGAAGAAAAATGTTTAGTCTTTCCTTGGGCTAATGCAGGTAGTTGATCCTCCTGCCCGGTCAGTGACCGAGTAAAGCGATGGTGGGGCTCATGGTAAGCTTATGCTCCGGCCGATCAGTTCCGACAACATTTCAAAACCGGTTAGAGCTGCGAAACCCATGCTCGCTAGAGAACTAGACAGAAAGGGGATAGTATCGTACCTTTGTGGTTCTGATGCTTCACATAGTTACTTTCTCTATTTCTGGCGGGGGTAAATCAAATGTCTTTGGCCTAAGAGTTGCGCGTGGACAGGGCTATGCTATCAGTAATACTAGACAACGCAAAACGAGTATTTTCAAATTAATACAATGTGGGCATGTTGTGAGGCAAAGTCGTCAATGCTGAAAGGTATGTGAGTGCCTCCTAGCATTCCAATTATGTTTTTGCATATTCCCATTGAACATCGCTTGTAAACCCTAATGGCTATAGGTAGCCTACAAATTTTGATTGTTATTGGCCTGTCTGGTGGTAATGATAAGCAGTAAGCTTTCAGCTTGCCAGGCCTTGCGAATCCTTTGCTGCTGTTACACTTCGCAATCATCACAAAGAGAGTCCATGCAACGAAGATATTGAATCCGAGGAAGGAAAACAAAAGAAAGGGAGATGAGCTCTGTCTTACTTCTACGCCCCGGAACCTTCCATGTGATGTGGTCGTTACAGCTGCAATGTCTTTGGACTATAAGATTTCGATTCGAGTATTCTCCATAGGGACTAATTGATACCATTGCTATATGAGTGAAAGATATTGAAAAGAAAAGTGTAGAAAACAGCAGAAGCATGAGATCCGCGCCCTTCCCTACTCTTTCGGCGACTGCATCTAACTCCTAGCAAGGACTTGATCAATGAGATCGCGGACCCGCGGTGCGTGTTTCTTTTGCTGTTTCATCTCAGTCAGCGATAGTCCGTCAAAACACCGTTCCCTTTCTTGGAAAAAGAAAGCGCGGGACAACTCACCATCATCGTAAAATGATCCGCACCCACCACCTTCGCCAGCGTAAACTCAGCACCAGGCAGCAGTTTTTCCCACCCATCTGGACCAAATTCCTGCCTCCGTTTCAACATAAAATGATCCCGGCCCATCTTAAGGCCCAAATCTGGCGCATCATCTGCATCCATGACCGTCTCACAGGCCCAGATAATGCCCACGTTGGGCACCCTGGCAGCCTGCAACGGAACAGCTTGATATGGAAGCATGGTCTCCATGGTCCTTAGGAAATGGGGAATCAGTGACGCCGGTGGCACGTCACCCCCAAATAGTCCCCGCCGACCGCAGTATTCATAGAAACCAGATGGGAGAGTGCCCAGTTTCCGGGGCACGGGCGAGTCAATAATAATTAGACTGTAGACTTCTGCACCGGTTTGGATGAGATGGCTAGCAACTGCAAAGGCAAAGGCACCGCCAGCAGACCACCCGCCTAGATGGTAGGGACCGGAAGGCTGACGACGGATGATTTCATGGCAAAAGCTGGAAACCATGGCAGTGGGAGTGCAGTTCATTTCCTCCGGGTTACGGACGTAGGGGCAGTTCAGGCCGACAATGGCGACGTCCGAGGAAAGGCGAGGAATTTGCACGTAGGAGGTTGCGGGAGCCCGAGCCGTCTGGAAGGAGGAAAAGTGTTTTGCGTGCGAGTTTGGGAATGCCCTGGAGGATGACAGAGGTCGCAGGGCGGCACTCAGAAGAGAGATTTGCAAGCCGGAGGGAGGGATCGGTGTCGAAGTCACCGTCACCATCGCTGCCACTATCATCAGGGGTTGTGATGGGGGATGCATCTGATGAGGAAGAGACGCTTGAACTGGCATCTTCTTGTCCTGCCTCACCATCGTCCGTGTTGACCAAGAAGATCTTGAGGTCTCCGACAGTAGGGCAGTTAAGGAAGATGGAGAAGTCCGCATCTAGGTCCACATGAAGCTCCTCTCGCAGCCGACTCTGAATGACCATCGAGCAGAGTGAATCAACACCAATGTCGGCAAAATTGCTGTCATCAGTCAAGTCCTCGAGGCTTAGTCCGCTCTCATCTGAGACAATTGCGAGCGCATCCTGGACCAACGAAGTCGCCATTGCGGCTTTCTTGGGCTTCGATTCGGATCTGGGCTTCGATGAGCATGCACGGTCAGTAAGGCCGGCGGAATAGTGAACTGTCTCGTACCTGGTACTTTGCTCTTCCGCGACTGCGATAGGGATCTTGAGGTCTGGCCCCGAAGAGAAGGACGGAGTGGAAGAGGATGCGTGCTGATACCCGTCAAAGCCCAATGGAGCTGCTTTCGTAAGATCCTGCACTGAGTAAGGGGCGATGGTGGAGGAAGACGATGGGAGACGAGTACTATCGAAGGATCTTGAAGCTGACACTGAAACAGGCTTCTCAACAAGTTCAATCTCGACAAGCTCTTCCGAGGGCTCCTCCTCAACAGGCTCCTCGACCATTACGGCGGAGGATTCAGAACTGGACCCGGACCCAGAAGCCCCATCCAGCTCGACGAGGAAAGACTTCAATTGCTTCACTGTAGGGCAGCTGACGAAGATCGAGAAATCAGCATCCAGGTCCAAGGCAAGGTCCTCGCGCAGGCGACTGCCAATCACCATCGAGCACAGCGAGTCAATGCCCATGTCGGCGAAATTGCTGTCATCGGTCAATTCAGCCTCAGCAATTCCACTTTCCTCGGACACAATGGCCATGACTTGGGCGATGATAGGCGGAGTGGGCCGGCTAGATTTTGGCGGCGCGACAGGCTGCGCAGAGGGTACTGGGGGAGCTGGTCGCTCGGGTTGCATGGGGATGACGGGCTTCACAGCACGCTTGATTGAGGGCGGTGGCTGGATGGCCACGCGAGGTGAAGGTGCTGGTAGCTGTACCTTCGCGGTTGCTTTCGTCGATGATGGAGTCAATCCCCTGGGCGCAGCATCGTTGGTCTTGGTGGGACTACTCCTCTGGTGAAGCGACTGCGTGACGACCTTCTGATACTTGCGGGGCATGCGTTGGACCTGCGTCAAAATTAGTCCACCGATCTACGAATCAATGTAAAAGCGAGGGAACTTACAGTCACCCCCTTGAAGAAAGCCACCAGTCTGCCCTGATCCAGAACAACCGTATCACCGCGATAGAACTCATGCCCATCAGCGTGCATCTGCACATAAAGCTCGTACTTGGTATCTGCCTTGAGCTCTTCGTACAGCTGGAAGCTTAACCAGCCATGGCTGATGAAAACTTCCACGTCAAGATCCATACAACCCCGAGCGTTAATTGCGAAGCCTCCCACTTGCGTAAAGGCATCGATACAGCCGGGATGAGCAGCAAAAGTTCCCCCAGGAGCAATATTGGAGAAGTTGACGATACAGGTAGCTTCTAGAGTATCCTCATCCACGACTAGATCATCGAGCAGTTTATAGTCAGGACCAAAGTCAGCAACTCGTGACATCAGTCGGTATCCGCTTTTCTTGTTGTAGCGCGTCAGTTCCCCTTGGGCCACATCATCCCGCAGTCGTTGGATGCGAGACTTGTAGGCAGGAAGACCCGCTTGCATAGTCTTGAGGAGAGAGCTGTCGGAGAATCTCAAGATACCATATCCGTGTCGCGAGGTAGTCTTCCCATTTGCCTGAGAGAGAATGCGTTGTCAGTGACCATGATCAACTTGGAGTAAGCGAGGTCTGGGATGGGGCTCAGTTGAAAGTAACCTACATCAACGCTGTAGAACTCAATTTTTCCATCGCGTAGACTGTCAGGCATGTTTTCGGTAAACGGCGCCGTCAAAGAGACTCGAATAGGCTGGGGTCCGCGGGCATGCGGCACCAAAACCTTATCAGCGACCACTTCGGCCACATCGAGGACGACAGAACGCCCCGAGGCAAAGCGCTGGTGGGCATACTTCCCAAGCACAAGCGCCATGTCGGCAAACCAAGAGGGGACAGTGAACGGAATTCCGTTGACAATGTGCCCGGGTGCGAGATGCTTGATATCGTCCCGACTCAGGTCTCCTTCAAACACCAAGCGCAGGGTACCCGCATCCACAGATTCTTCCACCATGCGATGCACCGTAGAAGTTTGAGGCTGGGGAATAGACTTCCTGGGCGCCTTTGGGGGTACAGGAGGCGCGGCCTGAACAGATGCCTTGGGTGACACCTTTGATTGAGTGGCGTTAGGTCGACCATACGGTTTGTAGATGCACCAGTCATTCTCATAGTCGATCCAATAGCTCTTCAAGTCCCACCCGTAGGCAGGCAGCTCGAGGACAGTGTGCGCAGCATCAAAAGGTGCATGATATGCACACCAGTCCAGGTCAGCGCCGCTCTCATAGAGAGCCTGGAGCGCAGCAGTGAGGTTTGGCCAGACCGTGGCACCACGCTGGAGGATTGGGAGAGTCCGCATCTCCTTCCCAAGGGTGGCTCGAACCATACCGCACACGACAGGGTGTGGGCCAATCTCCAAAGTAAAGGTTTTAGCATCAATGACTTGGGCAGACTGGGCAGCCAAGAGAGCACCTGCCATGTCCACGGCTTCGCGACAGTGCCGAGCAAGGTACTCAGGAGAAAACACGCCGTCAGCCTGGACGACGGATCCGGTCAATGGACACAGTACGGGAACCGTTGGGGCACGGAATCTGGCTCCTGCGGCAGAGGTAGTGAACGGAGCCAAGATGGGATCCACCTGGGCCGAGTGGAAGGCAAATGGAACCTTTAATAAAGTGGCGTTGATGCGGTTCTGAGCCAGGATAGCCTGGGCGGCCTGAACTTGAGCATTCGATCCGCTGACCACTAGGTCTTCAGGACCATTGACACAAGCAACCTCACATTGCTGATGAGCCAGTAGGTGGGAAATGGTGTGCCGGGACCCCTTGATGGCTAGCATGGCATGGGTACCTTGCTGGCAGAACTCCTGCAAGAACTGCGCCCGTTGACCGACCAGGAAGAGGGTATCAGCAACAGTCAGCACACCGGCTGCCTGGAGCGCGGCATACAGACCCAGGCTGTGACCGGTAACCGCATGGGGTCGGATACCAAAGGAGATCAGAAGCTTGGTCAGTGCCATCTGGATGGCCGTGGTGGCCAGCTGCACGGTGACGGGCGGGTACTGGTCGATGCTCCCGTCCTTCTGCTGGAGGATTTGGAGAAAGGAGGGGAAACCAAGCCCTTGAGCCATGAAGTCAAAGTGCTCAATATCCGATCGGAAGGTTGGGTATGCCTCCAGCAGCTGGCGGCCCATGCCTAGGTACTGAGCCCCCTGCCCGGTGAAGGCGAAAAGCACCTTGGGCTTAGACTTGGGTCGCGTACTGCCATCTCCGCGATCCAGAGCAGCCTGCAACTTGTTCGCGATTTCATTCACGTCGGATCCGCTCGCACTGACACGGAAGACATGTTGCTGGCGACGGGCAGTGGTTGTCCAGGAAAGCTGGGCCAACGAGAAGTCCGGGTTCTGCTGTTCTTCCTTGCGGATGTAGGCCACCAGCTGCTGCAGGTTCTTCCTGAGGGCCGCTGCCACATGCCCGGAGACAGTCACGATGTGGCTGTTTCGAGGATCCTCCTCGGTCTCGGCGGCAGGCAGGACTGGTGCATCCTCCAGAAGTAGAGCGGTGTTGCCTCCGGCTGCACTGAAGTTGTTGATGAGAGCCCGTCGCGGGCGGCCCGACCCGCGCGTCCAAGGAGTGGGTCCCAGCGGGATGTGGACGTGGCGCGCAGGCAGATCGGGATAATTGCGATTGATGCGACTGCCCGTCTTGATTCCACAATGCGGCGGGATGGTGTCATGCTTCATCATCAGGAGCACCTTGCAGAGACTGGAGATGCCTGATACACCTTCACCATGGCCAATATTGGCCTTAACAGTGCCCACATGCAGCGGGTTCTCCGCCGTCCGAGTCGATTCGTCGGGGGCAAATACCCGCAGGACCGACGCCATCTCCACGGCATCGCCCACCTGAGTGCCGGTTCCGTGCATCTCGACATAATCGACCTCTGAGGAGTGGAGATTCACGGTGGACAGAACGGCATTCATGTTGTCCACTTGGGCGTGGACGTGCGGGCGGGTCATCGAATCCGCCATGGCCGAATGATTGGTCTTCACATCCAGGATGACGCCCAGGATGGGATCTTTCTCCGCGATGGCATCCTCCAGTCGCTTAATCACCACAGTTGCAACGGCCTCGCCTCGGCAGTAGCCATCGGCAGCGTCGTCGAACGGCTTACAGTTGCCGGTGCGCGACAGGAAAAAGCCTTTGTCCAGGCCAGTGTGGCCGTCGGGATTGATGCACATGTTCGTACCTCCCGCGATGGCAGTATCGCAATCGCCTCGCCAAAGCGAGTTACATGCCAAATGAATGGCTGCGAGACTGGATGAGCAGGCAGTGTCATTCGTGTAGCTGGGCCCGCAGAACTCGAAGCAGAAGTTGATGCGGCCTGGAATGAAGGCGCGGTTACCACCGGTGATGAAGTAAGTATCGATGAACTGCCCGCTATTGCACTCTAGATAATCATTGCTGGTCACTCCATGGAAGACGCCGACCCGATCCTGTTGACTTGCGGGCGTGGTGTTGGAGACGAAGCCCGCGCCCTGGAGTGCCTCGTACGTCGTCATCAGGGCCATGCGCTGGGCAGGATCCATCTGAGGGGCCTCCTTGGGCGAAATGCTAAAGAACCGCGGGTCGAACTGGTCTGCAAAGTCCAGCCAGCATCCCCACTTGGTGCCGCCCAGATTGTGGCCCTTGCCATCGTGGGTGACGTGGGTTCGCCAATCCCATCGCTTTGCCGGGACCTCTTTGCAGACATCCAGCCCCTGGTAGAGCAGGTCCCAAAATGCCTCCGGCGAGGGCGACTCAGGGAAGCGACCGGACATGCCCACGATCGCCAACTTGGATCTCGCCCGGGGAGTCGAATAGAGCCGAGCTTCCTGCAGTCCATCTAGAGGCTGGACGTGGACATTGGCCATCTCCTTGAGGCGTGCCGACAGATTGTGCTCGAGGTTGGTGGCGATCGGTGTAATGGTGATTGCCTCTGCTCCACTGCCACCGACGAGAGAGCGGAAATTGCTCACGACCTTGTCCCATCGAATGGGCTCCAAGAGACAATCGCCCAAGGCGCGCTCGAGAAGGGCGACAAATCCGCCAGCCCACACGGGCACGCCGCTGGCACCGGAGATGACTGGGAGCTTGGCATTAAAGCCCGACCACTGCGCAGCGACTGTAGTCTCGAGGATGGTTGCCACGTCTTTTTGGGAGAACAGGTGTCGGCCGTGCGCCGGGAGGAAAATCGGGATTGGCTTTGACTGGTACTGCGCAAAGCCAGGGGCAGATTGGAGCTCCTGCAACACAGAGGGACTTCCACTGATCGTGAGGGCTTTGCCAGCGTGGGCGCTGATAAAGGGTTTGGACAGATGTGGCACACCCTTGGTGCGAATGAATTCTCCCAGGCCCGCGCGGGCTACCTGCTCGTCCAGTCCAAAGAAGAGCATCGACCACTGACTGGGCTGTCCGGCTTCTGGGCACTCGATGCGGTCTCTCACATCCACGGCGAGAAGTCCGAGGCGTAGGGCGACCTGCACCGTATGCACTGCCGCTGGCAGCAGTTCGGACAGCGAACTGGAGGAGGCGATCGCGGCGGCGGCAAGCCCGCCGGTGCAGAGGCCTACCAGGTAGGCTGATCCGGGAGAAGGATATACAGCGCCAGGCTCCTCATAGTGGCTATGCGAGATATTATGAGACCGTGCATTGTATCAACATGGCACGCTTGGACTTACCAGATGAAGGAGCCCAACTGAGTCAACGCATGCAAGGATACTTGGAAGGCCGGGCTCAAGGTGCCTTCACAGTACTTTTGCAGCAGGTGTGCGAGACTTGCGCTCCGGGACGCTTGTCGTTCGGCCGCTGAGAGCCACAGATTGCTCTGTGCGCGAATCACATAGTGCGACTGCTCGAGGAAGGCTGCCAGGATGGGCTTGGTCTGGCAGCTCAGCAGGCGACGAAGATCCGGCGCGAAGTCATAGGTTTGGTCGCCGAAGAGAAAGATGTGTGTTTCGGGCTTCATGTTGGGCAAGGCTGAATCGATTTATCAAACTGCTTGTAAATTGAGCTGAAGGGATTGATTAGGATGCCGTGGTCCAGTTGGGCTGTGAGGGAGAAGTATCACGGGGACGATCATACCTTCAACGTCCTCACCGAGCTGTTGGACATAGAAAATGGTAAGGTCAATGAGGGAATGGGTGAGGAATGAATGACCAGTTTCTATCTGTCTATAATAACAAGGGGGCACAGTGCTAGCAAAATCTACGAGGGAGTGGTGAGTATACATACGAATCTGTAAACACGCGATCCAACCGAAGCATCGCCCGTTAAGCCATCCAAAGTGGCCCCAGCTCCTCCATCGGCTGCCGTGGCACTCATCGGAAAGCGATCGACGATGAATGGGAGTCACTCTTGCGGGTCCCTTGCACTAAGCCTTTGTCGCATTTCGTCTGCCGGTCAGCTATGTCCGACTGGGGCTGCGTGTAATTCAGCTGACTCGCTCTGCGAAAACGCGCCACCCGAGCGCTAGCCGTTGGCCCCAACCTCTCGAAACTGGACTCTTTGTGGTGTACCCAACCCATCTTTTTCTGGATGTTCCCACTTGTCACTGAATTATGTTGGCTCGCCAGACAACTGCCGGCCGTGGGCGACTCCAAGCAACAGTACCTAGATCCGTTCTTCATCTGCGCACTCACGCCAATGGCCGCTTCTGTGTTCCTCAGCAGACGATACCAACCAGGTCGATACGCCCCATATCGCGCCCTTTCTCAGTAACAGCAGTTAGGCAGCTCATGGTCAGCAACGTCATGATCCCGAATATTTTTGTCCCGCCGCTCATGTTTGTCGGGTTGCTTGTGACGCTCTGGGCTTGGAAATGCTTCTGGATTATCATGATGCAGGACCGGCTGCTCTACATGTCCTGGATGCCTCCCTTCGCGCGATCCGAGAAAATGGAGGATTATCAGGCCGAGTGTCGACCTGTGCAGTGGCAGGAGACGACCATTCGGAGTCTGGACCGGACTAAGTTGGCCCTCTGCATCGGGACTCTTCCTGGCAAGGAGGATGCAGCGTCTCATCCTTCTTCCTTGCGGTCTGCTTCTCTTCCGCCAAACCATCGCAGGCAGAAGATAGTGATCTGCTACTTCCAAGGCAATGGAGGATCCATGCCACCACGCCTGCCCATCCTGTCCACTGTGCTGCGAGCGCTGGCTTCCCCCTCACAGTCCTCCGCGCCTGCTGCATCCGATGACTACACCCTGGTTGCCCTATCCTACCGCGGATATTGGAAGTCCTCCGGTCGCGCGTCTCAGAGGGGCATTGAGCGGGACGCCCAAGCTCTCCTGGACTGGGTCACTGAAACCTACTCTTCCCCCGATACCGACCTCCGAGTCGTCCTATGGGGTCACAGCCTGGGCTCGGCAGTGGTCAGCCATACGACGGCCACGTATCTCAACCGTCTAACGAGCAGCTCGAGTGAGAATCGCGACCCTACGCACTCGATCGCCGGGATCGTGTTGGAAACTCCGTCAACCAGCACCAAAGATGTCTTGAAACACCTATACCCGCAAAGGTGGCTACCGTATCGCTACCTGTGGCCGTTTCTGTGGAACAACTGGAGTAGCGCCGCCGCAGTGGAACGAATTGCCCGCTGGCGAGACGAGAACCCGGGTCAGCACAGAGTCGCTCCACCGATCTTGATGCTCGTAGCCGAAGCCGACGAGATGATCCCGTCCCAGGCGGCGGATGAGCTGGAAGGGTCATGTCAACGGCTGGGCCTAAATGCCGAGCGGAAGAGCGTCGCGGGGGCGCTGCATACCGAGGCGGTCTTGAAGCGTGAGGGGCGAGATACATTGTTGCGATTTATCCGGAGGGTGACCGAGAGGTGATGATGGTGAGGTTGTAGTCTTTGCTCTCTTCATCCTTCTAGTTTCGGCCCTCTCCCTAGGTGATGGCCATCCTGGCGAGGCTGACTCCTCGGACATGTTCATTTCTCAAATAAGGCAAATAGAGAATCAACGTCTGTGTGCTTCCTGATTTTCCCTCCTTATGGCAAAAATCACATAGATACACCTTCCACGTTTTCTGCGGCAGTAACTCTTGGTCGGCCATGTCGAAACACGAGGAATTCTCCAGCGAAACAGGGATATGCAGGGGCGCCCGAGGCGTGACAAGCAAGTGGAACAATACGAGCCTCTCAGCCACTATCCTGCATGCCATGAAGTCGGCGGAGTCCATAGGTCTGTTGCGCGGCGTCCCCGAGATGGTCGCGATCTGTGGAATCCCTCAAATTATCCCACTGGGAAGATGGAAGCTGTCAGTAGACTGCCAATCATCCTTTGTCGATACGAGACTGCTGCTGTAGGGCTGCGAATCCGATCAGCGATCAATTTGTTCTCCGCTCCAAACAGGCCCTGTTGGAACTGGACTTACTTTGCTGATTCAGCCGGGATATGTGGTCTCCATGTATTCCGCTTGCGAATCCCGCTCTCCCTTCGAGCTGTTTGCACTTGTCTTTACCACACTTGAGGCTAGTGGAGGGCAGCTGCGGAGACTTCTCAGCGGATCAGGCCGCGATTGCACCGAAACCCGACCGGACTTCCGCACTCGTGCCAGCCCTCTGGCCATTTTAACTGCCCCCTCGCCGCTTTAACGGACCTTAAACCCAAGTATACTCGATTTCCAGCCAATGGGCACATTCGACTAAGCTCGATCGCGCTAGGGAATCCACCGGGCGGAGGAACTGCACGCCGATGTGCCGCCAGCTGCAGATGCGTCCACCCTTCGCTTTCCGAACGGGAGCGCTGATTGGTCGGATCTAGATCGCAGCGCCCTTCACGATGTTGTATATAACAACTGTGGCCTACAATCCCAGTGGGCTTTGGTGGCGTTTGGGGGTTAGATAAGCTGTTCAATCGATTAGACTTTGGGTGATCTTTCTTCTCACCTCGTCGCCTTGACTTTTGACCATACTCCTCAATGACCATCCACGAGAAGAACGAGCCGACCTTGGCACAGGTCCCCTCCTCCAACGATTCTCCCATTCTATCGGACGAAGAGGAAGATGCATCCAAGGCCAATGTGCTCCCAATGGGGCTGAAACTAGGCGGAATCATTGGTAGTCTCATGCTGGCCGTCTTCTGCATGGCGTTGGATAACACGATCATCTCGGTCGCCATTCCCAAAATCACCACGGACTTTCACAACCTCAATGATGTAGGCTGGTATGCTTCTGCCTATCTGCTTCCAGGATGCGGTATGTATCTGTTGAGATCGGCTCCTTGCCACGAGCACACGTTGCTAACGCGAGGGTCTCATGGATAGCCTTCCAGTTGCTTGCAGGCAAGCTATACACCCACTTTAACATTCGCATGATCTTGCTGGGTGCGATGTTCATCTTCGAAGTTGGGTCCTTGGTATGCGGTGTTGCACCGACATCTACGGCACTGATTGTCGGCCGTGCTGTGGCAGGACTGGGCAGCGCGGGGATTTTCACCGGAGCGCTGGTATGCATCGCGCATGTCACCGAGATGGAGAAGCGGCCGCTTTATTTCAGTCTGATTGGTGGTGTGTATGGCCTTGCCTCCGTCATTGGGCCTCTGGTGAGTGTTTATCGGACATGAAAATTCCACTCGGATAGAGATTGTCCCTGCTAATTCAATGACTTTCCATAACAGCTCGGCGGCGCCTTCACGGACAAGGCCACTTGGCGCTGGTGCTTCTATATCAATTTGCCACTGGGTGGCGTCGCAGCCGTCGGACTGCTACTCTTCCTCAAACTCAAGCCCAATCGAGGCGCACAGAAGCCCTGGAGTGCGCTGTTATGGAGCTTGGATCCCATTGGCACCGTCCTCTTCGTCCCGTCTATTGTTTGTCTGCTGCTCGCCCTGCAATGGGGTGGAACGACCTACGAATGGTCCAATGGGCGCATAATTGCACTGTTTGTAATCTTCGGCTTGACCCTCATCGTCTTCTGTTTCTTCCAATGGTACCTGAGGGGAAATGCGACGGTGCCATTGTCCATTGCTAGCCAGCGCACCATTGCTTCCGCGGCGCTGTTTGAATTCTGCGTGGGCGCTTCGTTCTTCATTTTCGTGTACTTTGTGCCGATCTGGGTATGTTGATCGCCTCTCTCGCAAGCAAGAAACACTGCTAACATCTCCCTCACAGTTCGAGGCCATTAAAAACACCTCGGCCGTGACCGCAGGCGTCGACCTGCTCCCCCTCATTCTCTCTGAAATTGCCGGCATTGTCATCTCCGGCGCCCTCGTCACCCACCTCGGTTACTTCTCACCCTTCTTCATCGCCTCTTCTGTTATTATGTCAGCGGGAGCTGGTCTCTGCCTTCTATTCGATGTGAACACGCCGACCTCGAAGTGGGTGGGCTACCAATTCCTCTATGGCTTTGGCGTGGGTCTGGGCTTCCAGCAGGGCACGGTTGCTGCGCAAGCGGTATTGCCCTTCGCTGATGTCGCTGTAGGCACTGCGGTGGTCGTGTTCCTGCAGATCCTCGGGGGTCGATCTTTGTTTCGGTGGCACAGAACCAGTTTACTACTCGCCTAGTGAAGAACATAGTGGCGCTCCAGATTCCTGGATTGAGCGCAGAGGCCATTGTCTCCGCAGGTGCTACCGGACTGCGGAATTTAGTGCCTGAAGACCAGCTAGAGAACGTCTTGGTTGCATATAATGATGCGATTGTCAAGGCGTTGATGGTAGGCGTGATTGTTGGCGCGATTAGTTTAATCGGGGCGCTGGGAGTAGAGTGGAAGAGCGTGAAGAAGCAGGGGAGTAGCGAGCGGAATGGGGTTGCTGCTTGAGCGAAATTTAGGCTAAATCAAATTGGAACATGTATGGGAATGGACAGATCAAGTGGATGGATACCCATTCGGCACGATGGACATGGGCCAGTGCATTGTGGCATTCTTTTTCTTATAGACTGATATTTCTCTCCTATGTTGCCTCACAGTTCACAATCCCATTATAGTTTACGGAAATGATCATGAATTATCACGGAAAGTCATATCATGAGTACAACATACTGTTAATTGTTTCTATTTTCACGTTTATCGTTATTTCTATTTCACTCTCATTCTCTCTCTCTATATATTTTGCGCTGGTTTGCCTGCTTTGAGTCTGTTTACGAATATTATGAGCAGTTACTACGAATAAAACTTACTTTGATACCTACCTATGTAATCTCGTTTAGTTACGACTATAACGAAACCTGCCTTTTGGGCGGGACCCAAACAGTAGGCAGTCCCCCTATGGAGAATCTAGTCCTCTTGCTTCCTTCACAGGACCGAACGAGAGGTTATTGGAGGATTTCATTGGAAGAATCTGCGGGCGCGAATACTGTAAATTTGACAAGCTAGTAGATATGATATGTCTAAGCTTTCGCTTTCCCCTTCTCACTCTCTCGGGCGAGTATTTCCCGGTCTCTCCTCTTCTTCTTCTCGTGCGAAATGGCCAGGACCATATTTATCAAAAATATTGTAACGAACAAGACTCCCACAAAACATACAACTGCTGCGACGGTGACAATCGAGAAGACCGCAAAGCCGTAAGAAGCCCGCTGAAAGGCGCGGTTCGTGTTCAGTGGAGGTATAGTGGCGCCGACCTGCATCGCCGTGAGTACAAGAGAGAAATATACCAATATGATCAGCATCCAGGCGAAATTCCTCTGGAAGAAAACAGCATAGCGGTTGTAGCCGTACAAATAGCCGCGAATGAAGTGCGTGAAGAAAAATCGGATCCTGTATATGGTGTTGATCCTTCCTAATCGCAGTTCGCCAAAGTGGTAGCGTTTGTTGACCTGGTCGAGCGTATTTGCGTCGATATGTGAGAGAAATTCTGATACAAATCTCTTCCACCAGATCCATGTTATCTCACATGGGAGGAGATCCAGCTTATGAGCTAATTTGAGGTCGAGAGGAGAGCAGATCAACCAAACATAAGAGAGCAGAATTCCACAAGCAGATTCATGAATCTCCTCGGATTCGCAGAGATATTTGTCCCAGAACGTGAAATCTAGCATATAATCCGGAAGCGGCTTGACGAAGACCTTGTTTGAGAACTTGAGGAGGTGGAGGTCCGCTTGCTCTGTCAGGATGATATCAAAACCCATCATCTTTTGTCGATGTATCGGCCTGGCATTTAGGGGTCTCCCGGCCATCCACAGATGCCTATGTATTCTGTTGAGCCGGGTGTGGTCCAGATCCCGCTTTATATACGTCTCTATATCCTCTGTGACCAAAAAGACCCGGTGATCTTTGTCCCGGGAAATAGTCGGCAAGTTCACGAGCAAGACAGAGGACGAAGCATCTATAGGTGTCCTTTTGCTTTGTAGCTGCGGTTGGAAATCACCAGCGGGTGGTAGCTTGTGGTCATTTGCAGCATAGCCTTGTCGGATATTGCCAGTGGGATCCGCTAGCCTGGTCATGGTGCTATCTTGAGGGACACCACCAGCAGGATTTGTTGGCGGTGATAGGGGCCCATTAGCAGTAGAATCTTGACAGGCATGGCCGCAGGGATTGGCTGGTGTTGGCACTCGCAAGGAAAAGGGAGGCCTCAATAGTTTGTTCTGCACGGCATCAGCACCCGATGATCGTATATTTAACAACAATGGATAACATCGTAAGAACTACGGACGGCAGGCTCCGAGAAGCTTACCTTATTTGCCACCATCTCATCAGTCTCTGGAAAGGAGACAGGGTTGTTGGACAAAGATTCAAGTAAAGGAGGTAGGCTATGAATGATAAGGGTCTTGAAGAAGTGATGGTCCTCGGGTTTTGTTGTTATTTGTGGCAGAGAGGGGAAGGTGAGCGAACAGTGCCAGGGACTGGCAACTTCCGACAAATAATATCTTTTCACGGGTTCGTTCGGACCAGGATGAATTCGGACCCCCGCCCCTCTAATCACTCGACAAGGCAAAACAGGGGGCTGGGTCGGCAGACGGAAAGGATGGCCCGAGACTCGCGAGACACGGCTATTTGAGAGGCCATATCAGCGCTCCAAGGGCGTGTAGGTTATTTCGGTAAAGAAGAGAGGGGCTTCATGGTGTTCAGGTGAAGGAGCTGGACCTGGTTGTTGAGCAGGGGACGGCAGATCTCAGCCACCCAAGAGTGGGGTTCGGTGAGTACCGCCGCTATCGGTTATTTGGCAGGATCTGTCGAGAAACCAAACCCTAAATCTTTACCTTGCTCGAATTACAGAAAATCTCTAGTCGACATGAAATGGGAGCACTCAAGTTCCTTATCTGGCTCGTGAACCAGCTCGTCCTGATTTAACACGCTCATGTGCTGCGCCCAGAACGCGCACCAGCTAAGGTTCCAAGTGTTGTCTAACGGAACATTGGCAAGATCAGTGGGTACATAGAAGCCGAACTGCCCAGTTGGTGATTTCCCCATGCTATTAAGATGGAGTGCCGACACGGCAGTTGCCCAGTCGCGCGGACTGGGGAGATCGCCGTACATCTCCACAAACTGACAAATATAGAAACGCGTGCGTGAGTCACCAGCATACGCTCCGTACGCGAGGGGCTGTCGGCACGTGGCCTGGTATGAAGGTGTAGAGAGCCTGCTGGGCTTCGAAGCTACCGATCCTGGCATGCATAGGTCTACATAAACATAGTCATCCTGTCTTCACTTCTAGTGGTTGCGCAGGCACTAGTTCTATGCCGAGCAGCCTCTAACCCCGGTTACCCCCGGTGACCGAAGCATGGCGAGACTGCGACGCCCCAGAAGTCTATTCAGCCAACGCCTGCGAGGGACAGCAAAGGGGAGGGGGAAGGACCACCCTGCTGATACTGGAGCCACTGTGTGTTGAGTAGTTAGCTCGCCGATAAGTTGAAAGCCCGTGCCTCTGTTAGGGGCTCAGCAACCCAAGAAGGGCCAAATTTGGGTTCTATTCAGGAGCAGGCCGAGGAATAACAGCCCCGAAAATTAGCTGGACTGAGTGCCGAAGTGAACTGATTGAGTTAAGTATAGCATGTCAAGGGCAGACGATGAGCAAGTTCCGATTTTAAATAATCACAAGGTTAGGAAAGAAAAACATATATATGTCAAAACCGCCAGCACTACCAACCGATTAACTGATCCAATCTACCAATAACTGAGTGAGAACCTGACTATCAGTCACCCTCGCGACTTCCTCTACATATTCACGACTGACTGAAAACGGCTTGCCCGTGAGGTTGGGAATGTATCTTCCGACCAGTCGGTCAACCGCAATATCCTCCTGGCGGATTTTGCCCTGTAGGTACTGGCGATACACAGGAATTCCGCCACGCAGGTAACTCGAGTGGAAAGGTACATTAACACCCGGCAGAGGGATAGTAGCCCGGCCACGCTCCAGCTGAATAGGTTCGCGGAGCGCAGTAGCGGCCGCTAGGTGCCGATCGACAGCTGCCTGAATATCCTGGGATGTAGGTAATTGTTGTTGCGAGGATAATGAAAGGTCATCACACGCTTGTTGGAGTAGCCAGAGCGATCGGAGCTACATACTGGTTAGCAAAGTTGACTCAATGAGGATACGATCTAGGGGAGTGCTCACATGACCGGCGCAAACATACTGCTGCCCAGCGACATTGTAGTTGACGACTTCCAGCAATACCCCGGTGGCGCGGGCAATGACACCCACAAGGCACTTCAGCGAAGATTCGTTGAATCCTGCCGAGTTGGATTAGCATGGCGAAACCGGACGCAGGACAACAGGCGACCCTACCTTTGCGCACCCTAGAAGGATTCACTGCCGCCATTGAAAAGTCAGTCCGACCGGCAGCATCTTGACTCATTTGATACTGCATCACTAATCCGCGGTAAAATGTTAAGCTGAGCAGATTCTCCAGAGTCATGAAGCCAGCACAGGCAAGCAGGGCACTGTATTCGCCGAGGGAGTGACCGGCAAACGCTGAACCATCCTGGACAAGACCGCGAGCGTCAAGAGCAGCCATTTCGGCCACATTGAGTAGACTAATTAGGGGCTGTGCAAATTGCGTGGAGAATAAGAGTCCATTGGGCTCCTCGAATGTGATGGACGTGGACTTTTCGGTCAGCCCGCCGATGACTGGCACTGTGATTTCCTGGTTGCTGACGATTTCCGTGCGGGTGAGCGAGAGGTAGCTGGCCCGAATTTGTCGCCCCCGTTTTGTGCCAAAGTGAACTGTGAGCTTTTTCGGGTTGTTGCGCACAATGTCAAGCAGAGAGAACCCTTCAGACCTCCGTCAGTATAACTTCTTGACGAACGGGAGTGATGTTCCTCTTACCGTAGAGTTCGAATAGGTAACGATCCCCCTTGTCCCATACAGCCTTCGCAGCGTCATCAGTCTCGTACAATGCCATACCCATATCCTTCTTTTGACTCCCTTGACCGCAAAAGAGATAGGCCGTTCGGACCTGCTCAATTTCGGCTTCTGCGGTCAGCACCTTGTTATTTGTGTCGTTGTTCCACACTTGAATATCGAGAAGCATATTTCCAGCCATCATTGCCTTATGGTGAATCTCCACACGCAACAAATCGTCTCCCCGAACAACATCTTCAAATGTGGTGGCCCACCGACGGAAGCTGGAGCAAGCGTTGCCCATCAGATGCTCTTCCACTTTGCTGCGAACAACGGCAGAAGTGTACATTCCGTGAACAATCGGCGCCGATAAGCCAGAAAAGCCCGCAAAAGAATTTGAGACATGGATCGGGTTGTGATCCGTTGAAAGCGCTGAATATTCGGGGCCAAGATCCAATACCCGCAGTAGCAAAGGATCGGTGGTACGCCATCCGGGATGGTCGAGCTGCTGTGGTTGGCGCATTGAAGAGCCGTGTCGTTGGAGGAAATCAATAACAGGATCCCCAGAGCAAGATTCATGGGAGAAAATGACATGTCCCACGCTGGGCCCAGAAGCCCCGTTGGCAGAAATGGATACAGTTCCGTCAGTGTGCAAAGAGAACGCATCGCTCGACTGAGTGTACGACTTTTGAGATTTGACCCGAAAATGAAGAGTTTTACCAAAGAGATCTGGACACGCTGGGTCTGCATTGAACCACTTCCGGCTGCGAAGCAAGGCGACGAGTTTTGGGGAATTCAATGACAATGTCCATTCCTCAGCTTCTGAATACTGGAAGTTCAGATGATCTTTTGGGAATTGGCCCTGCATGAGGAACTCGGATGTAATTCTCATGACGGGTCTCCCAGTGCGATTGATGACTGCTGTGACCTCTACCAGCTTCCCTTGCGGCTTGATGGTCACCGCGGTGATTCGAGAGCTTGTCTCCAAGGAATCGCCCACGCGCAGTGGTTCCGCATCGGGCATCATTTCAAAGGTGTTGGACAGGTGCAATAGGCGCGAAAGATCACCACCCAAGTCGGGAATCAAGAGCGGTCTCGACAGTACTTTCCACGCAATAACAATACCAAGATCAAGGGGTGCCTCTGAGAGAGCGCCATACGTACCAGCATGGTTACCTTTAGCCCGTGAAATGAGAGACACATAATCAGTCACAAGCTGAGACGTAAGGATGGTAGGACCAGTGGAAAATTCGGTGGTGATGACGTCTGCAACAAAGGGCTCTTTATCGAGAGACCAACAGGACGCGTAGAAGTGCCTCATGTTTGTCCCCTGAGTCGGCGTCAGATCATGCAATGACCGCTGACCAGCGGAGCACTGCATTCGAAGGTTAAGGGTGACCCTTGTTGAAATATGCTTGGGCCCTTTCAGGTCAAAGCGGATTGATTTTCCATCAACAGACGTGAGTGTGAAGGTGGGCTGATCATTTGGTTGCCCCAGGTCATTGTCAAAAAAAGTCGCGAAAAGGGACTCTTTCTTGGATGGTTGATACTCAACAGTCAGCCTGTCTCCAGCGTGAGGTGAGAAAGCGCCGTGAATTCTATTGGGTTTCCGATGACGACCGACGAAAACAGTTTCATCACCCAAGCAGGCATGAAGCCAGTGCTGGGCCCCTATACCGAGCTTCTGTAGGAGCAACTGAGTGCCACCAGCAGGAAGTGATTGCTTGAACCGACAGTCAACCTGAGTTCCCAATTGCGTTTCGGAGGTTATCAAGTCCACGAAATTAAGATCCACGGAGAGACGATTGGGCCGAACATGGATTCGAATCTTCTCCTCATCAAGATTCAGAGAACTGCGGCTCGGGTTCAGGAGCTTGACCATCCTCACCAAATCATCCTGGATGTTGTTTAGGATATCCGCAGCAGGCTCGTCGACAGATGTGGAAAATTCAGCGGCAACTGGGCCATGTATGATGCACACACGCTGTGGATCTTGATCGATAACAGCTTCTAACTTTTCCATTTGCCACAAAGAGTCTTTCTTGAACCACGTTTCAAAGTCTGCGTCAAGAACAGGAATGAAGTTGACCGGTTTCTGACCCCGACGTTTGCATAGACTTAGGAAGAAAGCGGCATCCTCCGGATATAGGATATCCGCAATGGCTGCGGGACAAACAGTGAAAAGCTTCTCGAGGAGGTCAAAAGGGCTCGCATCGGGATCTAGGTCAAGTTCATCTTCCACGCGGAACCGCTCCTGGACTCGAGTGACGAAGTCTAGAAAAAGGACCCGATAGGAGTCATGGATCCATTCTTGCTGCTGATGCATATACATCAGAGTGGTAATGCGCTGGAGGCAGTCCGCGTAAGTCATGTCTTCCAGTTGGACAGACTTTCCTGAAGATGTCATCGCAAACCATGGCTTGGCGAAATCTTGGTTAAGCCGAGAGATAATCTCAGCGCGGCGTTTGAGAAGTGATTGTGCACGTTTCTCAGCGTCCTTGACGCTGAAGATTGTCCTGTCTAGGTCGTGCCATAGCATCACCGCACGATTCGCAATCTTGTGAATCGGCTCGCCCATTTCAGATCGCACGGTAATCACACCTCCAATTGGCCCGTCATACGTTTTGTGCCATTCCGCATCAGTGACGCCCGGTGTGTCGACGATTAGCCGCTTGACAGCAGTAGAGGTGTGTGCCTCCTTGGCAACCATCATTCGACTACCAAGCAGAACTCCATCCACCGGCATTCGAGGATAACCACGAGACTCGGCCCATTCACCGGTGAAGAGCGGCATCATGCCTTGGGCGTCTCCAAGGCCACTACCAACGATAAGAGTTACGTTGGAACGTTGACGAATAGCGCCGTAAGTCTTGATGAGGGGCTCGTAGAAGTCGTCGTAGGAATGGTGGCCACCGGCTCTCCCACCCGTCCATTGAAGCAAGATTGGGACACAGGGGTTATTTCTCGCAACGTCAAGAACCTGCAGGATTGATGACACAGAGGAAGGTTTGAATGCGATATGCTTTAGCCCAAGTGTATCAATGTATTCTTTCACCACTTCTGGACTGGGAACACCAGCCCCGATGCAGAGGCCCTCAATAGGATACCCTTCAGAGCAAAGCCGGCGAATGAGCGGAATTTGCCAGGAGATAGCTCGGGGATTTGCATAAATCACATTGAGGGTGATGCCCCGAGCCGTTGGTAGCGTCGCGGAGAGTTCTTGAATAGCTTGTTGAAGGTCCTGTGGTCGCGAGTACCCACCACACGCTAGCTCAATATGATACCCCGCGGCCATGACACAAGCGACAAAGTCAGGCGCCACCGTTGTCGGTGTCATTCCTGCGACCATGATAGGAGGTGTTCCTAGGGTCTGCGTCATGCGAGTAACCAATCGTGTGCCATATCCCTTTTCAGTAAGAAGCGTTGGGCCATAGCGTTTGCTCCAGCTGGGATTCATGATAGGTGGGTGTGAGGAGAAAATTTCGTGCTTGCCTCCGACTGTGGGTGATGAGACCATACATTCGGAAGCAAGTATAATTCGGCGACCCGCTCCAATGACATGATCCTGCACAAGCGTACTGGTTCGGCCTGGACCAAAGTCGAGGATATGTGTGGTTGATGTTTGCATGCATACTTTGGGCCAATCGACAGGTTCGCAAAGTATCGCTCGAATCAAAATCGGCAGTGGGTCTTCACATAAGGCGACGTGGAAATCCTCTCCAGTAAAGGTGTGATAGACTGGGATTTTCAAATCGAGACCATCAAACAAACCAGCGGACCCGATACGATTCATGACACGACGGTAGACAACGTCCAGATGTGGTGAATGGAAGGCTGCAGAGATGGGTAAGAACTGACAGTTGATAAGTGGGCGTCGATCGAAGAACCGGAGTTTGTCCTGATTGGAGTTGGGAGGAGCACTGTGCCGCTCTAAGATAGCCCGAAGGCCATAGAGGGTTTTTTCAGGCCCAGAAATGACCATTGAATCCGAGGCATTCACAAGCGCCAGGTATGCCTTCTCACTATCACCAAGGTGCATGTTACAGTCCCCTAGAACTCGCTCCAGGGCAGTTCTCTTCATCCCACGCACACTGAGCATTGAAGTTGCAAAGACCTGGCGGTGACCATTGCTATTTTGGGAAGGTGTCGAGCCGCCACAGCTTGGTGTACCATAGTGGCTTTCCCATCCAAGCCAGAAGAGCAATTCCATAGAATCCTCGACCGCATTCAGCAAATCTGCCCAAGTGTCAGATCCTGCCACGGCAGCAGCGACAATGATCCCCTGGGAGTGACCCGTGACTCCTTTCAAAACATCTCGCACTTCGCCCGGCTGTAGACCCAAAACACGGCAGCACACACAGTAGTGAGCAAGGCTGATGAGCCCGTTGATGGGAAAGCTGACGGGAGCGGTCGCGAGAAATGCTGAGCAGGGGGCAAGCTCGGGCTGCTCGAGCCACCTCAAAAGGTCAAACCCATTGAGGCCAAAGTGGTTGGGGACCTCCAAGTTCAGAGTGATTTTCGTGAGTGTGTTCGCGGCTGATGTTACTAGTTCATCAATGAATGGCTTGTATATTTTGTACAGATTGCGTAGGTCATCTAGCCCGGTAGGATTATGTGTTCCCTGGCCACCAAAGACAGCCAACAGGGAAGCTTGGCCATATTTTGCTGCGCTGAAAAGGCCCGAGCTGGGTCCCGGGTGAGCATGGTGACTGAAGCGTAAGTATGCTTCTAGTAGGTGATCGCGAGCTGCAGCGTCGAGTTGAGTTGCTAGGCTGTGGATGTCTGTGTTCGACAGGAGTGTGCGCTGAAAAGAGCCAACAGTAGCTTCAACCAAGCTATCTTCCACCTCAGACTGGCTCAAATGGTTGAGAAACAATGCAGACTTTTCAAGAGAAATGCATCGCTCTTCCTTAGGTTGAATATAATCAGGGTCTGCTGAAGTCACGCTGTCCCGAAATTGTGCCAGATGCGGGCGCAGAGTGTTATAGAGTTCATCTGGAATGTCGATTCCCCAGCATGGGGGACCCGAGGCTGCTCGCTCCATTGGTGAGAGGAAAAGAAATGAAGATGGAATGAGAGAATGGCCTCCACCAGCAGTGCGCAGCAGGATAGCTTTGAGTTGAGCGAAGCCCTTTCTGCGGCCAGAGGTCATAAGCTGCGGCTATCGTTCCCTTGTCCTCATCGGTAGCAAATAAGCCACTAGCAGCTCATGCGCCATCGGGGAGCCAGCAATTCACAAGGGCTCATTGATCCGGATCCCAATGCGTGGAGATGAAACATCCCGTTATCCTGGCTTTCGCTCTCCGAAGCACTCGGTCTCCCCGACTCCGGGAAACGTCAGCTCCCGGGTCATGCATGGTTATTAGTCCGGATGGTCATGAATAGTGCTTGCAAAATGCGGCTTCATTGCTCTCTCCTCTCAAATTAAAGCAAGGGGTGTGATGAAGTGAAGGCAACCGAAGTGAAGTCAAGTGAAGTTCTGTTGAGTACTTGCCTCCTGAAGAAAGATGGTGTCACGTGTGATCTGCCCACCGGCGCGGTCGCTCGAAGACAAGCGACACCAACTACAACGACTACAGCCTTCAAAACAGCAACAGCAACAGCAACAACAACGACAGCACATTGCATACCATTTACTTGTCGAGATACTCGCGTCTGTGATATCCCTTTCCTCTTTCGCATTCCGCTACTATTCTTGTCTCTAACGTTGTGCAGTCATCAATTCGCTTTCCCAGTACGATGGTAAATCAATCCGGAATTCTGGGCATCTCTCTACAGTACCCTGGACTGATCAAACTAGGATCGAGACACAAGATGTATTATTTGCGAAAGACCGGCAGATTGCCCGCTTTGTGGAGCTGGGCCCTTCGGCAACGCTCACAAACATGGCCGCCAAAACACAAGCTGCACAATATGAAAATGTGGACTCCCTGTTGGGACTTCAGCGCAGCTTTCTGTCCAGTGTGGATAATGCTCCCCAGGTTCGCTATCACTATGAAAGCAGATCAACACTAGAGGAAGAAGCAGAGGAGGAACATACCATTTCCAGCGATGTAGAAACGCCCGCACAGGTGATTGTGCCTGCTGTAGCCGCACCTCCATCTTCTTGCGAGGGAATGCCGGCCACTAGCATCAATGATGTGCCCATGCCAGCATCACAGCTGATTACTATGTGGGTAGCATTCAAACTAAAGAAACCAATGGATAAGATATCAGCCAGGCATTCTCTCAAGGACCTATCTTCTGGTACGAATCAGACCCTGTTGGATCCATTGCTCGAGTGTCGGTGGACTAATTCTGTAACAGGAAAGTCAACACTACAAAATGAACTCATGGGAGACCTCACAGAACAATTTGGATCAGTCCCGGACGGCGCCGAGGATATGCCCATCTCAACCCTCGCGGATGCTTTGCAGCCCCAAAGCTCGGGCCAAGTGAGCCAGGCTTTCTCCGAAATGATCGCGCGGTGGATATCTTCCATACTGCCGCCGAAATTCGGGCTGAATGGGATGCGCCGGTACCTTGAAGTATCGTGGGGCCTCGGTCCATCCCGCCAGATGTCCGTCATCGTCTTCGCGATGACCCAAAGTATCGCCAACGCTGAAAGTCGTCTGTCCTCGATTGCTGCCGCGCAGTCAATGCTCGATGACTCTTCTATGAAATATGGGGCTTACTCTGGTTTAAATCTCCAAAAAGTATCAGCTCCCACTAAAGGCCCGACAGCAGCAGCTGCCGTGGACAGTGAAACATTGGACAAGCTCAACCAGGACCAAAAGTGTCTCGCCAACCTGCAGCACCAAGCATTAATGCGCTACTTGGGCGTCGACGATACAAACCATGGCAAACTGTTGGAATTGGAATCTCAGTTCAAGGCTCAGATGAGTCGGCTGTCTCTGTGGACATCCGAATACGGCGTAGAGTGCGAGTTGGCAATTAGGCCAACATTCGATGAAAATCATCTGAGGCACTTCAGCTTCTGGTGGAATCAAACTCGGATGGACGTCTGCCGTCTTTACCATGACCCCGATTGTTTGCAGTCGCTGGTTTCGTCTGCTGCTACGGACCTGTCAAATTGGAACTCTCTGCGACGCATTGCCAACAGATCAAACCGACGAACACTTGACTTGGTATCTGGCATGGTGACATACTCTACATCTCACAAGGACAAAGCCCTTTTCGCTGTCACGGGGAGCATTCTCACCAACATGATCATGGAGAGCCTGGCACTCCCGCCACGAGCGTGCTTTGCCTTCGTGCCTTCGGCACCTCGAACTACAGTCAACCCGAATGGATCTGTTGCCTATTCGGAAGTCCCACGACTACAGTCAGATTCAGTAGCACAGTATGCCCACGTACTCCAGGAGGGGCAACATACTACTCTGAAAACCCAAGCGTCCGGAACGTGGGGCATCAATCTTGAATTGACTGCGCAGCACTGGGACGCCATTTCAAGAGCCCAGCAGGATGGGCTGTCATTTCATAACAAAGTAGCCCTTATCACTGGAGCGGGTCTAGGCTCTATCGGGGCCGAGCTGGCTAAGAAGCTCCTCATGGGTGGAGCCACCGTGATCGTGACTACTAGTCGATCAATATCCCGCGCCCAAGGATTCTACCGAGCCATTTACCGGGACTATGGAGCACGCGATTCTGAGTTGTTCGTCCTACCGTTCAACCAAGCCAGTGTCAAAGACTGCAAAGACCTTGTCGACTACATCTACAGTGACTCGGGCTTGGGTCGCAATATAGATGTCCTCATACCATTTGCCGCCATTCCCGAAGATGGGGCAGAGATTGATCAACTGGGCCCCAAGTCTGAGGTGGCCCACCGCTTGATGCTGACAAACGTTCTCCGTTTGATGGGAAACATTGTGCAACAGAAGACCGATCGTGGACTTCATTTCCGTCCTACACAGGTTCTTGTTCCCCTCTCACCCAATCACGGGACGTTTGGTGGCGATGGCCTATACTCGGAATCCAAACTGGGACTTGAAAGCCTCCTGAACCGCTTTGCCTCCGAGTCTTGGAACGAGAAGATCTCCATTTGTGGTGTGATAATCGGTTGGACACGCGGGACGGGACTCATGGAGTCGAATGATATCCTTGCCGAGACTGTTGAAGCGAACGGGGTCCTTACATTCTCTCAGGAAGAGATGGCACTCAATATCCTCTCGCTTCTTACTCCCGATATATCTGCCTTCTGTGAAGATGAGGCCATTGTGGCTGATTTTGGGGGCGGCTTACAACGTCTTCAGGGATTGAAAAAAATCACTACTGAGGCACGGGCGACTATTCGTGAAGAGCAACAATGTAACAAGGCAATCTTCGAAGAGGATACCCGGATGCGCACTTTGATCAACCCACCTCACAGCTCCATCGGCTCTGGAATACACCTGGTGCAGCGACACCGACGAAGCAGATTGCAAATGAACTTCCCATCATTACCAAATTACAACCAGGACCTCAAGGATCTGCGTGATCTTGAAGGCATGGTGGATCTGAGCAGTACCGTTGTCGTCGTGGGATATTCCGAGCTTGGGCCCTGGGGTAATTCCCGAACCCGCTGGCAGATGGAGAGCCAGCGCAAATTGGCCCAGGAGGGATACATCGAAATGGCCTGGATCATGGGTTTGATCAAGCACTTTGATGGCCCACTGAAATCGGGCGAGCACTTTGTCGGCTGGGTCGATACTCAAAGTGGAGAGCCTGTCTCAGACGACCAGGTCGCAGAGAAATACCACACCTACATGCTTGATCACGCAGGCATCCGGCTGATTGAACCGGAAGCGCTTGGTGGCTACGATCCGATGAAAAAGGAGTTCATGCAGGAAATAGCCGTGGAGGAAGACCTCCCACCATTCGAATGCACTCGGGCGACAGCGAATGCTTTCCAGGCGAAGCATGGAGAGCACCTTTCAATCCAGCATTTGGAGGATTCTGACACGGTCCGAGTACAGATCAAGGCTGGCGCCCACCTGTGGGTCCCAAAGATCGTGCCCCTGGCCTCGAGCGTCGTGGCTGGTCTGCTGCCCACTGGATGGAATGCAGCTCGATACGGAATCCCGGACGACATTGTCGGTCAAGTGGATAACGTCACGCTGTACACACTCTGCTGTGTGGCTGAAGCCTTTTTGAGTGCAGGGATTGAGAACCCACTCGAGGTCTTCACGCAGATTCATCTTGCGGAGATCGGAAATTTCATTGGAAGTTCTTTGGGTGGAACTGATAAGAATCGGGAAATGTTCCACGATGTTCGTCTCGACAAGCGTGTTCAAGGAGACGTGCTTCAAGAGACCAATCTCAACACACCCGCTGCTTGGGTGAACATGCTGTTGCTCGGCTCTAGCGGTCCGATCAAAACACCAGTCGGCGCCTGCGCAACGAGTCTAGAATCCATGGATTTGGGCATTGATTCAATTTCCAGTGGTAAAACGCGAATGTGCCTAGTTGGCGGCACGGATAATCTCCAGGAAGATGAATCCTATGCTTTCTCAACTATGAAAGCTACCGTCGACGCCACCAAGCAGTTTGCAGAGGGTCGCCAACCAGCTGAATTCTCCCGTCCCACTGCAGAGACCCGGGCCGGCTTTCTGGAAGCACAGGGGTGTGGTGTTCAACTCATCTGCAATGCGGAGACGGCTATCGAGATGGGGTTGCCCATCTATGCAGTGGTGGCCGGTTCAACAATGGCATCCGACAAGATCAGTCGATCGGTTCCCGCGCCTGGAAAGGGTCTTCTGACATTTGCAAGAGAGACCACACAGGGCAAACAATCCCCTTTGCTCGACCTGAAACATCGACGAGCGGCATTGCACGCTACGCTTTCCCGAGTATCGCAAGCCAAGCTAGATCAGCCTCAACCATCCAGTATTCCTGCCAATGTCTCCCATCAAGTCAACAATGCCCTCACCCGGCAGATGCGGAGGCATTGGGGCAATCAGTTTCGTGTCCAGAACCCAGAGATTTCCCCGCTTAGAGCTTCACTCGCCGTATTTGGCCTCACAGTCGATGATATCGGTATCGTCTCTCTCCACGGGACCTCTACCAAAGCCAATGATATCAACGAGCCCGAGACAATCAACACGCAAATGTCCCACCTCGGTCGCAAGGGCCCACCTCTGATTGCGGTGTGTCAAAAATCAATCACTGGCCATCCGAAAGCAGCCGCTGCAGCCTGGATGTTGAACGGGTGTCTTCAGATGTTGCAATCGGGCCTTGTCCCGGGCAATTTTAATTGTGACAACATTGATCCTGCGCTGCAGAAGTTCGAACACCTCGCTTTTCCAACTGAAACGATGCGCGTGCCCGATGTCAAGGCTTTCCTCCTAAACTCCTTTGGCTTTGGCCAGAAAGGCGCCCAGATGGTGGGTGTCGCTCCAAAGTATCTTTTCGCGACACTTGGCAGTGAATGCTACGCCGAGTATGCGCGCAAATACCATGAACGCGTTAAATTCGCCAATCGTGCCTTCGCCAAAGCGGTCATGTCGAACTCGATCGTCAAGGCCCACTCTCACCCTCCATACCAGAAAGACAATGAGACATCGGTCCTTCTCGACCCACTAGCGCGCGCGCGCATTCATCCTGAGACCCGAGAAATCTATTTCGACCCAGCTAACTTGCATGGTGATCCTATTCACTTGGGGCCCGATTGCCAGCAAGCCGACACGTCGGGGCAACTAGCTCTCGTGCCCCCCGCATCCAAATATGACGATCTCTCCCTGGGTATGGAGGCTTATGACATGGTCGACCGCCTTCTACGCTCTATCGGAGTTAGATCTCCCCCCATTGGATCCATCGGCATCGACATCGAGTCCACCTCGGAGTTCTCTTCAGATGACAGTCCCACGTTTCTTGCCCGAAACTACACCCGCGCCGAGCGCGAACTAGCAAGTCGTTCTCGTGACCCGCACACTATCTACGTGAGCCGTTGGTGCGCTAAAGAGGCTGTTTTCAAAAGCATGGGCGTCATGTCTCATGGTGCGGGTGCTGCCATGGACACCATCGAGATATGTAACAACGACAATGGCTCTCCACGTGTCAAGGTATGTAGCCCCCGTTGTCTGTCTCCCGACTCGTTGTTTGCAAATGACTGACTTATGTGCTCCTGCTTTAGCTGCACGGACGTGCTCTCCGGGCTGCTCATGAGGCAGGCATCACCAATGTTCTGCTCAGTATTTCCCACGGCCATGACACAGTAATTGCCGTGGCAGTCTCTCAACGTGCTGCATCCACAGTACCGGTGAGCAGCATCGCGTTGCTAGATTCCGAGCCGCCTCTGAAAGGCGTGAATGAGTATGTTGAGGAGATTGTGGTTTTGCAAGATTAGATGGAGGTCGCCTCACATGGTTTGATTGGAAGATTGGGGTGGGGGGTGGTTCCAGGTGGTAGCTTGCTTGTAGATAGATTGCATGTGTTTTTGACTCTCATGCCCTTGCACAATGTTGACTTCTATTTTGAATGATTACTGTTCCATATACTTGACAAGACTGAAGATTCGGTTCGTACGTAAGTTCCAATCGTTCAGTGCCACGCTATGACCTATCTGTAGTGAACAATGAAAGCCATACTGCCTTGTCCGCTTCCTCTACCCTCCCAGCGAGAGGCGTTGTGTCGGAACTGTTATCCGAGTGAGCCGAGAACAAGTAAGGTAGGTGATATCTGAAATGGGAACAAAGGCTACCTCATGGGTAGCTATCACATTATACGCAAGCCCCAAGGTTACCTAGGAGTCGCACAGACCCATGGTGCTACGTTATCTTTCACGGGTTGCAGGCAATGCATGATAGATACTGATTTTCGACTAACGGCTCGGTATATGTTACTCAATATCCAAATCCATGGTGCGTGACCCCATTGCCATTCACGTATGTCTGATACGCAACCTCAATTACCGAAAGCGCCGAACCAGGCGACCGTCGCACGTTCTGCACCACTAAGCCCCCCGCCCCATCGCCCGCGGCGTCCAAGATTTGCTGGAACTCCGCTAGATCGCGCTCCTTCGTATTAAATACTTGCTGCATGGTCAAGTCGCGATACCTCTGGAGCGCATCGTCCATCACGCCGGCTTGACCCGGCTCCGGTAGCACCGTGTCAATGATGAGCAGCCGCGCCGCTGGGTTCGCACGCAGGGGCTGCACCAGAGACGCGAGCACGCGAGTGGCGTTGGCGTCCGAGTGGTTGTGCAATACCATGCGGAGCAGATACACATTAGCATTTTGGATCGGCTGGGAGCTGTAGTGGTCGTGGCTTGCGACCTCGATGGCGGAGCGGATGGGCTCCGGTTGGGATTTAATGAACGAACGGCTCTGGTTGGTCTGTTCGGCTGTGTCTTGCACCACAAATCGCAGTCGGGGGAAGGCTTCGGCCAGCGCAACGCAGACAGTTCCGGGAGCGCCATCGATCTGGTTTGGGATGCTTCGTTAGCATAATTGCCCCGTGGTGATGCCTTTCTTCCAGGACGATGTGTGCGAACTTACATGTACCACCAGCCCTGGACCCAGCTGGGCCCAATCGTAGTCCGTGAGCAGGTGCCGCACGGCGGTGCCCTCGCTCGCGGCCACGCCCTTCATATAACCCCCAAACAGCTTATTGAACTCCCGCGACCGGGTAATGAACGCAAAGGCGGACAAGGGCGTGTTCATGGCCAGGTTCACTGCCGTCTCGTTCGGCTGGTCTGACACACCCCATTTCTCGGTGGCCTCGGCCATTTGAGCCGAGACGGGCATATAGAAATCAGTCATGAAGCGGACCCAGCCCAGGTAGGCAGGCAACGTGACGAATTGCCGAGAGATGGCATTGTGAGCGACCTCGCCCGGTTGAGTCTCACACAGACACCCGCTGGTGATGGCCATGCGGGCAACACTTTGCAGCTGCCGCTCTGGCACGGCGCAGATGCTGGCTAGCTGGGCGTAGGGGACGGCGCCCGTCAAGGGCACCGCGGCGAAGACCTGGAAGTGGGCCAGCCATTTGATACAGGCGATATATTGATACTATTCACCACGGAGCCGCATTAGCCACAACTTGAATGCATGGGTCTTTGTACATGGAGGAGGATACCTGAACTGCCAGCATTGGCAGGTATTCACTAGGCTCCGCGGCTAGTTGAATGGCCTCTTTGGCCGCTGAGAGGAGCTGCTGGCGCGCCTGGCGTACATACTCCGGCGCGGTATGAGGCAGCACGACCGATGGAGCGTCAGGACCCAAGGATGGCTGGGGGTTCTCCTCGAGGGTGCAGTAGCCACTAATGACTTTGGAAGCGGCGCTGATGGTCTCAGCCAGACTCTCGAGGTGGCTGGGATTGGTCATGGTGATTGACTGACGGGACTCAACAGACTTCAGGAGGGGTGTATGATCCCGTCATTGAGGGGCTCTATATCATGGTTATCATGGCATGGCGTGGAGAAGGCCACGACACGAGAAGAACGCGGTGGGTCGATGCTGTTCGCTGACCGAAGACGATAGATGTGCGAATGCGAGGTGCGCCGATGCCCTGACAGTGCTCATTGGTTGCACATGGGCTCGGATGAGCTGGGCGTCGATCTCAGTTCTCGATGCTCAGCGCTATGCAGTTCATATTTAACAAAGTGGCCAGCAGTGCCCGAAGGAATGTTCCAGTGGACGCATTGACGATGAGGTTTCTATGCCTGCATGGAGCTAGCACCAGCGGGGCCATCTTCCGCGCGCAGACCGGTGAGTTACACCAACCCAAACCAGCCCTCTTGGTCCACGCCTTTTCGCAGTCTCAACACGACTGACCACGCGCGAGGTGGTTTTTAGCGGCCTTTCGCGACAAATTGGGGCCAGGCCACTTGTTTGACTTTGTCGATGCGCCCCATGCCTGCCCCGCCGGGCCCGGAATCGCGGCCTTTTTCCCAGAGCCCTACTACTCCTTCTGGCGCTCCACTGATGCCGCCGAGGTGGCACAGACGCACCACTGGCTGCTCGAGCGCCTGCGTCAGCCGGAGCCATACGATGCCCTGCTATGCTTCTCGCAGGGATGTGCGGTCGCCGCCTCGCTGATCGTCGCGCATCAGAACGAGACGCCCGAGCTGGCCCTGCCCTTCCGCGCGGTCATTTTCATCTGCGGCGGTCCGCCTCTTCCCATCCTCGCCGATTGGGGGCTGCCCATTCCGCGAGCAGCCTGGGAAGTTCACGAGCGCACCGCACGCGAGCTGTGGGAGCAGGCGACCGCCAAGCAGGCCCAACTGCTCGCTCGCCGGGCGAAGGCACAATCATCATTCTCGTCCTCGGCCGGGGAAGCTGGGCGGCTGGAGAGCGACCGGGATGACCCGTGGACCCTGCCGGCCATCAACCCCTGCGATGCGTTCGGGCTGGACCTGACCCGCTTCCCGGAAAGCTGCCGGCTGCATCTGCCCACGGTCCACATTTACGGCCGCCAGGACCCTCGCTGTCCGAGTGCCTGGCAGTTGGCCCTGTTGTCCGACCCCACAGACCGGTTGGTTTACGATCACGGTGGCGCCCACGAGATCCCCCGAACCACCCGTGTGTCCGAGGCCATTGCAGGCGCCGTGGCGTGGCTGGACGATCGTCTCGCTCGTCGCAGCGGATGATCGATGTGCCAGTGTTTCCAAGTATAGAATGCTGAGCAGTGCCGAGAAGGCTGGGCGCGCCAGAGGATCGGCACTGCAAGGACAGAGTACGAGGTAGTCGTACCAGGGCCCAGCTTACTGCAGGCCATGATGAAATTGAAGATTGTTGTCCTCCTTCGCGGCTGCACGCATTCTACCGTCCATTACATTTCATGTTGCCCGTTCTTTTTCCTCGTGTTGGGTGTCCCCCTTAGTATGGTTTCAAGGTCCACATTTTTCTGCGTGAATTGCAATAGTTTTAACTCCCCTCCTCGGCGCCATGATCGCCTGTTTCCTTCAACCCACTTAGAGACAAATTGGATTTTAGACAAATTGGATTTTAGACAAATTGGATTTTAGTACGATCACTTCTCAACACTCTTTTCTCATTCATCTATGCAATGTGTGCATTGTGCATTTGGCAATGCCCAGGTGACGGCTTTGCTCGTAATAGGCCCGTGCGGAACAAAATAGGGGGTTTCGGCCCCTATCCGAACGAGATCTATGGAAATACATCGGCTAAAGAATACGCCCCTTCAGCTGCCAGTTGGTCGAGATGAGGTGTTTGGATCCCCTCCTTTCTATACCAGTCCAGTTACTTGTCGAGATCGTCGGCGATCATCAACAGGATGTTGTGCGTCGCCATGTTGATCGGATCCGAATGGTAAATTCTACGATATCAATCCAGTAGACTCGACTATACACGAGTTTGTCAGGCCTCGGAACCCCGCCGTTCTTTGTAGCTCAGCTGCTGATGCGGCGGGTGTCGGCTCTGACCAGCGCAGGTGTTGCTTCGGCTGTCGTCAACGCCGAGTTGACTCTGGTTCCTCCACCTCTCCACATGTTACAGCCCGTGAAGTATACATTGACAAATGATCCATGGGCTGGAATGCCTCTGCGAGCACTTGTTGGTTCGAGACATACTGGGCGACGAGTATCATCGAACTTTATTTGCTATACTGGACCCTACTCTACCCTTGCAGAGGGCTATCCTTCTGGCTGGCTATGCGCAGAACGATGGAAGTTCAGTCTCGGGGTAGATTGCCCATCCCTGGATTGATGTGTAATGATTTGAATATTTACAGGGTGACCAGGTGGGCTATCTGTCAGGGTCACGGATCATGAAATCATCAGCCCACAAAGGCCACAAACGAGACCGAAATATCAAGATGGGGTCCGAGTTTCCCGGGACGGGATCATTCCATCTCTTCTCTCTAGTTTATAGTTTGCCCTTTTGCTGTAAAAGCTGCTTCACCTGCTTCACTCGCCGCCAAGCTTCCAAGGCAAACGGCTTGGCCTGTTTGGCATAGTCGCCAGCGCGGGCGCTGCTAGCCTGTCGTGCTGCGAATCGTGCCGCAATGCCCTGCATAATGACAGAGCCTCGGAAGGCGAAGAACGCATCGCCCCAGAGAATATCCGCCGCCGGGTTGTACCCCGAAACCGCACTGTACCAGCTAATACAGTCCTCGCGCGAGGGCAAGCCTGGTATGCGCCCCGGCTGGAACTGGCCCTTCTTGTATTCGGCCGAATCCAAGATATATGGGCTGGTCAAGTTACAGAAGTCCGACAGTGGGTGTCCGATGGTTGCCATCTCCCAGTCCAGAATTCCAATCACTCTCGGCTCGGTCTTATGGAAGATCATGTTGTCAATCTTGAAGTCGCCGTGCACTAGCGTGCCGCGGTCGCGGGGCTGGGTCGACTTTTGCGCGAAGAACTGCGTCATGTCCTGGAAGTGTGGCAGTTCTCCCACGGGCTCCTTGGTATCTTTGTCGAGAACCTGGGATTGGGCCTTCGAAATTGTTGTGAATGTCGCGATTTGTCGGTCGAAGAATCCGGACGGCTTGCCGAAGCCCTCAAGGCCAACCGACTTGGGGACGACCGAGTGGAATTTGGCTAGAGTCTCCACCGCAGACTTCCAGCTATTACTCCGAGTCAGTCATTCGGCCCTCTGTGATTTCATCACAGAAAGAGAGTGTGTGTGTGTATAGTAGGATCAGACGTACAGTGCACTTCTCTCCTCCGCGCTCACGCCGGGTAACCCTGGGTCGGTAAAGTGTCGACCGTCCAGGAACTCCATAATGTAGAAGGGGGTGCCGATCACGCTGCTGTCTTCGCAGAGGCATAGCGCCTCCGGTACGGGCACATCTGTCGGTCCAAGGGCCTTAATGATCTGGTACTCTCGGTCCACTCTGTGCGCTGTCTTCGAAAGCAGCTTGCCTGGGGGCTTCTTGCGCAGCACAAGCTTCCGTCCATCGGCGGTGGTAAGTTGGTAGGTAGGGTTGGATTGGCCAAAGCCAAACTGCACAAAACTCGGCATTAGTATCTATCTGCGATATGATGCCTTCCCAGGTTGAACCCGCACTCACCTGTTTCAGGTCCAGCGGGGTCTTGACTACAGGCACGGTCTGGTTCAGATACCGCTCCAGCGATGGCAGGTCTATCGGCTGGCGCACTTCGCCCGCCATGATTGCAAGGGTAACAAGAGAAAAAGTTAAATAGGAATTGCAAGTCACACGGTGCTCCTTCAACGAGATATATAACACGAAAGGGCAGGGAAAGGGTATTGTCGAGCTCGGGGACCAACAGCCGGGGAACCTCGGTCGAATGAACCTCGGAGGCCGCCTCCAAGCGGGGAGGGTTTGTGTAGTTTGCACTGCCCCGGATTGGGTGGGGCTGCCGCAGATCGCACGGGAAGTCTACCGAGTTACTCCCCGGTGAATGAATCTCCCCCATGAGACAGTTCATACCTTCAGTGGGAGATCATCTCTCTTAACCGGTCTTCGTGATCGGATGAGCAAACACGCATGGCACCCACGCTGAGGATGTGGTCTTCCGACCGACTGATCCAGCTGCCAAGCAACGAGTACACATCCAGTGCGGTGAGTTGGTTTGCATGTATATGTTTATCCTGGAACTGGTTCACTACCCATTCCGGGATTCTATGTAGCCGTGACTACCAACAGTCATCTTGCGGCGTGGGTATAAAAAGGATATTGAGGATGTTCCAGTATGACTACGCGGTGTCTTCAGCGCGTCCATCACCATCCACAAGCTGCCTCCCAATCCCCTCGGTTAAGGTTCTTCTCCTTCTTTTCAATCCAGGTCAGCGGGGTCCAGCCATCGGAATCGGCACAGTTCACATCCACTCGTTTCGTGTCCAGCAACACCCTTACAGCATCCACCTCATGCATTTGCACCGCGTGAGATAAGGGAGTGCGCCCAGATTTGTCTTGAGAATCAGGGTCCACTTCCCGAAGGGAGAGCAGCTGTTTCATCACCGATAATCCGTCTCGGGTGGTAGGATCTTGTGTGATGCCTACAGCAGGCGGCTGATTATTTGCACTCGACGCGTTTGGCTCGGCCCCTTGCAGCAGAGGGACGATGACCTTCTCCGCTTGTTTCTCATATTCCTTGGTATAGACAAAATTGGTGGGCTTCCCCAGGAATCTCCCGGACCGTGCCGCACGCGCCAATGGGGTCATACCAGAGCGGTCTTTGGCATCCGGGTCCACGCGTCCGGTCGCCAGCAAGACTTTTACCACATTGGCTGCTCCTAAACCAGCAGCATGCCATAAAGGACTTTGGCCGTCGGAGTTTCGATGTTCGGGATTCGCGCCCGCGGCGATCAACCGCCTGGCAATTTTCTCATTCCCGATGGATGCTGCGGCAAATAAAGGGGTGGAACCCCGATGGTCCTTATTGTCAACATCGACTGCGCCGGTTGCCAAGAGGCATTCTACCGTTGCCAAGCTACCATTTGCGGCGGCACTTGAGAGAGCAGTCTCTCCGTATTTGTTTTTGGTGTCGGGGTGCACGCCGTCGGTCTCGATCAGAATTTTCACAATCTCCTCCTGTCCGAACTCTGCCGCGACAAAGAGTGGGGTTCGTAGGCTGTCGTCCCTCATGTTTGGATCGACGCGATTGGACGTCAGGATCATCTTGAAGGCAGCTGCATTGCCTCGTTGCGCGGCTGCCCCCAGCGGTGACAGGAACTGTCTTTCTGGTGACCATGGAGGCGCTTCACGCAGACACAAGTCAACCAGCCTTTCATGTCCACCCCACGCCGCCGCAGCCAAGCTCTCGCGATCCATGCTCACCCGACCATCCGCCAGCATGGCATTCACGATTTCTTCCTGTCCATGGCGGAAGGCTTCATTCAGAGCAGGGCTGAAGTTGAAGGAGGTGGGGGCCCCGAATCCGGAATCATTGATCTCATCGTGGGGAATGTTAGCTGAATGGTTCAGTAGAATCTTGACAGTCTCGGCGTGACCTCTGGCCGCTGCTTTTCGAAGCGGCCAGTCATCGTAGCCTGATCTCATGTTAAGCGCACTGGGTTGACGCTCAAGTAACAGGCTCACGATGCTTGCATGTCCATTCTCCGCCGCATCGGAAATTGCCATAGAGAGCCATCGTCGAGGACGCGGCTCCGAATTCTTAGTATGCCAGAACGTGTCCTTGTCCATCCGAATATCCCCTCCACGCCGCAGCATCGCCCGTACAAGGTCTTCCAGGCCGCGCTTAGCGGCCCAGTTGAGTGCCTTGTTCTTTTCGTTGCCAGTAGTTCGATCATAAAGATACTCGCGAAGAAGATGATACATCCGGCGGTCGGTTCTCATCAGCGCCAAGATGCTTCGCTGCGTTGGTAGATGCTGCACGATCATGAAAAAGATCTCATTGGGAAGCCTGATGGAAGACATCTGCCAATGGTTAGTTGAATAAAATTGACTCGAAATACGATTTCCTCACGATTATCGCGAGCTTCCCTGTTGTTCCTGGGGAAGCTAGGTACACCGTACCTCCATCCGCATATTGGCTGAAGGAGCGATCACCCCTCGGCCCGCGATTGGGTTCTTCGGCTCGGCAGGCGTCATCACCGCCCTGGGCTTCCCCGCGATCTAGCCCCAAAGGTACAACCCACACCATCTAGCACAGATTGTAGCAATAAAGCTGTCAGAGGTAAAAGGGATAGGAAATTTAAAGTACTGAAGTTCATCGTCTATTTTTGTTTGCTACCTAATGCCGGTCTTCGAGCATTCTTGCTGGGGAGAGGAGGAAGGATTGAAGATGAATATATATATTCCATCCGTATGGATCCGGTAGGTACCTATGCTTAACAAGAATCAAACTAGGTAGGAGCTATGATTCAGGATGTAAAAACAGCTAGGAGGTATGAAAGCTGGTAGACTGCAAGCGATCGGCGTAAAATAACCTCAACAGAGCATTATCAGGCAACACGTACACATAGTTCTAACGTTACCTATGGAGATATCCAGAAAGGTTCATGGACGATGTTTCGATTCTTTATACTTCGAGACTATGCATCGATACCTTATCTAGCTCTCCCGTTTCCCATTCCAGCAAGGCTTCGGAAAGCATCTCTACCTCAGGGTGATCGGGCCCGAGCATTGATCTCTGCTTGACTAAGCATTCTCGCAACAATTGATAGCGTCGACCGTTCGACCTAAGGAGTTCCATGTGAAAGCGAGGTTGGCCATGCTCGTTAGCGTGTAAGGATGGTTCTCGCCAAAATTGGTCTTGTAAGTCATCCACAGCTGCCATACGAGCCGCTCGGACGCCTCCCACCGGCCTTGAACAACCAATGTTGACGCTAGGATGGCCATATTCCCTAGTGTGTCGGGATGGATCTCGCCGAGTTTTGCCATGTAAGTCTCTAACACCTGCACCACGAGCTTTTCCGCCTCCTCCCATCTGCTCTCTAACCCGTATGTGAGTGCCAGAATAGTAGTGCTCATGAGATCTTCTTCACTCTCCGCACATAATACCGACACTATCTTGTTCCTTGAGTTTAAGGCCATTTCTTTCGCATCCCAGATGCGAGCAGTTTGTATCGCATAAGATATTCTAGCAGTAAGTAGAGTAGCTCATTCTTGTTGGAAGTCTGGTGATTCTGGCGGCTAAGACATCGCTGATTTCACAAAGATCATTCATCCGGACTATATCACACCAAGCAGAATCCTAGGATATCTGTCCATTCTCGAACAAGGATGAGGCGGAGCTCCAGAGATTGAATGTTGTTCAAACTATTTCGTAACGAGGACGGGGAATGAAGCCCATCACAACATCTTAGGGTGGGTATCAGAGGAAAGGGCGCGCGAATCCTTCGGTTCGGCGCGTTAGCCGCATATGTAGGGCGACCGTTCAGCTGGGCTGAGATGACGGCAGGGCTCTGAGATAGTTACCTCTTGGCATCTGCACATAGCCACGCCAGACCTCTTCCTATTAGTGAATTGATGAGTCACGTGCGGTTATCATTTCAACCCTACTTTGTACATACGACCCATCACCAATACTACCTGTATCCAGCTGAATCATGGCCCTGGCTGGGCAAGGTTGCTTTTGATCGTGATCCACCAGCCATGTGCATAGCTTTGGCAGTCTTTCCTAAGTATAGAATGGCCGATATCTTGGTAGTCATATCGCTACGGGCAAGTTGCATTCCTCATATCTGCTCCTGTGCTTGCAAGTCATCTTCAAGAAGATCGGTCTCTCCAAGCAATGAAAAATAGGTACTTCACGGTTTGTTTCATACTCCACCCGTCGTGGTCGACGTCCGATACCCCAGCGGCCGCCCAGTCGGATCGACTGTAGCTGCCCGCGACACAACCTTTGATGCTTCCGCAGGGTTCTAAAACAAAAGCAGTCCAGCGACCCTCATTTAGAGTCCATGGATCCATATCTCTTCATCCTGATACGGCAACCATCTCCACTCGACACCACCAATGTGAGCACCTGCCTTTCCTCGCCGACTGGCGCCATGAAAGACCTGTCTGTCATCTCGATAGTTTCAAAAGTTTGCAGCAGCCTCACAATGGTGAAGCCAGCTTCTAGCAGTGCAAAGTCCTGTCCCAAGCATATCCTGGGTCCCCCATTGAAAGGCAAATAACCCCACCCAACATTTTTCAGTGCATCATTTTCCCAGCGTTCGGGGCGGAACTGATCAGCATCCGACCCATAAATGTCTTTTCGGCGGTGCAGGGCGTAGACACAGTATCCCACTCCCTCCCCCTTCCGAACGAGAATAGGAGCTGTTCCATCCGGACCGCCACCAACGGGGAGGGTCGTTGTCTTCTCTGCTGCTCTCGAGTTCACTGGTACTGATGGATATAGGCGGAGAACTGTGTATAGGAATTAGTGATGGGTTCTTCTTGGACGGTGAGTTGCACGGCAGCGTTTCCTTTACCTTCTTTGAGAACGACTGATAAATATGGCAGGGTCCTGATTCGACTTATGTCGGGTACTGTAGCCTCAGGGCCTACACCAATCGCATCATCGATCTCACGACGGAGTTTGAAGAGAACCCGAGGATGTTGCACAAGCAGACGACTGTATGCGTTAACAGTGAAATCCAAAGCGTAGACGGTGAGAGCCCTTTCACTTACAGTGTCCATGTCAGGCAGCACGCTGTTGTATCTCGCCCCGCTAATAAGATGTTAAAACATTGAGCCCGTAGAGCTTTCGGGTCACTGGTTTCCTTGACGAGTGCGTCGATGAAGACGTATGACTCCGTCTTTGAGTGACCGTTTGTGGCTAATCTGCCTATGGCTTTCTTGACAGTGGTGTCTATGAAGTCATGACAGATTTTTGCAAGCCTCCCGAAACTTGTTTCCCCCCAACAGCCAATAGAAACCGCCAAGACGGCCTCGTTGGGCAAGGTATGCTTGGCCGAGATTAAAAGCCTCCGCAAATTCATGGTCGGGGCCCACTATGCCTTCAGACTTCGCAGAGGGCAAATGGTGATCAAATAGTAGAAAGAGCGTGGTTTCGAATGTCAGGCTGAAGAATAGGGGCTGTAAGTCGACTTCACTATCTTCTGGAATGCACGAGATAAGATTGTTCACAGCCTCTCTTATTAGCATGAAGTTATTAAGGCGATTGGTCATGAACTGCGGCCGCAGAAGTTCCCGTGAGTGTCGCCACTGTTTTCCATCTTGGGTGAAAATACCACTTCCCATCAAGGGGTCGAAGGTTGGTGGCCGAAGCCCAAGCCCAAAGTCTTTAATAATCCGTTAGTACGAAGCCAACCACGACGGCAAGGGAGATGTACTGACCACTAAATTGTGTGGATAAAATGGCTTCAAGATTCTTGGGATCAATAGTATCAATTCCCCGAGAGGAAAGGAGACTCTGCTCAAAGGTATTCCCCGACTCGGCTATTACATCAAGAAAAAACCGGAGTATCTGCTGATTGCGCCCGTGGCGAAAAGCTTTCAAAAGCAGGTCGAGACCTAGTGGCCATTTGGCATTCCATTGTTTGGATGGTTCGCAGCCTTTTGAGGCAGCGAAACTTCTTTCGATCTGCCAGTAAAGTCAGCAGACACACCACGACGCTTCTGGCTTGGGGAATATAGAGAAGCCAAAAGGTAAAATAGCTTCTTGCTAGTCAACATACTTGTACTTCACGCCAGATTTTGAAGATCTTGAGAACGAAAATCGAAATCAAAAATCCAGCGAGGAGTTTCGCAGTAAGAGGCAGAGTCGCTATCATGTTGCTTACATGGAATAAATTCCCCCAAAGCAATTTAGAAAAACAATGGTCGCCTGCTGGACCAGGCTTACAGTGTAGAATATAACGAAGAGAAAACGAAATCTGGGGGAGGTGGGCGAGTGCCAAATGACCCCTTTGAGGCTGATGATTAGAAATGTGACCCACAACTACTGTAGACAAAGGCGCAGGTATCTTGCACCTCTTTGTCTTCGTTCCGTAGCTTAGGGTAAGATAAGTTAGCCTTCTCGCGACTAGTGGTAGTGTAAGTGACTGATCTACCGGGATGAATTCCCTAGTTAACTAACTAATTAACTTAAGTAGGAACTTGTGTGAGTCGTTCATCCTGGCCATGTCGGGTGCCGCAAATCAAAAGTGTCGCTTGCCCTAGTTTCACCTGGGCGATGTGCACCTACCCGCATACAAGTCACACGCCGCTTTGTACGGAGGTGTTTAGATGGGTGAGCCCTAGCAAATCCTGACGGTTGTCAGGTGGATGTCGGAGTTTACCCAAATTTGCAAGGTTCGTTGGCTTTATGTAGTTCGCCGAACACCCTATCCCCAGCCCTGCACCCGGAATGCCCTGCGGCCCCTCTATTCTCGACCTAACTACCTTGTACACCCCTGAGCCGCTGACGTACCCCCACGGCTAAACTGCTGTCTCCCGTGTCTCCATATGCTACTTCTGAACCGGCTTTTGATTACTTTCAATCTATCATAGTCTTTTTTCTACGTCCAGTCGTGTTACGCAGCTCGGCTTTCATGTTATAAACGACCGTTAGTGTGAAGACTCGTTCTATAACCTGAGGGTCTTGAAGAGCGTCTAAATCACCGTACACTAAAAATAGCCCTGCGTGGCTTCCTATAATGTTAACAATACCTAGTACCTAGCAGAAAACTTTAAATGCACCCCACAGAAGCTATTAGCATTCTGTAATAGAAATCCTATAAAGCCTAGACCGCGTATGCACGTCTTTATTTAGATACAAGTAGCACTCGACGGAAAAAAATCATCAATAATCACTCTAATAACGCCAAACCTGCGCTTCGGGCTAAGCGCATCTTGGGGTTAATGTAATGCAAATTTGCAAAGCATCCATCAGCTCAGGACGATGTGTATGTAATCCTTTTACAGGCTGATCGACTTTTCGTTTACCCCTTCTAAAGAAAATAGCTTCGGACTAGGCCTGCTATTTACAACCCATGCTTTCAACCCGAATTGTTAAGTCCTAGGAGACTTGGTTTCAAAGCCAGGAGTTAGAAACCTCTCTTTGTAGTTATACGACATCGCTCGGAGGATAATATGAAGACTGGGAAGGTACATTAATAATGAAAGATAGTAAGGCATAGATTCCAGTAACCAATTAGGTTATTTTGATGCGGCGGGTAGTAAAGGATGTCGCATTGCAGCGAAAGCACTTTTAGGAGTGCAAAACTCCTCTCCTTTTGATGTTGCCGGCGACTTATTGACTTTTTGGACAAGCAAATTCAACCTTGTGGTCCTTTTTGATCAGCTTTGCCGAGAGACGGACCTTTTAGCCCGATACCCTCGATACCCCCCTAGGAGAGGGGAAATTGATGCACCCTCCATCAGGTGCCTGCCTATGGAGTGCATTTGAGATACTCCGGAGGAATGCACCTAGCTGTACCACCGCCAGGAGTAAAGTCACTACCAGTACAGCAGGTCTGCACGCACACGCTGTGCTCAGCGCAGTCCTGGTTAGACTGGCAAGTGTTTGGGACCTGGCTGCACGATGCGCAGAAAACGCAGTACCCAGAATTTGGATCATCCTCCCCGCTGTGGCAGGCAGTCCCACCACTACAGCCACAGCTCCCGCAGCCTACAACACCGCACTGTGAGTGAGCGCCGCAATTGCTGACAGGGCGACACTTCCCATTCTGACAGCTCTCGGTACCCTGGGCACACTGAAATTGGTGTTAGAGGCTAGGCAGGTAACAATGGATTTGGCCTGCTTACTATATTACCACACGAGCCACAATTATTATTATCGGTTTGGATATTAGGGCAGGCTCCATTGCATAGCAGATCTCCACTGGGACATCGGCAATTACCCGAAGAGCATGATGAGCCTGCTGGACACTTGGATTAAAGTGAGCTTAATCCAGCATCAATATAGCGGGTAAGTTCGTGGAATACATGACCTACCGCTTTGGCACACTGTCCGCAATTCTTCACGTCTGTGTTCGTATCTTTACACGCTCCACTGCACAATTGCTGGGATGGAGAGGTTTTGAAGGGCCCACAAACATAGCATGGCCCCTGTCCGCGCAAAGCCGGGGCCAGACATGTGATAGCTGGGTTGGGATAGTTTTTCAAGCACCAGCTAGTGCACTGAGCCAACTTGATGACAGGACTTTGTGGATGAGGCCATACGGGGCAGACTAGACGTGCGTTAAGACATACCATATCTATGGGAAGAGCTAAGAGTCTGCTTTGGCCGCGGGCTTACCTAGCGCTAGGATAACAAGAAGCGTTTTTCTGGTCATTGCGAAATCTCCCTCGGGGATATGTAAGTGTAAAATAGGAAACTCTCAGCACCTGTCGGTTATTTATCGTTTCAAAGGAGGACGGCGCTGTTGCATTTTAGGGCACTCGCATATATGTGATGGATATCTGACGCTATCATCTTGGTCAACTGACTAGTGCTACAATGCATGATTTCCTGGACAGAGCGAAAGTCAATTCTTCCATGATCCTCCTACTAGCCTCCTTCTCGGTTCACCTCATTCAGCCTAGAGAGTCGTGTTCTGCCCTCTAGATGGATATGTGCCATTGGATGTATATACAAGGAACTAACATTAATCTGGTTTGGCTGGCTTACCCCACCCCTTGGCATCGTCAACCGTTCGGTCTGGAGCAGGCGGCGTATCTTGGCATGAACTACGGGTAAAGATCAGGCGGCTCCGAGGCCATCTTTCGGGGGGGGAAAAGGCCCCACCTTAGACCCAGTGAACTAGCTGAGTCCCGAAGCAACAGAGCTCACACGCAACCTTGGGTTGAACCAATTGGACACCCGTGAACCGATCCGTTGGTTGTACTCGGAGTCAACATTCAGGTTTCAGTATCGGTAAACCCTCCGACATTCCGACACGGGTACCACCAATGATAGGCCGGGTACATGAAATCACAATCCTTCCTCCCGCGGCAAGGTTACTTCAACTTGTCAAAGGTTTCGTCTTGGGGCCTCATTCTACGGTGTTGAAGGCGGCCATTCTGAATGGCAGTCCATGTGCCAAGGATGCGCCTTAGGGCTCATGTTGCTCCGGCAACTAAAAAAGGCCAATTTCTTCGCCCGGCATTGGATGGACTTTTTGCCTCGCAAGACTTTTGGCTGTTCCATAATCAAAGAAACTGTCGGGGAAATGGAAGGTATCGCATGAAGTGGAAGCGCAAGGTTTCACTCCAAATCTGCCCACAACCGTGCAATCCAAGGTTCTTCGTGACTAGAGTTCAAAGTTTGGAAATGGCCGACGAAGTCGATGCGATCGTTATTGTGACTAGGCTCAACTTGGCTACTAGTCATCTGGTCAAGATGAAATTCGGGGTCTGAATAGTGCAGATCCCGAAGAGTAGGACAAAGACGGTGTGTTGACTCAACCAAGGATGACGATGCCTGGTCACCAAATATGGTCCAGACTTACTGCGTGCATGACCTGGCCCCATTCATTGACGGTCCAGTCTTTCCGGGGACTCCATTCAAGCGGAGGGCAGGGAGAGTGACCTGCAGGTGAAGTCATTGGCATTTTATCCGACCTTCGGGCGCTTCTAATTACTACATAATAGTCAGTAATCATTTGATCAGGGCTTTATCTCTGCATATGCGCCCTTGAGAGTTAATACGCCTATTTTTGGAATGTGGTAATTATAAGGCTGGAGGATTGCCTTTTGTGGGCTATCAGAAAAGAAGAGAGTCCAAACAACATGTCTCAATCTACTTCCCATTGATAGCCCTAAGGCAACTCCTCTTGCTATCTCAATCGTTTCTTTTCATATCTTAAAACACCTGTGGTGCCAACTTTACTCTTAAATTGCTTTATACTCCCAGCGGAGGCCAGTCAGGTGACTGTCCTCGGCCCCGGCCGCTTATCTTATCGGCTATCTTATCGGACCCCGAGGCTCGGCGAGCGCCGACAAGCGTCCGCCTTGCGATGAATTGGCTCCTATACCCTACAGGCCAGGTCTTTCTCTCTCGTACTCCCTTCCCTTCTGTCGGCACATGCGCAGAAGGAGAAACGTACCATAGTGGGAGCCACGTGAAGCTCCAAAATACTACAGCATGGCGCCCATTCTCACCTCCAACCCGTCCGTCACCCTCATCCCCGAGCCTCTCACACCAGTAAACTTCGCGCCATTCGGGACAGCCATCTGCTCGCCACTGCCCCGCGAGATCAGTATCGCCCCTCAACCTTCCTCGCTGCCCCCACACGACCCAACACCGGTCCTAGCAAACCAAAACTCGGCGTTGAAATACAGCCCCGTCTCCCCACTTATCGACCGTTACACTCATAGCTGTCCAAGTGGGAAACCAGCCTCCGCAAGGATGACAATGTTCTGCTGCTTCCCGCGCAAATTGCGTACGATTACCGCCAGACAGCAGCCCGACAAGGAAGTGTTCGATGTGCGCATTCTCGAGCGCCACCCCTTCACCAACCAGACCTTTATTCCTACCGATCTGTCCAGCCATTCGAAGGTTGGGGATGGTGAAGAAGAGCCGATTTTCGTGGTGGTTGTTGCACCGACACTGAAGGGCGAGGTTGCAACTGCGAAGAATGATGCTGGCGAGACCGTGGCAATCCATGACCCGCCTGATCTACGGAATGTCAAGGCTTTTATCGCGCGGGGTGGGCAAGCTGTTACATATGGTGTTGGCACGTGGCATGCGCCAATGGTTGTTCTGGGCCCTCGACGGGTTGACTTCGTTGTTGTGCAACATGTGAATGGCGTGGATGATGAGGATTGCCAGGAAGCCGCCTTTGGAGAGGGCGTCGTTGTTGACCTGGGTGGTAAGGGTCAGTATGGTCGACAGGAAAAGAATCCTGCCCGACTCTGGGCGGCAAAGCTTTGATTTACGGTGCAAGGACAGACTTTGCTGAACAAGAAGCCTATTTATTAGTCCATCTGATGCACTCACGGCTGGTTGTGAGTGCTTGAGGCTGTGTTGTTCTCTATTTCATACTCCGCCCGAACCACTATCAATCTACATTTACCAATATCGAAGTGTTCGATCCCGTAATTTCCTCAGGGATGCGTACATACAATTCGAAGCCGAGGTTCTTCTGCTATCCACGTTGACTTGATCTATCACGAAACTATCGCATTTGAACCAGAAGAAATTATACCGGTACTGCGGCAGTGGTGGAAAAGCATTCCCACGAAGAGTGGTATCAGAAGCGCAGCAAACACACTCTGCAATGACCACAATATCAAGGAACTAATAAAATAAACGCCAACGTAAGCGAGGAGTATTTGTATTTCTCTGCGTTCCCTCTCCAATGTGACGCATGACAGGACGATGGACTGGAAGAGCGAAGGCCCAATGGTCAGATAATGCAGTGAGCCGCTGAGGGGTGTGTGAAGAAGGGGACAGCTGATCGGACCAACCTAATGGGGCCCGTCTGCACGAGAGCTCTATACGTAATAGCGGACACCCCCTCCATAGTTTCTTCCTTCTTCACATTCGTTGTTTCGTTGAATGCACCTGTTTCTTTTCAGCTGGCTCATTCGTAACATCCAAGAGCTAACAAACATTCGGGGTCCACAACCAAAAACCTACACGCCTTTCAAAGCGTGCGGCTGACGGAACCCGTCAAACCCATACACATCACACATCCTGCACGTAATTGCCTAAGTCGATCTTTTGGCTGATTGGTATTTGTCTAGCAGAAGCAGAGGAAGTATCGCAGTCTGACGGAGTGAAGGCCACGTGACTGATTCCTTGACCAATTACGGAAGAAAAGTAACTAAGGTAACTAACTGAAATAACTTAAGTTAACTATCCAGCGTGCACATGGAAGGTGGCTCTGGTGGTGAGACTTATTCAGCCCGCCCGATCGTTTCCGCGGCAACGCAATGGCGGTATATGTATCGACCCACTAAGGAACGCACAAAACGTATTCGATGGAGCAGTGCATACTTTCAACAGAAACGGTCGAGGGTGTCGGATATCCCTCATTGAGCCCCGGTGTAAAGATAGGACGGTATGACGCATTTCCTGGGTGTGGTTGAAGGACACAGCTCGACTAGGGTCTGACAACAGTGGCGAGGTTCGTCCGGAGAGTGACACATGGTGAGCGATGTCAGGTAAGAAGAAGCACCCGGTCGACCCCAGGTGTAGATGTGTTTGCGGATGACGCTATTCCAAACTGTTGCTGAGTGGCACGTAGTTTCTCTGGGTCTCAGACGGGGATAAAAGCCAGTCCATCTGACTGTCTTCGTTACCACTAGAAGAGGCTCAATTCTTTCTGTATTGTCTGTGGGTAGGTAAACTCTCTGGGGAGGCGGTACTCTGCCGCATTCAAGGCACAAGTCTTGGTTTGTGGGCGATGAATTATCTTATCTTTCAAATGATTTTTGATACCATCAAAGAAGTGGAGTGCTCGACGAGAGTGAGAAAACAACCTTCCCAGAATTGAAGGAGGGGTATGATAGGCAAAATCGATCAAGGGATGCCGGCGTGGATCGCACGAGAGGTCGCACTTCCCACTTGGGTGCTTGGAATTTTGGATGGAAACACTATAACGTGGCGAGGTCAAAATTAATCCTTGGCATTGAACGAGAAATTGAAACACCACCACTTTTGACAAGCCGATTATACTCTGAATATTTGAGAAGCGAAATGAAGCCATGTGATCTCCCACTGATGAACATAAGGGACTGGGTATACACAAGGCCACTTTACACACACCGCACGCTTCGCAAAACAGGTAGGGAAACGAAAATTGAATAGGAAGTTGGGTCGTTCCGACTGAAATATCACCGAATGTGACTTGAAGCAGTTAGCCCAACCTTGACTCCATGTCGGGATGTACAATTAAGTCCCAGCTTTTCCTGCCATGGCTGCACATTTCTGTTCTCCACACAGTCGTAGTATTGCAATAGTCTAATGGTCGAATACTTGGCTAGGCATAGTGAAAGGTGTTCTGCAAGCCAGTGGTCATTATGCTTGTCGCTCAAGGCACGAAGAGATGCTATAAACTTACGCCCTAAACATGTCCGAGGCCCTGCATGAAATGGCATGTAAGCCGCCTTCGGCTTGATTTCTATCCATCGTTCGGGTCGAAATTCATCAACCTCGTCCCCGAAAAACTCCTGGAGTCTATGCATTGCATAAACAGAATACCCCACGGACGCACCGCGTGGTACGCTCAGTGGTGATTTTCCGTCGTCTCCACCTCCATGAGGGAGGAATGTATCGACCGCAGCGGTGCGCTGATTGGCCGCAACTGGTGGATAAAGTCGTAGTACTGTTGAGATTGAGAGCAACGTAAGTATTCCTTCTCAAGATACATAAGGAACTCAGGCTTTACCTTCTTGAAGGACCATACGGAGGTAGGAAAACTTGGAAAGATCTTCAAGCGCCGGGCGCTGCCCTTGCAGAGCACCGATTTCTGCACGGATTTTGCCGCACACATCGGGCCTCTGACAAAGCACATACCATGTCGAAGCGAGAAAGGAAGCCGTGCTATCCTTGCCGGCAGCCAGGAGATTCAGCATGTCATATTTGATATCTTCCTTCGATCTCCCTTCGCTGAGAAGCTTGTTGAAGACAATTTGCGCTTTATCGTCACTGACCTCGGACAGTCCAGACTGTTCGGTGAAGGTTTCACTTGCATGCTCGATAGTTTCATCTATGAATGAATGAACAGTTTGAAGGGACTCGTCCAATTTTTTATCACCGAGAAGAAATTTCCAACAAAGTCCCGACAAACTGAAATCATCAATTCCGGACAGGGCACGCTGGGAGTAATCAAATGCCGCGGCAAATTTCTGTCCCCGCATGCCGCGGGGCTCGGAATCAAAAAGAGATGGAAGTACGTTTGTCGATGTGCCCAGAAATAGTTCGGTCGAAATATCAAGGGCCATGGCATTGAAAACGCGTTGGAGGTCAACCGTATTGCCATCTGCCGGTACGGATCGCATCAGGGTTTGAAGATGGACTTCAAAAACATCAACTTCAGCTGCTGTAACACGAGACAAAATGGGTCGCAGTATACTGCGGTGGCGCTAGAAGGTCATCCAGACTTGATTAGGGCCATCCCAGATAACATGAGAATTTCAAACGAACCTTCCAAACTGCACCATCAGAGTTGAAAATCCCATTACCAAAGAGCGGCTGCAACCCTTTCTTGCGTGTAGGTCCAAGGCCAAAGTCCTGAAATCGAGTTCGATCGGTAAGCATTGTGTGCAAATTAACTGGGTCGATGGTGTAGACGGCCCGTCGACCAAGGCTCAGATAGGTGACTGTTCCCCCAAAACACGAAATCAACTCTGCAGTAAACTCGAGAAACCTATGATTGTAAATTGCTCCGGCTAGGTCAAGCAAGATATCGAGGCCAAGTATTGGATCTTTGTGAGGGTACCATAGGGGCTTGTTGTATGCGTGAAGTGCCTGGGAGCGTGTGATCTTGAACCAGAGTTTTGGTTTTGCGACCAAGATAAAGATCACAAATGAGATGAAGAAAATAACGAAGGAGCTCGGCTGATTTAGTAACCAAGGAATTTTGTAATTAAGGTCAACAGAGGAAATGGGGGGACGGAGAGCCACAGACGCGCTCCAAGATGACGAAGAATTATCCATAATGACGTTAATTGTGTTAATTGTTCGGCTGCGTTGGTACTAGGGACGATAATTGCTCATTTATAAACCGATGCATTTTCCTCTCTATGTATTTTCCAGGTCCACTCTCTACCCTCTATGTCTGTTGGTTGTCACATTCACACTGATGACACAGAGCCGGAATTCGCGTACTGTTGCGTTCTGTGCCAATCCTGTCACAACGGACGTGCAAGAATTGACACAACAGGTACATGGCTTTGTTTGTAGTGTAACTCCATCTTCTTTCTCTTCTGAGTTGATTCTTGGAAAATGAGTCGCCACGACTTAGCCCAGCACCAACTGACTCGGAGTGCGGAGAGGTGTCATTGTGTCAATCTAGGCATATTTATCCTAAGGAAAGGGCAAAATGGTACGATATCTGTTCTTCTGCCTCAATCGTGACAAATGAAGATCCAGTTTTATTAAAAGGGGTCCGTAGTGTGCCGCTCGCCTCAAACGGCCCCACATGTCAACGGCGGGGTGGTGGATAGAAAGAAGAACACTACAAGAAATTAATGATAAGGAACCCAGAGCTCTGGCTCTATTCAACATCTTTCAGGGAACAATTCCACGATGCCCCAAGATTTTCTAGTTGTTATTGTGAACACATGCACACATTTAAGTCAAAGAGGTAAAAAGACATTCGAACAAGTGTTTCAATGAAATCTAATTTCTTTTCTTACTACAGGAACAAGTTCTCGTCTATATGGTCAACGGAGAGAATATTACCTTTTTCGTCGACAGAGACATGCGTCGATGCGGATAAACCACAGTAGACCTGTACGGAGGTATGTAAGACTATTCAGAATTTTGATATATTGATATTAACAAAATTCCATGTCTTTTCAGAGTGACGATTGATCGTGTTCTATATCACGGTATCCACCTCTTCAGAGTCCGACCGGCTGGTCGCTGGAACGTTTAAAAGATTAATGATCTACTATAGTCCAGATTATGGATCGATCATGACATAAATGGCATAACAAAATTCTGGTTCGTCTAATAAGTTTCGAGAGGACAAGGAAAATGACGCAATGAAAACATGGTCAGAACCAGTAAGAAGTCAAGTAGAAAAGAGCGGGAGAAACGTAGTGAGCTGGTAAGCTGAAGTTTGACCGGAAAGTCGCCGTAAACTCAGAATTTTCGTTCTGCCATTATAAGATACCTAGTCTCCTCTCTTGTTCGAGACTCTGAAAATATGCATACTAATCTGGGCGCACTGGGTGAAGCTCAGCGGATGGCTGGTGACGTACCGTCTGGTGCGATAGGCATTTTAGGCAATGGAAGATGTATTGGGTTAGCCGTTTGGCGAGACCCCGCGTGTAGTAAGATGCGCGAATTTGGTAGTATACGCGATGGAAACCAAGATGGTTCTGGGCATTGTGGTATTCTTCGAGGATATCTCGCTCCATCGTGCGTGGAATACACAATCTCTCCTAATTTGGTGTGGAGGGGTCCTGGAACCATAGCAAATTGTCACGACGTATGAATTAGGCCGCGAGCTTGCCGTCGTCCACGTTCTTCCAGATACGGGCCAGAACTGGGTCAACATGGTAGCCGCGTTCCAGCGCCGCCATGTATTCTAGGTCGATTTCGAAAAAGCAGGTCACGAAACAAGGCACTTCGTCCGCGCATGCGTCGATGACTTCGTCGAGAACATTGGAGTCTGGTTCGGGAGTCTGTGTGGATGGCAGACGTGAAAGGCCATCCGCGACTAGGTTGGATTTCCCTGGGCGGTGCCGGATATCCAACACGAACTGACTGAGGTATTGTGATACAGGAATTAATCGACGGTTGAGCTTGTCTGTCGCCGATGATCCTAAGTGTGTGTGGTTCGCGATACCACGAGTGGATGCGTGGTCAGTGTAGATCACGACGGGTTTTTCAGGGTTTTCAATCAAATGGCGGATTTAACACAGCCCAGACGAGGCAGGCAACCTCCTGTTCCGATGAGTAGTATCTTCATTCGGCCGGAAACGCCAGTTTACTGAGATAAAGGATTGGTTTCACGCGTGCGCGGGTGGTGGCGCCTGAGTTTAGTAATATATGCTGTCTCCTTGCTAGAAAATTCATACTTTATGACGCGTAGCTTGAATCATCTCCATGTTCTGCTCTATTAAGCAATTCAGAAGGAACATGATACCATCTATACAACTGCTGCACGATCATCATCACACCTTAGGTCCTGCTTTCTAGTCTTGACCAAGGGTTGGTCAAGCGAGAAAGATTCGATTCCAAGGCTCCCTATGAGTGCGACAGCACAAGCTACTGCACAGAAAATCCAAACATGTCGCAAAGCACCCATCTCTGAATTGGTGAGTGCTGAAACCTCCCTTATGGACGATTGTTTTCCTCGGTCCCTTTTGCAAAATGGAATATTGACAATGGCAGATTCATCAGGTACCCAGCTACGAGATTTGACGTTCTGGCCCTCAAGTCCACTGGAAAAAATCGCACTGCCTATCGAGATTCCGAGTGCCTGATATATTTTTTAATGTTAGCTAAAATTTGCGGGCAGCAGATGAACGCCCTAAGGGGAATATCTTACTGCACCAAATGCACGCCAAAAGGAGTAGAGGGTCACGGCCAACGGAACTCTCTCAGCGTCTACAGCTGCCTGGACCGCAAATCCCATGGCTCCAAATAGAAGGCCCATGCCTACTCCAAGTGGAAGATTCAGGATGATCCACATACCGTTCGGGGTTGATGGTGTGAGCAGGTACAAAATTGCCGAGCCAATGGTCGAGACCGTCCACCCCATCCATATTGCCCATCGGTACTTGCCAGTCCAGCTTACCAGATAGCCAATCAGAATGGATGCAGGGACCAAGGTCAGCGTTTCAGGTAACACCGCCAGCCCGCTGTCGAGACTGCTGAAGCCTTTGATGGTTTCGTAGTAGACGGGCAAATAGTACATTATACACCAGAGAACCATTCCGTGGAGCATAGTGCAAAAGAAAGTGAGGATACACGATCGATTTCGGAACTGTGTAAGCGGTATAAGAGGATTGCGGGCCCACCTCAGTTCATAAACAAGGAAAACGCATAGGCCCAAGACACCCACTAGTAGTGGTACGAGAGTGTGGGGATCTTGCCAAGAATATACGACAGATGCCTGGTTGGCGTTGACTTAGCAAGTGTGGTCTATGATGGGCAAGAGGGGTAAAACCTACTTGCATGATCGGTACCAGAATCGCAACCAAGGAAAATGCTAAAAGCAGGAAGCCAGTAAAGTCCACCTGTTGGAGGTTTGACAGGCAGTGCTGGGCGCTAGGTAAAGGTGGAAGCGCGAACCAACAGGCGATGGTTGCACCAGTGCTGGAAATTACATTGATTGCAAAAACCCACCGCTAGAGGCTAAGGTCAGCTAGACTCCTTAGGCATATTACGGGGTAGGTAGGAGCAGTGAGTATCTTACCCAGGATCCCTCGGTAGTCAGGATACCGGACAGGACTGGCCCTATGGTGGTGCCGATGGCCCACGGTACACTAATAAAGGCGAACCATTTGCCGCGGACACGGAGCGGAACAATGTCTGTTACAATTATGTCTGTAAGGGCAGAGATTCCCCCGGATCCAAAGCCCTGCAATGTACGGCCTGCGAGGATCGTGCTGTAATTTGGGGCGACGGCCCCCATGAGTGACCCGACGGTGAGGAGCAGGGCACTGCCTGTCAACACCACCTTGCGACCAAAGACGTCTGCCAGGGTTGCACAACACGGTTGGATGATAGTGGAAGTTAGAGCAGTTGACGTCCCCAGCCAGAAAGTTTTGGGGCTGGACAAGTGAAAGTCCTGGGCGATGGTCTGAACTCCTTTAGCCTAGAATCGGAATTCTGTTTGCGAGTAGCACAGGCTCCTTACCTGAAGGGCAATAGACAGCGATGTTGTCGATAGTGCTGCCGCCAGTGCCAGTGCTGACATGGAGAAGAATGCGAAATAGAAGCGGCTGGGGAGCTGCGGGCTCACCTTTGCTTCCAGCTCGGCAGAATACTGTCTTTCTGTCGCCATAGCCGCGAAAGAAATAATATTAAGAACTTCAGATGGACAGATATTAGAAAGAGCGATTCGGGTTGTCTTATATTTTATTTTTATTCAAGCAAGAATATAATAAGGAATTCGGAAAATGGGAGGATAATATTTCCTGTACTGGAAAGCTAGACGACTCAAATGGGACACAGAGACGGTGTCTCATCTGCGACAAATATGTCACGAATTTTCCCCACCTTTCTCCGAAAGTATGGATATCTGCTCATCTAGACAGGCCACGCTTGTGCAATACCCGGTGGGAAACAGCTTTGAAAGGACTTGGAGACACACCCAAGGGAGACGAAATCAGACTGGAGGATGTCTCCATCGCAAAGTCAATATTGATTGACCAGCAACATGTTGCAACATTCATTTACAACGATCACTGCCTGGGTATTCGCTCTACTGCTTGGCTGTATGATATTTACCAAGACTCTTGCTGAGATCCGTCATGCTGTCAACATACGAAGCTATACGCGAAAGTCCCCTATCGTAAAGATCATCCCTTACACGGTTCCGTGGCTCGGCCATCACATCCCCTTTTTCATAAAACCTCAGCAATGGCTGAGTCATCCCAGGTGAGTTGCTCATTAATCTAATACACGAGCAGTAGATTGATTGCAAGTGAAACCGACAGGTGAATCGCGGCATATTTGCTGCTGTTTTTGGAGGTAGGAAATATCACCTAGTCTGGCTGAGGAGGTGCTCGGGGTGCAGGCCCCTGTGAACAACCATGATATGGTCGCTATTTCATGCACAATGTTTGGGACGACAAGGGAGCCATCAGTGCCATGGTTTCTCATGGATCTTTGTACCTGGATGCCCCTGTCTGAATTGAAACCTGCCGCTCGTGGCCAAGTGAAAGGCACAATGGCAGATCTCCACAATGGCCCAGTCGCCACTACTCTAGGAGAAGCGGGTGCAGGGGCCACCGCTGTTCGATGGGGTAATTTGGACAACGTCAGTAGCGTCATAAACAACCGCATCCGGCTCTGGGAGAAGGCCCTTGGCGAGTTCTCCATGATAGAGGCATGCATCGCATCTCACGCTTTTCCACTACGGGTGGCATAGACCAACGCCCATGTAGCTGTGTTTTGGCTACTGTTCAATCTCTATCAAGACTCGTATCTACCAGCGGCCATTCGCGAAGAAATGTCACCCTTTGTTCATGTCCGGGAATTCCCGAGCTCCGCTGGACTGTCCACGATCAAATTCAATTAGAGAGATATTCTGTTACGAACACCACTGTTCCAGTTAGGGTTTTTGAAAAAATGAGGATCTATACCCAGATTAACAGCTTCAGGAACGTAAAGCCAGACCTCGCAGTCACTGGATATTATATCGACCAATATACTCGTGAAGCTAGCTCCGTATCCGCGCAGGAACAGGGATTTCCGGTATCACAATCGGAGAGAATATATAAGCTCGAAAGAAGGAATATGAATCTGTTCCATTGGGTCTTCACCAATCTGACTCGAGGTATTGGCATTAGCCTGAAACCTACGACATTCGGCGATTTATTACCCAACAGCAGGACCGCAGATAGACAAATTTGTTAGACGGCAAGGGTGCGGTGGATTTTGCACGCGTCAGTCCCTGGGGTTCACCTGTAGATGTATGCAAGCGGCAGAAACTTTCATATTATGAAGTGCTCGAGGCTGCAGCGACTATCGTGGTCTTCTGGGACATACAGCCAGCTGGCGCTGCCGAATGGTCCCATCCAGGGCTCGCTAGAGCTGGAGGTACAGCACTTCCAAAGGGAGATGTGAGAATTAGGTTGTGTCGAAGAGTACCTTAGCTAAACATCTATGTTGAGAGGTCATTTTTGACGCAGGTCTTTGAATAGAGACGCATATTCCTCTGAAACACCCCATAGCGGGTTATTACACAAATTCTGAAAAATACCACACATGTTCAGGCCAAGTAGGGTGAAGAAATCCACAACAAACAGATGGCATCGGATAGGCCTCAAATATAGGAGAAGTACAAATGATGAGTACTATGTCCACCTTCCATCACTCAGCCCGCTGATGATTCCAGATATCATCCAGCTCAAAATTCCAGTCCAGCTTTGAGAGCTCTGACTGGATTTGACTTCCTGTTGCTGTGGATATGTGCGATTGGGTGCAGGAAGTCGAGCCGCCGCCATCCACATCAGTACCGTCATTTGGTGAAAAGAAATGGGCACATTGTGAAACATCCGAATGCCTATAACTGGGAGTTAGTAGGTTTTTCTCATTCAGATCGCAGATCTATTACCTAGAAATAGCATTCGGTGTGGCTTGAAGAACATTTAACTTGAACATTGCTGCTTTGTAGCCTGCTCGATACCCATCTTGCCAGTACTTGACATTGCGAGCCATCTCCGTCTCACCATCCTCCGAAGTAGCCCCAATATCGAAGTCATCAAATAATGGCTCTGGTGAATCTGACTGCGCGATGGTCATTTCCTTTCTTAACAGTTCCTGAAACGAGGCTTCGCTCGTCGCGCTGCCTACCATCTCCCAAGGCCTGGGAGAAGATATTTTACTGGCTGCAGGCTTTTTGTGATCAGCGGAGGGGTACCTGTTAGGGCGAACAATCCCATTCCACAGAACGTCTCCTTGTGCTATCATTTCATCCAACTTCCGCCATGGTGATGATGTGACATGTATCCATTTCGGGTGATATTGTTGTGTATCGAAAAGTCCAAGATTACGAGTCTGGAAGCGCTTCCCCGCGAAGTCAACAAAAGCGAAATAACTGGAGACGTTGTCATCCTCGGAGTGTCGGACAATGGTACAATTTGCTTGCTCCCGTGCCACCAGTCTTTGGATTTCCAGGGGGTCAAAATGCGCGCGCGTTCCACGGTAGATGAGAATGAGGTATCGAGCGCTGTATCGACGATCGGCAGTTGGCCGGATGCTGGGCCTTGTCTTGGTGGAGGACCTCATCGTTGCACCAATCGTCTTTTCCGCTTCCCAATGGGTCACCTAGCCTTATCGTGTACACGCGGCCCAAATTTTGCGACAAAAGGTGACAGGATCGGACATTGAACACACAGAGGATGAGAATATATTGATCTTTAATAAACCTACTTCTTATGCTATAGGCGCAGTCTTGATTCCTCTGCAGTGCATGACTTACGTCGATTTGAGTCAACCGTCACGACGCAGGTCATGCACAGCCACGCAAGTTTCAGGTGCGGGCGCCAAATACCTCCATAGCTAGATAGAATAAATGCACGAGTCAGTCAATTGCACTGCCAAGCCAATTTGAACCAACTCTGGGGCCGTAGGCGTCCATTTTTTGGGGGCCATGGGGGCCAGCGGTAGTGATGGCAACTAGAATGATGGCAAATGTGTTGTCATTGGTTCGAAACCGCCCCCAAGCATGCTTGCTGAGCATCCTTCCATCCTTTGCGGGTGGTATTGTTGGACTCCAAATGATCAAAATCAGCTGCAAGTGGGACAGTGAGGCAAATACGCTGCACGCACCCTACTCTAATTGCATAGCATGGGTTCAACGGAGGAAATAGCGCTGAGAACTACCAACACACACTGTCCCTGGTATATTTTTAGATTGGATGGGACTTGATTCCTAATTCAGGAAATATGCACCACCAAAGACCCACTAAGCTTCATCCTGGAAGGCTTTATCATTCCCTAGAGATAAGCGCATAGGAGGCCCATCAGGCACCATCTTTCGCACCCCAAGCTGATTCTTGACACCCAAAACCCTCTCTCCGATTCCGACTCTTTGCCAAAGGAATTCGATACGCTGTTGCGCCACCATTTCGATCCTGAATGGTTGTCGACGCCAAAGGTACTGCCAAATGCGGTAACATTTTTCACGGTACTTATCTACCACTTCACCGTTGTTGCTCTTCCAGATCCCATACCAGCGCCAAATAGTTGTTTCAGAGTGGACCCCGATTGTATCGACGCTTTTGACTTCAAAGCCAGCACCTTCTACAAGGTTGATATACATCCCCAGTGGCACCGACGCATGTGCCCCAGAGAACATGTACTTATTCATAAATAGTCCGCAGGTCAAATGTTCAAATTGCCAGCGCTTGCGCAGACCACCGATATGAAGGAAAAACACTCCTTGGTCTTCCAGAAGATCTGCTTCAAAAACGCTGGCAACCTGCGAATACCCATGTATTCAGCCATTTCAAGACAGACGATTTTGTCGAAGTGAGACGACGGCGAAATGTCGCGATAATGGAGACAGCGTATGCGGCTCTGGTTTGACGATATTCCCTGGTTCTCGAGGCGCTGTGAGGCTGCAGAAGCACCATTGCAACTCAAAGTCACGCGGGTGACTTTCGCCTCGTGTTCCACATTTGCGAACGCACTGAAAGTTCCCCAGCTGCATCCCGGTATCTATCACGGTATCCCGTGCACGTAGCCCGATCTTTTGACAAACGACGGTCATTTTGTTGTTCTGAAGCTCTTCAATTGACTCCGCTCGATGTGAATGAGAGATTATTCCGGAGAAGAATGTCATCGAATCCCCCAGGCTGAAGTAATAGAAGTCATTCCCGCGGCCATGGACTTCGCGAATCTGTTTCTGATCAGAAGCCATTAAATATGCTGACCACGCTAGTATGAACTCTGCTCAACAGTCAATTTGAAAGCAACATAGAACATACCGCGGCTTTTGGTTTGCAACAGAACATCTGGGACCATGGTAAAGAGCAAGTGCTTGAATAATTCGGGGGTAAATGCAAAGGTTGCCCGTCATGTCGTCGCTCAAAGGCTTCGTGACAATAGATTTTGAAGTCCACCAGCTCTTGAAACACATTTCGGTGAATTGAACCCTTGGAACCTTTTAATGAGCTCGATATCTCTCGCGGTTATTAGCAATTTTAAAATCCAACTAACTTTCAACAGGCTATTTGGTTCGATCAAGTGCTTCTGTTGGGTCGGAATTCTTGAGGCAATGGTCCAAAAGAGAACCAAGGTTGAAAAGAAGGCCACATGCAAATCCAAAAGCCATGCATAGGCCTCCTGCAAAGACAAGCGTCAATACCATAGGGATGCCAACGACGGGGAGGAGCAAAGGGTCCTAGCTAAACTGTTCAACCCTGGCCCATCCACCATTTAAGCCGCATCGGGTACGGTGGACTATTTATTATAATGTTGTTAGCTGGGCTTCCTCGCGCGCGGAAATTCAATTGAAATTGAAATTTTGACAGGGCCATTGGCAATTCTGAACTGCTGGTGTTCTTTAGACATACTCCGCGAAATAGGAGATTGAAATTACGATGGAAACGGGCGAAACGCAAGTAGATTTTCATCTTGTATTCATGTAAGGTCTTTATCCGGCAATATAGGGAATTCGTAATCAGACCCCCCTCACCTCCGTAGTCCGACCCCCCTTGCCTGATAAAATCTGGCTTTTACTATTTCTGCCGAATAAATCCTACCTATAACTGAGTCCTAGATCTACTTACATATTCATACCGTGCAACAAGGAAACATTGATAGACGATTTGTATCAGCATTCGAAACAATATGGAAAGAATATAGAGAGAAGCAAGAGAGTCAAATCAAACCAGGAGTCCACCGTAGGCGTTACCAAAATAGGATGCATTTGTTAGAGAAGTCAATGCACGTTCACATTCCAATTCCGCCAAGTACAAGCCGCCGCAAAGTTCAATGACGAAACTATACCACCAGGGATCCTCCCGTGTGAATCGCAATGCTGTAGTAAAGTCCCCGTAGTCAGGATACCAGCCTGCCGATTCCCAGTCCAGGAAGCCTGTTATCCGCCCGCCCTCAACCATGATGTTATGCGGTTTTAGATACCCATGGGTAAAAACAATGCTATGCGATAATTTTCGCATACCTCTGGCCAGACCAAGAGCATCTTTATATGCTACCTCAGACGGAAAGCCGCCAGACCAAGAAGGTTGGATGAGATAGTCGTTGAACTCTTCCTCGCATTCAAAGGGGCCAGCGTAGTGGTTGGGAACGCGAACGCTCCTAATTGCAATGCCCAACAGAGAGCGTATTCTGTTCCCGCCCCACGGATTTGACCATCCACGAATCACCTCCAAGTAGACTTTGAGTTCTTGTAAAACCGACTTTTGATCCTCGTTACTCAGTTTCTCGTATGCTTGCCCCAGCTCTTGGCCTGGCACGCGAGTCATAGGAATCGAGACGGGCACGTGTGGTGTATCAGGATGTTCCCCGTAACAAATAACTCGAGGGACCGGAAAGCCAGCTCTTCGTGCGACTTGCATGGCCAGAACTTCTTCTAATCGGGTGCCATCAGACCATTTCAAGATCAGTCCAAACGGAAGTTGGGCAATTTGATTATCGTATGTGATCCCGACCCGGCCGCAGTAAGACCTAGAAAAGCGGCGCAGGTATTTGTGCAGGAAACCCCAGAGTCGGCGGAGTCGGGGGGATATTGGTAGAGGCGTTGGTGGGATTTGTTCATTCGAGATTGGTCGGACGTCATTGTCCGACCAGGTGAATTCTGGCATGAAACAGCGAGGTATAGGCCATAGTTCCATGATGGGGTGCTAAAAGGACATAGAGGACTGGATACGAGCAGGAAGCGAGTGAGGTAAGGCGAAGGAGTAGGTCGACAGAGACTGCTATGACAGCAACCGGTGATTGGTTCATTACCTCTACGTCCCGGGATGCATTTCTCACTCCCAGGGTCTACTCGAACCACTCCTGGCAGCGTCTACTGTTCGTGGGACTATGTTATAGCCCCTGGAGAGAGTTAGTCCGTTCCCAGGAACCCTAGAATGGTTTATATATTTATTGAAACTAAAGAGGCAAATCCATATAGCAAATTGAGAAGTCAAGAGGTAAACAACGGCAGCAGATTTGAGGGGTATACAGAATATAAATACAGTTATAATACAATCATTTAGCCAGGAAAGCCTGGAACGCCTTGTGCTCAATCACCACATTTCCGACAGCGCGGAGCCTCTTCCGGCCTTCCTTCTGCTTCTCCAACAACTTTCGCCGCCGGCTGACATCACTGGCATGCAATTTCGCCAGGACATCCTTCCGATACGGCTTGATGGTTTCACGGGCCACGATCTTCTTCCCAACGGCCGCCTGGATGATGATCTCGAACAGCTGGCGATCGACATGCTCCTTGAACTTGGTCACCCACTGCCTCCCTTGCCGGTTGACCTGGCTCATGTGCATGATGCGGGCCACCGCGTCGACTGGCACCTTGTTGACAAGGAGCTGGAGCTTGACAATATTGCCGGCTCGCCAGGCAGACTCTTCGTAGTCCAGACTAGCATATCCCTTCGTGGAGCCTTTCAGTTTGCCGAAGAAATCGTCAACCAGGTGGGCCAATGGCAGCTCATACTTGAGAATAACCTGGCTCGTGGTGAAGTATTCAATACTCTGCTGTTCGCCTCGGTTGGCTTCACAGAGCTCGATAACCTTGCCGAGATACTCGTCGGGGAAGGTTATGGTGGTCAGCACGTACGGCTCTTGGACCTCGGCGACCTTCAAACGCACATTGTCGTCGTCTGGGAATTTTGCGGGATTGGTGATAATATCTTCGGTGCCATCTCTCCATACTACCTTGACAGGAACTGAGGGAGGCGTGATGATAATGCTCGCGCCGTGCTCCTGCCGAAGCCGGTCTTCGAATACTGAGCAGTGCAGAGTGCCCAAGAAGCCCATGCGGAATCCAGCACCCAACGCCTCGGAAGATTCCTTTTGAACCGTTATACTTCGGTCGTTCAGAATAAGTTGGGTGATGCTGTCCTCTAAATGTTCGAAATGGTCTGCGTTCATGGGATAAACCGCGACGAAAACCATTGACTTGGGCTCCTCGAATCCTGGGAGTGGCTCAACGAGTTTCTCAGACCCGACTCTCGTGAAAGTGTCACCAATCTTGGCATCCTGGCTACGCTTCATACCGGGGTTGAAGTAGATATACCCCACCTGGCCGGCCCGGAGAACTGTTTGTGGTGTCTCCGTGGGATACATGATACCGACTTCGCCCACATAGTATTTGAGGCCAGTGACAAAGGAGATGAGCTGCTGGCCCGGACGGACCTCACCGTCGAACACGCGCACGAGAAGGATAACACCCTTGTATGAGTCGTACCAGGAGTCCACAAGCAGCATGCGAAGCGGTTTCGAGGTATCGCCAACGGGGCTAAAGGAGCATTCAGTCAGTACAGACTATTCCTCACACAAAACGGGACCCTCCAAACATACGCAGGAATCTTGTCGACAACCGTAGGAAGCACTTGCGCAACATTCAATCCAGTCTTCGCTGAGACCCGAACTGCGTTCTCTGTGTCCAGCTCAAACGAGGTCTTCATTTGCTCCAGAGCCCGCTCCGGATCAGCCGAGGGCAAGTCAACCTTGTTGATGACAGGGATCAATGTAAGGCCCTGCGCAAAGGCCAGGTAGAAATTCGCGACTGTCTGTGCCTGGACACCCTGACTGGCATCGACAAGCAGCAACGCACCTCCACAGCTAGCGTAACTGCGCGACACCTCGGCGCGGAAATCCACATGGCCCGGAGTATCCACCAAATGAAGCAGGTAGTCTTCACCCTTATGATTGTAGATCATCGTACAGGTCTGGGCCTTGACCGTAATTCCCCGCTCCCGCTCCACATCTAGCTTGTCGAGAACCTGCTTGTTCATGCCGGGCTGGATGGTCCCTGTGAGCTCCAGTAGCCGGTCGGAAAGGGTGCTTTTGCCATGATCGACGTGAGCGACAATGCAGAAGTTGCGATATCGATCGATCGGAATGGCGGCGATTCGCTTCTCGAGGTCCGTGTTCGGGTTACTTGGAGATCCCTTTGACCGTGCCCTCCAGGCCGCCGAGTTTGAGAAGGATCGAAGAGAGTTATACTGGGACGAGAAGCCGGCCGATGTGAGGCTCGCCGTTGGACCTCTCGGCGCTGCGTTCAGCCATCGGGCTAACTGCAGACATCCTCGCATCGGGAATCTTGCTGTGGCATGGAAGAAGAGAGGAATCGCCTGTCTCCTTGCGCTGATTGCCGTCACAGAGGGGAATTGTAGGGCGGAGAATCTGGTGGAGGCGGTCGGTGCTTTGCGGAGAAAAAAAGAAAAGCCGGCGGGCGGTGACTCGTCGATTGATCGCCGCGGCGACCCTCACGGCGTAAACAAACCTCGCCTCTGCCACCCCTTCTCTGCCCTTCGTCTCTGCGCTGTGCGGCGCGTCTAATTGATCTCAATATGCCGGAAACAAAGGATAAGTCCAAAGTTCATAAGCTGTCGATCAGGGGTGGGTAACCGTTCGATGTCTTGTGGCTGTGACGCTCAAGCTCACCAAACAAATAGGATCGGCCAAGCTAGTGTCTGAATTCGTGAGCCACAGTTCTTTCTTCCCATGATATTTTTTCAAGTACTAAGAAGTCCCCCAGTTTGAATACTCGATCAATTCGATCCTGTGAGTGACAAGCTGTGATACATTGGGCGAACAGCCACTTATCGCGATCAACCATACAGATTCCAGCGCGGGGTCTACCCTCCCGAGGACTTCACAACGTATGTCGAGACTGGATGCCTGTGACGACCAGTTCCAATCAGCTGATACATATTAGTGTTAAGAAATATGGCCTCAATATGCTCGGTTCGTCCCTCCCATCGTCATCAACCCCGATTCGACACCGAACACTCCGTCCATGCCTTTGTTCCAGTCTAACCTTGTGCTAGTATCGGCGGATGATCAGGTGAAAGCATACATTAAGAAGATCATGTCACAGCTAAACAAATGGATGGCCGGCGGCAAGATCTCGAAACTTGTGGTCGTCATCACCGACAAGGAGACCGGAGAACATGTGGAGCGCTGGCAGTTTGACGTTGAAATCTTTGGCAGAAGCTCCAAGACCCTGAGTTCTCGCAAAGCGGGCGATGGAGAGAACGCCGTTCCTGAGTAGATATGCCTATTCCTATTCCCAAAGCTTCTGTCGTCGAACCCTTGGGCCTGTGCTAACGATTTGGTTCGAATTGAACAGAGCTGAGAACGCCCAAGCTTCGGAGCCGGTCGAGAAAACCGAGAAAGAGATCCAAGAGGAGATCCAGGCCATCTTCCGCCAAATCACCGCCTCTGTCACCTTCCTCCCCGTCCTCGATGGTGACTGCACATTCAACGTCCTCGTCTACGCCGACGCCGATTCGGAAGTGCCCGTGGAATGGGGCGACAGTGATGCCAAGGAAATTAAGAACGCAGAGAAGGTCCAGCTACGAAGCTTCAGCACCAACAACCACCGGGTGGGCACTCTGGTTAGCTATCGGCTGGCCGACTGAATATGCGATGTTGGATGGCGTTTCATGATCGGATACGAGAGATACAGCTTGCATTGGCGTTTGGCCGGGTCGCGTTTTGTCTTTTTTATTGAAATGCCTATGAGATATGGTATCTAATGAATACTGCATTATGCCTTAACTGGAATGATGGTGATCATCATCATACCGAGTTCCCATAGTACCAGGGCAATTCTGACATGTTCGGGAACCATTCGTTCCCTGCTCCACCGTCCCAACAGACCAACTGCTCCACGGCATCCTCGAGGCCCCTGTTGACAAACTCTTGCTGCGTCATGCCTGGAGACCAACCTCGATTGCTCCGTTTCCCTGCAAGGTCTTGGGCCACGCCGTATAGATCTCGTCTCCATAGTCCAATCCCTCTCAGTGATTCGCCTTGGATGAGAGATTCTGCGGTGGTGACTTCCTCTGGAGGATTGATCCCAATCACAGCAACCCTGTCAGCATCGATGAACTCTTCTCTACCAGAGAGAGGCAATAATCCCAGAGCAGGAAAGTGACATTCCATAAACCGCGCTCGCTTAAACTCGTGTGTCACGACAGTCACGCGCCGTGGGTAAACACCTGTGTAGAATCGAAATTGAAGCAGCGAAAACAACCCATTTTGGTAGGAATCTGTTGCATGAGGTTCGGCGATAACCCTCGATGGGTCGATTCGGGGCCGGTCAGCTTCATTCTGGAAATAGTTGTTCTCCAGGGCAAGGTTCTGTGTTCTTCAATCAGTCTGTTGTTTTCATCACTGAGAGCGTCAAGCGACCCTACGAGGTATGATTGCCCTTCGCTGAGATCTGTTCTCAGCTTCTTCGTTGCGCCGCTGTCAAGAGAATGTATGAGCTATAGCTGGTGTATAGTCGCAGGCTACTGACCCCGAGAAAACAAGTAAACCCTGGGGATCATCTGCCAGCGCTCGCAGTCCCGCCTTAGCATGGTTGACAAAGGTCGGCGTCTCGCCCTTCTGGAAGGATTCTATTAACCTGAACGAGTTATCAAGGTTATGATACAAGCTTCCAAGGTTGGGTTCTTTATTTTGAGCATCACGTACCATTCGCTCTCGCTAGCTCCGTGGTTTGGGCCCCCAGTATATATAGCATGACCACAGACAATGATCAAATGGCTCAAGCTGCTGATCGAAGCCATCTTCGCTATGATCCATCCGCTGTGCAAGAAAACCAAATTGCCGGAACAATCGCGGCGTGCGTAGCCAACCGGAGCTTCGCATGGACAGCGTGGCACGTGCGAACGGGACGGTTCGCGATGACGCTTTCCCCCTCGAAAGGCACGCGGGAAAGGAACACATTCGACGAGAACAGCAGATATCCTCAATAGACCCAAGGAATCCTTGGCAGGGCACATTCAATCTAGCGGAGAAAGCGGAGGAGTCTAATTCATCATCCAATTAATTACTACCATGCGACACACCTTCACGATCACGCTGTTATCGAGCGTGTTTAAAGAATGCCGACCACAATGCACTCGGCTTGGACGATCCTACTTTCTCGGCCCTGGAATATCCGGCACTCGGAATCACAATGCCATTTCTAAACGGACGATTTCCTTCGCAGCAAGACCAGGAGGAATTGATATTCCGGCGAAAGCTCTCAATGTCACGCAACACCCCCGTTGGAATCACGAGAAACCCTCGGCACAAGATATATTAGACCTCTCTCTCACATTATCCCACGGGCGCATGAACGGCACAACCGAGCTGACTTGCACCATCTTTGATGCCACGGGAGCTATCGAGACGCCCGAGACTCGCCTGACCAAGGCAGACATCGCTCAACAGTACGGGGTGGACGGCCGCGACCTCCGGACGGCGGATCTCGTTTCGGAAGGCGTCCCCCATTTTGTCATTCGCCCCTCAACCATCTTTCTCAGTCTGTTCTCTTTGCGATTGCTTGTACAATCGGACCGGGTTCTCCTGATTCGCACGGGTTCGAAGGACAGCGAACCCCGTGCCTTCCTCGAGGAAATCTTTGTGACTGATCTCCAGAGCAAACTGCGCGGCAATCAAGAATCTGGCTTCCCGGTTTATCTTCCCTATGAGCTCCGCGTTTTTGAGGCCGCTCTGGCCTCCGTGACTGCACACCTGGAGGCGGAGCACTCGCTGGTGTGCAAGGAGATCGACGACAGCCTGCAAGATCTACAAAGCGAAGATATCGCTTCAGCTGGACCGCGGACATTGCTGGAGAACGGCAAGAAGCTAATTGACATCGAACAACGAGCCCGGCAACTGCGCACCGCGCTGCAAGAACTGCTTAGCAACGATGAGGATCTCGCCGCCATGTACCTCAGCGACCAACGGGCCGGCAAACCACACGCCATCGAAGACCACCAAGAAGTCGAATACCTACTCGAGGCATACTATAAAAGCCATGACGCGATTATCGAGTCTGCACGCGCATTAATGATCCAAGTGCACCGCACACAAGATGCCTTCCAGTGGACTCTCGATGTGCGGCGCAACCAGATTATGGTCTTTGAGGCGCAACTGGAGATTTGTATGGTGGGCTTTGCGGTGTCGACCTTTGTGGCCGGTCTCTACGGCATGAATGTTATCAACTATTTGGAGGATAGCCCTTATGCTTTTGCGTGTCTTGTGTCGGGATGTGCGATGGGGACGTTGTTGTTTGTACGCTTCGGGATGTTGACACTGCGGAAGTTCCGCAGAATCCAGTTGTGAGCCTCACATCCTGCCGATCCGTGAGATATATATTCAGCACCAGTGGGCTACCCACACCGCGAATGGCAGTCTTGCCCCTCCAAGCTCGTTGCAAGACAATTAAGATTATAAACAGGCTCAGGCCTCGGCTGGTTATCGTCAAGGTGGCAGGCCGGCCAGATAATTCAATTGAAGCAAAGTGAAAAAGAGAGATAATGCCGGACATACAGCCGATCCCAGCACTCCACATTCAACCAAAGCCAACTACCACTCCCCGCCGACTTCGTAATGGAATATCTTATCGTTGATCCTCCCACCGGTAAATCGCCACAGTCGAGCGACGGACTGCTGATCGTTAGTGTCTTTATCTCAATCCTCTCATCTACCAAAGGAATTTCGTTTCATACCGCATTCAGCCATACGCCGTGCAACATGATCTGAATGAAAGCATACTCTGCCGGATGCCCATTGCCCGCAGGGCGATCCGTTCGGTCGAGTTGTGGATTTGCGGGACGATACGCGGGCATACGGCGATGATGCGTCGGCCAGTCAGTCGGTTGGCCTATATTTACAGGCGCAGCAGAGGCATCTGGCTCAGACCCGCTATGATGGACTTCATAGTCGGCGAGAGCGGACAGCGAACCGGTCGTGGTGGAAGTGGTAGTTACGGACATGATGGCGCGCGAGCAAAAGCTGGAGAAAGAGCAGAAGAGCGTCGAGACCGGCGCGCTGAGTGTGTCGAGTATTCTCATATTCTCTCGGAGATAACTAGACCGACTCACCAAGAATCTCTCGGCACGATGGAATTGTCGTTCTGGCCGGCGTCCAAATGGGCGATTTGCGGGCGCCCGCATTTCCCCCACATCCCGACAGTCGAACGAGCCTCGGGGGCGAGCTTGTATGAAAGCCTCCCAGCGCAAAAATGTGCAGGCATGCGCTGCTTCAAGAGTTTTGGAAGCTTTCCTTCTCGCTGCAGCAGTTTGCTCCCACCTGAACACAGTCGTCATGGATCTCTCCCGCGTCCTCGCCGCTAATATCGACGGTCGCACCCAGAACACGAGGTACCGTCAAGGGCAGTTCGATCGTCTCCAATCGGTGCTGGTCGAACATGTTGCCGAAATCCACGATGCAATTCGCAGCGACTCGGGACACACGCAGCAGGAAGTCCGGGCAGAAATTGTTCTCGCGCTGCAAGAGCTGCGGACTCACTATATGTCCCTGAGCTTGCAAAAGGACTTGGAGGTTGAATATCGCATTGCGCATGGGAAGGACAACCTGGAAAATGCGCGGGGTGCTGGTATTGTGTACATCGTTCCATCCACGCATACCCTGTTCTTCTCGGTCATGTCTGCGATGACGGCGGCCTTGGCTGCAGGAAACTGTATTGTTTTGGAGGTGAGTGGATCTACTTAACGGCCACTGAGTACTGGCAGGCTGATATTGGGCTTCTACAGCTCCCTCAAACAACCATGTCCTTGCCTGGACTCCTGCGTCGGATTCTGCCGGGCGCATTGGATCACGATACCTTTGCGATTACGAGTCAACGGCCTGATACTTCATTTATGAGCAAGGCGCTCCTGGTTGTGCAAACGGGATCGGACGCCTCGGCTGGACTCATCTCACCAGGAACCTCGCGAAGTGTTGCAGTTGTTGATCGCACAGCAATGGTTACTGAAGCAGCGCAGTCGCTCGTGGCTGCTCGATTTGCCCTTGGTGGGCGCTCGGCATACTCGCCGGATGTGGTGTTGGTAAATGAGTTTGTTATGAAACCATTTGTCGAAGCTGTCATTCAGCATGCCTCAAAATATCTTGCAGGAGAGAATGGCGAGGGAAGGCAGATATCAGTTTCGCCGCGACGATCCGGAGTGCTCGACTCGATCCAGAAAGACCGCACTGCGCGCATTTTGGTATCAGGCAGTAATTGGGGTGTCGTCGAGGTGCAGGATCGGTAAGTTGCAACTCACCTGCTGCAGATAACTGACATACCCACTGACTGGTAAAGGAACTCCGCTCTGTTGAAGAGGAAGATCGACGAGAAGGTGTTGCTGGTTCATCCAGTCACTAGCTTGGATGATGCTATCGATGTCAACTTGTAAGACTTTTGTTCAAAATTGCTTCCAGATTTGGGATTAACCAACCAAACCTAGCGATGGAACCCTCACGGCCCTTTATGCCTTTGCAGCTCCTGCTTCAGCCAAGTATCTAACGCAATTTATCGACGCTGACATCGCCTGGGTGAACCATGTTCCCAGCCATATGCTGAGTACGTCCGCCTTGTCTCTTCCACCCTCTCCCCAAACGGGGTAATTGTTTATTTTCCCCTTTGACCAATATATCCTAACTCAACTAGTTGGCCCTGCCCTTCCCCGAAACGCACCTTACAGCCCCGACACCCGCTACGCGACATCACAGTTTCAGAAACCAAGGCCCCACCTCATCAATCCCTCTGCCAGCGCTTATACAGCACAGACTATTCTCGAGAACGAAAGTACCGTAAAGTCCGATGCACTGTGGCGGGAGACCTTGGCCCCTCTGCCAGCAACAAAGCAGCCACCTGGATTCAAGATTGGTTTCTTCGAGCAAGGCATCATTACGGGCGGTGTTCTCACTCTGGCATCGCTTATTGCAACAGTGTCAACAGTGGGCTACTATACTTGGGTATATGTGAGGATGCGTGGTTAGCTGCTTACTATTACCACCTGTGTATATCTTCTGTTCAGTGTCTACTGCATACGGAGTCTATAGTTATTATTCATCTCAAGGAATACCTATACGCGCCATCTGCATGCAGATCCGGCATTACCTGTGCTACCGTAGTCATAGCACCATATTTACTCGCTAGATCCTTTGAATTTCATGATCCTTCACATCTATGTATCTATTTAGGTTTCAGGTGCTAGCTCGAACCCCAATGCCATCCACAACCTCGCCCAAACTCTTCCCTCCAATCTCCATAGGCTGCGCCGGCGCAAGCACATACAGCATGCGCGCCCACTGCGGCGTCCTCTCCTTGGTAACCGGGTCGACGGTATCCGGCGTCACATTGCGCCAGGCATGGTTGGTGCCGCGCTGAACAGCAACATCTCCCCGCTTCAGAACCCTCGTTTCTCCCGAGTCCAGCACAAGTTCAACTTCGCCCTCGAGCACGACCCCATAATCCAGCGACACGGTGCGGTGCATCGGACTCATCGCGCCGGGCTGGATATCCACGATGCGACACACATTTCCACTCGAAATCGTAATGCCCGGGGGATTGGAGAGGTAGCCCGTGTAGTCCTTGATGTCGGTGTCGTCGTTCAGCTGGGCGGGGAAGTGGTTGGAGGTATACGCGAGACTGAAGTCTGCGCCATCTTTCATGCGCTGGATGGGCATTTCCTCTGACAGCGCATTGGAGAATATGGCTTTGCCGTCTGGATTATGGGTGGTGATGTACCGGTTGAGTGGGCGGAGGTTCTTAGGTGTATCGTCCGACATGGTGGTCTGGGCTAGCTGGGAGATGAAGAGGGAAACAGTCTGCGGGTGTGGTGCCAGGTACCATCGCGTGTACCGGATCTATATCTTTCGAGTGGAGCGCCGTCTCGGGACCACTTTCGACCACATCGGCTGTGGGGTAACGATCGCACGGGCTTCGGTCATTGAGAGCTAGGGATTCGGCTGTCTGCATTGGTAGTATCTAGCGGCAGCGGGGTAGCATCCGCTGTATGATTCGTTTTGGTTCGGTGTTGTCGGAAGCAAGTGACTACCACCGAAGTGATGTGGTAACATCACCAGAGATGATACTGATGAAAGTGGAGATGAAAACGATTATTTCGTGATCGCTACGAAGGAACATGTCAAGAGGACAATTGGCAATGATCCACATTGGTCGTGCGGACCCACTTCACCGCCCCCTTATGGCAGTCCCCAATGCACACTCACAGGCCGCTAGACCGATTTCTGCTCTCTAAAGTGTCCCTTCTTCGAGATATCACATTAAGTGTCATATTCAACTGAATTGATCCCGGCGTGGCCAATGGTTGGATGGGTTTCCACTTGGGCAGAAATGAGCGGCCCTTTGTCTTGGGCACGTGTTTCAACAGATCGAGTAAGCGCCAATCAGGATCCAGTTTTATTCTCAGCCTCGCTTTGACGCCTACCCCTCTTTGAATGGCATGGGCTCTATTTTTGTCTATTATCCTTATTTTCTGACCCTTGTATCGTCTACACTGTGGAAGGCTTGGCTGTCGAAACCTTGTTGATCATGGATCCTCTTTCGGGTGCAGCAAGCGTTATCGCAGTTATCCAGTTGACCGGAAGTATCGTCCAAATATGTGGGCAATATCTCAACAACGTCAAGAACGCGAGACGGGATATCCAGCGCTTCCAAGAGCAGGTCGCGGCCCTTGCCAACGTTCTTCAATCTCTCGATGAACTGACCCGTGGATCTAATGGCAAGCAACTTACTGCTACGCAAGGCCTGATCGACAATATTGCCGAATGCTCGTTAGCACTCACAAGTTTGAAAGAGAAGATTGATCCACAAGTGACGCAAAGACGGATGAGGACATGGGGACTTCGAGCCTTCAAGTGGCCCTTGACAAGGTTGGAGGTAGATCATGCTATCATGGAGCTTGAAGGGTATAAATCAACGTTTGCTTTGTCCCTGCAGGTTGATCAAATGTAGGCTCCAGGCCATACTCCGATCTCTTAATTATTGATTTCAAGGGCCAACTCTGACACTGATCCAGGAAGTCTACCCATTCGATCCACAAAAAGATGGATCTTAGCAGTCTACGGACTGCAAAAGGAGCAGCATTCGACTCCTACGACATTCAACATAGTGAATGTCTCCCGGGGACCAGAACTGACCTGCTTCGAGAAATCGAAGAGTGGGCAAAATCTCCGCACGGAAAATCCATATTCTGGTTGAACGGTATGGCAGGAACAGGGAAATCAACAATCTCTCGAACAGTTGCAAGCCGTCTTAAAGAGCAGTCGCTTCTCGGGGCGAGCTTCTTCTTCAAGAGAGGCGAAGAGGACCGAGGATCAGCAAAGAAGCTTTTCCCAACATTGACTGAGCAACTGGTCGTCAGCATACCTCAAATGCTGCCTCGGGTTCTTAAGGCGATTGATGATGACCCCAATATTTCGGAAAAGGTATTAAGGGAACAATTTGAAAAGCTTCTACTGGATCCACTATTTGAGATTGAGCATTACGGGGAGACCACAACCAAAGTGATCGTGATTGATGCTTTAGATGAGTGCGATTTGGAAGAAGACATAGGGCTCATTCTCCGGCTCTTGCCACAAGTTCAAAAGTCAACCTCCGTGCACTTCCAATTTTTGTTGACAAGCAGACCTGAACTGCCGATCAGGCTGGGCTTCAAAGGGATCACCGGTGCCTATCAGGATGTTGTCCTCCATGAGATCGCAAAACCAGTTATAGAGCACGACATATCTTTGTATTTTGAGGATCAGTTACTGCGCATAAAACAGAGCCGCTCATTTCCACCAGACTGGCCTGGAGACGCAGCTACTAAGGAATTGGTTGATAGGGCTGTCCCTTTATTCATTGCAGCTGCTACCTTATGTCGTTTCATCGGTGATATGAATTGGAACCCTCAAAAGCGACTTGAAGCGATATTGACAGACCAATCAACCTACGTCTCTAAGATGGACAGCACATATATTCCCGTGCTGAAGCAACTTCTCACTGGCCAGGATGAAGAGGAGTCGCAACAATTACTCGAAGAGTTCAAGGAGATTGTCGGGATTATCATTATTCTCACGACTCCGCTTTCGATCAAGTCTCTTAGCCAGCTTGTGGGTAGAGAGCAAGACGACATAAAATGCCGATTAGATCAGCTCCACTCGGTGCTCAGTGTACCGAACAATTTCGACACCCCCGTCAGGCTCCTCCACCTATCATTCCGAGATTTTCTCTTAGATCACCACAAACGAAAAAGCAAATTCTGGATCGATGAGAAATACGCAAATCATCGTCTTACAGCACAATGCCTTCAGATTATGCAGCACAGCTTAGGGAGAAATATCTGCAACCTGCCGAGCGAAGGCACGCAATGCAATGAAATTAGCAAGGATTCGATTCAGCATTATATATCTCCCGAACTGAAATATGCCTGTCAGTATTGGGCACATCATCTGCTCCAATGTACAGACATCACTGATATGGTTCACGATGCTTTCTTGTTTCTCCACACTCATTTCTTGCACTGGGTGGAAGCAATGAGTCTACTAGGCCTTACGTCGGAAATACTAGGTATTCTTAATCACTTCCAAATGGCCTTATCGGTAAGTTCCGAAAATAGTCATATAATATTTGCACTAACAGCTTTAGAACGACGGCTCTTCCATGAATCTGGATTTTCTTCAAGACGCAAAGCGCTTTATTCTGAAAAATCGCCAGATGATTGATCAAGTGCCTCTTCAGGTTTATTGTGCGGGGCTTATATTTGCGCCCCGAACGGCAATAATCCGGAAAGAGTTCGAACATGAGCTTCCTGCTTGGGTATACCAGTTGCCACTGGTTGAGGAAGGATGGGGTGCAGAATTACAGACTCTCGATGGCCATTTATCTGAGGTCTTTTGCGTTGCATTCTCGCCCGACGGTCATCTACTAGCGTCTGGCTCGGATGATAAGACAGTGTGCCTCTGGGACCTATCGACGGGCGCGCTCACGCAGACTCTTAAAGGCCATTCAAACCTGGTTTTTTCGGTGGCCTTCAGTCCTGACAGTCGCCTACTAGCGTCTGGCTCTTGGGATAAGACAGTGTGCCTCTGGGACCTATCCACGGGCGCGCTCGCGCAAATTCTCAAAGGCCATTCACATAATGTTAACTCGGTAGCATTTTCGCCTAACGGCCGACTACTAGCATCTGGCTCTAGTGATAAGACAGTGCGCCTCTGGGGTCTACCTATGGGCGTACTCACGCACACTATCGAGGGCCATTCAGATATGGTGTGGTCAGTGGCATTCTCGCCCAACGGTCACCTAATAGCGTCTGGCTCTTGGGATAAGACAGTGCGTCTATGGGACCCCGCTACGGGCGCGCTTACCCAGATTCTCGATGGCTATTTGGATGAGGTTTCCTCGGTGGCATTCTCGCCCAACGGTCGCCTACTAGCGTCTGGCTCTAGTGATAAGACAGTGCGTCTCTGGGACCTATCGACTGGCGCGCTCACGCAGACTCTCGAAGGCCAGTTAGATATAGTGTGGTCAGTGGCATTCTCGCCGGAAGGCAATTTCCTAGCATCTGGCGCTCTTAACGCTATACACCTCTGGGAACTAGCTACGGGCGCGTTGGCGCAGACTCTGGAAGGCCATTCAGATGCGTTCTTGTCAGTGGCCTTCTCTCCCGACGGTCGCCTGCTGGCGTCCGCCTCGATGGACAAGACCGTCTGTCTGTGGGACCCAGCGATACGTGCGATTCCGAAGACTACTGAAGGGCATTTAGGTGCGGTCTTGTCAGTGGCCTTCTCTCCCGACGGTCGCCTACTGGCGTCCGGCTCGGAAGATAGGACCGTGGGTCTCTGGGACCCATCGACAGGCGCGCTTATGCAAACTCTCGATGGCCATTCAGGTACAGTTTACTCGGTGACCTTCTCTTCCGACAGCCACCTACTAGCATCTGGTTCTAGGGACAATACGGTGCGTCTATGGGACCCCGCTACGGGCGCGCTCGCACAGACTCTCGAAGGCCATTCAGATGCGGTTCAGTCAGTGGCATTCTCGCCCAACGGTCACCTAATAGCGTCTGGCTCTTGGGATAAGACAGTGCGTCTATGGAACCCCGCCACGGGCGCGCTTACGCAGATTATCAAAGGCCATTCAGATATAGTTTGGTCAGTGGCCTTCTCGCCCGACGGCCACCTACTAGCGTCTGGCTCTAGGGACAGTACAGTGCGTCTATGGGACCATGCTACGGGCGCGCTCACACAGACTCTCGAAGGCTATTCAGATGTGGTTCAGTCAGTGGCATTCTCGCCCAACGGTCACCTGCTGGCGTCTGGCTCTTGGGGCAAGACTGTGCGTCTCTTGGACCGAGCGACGGGGGCGTTTTTGCAGACCTGGAAATTTGACGAAGAGAACGCTATACTCGGATTTTCCCACGACGGTTCGTGTATTCACACTAACTTAGGCGCCATACGTATTCAGTCCATGTGTGACAGTCCCGTGTCCCATTCGGCTTATGCGTATCTAGACATATGCATTGAGGACGGGAAGTGGATAAAACTGAATGGAAAAAAATTCGTTTGGCTTCCTTGCGAGTTTCGGCCAACTACGAACAGCTGTTTCAAGATCCATGGTAACACGGTTGCTCTGGGACAAGCGTCGGGGCGGGTTTCCTTCATTGCGTTTTGTACGCAGGTTTGAATGATTTATCATTGTACTCCGTCTATTTGTAGTCTCTTTGTAAAAGAAGGGCCTAGGTGAAAATAGGAAGTTATATGTCTATCTATCCTACGTGCCGATCATCCATGGAATTCTAGCAGTTTCAAAATTGGCTAGGACCTCCTCCCAGCACCTCGGCTGGTGAGTTAAGGAATCACTATGTGACGACAAAACCGCATAATACCGTTGCTGCAAGAGCAAGCCATATTTCTCATCTACTTGTACTTTAAGTCCACGTAGCATCAGTCAGCCAGCATATCGTGTAGGAAAGAGTCGCGCGGGCAGGTCTCTCCTCATGATTCAGACTGTGTGTTGGCTTCTATTAATTCTACCGAATTTTCGTATAGTACAGCATCGTGGAATGCCAAATTGAATTATACCGTACCATACCAACGTTATTAAGTGCATCCCTGTATCGGTGAAGGCGATTACGCGAATAACTGTTCCCACCTCGAGCTGTTTCATGCAGGTAGCTTAGTGGCGGGCGGGAAAGGGGCCTTGATGTTGCACGAGACTTGCACGTGCTGTAATAGCTTAGCCTCTGTCCTCCGGTCCGAGTTGAGAAGAATGAACACTTTATGATCCCATTCCGCAACAGTGGTGGCAAACCTGAAGAGAAAGCTTTTCGCAGTTGCAGATCCGACCCTTCGCCAGGTCCGATCACAAGCTGTTCACACTACATTGTTTTCAGTTGTTCATCTCCTCATCTCATCTCATCTCTCTTGCACCTACGCAGAACTGGTGATGTCAGAAAGATACAATGCAACACATACCCCGCTAAATCTGTCCGTGGGACATGGTCTACATTTGTCTACATAAAGGATAGTAGGTCGCTGCAAAGCTTCACCACAAATTTGGCGCACAGCGTACTGGGTTCAGGGGTGACGGAGGTGTATCCAAACGCATGCCGATTGGCTCTGCCTCCACAATGAAAGATACAGTGGTGTCCATAGAGCACATCGAGCGATACCTAGGAGAAGACCCCTTCCATCGCGAAGAAGATGCCGCAGAACTCCCACAACCAAACGACACAGTAGACCAGGTTTGGTCAACCTTTGAGAGCATCATTGCGACAAGAACAACACACAAAGGGAGTCGGATATAATACCTCCTACGCTGTCGAGGCTTAGGCCTTGCATAGGATAAATAGCGTTCAGACATCGCGGTTGTCACAAATAGACCGGACCTCATTGCCTTCAAGGCCTCGACGCTCTAATCACACCGCGCTCCACAGTGTCTTATTCAACATACAACCCACACATGTGACTTATTTCATTCACGACGACTCACACAGCTCATCTCATTCACCTCACCTCGCACGCCAAGACTATTTAAACCTTTCCCCGTCCTGTGTCATCCTTCTTACTCGTCACACTCTTACCCATCATGTCGAGAACAGACACACCGGAGTTTGACTGGTCCGCCAACGCGGACCAAATGAAGGTGGCTTACTACGCAGCATTTCGCCGCAATGATAGCAGTTCCTCTACAGAACAACACAATACGGAAACATACATCTCCTCCGCACGAGGCTGGGACGAGTTCAAAGCCATGAGCGTTCCTGACCTCCTGCATCTCGATGAGACCAGCATCTTACGCTTCCGAAAGACGAACTCGGGACACGGCTGCTCAAACCTACACGATACGGATTTCTCACGAACTGGTCACATTCGGTCAAGTCGTATGCCAACAGGCAAACCCCCTGCCGCAAAAATGTACGGTGTGTTGTGGCTGTTCTTTATCGATAACACCGCCCTCATCGGTGAGGACCTCGCGCAACGTATGCCTTGGCAGTTTGGTACAGGCAGACCCACTAGTGACAAGGAGTCGGGCACGAGTATCATAACTATCGGCCGTGTCACGGCACCCCCGGATATGACCGAAGATGACTTCGATGTTATTGAGACGGTATCCTTCGACGATGGCGCTATGCGGCACAATGACGACTGGAGCAAAATGGAAGCAAAATACAATACACGCACTCAGATGCGCTCCAGCGTGGATGCTATCTGTATCGTGCCTCCACCAGCCAATGACTCAAGCGGCGTGCAATTCATGAGGATCTGCGGTCTCCCCACATTCGAACTCGGTGCTGACCCACGTCTTCTGAATGCAAATAGACTCATGGGACCTGCCAGCACGCCTCAGCAACCCGCAACTACGCCGCAGCAACCTCCGATTATGCCTCAAGCACCTCCCGCGGAACCCGTAGTTCTCCAGTTACGTCTCAGACTTACACTACATGAACCCACGATTACCTCTGAACAACCAAGCGATACACAAGCTCTTATTGATACTACACAACGGGTGATCAGTACCACTATGGAGCAGACAGTCGAGACACCTATAATCTTGACTAATACCACACAGATACCTATCATCTTACCTACAGATGACGCGCTACGAGCCGACACACCTGAGGTTCGAGTGAAGAGGGAACTCACAAAACGAGTCCACAACGATATCACGCAGACCCCCTCGAGGAACTGGACTATCCAACCTAGCGAAGCGTCCTCCGTCGCCATGGCCAGTCTATTACGCAATACAATGTCCGCCGCCGATCAATCTATGCTACACTATCTACAGCAGTGCCTAGTCGCGCATTCCCTCCTCCATCGCACCCTACATCAGAAAGGTGCCAATTCGCCAGAAACTACCGCCGCCGCGATGCAGTCCGCAGAAGTTTGCGTGACATTCCAAGAATTCGCGAAACAGTGTAATCTGTGCTACATGAGCATGGAACAACGGGCTACTGAAAACCACCGAGCTGCCGCCATCATCCAAGATACCCTGTGGAAGTTGCAGTTCCCCGGACGAGCTGTACGCCCTGAACTTCGCAGTTCAGTCATCACTGACATGGCAACCTTCCTACTTAGCGACGAGAAGAACATTCCGCTTCGTGCCGTCGGCTTTCTGCAGAAGGACTCCGAAGACAACTATTAACTACAGAACATTGCCTCATTACCCTTTTACGATGTTTTCCATGTTTATGCCTTGATTCTTCGGAAGCACCAAGTTGCTAACCCGGTTCATTACGTTGTTTGCATTGCCCTTTTATGATGCTTTCATTCTTCGGAACCACATTCATTACGTTGTCTTCATTGCCTTCTTACAATGCTTCCATGCTTATGCCTTGATTGTTCTACCCGCACACTAAGGGCGCTGTTGTTTTTCTATTTCAGCGGGCATTGTTGCACCGCATGTGACTAGCACGTGCTGTAATAGCTTAGCCTCTTGCCGTCGGTTTAGAAGAATCAACACTTTATGATCCCATTACGCGACACTGGAGGTGCCTAAAAAGTTACCGGGCGCATGAAGGGCTTCCCACGGAAGTGTGATTGGAAAGCTAAGAGGAGATTCGCGACCGAACCTAAACCCAATGCATTTGTATACTATTCATCTATTCAATTGATTTCTGACTATTGACGGGTATTTCAAGGGATAACGGGCAGAGTCACGTAGTTGTCACCGAGACCGAAGTGGATGTGGTTTTGGCCCTGGAAGCGCTCCACAGATCTAGATGACTGATTAGCATACTTGTCCGAGAAGTGGATATCATAGTAAAAAAGCTTACCGGTCAACAGGGGAGTTATGTTGGAAAGTACCGCAGCCCTGAGTATCACCACTGGCAACCTCCAGAATAATCTTTCCACCTGTCTGAACCACCACGTTGGTCGGCCATATCTCCACGTCGACCGCATACACCTCGCCAGGAATAACAGGCTGCACGTCGGTGGAGTAGTAGTTACGGTGCGGCAGCCACGGTCTGTTGCGAGGATGCTTCTCGTCGATCTTGCGCATGCTGACACGCAGCCAGCCCTTGCACAGGGGGACCGGGTCACCAGCGGTACCGGTATAGTGCACTTCTTTGCCTTCGGGCGAGATATGGCGGAGGGTAAGGAAAAGATCCAGGTCCTGGGGGGTGAGACCACCAGGATTGGCACTCATGGAGACATTCAGATGCGCAACGATGTGTCCCGTAATTTCTGTCTCCTGTTCGAATGCCGGGGTAGAGAATTGCACGAGTTGCGGATTCTCCAGGGTACCCAGAGCCTGGTAAGAGATCTTTCTTGGGCGCTCCTTTGGTGCATGTGTGAGCAGCTCCCGCTGGGACGTAAGGTAGAACTTGGTGTATTGAGTGCGTGCAATAGGCCACCCGTGCTCTGTGCGACGAGGGAAGCGCTTCTCGCCGGCCGCATTGTTGAAGCCCACATCGCCTTTCCGCAGCGTCACATCCACCTTTGGGGCCTGGCCCGTCGACCACCCAGCACGGTCATCACCCTTTAGGAAAGCATCCAGGAAGCTGCGTTGGAGCTCAACCTCCTCGGCATAGTAGAAGGGCAGGTCATGGCGGCCGGTGATGAAACGCAGGTACTTCAGCTCAGAACCGGCCTGCGTCCATCCTTCGACATTTCCACGAAGGTGAAGGAGAATACCGCCCCAGTTGGCAACGGAGAGCAGGGGCACCTGGATATCGGACATGCTGTATTCCTTCGATGCGTAGTAGAGATCATCACGGAACTTGTTCTCAACGTTGTCGACCGTCTGGTCCTCGCGATTCTGCACTAACTCCTCCTCAGACAAATCACCCTCGATGGTGTCAGGGCCCCAATTGCGAGCAGCCCGGCCGGGGCGACCGTACTGATTGCTCACGACTTGGCGGTCCCACCAGAACTTGATGAAGGCGTTGGAAAGGATACCTCCGTGACGGCAGCGGTCGCGATAGTAGTCTGACATGCCCTCCCAGGGAATCATGCACGCCAGGCCCTTCGGCTGACGTGCCGCGACACGCCATTGACTGCCTGCAAAGTAACTGATTCCCAGCAAGCCAACCTTGCCGGACGACCAGGGTTGCTCGGCTGCCCACTCGACTACGTCGAAGAAGGCTTCGCTGGTGCCCCGCGACATGGTGTCCAGCTTGCCAACGGACTGTCCAGTGCCGCGCTCGTCTGCCCTGACAACTGCATAGCCCTGGCTGGTCCAGTATTGGGGATCGGGGGTCTCCCAAGCGGAATGCTGGCATCGCTGCTCGGGGTTGACTTCACTGAAGCTCTGGGGATGGAAGTCCTCGTATGGAATGTCCTTGCCGTACGGCCCGTACGTCACCAGGACGGGAACCTTGTCCGCAGTCTTTGGGCGATAGACGTTGCATCGCACCAGACCCGATTGGTCCTTCAGCGGGATGGAAACATTCTGCTCGAAGACGTAGGGGAACGACGTCTCGTCGCGGGTGGTGATGTCCTTGATCTCGTTCGGCATGTTGTCCGGAGACCTGCAGACAATGGATCAGGAACTCAAGGGAAAACAAAAGATAGTCGTTTGCTTCTCCTGCCATGCTAGCAGCGCCAACAACATTTCATATACATTCGTGGCCCCACCCCGCGACCGCGCGTGTGCTCCGCAGAGGTGGAGCCGAAATGGGCTTCCGAGCCATCGCCAACTGCTGAACCAGCACGGATCGGGCAACCCGAAGAAGGACGGAAATGAGGGGGCGTAGATGGAGGGGCGGGAATGGTCCATGGCCATAAGTATTTATCTCGGACGTGCGGAGGTGGCGGAAAGATGGTTCTTCGAGCTCAGTGACTAGAATTACGATAACGCATTTCTGGTGCAGACAAGATGGCGACGAATGAACTGAACGGCAACACCGCGACCGGCCTTCGTGTCTTGATCGTCGGTGCTGGTATCGGTGGCTTGACTGCAGCAATTGCCTTGCGCCAGCAGGGACACCGCGTGGAGGTGCGTTGAATGGACATGACGGTGATAGGTCCGGGCTATGTTGTATACTGACCATCACCAAGCTGTTCGAGCGATCACGATTTGCCAACGAAATTGGGGCTGCTATTCACGTGTCCCCAAACGCCAATGGAGTATTGCTGCCCTTAGGGATTGATGCGACCAAGTTCGGCGCGGTCGAGACTGAATTGGTAAGGTTCTTTTCTTCTACGACCTTTGTGGCTGATCTGGTGCTTTTAACTGACGGCGGTCTAGCTGCGCGAGTATAGGCCATCGGGAGAGATATTCCAGATCACTCAATTTAAGCAACAGGCGGATATATGGAGACACGTAAGCTTCCACTCGTTCTGCTTCAGATGGAGGACAGTAGCTAACGGATGCCCTCAGCGCTGGCTGCTTGTTCACCGCGCTCACTTCCACGAAGGACTCAAGACCGCTGCTTTGGCACCGGGCAAGGGGGAGCCAGCGGTGCTACACACTGCCAGCAAGGTAGTTGATATCGACTCGCACAAGGCGACTGTGACCCTGGAGAACGGCGATGTTATTGAGGGAGATGTCGTGATCGGTGCCGACGGGGTGCACTCCCTGGCCCGCACGAAGCTCACCCAAGACATCAAGCCGGTCAGCTCGGGCAGGAATGCCTTCCGCTTCCTGATGACCCGTCAACAGGCTCTCGATGACCCGGAGACGGCCAGTATTGCCCAGGACTTCGGTGCCGTTGATATGTGGGATGCGGACGAACGCCGGGTGGTCATCTATCCTTGCGCGAACAATGAGCTGCTCAACTTTGTCTGCGTTCACCCTGATTCGATGACCACAATTGATGCGAGTGGTGATTCCTATAATCAGCAGATTGGCAAGGACACCCTCCTCGATGTCTACAAAGATTTCAACCCGCAGGTCCGGAAACTGCTGGAGAAGGCCGACCCCCAGACGCTGAAGCTGTGGCCACTCCTCGATATGCCTACATTGCCGACATGGGTGAATGACCGTTTGGCGGCCTTGGGCGATGCTGTGCATCCTTTCCTGCCATACCGTGCGTCGGGCGGTGCGATGGCTATCGAAGATGCAGTATCGTTGTCTGTCATGTTGCCACGGGGCACCTCGCCTGCGGAGATCCCCGAGAGACTGAAGATTTATGAGAAGGCACGTCATGAGCGTGCCACTACGATCCAGGTAATGACTCGCGAGTCTGCCCAGCTGCTCCCTCCTGACCAGGGTAAGTCTCCCTATCGACCCACGAGGAACGAGCTACCAAAGTAGCATTAGTGACTGATCATTCCTAACAGTCATGGCTATGGTCGCGTATATATACGGCCATGATGAGTTCGACCATTCCGCTCAGGTCCTTCGAAAGCACCAGTGGGCCCAAAACCCACACATGTACTGGCGCCAGCCCATCGTCTTTGGGCCTATGCCCGGTCCTCGACAGGACTTTATGGGTCATGACCGGGCCTTGAAATCTCTGGAATCTACCTTCCAGACCGCATCAATCAAGTTCAAAACCAGCCGGACATTGCTCCAGAACCTTTTTCCATCGGACCGCTACAGCTTCATCTCCCCCAGCTCAGTGGCTCGAGCGAGCTTCTCCCAGACTACCTTGAATGGGATGGACTGGCTGGGTGGTGGTGGCTACCGCCATGTGGGACTGTACATCCACGGTGTGCAGTACAAGAAGGAGAATGGGGAAGTGATCAAGGGCACCTATATGCCCATCCTGTTTGAGAGTCTTGCGGACCCGATTGTCTCCGGCCGCGAGGAGCTCGGCATGCCGAAGCTTTACTCTGCCGTTGACATCCACGAGCGCAACAACTCATATCGTTACCAGACCAGCTGGCAGGGTGCGGTGTGGGGCCATTTCGAGTTGGATGATCTGGAGGACGCCGATCCAGCTGCGGATAAGGGCACTATCGGTGGGGAAGATGACGATGGCATTCTCGTATACCGATACATTCCCAAGGTTGGCCGGGCCTCCAGGGGTGAACCCGAGGCCGAGTACCCTGTGTTCGTTCCCCATGCCCAGGAATCCAAGGTCGTTCCCTCAAAGGTAACACGCGTCCGCCGGACGAAAATGGCCAAGGTGGAGATCGCCGCACTTGGTTGGGACGCCTTGCCGACGCTGAACCACGTTGTATCTCGGCTGAGTGAAATTCCCATTGACGAGATCATTGATGCAAAGATCACCGAAGGGCGCGGGGTGCCAGATGTGTCCAGTGCTCAACGGATTGAGTAATTAAGTTAGAACGGAGACACAATGGGCCGGGTAGAATATAGTTTGATGGGACTGCAATATGAACTACTCGATTCAAAGAGGACTGACCTTTCAACCCTTGATATTTAAGAAAGAGATTTCGATAGTGGTTTGATGCCGAAGAGATGATAAGGATGGAGAGACTCACGAGAGAACGTGGATAATGATGAGGTTGATAAGCATGAAGAAGGAAAAAGAAACGATATTAGGAAGAAATGGCAAAAAATCCAAAGAAGACCAATAGTTGCCTACAAGGTGTCGATAGACAACGCGCGGTTTCTCTTTTAGGATATAATAAGGTTGTTGCTCTTCTCCCACAAGAAACGCCTCTAAATCACTCCCAAATCCCTACCGAAACATTACTATCATCAGACATCGGGTTCTTAGCCACTGTAGATTAATTTACTTATGTTTGTCTGAGCCTGGGCCTCATAAAAGCGGCGGCAGCTCAGATAGAAACGGCCCGCCCGGCAGAAATTATCCTGTCATATAAGCGCATATAGCCGACTCAACATTAGGTGCCCAGTATGAAATGCTATATATTCGGAGATGTTCAATAGAAGCTACGTACTCCAATCCTGGTTTCCATTCGCCCATTGAAAAGGCTATTGCCGGTATACTCCACCCCCGGTTCATCGCGCGGGTAAAAGCACAGCCCGCAGTGGGAAGTGGATTTCCCGCGCGCTCGGCTCGCGCCTTCTCCTCACGTCCTCACCAAGCAATTTATCTCCGCCACGGCGGTGCCAACCACAGAGACATTGTACCTTCGCCCGATAATCATCTCGATAACAACTGTCGAATTCGCCATGGCCGCCCACAACACTCTTCGCCGGTCTCTGCTGTACGGTAAGCAGAAGCGCAGAAAGCAGCCACCCGCGTCTTCCCCGCATTTTCCATGCGGAGCTGCTGGACGGGCCGATGCTAACAACCTTCCGTCCAGTCCCCGGCTCTTCACAGCGTTTCCTGGACAAGTCCCGCTCTCTGGTGGCGGATTGTCTCACCTATGACCTGGAAGACAGCGTCACGCCGCACATGAAGGCGGAGGCCCGGTCGCTGGTGCGGAAGGCGATCGATCAGCCTACGCCAGAGAATATTCGCGAGCGCGCGGTGCGAATTAACTCGGTGGACAGCGGGCTGGCGCTGGGAGATCTGACGGAGGTGGTCAGTAGCTGCATCCCCCGGAACAAGAGTCTGTGAGGCCTTGCATTGCTAATCTAAATCCCTGTCCAGCTACAATCGGCCAACCTGACGACCATTGTCATCCCCAAGGTCAATTCAGCCTCGGACCTCACCTTCGTCACCGACGTCATCAACCACACCTTATCCCAGCAGTCCTCATCCAAGAAGAGACCGCCCATCTCCCTCCTTGCCCTCGTTGAGTCCGCCAAGTCGCTCACAAATCTCTCCGAGATCTGCGCCGCCTCGCCGTTGTTTCAAGGATTGATCTTCGCAGCCGAAGACTTTGCGTTGGATCTCAGTATTACTCGCACCCCTTCCTTAACGGAATTCCTGTTTGCCCGTTCGGCTATCGCGACTGCTGCGCGCGCCGCGAACCTTCCATCTACAATCGATCTGGTCTGTACGGCATACAAGTCAGAAAAGGCGGATGGATCACCACCCGCGGCGCTCCAGGAGGAATGCCGCGACGGACGGCGACTGGGATTCAATGGAAAGCAATGTATTCACCCCTCACAGGTGCAGACTGTCAATGAGATCTTTGGACCCGACCGTGAAGAGACTACCTGGGCGATGCGCGTGGTCATTGCCGACGATAAGGCTGCTGCGGCTGGACGAGGCGCGTGGACGCTGGACGGGAAGATGATCGACGTACCCGTTGCTCACAAAGCTCGGGCCATCGTGAAGAAAGCTGAGGCCTGTGGCATGGACGTCACAGCCCTGCGGGAACAGTGGCAGCACCAGGAGCCGGAGTAATCGACATGCCTATGCATATATAGACTGCGCCAATCTCTGCCAATGGGCTCAAAACCTCAAGCCAAAACCCGAACCGCATTTTGTGCGGGTTCCATTAACCGCCCAATCCACACCCAAACCACAAACCTCTGCGGTTCCCTAGAGGGCCCCAACACAACTATTTCTGCATAAGCTTACATGAAATGCTAAAAAGAACTATATCAAGTACCTTATTAAGTACTGTAGTATAAAATAGTATCACCAATAGAAGATTATATATATATTTTAACAAACCTACTGTTGCTCCACTTTGAAACCTATTGGGGCCCGAAGAGCTATTGCGGTTTCTACCGTAAAAACAAAAAAGCGTCATGGTTTCCGTAATTCCCATAACCAAGAGCAAATTAGCAAATTTCAGCGCTTCTACCTAAATCGAAGAGTACATGCGAACAAGTTTACGACAAGATTAGCCAGAAAAGGAGGGACAGCTATGCGGAGTATACAGCCGAGCTGGGGTTCTGCAGGTTCCAACCAACTCCTCTCGGATACCACGAATAGCTCCAAAGCTCCCAAGAAGGGATTCAGAGGTGACTTGTGTGAAGAGGCATAGCGCAGGGTGCATACATCCGTGGCTGAGAGTACGCGCTGGAGTTTAGGAGAATCCCTGGTTCGAAGGGGCTGATTGATAAGAATAAACATGCGATCAAGGGTAGTTCCTCCAAAGGTAAAATCCGACTCACCATCCTTCTGCCGAGGCCTTGCTAGACTTCTTGTAGAGTAAATAGTAAGTGGTCTAGATTTCTTTTGTGGCGAAGATGTTTTTTGGTGCCGTAAAGTTTATTGGGTTGGCTGGCCAATACCTTCCCTTCCGTGAGTGGCGTCACAACTAAGATTAACCCACATGTGCTTGCCAAGCTATCGACGTGTGGTTTCCGGACCAGACAAAGGACATATTTTTCACCAGCAAGTCAGAAGACAGTGTGACGACACAGCTACTGAAATCAGTACATATTCTGGAGGGGGTAACGTGCAGATTTCCCATCACCAGCGGATTCTGAGATAGTACCATTCTTCATGACAATCTGCATGGATAACCTATTCAAGACCTCTTGAGTTGCCAAATTGTTTCTAGGACATGAAAGAGATAATTCGAGACTCAGCATTTGGCAAGCTACTCCGCATTGTCAGCGGTACGGCTCTCTTGCCGTACCCAGAAGAAACCGATCATTTGACTTGGCGGACATATGTACAAAAATCTGCGGGGGCTGAGCCATATGAAACAACCGTGGAGACTAGTGATGCCGAATTTTCCGAGTCGTATGGATTATACACGGTCGTGTCGCAAGCGTCGTACCGGAGTCGACGAAGGCCTCCGCTGAGGACTGCCTTGGCCGGACCATGGCGTGGGGCACAAGGCAAGACGCCTGTGATAATCGGCTGGGGAGGGCCGGATGATAGCGAGGTGCGACACCATTCTGGATTACCTTTACGAAGTCTCTCGGTCTGCAAGGCAAGAATTGTAACTGACGTTCCCAGAACCCTCAAAATTGGAGTTTCGGCAAAAAGATGTTCGTTAGTACACTCATCTGGCTTCTTACATTTTCTGTATACATTGGCTCGGCTATCTACACCCCTGGGATTCCAGGCGTATCTGAGCAGTTTGGTGTGAGTAACGAAGTTTCACTACTCGGACTGACATTATTTGTGCTCGGATACGGATTTGGTGAGTTATATTTTTCTTGCTGGACCGATTCACAGCCCACTCTAACGGAATACGCTCGAGGACCGATGTTTTGGGCACCCTTATCCGAGCTGCCCGCTATAGGGCGAAGTCCAGTATACGTTCTCACGTTGGTTGTCTTCGTCTTCCTTCAATTTGCAGTAATCTACGCAACGAACATCGGCATGCTCTTAGCATTTCGATTTTTGACTGGCTTCTTTGGCTCACCTGTCCTTGCTACCGGAGGTGCTTCTATGGCGGATATCTGGGATGTAAGATACCGCGACTATATGATTGGCGTCTGGGGATGTTTTGCTATTTCCGCTCCTGTGCTGGGCCCTCTTGTTGGCGGATTTGCATATTCCGCCAAGGGATGGACTTGGACTATCTGGGAGTTACTTTGGATATCTGGCTTTGCTCTTGTGGTTCTATTCTTCTTCCTTCCTGAGACATTTGCCTCTAATATCCTCTCTCGCCGTGCACGGCGGATTCGCCGGATTACGGGCGATCAAAGGTATGCATCTGACGCTGAGATTGAGATTGCTCGTGTTTATCCCAGGGTAAGCCTTCGTGGCCGTGTCCATCCACCTTTCCTTTCACCGTGGGTATTTGGAGACTGATAGAGCAGACAGGACGTCCTCATTGAAGCACTTGTTCGCCCATTTCAACTCTGCTTCCTTGAACCCATCGTCTTCCTGATGAACCTCTACATAGCCCTCATCTATGGAATCTTGTATATTTGGTTCGAAGCCTTTCCGATTGTCTTTGAACTAAAGCGCGGCTTTAACCCGGGAGAAAGTGGGCTGGCGTTCCTGGGTATTCTGATAGGGACGACTTGCATCGCTATTCCGGGGTACTTCTATTGGAAATATCGCTGGCAATCCAAACACGTTGACCGGAACGGCGAACTTTCCCCGGAAGAACACCTTCCTCCCGCGTGCGTTGGAGCGCTGTGTCTGCCAATATCCCTTTTCTGGTTTGGGTGGACTGGAAATTTCGCAAGCATCCATTGGATTGTGCCTATCATTGCTTCGATGCTCTTTTCTATTGGAGGCTGTCTGATATTCAACAGCATCTTCTGCTACGAGGCAAGTGCGTACCCCAAATATGCAGCCTCTGTTCTTGCCGGAAACGATTTCTTACGGTCCTCCTTCGGTGGTGCTTTTCCTCTCTTTGCTACCCAGATGTTCCTCAACTTGGGGGTTGGTTGGGCCTGTACATTACTGGGATGTTTGTCGATGCTATTTGTGCCATATCCTTTTTTTCTGTACAAATTTGGGAAGCGTGTCCGGAACAAAAGCAAATATGCGCTGCACGATGGCTAGTGGGGCCGGCAGTTCTCTTTTTTGACCGCATCGTTGTATTCGTATCCCATAAGGCAGGAAGAGTACGAATGATCAAAAAATCAATAAATGGTCAAATTTCTGAAGTGGCATGATCTGTTCGTATTTACATGGGATGCAAATCGAGTAGCGTGGAAAGCCAAACACAGTCCGAAGGATTATTGGTTCACCGGTTGTACGTGATGTACTAGACTTGAATTGAAAGGAAGCGTTGATTGCGCATATTACCTTACCCAAGAGGATGGAATAATTATGTACTGACAATTGCATTAGAGGTCCTTTTGCCTGGTATCGCATGTTTAAATTGCAATACCAGATAGCGTCTGCCCTAGGATCTACTTTTTCACTTTTATCACCTTGGGAATATGGTGTGCTTAGTATTTCTGGACGTACGTTGAGAATAAACGCTAGTAATATAGTAGCTGGTTGAGCACAAAATGTATAATGACAACAGGCCTTAGAGAGGCTGCTGATAATTCCGAATTTATCCCAGCCTCGGAGGCCGGGCTATGCGGATGGATCTATAAGGGGTTCATTCAGATTCTGCTCTCCCGTCAAAGATACGCTACCGCTGGCTCTTGGCGACCGGTTGCTGGTGTGAGGTCGGGATTGTAGAGCCATACTCCGAAATGACCAATAGGCCATGGCTGGTTTCCACTGGCTGGTTGCCACATGAGAATGTAGTTCCACCAAGGGCCTGGCCTAGACTCTAAATTACGGAATGAGGGAGTAGCCAGTTCGGGGGCTAAAGTGGGACGGGACATGGTTTGTGCTACGCTATTATTTCAGAAGGCGCTCTTTGATAACACGAAGTAGCAAGGGCCAGACAATCTTCGGTCGCAGGGTGGCGATCGGTTGTTTCCACATTCGCGAGGCGACAGGAGCCACCTTGCTCATGACTTTCGGCCACGAGCAGACAACCAAGCCGCCCTCCCATGGTACTCCGCGGCAACTATTGGTAGTGCTAACCGTAGTTAAATGCACTGTGATTTTACGGTACTCGAATTTCCTTGGCTGTTGCACACTGGAGTGGGATCAGCCTGCCTGGACCCACCGCAGCTTGGGAGGAGTTGAGGCTGCGGACATCTGGGGCTACGGGGCCTATCACACGATCGGAGCTGGCGGACGGTTTGATTGTTCGTGCACCCTACTTTCAACTTCGGACGGGACGAAGCAGGTCATATTTCTCCGCAAGAAACCCAGGCCGCTATGCGGGTCCCGATGCTGAGGGCGGTTTCGCCTTCCCCGCAGTCATTGTATAAATGGCGGCGAGAAGACGGGTCACCAGAGAGTGTCCGATAACCCGGAGCACTATCTCGCCTATATCAAGACGGTCCATCTACCTGAAATTCTAATCGAGCTCGATCGTCAATACGTAAAGGGATTTGACAATGTCACTGCCTCCGAGTGCCGAACCAATGGCCTGCGCTGAGAGCTCTTCGACAGGATCGTCCCCACATCGTTCAGATCTCGAGACTGCCAGCAGAATATCGCGTTCGGTGACGAACTTTGATATCAACGCCATTTCGCGGATTGCGTCCTTGGTTTCTACCCAAGGGCGAGGGGTGCTGCATACAATTGCAGAAGATGACCCGGCACTTGACCCCACCAGGAAGGAGTTCAACCACTATAAATGGGCTCGCACCAGACTCAACCAGCTGGATGAAGAAAGTGTCTTGCGTAAACATGCGGGTTTGGTGTTCAAAAACCTAAATGTTTCTGGGTCTGGCGCTGCGCTGCAGCTGCAAGAAGTGGTGAGCTCGGCTCTGCTAGCTCCGTTCCGCCCTGCCAGCTACAGAAACATACTGCATCCAGAGCCCAGGAGGCAGATTCTACATAATTTTGACGGGATGCTCAGGAGCGGCGAGATGCTCATGGTTTTGGGTCGACCGGGCAGCGGCTGCTCAACGTTCCAGAAGACAATCTGTGGTGAGCTACACGGGTTCAACGTACATCCAGACTCGGTTATGCACTACAATGGAATCCCCATGAAGAAGATGCACGAGGAGTTTAAGGGCGAGTGCGTCTATAACCAGGAGGTGGATAAGCATTTCCCACACTTGACAGTGGGTGAAACGCTGGAATTTGCTGTCGTCGGCCCGAACCCCATCTCATCGGTTGACGGGGGTGTCTCGCAAGCAGTATGTTAAGGAGGTGACCCAGGTAGCCATGGCAGTTCTGGGTCTGTCCCATACATATAACACCCGAGGTCAGTTTCAAAGGTGAATTTGGCGAACCATGCATAAGCTGAGCCGAAATTTGCAGTTGGCGACGATTATATTCGCGGAGTCTCTGGCGGAGAACGAAAGCGTGTTAGGTGCGGACCCCAATTTACTCCCTCCTTTTTTTGGCCTTATGAGCTATTTCCTCCTTCGATATCCCAGTGAGTGGCGGCTGACAATGTAATATTGCAGTATCGCAGAGATGGCGCGTAAGATGAAATCCTTGTCCTCATGATCTGGCTTCTGAAAGTCCGCTCGGCTAACCTGTTACTGTGTCCGCTGATTGCAGTCGCACGAGCTCCTATTGCGGCCTGAGATAATAGTACCCGGGGCCTTGACGCTGCCAGTGCTTTGGAATTTGTGAAAGCACTGCGAATATCGGCCGATTTAACTGGAGGCTGCCATGCGGTAGCCGCCTATCAGGCATCTCAAGCTATCTATGACGTTTTCGACAAGGTGATGGTCTTGTACGAGGGCCGCGAAATCTACTTCGGGCCATGCAACCAGGCAGAGGAATATTTTGTCAATATGGGCTGGGTAAATCCCCCTCGACAGACAGTCGGAGACTTTCTTACTTCTGTTACGAACCATCAAGAGCGCAAGGCACAACAAGGGATGGAGCATAGGATTCCGCGAACTCCCGAAGAATTTGAGCGCTACTGGAAGAAGAGCCCTGAGTATGCTGCCCTTCTGGAAGAAATCAAACAGTACGAGTCTGAATACCCTCTGGGGGGCCACGGGCAAGAGGATGTGACAGCCGGGAAGCGTACGGAGCAGGCGAAGCACGTGCGGCCAAAGAGTCCATATCTCATCTCGGTTCCAATGCAACTCAAACTGTGCATGATACGGGCCTATCAGAGGTACGTTTAACTGCTACCGACCGCAGGATCATTGCTTCTCGCATCTGGAAGAATGCAGAAATTTATGCATGGCTTCCTTAGGATATGGAACGACAAAGCTTCAACGCTGACCTTGCTCGTTGGTCGGATTATTATGTCGTTAGTGGTCGCGTCAATCTTTTTCAAGTAGGCTCAACATGGAATTGACTGAGTTGACAAATTCTGACTATATTCTGCAGCACTCCGGATGCCACTGCTGGTTTCTTCGCCAAAGGCTCCCTGCTTTTTTTTGCCACCCTGTAGGCCCGACCGATCTCCTTCCGAGGGTGTGGATGGATACATGGCTGACCGTGACCACCTGGCAGACTCAATGCCCTTATAAGCGTGACAGAAATCAATTCTCTCTATGAGCAGCGTCCTATTGTGGAGAAGCAAGCGTCCTATGCGTTTGTCCACCCTTTTGCAGAGGCCTGTGGGGCGATCATGGCCGACCTACCCATCAAGCTTACATCTGCAGTATTGTTCAATGTAACCATTTATTTTCTTGGGAGTCTGGTAAGCCAAAATCCTCCAATCCCGCTATTTACCTATCCCAAATCTGACAAATTTGAAAGCGGTATACTGCATTCCAATTTTTCATCTTCTTTCTCTTCAGCTTCCTTTCGACTATGATTATGTCCGCTGTCTTCCGCACTTTGGCCGCACTGACGCAAAGCGTTGCTCAAGCCATGGCTTTGGCCGGACTCATGATCCTCATACTTGTCATCTATGCAGGGTTCGTGGTTCCCACGCCAGAGATGCACCCCTGGTTCGCCTGGCTACGATGGCTAAATCCGCTTTTTTATACTTTCGAGGGCCTCATTGCCAATGAATTTCATGGGCAAAATTTCGAATGTTCTCAATTTATTCCGGGATACCCAAGCTTATCTGGTGATGCTTTTATTTGCTCCGTGCCTGGGTCTGTGGCAGGAGCAAGAAGCGTATCTGGGGATTCTTTCATCTATGCGCAGTATCGCTACAGCTACTCTCACGAGTGGAGAAATCTGGGCATCCTCATTGGTTTCTGGATAGTCTTTATTTTCGCATATCTCCTTGCCACCGAGTTGAACTGTGCCACGTCGTCAACAGCTGAATTCCTCGTCTTCCGTCGAGGTAACATTCCTGCCTACATGCAACACCATATCAAGGATACAGAGAAGTCTGCTAATTCCCAAGCGCTGGTACTGGAGCACCCAGTTAAGAGTGAGGTGCCCATGGATCTGAGCACAGTCATGCCAGAGCAGCAGAGCATCTTTACTTGGCAGAACCTGTGTTACGATATTCCCGTAAAAGGAGGGCAACGCCGCCTTCTCGATCATGTTTCCGGCTGGGTAAATCCAGGAACTCTGACAGCATTGATGGGCGTGTCTGGAGCAGGAAAGACCACGCTGCTGGACATTCTTGCACAGCGGGTGACTCTTGGGGTGGTCACCGGTGACATGTTGGTTAACGGACGTTCTCTACCAGCAAGCTTTCAACGACAAACTGGGTATGTACAGCAGCAGGATCTTCACCTCGCTACATCAACTGTGCGTGAGGCTTTGGGGTTTAGCGCTATGCTCCGGCAACCCAAGTCCGTTTCCAAGGCAGAGAAGTATGCCTATGTAGATCAAGTCATCAAGATGCTGAATATGACGGACTTTGCCGAGGCTGTCGTCGGTACACCGGGAGAAGGCCTCAATGTGGAGCAGCGGAAACTCTTGACCATCGGAGTTAAACTGGCGGCGAAGCCACAACTCCTCCTATTTCTGGATGAGCCGACAAGCGGCCTAGATTCTCAGAGCGCGTGGTCTATCTGTGCCTTTCTGCGCAAGCTTGCAGATAACGGACAGGCAGTCCTTTCAACAATTCATCAGCCAAGCGCCATCTTGTTTCAGCAGTTTGATCGGCTTCTCTTCCTGGCCAAAGGGGGTAAAACCGTGTATTTTGGCGACATCGGGGAGCAGTCCAGATCACTGCTAGACTATTTCGAGCGGAACGGAGCGAGGTCGTGTGACCCATGCGAGAACGTAAGTCGAACCCATCATCCTTCTAAAAGGACGCTGAACGTGCGTGTCTAACAATACTATAATTTCAGCCCGCCGAGTACATGTTAGAAATCATTGGTGCAGGTGCATCTGGCCACGCTTCCAAAGACTGGCCGGCAGTTTGGAAAAAAAGCAATGAAGCCAGTGAAGTAAAAGCCGAATTGGGTCGCATCCGTGCCGCGGGATCTTCTCCTAACGATGGCACTGGATTGATCAATACAGAATTGGACGACCAGGGAGAATATGCCATGCCACTAATCGCTCAGTTATGGTGGGTGACTCGCCGGGTGTTTCAGCAATACTGGCGTGAGCCAGCCTACATCGGGGCAAAGTACATGCTAGGTGTTGTCTCGGCTTTGTTCATTGGCTTTTCCTACTTCTTGCCAGGACAATCCATCCAAGGGATACAGAATCGCCTGTTTAGTTCCTTCATGTTGACGTCAATTTTTTCCACGTTGGTCCAACAGTAAGTCTACCCTGCTGTTCCCAAAAAATAACCTTGGGAGTATTTGTCCCCTAACCAAGCTAGTAGGATCATGCCTAAGTTTATCACTCAGCGCTCGTTGTACGAGGTACGGGAACGGCCATCGAAAACGTACTCATGGGTGGCGTTCGTCGTCTCGAATATCGTCGTGGAAATTCCATACCAGATTCTCCTCGGAGTACTAGTCTGGGCAAGCTACTACTATCCTATCTATGGCGCAAATCAGAGCTTGGATCAGCAGGGACTTATGATGATGTTTGTGGTTCAATTCTTCCCCTTCACCTCGACCTACGCAGACCTGGTGATTTCCTCCTTGCCGGATGCCGAAACTGCAGGTAAACTATTCCCCCAGTCGGACGATAAGTGATCTGGCAAGAGCATTACCTGACTCTTGGTCTACTTTACACAGGAACCGTTGCGACATTGTCCTTTGCCCTCATCCTAACGTTCAACGGAGTCATGCAGACTCCAACCGCCCTTCCTGGATTCTGGACTTTCATGTACCGTGTCTCGCCCCTAACATATTTGGTCGCGGGAATGTGCGGTAATGCGCTACACGGACAGCAAGTTCGATGTTCTAGCAGGGAGCTTAGTGTATTGTCTCCTCCCGAAGGCATGACATGCGGCCAATACCTTGGTGACTGGTTGAGTGCATCGCCAGGTCAACTCTTCAACCCGTCTGCCACGACGGGCTGCGAGATTTGTGCTTTCACTACCGCAGACCAGTATCTGTCCCTCAGCAAGATCTGTAAGTGGCGTGACTGCTCAGGGGCCGTTCCAGTGCTAATATTGATCATGTATCAGACTACAGTCAACGCTGGCGCAACTTCGGAATCGGCTGGGCCTATATTGGGTTTAACATTGGAGGGGCTATACTATTGTATTATGTTTTCCGCGTGCGCCACTACAAGCCAAATTTGCTTCCGCGGGTAGTGACTGCCCGTGGACGAGTCTTACATAGACTGTTCAGGAGAAGGTCGGGAAGTGTCCCCCAAGAGAAGGAGGCCGATACCAGCCGGGTTCTGTGATGTCTGTCCCGGCTGCGCATGCCTCCCGGCAAGTCCATATCTGCTCTGACCCAATCACCAACTACGAAGGGCTTCCTGAGGTTGTTCAACTGGATGTCGAATCGAGCCCAGCGTGTATGAGAGCCGTTATTGATATGCGCGATGGTTCTACTAAATACTTAGATTCTGCTGTCGATGTTGCTTTTGCCTTGGCTTTTTTGTCTGTAAATTATTTGTCAGTAAATTAAGAATATATATATTGATATGGAGGACCTCTGTGGTGTGAAGTGGTGCGTAGTACCTAATACCTAGCGATCGTTTAATAGGTAGTGCAAAACCTCAGAATAACGGTAGATCCACACCCAGCGTAATCTGGCCCATCAGCTAGGTTAATTTTAGCCAGAGAGTGTACCCTCAGGAGAGCAATCTGCACACGCACGGAGACCTTTGACGGTTCTCTTGCGTCACGATAACGAGGACCTTGGCGGGGCTAGATTGCCCGGTCGGAGCCCCACGACACACCGAGAATTGTCATTTCCTTGCTTTTTACTATTTTTACTCGATACTCTTAGTGTAATAGGTGCAATGGTCTAGACTAGACTAAATCAAAGTCATGAGGAATTTGGGGTGACTGAACCATGGATAGACCCAACATGCGGTGACTGCATGAAAGTCGAAAATGCCGATCATATAACCGCATGGTTCTGTCGGTTCAAATGAACTTCAGTATCACGACCGACTGGAGCCTTCAAAAGTTTCCCGATAGTTACCTTGTTCTTCTAAGAACTGAAGTAGGCTCGTTATGGCTAGCAGCGTCTCTACGAGCGGCGCTAAAGTTGAGAGATGGACGACTGTATATCAGTGCCCACTGAAGTCCCAGCTGCGGAAAGACGACTGGACTGGGCCGCCATTCAATGTAGGAAGCTGTTTCACGTGGGGTGAAGCTCCATATTAAACCCTCGCAGGCTATCTATGCAGGTGCGGCAGTTCGATTCCACCTCCTGGCTGGAGCGACCATCGCCCTCGCTGTGCGCGATTGCACGTATCCGCTGGACTTTGCGCAATTCGAATTCCCTAGCGGCAGTCGCCGCGATGGTTGGGAGGGGCTCACGAAGTTTATCCTAGAGAAGGCTGCAGATTACCAGGAGAAGCACAGCCAAAAGTTCGTCGGCTTAGCAATGCCGACCGAGCTGCATGAACGATGTCCTGAGCTCTGTTCGCGGCTTTGGGCTGAGCTAGATATTATCCCGATTGTGCTGCGCAGTTCGGAGGAAAAGGTAAGTTTGGGTTTATATGAAGAGAACCTGTCGTTTAAGTCATTAGACGAACACGCCGAGTCAATCGCAAGAAAATGTATCAGGTTGGTCTTTCCCTTTCCAGCTAAGTCCAGCTTCTTACTTCAGCGCAGGTTTTTCGGCCCCAGCCAGGCTCCAGTCCCAGAGATCGGCGTCCGAGGCCTTGTTGAGGTTGACGCCGCATTCCATGTAAAATTCACCCGGCTTGCGGACTATGAGAAAACAGTGGGAGCCCCGACGTGGGCGGCAATTAACAAATATGCCAATGACCTAAAAAAACGCCGGGTAAAGATAGCATTCATGAGTGCTACTCCACAGGGTGGTGGCGTCGCCCTAATGCGCCATGCTATGGTTCGGTTTGCAAATGTACTCGGTGTCGACCTCAGGTGGTAGGTGCTTGATATCGCGGTACCCAGTCTCCCACATCTCCGTTCTCTGCTCACGACTGATTTAGGTATGTCCCGAAGCCGAGTCCTGGTATCTTCCGAATTACCAAGAACAACCATAATATCCTACAAGGCGTCGCACCTCCGGGAACTCGCTTTACTCAGGAAAATAGGGACCTCCTCCATGATTGGGTCCTTGAAAATGCGGAACGCTATTGGTTTAAGGGAACGAGATTTGTAGCTCCCCCGTGGTTTGAGAAATTTCGCTCCTACGCCTATCCGTTACTCCAGGAACATGGCGCACCCCATCCGCCTTGGCATCAGACAAACGGCCCTCTAGTGCCGCCGTGGGATGGCGGTGCCGACGTGATTGTCGTTGACGACCCGCAGCTGCCATGGCTGATCCCACTTATCAAGGAACACACTCCGGACCGACCAGTTATTTTCCGTAGTCACATCCAGATCCGGAGTGATCTTGTCAACACGCCTGGCACCTCGCAGGCCGAGGCCTGGAATTTCTTGTGGGAGGCAATCGAGCAAGCAGATCTCTTTATCAGTCATCCCGTACGCGCCTTTGTCCCGAATGATGTGCCACCAGAAAAACTCGGATATCTGCCGGCGTCAACAGACTGGCTGGACGGTCTCAATAAGCCCATGACTGACTGGAGCGCCTGTTACTATGGGCGGATCTTCAACTCGAAGTGCCGGGAGCGGTATATGCCGAACATTGCATTTCCAGATGGTGAGATATTCCAGCGGTTTTGCTCCCTACTTCTACCTAGAAACCACGCAGACTGACATCAAGGTAGAGGACTACATCATACAGGTTGCCCGATTTGACCCTTCAAAAGGAATCGAAGACGTCCTCGCCTCCTATAAGGCGTTCCACAGGCGCCTCGTCGAGGCGGATCCGGACATAAGACCTCCTAAACTGATCATCTGCGGACACGGATCAGTCGATGATCCGGACGGCTCGATCGTCTATGAGGCTGCCCTAGCTTTTGTCGAGCGGCACCTCGAGCATATCCGGTCACAAATTTGCATTATGCGTGTTGGCCCCAGTGACCAGGTGCTTAACGCTCTTCTCCACAACGCAAAAATTGCCCTACAACTCTCTACCCGCGAAGGGTTTGAGGTCAAGGTATCCGAGGCGTTGCATATGGGTAAACCGGTGATCGCGACGTTAGCCGGCGGAATCCCGCTGCAAGTACAGCATGGTAAGAACGGTTTCCTGGTCGATGTCGGTGACACCGAAGCGGTGGCAAACCATCTCTTTGAACTGTACATGGACCAGGAATTGTATGATCGCATGAGCAGATACGCAGCAAGCAGCGTCAGTGACGAGGTTAGCACTGTGGGCAACATCTTGTCGTGGCTGTACCTGGCATCGAAGTTGTCGAAAGGCGAGAAAATCCAGCCTAATGGACGCTGGATCAACGACATGGCCCGCGAGGGGGCGGATGAGCCGTATACCCCAGGGGAGAACCGGCTTAAACGCGTGTTGTCGACGGACGCAGCGAAGTGAGAAGATATTCGGTCTTATTACGAAAAATACTCATTTCTTTCTCTTGTTTCTTCACATTGGATCTTCAAATTTGTACGCAGAAGGTCAAACATTATGCAGTAACCGGAAGCAATGAAATGATTGTAGAATCAATCCATGAAGCATAGCTCGGCAAGGAATCATACCTATGGATCCTTGTTTTCCAGTTTGCTGGCGTGGCTTGTAGAGCGTAATTAGAATAAAACTCAGCCGTTGTCTTTGAGAAAATAGAACTATAGGATTAATCAAAGACCTTTTACTGTGAATAGCACACAGTTAAGAGGTGCGGGGTCCAAGTCATCATCGCAGCTTCCTGTTTATATGTGAAAGACTATATATCGCCCCCACTTCCCCCCCCCCGCGCGTGTGTCGACCTAAATAACAACATAAAATGAAGAGGCACACACACACAATACGAAAAAGAAAAAAGTTATACGTCGCTGTAAGTTCAACTGTGCAGGAAACGGTTGCCTATTCATAATGCAATACGATCACTTTCCGGAATCCTGGACCCTAAATATATTCGGGCCCTGTAGAGGGGGTATAAGTGTCTTGGCAAAAGGGGGAAGATTTCCTTGCACCTCCCACTAACTCCCCTAATATTAGAGGGTTTCATACCCAAGTCAGGAATGTAGTATGCTGAAGGTATTTTAAGTCATATTGAAAAGGGGAGACGCTCATCAAACATAAGATACAAATGGTCTCGAAGATCGATCGCGATCCCCGGAACAAATTGACCGGCAAGTATATCGTACACGCTTTCATAGTCATACAAAGAAATTACATGACGCCTGGCGCTCTGGCACCATATCGGATTTTTCCAGGGGAATATGATTTTTGAGAAGGTTCAAGGAGGCTTGGATAGCGGAGGGAAGGCAGTCCATGGTCATGGAAAGAAGAAAGGTAGGCGAATGATGTCGAGGAGAGAGTCGGACGGAGTCGTCTTGGGCTTCGGACGGTGGCGGGCAAGGTCGTAGGGGCTGAATGACATCATTTCTCACCCAACAGCTCCTTGCGCATCTCCTCGCGTTGTATCCTCGACTCCTCCTTCGCCCGAGCGCGCTGCGCCTCGATCCGCGCCTGCTCCCGGTCCCGCTCTTCTTGCGCGGCGTACCAAACTAATTGTCAAGCAATGCCGCGTTAGCAATGTGATTTTTACTGATGTCCGCCTTGAGCTTCAAACATACTGGACTTGTCCGATTTGGACCACACCTTCAGCTTCTGAACATAATCGTCGAACTCCTGCGCCTTGCGATCGCCCTGCTCCGCACTGCGCTTCTGCAATTCCGGGTTGTAACGCTTGACAAGCTCCTCGTCCGAAGGGCGGAGATATTGCACAAAGGCTGGGCCACCGACCGAGATGAGGATACCACTAAAAAACCAGGCGACATTAGCTTGGGACTGTGTCGGGTCCGATGGCGACACTCACCCTCCGATCACTTTCGCCCACAGTCCAGCTCGAGACATTTGGATTGTATTTCGCACAGATATCAAGATGCGTATCACAGGTTATTGAAGCTCGACGGTACTCTGAGGAATTTCGTCGAAACAGGTGCTGTGTAGTAACGACTTCGAGGGGAGGAAGTCGGCGAGATGGAAACTTGGCGCGGATCGCTAAGTGCAAACCCAACAAACACCGGCTCGCGGTTAATCCAATCGCGAACCGGCGATTGCAAGTCTAATCCCGCCCTCATCCTCTCGAAAAACGTGGGGTAGCAATCACAGCAAAGCGTCTCATGGATGACACTGGAACAGAGGAACAGAAATCCTTTTCCTTGATATCGACGAAGTAGTTCTTCCGTCCACTCTGGTCGTACTGACATCCCTCTATTCCATCGCATCGTTATTTCTTGCATGAAGAGAACGCACAGCTTTCGAGCTTGGTTGATTTCATTTATTGAACCAGGCGTCGATTGATGTCTGGATTGGAGGGGAAGGATGAGTACTTTTGCAGAATACGCCCCTGAATGCAGGGGTCCTGCATCCTAGAGCTGGCCGTCAAAGACGTTCTCTCCGTTATGAATCGATCTCGCGTTTATAATGGCGATCGCGGGTCCTTCGTGTCCCATGACGGAAACCGAAAAGCTGGAAGAAGGACAGTGGTTTGTACCACTTAGCAGACTCTCAACAGGTCAGCCATATATTGCAGATCTCGTATTACGTTATGCATCTTTTCTTCGACTGGACAAACATAGGCAACATACTACACCAACCAATGATCGCACTTAGCTTGTCCGCATGCGATTGCGATGTAAGGAAAGGGAGCGTAGAGATCATAGTACAGCAAATGTGGAACTTGCAGCTATCTCGTGGGTGGGGTACGTCGGCAATATACAGTAGTGAATCAAGTCCGTCTGAACAGCATCTAGATTGGACGACTCCAAGGGCATCGGTGGCTGTAGCACCACTCGAGCTGTCTCTATAGTCCATCAAACACATGTCTTGTCGCCCCGCTCCGATGCGGTGAAGAAACTTACTATTGGACACCAAGCCAGACAAGTAATGATGCTTCTCTATATCCCAGGCAAATATGTTGATCAGATGATAGAAGACTGGTTGACCTGACAGATAGTGCATTGCCCGATGACGCTCATCCGTAGATTCTTCATATTCCATCTGGGCATTGCCTCATCAGATATTTGATGATTTTATTTGTGGTTCATAAGATACGTTTGGCATCGTTGGATTCTCTGTAGCTCACGCCCCTAGGCCATCCCTATGATTTTCAATGGTCCGTTAACTGCTATCACTTGTGTCTCTCCGGCAATGGTTAGAGATATCTTCCAATGCAGCATATGAGAATGCTTGATGTTGTAAGTCACAAAGTCAGGATATATCATCGATATGTAGCCAAGAGAGAGTCCACAAGAAGTCAGACCATGGGAACCGAGGCCCAGCTGAAAGGCCTGACCGAGATCAATAGCGGAGTTGCCTTCGCTGGGTGAGAGACGCAGAGGGCGTTGAGCCTTCTGAAAAACCGACTCGAGCCGAAGACTAGACGATGACGAATGCTGGTTATTTCGGGTCGCTCGATCCCAAGGGTCCCCCGCGCGAAGGCTGGTGCGACTGATCAAAAAGACTTTTATCCCATTGGTCTGGATATCCTGCGGCACCTCCTTGATAGAATTACTGATCTTGTCATCTAGTGGTAGGACTTCCAACACAAGTGGGAACGCTTGTGACAGGCTGAGTTGAATAATGCGGGGTGTGGTGAGGTTGACTCGGAAGTGGAACTCGGGGACTTTGGAAGAGCCAAAGAACTTGAGGGTCTTTTGTTTGACTGATAGATCTGTGTTCTTCAACCCTGGCAGCAGTCGCTGGCTTCGGACTTTCTGTGTAGCCGATAGCTGAATGACTTGGTCTGGCTGGCCCGCATTGTCGACCGAGTGCCGTAGCGTGATCGGCCAAGTGGCCGTATAGTTTTTGAACGAGCCAAATTTATATCTCAATTGAGCGCTTAAATAGTACTCCACAAAGCACTCTGAGTCTGCGCTGCCACTCGAGGCACCTCCCAACCAGCAGAAGGTCCCCGGCAACGTGTGATGGGCAGGATGGTCCCAGTTGAGGGGAAGGAAGCTGGCAGCCTGAGCATGGCCCTTCATCACAGAACGTCTTGGTTTTAATGGGATTTGGATTGAGAATGGCCAACTGAGCGACTCGGTACTTTCTTCGGGGAGATGTAAAGGCCCGCGGAAGATGACTTCTGGCAGCCTCTCGAACAGGTGCCACTCATCGCTGTATTCCCTGTCGGACGAACTAGTTTCTTGTACAAATCGAGTTTTCACGCGGCCTATCAAGGATAGAGTCACGGTTGCCTCGGGGGTGACGATGTGTGCGTGGCGCACCAAGTTGCCGATGATCACGTCGCCCGGTGCGAAGGTCCAACCTGGAGGGGCTGCGACGTCGAACTTGAAATCTTTATTTCCGGTCTTCCTCTGCGGAGGCATTTTGATCTCCTGGACAATGATTTCCCGGTCTCGTCTTCCAGCTCCCGGCCGAGGAATGCAGGGCTAAATACATCCTGAAAGTTGAGGATTGCCGGGGCTTAGGGGGCGAAAAGCCCCGGCGGGCGTGCGACTAAAACCGGGGGCCAGGGCAAGCATAGCCACCACACGGCCCAGCCGTTACTCTCGTCGAATGTATGGACCACGCTGTCATTGTAGCTACAAGTAGCAGTTGTTTAGTGATTTTCTAGGAGATGGAAGGAAAGGACCACGTGCAAGGTATATGAAACGAGACATTACAACTCCGATCTCCACTCAGCGGTCTTCGCGCACTAGCAAATGTCTCTCTTTCTTCAACTTGAATTCGTTTTCACGGCCCCATGAACATCCTTAGGAATAAATCACCCACAACAAGCTTTCACACAGTTTCTGCCCCCGACCCACATGCTTGATACTAAAAATCTCCGCGGGAAAAAGTATTCCGTCCTCGGTGAGCAATCGAAGCTGATATTGACTCCCAGGAAACGGGGGCCAAGTAATGCGGCAAGGTCTTAGCATTGCCATCTCGATCAAAATAGCGAGATGTTTCTGGCGTCTCCGTACCCGTTAGCGCCTCGCTATCAGAGGGCCAGTCGGATTCTTGCAAGAGATGATCGTCATCCAGCGAAGTTGATAATTTCAGACGGCCATAATCCCGCAGGGGGAGCTCTGGACTGGGAATGGTGGAGATAATGAAGTATCGACTGGTACTTGGGGGTGTTGGCAATACCGCAGCATCTGGCATCGCGACATCTGTGATGACGGCGGGAACACGGGCACGAGGCAACTCCACCTCAGTCGAAATATCTGAATCGTTCGCCACCGAATAGGCAGAGCTAGGGGTATCTTGTCGCCGGTATGGGGCCTCCGGTGACTGCGACATAGCGTCTTGCTCCTCTTCCGTCGACTCGGAGCAAGATCCATCATCGCTTTCAGGCGGTACATACACGACTGATTCCGTCTCAGAGCGGGCAGCCCCCCGCAGGCTGTACTTTGGGGATAATGGGCCTTTTCACGCGGGAAGGTTACTTTATTCGCGCCGCTGGGAACCGGCGAGTGCGAGGGGGCCCTTGTGTATTCCCCATAACCGCAGGGCTTGCTCCACGACTCCCAAATCCCAACTGCAACCCGTGCACAGTATTCGATTGGCACACCGAGTTGCTCGGCCAGCCGTTCCAGTACACTTTGGTGCTCCACATAGGCACCGATGTTCTGCAACAGAGCCCTTCGCAGCCAGAGATCAGAAGTTTTCTGAAGCTGGATGAGAGGCAACTGGAGAAACTGCTGAATCTCAAGGTCCACCGAGGCGATCTCCTGCAGGGTAGTAATCTTGAAGGAAGCAATAATAGCGTCGGTGGTAACTAGGCCCCAGATCTCAAATTCTCCATAACCCCTCCACCGATGCACAGTCGTCTTGGTGATCTGTGTAAGAGGCTGCGCCTTGAAAACGGGTGTTCGGAGCTTGAGCGGGTCGATGATGGTCACGATAGCACCTTCGCCCTTTCGAAGGGCCCGATGGATCGGAGTCAGTGGCCCGGTGCACGTCGAGATAAAAGGGGTAAGAACATGTTCCCGGGTTACGTGAGCCGTGAAAAAGTTGAGAAACCGCTCCTCGGACAGATCTTCAGGCCCAAAAAAGGGTGAATTCGTATCCGCAAAGGACCCAGCTCTGAAGAGACTCCTGCTATTCACGCCCTGAGAATCGATGTTTGACCACCGATACAACAGGGGTGGAAGATCGGCCGCCTCACATATTCCAGGGATGTTTCTGATGTTACCTTGGCCAATGGGATCCTGGCCCATTACATCTGCTACCGCCCTATGGCGCATTCCGTCTGGTGCAGATTGCCTGGTGAGGCTCTCACAAGAGTGCTCGGAGGGATCCGAAACTTTATCAATGCTGAATTCAATTTCCAGCATAGGCACATTGCCATATGCGCTTTTGCCTTCCCTTTCACACCAGAGGCAGACCTTATCATGACTGGTCACCAACTGTTCAAGAGCCTTGCTCGGAAGGTCGCTGGGGATCATGGGTTGTACGCTGGGTGAGACGGGTATCTCCACAACGAACTTGGGAGATGAGGTAACCGCTGGAACAGACTGCTCGATACAGTTTAAAGAAGAGCATGGAGATCCAAGTCCATCGCGGGGACTGGGGGTCCTGGGGGGACTGGGAGTGTCATAGGTGCCCTGAGAAGGTTGATCCTTAGCAGCATTGCTGCCCACGAGCGGACTAGCCGCGCAGGAGTTGACCACGTCTGGGCCACGGGCACTGACTGGGCTTGCCAGAAGGACGGATGCCATGAACTCTATCGGGTTATCCTCGATATCGAATTCCTCCTCCTCCGAGATGGTGATGGTGTCGCTTATCTTTTCGGGGAGATCGATGTCCAACTGAGCCGCAGTGAAACGAATGAGATGGATGATATCTCCCCACTCGCCATCCCGTCGAAAGTCCGTGTCAATGTGAACATGGTACCATACCGGATGCTTCGTCCTCTTCATCCAGTCCCACTGGGTGTTCAGGGCGGGGTAAGGCATGTTGGCGGTGCCGAATCCGCAATGAACCAGATCTTCTCTGAATATCTTCGAGAAGATCGCCGATAGGCTGTCCCTATCGCAGTGAAAGAAACGATAAAGACAACACAAGACCTGCCGATGGTATGTGTCCCAAGACAATTTGGCTCTCTTGTGGGCACCGGACTGCTTCATTTTGGGCAGGGAGTGTACCGAGATACCGTGTGATAGGGAGATTTGACCAGGTTGATTACAGGCACGTTGACAAAGGAGACAAGGACAGCCACAGACTCAGCACACAGGGTAAGCGGTGTCTGGTTGAGAAGTTGTGCTGACAGCAATAGAGAGTGTGAGATAGTGAGAGGGAAGAGGGGAGGAAAACAAGGCGAGAGATGAAAGGCGAGGGGAGAGATGGAGGAAGCGAATCCACGATGCCTCACCTGAGGAAGCAGCACGGCTGAGAATGCTCACTGTGAGTTACCAACGTACGGACACTCCAGAAAGATTCCGTCCTCTACTTAACTACATGATCAGCAGACAGCATGGTAGATAATCATTAGTTGGATATCCCGTCAAGAGGAGTGAAACGTGCCACCCTCGACCAATGATATGGAGTACTTTGATCCTCTCATTCTCTGCTCTCTTATAATTTTAGAATTGGGCCACCCTGGACTTCGAGGCGTGCGTTTATGCCGTGATCATCGGGATATATAAAAAGTGAATACACCAAAGCGCAATGGACGGGTCATCGTCCACTGCCATGTATACAGTGGGCCCTCTCCTTCTACACGGCTATCCATTTGGACTTGTCGGCAAAATCGCCATGGCCAGCTTCGCGATGGGAAAACCCAGCAGGATCAATCGATTCTCTCGGCGTGATGGACAATAAACGAGAGCGGTGACTGTTCTGCCGGTCCTACGTCACAGCGCGGCGGTGCGGCGCATTCGAGGCGAGGACGGACTCGCTCTCGGGCTTCGACCGACCAGCTACTTTCCATATAGGGCTTGATGGTCGGAGACAGGGATATGTGATCGGCAACGGTTGAGAGCTTCAATATCTGCCGTGACATTCCCCATCCCACCATGCAGTGTCTCCTCCCTCGAGGGATCCCGGGCCAGTTCCAGCGGCGCTGCTTTTCGTCTTCCGTGCCGCGTCACGAAATCCGCGACGTGAGTGCTTTGCCGCAGCGTTTGATTCCCAAATACCAAGGTGAGAGATTTTATCCCGATGCACTTATTTTTCTCAATCTAACTGCTGCTAGAAAACCATGGTGAGCTTTTGTCTCTGCAATGGCCGGCACCGCCACGGAATGTCCTCCTCGTGCGGAAGGACTGCGCGCCCCCAGTGACCCAGTCGCTGGTGGAATTTGTGAAGTACTTACGGATATTTTCTTTTCATGCAACGTCTCGTATCACTGACGGGTTCTTTTTGATGCAGTCACATTACCTCTACGTACCCATCCATCGCCGTCATCCTCGAGTCCAAGACTGCCGCCGAAGTCCACGAGTCACTCTCCCACCCGGTCTACTCGGCCTCATTGGAAGACAAACCCACCGCATTCCACGATAAGGTCGATCTAACCGTCACGCTGGGTGGAGATGGGACCATCTTGCACGCAGCCTCGCTGTTCGCTACATGTTCCAATGTCCCCCCGGTTCTGTCATTTAGCATGGGCACCCTGGGTTTCCTCAGCGAGTGGAAGTTTTCCGAGTTCAAACGCGCCTTTCGAGAGGTCTACATGTCCGGTGCTGGCGCCGGAGATCGCACACAGGTCCTCGAAAGTACCCGATCGGAATCAGAAAATCAAGCCGGACTGGGAAGCCAGGAGTCATCGCTCGGTCCGACCGGATGGTCGTCTGTCCGAGGGCAATCCATGGGTGCAAGCCGTGGTGCCCCCATTCTTATGCGCAACCGACTCAAGGTCGGACTGTTTACGGCCGACGGCCAGGAAACGACGCCGATCCGGGGAAAGACGGATCACGGCCAAGGCGCGTATGTGATGAATGAGCTGCTCATCCATCGCGGCAAAGAGCCCCATCTAGCGGTGGTGGACATCTTTGTGGGCGGCCGGTATTTGACCGAGGCCGTCGTGGACGGAATCATCATCTCGACGCCGACCGGAAGTACGGCATACAGTCTGAGCAGTGGCGGCAGTATTGTGCATCCCCTGGTCCCATCCATCCTTCTAACCCCGATCTGTGCAAGAAGTCTCAGCTTCCGGCCGCTAGTTCTCCCCTCCAGCACCCCGATCACCTTACGCCTAAGCGAGAAGAACCGTGGCCGGGAGCTAGAGGTCAGCCTGGATGGCGTCAACCTGGGCCGAGGCATGGCGGTTGGCATGGAGGCTCGTGTGTGGAATGAGGAGATGAGACATGGCAAGAACGAGTGGCAGGGCGGCGTGCCTAGTGTCATGCGTCGGAGTATGGGGGGTGAAGCCCATGCAGGATGGGTGGGCGGTTTGAATGGCCTGCTCAAGTTCAACTATCCCTTCGGCGAATGAGTCGACATCGCTGTTCTGTGTATATTTTAGATACCCAGTCGCACTCTAGAAGCTTTTTAGAAGTGCCTGCATCTTTGAAGAGATTTTAATATTGTTTGCATCTAGCTGTACACCGTGCACTCTTTTCGATGGCCAGTCTTGCATGTACACAAATTGACACATCAAGACTCGAACATTTAGCTTGTTTATTTTTTTTATTCTAAAAGATACTAAATCGCCGCATCGTGCAAACAATCTCTCATGTCCAACCACGAGTCTTGTGATTCAAAGCATATTAAGATATCTCAAAGCACCTGTTTATTCGCAACCACGGCTCCGCGTACGACCGTCGAGCAAACAAATGCTGACTTCTACTTTGGCAGCTTCACATCGAATGCTGAGCCCCCACTCTGCCCTTCACGAAGCGAAGCAAGCCATCGGTTGATCCAAGGACCGAACGATGAGAATTTAAAGCCCAACCCTGAAATTATACCTTCCAACCCCCCGGCATACAATGTAGCCGGAGTAAAAATTAGCTCGGAAATTTTCGTATGAATCCAGAAATCCTACATCACGAAGTTTAACGACATCTTATTTCTTCAAATGAAGTTACTGACCGACCATCTTAGCTGTTGTCACGATCAATCGATGTCGTTGTTCTCGAATAGCTACAGCTGAATATAGATAGAGCAGCCTATAAGGGTAATTTATGCTGTACACCATTTGTTGGCAGATGTTCCGTACCTATGTTGAAACTATCCCGAAACAAGGCTCATAATGGTTGTAAGCATATTTAGTATAGTAAGGTTGACGATAGGTAGGGGTCGACAAACACGTTGCCTCTATTCCGCGTGGAAGCCAACTTCCAATCCGAGTGTAAAGCTACTCCAATTGAGCTTGCTTCTGAATATCTTATGATTTAACTCGACTGACTGGTTGGGGACAAATCAGCCGAAAGGGGTACCGACCGCCCTTGTAGGCGTGGATCATTTTGCGATCATTATCACGTATATTTAAAACCTGGCGCCTAGTCTGGTCCCTATAACCGACTATTTCATCCCGCCTTATCCCACTTTTTGAACGTTATCTATACACCCTGGTGCCACCAAGCTGCTTGATAGCATTCTTTCTCACAAAACTCCACATTTAGCGACCTTCCTTCCCTGTTCTCACTCATTGTCATGGATTCAGAAACATATGGGGATAGCGATGGCAACATCGGGAATGGCGAGAAACATAACCGGTTTGACAGGTCTATGGCCGATCTCAAAAAATTCCTGACCAAGTCGATGATGGAGGTAGGTACTGCTTTTGGAACGGAGAACAGGACTCAAAAATTCCAAATATTATTCCCGCTCGTGCCACCCATCGGTCTTTCCCTGTTTATCTCGTTTATCGTTTCCATCCAGCACTAACTCCATTTGCTGGCTATTCACAGGCATGCAAGCTCGATGCATGTATGGACTTGTTTCTAATTGAGCTTAATGTCATTCGCGGGAGTGCCAATGGCTATCCTGATCCTGAGGGTTGGTACACCGGTCCTGAGCTTCCGGAATCAACCCAGTTCGAAAACATCCACGAAGAAAGATTGAACCGCGCAGCGGTAAAGCTGGAAAAAGACATTAATTGCCTCCTTCCAGGGTTTTTGGATAGCAAGACCGCGATCGGTATCCTACATCAGAAGAAGGTGAGGGGAAAGCTTCAGGAACGGTGGAAGCAGCTACGTGGAGATCTCACCCTGTATAGCCCTGACTTCGGCAAGCAATGGCTCCACGACTCTCACAAAAGTCTCCTTAATGCTGCGGTCTCCAAATATCAGCGACAGGCTGAGGATACAGGACAGCATTCAGAGCCTCCTAAACTGAGCCAACTCGCGTTTGAAAAGGCTTGTCGCCAATTAGAAGAGTCTATCTCTGGTGAAAAGGCATCGGCAACTTTTGCCTGTGGAGGGTTATTGCTTCAGCCAGTCACTTCCTACGCCAGTACTCTATTGCACGGATGTCACAATAAAGAAAAACTGAGAGCTACTATTTACTATTTAATCCCCCCCCCAACAACTTTATCGCAATGGGATTTCTAACGCGGCAGAACTTTGGAAATCTCAGTTCTTGCCCGAGATTGCTACTTGAAGGTATCATTCCGGAAGACTTTGATAGCTATGCACCAGCAAATATGATTAATTATGTCCCAAATATTCGATTCGCGTAGAATTATTGTACAGGCCCGCGTCAAAAATCCGTTCTCATGTCTATACAGGGTTACATGCAATGGTTAGTAGGTCCTTTCATCATCGTCACATCTTCCACTGGTTCACATTATCCAGTCCTTGAGTACCAGACAGGTCTCCCTCGTCCAAATAGCCACAGATTCTCCCCTGTGGGTCCCACTTGCGGCGGATTTCCATCAATCGCCTCGCGTTGTTATCCGCCCAAAACTTGGTCTTGCGCACCTGAAAGTCCGAATCCCCAAGATAAGCACCGACTGCTTGTGGCTCAACCCCCTTCATCATATTTCTCACCCATGCCTGGCAGCGGCGATCATCATGCTCCTCCTCCCAGATTGTGTATAGGGCAAAGTAATGGTCAGAGTGCATGCTCAGCGCCATGTCAGGGAGTGTTCTCCGGCTGCAAGGATTCATCGCGTACCACAGCGCAAAGGACTTGCGGTGCGGAAGAGTTGTGAACGCTTCTTCCAACACGGCAGGGACATCGGCATCATCCTTGAGGTATGCATTGTCCGCACAATAGCGGTGCTTCTCTGGGTTCGATTTTCCCTGACTGTTGTATTGCTCCTCGAGGCTGTCCTCCTTGCAGAACCATTCCTCTACGCAACCAGTGGGTCGCGTCTCTTGAGCAGGTCGGAGAGCCTGCTCTGCTTCATGAGGCTTATCTTTCATAGTAACGAACAGAATGAACAGGCGTATCTTGTCGTCGCCATCGGGGTAATGCGAGATGGCCGCAATCTCGGTGTCATGGTCGAAGTCGGGCGAAATTGAGATGACCCAGCTGAGAGCCTCTCGGAACATCTCGATTGGGTATACATAACCAGAAGAGCGGAAGCCCCGCTTAGGGTACGCATTCAAGCGAAGATGGAACTTGGTGACCACTCCAGGAAATCCTATCCAGGTCAGTTTATCAGTCGACGATACACCCCCCACATCACCGGCATAAGGATACCTGGACCGGCTCCCCGTGCTGCCCAATAGAGTTCCTCGTTTTGCTCTGAATTGCAATGAAGCAATTCTCCTTTTGCTGTAACCACATCGACAGCTTGCACTCTCTCACACGCCCAGCCCCAATTCTATAGGAAGGGTCAGCACGTTGATGAGCTATACATCAAGAAACAGGTATATGCTGGCTCTTACGCGGCAATTCCAACCCATTCCCCCTGGAGCAAGAAGCCTCCCAGGCCAACATCGGGACAATGACCGCCGGGAAACATGAGCTGATGATCCTTAACTAGAACGGAGTTCAGTTCTCGGCCAGTCATACTCGGCGACGCTCGAGCAATGCGATTGATGGCATCGATCTCCAGGGTCTTGTAGTTGCCCAAGTCAATAAGAATTGAGTTATCGCGCACACTCCATGCCGCCCACGAATGCCCTCCAGATCGAACGGCGACTCGGCAGTTTTTCTCTGCGGCCAATTTGACGGCAGCCACAATATCCTCCTGGCACGTGGCTTTCACAACTGCCAATGGAAAGCGCTCTGGACGACGACGGTTGAATACCCGGCCAACACGGGCATCTTCATAGGTGGCGTTATCCGCCGAGTCTCGCCAGATGACTTGCATGGTAGATGGTTTGGAGACTTTCTTTTGCGTCGAACCCGTTTTCGCTACCCGCGAGCCGGGTATTTGTACCTTGGGTCGAAGTGCCTTCGCGATCTCAGCAAGTCCAGCGACGGAACTTGGTTTACTCGGTGGGGGGTACCTACTTTGGGAAGGATGTGGGCATGTATTCCCCGTGGAAATGACGGGGTGGTCCACATCCCGAACGGTCGCATAGCAACAACGGAGTAGATAAGAGGGAATACACATAGAAGGCACCGTAGAAAACAGCCAATAGCAGTGCACAGCCGGCATCTTCAGTAGATCGTAGAGCACAGCCACTATGTATATCTATTAATCTATTAATTAGTATATCTATTACTATATCTATCTCTATATCTAGTCATGTTCTGATCTCTCCCACTTGATGGGGAACAACCCCCGCCACAGGCTCGGAGAGTAGGCCGACCGGCAACTTTTCGGCGGAGACTGCCGCGTACGTCGCCCGCTGGTGGACCCTCCCAACAGCCTACTGGAAAGCTTCATGCGTGACGCTCCGCCTTGCGGGGAAGTGGGGATTCAGCACGAGTCCCCGGGCTGGACATTACAAGCAAACACGCCATCTCCGTTGAGGTATAACAAACCCCGCAGGGATCTAGTTCAACTATCGGCAATCATAGCGGGATTTTCTCCGCGAAAAACCATCACCATTTCTCCCAATCGCCACGAACTCCTCTCTCGCGATGTCCCTGCCATCAGCCTGCGAGGTCCTCGTGGTCGGCGGCGGTAACGCAGGCTTCTCCGCTGCCATTTCCGCTGCTCAAACGAACCCCACGGCCAAGGTTGTTGTAATCGACAAATGCCCTGCCACATGGGCTGGAGGGAATAGCTACTTCACCGCAGGGGCATTTCGCACCGTACACAATGGGCTGGACGACCTGCTCCCGCTAGTGAACAACACCCCATCCGAGAAAGCCAGCCGCATCGATCTGCCAGTCTACTCAGAAGCCGACTTTACGCATGATCTCCAACGGATGACGGGCGGCCGCACCGATCCAGCGCTATCCAAGATCCTCGTCCAGGACTCGCGCGAGGCCATTGGCTGGTTAGCCCAGAATGGCGTTCGGTTCCAGCTTTCCTTCAATCGCCAGGCCTATGAAGTGGGTAACAGAATCAAATTCTGGGGTGGAATGGCGCTTCAAACCGAAAATGGAGGCAAGGGTTTAATCGAAGATCATCTACGAGCTGCTCAGAAGCACGGTGTACAGGTCTTCTTTGACACCACCGCGACGAAGCTTGTGGCCGACCCTGCAACGGGCGCAATTGCTGGCGTTGAAGTGGTCACGGTCGCCTCCAGTGGTGGCATCACCCACCATCAGCCGCGTCGAAAGATGATAGTTCACGCTCCGGCAGTAGTTCTGGCCGCGGGTGGCTTCGAGGCAAATCCCCAGTTGCGAGCGCAGTATCTCGGCCCGGGCTGGGATGCTGCTCGAGTCCGTGGGACTCCCTATAATACCGGCGACCTGCTTCAAATTGCACAGCGGGATGTCTCTGCACGAACGGTTGGCAACTGGTCCGGATGCCATAGTGTCGCATGGGATGCAGATGCACCAGCCCATGCAGGCGATCGCGGCATTTCGAATGAGTACACGAAGTCAGGATACCCCCTAGGCATCATGGTCAATCGAGACGGGGTACGCTTCGTAGATGAGGGCTCGGATATGCGCAATTACACCTACGCCATGATCGGACGCCGGATTCTCCAGCAACCCGGACAAGTTGCGTTCCAGATCTGGGACGCGCGCACGACCCCGTGGCTCCGCCGCGAGGAATACCGGCCAGAGGTGACCCGCCATCTCACTGGAAATACTCTCGAGGAGCTCGCGGATCGATGCGTGGAAGCCGGCCTGGCTGATAAGCAGAGGTTTCTCGCCACTCTGTCCGAATACAATAGTTCTGTGCCTGCCGATGCGGCGGCTCAAGGTACGTGGAATCCTGCGGCGAAGGATGGTCTCGCCACAAAGGGCCTTCCAGTGCCCAAATCAAACTGGGCCTTGCCCATCGATCGAGCTCCATTCCTGGCAGTGCGAGTGACGGCGGGCATTACCTTTACATTTGGGGGTCTTGCTGTGAATCCGGAGACAGCAGAGGTGATTTCAGAGACCACTAGCGCCGAGATTCCCGGTTTGTATGCGGTGGGCGAGATGCTTGGGGGCATCTTCCACGACAACTATCCTGGTGGCAGTGGATTGACATCGGGTGCTGTCTTTGGACGACGAGCTGGACGAGCCGCAGCCAAGAGATCCGATAGGAAGGACGATGGTCCTGCAAAAGCAGCTAGACTTTGATTCGCTGTCCAATGTACCATTAACGTGTGGCCATGGAATTGGAGTATTGTTGGCATTCGTTGGCAAGGCTATCATTTTTCACTGTATACATTAATCATGAGGTTCGTTAATGGGAGAGAACCACTCCATGACAAGCTCCTCTTAGCTTCGGTATGCGCCCTCAGATTGGAAGCCTGGTGTACTTCCAGCGAAATATGAGATTCTCAGCCCTGAATCTCTGCTTTCATCGCCACCACCCCTCCTGGTCCGAGGATATGAACCTTTGTCATATCCCCCTCATCCTGCAGCTTGATTTGATACTCATCACCCGCATACAGTGGACTAGTTGCACGATACGAGATACGCTGCGGAATCACTGAGGTCGGGTCGGCGCCGTTGTTCCGAGTATCTCTCCAAAGGTCTAAGATGGAGATCAAGTTCAATGGCCCGTGGACAACGATATCCCTGTGTCCCTCTACATCTCGCGCCCAAGGCAGCGAATAATGAATCTTGTGCGGGTTAAACGTGAGGGCGGAGAATCGGAAGAGTGTGACGGGCGACTGCACGACGGTCCGTGAATGCGTGTTCCCTTCGGTGCATATCGCCGAGGCCGATGCCTGCGACCGGTGGGATGCAGAAGGAGGTGCGGTGCTGACGGGGGTAAAGGCAGACGGTGTAGGCAATGCTTTGCGGAATACCCAATTCCTGTTGGCTGTCAGTATAGCGTTCGCGCATGCTGGGATGGCAGCTGGACCTTCGGTCGATGATGGAGATACCGCGATCATTTGAGAATTCCTTCTCCACGCCAACCACAATCATATCCTCACCGGTCTTCATGACAACCTTGGGCTCTGCACTAAGCACTCGAGTCGTCTCGCGAACCTCCTGTCCTACTCGCAAGGGGTTCGGTTTGCCGTCTGCGCTCCGGGGCCAAAGGACTTCGCCGCCAGCCCACATGCGCCGCGTGAAGGGGGCTTCGGGGTTATAGGACGCATCGGTTCCATCGGGTCCGAGCTCTCCTTCTAGGAACGCGGGTGTGAAGTAGACAAGATGGTAGCCTGGAGGCACAGATGTTTCCGCGGGAGGAGCAGTCGGTGTGTTGGAGAGCGACGGGGAACCGGGGAAGAGGGAAGGGCGGTTCAGAGTGAGCGTCAGAAGCTGCAGCTGGTTTGCATCGATCCTTTGCGCCCGCGTCTGAGGGCCCAACGACTGGAATCGAGAGACGAATGAAGCTGCGACCGAGGCGGCGGGCGGGTCTACGGAGGATAAACGGCGGGAGGTGCTGAAGCTGCAAGAGGCGTTCCAGTGGCGCGCTTGTGACAGGAGCTGCGGGCGCCCGCCTGGGAGACGTTTCGCGGACATGATTTCAATCTGTGCTCCGCCAAATAACATGCATTATGAGGCAATTGCGACCGTTGGAACGCGGGCATCTCCAATTATTTAGGCGCGGGGAAGCTGCACGGGCCGAATTAACCGTGACCGAGTCGGCTTTATGGCCGACCCACATGGTGGGCTCGGAGTCTGGTTGGATTGCCGAAGTACGAGGATCATGCAAGCCGGGTTGGAAGGCTCTACCAGAAGGGCTACGCCATGCAAGGTCAATGCTGTATGAATTGCGGCCGAACGCATCCGATGATTGCGAATAAGTGCCGTTCAAGCTGCAATCCCGATTTGATCCCGAAGTATTGTACCAGCAACCACAGGGTCGCGGAATATTCCTCGGCTTTGCGGAAGGCAGAAGTGCGGCCGTCGTTAACGCCCTTTCAAACGTTCTCCGCTTGAGACCTCGCGCATATCCTGTGCCAGGAAAGAGGGAGACATGATTGCGCAGCAGGAAAAAATTGTCCACTGGAATTGCCACTAGAGGCACTTGAGCAGGCAGTTCGAGTAGCCTTGGATGAAGTCACTGGCTTATCTTTAGATCTCATAGTTTCAATTGATTCTCAATGATAAATTACAAACCTCGAAGGCACATTCCCATGAATGGCTTCGTTGATCTCGTCTCCAGGCTGTTGAGATTTATCACAATGTAAGACTTTAAATTCGATGATTCTTTCCTTTCGCCTCCCTTGTCGCCCTGGTTCAACGCTGTTCTGATAATTCATCCTGGTCATCAACCTCCACCAGTGATATGCCGATCACGCCCTCACACGTTGACACCGTTGTACGATCAGATGGGGGCAACTTAGCGCCCCTTGGCTGTCTGCAAACACGACAAGCCAATTATTTGCTGCTTAGCCTAGAGGCTCCTTCCTGTCCAGGACAAGCACTAGCCCGGTCTATGTATATAGCGTGAAGTTCCACTACATATATCGTGGACGTTTCTTCGTCGCCTATCTAACTATGAACGTTATTGATCCACAAGATCAACGGTCACTACCGCTCTAATTTTTCCTTCCATTCCTCTCCCGTCCGTGAAGAGAGTTAGAGGTTCTTTCTTCACAGCCTTTGATAAAATTTGATTGTGACGGGCCAGAACGACGTTGTCATAGAAGATCACTACTGGGCGCTTGCTATCGGAATCATCTCGGAGTCAAGTACTGCATTGCCTTTTGCCTAAATTTTGCTCAACCTTGCTGAATCTTGGCACCTGTTCCGCCCTGCGTTTTGCTCTCTCTGTTTTGATCAATCTGTCATACCTACATTTTTTTCGCCCCTCCAAATGCGCCCATCCGCCAACACAGCAAATTAATTCATCCTAAAGGCGGACCTGTTTGCACATTCTATATTGCACACCCATAGCAAACGAACCTAACCTAAATGATGACCTGTAATTCTGGAATCGTCAAAGTTAATGAATCCAAATTGCGCACATTTTTGTATATCTCTAATTGTCAAACTGATGAAAAGCTGAAGAAATTGATCAATTCAACTTGCTAATCGGAATCTCGGAAATCAGATTGCCCAATTTGACACCTTTTGAGCACGGTTTTCCTCAGTTTGTGCGCCCCCTTTATTTTGACCAACCTTCGCTCGCTTTTACCCAATTTTTGAACCCTTGGTGTTTTGGCAAGTTATTGCTTGCTGTATGCCACCTTTTGCTTAATCTTCGTACCCATTCTGCACTACTTTGATCACTCCCGTCTACCTACGCTTTTTTGCCTACTTCTCACTACGCTCCCTGCATCCACGTTTCCTTGGATGATAACCCTAGCTTCGATCCCTTGAGCTACATTTGGGGGTCGCCCCAACCAAGCTATCAAATCTCCATCAACGGACACAAGATTCCCGTGGACCGGAATCTGAGGAAGGCATTGGACGATCTGCGCTAGCCTGACAAGCCGCGTGTTCTCTGGACTGACGCCATCTGTATCGACCATCGCAACAACTGGGAAAATTCACACCAGATCAGAGCATATACTCCAGCGCACAGGCTGTCTGCACTTGGCTCGATCACAACGTGCGGCCACTGGATATCTCGTTTGACGACCTTGCCTATTTCGGCAAGGATATTCAGATTGACGACTATGATCCGTCCCACTGGCGCCCGGTTGCCGATATTTTTCGAAATCCGTACTGGCGAAGGCTGTGGATACAGCAGGAGCTCATCCTGGCCACCGAAATCAACATGTATTGCCAGCGGAATGTCTTTGATGGGCGGCAGCTTCTGGAATTTCAACGAAGAGTTAACGATAGTTATTCTACAAGGTATCCGGCGGAGTGGGGAGGCCTGCCAGATATATCAACAGCGACAGGACGCCTAGCCAGGTGCTAGGCAGTAGTATTCTTCAGGCGAGGGACGACAGGCTTGTGAGCCAACGTTACCATGAACAGAGTACTGACGGGGTGACACGTTTCCAAGTCACCAGAAGGAGGAACCTGGGCGCATCATTACTGCAGCTCTTTCTCCAGGCGACCTCTCTGAACATGACGGAGCCCCAAGATTGCGTTTACCGGATTCTGGGGCTTGCCTTGGACACTGACGAGAGCAAGGTGAGGGTCGACTACGGGGCACCTCTCATGGGAATCTACGCGCAGATCTTCAGTCTCTTCATAGACAAACATAAGAGTATCGACTTCGTATGTTTGTCTGATGATGTCGTACCACCCTCCCCCCTCGAGCGATGACTTTCCAACTTGGATGCCACACAAATCTGTAGATTGGAGCAACATCCAAGCAAGCCGGGCCTGTGGCTCTATTACAGCAAGAAACGCCTCCATTGACCTGGCAAGTCGGATCCTTCTGTCCAAGGCTACTTAGTCAAGACAATCATGTTCGTTGGATCAGAGGAGGATTTCTACAAGCTTCCCATACGTGAGTAGTTCCCGATCCTGGAAGGGTACTGCCGCAAACTCGGGCCCGACGATGCTTGCCACGAACCCGGGGACGAAAGCGAGGATGTCACTATGTTTCTATCCCCCTGGTTTTCAGAAAAGACGTATCGCGGTCATAATCAAAACCAACTTGAGCCCCCGACGCACGAGACAAAGGTTGCGTTACTCCATGCTACTCGCCGGGTGGCGGAGCAGGTCGGTCAGGACAGGCTTACGCTTCGGGAACTTGCCTTTCAACCCAGGAATGACTTCCTGTCGAGCTATCAATTCATGTGTCAGCCTTTTTTGAACGAATTGGAAGCCTCTGTTTTCGTGGGAACTGAGTGGCAGCGGCTCGGGACTCTGAACAGAGGGGTGGGGGCAATAGAGCCAGGGGATCAGGTCTGGGTCCTCCATGGGTGTCGCATGGTTGTTGTGCTTCGAACGGTCCCTGGTAAGGAGGCCCGGTGCATTGTCGTTGGGCCAGCCATCTTTCCGAGATTGATGCGTGAGGGGCATTGGGGGACGTAAAAGCAGAGCTGGAAAGCACTGTAGTCTATCCCGAATAAGGTCCAGTGGAACATTTTTATCTGCCCCAGACGACTTCATGAATTCACACCACAGGGTAACTGGGCTTAAGGTGAAATGCGATGTATAAGGCAGGACTTCATCCCTCTCCAAGCAGAATATAATCATCTCTTGGATGTGAGTGGGTTCAACCCCAGAGAAGTTCTGAATAAACAGATCATTGTCTACGGAGGCAGTGCCGCAATCATTAAAGACGCTTTGGGCGTCCGTGTTTACCTTGCATAGATGACGTAGTATGAGTCTTCTTTCCTCTCCTTTGTTCCCAGTCATACCCTAGAGCCTGGGAGGTATCATATCCGATCTGAATTGTGTAATAATTTTCGCATCGTGAGCATGACTCCTGTGGCATATCAAGCTTGATACTTGGATATAGTTCAGTCCTATGACATCGGACACAAGTATGAAAGACGATGTACAGCAAAAGCAGCTTGAATTATAAGGATGCTACAAGCGAGTACGTTTAGTTTATGATCTGGGCTTGCAATCTAGGGATCCTTATTCTGATGAAATCATGTCGGCATGGGTATATCTTCTCATTAAATGACTTTAATTATGGCGAGAAAACTCCACGGATGCCATTGTAAAGCGTATTACCAAATCACACACATCTTGCAGAAATCTCGGCCGCTACGCCAATTCCTATGTTCCCAATCCTGCATCAACGAGAAGTCAAATAATTCTGTCGACTTCATCTATATCGCCATCGGACGGAGTCCATGAGTTATCCATCCTGTGTTCCTCTTTTCGGTCTGTGCTGCCCAGTCAGGATAGTTCCTCGGAGAGTCACAGTAGAAAGAATGCAACAAAGGCCAGGCAATGAATGACTCACTGTGCTTTGATTCCTGGCCTCTAAGAAACCCAGAAGGCTGTTCCCACTGTAGGATCTTCGAATCTTTATGTACAAAATAGGCAGGTTGGAAGTGGCTGTCCCAATTCTGTATCCATCCCAGAGGAAGCGGTGGTGGAGGATTGGCAGGACGAAGGGGTGATTCTGAAGCCATGGTGTTGCAAGAATGAAAGATGTCGTTGGAGTATGTAATCACGCAAGTACAGGTAGGAAGGAGTTGACTTGAACACTGGTTCGCAATGAAGTTACAGTATATTTGGAGGCAATGCTCAAGCGGGCTTTATTATAGTCTCCCTCTTATGTTGGCGGGGTTCAACCGTCGGTAGAGCCAAAGCACGCTTTTTCTCGGCAAAACAGGGTCTGAACTAGTCCGGATGACTGCGGCTCTGAAATTTCAACCGGTCTTATCAACCCCTGAGAAGTCGGAAATGAACCCACGCGAAGGAGCGTTACATTTGAGTCCTATCCAACTAGACCGGCCCCGCAATGAATTGCCAAGCACACTGCCAAGCTCCCGGCGGAGGGCTGTTACCGAGACTGGGCAATTTAAGCCGACGCAGTGGCCACCGTCGCCTATGGAATTAAAACCACCAACCCTGTCCATCCCTCCCTAATCACCTACCACCAACTAGCATGGCCTCAGAAACCGACAGGCCCCGTCAGTGGGGAGTGGATTACTCCGGAGATTACCCAGCAGCCATCCGAGGCGAAAGAGTGCCGGTTGTCATGGGGCGAATTGAACGCCTCTGCGTGGTACGAGGGATCCGGCACCATGATGGCTTCGCCCAGGAGCTGTACGGTAATCCCGAGTATCCGGAGATCACGCGGGCGCTCAATGCGCGGGCAATCATGAGCAACCGGATACCAGACATGAACGGCCCAGAAGACTTTCCATACTGCTTTTGGCATCCCGATATTCCTTATGAGCAGACACTCCGGCGTCTGGTGGACAAGTACCCTGGGAATAAATTATAAATTGTTCCGGTACTTAATCGGCCGCGCCTGTGCCGCAGGGGGATATATAACCCTATATCATGAACTAGGCCTTCTTCCGGATGTAGCTATCGCCGAGGAAGCCCGCGATAACGCTACCTCTGGTCGGGCCATCTTCGAGGCGATCGTTCGTGAACCAGTCAGATATACTTGCATAGATGACTACCGGCGTTGTTTACGGGAGCCCCCGGTTCCCGGCGCGTACCTCAACGGAGACACATGTGTCCGATCGATGCTAGATGAGACGCTATCTGTGGACGGTTACCCTCAGGAGCCAATATTTGATATTACTGAGGATTGGTGTATAGATGTGGAAGGCTTGAGGCCTGGTCAACGCCTGGTTGACCCTGAAGAGATTGGCCTCCTATACAATCCGCTTCCACTCGACCTGCCTACGGTTGATAAGGACCTACTGATTCTGATGGCCGCGTGGTCCGGCAACATCGACCGTTATACACGCCTTAGACGACCGAAAATGCACTCATATGAACTTCCTTGTGTGATCCGAGGCATCTATCATCACCCCTTCTTTAGCAAGTGGTGGTCGTTGCAGCCTGATAGTGGTTCTATACACATCCGTCAGGCGATCAACGCCCGTAGTATCATGAACAATGACTTGTCCTGGCTACACGAAATTACCCCCGATAGTCATTTACCAGTTCTTATTTGGTATCCGCAGTGCGCAGGGAAAGACACGTACGCAGAACTCGCACGTCGCTGGCCGTCGATGATCCCGCAGATTGCGCGTGCTTGTATGCATGCTGACTATCAGGATCTGTTTGATGAGCTGAATCCAACACCCGATGTTGGCCTATGGATTGATGCGGAACACTGCGCGAACCCATATTATCGTGAAAAAACCCAGCAGGCTGCATCTGAACAGGGAATTAATCTGGATGCACTCTGTGTAGCACCCTCCCGTGAGCCAGATATCAGAGAGCCCGACTTTTGGTGTATGGGCATGCTACAACAAGAGATGGAGCCAACTTACGATGGATCCTAAGCTGATACCCTGGAGCGGGTAATTACTCTCGATCACACCGGACTTGGAATGCAGGAATTGGGTGCCATTACATCTTATGTCGGCAAGGTTCTACTTCACGCATGCGTGGCAGATCGGTTCACGATACCAAGCCCTCCCTACGACTCACTGGATCTGCGTGAAGTGTATCGAGATGCACGCTATGTCGCATCAGAGGAAGATCGCAAGATGGTTGGGCTGCAACCGAACCCCAGACGGCCTCGTGGAGGTTATCGAGGCAGGGGAAGAGGGAGGCCTGCGCCAAAGTCTTAGTATAACCGAATTCTGGAGCGTAACAGTCTGTTTTTTTCTTTGTATCGCATTATCCTCCACCCTCTGCCCTTTCACTGCCTAAAAACGGCTGCCATCCTTCCTTTAGACTAGTAGCACAAACTACTCACAGAACCTTCACACACCGAGAAGAGAAAATTGAATTCTATAATGGAAAATTTTGGATCATAAGTAGGGAGGACACCTTACATACTGTGCTTCAGATTTACATTCCTCGCAAATAATTTCCGCCTAAGTAACAAGATGAAAATTATGCCAGAGAGAAAACCCTACCGGAAAGAAACAAGCTGCGTGGAGTATCTTTATTCGTCTTTATAGTCTCGTCAATAGATCCCAGTATCTATATGAGGGGTTCTCTGTGTATATACAACCAATGCATCTCCCAAGTCCTCTACTTCTGCTGCTGCTGCACTTCCTCCGTCGTCCGGACCAGAATATCGAAGGCATTGCGGACATACTTCTCCTCGGCCATGGGGTTGGCACTCACCACGCGAATCACATAGATCCCGGCGATGACCGTCGAAGTAATGAAGATCTCACCGCGTGAGTTGATCAACTCATACACCTTCTTGGTGATGCCATCGGCCACCTCATCCTTGTGAGCGACGGTCACACCGTTAGTGCCATTAGATACCTGGGGATTCTTGACGCGCAGCACCGTCAAGCAGAAAGCTGGTTTAGTGACAATCTCAAACAGGTCTGGCCGGCCCCGGACGAGGTCGGCGAATGTATTGCCGAGCTCGATGGTCTTGCGGATGTGTGCCTTCATGCCATTGAGGCCATAGCTGCGCATAACGAACCATATCTTCAGGGCACGGAAGCGGCGGCCTAGTGAGATGGACCAGTTGCGGTAGTCGATGACAGTTCCCATGTCAGAGTACGGGTTGCGCAGGTAGGTCGGGGTGATGTCGAGGGCGTTGGTTAAATCCAGGCGATTCCGCACAAAGAGGACGCTATATGTGTAATAACCGGGTTAACCATTGATCCTGTATCAAGATTCTGGATCGAACTCACCTTGCATCAAAGTTGACCAGCAACCATTTGTGCATGTTCATGTTGAAACTATCCACGCCTTCCGCAAAGTCCTTGGCGATGTACTGCCACTCGTCCGCTACTAGAGAGGCTCCCGCATATGCAGCATCGACATGTACCCAGATACGCTGCCACGCAGGCTTCTCCCGTAGCACGGCCTTAATCTCAGCGAAATGGTCGACACTGCACGTGTTGGTGGTGCCAAAAGTCATCGTCAAGTGGTACGGAGTGAGTCCGTCCTTGTCGCACTGCTCGAGAACCTCGCGCAGACGGGGGCCGGTCATCTCCATGTTCTCCTCCAGACAAGTAGGCACGCTGCGGAAGCGAGTGCCTGCAATCAATGCGCCCTTTGCGGCACTGCTGTGTGTTTGATCGCTTGCGATAGCCACCAGTCGAGGCTGCAGGTCCATCTTGCGCTCTTCATACTCGGTAGTACCCTCCTTGAAACCTTCGGCGAGCACCATCTCGCGCACCCGCCTCTCGCGGGCGGCAACCAACATGGTCGCAATCGCATCACTGGCGCTGTTCTGGATCACACCACCTCCGAGGTTCTTCGAGGTGCTCAGGAAGCACTCAGGCAGGCCCAGCGCCTTGGCAACCCAGTCCATGACAATCGTTTCCAGCTCGGTGCAAGCTGGAGAGCACAACCAATTGAACGCCGGGGCCGTGAATGTCGCCGAGTACATCTCGCCCAAGATACTCGGATATGTGACGCCAGCGGGGTAGTATGCCATGAAGTTCGGCGACTGCCAATGGGTCAAACCGGGTTTGATCTTGGTATCGACATCCTCCTGGATCTGCGCCCATGCTTCTGGCTCGGCAGGAGGGTTTTCGGGGATCAGCGGGCGCAGGTATCCGGGGTCGACGACGGGGAGGACTCGCCGGTCGGGGACGGAATCAAAGTATTTGACGACTAGGAGGACAAGGAGGTCAGCCGCGGAGGATCTTCAAAATATCAATCATCAAGCCAGCGTACTGTCGTCAATTGCCGAATGGGCTGCAGCCCGAAACTGCTCGCCGTCCATGTTGCGCGTGGATTCTGGTTGTGCGACGCGGGGAAGCGTGCAGTTGTCACAAAAGCGTGCGGGGCGGATGGACTCAATGAGCACAGATAGGAACTGCCCAGGATTCGGTCAATGGCTCTGAGAATTAATCAATTTGGAGTTTGAGTGTGCGGCTCCAAGCTATTAATACCAAATATGAGAAGGCGAGAAATGCTGCTTGTCGAAGTTGTCAATAGTGGTCGAAGGGCGTGCCGGCGCGGAAGCGGAACGGCTTCCGACCAGCGAAAAGGTGGCACGGGAAAGTGCAGGTACAAATTGATCGGAAGGAAGATTGAATTTCCACCACATAGTGGCCGTCTCATTCCTCCAATGTCCGCCCCTAATCCTTCTATAAAAATGTTTTATAGTGCCTCTTTATATCACCTTACTGCCTCTTGATGCTCGATGGCAGATCCCCCTCCCCCTTCCCCGGAACACGCCGACCAATTCATAGATGTGGTCTAGCCACTCATATACCATCTGATGGAAGCGCACAAGAAGAGTGTTTCCTACGAAATACCCGCCTAATTGGGTTGTTGGCTGGCTGTCTGAATAGATGCATTACTTAATGTTGAATACCCCCCCACTGTCTGGATTCCGGGACTTTTTGGTTCTACGAGCTTCTTCAAGCGCAAGAGGCCATATGAACGAGCTTGGATTCTAATATCCCATCGACACGGTCTATGAGTTGTCGGCACATGACCAAGCCGCCGAACCGCCCGACTTATTGTAGCTGTTGATAATGCTCACAATCGACCCGTATGTGCCTCCAATCATCAAAAAGAAGCCAGCTATGATGATGAACACACACCAACAGACCATCAAATTCCACTTGAGGGTCCTATGACTCTTGCCCTTGCTCCAATTGTCGTATAGCCACATGCCGCCCATTGGCTGGAAGCACATCGGTGTGCCGAGCAGGGCACCAACGAGCGAGACGAGATCGCTAAAAACGGGGATCGCGCTGGCGATAATATAGGCAACGATAGTGACGCCAAAGGTACATCCCAGCCAGAAGACCCAATGTTTCACGGTATTTGCCGTCAAGTGTCGGGAGCCGTGGAGCATGCGGATGAATATATACTTGCCAGTGATCTAGGTAAGGTAGGTGTTAAAAATTGAAACCCTTGCTTCTTACAGGGTACCCTTTTAGTTTATCAACTTACGTGGACGAAGAGTAACGTGCTGACAATCAGACCCGGGAGGGCAAAGCCATAGCTGACCTTCTTCACGACCGGGCCAGCGGAGCCAAGAGCAGGGGAGGAGACGTAGGACCCGCAAAAGTAGTAGATCACAATGCCAATTGCGAGATAGAAGCAGGTCACGACGGACTGACAGAGTATCAGAGCTTTGTTGTAGTGGGTGGGGTCGCGCATCTCCGATGCAATAGAGAAGAAGGCGGGCGTTCCTGCGTAGGCAAACACAAGCGTCGAGATGGCTGAGATGGCATCGGTGAATGACGAGTTATTGACGATTTTGTAGTCTGGGACCCAAATAGCATCTTCGGGGGCGGCAGAGGGACGATCTTGAATGCCGACGGCGACAGTCACAATCAAGACTAAGAGAAAAAAAATAAGATTGCATCCAGGAGGAGCTTCGACAAGAATACTCACTCGACGTCAAAATACAAAACAAGCCGATCCATGCGAGCCACGAGATGCGGCCCAACGTCTGGATGCTCCCGAACAGAAAGGCCACAATAGCGGCGACAGCGACATAGACAGCAGTGCAGGTGGCATGGGCTGAGACCGCATTCAACCCGATCGAGATGCCGAGCATACCAGAGCCGGCGACGAAGACCCACCCTACAACCGGTCAGCACGGTAGATATTATTCACGACGGTGGTAAGCCAACTCACAAAGACAGAATGCCGTTCCAAGAAGAATTCTCCCCGGTCGGCCCATCAGCAGCTCGCCCACATCGTCAATGCCGTATACTTCTCGATGGCGAAGCTTAAAGACGCCAATGATATAGTCGGACCACGTTGTAATGCCACCAATGGCACATAGACAGATCACACCAGGCACGAGGCCCAGAGCATCAAAGGCGACCGGTATCGAAAGGACCCCAAGACCGATTTGGGTCTTCATCATCAATACAGCGGTTCCCTTCCATCCGACCTGCGGGACAGATGAACATGTTAGCCACGGGCCAATCGAACAATTCTGGAACTTGGGCCGTACCGCGCGATAATTCGGGCCGTCCTCGGTGATTTCGCCAAATACGGCATCGTGCGAGTCGTCGATGATCTCACCGTTTGGAGAGGCAACGGTAGCCAGGTCCTCCTTCTTCTCACCGGACATCTTGAAGCATCAAGGGGAAAAGATGGGAAACAGTGGTAAACGGGAGGTACATGGCCTGGACGATACTTTTAAACCTTGGCCCCTCGCGGCTAGCCCCGGTGGCAGTGGCCAGGGTCCCTGGTCGCTATCTCGGCCAAGCCTTCAGGGGTGTGGGAGGGTACTCATATCTCAATCGGTAAAACGCCCCCGCCAGCCACCCGTCCGCCGATAAAGCCACATGACGCTTATCTGAAGAGCCTCGATCTGATATGTTTTCATCTTTTTGACCTCCCTCCTCGTTCCATACCTCCATCTTTCCCATTTTGTCTTCTTCAGTTGGACCTCTGGCACATGAAGCCATCCCCGCGTGGTTCGAGCAGCATTCATCCCGTCGCCTCAGCCGATCCTACTCTCCCCCCGCAATGGAACCATATTAGAGGTCCGACTCCACTTTTTTGAGTGCGGGGGCCACTAAATCCCTCACGGTAACCGGGCACTGGTGCACCAGGTACAACATTCCTGCCCCCTAACGTGGAAACGGAAGCTAATATCCACTTTTTATGGCCGCTGCCAGTCGGCCCCAGCTTGTCTTGTCGGGCACTCCGTGGGAGGCGCCGCAGAAGTCTTCTCCTGTTGCCCCCTTCCGCCACGAATGAGTCAGGCACGCCCAGAGCGAGCTGGGCGCCTGGCCGTGCAGATCGACCGACTCGCAGCACGGTACCGGGTCTGGGGCCTTTGCAGCTCAGTCAGACTCCGTGTGTGTCTAGGGTTAGTGGTGTTTCACTCTCTCGGGCAACCTAAGCGTTCTCGAAGCAAGTCTCAGAGACACCTCGTGGCGCGACCCACATTTCTACCACAGACAACAGAAATTGCCTGACTATCCCTTCTCTGACCTCCGACATAACAATGTTCCTCGGCCTTGTCCGAACACGAGCAATGTTTCCTTGTCTCCGTCCTGTAGCGGAGCCACATATGTTCGAGATCAGCCCCTTGACCCCTTATGGATCGTGTCATTTTTGCCACACGATCTGCAAGGAGCGCAAATATGCCTGAGACCCAACATGTCCACACAGCGGGTCCTGGTTGGCTCACCGGAACCGGGAGCTAGATCTTCTGGGCCAAGACGCCCATCCAAAAGGAATTGCGTTCTGAGGTGACCGGCTACATCATCCGGGGAATGTTGGGAGGTAACGGCCCGGGTACGGAGTAGTGTCGAAGGCATGGAGAACAAAGAAGAGTGGAGCCGGTGGGCAATTCCGCCAACCAGTGTAAGTCTACTGTACTTGTGAAGATATCCACGGTTGGCAGAGTGGTCAGGGGTGGGCGGTGGGATGGCCATCATCTTAACCACCCTTTGATTATCATTGTTGTTGTCTACATGATTGAGAATTTGAAATGGAAAACAAAGTCATGGGGGCATGCGTTCTGTTGTAACTGTGGCGCGGTTTCATACACTAGCCCAAGCGACCTCCGCCACACCAGGCGCAGGCCCGTGCAAATTCAACCTACCTTACGAGAACTACTAGGCAGTCACTTGACATAAAGCTAGCACTCGTTCACCGCTGCCTGATTACTTTCCCACTCTCACACCAAAAGCCATCTTTAATCCTATCCAGACCACCGCTAGCTGATGAAGCCGAATTTCCCGCACTGGCTGTGCTGTCTCGGTGTGTCGCCGCACTAGCCGTTCTTAGCATCACCGAACCACTGAAGCAAAAGCCTCTTGTCGGCTTAGACGTTATGGTCAAAGAAGGCAAGGTCCCCGGCCATAACGATGCTATATACGACACTGTGCCCAAAGAAGACCAGCTATTGGATGAGATTGCCCCGACGCCTATTATCGCGTAAGATATGCCCCTTAATGATGACGTCCTGATATCCTGAAGTGACCGCGTTTTTTTCGTCTACCTACGCGGCGATCTATCTAAATCTGAAAAGAAGGAACTAGGACTCCTTGATAAGGGCCTTATCGATGCGACCCTCTCTGTGAGCGGCTCCGTTGTCTACCCGGATGGTAGCTACATAGAACCAAGGTCCCTTACAATGCCGTTAAAAACTATTCCTATCAACGATGCGGCCCATCTCATCATTCGCGATTCTAATGGCACTCAGGTTAACTACCCACCTAGTAGCGGCCGCAGCGACATACTGCTAGATTTCCAGATTCCTGCGATGTTTTTGAAGAGCAGTATGTGGACTTTCAAAGTCGACGCTAGACTCGGAGATAAAGATAATTTATACCTATTTGCCATGTCGTTGGCACAATGGTTAGACGGGGGGCTTTGAAAAGTAGGGTATTTGGAATAATCTACAGGCTCAATGTTCTTTTCTTCGTGTAAGTCATACATGGGCATTTTACAAAGAGTCCGAGGATACAACTAGCCTGTATCGGGTCAAACAACCTCATCATCGCAAGGCAAACCGTTGTCTCGGGTCGAGGAAGATACTCGAACCGAACAATATGTAAATGAACACAGTTGAAACGTGCAAGATATGACACTCTGCCACACACCTCCAACTGCCGAGAGCGATGCTGGCATAAATTATTCCTCAGTGGCTGTGCTCTCTCAAAAACAGAAGGAAGGACGCATGGAAATGGTTCAGCTGCTTTTGGAGTACGGTGCGGACCCAATGCGAGCTGGAGGGGGTTGCGCCTTACATCGTGCACTACGAGATATTGACTTTAGTTTGACCACCTTTCTCGCCGACAAGGGCGCGCGAATAAAGGTTTCGGAGTTGACGGAATCCGATCAAAAATTGTTGGACCAAGCGATAGTGGATTATGAATGGGGGAAGTGATCAGGCTGACACCACTTAATTGGTCTCGTCCCGGATATGTTGACCCGGGTTTGATCGATGGCGGCCGTTTCATATCCATGTATAGGTTGCCGATGGATGGCCAAGGGAATGTCTAAGACCAGAATTGGCCCGTGAGTGGTGAGGGTGAGATGCCTCCTTTGCCATCCTACGTCTGGGGGATATTCATAATTTGCGGCAAGAAGACGGAAGGACTCCATAGATCAACGGCCATGTCTCTCTCTCGTCAGTCCTGGACATTTATTCAAGCCCATCCGGCCCCACAAACAAACATACACATAATCCAAATGCGAGTGTAAGTAGATTGATATGGTACATGTCATCAGCAACTAGTGTGCTCTATCGATTAGCGTGCTCTATACTACAGTAGGTCCCGTCCAGCACCAAGGAGCCTCTAGTGAACTCTCTCGGTCTCCTCCATTAACTCCTCCACCTTGAAGTTCTCCACATCGCCGCGGGTGAACATGCGCACCAACTCGCCCTTGCGGCCACTCGCCTGGCCGCCAAAGTCGTAGAAGCGCTGCAGCGAGCTAACCAGCCAGGTGGCCTCGGAGGTGGAAACGCCACGGTCGGGCACGACCTGACCGTGCATGAGGACGAGATTCTTGTCATCAGCGAGGTCCAAGTGGTGGGTGACAGTCGTATGCGGTTGCGCGAACGAGCCGTGCAGCTTGAACGCGCCAAGGTGAGTGAAGATCACGGTCGAGGTGTGATTGTTGATTGGCTGGGACGAGGTAGGAACGAAGTCATCTGCCGGCGGGTGGAACGCCCACTGCAAGAAGTGGATGTCCGCAGCAGTTTGCGCCGGGGAGCCGTCGACGGTCTGCATGTTCTCCTCGGCTGCTTGGCGGGGGAGCGGGAGAATGAACTGCGGGTTGTGGCGCGCGGCCTCGGCGATGCGCTGGTATGTCTCGAGTGGGATGGCGGCACAGATGGAGGTCGAGCTGTTGGCAAATCGGAGGCGCCAGAGCGACTCGATCTCCTTCGCGGGCAGGGCACGGATCTTCTCGACATCGACGTAGCTGCTGAGCGGTTTGATGGGGCTCCCGCTGCCGGAGACTTCGCGGGCGGCCTTTTCGGTGGCCGCTTGGTTTGGAGGAGGGGGATGGTGGAAGGCAGGAGGGGTGCCTGGGACAGTGGAGTTGGGTGTCGAGGCACCTGGCTCTGGCGTAGCCGGGGTGGCTGCTTTGCGGCGAAGGTCCTGGATCTTCTCACTGTAGGCATCTTTCAGGCAGTCGATGGACTCATGGCCCTCTCTAAGGTTGACCTGTTAGCAGCTAGCACAGAGTTCTCTGATCCGGACAGGACCTTACTGTTTGGCTTTCTCGACCAGCTTGTCCTTGTATTTGTTCAAGACGTGCTTGGGATCATGGTGGGAGGCCAGGAAGCGCACATCGTGAACCTGGGCCCAGCGACGTTGCTGGTTGCGCAGCAGATGTGACTTACCCCGAAGAGCGGATTGGAATCCTTGCAGTCGAAACGATGCCATATTGTCAGGCCAGGTCAACGGAGCTAAATCGTCAATAACGTGGACGGACCGTCCAGCCCGATCGAGTCGCGCGATAAGAAAATCGGCGGGATTTCGGGTTATGTAATCTCCGATCCCCGACGCCTCAGGCCAATGGAGTTCTTGCAGAATTGCCTGTAGTTCAAGGATCCAGAAAGGCACAGGCACCAGGATTCCAGTAAATACGTGACAGGATTCATGTCTAGTCAGGTCGATGCTCACACCTACACTCGGGTGCTCTTTGAGGTGATCTCTTTTTCTGGCCCCGATGATTTGCAGTGTAGAAAACTCAAACTATACTCCCTTATCCATTAGTAGTAGGTACGAGAAATATATCGTGAGAAAATCAGGCGGGTTGCTGCACCGCCCTTCCTACTTTTTGGAACCAAATTACACTCTAGCGTGTCGAAGGTTCCTTCGAATCGAAATTCCGTGATCTATTCTCGCTCGCTCTTCATAACTATGAACATGTCCTTTCCCCACGACCTCTATTAGGGTTGCAACTAGCTAGTCCGGTGAAACGGACCGACCAGCCGACTCCCCGCCCTGCCGCTGCGCCCGGCTAAACCTCGGGCGCATCTCCGTGCCTGTTTGGGCCGCAAGGTGGCTCGATCTCAACGACTCTCCACTCAAATCTCGAAGAGTTCTACAATCCGTCGTGAGAAAGCGCACGGATTCTCATCTGATACAATCCCTGGCTTGGGTTTAAGTGGGAGATCATCGGTTCCACCAGATTGCTGCGGTATAAGTATTGTAGCAGTTCCCCCGCAGGACTGTCGATGTAAACGGCCCCCGGGAGTGAGAACCACTTAACGCTTGCTTAAGCTTGAACCAATTTATCCACTATTTGCGAGGGTTCATTAATTACGAGCCACTGATTTATACTGCAAGTGCCATATAGCGGTAGCTGTGTTGGGCAGTAGCATTACCGGGTCTCGCTTGCCGGATCTCGCTTGATAGAACAAGCAAACTTCAGACAACATGGCTCTCATTGACGTGGAAAAGGCCATCGAAGAGCTGACGCTGGGCGAGAAGGTGGCTCTGACAGCTGGTAATTCCCCAAGCTCCCCCTTGGATCTCTTTGCCCGCAATGTGCAGGGTGTATCCTTCTGTCGGTCTGGGCGACCCCGCCGTTCTAGCCAAGGCTGACCCTCCGCGCCAGGACGCGACTTTTGGCACACGGCGCCCATTCCGCGCCTCAACATCCCTTCACTGCGCATGTCCGATGGTCCTAATGGCGTTCGTGGCACCCGCTTCTTCAACGGCATCCCTGCCGCGTGCTTCCCCTGCGCCACCGCACTCGGTGCCACCTGGGATACCGAGTTGCTGGCCAAGATTGGCTCATTGATGGGCGATGAGGCAATTGCGAAGGGGACACACGTTATTTTGGGTCCCACAATCAACATCCAGCGGTCGCCGTTGGGGGGCCGTGGCTTCGAGTCATTCTCGGAGGATGGTGTGCTCTCAGGTACCCTGGCAGGCCATATGTGCAAGGCCATGCAAGACAAGGGCGTGGCCGCCACACTAAAGCATTTTGTCTGCAATGACCAAGAGCACGAGCGCATGGCTGTCAACAGTATCTTGACGGACCGTGCGCTGCGCGAGATCTATCTGCTTCCTTTCCAGCTGGCCATGCGTATTTGCCGCTCGGCGTGCATTATGACTGCGTATAATAAGGTCAACGGTATTCACGTGAGTGAGAATAAGACCATTATTGATGATATTCTCCGCAAGGAGTGGGGATGGGATGGTCTGGTTATGAGTGATTGGTAAGCTCCCAGACTGGAACTCAATATCCATCGCAGTTTGCTGGATTAATGCTAAATTTCCACGGTGCAGGTTCGGTACGTATAGCACCTCCGATGCTATCAATGCTGGTCTTGACCTTGAGATGCCCGGCAAGACCCGCTGGCGAGGGGAGGCTCTGGCTCATGCGGTGTCATCGAACAAGGTTGCACAATTCAAGCTGGATGAGCGTGTGCGAAATGTTCTCAACTTGATCAACTATGTCGAGCCGCTGGGAATCCCCGAGGGAGCCCAAGAGAAGGCTCTCAACCGCCCTGAAGATCAAGCTTTGATGCGCCGAGCAGCTGCGGAGTCAGTCGTTCTTTTAAAGAACGAGGGCGGTTCACTGCCGCTGAAGAAGGATGGATCTGTCCTTGTTATTGGACCGAATGCGAAGATCGCCTCGTACTGTGGTGGCGGCTCCGCCTCACTTGCACCATACTATGCCGTCAGTCCATTCGACGGAGTCTCCGCGAAGAGTAAGGGAGAGGTCAAGTTTACCCAGGGTGTCTACTCGCACAAGGAACTGCCCCTTCTGGGTTCTCTCCTAAAGACGGCGGATGGCAAGACTGGCTTCACCTTCAAGGTATACAACGAGCCGCAGAGCTCTGGCCAAGATCGCGCTCTGGTCGACGAGCTTCAACTCATCAGCTCCATAGGATTCTTGATGGACTACATTAACCCCAAGATCAAATCCATGACCTTCTACGTCGACATGGAGGGCTTCTTCACTCCGGAGGAGGATGGTCTCTATGACTTCGGCGTGACAGTTGTTGGGACTGGCCGTCTTTTGGTTGATGGTGAGGTGGTCGTCGACAACACGAAGAATCAGAAGCAGGGATCTGCCTTTTTCGGAACTGCCACAATTGAAGAGCGTGGTGTCAAGGAACTCAAGGCCGGCCAGACCTACAACGTTGTTTTCGAGTTCGGCAGCGCCCCTACTTCGGACCTCGATACTCGTGGTATTGTCGCCTTCGGTCCTGGTGGTTTCCGATTCGGCGCTGCTCGGCGCATCGGCCAGGAGGAACTGATTTCGACCGCCGTGGAGCAAGCCAAGCAGGCCGAGCAGGTGATTATATTTGCCGGCTTGACGAGCGAGTGGGAGACTGAGGGCTATGACCGCGACCACATGGACTTGCCCCCCGGAAGTGACGAGCTAATCAGCCGTGTGCTTGCAGCGAACCCGAGCGCTGTCGTTGTGATCCAATCTGGCACTCCAGTCACCATGCCATGGGCGAAGGACGCCCGTGCCATCGTACAGGCCTGGTTTGGCGGCAATGAGTGCGGCAATGGTCTCGCAGACGTGCTGTACGGCGACGTCAACCCCTCTGCCAAACTACCTATCACATTCCCTCGTCGCCTGCAAGACAACCCCTCATACGTCAACTTCCGCTGTGAGCGCGGTCGCGTACTCTACGGCGAAGACATCTATGTCGGTTACCGCTTCTTCGAGAAGAGTGACGTAGTACCAGCTTTTCCCTTCGGCCACGGTCTGTCTTACACGACCTTTACCCGGTCAGATCTCCAGGTTAGCACTGTCCTTGAGCGATCCAGGTACACCGAGTCTGGTGAGCCCATCACTGCCACCGTCACCGTGACCAACACCGGCTCGATCGCGGGTGCCGAGATTGTGCAGCTCTGGATCATCCCCCCTCGACAGATGTCAATCGCCCTCCGCGTGAGCTGAAAGCTTTCCAGAAAGTCTTCCTGCAGCCGGGTGAGTCCAAAACTGTCCAACTCGTCGTTGAAAAGAAAATCGCCACTAGCTGGTGGGACGAACAGCGTGGGCAGTGGATCTCCGAGAAGGGCCGCTACCAGGTCTCCATAACTGGAACTGGCGTGGAGGAGCTGCGCGATGAATTTGAGGTGGGCAGAACTAGATTCTGGCTCGGTCTGTAGCTAGTGATGATAATGATATTGAAACGATTAACTAGGGCACGATTTGCATGCTAAATAATGAAATTGCATTTACCATATCAATGACCGGTAGCCATGGTTGCCTGAAAGGGAGTGTTTTGCCGGACAGGACACTGGCCAATAGGCTGCATGATGATTACAGTCCCCCCTAGGAATAGGTTGTATGCAAACGTCTACGGGCTGGAGCTATAGCCACCTGGGAAAGATGATTTTTAAGAAATTTTCTGGATTAACTAACAACCTAGTAGGTATCTCCATGCCACAAAACTAATGTATCCAAGCCAAAGTAACCAAATTGGGGCATTGGATAAGCAAAGGACCTTAAGGGTCAGCTAAAAAGGCCATGAAACCCATCAGACAGATTAGATTGAGTATGAAACAACGTGGGTATCGCCTCCATAACCACCAAACTCCAGCAAAACAACTCAACTATCTCAGTCGGAGAGGAAGGGGTCGCTCGAATCATCATCCTCATCCTCTTCATGCTCAGAAGGGACAGGAGTGTCCAGCTGGCCATGGCGGATCAGGAAGCTCCTCAGTTTGAGACGATCATGATTTAAACGATCAAGCATGCCAGGAATGGCGCGGTAGGCCTGACGAGCAACGGTGTAATCCCCATCGCGGGCCCAAACACGCACATCATCAAGAGGAGACTTGAGCCAAGGGTTTATGTATGCCCGGCTCTTGGGAGATGCGGGGGTCTTGGTATCAGTCTTGGTGGCAGACTTCGTGGCTGCGGCGGTCTTGGAGGCAGGGACAGACATGGTTACGCCATTGTGGGCAGTTGCAGCAGCGGTGCCGGACCTTTCGGAAGCACGAGTGTTAGCATGAACCCTTTTAGTGACGGTGGCAACGCCAGGATGGTAGGGAATTCGATATACTTCTGAAAAGCGCGGGTCTCGCGCACGCGCGTCCGGGTCTCTGTCTCTGGGATAGACCGGGCAAGCCTCTTGAGGAGAGGAGTCTCCATCTCCGAGGGACTGCGGGTGCGTTTGCGAAGAGTTGCAACATCCTGGATAGAGGGAGAAGCAGACATCTGCCCTCCCAGGGCAGGCGCAGGCGCAGGCTTGGCAGGTGTCCCTGGAGCGGACTTGCGCAGTGCGGCGGGCAAAGGCTCGGGAGAGGCCACTGTTGATGCCTCGGGCGACGGCACCGGCGATGGCTGGTGGGATGAGAATGCAGGTGTTGGCTTCAGAGTGGACTCAGTCTCAGAGTCAGATGCGGCAGCCTCCACATCAACGAGACCTTCCACATCAACAAGCTCAGCCTCGTCACTGCTGAAGGCCAGAGTTGGCGGCGCACGCTTTCCTCGCTGCCTCATGATGAAAGACGGGGACAGTGGAGCGTGAAAGGAGGGCTTGGGCGATGGTTGATGTAAAAGAGGACAACAAGACTGAGGCTGTTGTGATGGGGGAAGAAATATTTGACGCAGAATGGGGGAGAGGCGGGATAATCAAGCTGAGTATCCTGTTTGCCCCAGACAATGCCAGTTGATAGAAATCACACACTAAATTCCAGTTTCGTTGTTTTGACTACAGGCTAATGCGGTTCTGGAGAGATGGGGCCGCCTGCAGGCTTTTGTTATCTTGACTTCGTGTTCTATGCATCTTCTATTGATGAACGAATATTATCAATTTTATTCGCCCCCGTCCTTATCTCGCAGATTCCACATTGCCCTTAAGCAGTCTGGGGAGGAGCATTTGGCCCTCCGAAGCCTGGTGCAAATACATCCCGAGAAGAGCACTCATGCCCGCTTTCTCGGCTTCTTCGACCCACTCGATTACCGGGACGGCTTCATATCGCTGACCAGAGCCCCGTTCCATCAATGACTGCACTTCGTCTTGGCCCACTTGAATTTCACCGGACTCATGGATAAACTCCACCCCACCTCCATCCGAAACAGACGCACCGGACAGGTGGACTGCGTGTATAATTTGCGCCGCTGCTGACTCCACTGAGATAAAATCGAAAACACCAGTCCATGATTTTGAGTCCGGAATCTTTCTGATCGCTTGACAGTAGCGCATAATGTTGCTCATCAGATCCAGCTCTGGCGCGCCGGCACCTGTCACGCTCGACGGGCGGTGGATCCACACTGGGAGGCCCAATTGTTGGCTCACACGCTCGAGATATACCTCACTCACCCATTTGGCCGTTGCATAACCGTCTCGAGGGATTCCAGGAGGCGGATAGGAGGCTAGAGAAGCCTCCTCAAAGGATTCTTGGAGGGCAAAACGGGTGACACTTCCCGATGAGATGAAGTGGAAAGGAACACGTCGGGGCAAAGTAAGTTTGACAAGCTCCGCCGTCGAGGCAACATTGGTCAGTTTGAGTGACTGATAGCTTTTCATGAAGGAAACATCTGCCCCATTATGAATCACCACATCTGCTGAGTCAAAGATCGAGACTGCATCCTCATCGGACAATCCTAGCTGAGGAGATCCCAAGTTTCCATGATAGACATGAACCTTCTGACTGGCAAAAATGGCGGGCAGCTGGGCCAGAGGCTTCCTGACAGCAAGACAATAGACAGCCTGGACCCTATCATCCTCCACAAGCTGACGAAGGATCTCTTTGCCAATGAAGCCCGTTGCCCCGGTAAGGATCACAACACCTGTCCCAGAAGGCGCGGTGGTCGATTCTATATTCGGAGAGATTGGTAACTCAGTAAGTAGACTTTCCAGTTCTTCATCCCAGTCCACCGACTGCGAAACGTGCGCGGGTGATATGTTCTGAATGCGATGAGCCATCCTTTGTAGAGTGCTTGCCTCAAAGAGCTGATACAATGGTACAGATACACCGAATCGATCCTGGACAAGTGCTTGAAGGTCGACTAGGGAAAGTGAGCTTCCGCCGACATGGAAAAAGTCGGACCGTGAATTGATTGAATGGAGCGCGACAAGGTCCTGCGGTATGACCTCTTGCCATAATCTTCGCAGCGATTGCTCTATCGGCGCTGGAGCCTCATCGCAGACCATTTGGGGAATAGGCCTTTGAATGGGAATTCTGCTGATGGCGTATCGATCAACTTTTCCAGAGGCATTTTGAGGCACAATGGGGATCGGAATCATCAAGGCCGGTCGCATATACGGAGGCAGCGGTAAGTTGATTGCAAAACTCGCCAAGAATTGAGACACATCCTCAGGGGCCTCGGCATTGCCGGGAACAACAAAGGCAACGAGGAATGGTTCACTGTTAGCGTGTCCGGAATCTGAGCGAACCGAAACCACGGCCTGGGAGAGGCGCCCTTTAGAGCCTCGGACAAGGGTGGACTCAATCTCTTCGATATTAATGCGGATTCCCCCAAGTTTTATTTGATTGTCACCCTCGATACGTCCCAATAGAACCAAACGTCCGTCTTGTGTAAGCCGTCCTCGGTCGCCTGTCCGATAAGCTGTTGTCCATCCCTCGCTCTTGAAGAATGAGCTCGCATAACGATCGGGAAAAAAGCTCTTTGTTGTCAGACGGGGATCGAGATATCCTTGTGCAACACCAGCGCCTCCAATGAATACTTCTCCAGGCAAACCAAGTGGAACTGGTTGAAGGTTCTCATCGACGATGTAGACTGAATAGTTTGAAAGTGTATAGAGGCCGAAGCAAGAGTCCACAGTGTCCGTTTTGAATTGAGTGTAATCAATCTCTGCCGTACTGGAAGCGATTGTTATTTCCGCGGGGCCATAAGCATTGAACAGCCTCAGCTCCGATTTGTCCAGCGATTGAAACTCTTTGGCAAGGGTATCGGTCATGGCTTCGCCTCCTGAGATTGCCGTTGTGAGTATGGACTCCTGCAATGACGAGCGACCGTGTCGGAACCATGAAAGATATTCTGTTGGCGTTGCAAATACTGTAGTCACCTTTTCAGATGCAATGAGAGCCGTGATGGCGAGCGGATCACCTCGTCTGGTGTTCGGGACGATCACTATCGTTGCACCGTTGCAAAGCGAAACTAGGATCTGATACATCGACATGTCCCATGCATAGGATGACTGGTGAAGCACTGTTTCCTTCCCCGACGGGAACCCCCAAGCCAGGCTAGATGACTGGATTTGGTGCAGGTATGAAGAATGACTGATAGAGATCCCTTTCGGCACACCGGTTGAGCCGCTAGTGTACATAATGGCTGCCGTTAGAGTTGGTGTAGCTTGGTTTGCGACTAGGCTTTGGGACGATGCAGGAAGGGTGCTGACGTTGAGCTGCTGTGCCGAGCTGTGGAGCAATGGAAAGTCGGCCGTAGTTGTGGATTCTGTGAGAATGACAAGAGCCTTCGATTCAGCGATCATCATCGATAATCGATCCATGCCGACTTTCTTGTCCAGCGGAAGATACGTGGCACCAACGCGCCAGACTGCCAGCAGCGAGCAAATCCAATTTACACTCGCCGACTGAAAGACACCAACGCGAGTCCCGAAAGCAACTCCTCGGCCGACAAGCTCATTTGCGACCACAGTGACTCGCTCCTGTAGCTGGAAGTACGTGAGTTGAACCCCATCGGGCTCTTTAACACCAATCCGGCCGGGATACAGGTCTGTGATATCATCTATGCGGTGAACCAACGTGGGTGACCACAGGCTTGGTGATTCCGGGCCTTTTGCAAGTTAGCAATGAGGGAGCGTTATGGATAGAGAGTATTATACTTGCCTCGGCCTGCCAATAGTCCTTCGTCGATATCAGCCTCCAAAAACAAGGGAGGCCATGCCACTTTTGTTGCAGGGTTTCGGGTGAATGCCCGAACAAGATTTTGGTAGCTACGAAGAAGAATCTCGGCATGTTCCAGACCATATAGATCCTTCTGGACGAGGAGATGAACAAGTGTTTGCCCACTTGCAAAATGGGCAACATCCAGGTGAAGATCGTGAGATGTCTCACCCGCTGTCAGGAGCGTTCCTTCGGCTTGGCAACCACAGAAGTCCCGGGACTCCTCCGTTCGTGGACGATAATTGAAAAATGCTTGGAACAGAGGGCTGTATGATGCCGAACGGGGAACATTAAGGTCGGATAGAATGACATCAAAAGGAACGCGGGAATGTGCGAGAGCTTCTTGTGCAGCGCGCCGTGTGACCTTCAGTGCTTCGCCGAAGGATTGAGAGGCGTCCAGGGAGAATTTTATTGGAAGGAGATTGAGGAACATTCCAACACTTTGCAGGATATCGGCATCCGTGCGATTGCTGTCGGCAAGACCAACACAAATATCCCCGACATTCAAATGGCGGTGGAGAAGGATTTGCCAAACCGCAAGATGGAAATGAAATGTGCTAACTTTGAACATCCGACAACATTTGTCAATCTCATCTGATAATCCAGCGTCAAGGCGGATTTGAGCACCATGAGTGGCATAGCCGGAAACGTTCGGGCGAGCTGGTTGAAGAGAGAAATGAAGCAATGGAATTGGCGGCGGAAGGACCGCAAACGTTTCCCTCCAGTATTCGAGATCATCTGCCCAGGCGCCTTCTTCAAATTGGCGCAGTTGTCTTGTAGCGAAGTCTGGAAATTGAAGCGAATCAAGCGGAGTGAGTGTACCTTTATAAGCCTGCTCAAGTTCTGACCAGATGGTTTCAAAGCTAACCCCGTCCATGTTGATATGATGAAAGCCAAAGATCAACCAGTGATGGTTAGGGGCTAAAGAAAGTAGCTGTATGCGGATGACTTCTCCCTCGGCAATATTGAAGATATGTATTTTCATTCGGTGCAAGGCCAAGTCAACTTCGCTTTTGTCTGTAACATGGTCGTGCTCCAGGCGTAGAGGCGAGGTCGCCCAGACTCCTTGCATATGCCGCTTGCTTTCATCCGTAAAGAAGAAACTTCTCAGCGCCTCATGCCGTTGACCAACAATGTCGACTGCACGCGCAAACTTCTCGACATTTAGTTTACCTGTTAGTTCGAAGGTGGGAGTGACATTGAATGCAGTATGGTCTTGAACGAATGACCTGAGGAACCAAAAGCGCGATTGCCCAAAGGACATTGGAACAGTTCTGTGAACGTCGCGCCTTTCGATCACCTCTGAATCATTATCGAGAGAGCTCAAAGAAACTTTGTCTTCATTCGGGTCAGAGCTGGAATCGCCGACATTTAATGAGCCCGAGGACTTGCTGCTTCCTAGATTCAAAGATTGGAGATAGTCCAGATGAAATGCTTCGGGTTCATCTTTGTCTAGTGAGACAGGATCGCTTGGCGATATCTCAAGGGTTGATGAAGGGCTGATAGGTGTCGGCGGGCTGGGTGGCCGAGAAATTTGCGATCTTGTATCGGAATTGTCGTTGTCTTTCAGGTTCGGGATCAAAGATTCTGGGAGAGAGCTTGCGACGAAGACAAGCAGATCCCGGATGGATACCGCATTGACGATTTTCAACACAGGTATGTCTACACCAAGCTCTTTGAGGAAGTAAGAGCGGAAGTCGACTGCATTCAGAGAATCAACGCCGAGCTCATCTGGACTCATATCAAGTAGAGATTTGTTCGGATCGAGTTGAAGGGCGGATTGCAATTTAAGCGTGAAAGCATCTAGAACAACTAATAAGTAACGGGTCCCGCTTTGGCAAAGAGTGGGTTGATCTTGCCCTGTAAAACAGCCATCACTTCAAGGTTTGAGGTAGTCTCCAACAGCCGAGCTTTGGCCACAACGCTCGTTTTGTTCTTTTTGTCGCCCTCGATCAAGGTATTGGATTTGAAGACGAGGTGTTGGAATATGGGGTTGGCTATCCAGTCCTTGGAATCATCATCGTCGATCCGGAGACCACTGCAAATATCGGCAGTATTGGTCCTTTGCAAGCAGGAGAGGACTCCCTCCGCAAAGATCTCATGGAAGTCTTGCTCTGACATCCATGAATGGCCGACTTTGTATAAATACGACTGCTGGCTCATATTGAGTTCTCTGGTTACGTACCCATTACCCACGATGGGCCCGATATTGATGGCATGGCCCGCTAAGCCACGTTTTTGGCGTTGAGCCGCTAAGCTGGCCATGAACATATTAGCAGCGTTGTACGCGGTCTGACCTGGATTACCAGTCAAAGCAGCCATGGATGAAAAGAAAATCATAAAGTCCAGCGAGTTGTCTGAGAAAAGCTCGTCAAGCAAGAGACTGCCCTTTACCTTCGGTTGAAGGACAGTGTTGAACCGGGCGAGATCAAGGTCAAGAAACATGGTATCTTGCAGAACCATTGCTCCCTGTGCCACACCACCAATTGGAGGCATTGCGTCAAGAATATGGCGGTGAGTGTTGTGAACAGAAACACGATTCGTAATATCACTGCATCGGTCAGCAACCCCGGCATGGAAGACAGATGCGAAAAAGAGACTTACGTCGCAAAAACACGCACAATGCATCCATTGCAGGCCATTTTTTGTATCCACTGCTCATCTACCTTGGGGTTTCGACTAGACAGTGCAATGTACTTGGCCCCTTGTCGTGCCATCCACTGGCATAGTGAGAGACCAAGGCCTCGTGTCAGTCCGACGAGCCAGTATGTTTTGTTCTTGGCGAACTTGACCCGCTTGCTGGCTGGGATCACCTGTACTGGTAGCTTCAAGTGATCCCAGGTAATGACTGACTGTGGAAGTGATTGTTGCTGACTTTCAATCAGATCGCGAAGGCTTAACTGGGGAAGTCTATGTAGATTGACTGGGGTATGACCACTGCTTGCTGTTGTCCAGGTAGTCTGCAGTTGTGAGGATATTTGATTCACAGCCAGGTGGGGGGATGTTTGGGAGCCCTCCCTTGTCAGATCTAGTTCGCTCTCTAAGAGGCAGTCAGCTGGCAAAAGCTCTTTCAGCAAACATGCAACATCACTGTCTCCGCCGACATTCACTAGCCGAGTTACATTGGGTGGAATCTTGTTTGATATTTCGCGACGTGTTGTATGTCGATGAATATGAGTCCACGGCGAGGAGCAAGAACTATCTTTTGTGGTGAAAAGAACAAGTTGCACCCCCCTTTGATGGGCATAGTCTGTCAAAACGGCAGCGATGGAATAGTCTGGGTCCAACACAGCCAATGCCTTTCCTGGAAGAACTTTCTTGACCATTGACTGGGCTAGGAAATGAATGTAGAGACTGATCAATGATTGAATGGCTTGGTCCTCTGATTCTCCACACGTCACAGTCCATGATGGTGGCACATGGACAAGAGAAGTCAAATTCTCGGCGAGAGCCACCACGTAGCCATTGCCCTTGGGGGTTTTCCCAGCAACCAGGAACAACTGGTCTGATTCAGTGATCATCAGGGAGCGAAGGAGGCTGTGAGTTATCTGAATCTCAGTCTGACCATCGAAAAGTGGTAATTTCAGCGTGTCCGTCTCCGTAACCTGGTAATTCCCAGCCCGCGAAATGGCCACCGTAGCGTTGTTACGATCAACCGTATCGACAATGAGCCGTTTGGAGGAGTTATATCTGTCATTCCTTTGGGTTTGCAATCGAAGTCGGGGAATGAAAGCCTTTCCATTTCTCACCGATATCTCCCGTTCGGTATACCAAAGGATTCCCTCCAACTGGTTGCTCTGTTCCCAGACGTCAGCGGCGACAAGCTGAAGGAGCCTTTCTCCAATCAGATCTGCATCAGCTTCCGTGGGCGAAGAGAAATTGAGGAACTGAATGCGCAAGTGATGCATTTCCTTAGCGATGGTCCGTTGGATACCAGTGAACATGTTGCCAACCGGATTTTCTCCTCGAGCGCCATGTCCCACCCACAGAACATTCTTGCTCTGCCGGAAAAGCTCTTGGAAAGCCTTCAAGCTTTCCGGGGTCATTGATATGAACGCAGGCGCGTCCAGCTCGGCTAAGCTGAGAACCGTTCCCATGAACGGAAGTTCCTCGATACCGATCTCTGCAAGTCCCGCATAGCTTCTGATGGATTTATAATGTCGACCAACGACATTCTTGATATGTTTCACCATGGTAGTAGTGAGCGCTGTCTTTCCACCAATGAGGGTCAATGACTCGACATCCAGCGCTTGGTGGCTTGTGGCAAGAGGATCCCGCAAAAGGCTCATGCGATGATCAGTTGCCTGAGATACCATAATCGAAAACGGAAGCAGTCGTTCAGTGTTATGAGGGACGGAAACATCAATACCAGAAAAGCCGGCCGCTCTCATCAAGTCATCCCATTCCTCTTGCGATATGCTCGGTGACAACGTTCGCCCCTCTTGATGACCTAACCACCACCCTGGAAGGCCCGCGAGGACAACCCCAAAACGCATCACGTTGGGATCTGTTAGTTCCAAAATGAGCAGATATCCACCTGGCTTCAATAAGCGGCGGATGTTCGAGAGTGTGTGCCCGAGATTCTTCGTAGCATATAGAGCAAGAGTCGCGATAACTAGATCATACGACTCTTCTCCGTAACCCTGTTCGCTGACATCCTTCTCAATATCCAGGACTTTGAATGCCATTTTGGCCTGGTATGGTTGAAATTTATCTTGCGCACTATCAAACCAAGTACTCAAGAAGTCGGTGTAGGTGTAAGAAGCAAACGCTGTGTCGACCTCACGAAGGACAGACTCGGTTGTCTCGCCAGAACCGGCCCCTAGTCATAATTGTTAGGCAAACGTATTTTGCACAGCTAGTGAATGAACAAACCAATTTCCAGAATGTTGATATGAGGGTACCTGTGGCTGATTTGGCTAGCGATCCGGGCCACTTCGTTCAGGTACGATCGCATTCCAAGAGTCCCGGCATGGAATTGAGCCAACGTATTATCCTGCATCAAAATGTCAAGGATATTGGCTTCGCCCTGAACGACAGATGGGAGGCTCTCTCCAACTAGACGCATGGCCTTGCCATCAATGCTGTTCGCAAATCTAGGTTTAGTTAGTCCCAATCGACCTTGACGTTACCCACCAGGCTGGAACATTCACCTATCGAGTGTATGCGAGATAGTCTCTCTTGTGTCGTTTGCCCATTCCTGTCCGGCAAATGGGTGATCTCCAGACTCGACAAGCGCAACGCAATGGGCGGCATATGTAAGTAAGTGAGAATGATGCCCCATTACCTGTGACCGTACGGGCTCCAGGATCGAATGATGAAGATTCTTGAGATAAAAGTGAGCAATTCGCTCCAGCTGTAAGGCAGGGGTGCAGTCCTCTGTGAGCCAGTCCATTTCGGAATCTCTCTCACGTCCCGTTGGGACCTCCAAGGCCCAAGTCATCTCCGTGAATAGTGGAACATCCTTGTCGGGGGAGAGTGGAGTCAGCGGCGTGGTACGAAGACCTTGAAGTTGAACCACGGTGAATCTACCGTCGGAGGAGTAGATATCAACATCACCAGAGACCTCTGCAAATCTGACATCTGCCGCCGAAGCATGAAATGGAAGAAACATGCCGGGACCAGACAACCCCACACAACTACAGGGGTTGATGCGAATCCGGTCAATCCTTGTGGGGAGGTAGAGCGTGCGCAAGCGTCCATCCCCAGGGAAACAATATGCGAGCATAATTGACTGTATGGCACCATCCAGGGAGGCCGGATGCATGACCAATGATTTACCTGTCTCATCTTCGGCGGGCACAGTAATCATACCGGTGGCTTCATCCATCTTTCGGCTCAACCCAGTGAGAGCACGGAAAGGGCCAGTGTAACCAAAGCCAAGCTCTGACACGGAGCTATAGAATCGGGCCTCCTCAACGCGCAGGAAGGGGACTTGGCTGCTGGTACGTGCCGGAAGAGCAGCTTGGTCACAGTCTCCAAGAAGAATCCGAATGTGGGCAGATGCATGCAGAGACATGGATGAAGTTCCCTTCTTGGCATCGGAGTAACAGCTATATGAAGCTGTCACGACGTCCTTTCCGCTTTCCAGAATCGTCAGAGTGAAGATAACCTCGACGCCAGAATTTTCCTCGAGGACCAAAGCCTGCCCAATAATGACATTCTCAAAGTCAATGAGTTGAATGGATTCCAATTCAAATTTTTGAACTAGCAGTTCTGTTGCAGCAGAAATATACCCAGCCGCGGGGAAGACAATTTGGCCCTGTACCTGGTGATGCGAGAGCCAAGGGATCTCACGTGGGTGAAGATAGTTGCGCCACCGGAGCTCTTTGTCGGTGCTATCCGGGCATTTGATACCCAGGAGCGGATGGAATTCGTCATTTCCAGTTCGGAGGGTGGTAGATATTCGAGACTCATGCCAATAGACACGATCGTGGTCCCAAGAATAGGACGGTAGTCCTTTGATCAGCGTTGGCTGCGGGCAGGATCCCGCCGTCCTGCGCTCAAAGGCTGAAAAATCCACAGCATGCACACCAAGGGAAGCCCACATAGCGCCAAGCGCGGATGCAAACGACTGCTTGTCCTTTTTGCCACGAGTCAGAGTGCCTGAGTATGGTACGGCATTTCCGGAAATTTCTTGTATAGTTTGTAAGGTAGGTCCCTTCAAGGCAGGGTGGGGTCCAATCTCTAGTGCCATGTCAAATGGACCGAGTGCGCCAACAGCATAGGCAACAGCCTGGGAGAACATAACTGGATTGACCATGTTGTTGCTCCAATAGGTGTCATTGAGGCTGTCGTGCACGTGTTCAATGTCTTTGCTGTACACACTCGAGATCCACACAGCTCGAGCGCCAGACCGAGGCTTGATGTTGATGCTACATCTCTGCAGGGCAGCGATGTAGGGGGCAGCGCATGAAAGCATATGGTGAGAGTGATATGCCTTATCGACCTTCAGCAAGCGAGCGAACTTCTTTTCGTCTAGGAAAGTGTCTTTGGCTTCGTCAATAGCATCAGCGTCACCGGAAAGCGTGACACTAGCAGAGGAATTACTGGCGGCAACACAAATACGGCCTTCCAATGACGGCATCTCACAAAGTTCTTGTGCGTCTTCAAACGAGGTGCCCACCGCCATCATGGCCCCCTTAATTCCGTTATAGTTGTGGGGGTTCTGTAAAGACCATCCACGGTAGTATGCAATCCTGATGGCATCATCCGCAGAGATATAGCCAGCTGCGTACGCTGCAGCAATCTCTCCTGATGAGTGACCCACTACAGCGGCAAATTCAATCCCGGCCGAACGCAGGAGATGGACCAGCATGATCTGGACGGCAGTGCTGAGAGACTGTGAGAACAAAGCCTCTCCAATACGAGAGGATTGTGCATCCTTGAGTATCTCATCTTTGAGCGACCAAGCAGGACGGTCTTCTTCAGGAAGCGTTCGAAGCGCCAAATCAAGATTAGCAATAGATTCTGCGGCCAATGGTGAGCCAAGCAGCAGCTCTGCTCCCATTCGAGCCCATTGAGCACCTTGTCCAGTAAATATGCCGAGCAACTTCGGCTGCTTGATGTTGGACGTCTGGCTGGTGGGTAAGATCTCCGACGGCGACATCACAGCATTATCCAGCTTCGTCACCAGTTCCGTAGCATTCGAAGCGCATACAGATAGTCTGAAGGGCAATGTAGACCGGCGGCAATTTAACGTCCATGATAGATCGTGGAGGTTCAAATGTGGGTTATCTTTCAAATACGTGGAGTACGATCCAAGAGTGGCAAGAAGGGATCTTTCTGAGTTTGCAGAGAAGTTGAATGGCGTAAGAAGGGCAGTCGAAGAGTCACTCGTGCCATGTTCCGTAGATTTGGGGTCGAAAGATTCCAGGATTGCATGGGCATTGGACCCACCAAAGCCAAAACTATTCACACTGGCCCGACGGGGTGTCTCTGTTGGCAGTCTTGGCCATTCCATTGCAGTGGATGCAATCTGAAGATCATTGTAAAATGGTCGCACCGCGGGGTTGATTTCGTTGAGTAGAAGATTTGGTGGAATGACTGCATGCTGCAATGCCAAGGATGCCTTCAGGACAGCAGCCAGCCCAGCTGTACCTTCAGTGTGCCCAATGACGGTCTTGACTGAGCCAACGTACAAAGGTGGTTCATCGTCAGCTGCGCGATAGTAGTTCGCTTTGGGGCCATAGAAAGCAGTACAAATGGCTTCCGCTTCAACTGGGTCTCCCGCAGGTGTTCCTGTTGTCGTCAGACGGGTGTTAATTTTCAAGTGGACATCTTTGCATGCCACTTACCGGTTCCATGGGCCTCAAAGTATTGAGGCCGATCACTAGGGTTTGACAAGTCAAGTCCAGCTTTCGCGTAGGTCTCATGAATGAGATCTGCTTGTGCGATAGGGTTGGGCATGGTGATCCCCTTCGTCCGTCCATCTTGATTAATACCAGTTTCACGAACAATGCATTCGACGTGATCGCCGGCGGCCAGCGCGGCGCTCAACGGTTTGAGCACGACGGCAGCTATCCCGTCGCCTCGGGCATACCCATCCGCATCTGTGTCCCACATTCGAGAGCGACCTGTAGGTGAGAGCATCTTAAGCTTGCTCTCGGCCACGTACTGCTCGGGGCCAAGGAGAAGATTTGTTCCTGCTGCCACTGCCATGCTACTTTCACCATTCCGGAGGCTGAGGACAGCCTGGTGAAGCGCAATAAGACTGGACGAACAAGCCGTGTCAATGGTCATGGATGGACCATGCCAGTCAAAGAAATAGGACACGCGATTGGAGAGAATACTTCGTGCAGTTCCGGACGCGAAGTATGTTGGCAAACTCTGGATATCCCTCCCCAGCAGATCCGCGTAGTCATTCGTCATCAACCCAACATAAACGCCAGTATTTGAACCCTGCAACTGTTCCATAGGAATGCCCGCCGATTCTAAGGATTCATACACAGTCTCCAGCAGCAGTCGTTGCTGAGGGTCAATTGAATTCGCTTCAATTGGCTTAGTCCCGAAGAATTGGGCGTCGAACAAGCGATGGTCCTCGGACAATAGGTAAGAATGACGAACGTTTGTTGTGCCATGATGGCTACTATCCGGATGATAGAAAGCCTTGGAGTTAAAGCGACTCTTAGGTATCTCTGTGAGGACATCCCGGGGATCCTTGAGTAGCTCCCAAAGCTTAGCCGGAGATATCGCGCCGCCGGGAAACCGACAAGCGCTGCCCACAACGGCGATGGGCTCGGCACTAGGCCGACAACCACTGGACATGACGTATTTTGAGTTTCACTAACTTTCAAAGGCCCGGTGCGACCAGTGTGTGTGTGACCGTCGGTTTGTAATAGAGATCCAGAAAGTGACAGTTCAGGAGAGCCGAAAAAGCGATATTGTGTGGCCTTGAACTAGGAGTATTTTGAGACGGGCAGTAGATATCAATGAGCCAAGGTTTCGACTGATGGTCATATTGATTGGATGTTGATTCAAATATGTAGCTCAGAATCAACGAGCCTTCCCGTAGGTGATGAACGCAAGGTAGGCAAATCATAGCTCAAGGAGCCCTGGAACGTTATTTCTCGCCTTCCTCTGCATGGCCCACGAGCGAATTTGCATCTTGCTTTCTGACTGCAGCCTACAACTCATGGCCGTGAGGGTACAGGGAACGCTCTGGCTAAGCATTTCAGGTCCTGGACCAGTCAGGATCCTAACAATGGCCGAGTCCGACTCCGACTCCGAAGCAGTATGACTGAGAGGTACTCATTTGTCCGGAATTTGAGGTATTATAGTGGATTTTCACCATTTAACCATCCGAAACTGCTAGATGCAATTTGAATTCAGCGTCGCGTCCTTCTCTGAAGTCGCCTGCTCTGCGGCTTTGGCCCAGGTAGATGTACAATGGGCAGCGATCATGGCTGTAGCTTCAAGCAAGCTCGTGCGACATGAGTTGAAGCAGGAAGCCGGGCCAGAGATGAGGATAAGCGAGAGGAGGCCCTGTCGAATCGCTAACCGAAGTAATTGGAGGAACACAACGCGCCAAGCCAACTGCAATTATGCCTCAGGCACCAACTTCGTGGTCTGTCGCTGTGTAACAACATGTGCAACAAGGTCATTGTGCATTTGTTTGCTCGTGGCAACCCAGATCTCAAAGGTCTGGGCTTAATTATTCCAGTCCAAAATAGAAGGAAACTTTGATGAGGGCATGACGCTTTGTCCCATGTCCTCTGCATGAAAGACACGCAATTCTGCAATGCATGCGTGGGCCCGCGCGAAAAAATGCTTTGCTCGGTCAATCCAGGAACATAAGAGGTCTTGATCTAAACCGACTTAATCAAATTCCCAATCTAGAATGATATCTGTCCAATGGAGCCATTGAACGACAGTCCTAATGTCGCAGGTAGTTCGGCTGCGATATCTAGATATATTTGTGGCGTAGGTCATGCCCAGAGAATGGAGAGTCAGGCAAGATATCCATACATCAGCACGTCAGACAGACTCAGGAGGCTTGGATAGGGTGCATCAAAGTCCAAGGTCACACATACGACACGGGTACCTGAGAACCAAGGATAACTGTCAGTCTTGCCGTTGGAAGCGCCTAAGGTCTTGACTGTTTGAGCAGGCAGATGCCTGTTTCAGGCACTTTCACCGCCTACATGCACTTTCCAGCTCTGGTAGTCTCCGCATGGAACGGTCTCTAGGCATACGGGAGCTCGTGGTCCACAGCAGGAGCATGCGTGAAAGTTGATGGTATTCATAAAACATGTTGACATGCATAAAGCTTGGTCATCTCAATAGATATATACAAATTCGTCATTCTGTCGGTCAGTGAGGTCCTCCGTCATATGTGCACCCGCATGACCGACATGCTGTTCCGTCGTACCCTCTTCGGTGGTCTCCTCGATGCCATGGAAGTTGGTCTGCATGGAGTGATCAATGATCTTGGCACTCTTTCCATTACGCACACGGCGGCGGGCTTGCTGCTTGTTGAGGAACCACAGGTTGGCCCATTGGATGAGCACAATCGCAGCCATTGCGCAAAAGATACCAAGACAGGCACGGAGACCGGGATGGTAATTGGGAGCATCCTTCGAGGAGAAGAGCAGTGGGCCCACAATGTTGCCGGCAGAAGACGCCGCATTGTATAGACTCATAGCGACCGATTTCTTGGTGCTTCCAGCCGTGTTGCCGACAATCCAGGTCACGACCAGCGGGTTGCCTCCGAAAAGGAATGATAGAAGATAGTATCCAGCAAGCAGCGTACCCTGCGCGGAATCGGTTCGAGGCATGGCGTAGAGAATGGCCAACCCCGCAATCACGGGGAGCATGAACACGGATAGAACAGCACCCTTCAGGCGGGCTGTTTGGGCGAGATAGCTGGCGAGCAAGATCACGATCGTTTGGAGCGCGCCAAAGGGCATCGTCAAGAGACTAGTCCTGTACTTGTCGTAGCCCAGGCCACCGATGATCAAAGGCCCGAAAATGTTGGTTACGCTGGCACCGATGTTGAGGAGCATTGCCATGCCGATCCACAGGTAAGACTTTGGCTCCAGTGCTGCTTCCAACACATGGCTGAGTTTGAACTCGGTATTTCCTGTGCCTGTCTGGTTTGCGCGCAGGCGCTCCATTGCCTGGGCTTTCTCTTCCTCGGTGAAAAAGCGAGCGGTGGACACATCGTTGTCTAGGCGCCAATACACAAACGGCGCTGAAACGATAGTCAATAGACCGACGAAGAGGAAGATGCTGAGAAAAAAGTCAAATTAGCGACACAAATCCATCATTTGTTTGGAGAATTTGACTTACATTTGCCAAGCTTCCAAGAGGTCAGATTTAATGTGTGCAAGGCCGTAGGACAGCGCAGCCGCCACAATGGTCGCGATTCCATTTGTGCCGTACCAGGCAGCGATGCGCAAAGGCTGCTCGGCCCGACGGTACCATTGGCTGGTGATGACGCCAAACAGGGGCAAGCATCCGGCCTCGAACAGGCCCAGGAAGAAGCGCGCGGCCATCAGCTCCTGGAAATTGTGGCAAGCGGCCATGCACGCCTGCGCAATGCCCCATCCCAAGCACAGAATAGGCATGAGAATTGTATGCGGCACCTTCACAATTAGATAAGACGAGAACGGCTGCCAGGCCAGCTGGGCGATCGGCCCAATGGACCCGACCAAAGAGTATTCATTCCCCGTCAAGTGCGTGTCCTGCTTCAGGCCAAATGTTGCGCCATATCCGAGCACTGTCTTGTCCAGGATTTGCAGAAAGTAGACCCATATCAACACCACCAGAATCGTGCGGTCGGTCTTGCGACAGATCCGCTTGTTATCCTCTTCGGTCAAGGGTACGTGGGGGATATCGACTTCGATGCCCAGATCCGCCTTGGCCATCTGAGGGCTTTCATCATGGACAACATCGGGCTTGGCCATCGTGAGGAGATGGTTTAGAAGAATGCAGAGTAGACCCGACCGAGCTGCAGACGCCAAGCGGAATATTTATCTCTGGTCACCCCCACGCACTACGTGCCCTGTGGCGATTAGAGTTTCCTTCGGCAGTGGGGGTATCCTTCCCCCGCCTTCCCCCACGTCTGCGCTTGGTTTCGCGGCCATGGAAACGCAGCATGAGATGATCATCACTTTCGCGGCATTGGACCCGAGGTTCTTATTGGCGATGAACCCCGGAAGCATCGCGAGAGTGGAGGGGCTGGACCAATCCGAGGTGGAAAATGGCCCGGTTGGCTGGCTGGCTAACTTTGTCGCATTGTTACCGACCCCGAGGGTCTCGTGAGACGGTGTGGGGAAATTTTAACCCGGCATCTCTCCAGTCTCTCGGCTGTCACCGCTTTGGCCTGTTCACCACTCCCCGTAGGATTCCCGTAACTGCTTCCCCGAAGCCAGCCGGAACCCGCAAATGCCCCCACAATTCCCTTCCCCACGGGTGATCAAACAACCAGTGAAATTGTCTGCAGTGGAATGAATGACCTCCATACCCTGGTTGGTCCATCGCAGCTCGGAGCTCTCAAATGTCCCACCGTCGTCATCAATTGCCCTGTTTTCCATGATTTGCGCCACCCCTATGAGGCGCGCGGCGCCCCTACATACCCTAGTCTACTCTTGACTTGGCTAAGAACACCCCCACACCTTGAGCACTGATACATTGTGCGGGGAGAGCTTGCGGCTATTGACTTTATCGTCGGCGATTGACCCCCATGCTCTGGAAGATGCGGCGTTCCAACCGCCAAATGCCGCCTCCCATCAACTGAATGGAGACACCCCCATGGTGGGAACGGAAGCCAAAGCGACAAAGATATTTAATGACGGCTATTATATCATGAACTTGGCATTTAGTATGACTGCCAAACCTCTCGAGTCGCTATCTCCCTATTGTCGGCCACATCGGTCTAGCCCTTTATATATACACATCGTCGGGATCCCGATATCTGGGGAACCTATCACTTTTTTCGATAATTTTGATATTCAATGGAAGCTGTGATAGCAGCATGACCGCCCAGAGTGCCTTGGGCGAAGTCAGTCAGAACCATTGTCCAATGATGTGGGGGTTGGCATCTACTCACTTGGAACATAGTGTCTACCATGACAACATCACCCCCCTCAATTGATAACAGCCATGCCTCCCAGCTAGCGCCATGAAAACTCTCCGGGCAACGCTTCAAAGCCATTGGACTGACCTCCTCATACGGCAAGGAATCCCCGTATACAAGCGAGTCCTGCCCCGGCCCTCTAACTTTGCGTACCAGCCCAGCGCGGTTCTCTTCATGGTCGGCGCCTTTCTGCCCAAATCGCGCATGAAACGCCTCTCGTACCTCAACTGGCACTGCAAGATCCAAGAAGTCCCATTCAATCCCCTGAAATTGCGTCGGTTCTTTGGCCAGCTGGGCGAAGACATTGTGGACGGCCTCGGCTGCTGCGATAGCTTCCGTTTTGAGGTATTTACGTGGGATCTTGCCAAAGTGATCGAAGGAGCTCTCCTCCTCCCTACTCAGTCGATACTTGTAGCTATGAGAGCTCAGATGTCCCAACTGGAGCGCTGTGCTGTCGTGCTCGTATATCCACTCGGCGATGACCGACCATAGGACTGTCCATTCAGCCCAGTACCGGCCCCGCCCGCCTTTCTTCGTGGTCGCGAGTGCGCCTGCGATGACTTCAAAGTTGCCATTCTTCCAGCCGTAGAGCTCACCACCTACATTGGACAGCTCGTCATACTTGCCGGGTGGCTTATCTGCGTAGGTCAGGTCCATGTAGGCCCCCGCACCGCAAGCTACGCTGATGGCGGGGCCAATCGCGCATGGCTGTGGGTCGGGGCCCATCAGACCCCCGCGTGCGGTGCGACCAGCTCTTGCAAGCAGGATGGCCAGGTCTTTGGGCAAGCCGACGGAGCTGGGGTCCGTGTGGAATTCGACCACGGTCGGTTTCTTGTAGGTAGACTGCTCTTCCGGCGGGCTCAGCGTGCGCATGCTGGCATTGGCCGGTTGTTTTCCCGGAGAAAACCGCTTGCTGAAAAAAGCATGCAGCTGCGACCAGTCGGGGTGATTGAAGATGTCACGTAGGATGGCCGCGAAGAGTAGAGTCGCCTGGGTCCGGCCAGATTGCTGCTCGATGAAGGCGAAGTCATTGAGAGAGAAGCGTTGGAATTTCTGCGCGCAAGTCAATAACCCGAGTGTCCTCGTCGCTACATAGGTTGAGAAAGGCTTCATACCTCATCGGGCTTCCAGTTCTCGTTGGTAAGGATATTGTACGTTTGCGGACTGCGAAGGTGCAGCGCCAACGGAAGAGAAACTTCCATGGGTATCGGCATACTGAATGCTAGAAAGACTACGGTCAACTCATCGGCGCGTCGTTGAAGACTGGAGAATTTTCTGCCATCGCAGATGAGATGACGCCTTCTTGCAAAGGCATCGGATGTGGTACGTACCTCCCCCCTCCTCTCAACCCCCTCTGAGTCGCAAGATACCTATCTTGCCTGGATCCATGGGGTGGCTGTGCGATCTTGGCCCGCTAGGCTACCTCGCGCCCACCCCGCCGTGTGGGCACCATATTCGAGACTAGTTGCAGCAGATCCAAGCCCACGGGAAGCTGAATACGAGGTAGAAAAGGTGGAGCATTACTCGGTTGAGGCTGAGATGGGACAATTGCGTTTTGTTCCCACCCAGGCATGCGATCTGCTGGAGTGACTCGACAGGATCGTGAACATCAATTGCATCAGTCATGGATCCTCTCGGCGTCTCAATCGGAGCTATCTCACTAGTGAGCCTCTTTAAGACCTGTTTGGAGTTATATGAGACTTTTGAAAGCGGGCGGAACTTAGGAACAGACTACGAGGTGCTGGCCACGAAGGTTGGCATCGAACGTGTTCGCCTCGCGCTCTGGGGAGACGTTGTAGGCTTATACGATCTCGTGCCAGGCCAGGGACATGCCGTGGACCCCCGTCTGAGTGAGCCGCGGATTGCCAAGGCTGTTTCGGATATCCTCAACTGTATGCGGCGGCTCTTCGAAGACAGCAGCTCTCTGACGAGGAGGTATGGCCTACAGCCGTCGAGGACAGATCTCGTGCCCAGCAGTAGCAGAGATAATGCTCTGGCCACGACATTCTGCAAGACATATGGCCGCCTGCACGCATCAGCTTCGCGGATCCAGCAGAATACGTCGCTGCTCGTCGCGACACGGTGGGCGATCAAGGACAAAAAGCGGTTTGAGCGCTTTGTTGAGGATCTCCGCGGCTTCAATGATAGCCTCGGTCTGTTATTCCCGGACGGCGATATGCATGCTCGCGAAACCATGGCCACGGAGATAAAGCAGTCGACGGACCCGGGCAGCCTCCAGATCGTCGAAGCCGCTGTTGCGGATCTAGATGGGGCCACAGATCTCGCCGAGGCGGCCAGTGTACGAATCACTCAATTATCGCAATACTCACAGAGCGTGGTCGAGGTTCCGACCATACAGACGGACGACAGTGCTGTCGACGTGGACGTGCATCGTCTCACTCGACAATTGGGGAAGCTTGAGGCTTCAATGAGCCAGAGGGTTGAGCTGCGAGGTGGGCTGCAGTTTAGCCTGGTCAGCGTCCAGGATGGCGATTGTTTCGCCGAGTACGACTTTTACGGAATGGATAGCAAAGACTACATGGTGGAAAGGCACAAGGAGGCCCAATATGTGAAGCATTCGTGTCTGGCGTGGTGTATGTGATCCCTCCCCATCATCTGCATGAGCACGAGTTCATCCTCTGGAGAGGGCACCTAACACCGGAAACAGCATTGATGTATATGTCCAACAAGAAAAGACACGATCAATGCGATTTCAGCCGACAGGATACAGAGGTATGGGCCAAGACTAGTTGTAACCATTTCAACAGCTCACCCTAGCCAGTGCCACCGTCTATATGAGGGCAAGTACCCTGGAACATGCACCGTCCACGGCTATATCGCTGAATTCAACATGTGGAGACGAAATAAGACTCCTACCATGGAGAAGATGTGGAACACTGTGCAAGACCTGCCGGAACTCTCCCTCGAACGGCTGCTCGAGCGGGTGCGCCGTGTGCAGCTGCAGGGAGATCGGTTCTGGAATTACGAGGAGCTCGCGGCAAACAGCGGTCTCGATGAGCTGATCAGTCCAGATCGTCTGGATGCTCGGATACAGGACCAGGTGAGTCGCCTGTTGAGCACGCTCAACCGCCGCAGGATCTTTCCCGACGTGCTCGACGACGCGTCACTGGCTAGGATTGCCCTCTCCACCTCCGACAGCCTGTATAGCTTCCTCTTACAGGTGCTTTTAGCGCACGAGCTACGAATGCGCATGCAGCGCGAGTCCGATGTCGGGTTTGGTAATGTGAGTCGCCGGATCGTAGCTGCCATGCAAGCTTCAGAGCGATGGCTCGACGGCGTTCATGTCAAGACGCCCGACCCCAAGGGGAACCCCGACTATGTCGAGCTGCACAGTCTCGTGCACGAACGGCAAGTCGAAGGGCTAATCCGGTTTGCCGAGATGATGGCGTGGCCAGCCCTTGGGGAGATGCGCACATTCTCAGAGGAAGCCTATGCTGGCATTAGGGCGGGCATGAAGAGTAGCACACATCTATGGGACTGGCTCTATGGTCTGATGCTGCCCGGAAATTCCTTCGTGTTCGCCATCATGGCAGCGCTAGTCGCAGCCACCCCAAGTTTGCAACATCTTGGGGCCGCGCAGTATTATACATCAGGACTAGTGTTGAGTGACCGGTCGTATTGGCGGTCCAAAACGGTGCTGGGCCGTGTCCTGGGCGGGATGAAGGGGGTCAGAGCGGCCAATGGGTGGGTTGGGCCGTGCCCGGCCCCTGTAGATGTTCGCGGGAAGGGCCTGAAGGAGGGTTGGTGGCGCATTTGCGCGAGAGATGTAGCCTTCAACGGCTTCATGACCCGAGATCAACCGACCAGTCAGAGTCGGTTCCCCCCTTTGCATCGTCGTGAAGCCGATTCGACCGCCGCCGAGTGGATCCGTGGCATGGTAGACCGTTCAGAATGGGCCGTCCCTGTTGGACCATGTGAATCGTCCGATCATGTCGAATTCTCCGCGGTGCGCTTACAGAAACTTGGCTCGGGGCTGCCAGATGCTCCAGTGCCCGCGCACGGAGAAGACGAAAGGGGCGTTGAAGGAGTCGAGCCAGAGGCGGAGCAAAGAGCGGTTCTCGAGTTGTGCATCAATGGTCAACCGGCGAGCTTCACTCTCTATAGTAACCCGGTCTTTCTCATGGCTCCCGAATGTATAGATGGACCCCACGCGGTGCACCAGCAAGACCTCTCCAAGATGCAACACATCTTGAAGACTAGTCAGCTACCGGGGTACGTTCACGACGACACTCGCGTGCTCATCATTGATGCCACTGGGCAGGGAGAGTGTGAACTCGCTGCGCGGGCATGGTGCTCTCAATATGGGCAGCACGCGATTGTGACGAGAGGCCAACAACCATGCTTCGCGTGTGCTATCAAGGCTGCGAGCCAGGGCGGCCTTGTCATCGGTTGTATAATTCGGGCTGGTCCGTGAATTCTAGATGGACCCGTATGATGCATAGTAATGCAAGAGCAATATGCGCCAAACAGTCCTCGCGGGGTTGCATTATTACGGTGCCATGCGTTACTCTGTTGATGGCAGGTCTTTAAAGCTGCATGGGGCCCCGCGGCCTCGTATACCAAGGGGGGTAAGTGGATAGCCTCGTGCTGCGCCCCAATTGTCTCTGGCCTAACCGGCTTGGCATAGGCCACGACTAACACCTCTGGGTCATCGATGGGCTCTATTTGCATTATACGTCAATCAACCCGTTGGTGTTCACGGAGTTTGGAGTCCGCATAAGACGTTGCTTCGATATCATCACTGGAAATGGAGATCGCGAGTACCGCAATTGGGGTGGTTGGGCTGGCGGCCCTCTTTAGTACCTGCATCGAGACGCTCGATACTCTCTCATCTGCAGCGAGATATAGCGTCAATAGGGAGATCCTGCAGACGAAGATTGAAGTAGAGCGACTACGGTTGATGGTTTGGGGAGAGTCCGCCGGGATCACTGACATTGATCCCAATCGACCTGAACATGAGACTCCAGACGACCTTGCCATTCTAGACGAGTCGCTCCAGGGTGCAGCGCTGCGTCCAGCCGTTGCAGGTCTACTAACATGCTTCACCCATTATTTTGAAGACATCGAACAGCTCCAGAGCCGGTATGGCGTTGCTCCACGGAAGGAAAGCCAAGAGAAACAGAAGACAACTGCCTTGGCGGAGAAACCAACGAGGGAGATGCTGCTATCCACCTTTCAGAAAACATATCTGCGGTTTCAAGAAAGGACTTTGACGACACAAAAAAAGACATCGCCTTTAAAAAAGGCCATGTGGGCAGTCAGCGATGAGCGCAAGTTCCGAGTCCTAATTGCAGAGCTGAGAGCCATCAATGACTCGCTCACTTCGCTATTACCAGCCATCCGCGACAAGACACGCGTTCAGATGCGGGCTGAGATTCTGCGAAGCAGTGATGTGAACCAACTTCAGAATCTCGTCACTGCCGCTGATGATGTTACGGATCTCATTGCTGAGACGGCCAGCTTGAGGTTGGAGATGCTGTCAACGGCCAGCCAGCATGGAGCCCCAACGCCAGCCCCAAGAGCTGTGCAGGTTATACCAACATCAGCGACATCACCGCATGGTCTGCTAACCCACCCATCCGCCCAGGATCCATTACCCAGGCCCAAATCAATTGTGCAGAACCTGATTGCGGCGACACTGGCTGCTCCCTCAGGTCTTCCATCCATGCCCGGCGGTACAACATGTGATCTGTACGATAACACAGGTGCCTTGGTAATCCACAAGGCCTACCATAAGCCAAACAGTCTGGCTTGCTTTACGTGGCTTGTCGGCCTTGGTGAGACTCCAGAGTCTTCAGAAGTTCAATTGGTGTCTGACTCCGTTTTCGGTAAGCGATGCAATCTATTGTCCTTTCACAAAAGAGATCTAATATCGTCAAAGATCTACGATATATCCCCGACAATATATCGAGAGTGGCAGACAAGTTACTGGAAGTGAGCGTAGATGCTGACAGGAAATATGCCGGATGGTCTCCCGGATCAACCTCCCTGACAGGGTTTGCCAGGGAAGCCACATTCTGGAACAGGGCCTCGGAACTTGAAAACCGGGTAGATCCTAGCTGGAAGCGAACCAAGTCAAAACAACTATACACCAGCTTTATTCACCAGAGATGGAAGAAGATCGTAGCAGAGGGCCTAGGCGATGACTTCACGGACAGAAAGGGCTATGACCAGTTGGAAGAGCTCTTGGGTCCTAGCGAGTATGTTTTGAGAGTCAATTAATGCGCTCTGCAGTCAAGAGAGCTTACACTAATATTACTATAGATACACATGGCTTGATTCCGAGGAAGGCTATAAGCTGCGACATCAAATCACAGACCTGCTCGGGGCTCTGAGCAGCTCTATTGTGCCCAGTTTTGAAGCCACCGGGAGCATCGCCCTTCTTGCATTCTATGAGAAAATCGATCCGAACGCGCGCTTTGGATTTGCCGACTTTATGCGACAGATGCTCGTGGCCCGCGAGGCGATCCTACGGATCCAGCGAGACGACCGACGCTGGTATGGCGGGATCACTACGCGCGTCATTTATGACATGATCGCCGCCGATCTCTGGGCACAAAACATGGAGGTCAACATCGATGCAGGATTCAAAGTATCGAAGAATGTGCTTCAGCAGCAGATGGATGGCATCATCAAATTTGTTGATGAGATGCAGTGGCCTTATGCAGACGAGGTCCGCAAGACAGCGAACCACCTGCGAGAGGCCCAGGCCCACGAAATCAACGTCGACGTGCGTGTCCATGACTGGATGGGTGGACTGGTCTTCCCAGGCGCTTCATTCCCTCTCACTGTCGTTGGGGTAGTGTACCTGCTCTCACCGACCCTGCGCGCGCACATGCCGAGTGAAAGTGTCAATATCCGCCAGGGAAACTTTGGCATCGTCTATCCAGAGGCCTCATACTGGCATTCCCGCTCCGTACTAGGAAAGGTTCTCGCACCACTTTCTCTCAGCAGTGAGACAGGCCGCCCCCAGGTCCGTTGTTTAGGCGGCTGGATTGGGCCTTGTCCTTCTCCATCCATCCCGGAATGCAGACTTGGCATCACAGTCTCATTGTCAACTCGTCAGCCTCCCTTTGCTCCGCTAGAATTGTATTCCAGCGGAGGAGATGCAGATACTATATCGACGAGCGGTGGACAGGGCGATAGCGGCGAGTGGATGCTGCCGAAGCCGCCGGTGAGATCCTCTGATACTGTTGCAGTTCAGACCATCCGCCTCTCCAAGGTGGCAGTCGCCAGCACTAGCGCCAAAGATGCACCGCTGTATACGGCGCTGATTGATTTCCGCCTGGAACGTAGCCGCACATTCGTGACCTTCACGCTATACACCAACAGCGTGTTTGTTGCCGCGCCGGCGTGCCGAGGTACTCACAAAATAGACCCACGTGCGGCAGGGCATTACACCTTCGGTGTACGGGGAGTCGAGGAGCTCGGAAGAATGTCCCAAAAGGGGGATGCTGCTGCGAACATGGCTATTCTGGTTGTGAACGCGACAGGCGGCCCGGTGAGTGAGGTATTTGCGCGTGCTTGGTGCTCGCATACAGGGACCAACGCGGTGGTGTGGCGGCACGAAGGGGGCAAATGTTGTTTCAAGTGCGCGCTCATGGTTGCGTCCACGGATGGCTTGGGGACTGGGGTGTTGATAGTTTGTTAAGCTGTACCTCTTCGTTCTGTGTAGTACGGTGGCCCAGTTCGGCGTTGGGCTTGTGTTATGACAATCAGTACGGCCCTAGCTGGTACAGAAGTAGCGAGGAGGATGCCACGCTACTTCTATCCTATCCTAATCTTCCGAGGGAAACACATAATGAAACACGAATTGTAGTCTTTTATATGAGGACATACTCGCCTCCGATCACTCCTTGAGCGCATCATGTCCCCAATTCTTGAGGGATCGATAGCTCTTACTATTGGGATCCTGCTTGGCGCTTTCTTCCTGCGCGAGATGTCGCTTGCAATAAGATACAACCTTGCGCATATGATCGATGTCCGAGTCGTCATAACCAGATGCGTCGCGACTAGGATTGTGCTCTAAAATATCCACTATCTTCCGACCGCTGCATATTTGGGTCCCGTTAGCCTTCATCTTTCGAAGCAAGAATCCTAGCCAATCAAAATGCAGCCATTGGGATCGCTAACTTACCTCTCGTGGCCAATGGTCTCGCCAGATTCACCACTCCATCCCGATGACTGAGATTGCTCCTCCTTGAGCCACCCACGGAGCTCGTTTGGGGTCATGTTAACAAGTTCGTTGAACTCGCTAATTGTACGTAAGCCGTGGTCTTATGTTCTGGATCAAGACAGGGCAATGAAGAGACCTACCTAATCACAGTATTTTTGTCCTTCACCATGTTGACTTTGACTGTTCTTGTTCTGAACAAATTGTTCTAGGTTTTAATGGATTAAGCAGTGAGATAAATCTCGCTTTCACGTCGAAGCCATGATTTGGGGACATTGCTGCGTGGCCTGCTTGACGTCACCATTTCTTGCTCGGCCCATCGATTGACTGAACCTCGGAAAGCTCCCATGAATTTCAAGTATTTCAGAGGTGGGAATGGGCTGCTATTTAAAAACCTTGCTTTGAACAGGCACCCGTAATTATTCTTCATTTCTATAAAATATGGTAACCGAAGCCGGTGATGCTATACCGACCAGCTGAACTGTTGAGGCCAGCCCAGTCTATTGGGCAGCCCTGTGCTTGTCATCTGCTTCTCCAGAATGATCCACACTGCTGCAGCCACACTTTTCTGTCTTCATTAGAACCATAGCGTACCTGCCTGTGACATATTTTTGATGGAGGCTGTGCGCCTTCCTAGATGCTCAGGACCTCAGATGCGATGCCACACACCGCCGGTGAGTGCGTTTTCTCTTTCCGGTGTTGTTATAATTTCCTTGTAATGGAAACACCCACGAGTTCACTAAAATATACTATCTTTCCGACCGGCTGAGATTTTGATCTTTCGACACCTCTAGAACGTCGACTACTTTGCTTTCCCTGAGCGCTTGGGTCTTCTGAGATAACAACTGCAACTGACACTGGCTCGGGATGGAGGTTTAGACTATCCCAAGAAAGGCCATTTTTTCGCCGATTAGTGACAAATCTGATGTCCAAAGAAAGTACTGGGCTTCGGGCAGGTTCAGAGGGGGCTGGTACATGCGGGTCCGCGGAGATGCATTGCCAACATGCCAGCTTATCTTTGGCCAAAGTGATAAGCTGCATGCTTTGATTGGTCGCCTCCACTAAGTATGGAGGTGATCGACCATTGTGCACCCTCAGCACGAATCTGAGCTTATTTCTTTAATGATCCCCATGGCGCACAAAGGATGGGTCTGGGGATCAACCAGGCCTCCTTATCGAAACCCAGTTACGTCCCCTGTGTACAAGCGGCATTAGTCCCTGGATGGTGTATCGCCAAGAAAACATGCTGCGTCCTCGAGCTGCACATAAATATGTGAGTGCAACCTTCCGGCTGGGGAATTTGGTGTCACTTGCACTCTCTGTTCGAATCCGAACATCTTGTCCATAAATCTTCCGGGTTTGAAAAGATTGACCACTTTCCTTAAGAGTTTCCTGACTGGAGAGTCGCAACCCAGTCAAAATGAGCTTTGATGCATTCTCGCCTCAGGAGGTCATCGAGGCCCTTGCAAACACTGGGGTTCAGAAGGGTTACATGCGACTGGACAAGGTCTTTTTCAGCTCTGTCTCTGCCGGGTGCTTACTTGCCTTTGCCTGTGGAACTGCCCTGAGCACCAATGCTTCCCCTTGGTTCCAGGAAAACGCCCCGGGTCTGATACGCACTATCAGTGCCTTGGTATTCCCTTATGGATTATGCATGATTATCTTGACAGGCGCTGATCTATGCACTGGCTCCTTTATGGTATGCTGGGAGCCAATCCAAGTTTCTAATAGAAATATACTAATTAGTTACAACTCGATTAGTTTACCACCGTTGCGGCACTCCAACGCCGATTGCCCTGGTGGAAAATGCTTATTCACTGGGCCGTCACGTTTTTAGGAAACTTAGCTGGCTCTTTGTTCTTAGTGGTAATCATATTCGGCTGTTCGTGATGCTTTCACCCTTTCTTGCTGCCCACTGAAACCAACCTCTAGTGAACAGATGGCGAGGTTTTCTCTACGGACCCCTTCAAGTCGGCGGTCATCACGTTCGCCACGAAAAAGCAGGTCGTCCCCGACTTCCACATGATCTTCCTTCGTGGTATTGGGTGCAACTGGCTGGTATGCCTTGCCTGCTTTTTCGGCATGCAAGGACGAGACCTGGGATCGAAGATCATGGGTATCTGGTGGCCCATCTTTGCTTTCGTCTCCCTCGGATTCGATCATGTTGTTGCCAACATGACCTTCGTTCCTCTGGCAATCTGGCTTGGCACTCCTCACATTAGCGTTGGGCTGTACATCTGGAAGGGTATTATTCCCACCCTACTTGGAAACATTATTGGCGGCGGATTGTTTTGTGGTGAGTATCCCCTTCGTGCCGATTCTAATTGACCATAGAGCGTTCAACTAAGTTAAATTTAGGTACATACTACTGGTACATGTACCTGCTCGACTTAAACACTCTTCCCATTACCGGCTTGAGAAAGAAGGAGGACTCCCCCATCGGAGCTGCTTCTAAAGAAGATGTCGAGGCATCAGCTGCAGGATCCGTCCCCGCGCCTTCTGCGCGCTTGGGTGGTTAATTGCGTCTCCTTGAAGTCTCGCTGGATGGTAGTCTGACACAAGTCTTATCCCAAGACCTTGTGTTCATGATCGCTCTATCCATGGGTAATATGAAGTCTCTATCAGGCAAGTGGTGCCATGGATGTGTGCGTATTATTCAAGGATCACCCTCGGTAGAGTTTGGCGATTGATTCTCAATACATTTTGCTAAATTGTTAATCTTGCTACTTACTGAACATTTTCACCGGTTTCGATGTCTCGTAAATGGGGTCTCCGGGGTCTTCTTTGCAAGAGGCTCGCTTTCACGGTATACTTTCATGCTTAAGTGTAAAAGTTTTCTTTTGTGTCATGTCAATCTAGAGCTACATGTTTATCATATTTGCTGTGGCTAATGTGCTATCACACCATCTTGCGTGATTGTGGTAGGATCGGAGTCATCGCCACATTAGCCGACGAGCCGACCATAGCCGCCCTCAACACTTCCCGCTACGAAGCGCGAAATTCAAAACGTATTATTAATGCCCCTACCGTCGGAGCAGAACAAACCCCCGACGAACGTCTGCCGATCGATCCGACCGGCCGATGCGGGGGATATACAAGTATGACTTTGATTTTCGTGCAACCTGATATATTAAGCAGAGAAGATCTCAGTGAATTACCTCTCGTGTTTTGACTGTGATTCAAGCATTGAAGTTTGGGGTAAAAAGGATCGACCAAGACTCCCTGCTGTTATCAACACTGCCTAATATATCATCATGGCCTCAGCAGTCGTCGAGACAGCCACTTCACAAGTGATGCCAACCTCCATCGACCTCTCTGCTTTCCCAGATGGACTGAAGACATCTGGGCAGCATCCACCCGTCTCTTCACGAATTCGTCCCTACAGCGACTTTCCAAAGGTTCATGGCGGACCTACGGTATGGAAGGCTGAGGACTATCGTGAAAATCCAGACCGTTGGACCCATCGGTTGACCGATGAGGAAATCAACGAGCTTGGAACTGTGGCAGATGAATATATTCAAAAGGACTTGCCCCTAACGGGCATATCAAAGGTAAGTCGATAGAGTCGCCACTTCACGTGAATATTTGGTTAAACTCGCAGCAGACAAACTTTCCTCTTCCCAAACTTTCCAGTCGGCTTGAAGTGCTGCGGAATGATCTGATCAATGGAAAGGGCTTTTTCTTATTTAAGGGCATTCCCGTTCGAGAGTGGGACCTTCGCAAGTGTGCAACCGCATACATGGGCCTCGGGACCTACTTAGGATACTTCACCAGCCAAAATGGGCGCGGACATGTTCTGGGCCATGTCAAAGATCTCGGAGAGGACCCAACCAAAACAGACCGAGTCCGCATCTACCGGACCAATGCTCGGTATGTAAACATCTCAGTCGGAGTTAATCCACACTCGACATATCACTGACATGATGATTAGCCAATACTTTCACACCGATGGATCCGATCTTGTTGGGCTTCTCTGCATCGCCAAGTCTCTTTCCGGTGGTGAATCAGATATTGCCTCTACACATCACGTGTTCAATGTGCTTCAGGAGAGACATCCCGATGTTGTTCAAACCCTCGTTGAACCGAACTGGTATTTCGATCGCAAGGGTGAGGTCTCGGAAGGGCAAGAGCCATGGATTCGTGGCAGCATCTTTTATCTTGAAAACGAGCGCGCGGGAGACAACCCTCGAGTTTACGCCAGGTTTGATCCGATGAATGTCACTTCTCTGTCTCGATTCAACTCGGGACCCAATGCCCAAATCCCACCGCTGTCAGAAAAGCAGAAATATGCCATGGAAATCTTCGAGAAGACATGTGGTGAGCTGGCTCTGCACATGATTCTGGCCCCCGGCGATATCCAGTTTTTGAGCAACTCACACGTCTTTCACGCACGAACTGCTTACACCGACCACCCTCCCGGTGCTGTAGATGACGACGGCCAGCCCGCTCGGAGACGGCATCTGATGCGACTTTGGCTCTCTGCTCCTGAGTCTGAGGGTGGCTGGAAACTTCCATATCACGACACGCTGGAGAAAAAGCGCGGCGGTATCCAAGTCAACAATCAGCCCCCAGTCTGCCCCTTGGATGCCGAGTAATCACTCGCTGAAAATAGAAGCCTCTGGATCCTTTTACTGTATTTTATGGACAATTTGATCTTCACTTTAAATGGCCTCTATCCACACATCTTGTATCAATATTGTTGTTTGGTGTCGAGTTTCTCCCCTCAAGAAGAAAACCCAAATCCAAGTGCCCAGTTTTTCTATCTCCTTCCCCTGCCTTACCGTATAGAAGTAAAAAACTAGTTCAAACCAAGAGATTATTCCCCACAATATATGAGGTCATGAGAGTGTAACGCATGTTAACCATGTTACAGTCGTAGAACAAATCACGCTTTATCTTGATGGGGGGACATCATAAATGAATAGAAAACAAGATAAGAATTTAGAGGTCTTCCACAGATCCAGCTCTGGATTTGCTAAATTAACCTTGTTGAGGGAATGGAAAAGCCGGAACCCACGGCTCTCCCTGTGTGGCAGCATATCCCCCAGCCCAAGGTAACAGCCCAGCTGTTTCAATCCCTGATCCCACGGCCGTGTCTGCCGGTTGCCATGCCCAGCCCAAATCAGACATAAATAACGTCTGAAGTTCCTCGAGGCTGGCCTGGCCCAATTCAAGCTCGGGGTCATGTGAGGCACCTGTCTCGAGATTTGGTTCAAGCTGGCCATCTGTCCGCGGATCAACATCCGTAGAGGAATCTGGTTTTGTGCTATTGGGAGCAGAAGAGGTTGTGGCCTTTTCAGGGGCATGCCTTTCTGGAATAGACTTCCGCGCCATGCGAAAAATGGACAATGGATTGAGCACGTAATCTGGTGCGCTTTGCACTGGAGTTCCGGGAACACTCTCGCTATGGAGCAAGTCAGTACGCACATCCGCCTTTTTGAACATGTAAAAGGCAAACCTTTGGTCCTCTTCACCCATGGGCTGGTAGGGATCATCAGGAATGCTATTCTGAGCTACGACCTCTGACCCAATACCCGAACGGTCAAGCATCGTCTCAGCTGCACAACACTGCATGAGATAAAATCAGCTCCAGATGCAAAATTGGATTGCTGTGTAGGCAACATCACTAACCAATGAGTGTGAAATCATGCTTAGCGACCCCATGAGTTTCAGACAGTTGATGTTACTCTGTAAAAGGGGAAGAGTCTCAATCGTGATTCTCTTAGTATCTTCATCACGAGGGTCCAAAATTTGGGTCAAATGGTAAACCATAATTCGACAACTATCGTATGTGATCGTCGGAAGCCACGAGTCCGCCAGCATTCTCGAACCATGATGGGCAGTCTCTCCAATGATACTCGCCAGTGTTCTTGCCGCATCAAAGAGAACCTGCTGTAAGTGTCTTAGAAACCCCTGCTGTTCAGAGGGAAAGTCAAAAGCTGCCCTCAGCTTGTAAAGAGCCGGGGCTCCTAGTCGATACAAGTCACATATTGTTTGATAGTGAGCACAGTGTAACACACAAAGAGCACCAAGCTGGGAAGAATCTTTCCTGGTATATATTGCACTTGGCGTAAATTGCAAGCTGGGCGGTAGAGATTCGTACCATGCGCGACAATCTGCGTCCAGCTTCGCAAATTCGGACTGAGGGTCCCATGGAACCATGGCATTACCAAGATGTTTGATGTACCTGTCTCCCTCTCGTCAGTTTCTTAGAAGATCATCCAATCAACAAGCAACAGATAAAAGCCGTGATACTATGGACAGCATACCTCAGGACCCGTTTTCGAATTGAAATGTGCCGAACAAAATATGCCATTATACCCATATTGGGTACAATTGCATTTGTGTCTACTTCTTGAGGAACAAACTTCAACCAGTTCCCAGGATCCAACGTTTCTGTAAGACATGGAATCTGCTGGGTGAAATTCCGCTCGTTACATGGGAGCTGGATTTTCATGTCTCTCTCATCGACCAATGTGAGTTGATCCACCCCGCTCCCAACCAAGGCATCCATCACGTAGCAACTCCACATGAGGCGACGACGACATTCCTTGGCTGTAACGGAAGGACCGAAATCATTGTTTTGGCAAAGGAGATCTGTGTTGTACTCCAGGTTGATTTGCAATGCTTGGGTCATGCGCGTGATAAGACCACTGAGCATGAAGGCATTTGCAAAATTTCCCATGCGGATTGCATAGTCATTTAGCAGAACTGCAGCCTGTTGCAAATTCAGCAATATGCCAGAGACGGGGAACCATTGATGCTGACCATCAAGTTCTCGATTGTGACGGTATCGAGGGTCTCGAGAATGAGTCGCTGGGCTACTTTGGCCCATTCGTTCCCTGCCAAGAGGACAAACCTTGACGGGAGCGGATTCACGGTTTCACTATAGGCGAGTGCATAAAATCTTGTTTCCAGCTATTGTTAGCGTTCCTTGCGTACAGAAAGACAATCATAACCAGGCTTACTGGGCACCCAGAGCGCAGATGATATGAAGTAGAGCGTGGCTCTGATATTTCTTCGATAGATCCTTATCCAGTCTCTGCAAGAACGAGGGTCTGTGAATGAAAGCGAAGCACCGTAGCGGATGAACATTATTGAAATATTCTTCGACCAGCACTCCGACTCTCCATGAACTAGGTAACTGACGTGCACTTAACCTGCATTGGCGTGTAAGTGATAAATATCAGGACCCTTCATTCGCCTTCTTACCAGTTGAGGGACGATATTTGTGGCTCGACGGTCTCTGTTGTGAGTGACTGGCGATATGATGGGCACGGAGATTGAGGCGTTCCATGTTGCTCACTAGCCTGCATTGGAGTAGATTGCGAGAAAGAGTTTCCAGGAGACTCGTTGGAGACTATGTTTGGAGTGGGAAGAGCGGTCTCGCTGTTCTTCGCGGTGACCTCAACTCGTCTTATCCAGCTAGGTTGCGATGACTCGGAATAGACACAGGTGAGAGCTTTGCCTTGACATCTTCGACATACCGGTCGCTCTCCTGAGCATTTTGTTTTTGATGCGCGGCATCCAGTGCAGGATCGATACGTCCTTTTTCTCTTGGGGGTTTCTATCACATCTTGTGCGATTTCTTGAGCTCGGGACCTTGATGATGGCCCATAGCCCGAGCAAACTAAGCGTAGTCGGGTACAATTACCACACTCTCCAGGTCGTTCATCACATTTGACCTATAATACTCGGAGACATGTTAGTTGTGCTCGATTCCCTGACATGAGAATTGTCGCGTCTCACTTTACGTGCCCGGCAGGTTCGGCAGCCTACGCCCGTTAGCCTCGTGAAACGCTATCATCTTGAGGCGAAACCTACCGAACCGTGACCGCGACGCTTTTGGGACACTCGCATCCGTACTGTCCGTCATTCCTGACTATATCCACCCTGTGGTTCTTCCCAGACACTCTCGACGTCGATGGCCGAGTGTTGCAATGGGCGAGGCTCGGGCCATCGGCCAACGGCCGGTCGGCTGGCGACCCCCTCAAAGTGGTACCATCCCACCGTTGGATGACGGAATGAGAAAAGCGGGGCTGCCGAGGCGTTGTTTACTCGTGTAGCGGCGAGTTAATGGCGCTAGCCACAGTCCCAGTCGCGATTATTTCCGATGTTCGTGTTTTTCCTGTTTGGGTGACGATGTTTCCATTGAATCTGTTACAGGCTTAACTGTCCGCCGCTACCGCACGCGGGCTCTCATCACCCGCCTCGCAACATACCAGAAGCAATGGCTCTACGGTAATTGGTGTCAACACAAAAGAGGGCCAAATGCTAGGCAAACAACTTCTTGACCAAGATGCAAATATAGGCAACACTCTTAGTCTATACCGTCATTTATTTCTATGAGAATTTGCAATGGCTGGGGAACTTGCTCTCATACTACTGAACATAGATCTCGAACAATCGGTGGTGACATAAAGGAGGTTCGGGTAGGGCTACTTGAGTTTGTCTATAAGCTACAGGACTATCTCTTCCACAAGGCCCGGCAAATCTTTCCCTGGCAAAATTGACAGATTCACAAAAGTATGTGTGAGACGAATGGAAAGTTTTAGAACGAATCACCTGCAGCCCTGTGCTTTGGGGGAGCTACTTACATCTCATACTCTGCTTCATACCGTGGGACAGCAAACCATTCCCTTGGGCCATTACTATGAATGGGTTCCTCGGGGCTAATAGAAGCATATATCCGCCCACACGTCCTTTTTCGACTACTCAATCTGCTCGTTTTCAACGTGCTGCACCGAATTCATATTATCCTGTGCGATATCCCGAGGAGTTTGAGGAGTTTGTGCTACTTGTCTTCACCCTTGGGTCGAGCCCCTTGTCCTGAAGTGGTTGGAACCTCGGATACGCACGATTGGAAATCAAACTGGCTACATGACATGCTGTCTGCTCGGCCCCATTCGTCTCCTCAAGGGTATCGGCTGTTTTGGCAACATGTGGAGAACACGCGGCATCTAAAATTTCCACCGAGCCAAGTCTGCTTGATCGGGTTGGAACCTTACACAAGGGGCCAACTTGGGGAACGACTGCTTCCGTACACTGTGTATATGTTGTTCTGTTCGCCGATGACAAGGCACAAGCGTTGGGATAGTGTACATTTTCTGCCCACTGTCTGTACGCATGCATCTAAAGTCACTAGAAATAAATGACTGACACGCCTGGAGGATGAGAAAGGGGCAGAAACAGGCAGTCGATATTATGATTCTGCGGTGCCCCTGCTTCTGTTATCAACCTCCATTTACGTGGTACATTTGTTCCAGGATACGAGCGCATCGCCAGCCGTAATCTCCTCAGAATGGAACCAAAATGTTTCAAAGTCAAATGCCAGTTTTCATCCGGCCTATGTTTCAGGCGAATCTCCCATAGATGAATTTTCACCTCATATTCTCTTGGGCCGAGGCGTGTTCTGTCAAACCCACTGTGCTTTGACCTCGAAGGGCAGTCTTATCGCGCTAACCAAACGACATCATTGTGAACTCCAGTCTCAGCGAACAGACCGATTCTATTTATGACCATTTCAAAATAAACGCGATTACGATGTGGACTTGTAATACGAAGCAACGCGTCATGCCTTGGGAGGACGAGGCAAAGATTTCGTTGGATCTATTAAATGTCGGAAAGAGAATTGACCCAGCGAAGTTAAGCTTGTCCTGTCTATCACAACTCCGTCTTTTCACCATCTTGTAAACAGGATATCTCATATTGATACTTGACTCCTTGAATCCTACTTGACAATGTTGACTTCCTTTGAAGTCCCATCAACGCAAACAGCCATTGTTCAAGGTGAGGGGGAACCCTCCATGTCACGCCGGGGTCGCCTATACCCAACCTTGAACCTCATCATTTACTTATACGGACGGCATCTGTGGCACTAAATCCCTGTGATTTCAAGATGCCCCTTCGGTTTCCTACCCCTGGGCTCTGGGACGGGTGTGACTTTGCAGGTACTGTCGTCGCAGTAGGCAGTATAGCCGCAAAAGAGGGGCGATTCCACCGTGGAGACAGAGTCTTTGGTGCTGTTCAAGGATCGAATCAAGCCGATCCATTAACTGGGTCCTACTGTGAGTATTTAAGGATCGAACCAGATTTCGCTTTCCATATTCCGGAAGGGTTATCTTTCACCACTGCACCAGCCATCTCTGGAACCGGTATCGCCACACTCGGAATTGCATTATTCTGGTCACTTTGCCTTCCTGGAAGCCTGGAAAAGCCCTCTACAAAGCCACTCTATGTGCTAGTATATGGAGGAAGCAGTACAATTGGACTTCTCGCCATTCAGATGGTTAAACTGTATGTATTCTGTATCTAAAACGCAAATATTCTGTGCTTTAACTCGACATGACTTAGCTGCGGCCACCGTGTCATTACGACGTGTTCGCCGCAAAACTTTGGATTAGTTCGATCCTATGGCGCAGATCTGGCTTTTGATTATAATTCAGATACATGTGCCCAGGATATTCGGACTGCTACTAAAAATGCCCTCCGCTATGCTCTTGATCCCTTTGCTGAGGCAAAGACAGTACGCATATGTCAAGAGGCCATTGGCCGAACAGGTGGACGATATTGTGCTCTAGAACAATACCAAGAGCATCTTTGTACGAGAAGGACCGTCAAGAACGAGCTAGTGATGGGAGGCGCTATCTCTGGCAATGGCGTGCAGCTGCCAGAGCCATACGGTATTCCCCCGAAGCCAGAGATAGGAGAGTGGGCGAGGGCTTGGTATAAAACGGTTCAGCACTTAGTTGATGTGGGCCAGCTGAAGCCTAGCCCAGGAAGGGTCATTGATGGGCGTTTTGAAGGAATTCTTGAAGGCCTGGAGATTCTCAGAAGTGGAAGCGTCTCGGGCCAGAAACTAGTGGTTTTATTGGACAAAGTCGCTTAAGATGACTGTCCATGGTGGCATAGTCAACAGCAATGTCTCCGAAAGTTTACTCCGCATTTCGGGAATTCTGCATTTTGTATTTTCAAGAATTTTCATGAAAGGAAAACGAATACGAGGTTCATATCTTTGGAATGTTCCAACTAATCCCGAACCTTGACTCAAAATAATCTGTCAGTCTTCAAACTAAACTAATAGTTTTCCTGCACTGGAAAGCCGAAAGCCTTCTTAGAGCAATGGGCAAGTGCACGGAATTCATACGGATCACAAGCTTCTTGATGAGGTCAGATTAAAAAGGGGCGGGGGCGTTGTCAACGGCATTTCTAGCAGCGGAAATCGTAGACCATTCGCGAATTCACTGTTTTATCACCCTTCCACACAATGGCGTTGCGAGTAAAGTATCTTTTATCACAAATATACTCAAATCCCCAGAATACTCGCGCCTCCCAGCCTTTGGATGAATTGTGAGCAATCTCATCAATAACGACCTGGCATGAGCTTCCCTCGCTGAGCGTCTGGCGAAGCTTTTCGTCTGAAATACTCGATGCATTGATGTAGCTCAACTGCATCACCACGTCCCCAAAGATAGGGAGGGACAAATTTTGCGGCTTGCCATTTACATGATAGATTCCTTCACTGTTGAAATTTCCAGGATACACATTCTGTGTGATGTCGAGAATGGTAACCGAGTCTCCTGGGTAATCAAAGTTGGAGTGGGCGTCAGGTGGGGCTGCAAAGGTTCCATCTGCCAGGCAAATTGACTGGGAGATTGATAGAGAAAGGCTGGCGTACCGCAGAACCTGTCTCACCACCCAAGGAACACCTTGCTATTTTTCTTTAGCTTTTACTGTAGTTCTATTCCAGGCAAAGATTGGCCTACCAGAGCGAAGATTTTGTCTGGATCATCGGAGAGTGTTCTATTCTATTCCTTTGGTCAACATATAATCCATGGATTTGTAGGGGAAACCTACTAAGTTCCAGACACCCGCTAAATTTGTAGCGTCTCTAGAGCTAGGGGCAGCCATCTCTTTTTTCTAGCAGATTTTGCCTTGTCGAAGTGAAATATTAGATGATGGGGTTTTTTCACAAGGACGTCAATGTGGAATTTAAATAGTCCCACCCCTTATTATCTCAGCTCTGGTGTCACAGGTGCATTCCTCAGCTTCGGATTCGGTATCGGTGTCGGTGTGGCAAATCCTTCGGATTCGGCGACTCTTTCTTTGGTCTTGAAGTACTAAAAATAACATATCACACGTCATATGTAATGCTACTCATGGTGATACAGAGACAAAATAAGGAGACAGGAGCAAGCAGGTATGAAACACGTAGCCAAAGAACGCTATTCATGGAGCTATATTAATGTTCTGGTAAACAAAGACCCTGGGATTTTCTCCATTCCGCTTGTACATTGAAGAAAAGAAAGGTCACACATTAGTTCTTTCCTTTACAAGATGGCTCAAGCAGCTCATTATTTCCTCCAGTGAAATGCCACGCAATTTATTTTCCTGGGAGATGATCTGGTCAGGGATGGCCACCAATGGAGTAATCTCCGAAAGATACGCCATAGAACCTGACTGTTCACCCGACTGCGGAACAGATCTAAAAGTCAATCGAAGTGCACGGTCAAGGTTTCCTAGCATGCTAGAGCTGAGCTCAATTAGCACTTCGATCTGAGCCCGCAAATTACCTTCCAAGGGAGACTGCCTGAAGTGCAAGCTCGGAAATAGTAAAAAGCTGGTATCATCATCAGGAGAAATAATGAGCAAACTCCGATATAGCAGCGCGAAAACATCGTGATACAGTTGAATGAGATGACTGTATGTTGTCAACAGGCTGAGAAAGACTGGCATCTCGTTTTTGGGAGATGAAGCCTTGACGGGATTTTGAGGGGGTATCATCATTGTCCAATATCCAGAATCCGATGAAACTATTCCTACTCCATCTTCGACAATGTTGTCCGTGACAAATGGAAGAGGTGACTTTCCGTCATCGCCGATGTATGAGTAAGTTTCCACGGCTTCCAAAGGGGAGGAGAAACTGGCGTATAGGGTATTTTCACAATCAAGGATTTCCAACAGCTTGGTAGAATGATTAAGCATGCGGAAAATTGGAATGTCGAGTTTGCTGACAGTGGGATACACACTGCCTCCAAGGTGGAAATTTGATGCCACAGTATCTGACTCCACCTCTAAAAGCTCAAGATCGCCCATCACTTCCAGGTTTAGCTGCAACAGTTTCCTTTGTATGCCGTACGCCCCTGTGGAAGTCCAATCACCCAGTGAGGTGATTTGTGATCCATTGTCTTCCGTAAGTCCAGCACCAGGCCTCCATGGTGAATTCCAGTCCATTTCCTCCCCCAGCAAATATTCAGGGTCGGCGAGATCAAGGGCACCTGGAATGGAGGATAATTGTTTATTCGCACTGGAGTGAATTTGGAAGCTCGGTAAATGATTTGTGATGAGCGCCTCGGAGCATGATGGTTGATTCCTTAAGCGATTTTCAGGTTCTAAGAAGCTAAGATCGCCTTGGGGCTATATTTTTTTAGCACATTTAGTGATCACCTTCGGGAAACTAGATGCTCAAAATATCAATAAACTGACCAATTGATAATTAACATTCCAAGCAGGACTGGAATTTCTCCAATGTTCTGGTGTAATTGATAAAGGAGAGCCTGAGGAAATAGATAGGTCAAATTCCTCCGCTGTGGGACCAGTACCCCCACTATCAAAAGAAGGAAAATGACCGAGCCTCCTCCAAGAATTAAACGATTGACGGTCGTGTCGTCGTGGAATCCCAGAAGGAGGGACCAGTTTTCTAATCTTTGAGTGAACCGATCCGTGGAGAATGGGCATAGACACTCGATCACTCTTAAGCATGCCCTCATCGCATTCGATCGCTATGTTGGCAGAGTTGGCTTTCGAATGAGGGAAATTTGGGGCCGGATGTCCAATGCTTGTCGTGCACACCACTTGGGCCTTGAGGCACCTCTCGCACGTTTTGCCGCCCACTTGACCTCGCTGACAGCGTAGCTTGAAACCGCGGCATCGATCACAGGCAGATCGGCGAGATTGTCGATAGTTGAAAGCTGGTTGCATTTTGGGGAACACAGAGTTGATTTGGAACTTATTACATTGATATCAATTTTCATTGAGGATACCTCAATATATCTTTCCGAGTATTGATGTATTGATCTCCGTATGAACCCAGTAGCTACATATGTCTGGCCGTTGTGTCTAGAAGGTATATTCCACATTTGGTGATTGAAATATCACCTACTTGAAGGTAAAACCAAGAGCAGACCTGAGAGGTTTATGGTTCTATTTGAAAGTGAGGATCAGGCTATCAGATCATTTAAACGTGTATGAATGATTTGAGGATACACTGACATTTTTCTTCCGGCTAACACCTCCTTTGGTCGAACCTGACCAGGTCTTTTGTATGTTAGCTATTTTTTCGAGCAAGAAATCTTGGCTGATGCTCACTCCGTGCCTTGCTCTATAATAGGTAATTACTAATTTTCTAATCCGCGGCGGTCCACGTCCCTTTCGCTTTCCAGATGCGGTTTGCAATCCACTAACCCAAGAAAGGCGCAAACATTGTAGATAGGCCTACACGTGAATCTAAATGGCAAATTGAGAGCAGTCGGTACCGGTTTCTAGGGTTATGGTAAAAAATCACGATGGAGAAGCATGAACTACGTATCACGCTACAGTTGTCCCAAAAGTCTAGAAGATAGCAATCCAACCAGCTAACAAACCCTGTTAGGAAAAGGATATGTAAGAAAGGATATCCCTGTGTATGGCCATATATGCATTTCTGGGAAATGTGGAGGGCCCGAGGAATATCGTTTAGAAACAGGCCACAGCAGTACATCTCCGGCTAGCGAGAACATTGAGTTCACAGCTGGGTAGAGAGGTAGCTGAAAATCGCCCGCTGTGGCCCGTGGGACTGGGTTTTTCCCTCCTTTCATATCTTCACCGACACTTTGGTACTTGAGCGCTCACAGAGCTAGTCTCTCAGCGTCTGTGAGCCTAGTCAAGACACAAACACCCAATATAAAGCAAATAGAGCTTGTGTAACCAACACTGAAAGGCTGCATCTGACAAATTACCCGCATATTTTCCGAAGAACAAAAATTGGATGGCGCGTGGCTCATAGCGCTATCTAAATATTTACAACATGTCTGCACTATCGTTCCCTTTCATCACTGGCTTATGAGTATTTGAACATCGTTCTTGTCTGAGGTGATTGTCACATCGTTATTTAGTCAGTTGACTCCGCTGTGATTAATAACCGAGGAACCTCTGTCATGCAGTCTGAGGTCGAGGAGCGAAGAATTCTGTCAATGCAGTACAATGTCACATGACTTCCATAATGAATGCTCGTTCGAGGTTTGGGGCCGATTTCCGCTCGCGGATTATTTCCTCTTGCACAAGTCTTTAAAATCGTACTGACCCCGCTTTCACCACGTTACTCGAACACTTGCATTGCTACCAGCACAGGGGTTCGAAACGTGCGAGTACCATGTGAAAGCTATGCACAGGTCCCGCTAACGTGGGCTTGGGTTGTTAGTAACTGATGTTCCCAGAATCCAATCGTTAAATCGCCTCTCACAACACTTATCGGCCAACATAGAAACAGCGCTTGTTGAAGAACTTATGATATTGAAATATCAATAAGAGTAGAAGACTTTGGGAAATGTGGATTTTCCCGAGATTACCAGTTCGGATCTTGTTGAAATCTTCGAGCAACAGGTAAAACAGAAACCCGGTCTCGGCGTCGCGGGCGGTTTCAGCTTTGTATTCGACTTCTAGGGTAGTCGTGGATGTTGACGTTTCAAGTTGGTCGACTTTGTTAATTAATTCTTGCTTGGGGGTCTTCCCAGCCAGAAGGTTGGGCTTCCGGTCGCTCCGCTGCCATCCTGGGCCGCGAGACATCTCGCTCTCCCGGTGCGCCAGGTCTGCAACTAAAAGTTCCTAAGCGTCTCTGTCTGTCTTTTCGGACATGGAGAGGTCACGGTCGTAACAAACAGATATCCTGCGGCGGATAGCGGTGACGGAGCTCCCAGAATATCACAGAGGACGTTTGGATGGCCAGCAATATATTCTGTCAATCTAATATCGTCCCCAACGACAATGGTCCATTTTGTTTTGTTAGATTGTGCTAGTTAGTCTTGGGCCGCGAAGCCTGTGGTGACCCTCGGCCTTGGTTTCATTGCCTCGCCCTCTAAGTCTGGAGAGGCGAACCCCCGGTGCTTCTTCGCGCCTGCATTGAGGGTCAACAAATCGACTGCATACCCGCAAAACTTTGTCGTAGCAGCTAGACAGGACGCCACGAAGCCAAGTTCTGACTTCATTGAATAGCCGCTAGCATAATGGTCGAATAACATCTTGCTGAGTGGCTACATGGGGCAAAAATGCGAAGTAGAACGTTTTCGATCTCCCGCAGCTGGAGATGATTTGCGGATGGGTTTCCATAATACGGCGCCCGCTAGAGATAGAGGTAGCTTCCTATTAGACCAAGCGAATAATGTATGGTCTAGTATGCATTCAGCACGAAAAACCTATCAGAATCAAAGTCATGATGAAGGGATAGGTTGGTTGAAGGAAGACGGGGGGTTTGTTGTTGAGGGCTTCCCCATGGCCCGTACGCGCGCACTGCTGCCCGTAAGACTGATACTCGGCAGTTAAGAACAACGGTCGAGTCCATGAGTAATCCAGGATTAAATAAAAAACCATTGGCAATGTGTTCTCTGTGTTCTCCCGTGTGATCTATCAATCGCTAGCCGTAAGTTATCGCTCCATGCACTGAAATTCCTATCCTGTTGTAATGACAGCAAAGTTCATTCTCTGAGATGAAAAGAAGCCCTTTCCATGAGGTAATTCTGCTCTCTACGACTACCTTGAAAAGTCCTCAGCTAGTGCATTGCCTTCGTTATTACTCATAGTAGGAGCTAGCCCTCTGTTCGGTTTATTAGAGGTAGAGGCTGGACAGAACGAGTTATACCTACCATAGTATTTTGCAGGAAAAACAAAACAGGAGGCTAGCTCATTGTGGTTCTTTGGGAGACATCCCATTTTCGAAGGCTATACGAATGAAGTGCCAAGCGAAGTGGAAGCCGAGGCCCGAATGCGGGGAAGGTGGCTCGATATTTAAAGTGAGCACGACAGGAAGCTCAATCGTCGACAGACCTCATCGCCAATATGAACTTCGAATTACCAGATGAACTACATGATCATCTCCAATCCGTTGATTCATTTATTCAGTCTACCATACTCCCTCTACAGCACACAGGTGATAACAACCGTTTCTTCGATCATCGCCGCGAGGATGCTAGGACAGACTGGGATCAAAATGGCAACCCGCGGCCCGAATGGGAAGCCTTGCTGAGTGAGTCATGTGGCAATTTGTAACTGAAGAATGAGTAAACGTGTTGAGCTTGATTCGAATACAGAACAGGCTCGTGACCTGGCCGATGAGGCGGGCTTCTACCGGTTTGCACTTCCCAAGAAGTATGGGGGACAGGAGCACCCGGACACCAACTTATGGATGTCTGCTATTCGCTTCTATCTATCCTCGCATCCCGTTTATGGAGGCGGCCTTGGCCTTGCCAACGATTTACAGAATGAACACAGTATTGTTGGGAATTTTCCCGATGTCCTTATGGTCCACCATTTTGGAAGCGAACAGCAGCGGCAAACACTCATTCCCGCCCGTCTTCGAGGGAAATTTCGAATGACCTTTGGCCTGACAGAGCCGGAACATGGTAGCGATGCAACGTTCATGTCTACCGTAGCACGTCGTGAACGTGGCGGCTTTGAAATCAGCGGAGCAAAAAAGTGGCAGACGGGTGCCCATTCCTGTACCCACTTTCTGATATTCGCAAGAACGTCAGGAGCTGCAGGTTCCGGAACAGGAATTACTGCTTTCCTCGTTCCTCGCGAAGCTTTCGGTCTCAGAATCGCCAGTTATGAATGGACATTAAATATGCCAACAGACCACGCAACGGTTGAGCTAGAAGGCGTATGGGTACCAGAATCCGCCGTCTTGGGCATAGTCGACCAAGGCTTGGCCATTGCGCAGACCTTTGTGCATGAGAACCGCATACGGCAAGCAGCCAGTTCCTGTGGCGCGGCCAAATTCTGTCTCGAACGCAGCATTGAGCGTGCCCGATCGCGAAAGATCTGGGGTGAGGGCAAGATTCTGGCAGACAACCAGGCCATCCAGTTCCCCATAGTAGAATTGATGACACAAGTCGAGATGTTGCGCTTGCTCATACTGAAGACTAGTTGTGACATGGACCGTATTGTGGCCGCGAGCAAAGCAGGACAAGTTCAGCAACCCGCATGGGTTGTGATTGAGCGCCAACTCAGCGACAAGGTGGCAATGTGTAATTTCTGGGCTAATCGACTGTGTTGTCAGGCTGCCGACCGGGCGATTCAGGTGTGTTCGTGACTTCCGATTCTGATCATCATCCTTATCTGGGAAGGAGAGCTGACTGAACAGATCCACGGCGGCGACGGGTACTCCCGCCACTATCCTTTCGAGCACATCTATCGCCATTTCCGACGCTATCGGATCACTGAAGGCTCCGAGGAGATTCAAATGCGAAAGATTGCAGCATACATATTCGGGTTTGCAGGGCCGCTGAAGAGGGAGCTTGATGCGACGGAGAGATTAAAGGCGAAAATTTGATCTCTCTTGATACCAAGTACAAACCCGTCCGTTGACAATCGCGTGGGCGTGTCGAAAGAGTGACGAGGCAGGCCCGCCCTTTGGCAGTCATTTAACAATGCTACATAGATGGGCTGGCCTTGATGTGGCAGTTATAAGCCCTCTGAGCTCTCCTTCCTCGTTCATATGCTCTGTTCGTTGTTTAGGTCATCATCTTTCCTGTGAAGATCAAATTGAACCCAGCCAATTCTCAAAAATCGATAGATTATGATGATCCACGTGACCTTTAGGAAACGGTGCTTGGCGTTGCTTATTGACTATGTTTTCTCCTTCACGTGCATCTCCGCTGCGTTTTTCTCTCCTGAAACAACACCATGCAGACCGGACCCCGCTGAACCGTAATATGCGTCCAGAATGCCCAGTTTAGGTGGGCTTGCCGACTGGCGCCACCAGTCGTTTTCTCCTTCCTTTCCGGCGCGGTTTACCTAAGAGAATTCCTCTCCGCGGTGGCAGTGGGTCCTTTGGAACCCCACCGAGGACCTAAAGCGAAAACGGAGATTTCCAACATGTAGAGAAAAAAATCTTGCCAGCTTTCTCTAGGCAGTTTTTCAACTCTGCTCGGTCATTCGGGGGTGTCAATAGACAGCTGACTATTACCCCCAGTCGTTTTGCGCTTGTCTCTACCTCGGCGGCCCGATATGGCGTCTGATAAGGATGCCGCCTCCGCGCCGCAGGTCACTAGCGAGTCGGTGGAAGGCGAAGCTCTTGTTTCGGACATCAAACATGCTGTGCAGGATATTAAACCCTCCGATGCGGAGGAGAATCATAAACAGTCGGCACCTGGAGAACTGAAGCGCAAGCTCAAGAGCCGGCATTTGCAGATGATTGCTATTGGTTCGTTCATATAGATCCATACCAAGTCGTGATATCCTGGTGCTGACGAGTATTTTCTAGGTGGAACTATCGGAACGGGTGAGGACATGGTTAAAAAAAATCTGGTATATTGGCGATCATGACTAACACTCCCTAGGTCTGTTCATTTCCAGTGGAACTGCGATCGCATACTCTGGCCCCGCAGGCGCGCTGATTGCCTATATCTTTGTCGGCTCGATTGTTTTTTCTGTGATGACATCTCTTGGCGAAGTCGCGACCTACATTCCTATCCCCGGAGCTTTTACCTCCTACGCTGCTCGCTTGATTGACCCAAGTCTCGGATTTTCTATGGGATGGATCTACTGGTTTAATTGGGCTTCCACATTCGCCGTCGAGCTTACCGCTACGGGAACTATCATCCAATACTGGGATCCGAGTCTCAACATTGCGATCTTCATTGGTGTCTTCTGGGTGTTCATTACGGCCCTGAATTTCCTACCGGTCAATTTCTATGGCGAGCTAGAGTTCTGGTTCTCCACTATCAAGGTCGCTACCGTCATCGGGTTTATGATCTTTGCTATCGCCGTTGATTGTGGTGTAGGCAAGCAGGGCTACCTTGGATTCCGTTACTGGGAGAATCCTGGAGCTTTTGCTACTCACCTTATTGACCAGCCTGAATCCGTCGGCAAGTTCGTTGGGTTCTGGGCTGTCCTCATCCAAGCTGGTTTCTCATATCAAGGAACAGAACTTGTGGGTGTGGCTGCTGGAGAGACTGAAAACCCCCAGAAGACTGTACCTTCGGCGATTCGCAAGACTTTTGTTCGGATTCTTCTTTTCTTCGTGCTCACTATCTTCTTTATTGGGCTGGTAGTCCCCTACACCAACGGCAGGCTGACCACCGATACTACTAATGCCTCCGCCTCGCCTATGGTTATTGCTGCCGATCTGGCCGGTGTCAAGGTTCTCCCGAGTTTGATCAATGCTGTGTTGTTGACAGTGGTCTTGTCAGCAGCCAACTCCAATGTGTACAGCGGTAGCCGTATCTTGACTGGGCTGGCACATGAAGGCTTCGCCCCCAAGTTCTTCGCGCGTACTACCAAAGGAGGAGTGCCTTACATCAGTGTCACATTCACCGCGCTGTTCGGTCTCCTAGGTTTCATGAACGTGTCCAACGATGCGGGGCAGGTGTTCACCTGGCTCGTCAACCTGTCCAGTGTTGCTGGATTTGTGACTTGGTCGTCGATCAATGCATGCCATATCGCTTTCATGCGCGCACTGTCTGCCCGTGGAGTCTCTCGCGACACACTCCCGTACAAGGCTATTCTTCAACCCTACCTGGCCTGGTATGGTCTTTTCTTCAATATCCTTGTCGCTCTCACACAGGGGTTCACATCTTTTATACCCACATTTAACGTTATCGACTTCTTCATGGCCTATATCTGCATCATTGTTTTTGTGGTGTTGTATCTTGGGCACAAGATCGTTTTCAGGCCGGCTTTCGTTCGCGCGGCCGAGGCTGATCTTGATACTGGTCGGATGCACTACGTGAAGGAGCAAGGGCCTCCGAAGCCCTGGTATTGGAGAGTTTGGGGCTGGGTCACGAAATAATGATTGATGTAATAATTTGGCTTGATTGATTGCGCTGAATATATTTTGGAAGGTTTTCTAGCACATGCACATTTTCGTCTTCTAGCACATATGGCATTCTTTCTCCTACATCGATTGTGCAGCAAGGATGTACATCCGAGTACGTTGCCCCCACTATGATAAAGAGACAACTACGCGGTTCTGCTCCAAATCGAACGGAGGCAGAAAACATAGGTAGGTAGGTACATCTTCAAATCCATTTGAGCTGGCGCGCCACGACCGAAATCCCGCCAACGATGGCAGTTCCTCCTGTGCAAACAACAAGAGCACCATATCCACTACCGTAGGCTCCCGATGCGCGGCCTTTCCAATTATCTGCCCTGAGAAGTGTTTCGCTCAGTGGGCCACTGACGACGTTGCCAATTCCCCGGCCAGTTTCCATGAATGGAAATATGACGGTGGCATCCGAATCTGGATTGGCTTTCTGAATTTCATTGGCGATGCCTGACCATGTCGACGAAAAGCCGCCTGCTAGGAGACCGTACGCGGTGCAAAAGACATAGAGCGCTGGAAGAGTAACTGCAAAGCCCCACAAAAGAAACACCGACAGAACTGTGCCCACCGTTGAAATCAGGATAATCGTAGTGACATGGTAGCGGTCGGATAGAAATCCTGCTAGTACAGAACTGAACACCGAAGTAAGGTTCACGAGTGTTACTGTAAGCGAGGACAAGAATTCGTTGGCACCTAGGCTGCGTGCATACATCGGCAGGCAGATTGTAGGCAAGAAGAAGCCTAGCGCCTCCACTGTGTTCCCAAGCTGATAGATGAGATACACTTTGTTGTATACGAATCGAAAGTTTAATCGGTCGTGGCGTACAGCAGCACGCACTGGAAGGCGCGGTCTGTGGAAGTAAAGAAAAGGGGCGGCAAGAATAAACAGTGTCACTGCCGAGACTCTAAGAGTGGTTTCGATTCCATGTTGATCAAGTAACCATTCTATCGTGAGCGGAAATATCACTCCTGATATTCCCGAACCAGCCTATCTCATGGTGGTGAGGACAAAAATCAGTGAGATTAATTTTTCCGATAGTGAGATTCCCACTTACCCACACAATTCCAAATGCGAGGCCTTTCTTCTTCACGAACCACTCCGACATGAACAAAATTGATGGCGTATAAGCAAAGCAACCGCCAATGCCAAATCCAATTCCTTGTGAGAGAATCAAGTGCGTTACATTTGTAGCGAAAGAGCTCAATGCCAGCGAAAGGCACATGATCACGACTCCAATCGTCGATACCCAAGGAGCGAGGCGAGGTATTAAAATCATAATCACAATGGCCAATGGGGCGATTAGATATGCGATGCCCTGTGGATTTTGTAAGGTAAACCCAAAATTTCATGAAAAGGCTCGGCCATACCATCGCGCAAGTACCAATCACGGCAATATTTCCGGAACCTTGAAACGGCGCATGTGCACTGTAGTAATCTTGGAATATTCCAAATGAGAATGCGTAACCTGTATCAATCAGTGCCACTCTCATCTCCTAAACCATTTCGTAGAGTAACTCACCCCAGACTAACGCTTCAAGTATAGCTGCCGCTAACAGAAATAACCATGCTTGTATACCTCCGTCGATTGGAGGTAACTCATCCTCCCCAGGAGATATTTCGAGATCATATCCTTCAGATGAAGGTCGATAATATCGTGTCTTGAGGCTATTACTCGCGATGCTGGGTGCATATTCTTTGGTATCCACTAGATGTAGGGTAGAATCTCCATGTTGATAGTCATTTGGTGGGGCCATCTCGAAGAGGGCTATAGATTTGTTGCGGCAGATATACTCCCAACAGCGTGGGCAAAGACGAAATTTTGAATTCGAGTCAAGAAGAGTTCTTTCTCTCGCTACCAGACAACAGCAGAAATAAATTTCCAAGTGGAACGATGACGAAACAGCTTTGCAGAGTATGGCGGCCATCGGGTCTGGAACGCCACTAAACTCATGCAAAACGAATGATCTTCGAATTCTGAAGGCCCCAGCTCCTAGCAATGTGACACTAAATCCCTAGATCAGCCCTTCTGCTCAACTCAAACACGGGGTCAAGGGGCTAAATCGTCATGAGTTACCACTAACACTATATTCATAGCCAGTCAACCTTTTCTAATAATCCTTTATTTCACCCAGAAGGCTGGCTAGGAGTGCGAAGTCTCTGTCGCAACGTCGACTCTTTGACTCCATGTTCTTGATCGCTGTACGCGTTATCGGTGCTTCTTCGATGATCACCTCGGGGTGAGGAAGCCCTTACAAGGCTATCCAATAAGGAACCAAGGCCCACATTGGTCGGGATTGAAAAGGCAATGGAATGTTGATCACGTCCATTTAAAGAACGCGCCGGTTAGTTACGGAAGTATATTGACGTGAATCCGTACGTTAATTCCTCCCATTGGAAGCAGCTTCCGGACAAGGGGGTAAGTTAAAAGTCACCCAGTTCAACCGAGTTGAATAGCTGTATTGGAAAACTATAATCCCAATACCAGAAGCCGGGTCCGTAGCCTCGTAGCTTTACGGTGAATTGTTGGATGGAAACCTAAGGCGTATGCATTCAACCGAAATGCTTGAGCTCCAATCGAGCGATTTTCTTTCCTGCTAAGATGGAAGGTAAGTAGACAGGAAGTAGCGTCTCCTTCAGAAAGTAGCGCGGCTGACCCGTTCTAAGACGCTCTCGGTGGAGTAACATTCCAAAAAACCGAGCTACCTTCAGCTCTGGTCCAACCAACTTAGCTCTAGATGCGGATTAAGTTTGCATTTTGCCATTGTAGATGGTTCCCTCGATTAACCAAGGGAACTTTCCTTTCCCGTGGATCATTGACTCACTGATTCATTTTTTCAAATTCTGCCCGGTCCAGTTTCCTTAATCTCATCAATCCAGGTCAGTACATATAGCGGCGGCCCAAAAGTAATTGCACCCCGGTACATCTGTATCCGACCGCCCTACCTCCAATATATATCCTACACTGCGTACCTTCTCTATGCACAACAGCGCGCTGCGTGTTTATCAAAACACTATAATTTAGCAGGCAACAACAGCTATTAGGATGAACGAAAGCGTGCATTCAAAACATTAGGTAGAGTTGAGTAGTGATAAGAGAGTTTCGCATTGCAGAATATTCAGCAGAAAATTAGTAAGCACTGGGGCGGAAGTCCTAGGGCGCAAATTACTTTTGGTCTGTCACTGTACGGATTTCAAACCTCAGGAATGGGGGAGGCTGATCGAAAGCATCTGAAAAATTATTCATCACAAATTTGATGAGGAAAACTAATAATTAACTTGCACAAAGTGGGTGGTACGGCTGGAAGAAAGAGTTTTCACTGTGAGACTTTATCTTCGCCTTCGGCTTCGCGGAATGTAGTAGTTGGAAATCCTACGATGGCAAAAGGGGATGCGAGAGATAAGCTATAATTAAATAATTAGAGTGTGTGGATACGTACCAGAATTAGGATCTCGGCCAAAAGCTGAAAAGAACTGCCGTGCCCCATTGTCACACCCATACACGATACCGAAATTTTGGGAACCGAGGCCCTGTAGTGACCCGACCGATCGGCTTGCCGAGCTCACGCCCTAAATTCCACTGTGGGCTTTGGAAAAGCGGCGCCCAGCTCTCCACTAGTGGAGCAATGCCTGTTTTCCACGCAATCACAGTGCGTGATCACTTACTAGCTACATGCATTTAAACGCCATGTGATTTTGAGCCTTCTGGTGGCGTAGAACTCCTTTTAAGAGTTATTCTCGCTCTTTGCTGCGCTTTGTTGCACACAGTGAATACACGCCGGACAGCCCTGTCCGCAATACCAGCGATGGCAAACGATTCCGCTGAGATGCCCTACCTTCGCTCCATACCATATTGGCGAATTTTGACCGACCAGGGAGTCGTCACTCAGGAGATCATCGACTATCCTTACGCTGGCTCAGGAACAGAAGAAGACCCGTTTCACGTTGAATGGATCCCGAACGATCCCCGAAATCCTATGCAATTCGACACTCGTCTCAAATGGGTCTACACTGTGATAGTCGCCTTTGCTACGCTGGCTGTCTCACTAGCTTCTTCGGCCTATGCAGGTGGTATATCTCAAGTGCTCAAAGATCTGGATGTCAGCCAAGAAGTCGGCACCCTTGGTGTTTCTCTTTTCGTCCTTGGATTTGCAGTTGGCCCACTTCTTTGGGCGCCTCTCAGTGAGCTTATCGGTCGCCAAGTTGTCTTTTTGATCACTTTTCTTGGTCTGTCGGTATTCTGTGCTGGCGCGGCGGGGTCCCAGAATATCTGGACTTTGGTCATTCTACGGTTCTTCGCTGGTTCTTTTGGCTCATCACCCTTCACCAATGCTGGTGGTGTTATCGCCGATATCTTTCCTGCAGACGAGCGAGGCCTAGCGACTAGTCTTTTTGCTGGCGCCCCTTTTCTAGGACCCTCTCTCGGCCCTGTTGTTGGTGGGTTTATCGGTCAAGGTGCAGGCTGGCGGTGGGTACAGGGATTCCTAGCTATCTTCACTGGTCTCATTTGGATCGTGGGGCTGCTATGTATCCCAGAAACCTACGCACCCCTCTTACTGCGCAAACGAGCAGAGCGACTATCCTCCCTCACTGGCCGCGTGTATCGCAGCAAAGTGGAGATTGACCGTGGGCAGCTGTCTGCGCGTGATGCATTTAGTACTGCACTCAGTCGCCCTTGGATTCTATTGTTTTCCGAGCCTATCGTCCTGCTGCTTTCTATCTACATGGCTATCGTGTATGGAACACTCTATATGCTCTTCGACGCATTTCCCATTGTTTTCCAAGACATCCGTGGCTGGGGTGAGGGCATTGGCAGCTTACCCTTTATTTCTGTGATGATTGGCATGATGATAGCAGTGGGCCTCAACATGTACGACAATAAGCGCTATGTCCGCATTCACGAGAAGCACAATGGATTTGCACCGCCTGAAGCCCGTCTGCCACCTACAATTCTTGGTGGTCTCGCCATCCCTATTGGCTTGTTTTGGTTTGCATGGACCAACTCGCCATCAATCCCATGGATTGTTTGCGTGGTTGCTACCGCACCCTTCGGCTTTGGAATGGTCCTCGTTTTCTTGGGGATTATGAGCTATCTCATCGACGCATACACCATCTACGCTGCATCGGTACTCGCAGCCAGCTCTATCATACGTTCGTGTTTTGGTGCGATATTCCCACTGTTTACCACCTACATGTATCAAAACCTCGGCATCCATTGGGCATCGTGTATTCCGGCATTCCTTTCTCTTGCCTGTGTTCCATTCCCCTTCATTTTCTACCGCTACGGTTCTGCCATTCGCCAAAAATGCAAGTATGCCGCCGAGGCGGACGAATTCATGCGCTCATTGATGCGAAAGGTTCACGACCATGACGCTAAGCTTGAATGGGTGGGCTTGACTCAAACAGCCATGGCAAGCGACTTGGCTTCCTCAATATCAACTTTGGAGCGCACAGATACGGTCTACGAGGCGAACCCGTATGACATTGACCGTGTGAACACGCACCACTCCGCCATTACCCAGCATTCAAAATCTTTGAAATGGAGACTTTGGAATTTCTTTGGCACTGGCCGCAAATGAAATGGGCTTGTTAATGCTTGAAAACATACATATATAGACCTTAGACCCTACTTAATAATAGACATCACCTGATTAGCCATCCGAATTCCCCATGCTCACCAAATGTCTCAGATTACATCTTATTAAACATGATCGAATGACGCCAGTTTTATCACCTCGAAGCTGGAGGTGACAGCACGAGGGGGTTAGAAATCTGCGGCATTTGGAAGCTTCTCAGGGGTATCGTCGCGGAAGTTAGAAGTAATCAGACTACTCAAAGACGGTGACCAGTCGACACGTGGGGAAAGAATTTCTAGATCCCAAAGCTCCGAGAGAAACTTCAAGATAGACGTATGGGTGAAATCTCCGTTTCCCTCGCCGGGCCTGTTTTGGATCAACCCTTTCCCGACCCACGGCGAAGCCAACACGGTGGGGACGCGCACGCCCAATCGGTCAAAATGAAATGTGTAGTCAACCCCATCGCCCGCCTTCTCCGTGTATGTCAGACTATCGCCAGCTGGAACATCTGTAGGTGGAGCGACATGATCGGCGAAGCCGCCGTGCTCATCAAATGTCAAGATAAACAAGGTGTCTTTCCACTGCGGTGAGTTTCGCAAAGCCTCGTAAATGCCTTTTATGAAGTTTTCACCCATATTAATCGGAGATGGTGGATGCATTGACATGTAGTTGCAGCATTCCGGGTTGATCCAGGTGAACTGGGGGAGATTTCCATCTTTGGCGTCCTTGTAGAAACGCTCAATGGGCAGAACATTGGTCTTTCCAATTGTAGATCTTGCTGTCCAGTCATAGAATAAGGCATCGGGCAAGAAAGGGGGATCGGATTTCGTCGAGTTTTCATAGTTTTTCCAGGTGATACCTTTTTCTGATAACTGTTCAAATATCGACTTTTGTGGCAATGCCGATTGATTGAAAGCGTCATCGTTCATGCCGTGGCCATGGGAAGCACCAGAGGTTAAGTAGGCACGGTTAGGGTTGGTAGGGCCGGGCACTGCAGCGAACCATCTATCCATAAGTACAAAGTTTTGTGCAAGCGCGTTGAAAACAGGAATATGCTCCGGTGTAAAGTAGTTTATCACCTCAGCTGCTCGCGACAAATCGTCCTCCATGTAAGAGAGTCGCTGTTCGGTAATAAAGCCATTCATTAAAGACTGGGCTTTCGAAAGTGGATGGTAGGAGCCGAATATTTGCATGTTTCCTCCAGAAATGCTATGATTGGGGTCTTCTGAAGCAACATTTTTCGCTATGTTTTGAGCGCAAACATTCGACGAAATCGAGGTCGAAACGTTCGCTGGATTGCAGTATTGACGTTGAACCAGTCCGTCGATGCTGTCGTCGTATGTGAGGCCACCGGCAAAGTGATCAAACGATAAGTTTTCCTGCACCAGCACGACAACATTTTTTATGTTGCTTATGCCCGTCGAGCCGTGCGGGCGCGCCACCACACTCTGCGCAAGAGCGAGGGTGAGTAACGCCATTGTTAGAGTCATGGTCGATGAGATGAGTAACTCTGATCCAAATTGACAGATACTTTCACTGTTATGTTGCCAACATTATTTAGACCCCGGACCAGGCTCGCAGTGCTGCATCACGTTCCGTGGTCGTGAGGTGATGGAAGAAGTGAACTGAGGAGTACCCTGCCGATCATTACTTGCGTCTCAGCTTCCCCGCCCAGGGAGCTGCGCATGGTCAATTTAGGCACTTCCATTGGTTGTGCGGGGTGTTTTTGACCTGAAACACCATGTAGCGAATAAAGAGCCTACAACTTCAGGGGGCTAAACGAAGAGGTATGCATACATTATTGCTACCGCTGCAGGGGGTCCCAGATGGCGATATACAACACCGTATATGTGCCTCTCTTATCACAATAAAGTCCGGGTTATTATCTATAGAGGGGAGAGATAGATGCGTCCGTTTAAAACACAAATGCCAAATTCCTGGAACGCGTTGGTAGCAAAAGACATGATGCGCGGAACCCGCCTCCTGTTCCCTTCCTCGCTCTTCCCCCCGTCAAACGCATTTTAAAAGCAACGCGACTACTCCCTTAATAGCCTTTGATCAAATACAACAATGAATGCGCCAGCCATAATCTTCGTGGGACATGTGGATACTTGTAATCCCCGATAGATGAGTCCAGAGCCAGAGCCAGATAAGATAGAGAGCCCATTATGGACCAAGGCTTCCGAAAAGGGGGTCACTTCTGCACTAACTCAGGCGAGGGCCCAATGAACCAGCGAAATTCCACGACATGGGGACCAGCTAACAAGAGTATAATGGCCCATGTGCCTTGTGGTTTGAACAGACTGAGGAAGATAAATCACGCTGAGACGGCCACTTCAAGAAACAAGCGATCGCAGTTCCTGACGGGGCCTTGCCGGTCAGGTCGAAACACAGCCGCCCGCTCAAAAACCTGCACTCAGAATGAGACGTCCAAAAGAACAATAAGCCAGCGTGATCGATGGCCGTTTCTAATTTTGCTCCAGGCAGAGCAATAAATGCTACGGCAAGGCGCTCATGAACAACCTGCCATACATGCATATTTTTCTGCAGGCGGCCATTCTATGGTTTCACTCCCGATAGCTGCTAAGCCTGTTTAGATTGATTTACGCTTCATCAACCGCTACCGTGATACGTGGCCCCCGGCTATCCAATGTCCGATTGGCGGCATCCTGGATTTGAGGCTGGTTTCATATGTACTCCCCATGGAGAAAGCAGAGGATGCGCTGCAACTTTGCGCTGACACCCGAAATGGCAGTATACAGGTGCTGGTGGTGGATTAGCAGGAGGCTTCCTTATGAATTACGAAGATAGTGCCTGCTACGAACATACATAGAAGGGTAATTATTTATAGGCTTTCGGATGAGTCGCAGCAGCTCGTCCTTGTAGGTATCATCTACGTGCTAGGTGGAGTCAGCATCGTAGCGACCGGGATGAGTTCATTAATCTATTTTGGTGCTTGGCCAACGCCAATTGAGCCCACAGCGAGATATAATCTCCGGACCGCAGAGGTATAATTATCTAGAAGGGCCGCTTTTCGTGGCAGTAGATGGATGTAATCGGCACGGGGTCGTCATTCGAGTGATCACCGGGGCTGAGGAGGGTGTTTCGACCGGTGCAGAAAGGTCCACTAGAATGCATGAGAATCAAGTAGGAAACACCAGCAGGAGACGGATCCAACTTACACAAAGACGCGGCAGTACTTTCGAATGGAGACGGTATACACCTCACTAGGAACGTGGGAATGTGTGAGTCCAATGCCTTCCATTTGGTGCCCGGCGACTTACTCCTCGTCGAGCTCGACGCAGTCGTCCAGTTCCACATCTTTGCCATAGCTAGCCTTTTCAGTCTCAATACCAACCTACCGGCCGAGTCAGCAGGCATGAAACCTAGTCGCAACTGAACCATGGAGGCCATGATGGGAAACACTCACAGTCGTCTTTTTCGGCGTCTCCTTGGCCGCGACGGAGAGCAGCATTAAGCCCAGGACGGTGAGTTGTTTGAGGCCGTACATGATGAGATGCACGATGCAAGATGCAAATCGCTAGACGAGAATTCAACGCGACACGTTCGAGACCAGCACGCTCGCGGTGTTTAACCCGGGCGATATGTACTTGTTGCAGCCACTTTGACCCAGGGAGACCGCCGCTTTGTGTAGCATCCCTTGCCTGCGCACAGGGCGAGCCCCGGCAAGCGGATTGCAGGGCAAGGGTCTCCCTTTGTAGGAACGATTGGCTGCGAGGGATCGGAATGTGAATTGGGGTCTGCGCACGCTTTGATGGGCAGTCTGTAGTCGTGAAGCCACCGACAGGAACGCGGCTGATGTCAGTCCATCTTGCAGGGGGATCCATGGGTGAGTGACCCTGCAGCAGACTCACTTGGCTCGGCCGCTGCAACGCTGATCGTACGCTTCCCCACAATTTCGTTGGGCTCCTCATCCCTCCCCATGTCCCATTCTCCATTCCTTCACTGTTGGCGCTGACCCTGGCCTATTCAGTCTGCACGCACCGTGCACCATGCATCCCCATCCAAAACGCCGGTGCCTGACGGGTGACGTCTAATTCCCGACCGAGCTAGACGGGCCGGGCTCTCGCCGCCGGCCTGCGCGCCCATCACTAAGGTCGACTAGCAACATTGCAAGGACACCCGCCCGCATGCGCACCCTCGGATTCAACCGACAGCCCTGGGTTTCCTTCCCCACTGGGCGCCGCCAGCTGGGGCCACGATGGGGTCTCACATGACCCGGGCTTCCTTGCGTCCAGGAGGAGCTGCGTCTTCACAATTGCCCACTCCGCGCGCCGTCCCGGGACGGGTTGTGGGATGGTATAGCTGGATAAGTTCGACTAGCAATGCACTTTCCGCGTCCAAATCCCAGCCCTCGCTCGCACGTTTCCGGCCCTGCTTAGTGAGATTCTCGCCAGATCCGCCGGCAGGATGGAGAGGAACGAGGGCATTCTCCTTCCGACAATATCGAGCTCTACCAGGAAGCCATTCACATGTTCAGTCAGTTGTTGCAGATGCGGGATCCCAGAGTCTTACGGTGATGTCTCGAAGTGATGTCGGCCCGAGCCCAAGACTGGCGTTCCGCCTGGAAGGATGCACGGCTCTGTTCGACGGGTTTGGAATCCATGGCTTCGGCAGCGGGCAGCTGCAGGCGGTATTCTGGTGCGACGTACGCATGTGTGAGAATTGGATAGTACGCTAGAAGTTTCCTGGATGGGTTGCTAACTTGGGATATAGATTTATGCGGTACCCTGATTCGTGTTAAGGGAGAATAGTGATTGTCATACTTTGTTCCTCTGTTTAGATTTGTACATACGACCATAGGGTGTGGAGAACAGGGCTTCCCGTCCGCTCAGCCGTACTTAAGCCACACGCCGGCCAGTTAGTAGTATGGTGGGTGACCACATGCGAATCCTGGCTGTTGTATGTTTTTATTTATTGTTGATTGTTGGAATTTGTGATTCGTTGGGACGAGTGCGTTTGCTACGTTGCTCTTTAGGCGCTTTAGGCCCCTTAACCTGAACGCTCGGAACGCCCTGAACACCATTACTGTGCAGTTAAACCAGTCTCAGATGGTGCGAGCTGAGAATTTCATTCAATTTACTTCTCAAAAAGACAAAGACAAATCCGTCGACAGCGTACTCAATCCTACTTGGTGAGTACAAAGTGGCGATGAGCGACGTATAATAGAAAGAGAAAGCTAAGTGACCTGGAACTCATGGTCGGTCACAGTACGTTAAATGCATCACGTTGGGAATAAAGCAGGGAGCAGAAACTTGGAACAGATCACAAAGTTCGGGAAGCGATGAAATACTTGGATTAGAAGAAGCTTTTGAAGACCCTTCCCTCCCTCTTCTTTTTCTCCTTCCTCTCTCTACCTCACCCTCACCCTCTTCTCTCCTTGTTCCTTGTTCCTTTAGTCACTACACATCTTCCCTCTCAATCAGCAGTGCGCATCCTGACACTCTCTGCTCCCACTCCCCTCATCCTCACAACCTCTGCTCCAATATCCTCACAACATCTACTCCTTGGCTACCATGTATGGAAGGGTGAGAATATGCGTAGCTAGCCGGGCAGGTTGCATCTCATCAACACCACTTGAAGTGGTGGGGAGCACAACAGGGGTACCGATAAATTGGCTGCTGTGGGTCGGGACACCTCTTTTTGACTTGTTAGTAGGGTAGTTTAGAGTGGAATGTAGCTACTAGGAGCTCACAGGTAGTCACTGTGACCTATATCATCCGAGCGTCTGTTTGACGCAGTACCTGGGCTCGTAACCGGCACAAGCGGGGTACTCGCTGGGGTAGTGTTCGGGGTTGGGTTTTGGGAACTCATTATCCCTGGTTGATGCTTTTGGGAGCAAAGGGTGTGCGGATGAGGAGCCTTGGGAGTAGATGTTGTGAGACACTGCATGTGAACCCTGCAGTGTCTCATGGAAACAGCCAATCGTTTTGTTTTTAACCGATGTACGATGTACAATACAACATGATTTCACGCCAGCTACACATTGCCGCGACTTCTCCTCCAATCATCCACTATTCCGGCATATACGGATGGTTCGTACACCCCCGTGAGCTCCGTCACGAAACCCCCTCCTAAACGGTGTGGGTTTAACGCTAGATCGTGCATGAGCATATCGTTATACTATCCTACATTGTTAGCCCTGACCAGGATTGACCGACCGCAAGAGGATATTCTTACATGGATAGCATCGACCTGAAGACCGGAGCCTGTCAGCGACCCGAGTACCACATCTTCAGATATGGCCTTCTCCATGGCGGTTTGAGGCATCCGTTCGAGAGCAAGGCCCATGGGCCGGGTTGGCGTGTGTGCTGCAAAAGTTTCATCGAACCCTCCAGTCAAGAATGCAGCGACCCAAAGTGCTTGGACCTCAGCGACAACCGCAATGGTGGATGTGAGCACGATGCCAATGGCTGCAAAGGAACGATCTCCCTCCGCAACCAGCTTCGGGGCAACCATGCGACGGAAGAGGCGATACGGGATAAGTTGATTATTTCCGGTCCATGTTGGCGCGTCTCGACCTGCAGGTGCACACCCAGTCGCGGACAAGGTCTTTCTCACCAAGGCGATTGACTGCTCGTCTAGAGATTTCCAGTGTTCGATTTGCTCATTGACTTCCGCATCCTGAGGAAGCTCCGCATAATCGGACGACTCGCTGTTTCCAATTGTGGTACCTGTTTCGGAACGGGATCCCACTAACCCTGCTAAACCTAGCTCGACACGAAAGCTCGGCGGGTCGAACTTGATGGGGACAATAGGCTTATATCCAGTCGCATGAACCACGAGGTCTACATCATCAAGGCAGGTATCACCGCCAAGCGATACTTGGATACTTGTTGCCTCTTGGCCCTTGTCCTGTGCCTTCGAGGCCGTTATTTTCTGAATGCCAGATCTGTATATTTTCACATGTGGTAGCCTGATCGTGTCCCAGAGATCGGGCTGGTTGGCGATGCCAATACTGGAGGCACACGAGACGACGCTATCGACAATTAGATACTATCCACACCCACAAGCAGATCACAATCTTACCCATTGCAGGGCCGAATTGATTGCATCTTCGGTTCTGACTGGTAATCCGCAAATTGTTCAAAGTTTCGGTCCACGGAGCGCCAGAACCAGCGAACACACCATCGGCCCAGAGGATTGCCGTGGATGAGACGGAACAGCCATGATCCTTCCACACGTAAGCCCCAGCTTCGGCCTTCTGCAGTGTGATATAGCGACACCCGCTTGGGGATCTCGTAGCAGCATGGGTCCAGATAATGAAGCAACCTGGTGCTGGCTGCTCTATCACTTGCAACAACATCGCCATTCGGAAGCGGCGAAGTTGGCGGTGCCATCCATGCGGGCCCTGCTCCGTCTTTGCGGATGACCCAATTCACCGTGACTGGTTCCTTGGGCGCAAACTTCAGGTGCAGTGCAGGATCCTTACGATGTAGAGTTGCGAAGAAATGGACCAGGTCGAAGGCGGATTTCGCGCCTCCGTACACCACTACAGAACATAGTGGTGCGCTGTGGTGTTTACTCTGGCCATCCCCTTGTGTTAGCTCTTCCAACAAGGGCAGAGGTTGGTATCCTAGATTTTTGCGAGCCCAATCACCAATGTCCTTCGCGTGGATGACAGACGTGGAGGTCTTCGTGTCTACCGGAGATGAGTTTATCACCGGCGTATTCGGCACTGAAGTCAACCCTGTGGCCAAAATCAATTTGTCGCAGATGATCCTCAAGCCACGCGCCGGGGTCGAAGTAATGTTGACCTGGAGTTCCCACTCCTTACTATCAAGCCTGCGAATACTCTCAACCTGGCCACTGTAAGACGAGGGACAGAACCAGAACCAGCCAAATATGCACTCACCCTCCAGTTCAATCGGATTCGCTTCTTGAGGTCCCATTTCTGAGCCCAGGCATGCAGGTAACGGTTAATCTTCCAGCCCGCGATAAATTGCTGCCCCGCGCTCGCCGCTTCATCCGGGACCACGTCCGACAGAGGCAAGTCACTAAACTCATACAACCCATAAGAGTTCTGACTCAGTAGGTTGGGATAAAGACGCTCTTCTGCCCAGGTCCCTCCAATGTCTGATGCCGCATCCAGCACGAGGAGACAACATCCGGGCATATGCTTCACTGTATGTCTGATGTCGGAAAAACAGGGTGGCACTTCATCAGCGGTCTCGGTGGTTTCGAAGGTCTCATCCTTGTGGTTCTGGTTATCGTAGGTGCCTGAAACCTGCAAATACGTCTTTGCGGCGATGAGACCGTACAGGCCTGTGGAAATTAGCCAGTGGATTCTTTGTTGAATTGACGGCTACTAACCGGCACCGACTATCACCACGCGATCCATGTGGCAGGCCGGTGGGATGCCAGAACACACACACACAGAGAGAGAGAGAGAGAGAGAGAGAGAGAGAGAGAGAAGTTGAGCAGAGTTACAAGGTTGGATTTAATTGGAAATAAAAATGGTGGAAATGGTCAAGGACCACGAGCAAGGGCCGGTCTTGATATTGTTCTAGGGATTGTTCTGGTGGGGCCGCCGGCACGTCCCTTCAATCGCTGCAATCACTTGAATCTCTTTCCCGTCACCAAAGCAAAGCCGCACCACCAAACAGTTCGTTTACTTGGGATAATTTTGCTTCCTGAATCTGTTACATGCACACGCATATCTCCGCAAGCGTGGGGGTGGGAGGCGTGTTGGTCCTTTTCACCAGCTGATTGCCACACACCGGACAGCTGTTAGTCTGCACAGGCGGGCAGAATCTGCATATATTGAAATATTCACACGAATAGTACGTTTCTTCGTCTGAAAGGCGTCCTAGGCAAACATCACAGAATCGATGACTTTTCGGTTCTAGGGACGGGGAGTCCACGCTTGATTCCGCACTGGATTCCCCACCTGGATTCAGCTTTGGAGCTTTGCTATCAAGGAGCCGCTTGATCTTGTGTAGCTCCCTCTTCTCGGCCTCGACCGCAGGGGTCAGTCCCCAGATGTCGGGACGGCATCTGTCAATCTTTGGCAAGTCGAGTAGCAGTTGAACCATGTCTAAATGACCTCCACAGACAGCATAAAACAGTGGTGTTCTGCCATACCGATCCGTGGTACCTGGTTCTGCTCCAGCTGAAAGCAGAAGTCTTGCTATGGAAGTGTTCCCACTGGCACTCGCCATGTGCAAAGCAGTTCGACGATAAACATTGAATTCATCCGGATTGCTGTCCTCTTCAAACAGAGTCCTGACGGCTACTTGATGGCCACCCTCGACGATCGCCGAGGGTAACTGTTGCGGTCCCGAGCCTGGAGGGCTAGGATTGGCACCTTTGTTTAAGAGAAGCCTTGACACAGTCTCATGCCCTCTCCAGGTAGACATAAACAATGGAGTGTGGCCCATTAAATCAAAGACGTCAAGTTTGGCAGCCTTGTCTAAGATCATCATAGCGATGGTCTTGTTGCCGTCTCTCGCTGCGATGTGCAATGGTGTCTGTCTGCTCCGACTCATAGTATCAGCACGGGCCCCCCTGTCTAGGAGCAGCCTGACAATTTCCACCCTATTTCTCTCTGCAGCCAACCGTAATGGGGTCATGTTGTCGTTGTTTCTGGCTTCAATCTTGGCCCCATAGTCTACCAGAAGCTTGACTGGTACCTCCCAGCCTTGTTGTGCAGTTCGGTGCAATACAGTTTCCCCATGCTTGGTCTTGGGTTCAGTGTTAGCACCCTTGCTCAGGAGAAGCTCGAATGTGGCATTGTGTGTTTCCTGGTTGACCAATTCGTAGGAGAAGTATTCCGTAATCCTGAGTAGCGGCGTTTCGCCTTCGTTATTGGCTATGTCGGGGCTTACACCTTTTTCCAAGAACAGTTTGACGACCTCCAAGTGGCCGTTTAACGCTGCATCGTGTAACGGAACATCGCCAACCCCAGTCTTGCTTTCGATGTCGGCACCTCTGCTCAACAGCTCCCTGATGATAGTCACATGACCGCTTGTTGAAGCCTCATGCAATGCACTCCTGTCACCGTCTCTGGGATTGTAGTTGGCGCCTCTATCTAGGAGCAGCGTGGTCACGGACTCATGGCCGTTGCTCGCGGCGATGCATAATGGAGTCTGATATCCTGAATACCTCATTTCAATGTCGGCGCCCTCATCCAGGAGTATCTGGGCTATTCTCACATAACCTTTACGCGCGGCCACATGCAATGGTGATAGGCCATCAGTGTCTGGGAGATCAACTGTGGCGCCCATATTCAGGAGCAACTTTACCATTGATTCATGCCCATGACATGTGGCCACGAACAAGGGCGTCTGTTTCCTCGAATCTTGGATGTTCACGTTGGTTGGATTAGTCTCAAGAAGCTTTTGCATCAGAAGCTGCAGGTTAAAATAGGCAGCAATGTGTTCTGCCTTTATGTTACTCGTTTTGGGATCGGGCCTCCAATCCAGAGGCTCAAACCCGCAGCGGTCATATCCAATCAATTTGGTCTCGGTCTGAAGGAAATTCAAGAGTATCGACCGGTTTCCAGGCGCCTCTCGGAAATGATGTCCCCAATTAAGAGAGGCGTAAGTGTAAAACGGGTATTCGGCAGGGATGTTTTCAACCTCTTCTTTGGCCTCAAATCGATCTTCCTCAAATACGTCGTAGCACAGGTAGGTCAAACAGCTGTCCGTAATATGGCTAAAAATTTCGGGAAACCAAGTCTTCAAGGTGCGTTCAAAGTACTTCTGGGTGGTGTAGTGGACGAATTTCACTTCGGTCGTTTGTTCATCGACAAGAACCAAACCACAGCAATACGAAGTCAATTGCTCGGCGTCGGTGATATTGGTCTCATCGAATTCGGTAGTTTCAAACTCAATCGCCAGTGCGTGTTCAAGCTCGGCAATTGTCAGAGCTCTTTTCGCGTTTACGATCCATCCGATGGTTTTCTTTGCAAGGCCAAACGCATTTGCCCCTTGACGCTCGATTCTGCTCACAGTTTCATTATAGGCATGATCTGAAGCGTTGGACTCAGAGGCAGTGCGAAACTCTTCTAGCATTCTTCGGATCCCCTTTTCGTTCGACTCGTCTAGGAGAAGATTAAAATAAAGCCGAGCAAGAAGAAACCTAAGACAGATTAGGACCACGTCACTGGAACAGCAGATAAATTCGTACATCTCTTTGGCGGCCTTAGTAATACTGTCCTTGATCGCCTGTTTCAATTTCTCTCTTTTGCGAACAAAAGACGGAAGGTCATTCAGACGTACGTCAACATAGTACTGAATGTCCTCACTGCTCGCCCGTATCTCCACCGAAGCAGATCCCTCAAAGTGGGCTGCAATCTCCTGGTCTGGTCGGGATGTGGCAAGAAGATGAAAGCCCTCTTCCTTCTGCAACCGAACAAGCTGACGAAGAAAGGAATTACGAATGGTGTGGTTACCATCCGCAATTGGACATTCATCTAGTGCATCGATTACCACAAAGGCTCTGGCGCACGAAGCAAGGACAGATCGCAATTGACCGATTATCTCATCCTCCGATGGTCTGGTTGATTGTGTAGAGTATTTTTGGTAAAATGATTTGACACTCTCCGGGATCGAGGTTTTTCGTTGCACAGCTTGTCGCAGAAGAGCCGAGTAGAGCTCAAAAAGGGTATGTTGCTGCCGATAATCACAAAAGAGATATGCGATTACGACGCCATCTGGATTGGGAAACCTTTGCTCTAGATGATCAATGATGATTGATGAAAGGACTGTCTTTCCAGAGCCTGGGATCCCCGGACAGAAGAGAACCTGCTTTTCACCGCGGATCCATTGCTGGAAGTCCTCTGTTTCCAGCAGCCATATCCCTGTCCCCTTTTGATGAGAATTGAATACTTCGCTTTGACGTAACGAGGGGCTCACTGGACTCAGCCAACCCAGGATCTTGTCGCGCTCATGATCGTCCTGTCTGTCATTGAGAGATTGAATTCCATGCCTAGTTTCCGAGAATGTCCATTAGAAAAAAGAGTCCTCTGGCTGGACCCAGCTGGAAGAGCAGAATAGAATACGTTCGACATACTGGTTGGCCTTGCCTACTATGAGATTGAGCAGAGAAATATTCGCGACGATTCGAGATCGAAAATTGTCTATCTCTGCTTGGTCCCATCGGATCCTTTTCCAGGCCTGCCGCACCCTGCCCGTCCACTCGGGAGATGAGTCCTTTGCGAGAATGTGAAACTTTCGTAGCCTCGAGTCAAGATCCCGAAGAACGTTGTCACAGCTCCGGATGACTTGGTTCACATCATCCCTTTGTTCGTCAACTTCCTCTTCATCGAGGTCGGTGATGCGGTTGAGTACCAGAATAAGGGACTCGACCCTGCCACAAGTCATTAATATGTCACCTCACGATCCAAAATCCAACACTTACTCTTCCGTAATGGCTTTGTACTCCCTCGGTGCTTGCGCAAAGCGGCCTCGCAAGTCATTTGCTAGCTGCAAGACCGCCAAGAAATCACCAAGACCGAAGCCAAAGCTCATGATGTTTCAAGGAACAGATCACGCCTCGGGTTGGCTGCAGAAGCTTGGGGACAGTGAATGAGCGGGTTGGGCGGACACAAACATCCCGCTAGAAGCGGGGTCGGCTACGAGGCAACAACAATTAGGCGAGAGACTGCCCAAATTGACCAGCCTCGTGGAGTAAGTCAGCATACAAATCCGACAAGCTAGCTACCTAGTCGTCTACACTGAACGTGGTCTCTAATCGAGCCAGCCACTCCCAAACACCGTGCACTGGTGATGTGGCCTTCTGGTTGATTGCCAACCTGTCTCATGGGAGGGTGATCGAGGTGGGGTCCACGAGGTGTTGGGAGTAATCAAGTTATCAAGTTACGCGAGAATACAACCTGGGCGGAACTGTCGAACTTCATGTAGCACGATTGGTATAGGCTTGTACGGCAGGTATCCAATAGGACCACGATGATGATCAGACTGATGAATGATGCTAGCGAAGAACAGAGGGTCGCGGTTGAGAGCGACGGGCGCACAGCTGCCATTTTCGGGGCGGAGTGTATGAGCCAGTAGAAGCGAAAAACACATGATCCTGCTGCATTCTCTTGCAATATGTCTTCCTAAGACGAGCGCCCCAGTTCAGATATACGACCACCCTTTCATGAGTTTGCCTCCGATCTCTTGCCCAGGCTTTCGGCCGTGGTTGCCGCGCTGGAGAAGGCCCTCAACCGCCTCCTGAGCCATGCGAACGATCTCCCTTTCTTTCTCCCTGCCTCCTCTCACCAATCTGCCTTCTCGGACCAAGACCACCCCATTCACCATCGTTGTGTCTACGTCGCGGCCCGTACATCCATGCACAACCGTTGTCACAGGGCTGACCGCGTTTCTGGAGGATCGGTTGCTCCACGGGGCTGCACCAAGTCCCCCACCCCCGTACGGATCTACTACCACAAGATCCGCCTTTTTGCCTGCCTCAAGACTTCCAACCTCATGCTCGAGCCCCAGCGCCTTCGCTCCGTTGATTGTGGCCATCTCCAGGGCGACCTCGGCGGGAATCAGCCTGGCATCCCGATGGACGCCTTTGTGAAGGATCCCTGCCAGGTGCATTTCTTGAAACATATCATAGTGATTGGCGCAGGGGGCGCCATCAGTACCCAAAGATACATTCACAGGCGATGGTGCGGACAGCATGGCCGGCACGGGAGCCACTCCGGATGCCAGCTTGAGATTTGAAGTGGGGTTGTGAGCCACCGAAGTATGAGTGCTTGCCAGCAGTGGGATGTCAATCTCCTCGTCCAGATTGACCATGTGGGCCAGCACTAGCCGATGAGAGAGCTCATCATGGCTCTGGGCCGACACTGTTGTGGCTGCACAGAGCTTCGCGTTCCGAACGAACTCCATAGAGCTGCAGAGATATATATCTCGGTAGATCTCTCGATCTCGTGGAGCTTCGGCACAGTGCATCGTTGCCGATATGCCATTCTTAGCGCATGTCTCGCCCAGCTCACGGTAATACGCGATTGATGTGCCCCGTGGTGTGCCCGCGGCTGCCCACACATGGATCCGACCATCGTGGCTCTCGTGGTGTCTCTCGTGTGCTTTCAGCAGTTCTGGGATTGACATGGCAAGGAGGTCCTGATCCCTCGGGTCGGTGATTGACAATTGTCGATTCGTTTCGGTGAACTTGACGAGCTTGCCCTGGTCGGAACGTGGTCCATTATTAGTAGGCCTTTTTCACTGCCGCCGCAACCGATATTGCAAGCTCACAAGGCATCCCCTGATTCCCATCTCGCCCACCACGTCGCAAATCGCGTCGAACCCCGCCCGGTAGGTCAGCATCGGGTCCAAGAAGCATGTGGTCCCGGTCTTCAGCATCTCTGCCATTGTCAGGCGTGCTGCCCGAACACCATCATCACCTTGGAAAGATGCTTCCAGTGGCCAGATTGCGTCGCATAGCCAGTTGTGCAATGGCAGATCCTCTGCCAGTCCTCGGAGGAGAGACTGAACGAGGTGAGCATGGGTGTTGATTAATCCTGGAATGATGATCTTCCCATCGCAATCAATTACTTCTGTCTGGGCGGGTAACTCATCCGGAAACGGGCACTTTCCGACCGTTGTAATGCGGTCGGCATCGACGCGGATGTAGCCATCGAGGATGATCTCACGTCGTTCGTTGACCGTGATGATCGTGGCGTTGTAGAATAACGTACATTTGGCAGGAGCCGCTATCGTACACATGATGAGCGCGCAAACGACCGGATCTTTTCTCTTCTCTACTGGTGAACGAAAATACAGGTATATAAACTCCAAGTTTCCAAACATGTGAAGGTTTTCCCAGCTTGCGTAGGTCAGACGCAATCGCTCGGGTTTCCCCAGAATCTCGGCCGACGCCAAGCCATCTCGCTTGCTTATCAGTCCCCATGGGCCCTTGATAACTTAGCGTGGCTGGGGTGCATGATACAGTCAGAGAAGATATGATGCAAAAGATAGAGCTATCTGTATGTGATTGTTTTGCCCTGGTCGACGATGTGGTATATATCGGACGCGATCGACGCCCCGTCACGCCGACGAGGTCACAGACAATGCTAGCGCAGCCAACAGCCGAAATCCAGGTTCTCTTGATCCCCGCTGACGGTCATGGATGCGACACGGAAGTTGCCGGAGAAGGAACGGTCCGAGATGCCGGTCACTTCTTTTCTTGACACATTCGATGCGGGGGACAGGGAGTCACACATCCTCGAGATTGCGCCCGCGGCCGAGACCCGATTGCAATACCTTCGCCGTTACTTTACGAGCTGGGATGGATGGATTGGCAACTACGTACGTGAAATGAGACAGGTCGATCGGATATTCGAAACTAACGTCGTCACGACAAGGACTATGCATATCTGGTGACTCCGAACATCTGGCCGCTGAACCAAAAATACAAGGATTACCAAGCGCCCTTCTACGGGTTGAACGACGAGGTACCAATTCTTCTGACTATTATTCTGGGGCTGCAGCATGCTTTGACGATGATTGGATCGGTGGTATCACCGCCTCTCGCCATTGCCAGCGGTGCATTTTATCTTGATGCGGAGAAAAGCCAGTACCTTGTTTCCGCGGCTTTTATCACGACTGGCATTGCAACCGCACTCCAGGTCACTCGGGTGCACTTGACAAAGACTCCTTTCTACATTGGAACTGGTCTCTTGTCTGTGGTCGCCCCGACATTTGATGTGTTGGCGATTGCATTTAGCTACGCAGAAATGCGCTATGCGAATGGGACTTGTCCTACTTCATCCGATGGCTCTAAACTTCCATGCCCTGATGCTTGGGGCGCCATGCTGGGCACGATTCTGTGCACTGTTTGGATTCAAATCCTGTTGTCGTTTGTGCCACCGAAGACTCTCAATCGGATTTTCCCGAAGCTCGTCACGGGAACCCTTCTACTACTGGTCGGGGTGTACCTGATATCCAGTGGGATGGAAAACTGGGGTGGCAGCTCCAACTGCGACGGCGGATCTGGATACTATGCACTGTGTCCCAACACTGCCGCTCCAAAGCCCTTACCTTGGTAAGATACTACATTTGGTAACCAAAGGACCTCACCGGCTTACATGAGAAACCAGGGGAGATCCGAAACTCATTGGCCTTGGCTTCAGTGTTTTTATCACGATCATTTTTGTTGAGCTCTTTGGATCACCACTCATGCGGTCCGCGTCGGTCGTCTTTGGCTTGGCCGTGGGATGCACAATATCTGGGGCCACCGGATACTGGTCGCGTGAGAATATCGACGCAGCCCCTGTCGCAACCTTCCTCTGGGTCGAGACTTTCAAACTGTCGGTAGATGGTGCATTGGCTTTACCGCTTCTGATTATGTTTATCTGTGAGGCTGTCAGCTGCATGCCTGATATCCTGGCCACTGCCGAAATCTCGGGAGTGGACATCGACGGCATCGAATTCAATAGCCGAATTCAAGGCGGAATTCTGTGCGACGGCGTGGGCAGCCTGGTCAGTGCCTTGGGGACTGGCTTGCCAATGGTCAGTCAAGCTGGAAACAACGGAGTCATCTCTTTGACGGGATGTGCGGTGTGTATTTTTTTCCCTCCTCAAATGGGTAAATTCTGGCTTTTGCTAATTCAAGACCCCCTACAGAGCCGCCGAGCGGGCTGGTGCGCCGCCGCCTTTCTGATTCTCATGGGCATCTTCGGAAAGTTCGGAGCAGTCTTTGGATCCATGCCTCCGTCTGTTCTGGGGGGAATGCAGGTCTTCTTGTATAGCACTATTGTTGTGGCGGGCATGAAGGTACTCAGCTTGGTTGAGTTTACTCGGCGGAACCGCTTCATCCTGACTGCTGCCCTTGGCATTGGGTTTATGGATATTGTCTCTCCGCGCTGGTTTGCTAAGATCCTCGCATATGAAGGGTCGAATGTACGACTGCAAGGCTTTGAGCAGGGAATCAATCTCATGGTGGAAACTCCTTTCATTATCGCGGCAGTGGTCGGGGTAGTTCTGAATTTCGTTCTTCCTTACGATGGGAGCAAGAAGGTGGGGCGAGTGGAAGAGCGTGATGGCCGGCCGGCCCTTCCTACTTGACAAGTACAGGGCCACTATTCAACAACACACAGTACTCAATCATAATATCTGCTACGCATTCCTTTTTCTTTATCTTTTTCAGATCAGGTCCACTACGCATAATACCGCCTTCGTCCTCGTCGGTAACCGTATGTTGCGTTCTGGCATTGGGCTAAGCCAGAGGCGGGCCGTGAGACGGACCGTGTGGGCGCGCTTCTCGTTGCCGGCGGGCGGGGGACGGTCCGTGGAAGATGAGTTACCCTGGCCCAAACTACTTATATCGATTGAGCTGCTCCAGTGTGGACTTTAAAAAAACCCTTCTCTCCCAACCTATTCATCAGTTCATAATGGACAAGAATCAGCGCATTGTAATTGTTGGAGCTGGCGTCTTCGGTCTTGGGACGGCCTTGACGCTGAAGGAGGAGGGCTATACTTCCGTCACAGTCCTTGATCGGTCTATGCCACCCGTCCCAGACGGGTCTAGCAACGACATTTCCCGTGTGATTCGGTTCGACTATGGCGATGCTGTGTACGCAGCGATCGCCAAGGAAGCGTACGACTTGTGGAAGACTCCTGAGTTCAGCGATGCTTTCTACACCACCCCATGCCTGTGGGTATGCCAGGAAGGCAGTCCCGAACAGCCCGTGCAGCCCCTCGCTCAGGAGTACAGCGCGAAAACAAAGCGGGTTCTCACTGAGATGGGCCAACCATGGCATGCCGTGACAAGCGTGGAAGCGGCCAAGGAACGATTCCCCGAGCTCACTGGACGCCTGGCCACTCCCGGCTTCGATGGCTTCTACAACACATCCGCTGGATGGGCCGACGCTGGCAAGGCCATGAGCCGGCTAGCATCCCGCTGTATCCAAGCCGGAGTATCTTTCTTGACGGGTCCCAATGGGCAGGTCACCGAGTTTGAAAAGACTACCGACGGCACCATTAAGCGGGTCTGCACCGCCGATGGCGGCAAGGTGGAAGGCGACAAGTTCATCGTGGCCACAGGTGCGTGGACCGCCAGTCTGGTACCAGCATGGAATTCGATGCTCGCAGCCGGCCAGATTGTTGGCTATCTTCGACTCACTCCCGAGGAAGCCGTCCAGCTGAAGAACATGCCCATTTACTTCAACTTCTCCACCGGCTTCTTCTGTTTCCCACCCCACGATGGCACGGGATATCTGAAAGTGGCTGTCCATGGCTTTGGGTACACAAGGGCCACCGAGAAAGCCAACCTGTCGTCTCCACCAGCCAACTCTGTTGCGGCGCGAGCCAACTTCGTCCCCGCTGAGGGTTTGAAGAGAATGGAAGCTGGTCTGAAGGATCTTTTCCCGCAACTCGCTTCCCGCGGCTTCGCGCGGACGGGACTCTGCTGGTACAACGATACACCCGCGGGAGACTTCATTGTAGATTACCACCCCGAACACAAGAACCTTTTCATTGCGACAGGTGGAAGTGGACAGTAAGGCGAGAGAATCCCCCAGCCGAGGATGATCAATCTGACGTATTATTCAGTGCATTCAAGTTCCTCCCCGTGATCGGCAAGTACATCGTCAGAGGCTTCGAGCGCAACCTTTCGCGGGATCTCCTCGACAAGTGGAAGTTCCCCACCCAATTCCGCGAGCGTTTCCAGAGCGAGGTCTTTGGTGGCGACGGCAGCCGTGGCGGTCCCGAGCGCCGGGAGCTGACCTCCGAGGAGCGAAACACTTTTGACGCTGCTTTGGCAGCCTCCGCCAGACAGAGCAAGATTTAATTAGAGACTCCTTGCCCTCCCCTAGATGAATATTCCAGCACACCAACGATTCATGATATTGCATAGTCCATAGCCGCAATTGTTCTGAGTTCCATGTATGGAAACCATTGGCCATGACGGTTCTCACGAGAATCAGTTATTTTCACATTGCTCTGCTGAGTCCCTCGGCGTATTTTCCGTGGCACTTGTGGCCGAGTGAGAACCCACGGAGAGTCCAGAGTCGTCAATCCCGCGTTTCTCAAAGGTGTTCAGACAAAAAGTCTCCAAAAACCATCCAATCAGGAATATCCGGAACTCCTAATCCTGGAGCATGACTTCCAGCTCGGTCGGGGAAGTCCCACTCGGAAATTGGTTCATCGTTTCCCAATTGCGATCCTAGTTCGCCGAGAACTGGGCCACTGTGCGAAGGAGCAGCCGCGCTGCCCGGACTCTCCAAGTCCACGGGTGCATGGAGATCGCCTTGGCGCGTTGATCTTCCGGTCGGGTGTTTTGGTGTCTTCCGTTTCTTCCGTGTCAGTGCCGGGGAAGGGGCCTCCGTGGCTGCAAGCGGGCTGGATGAAGAAGCAAAATCCAAGATATCCCACATCAAGGCCTCGTCATCAACGGACATTCGAGGCAGGTTCGAGGGTGTCGGCATGCTCGACAGGGCTCCCGAGAACCCGTCTTGATTGTAAAACAGAGAGCCATGATGATTGCGTCGAGCAGCTAGTTCGTTAATTCGGAATACCTAGATTTAAAACATTAGAAAGGCATCAATAATTGTCAGCAATGGGAATCTACCAATACACCCATATTTTCCCAGTAAGACGATAGTTCAGTAATGAAGTCAACAAGAACTCGAAATTCTCCATTGAGAAGGAGTGCGATCTGCGGGTTTTTATTCCCCGTATGCTCAAGTTGGATCGTGGCTGCAATCGCAGCCAGATATCCAAAAAACGGATCGTAGACACGCAGTTCCACTTCTTTCATTTCCTTGATGAATCTTGCGATCCATCGAGAGTGAAGCAACGATGTCTCGAACGACTTCTGCAGAAAGGTTGCTGACATGTTCTCATTCAGATGACGAAGCTTGACCATGGTGACGAAGGGGTGATGAAGTAGGCATTGAATGGAGTGGAAAAGAAACTGCACACAAAGCCAAGTCGACAAATATGGCCGAGACAGGGGCTCGTGGCGAGCACGTCGCTTGAAATCAACGTTCATGTAACGGTGATTGTCTGCAAATTGGGTCTCAAACTGCATCCACTCTGACTCAAGAATTGCAAGTGCCGATCCGGTCTGCCAAGGGGGCAGGATGTTTGTTGGGAAGGGCTCGAACACCCACTCCGTTGCCTTGCCCCATAATTCGTATAGTCTAAGGAGACACACCATGATGCCTTGATCGACATTGTGCCCCTGTTGCATCGATTTCTCATGCAGTGTTGCCATCGCGGGGGAATTATCCGGGGGTGAAGGGAAACATAAGGTGAAGTGTTTGTCTGAAAGGCACAGGGAATAGTTTCGCGACGCGTTGTAAGTGCGATCAAGCATGAAAAAGGCCCAAGTGATTCGCCTTCTAGTCTCTGCCTCAGACCGGGTGAATGAAGAGAGATTTCTGCCCTGGTTGAACCCAAAGGATTGAAGGGTCCGCAGACCAAGGGCAACAGATGCACATCCACGGTGAGCATTCCCACCGGCAAAATCCAATTGCGCCACTAGAAATGTGCCTTGTAGGAAAGAGAGACCCATCTTGCCATTCTGGTATTGTGCTGACAGGATTTTCCAGGCTCGCTCCGCACAAAACTTACCAGTCGGTATATCGCAGTCGGGCGTGCCTGGCGAGTTAACGGTGAGGCGCCGAGTAAGGCCGACCAAAGAGAAGGCGGTCTCTGATGGCAAGCATCGTGCGTTCTGCCGAAGCCAGTCTTCAGCAAAGACGCAGTATGGCTGGTCATGAAACTTGTCCAGATAGACCTCGACTTCGGTTTGGATCAACGAGGTGGATAGCGGATAGCTACAGGGTGTCGGTTATGTCTTCCCTTTATTTTGGCTGATACAGATCCCAAAACGCACCATGATGACAAATCCTCTTTCGCTGTTGCAATTTCACTTAGGCTGTGTGCTTCATCTAGTTCAGCGTGGGTCTGATGGGCGGCGGTGGGTAACCCATTCATCACTGCAGCCAATGTATCGACCGGTGGTAAACGATCTCTGAAAGACACCAATATAGAAATCAGCCATCTTTAACTAATACTTGATGTGAAACATGAGGAATCAAATCTAACCGAAGCAAGGTAGATATTTCCTCCAGCTTCTGTTCTATATGCCGAGCCCGTTGCCCCGAAGAAACATCGAAATTATTTCCCTTCATGTTCTCATGTCACCATGGCAGCTACGCCTGTGGACACAGGAGGACTGAGGTAAGAACGTACCTCGCCTCCATCTACATTGAGGCCGTCGCTATTCGTGGATGTCCCACGCCCGCGGATGCGATTCGGCGGTTCCTGCGACTCGTATGTGCACTGCTGTCCTAGCCGATGGCATAGCGAACATTTTGGTTTCTCACCAGGGCAACGAGCCTTTTTGCGACTGAATGGTTGAACGACATCTTAGCTTTCAAATTCTCCACACCCTGTAATCGCGTGCTGCTTAGCGGGCGTTACACTTACCGACAAGGACCGCATGCTTGACGCGTACGTTTGACAGAGACTTTGTGAATTGAATAATTGTCATTCGGAGTGTTCATCGCATCGTACTCGGGCGCGAATTAGCTGCGACGCTGTTAAATCGGTGTCGCGAAGAGGAGATGACGCAAGCTGGAGAGCTCGACGGGCAGGAAAAATTGGATTGGAATCGGGGCAAATCTGACGAACCAAATGGCTCATGTGAACTACTCCGCCTACCGGCCAAACCCCGCGGACGTAGAAGGGTGAAGAGGGACAGATTCGGCGGCCATCGTGGGTCTTTAGCTCCACCCAGCAGCTGCTTCGGCGTGCGGGGTACACGGCCGACCGAGAACGGCGGAGCAAGAGATATGAAGAAGCATAATCGCTGGATGGACATGAAAAAAAAGTCTTGAAGTTATTAGTTCATTGTTTTGGGATTTCCCCGGATAATCAAACATCCCGGGTGCGCTAACCGTTTCAACAGACGATAAGCTCGAGCAGAATGACTCGCCGGCAAGAATGCCAAAAGAATTTACCCCTGCTGGGTGAGCGGAAGGAGATTCCCGATTCAGGAATACCTTCCTCCACGTTCCATAAGTCTGACCCGGTAGCTAGCTACTTATTTACGGTCTATGGTATTGACATGTCGGCAGCCACCGTCCCAGGTCTTGCCAAGGTTGGTCTTATGCTCCGGGCCACACGAAAGAGGAGCTTTGACGGGTACTAGGAGTCGACATAGGTGCCTAGCTAGGAGACAATATTTAGTTAACGGGTTGGACAGACAATGACTATCTAGGATTTGTTTGGCTCTCCCGCTATTTTCATATGTTTGGTTCTTATATTTCCAAAGCACTTTGAATTGTTGCTTTCCAATATATACATATGAAACGACATTAAATTAACCAGGATACTTAGTACCCATTGGTGGGGAAATCTGTACACCGATATTGATACCAAGACGATTGATGGATTCTACAACACTCGTATCATGATGTGGAGAACTTACATCACAGCGATGATTGTGACTTTCGAAAATTTGATACAATCAATAATTTGCACTACACTCTTACCTGTCTGTTCTGGATTCACCATCAAGATGAGAAATCTACCCCTGATGAGACGAGGAGACCTTGTCCGATATGCACCGACTCGCGGAATCGGTGGCGATAGGCTCTGCGACCACGTTAGATCGGCGGGAGAATTGGACCGTGCCACAAAAGCTGGAGAAACGCCACGCGGTCGGAGAGAAACGAGAGAGAAACGAACTACGAATGCATACTGCCGACAGTTACCTAATGAGCCAACAAAACAACGGTCGGGGTGCTCATGTGACCGGCTCCGGGGGGCACATGACGCGGTGCAAGTGCAGATGAGTCACGAGATGCCAGCCACTTGGAGTCAAATTGGAGTAGCAAAATGAGATCTCGAAGCTCTGTTCACACCCTTTAACAAAGAAGTGAATTTTGGCTTAAAATGGGATGCATGCTCTAGGTCTGAATTGGGCTCAGTCGAACCCATACTGTGTGCGAACTGTATCGGGGCGGGGCTTGTTTCTTATATTGCAATCTCGTAGCTGGCAGTGTACGAATATTGCATTTTTGCCCCGTGCTAGTAGGGCAATATAAAATCTGATTAGATCTCTGTCGGGAGGTAAATAGTCATTTTATTGGTGTTTTACCAAATGGGATCCAAGACACTTTTGGAGCATGCATGAATCTTGCACTGCTGACCTTGCGTTGTAGCACACGCAGCATTCTGTCCCAAGAAGGTGCCTGGAATCTTGTCACCGCCTATCGAAGTGGATGACGAAAACAATCGGTCGGAAGATGACCGAGAGGGTTCATTATAACTCCGCTCCGTACTACCCGCTCGGTGCCTAGGTTTACATACACTGCATCTTCGGGAGTGGACGGCAGGCTAGAATCGCGGCGACCAAGGGAAAGTTTGAACGCAAAAGCCAAAATAATTGCGAGGCGAGGGGCGCAAGCTTTGTTTGCTAAGGCAGGCTGTCGCCTAATACATCTAGTGCTACAATCTATCTACTGTTACATTTCCAGATAAAATGATGAAGCGCGGGGGTAAATAAGAATCTGGGGTGTGGGCGTTAAGAAAAATGACTCGACACTTCATTGCCTCTTTTCCGCATCAACTGCCGGGGTTTCAAATTCGACTGGGCTGCTTATCATGCGGCCGACAAGCGCAAGGCATCTGCGGTATTGCGAGCCGACAAGACCGGTGTGGCGTATACCAGCGCCGGTCGCAAGAACCGTTCACCGTGGGCGCTGGGCGCCATCTTGGCCCGGTCCCGGTCCTCACGGTCCTGATTTAGAAACTCAAGCCGTTAGCGCCCATCCCAATTCAGTCTGAATCCCGATCCTGTGATCGGTAGATGTCCTGATACTCCCGTCGCACCCACCATTAGTCGGGCCATCTTGATGATAGCAATCATGGAGGCAATAATGATAGTTGTATGGTAGAGAAATATATATGAAGCTTTTTCTCAACCCCAGATTGGAGATAGGTCAACAAGATCAAAATTTCTTATATCCTTTTGTCAGAACAGTCTAAATTCCCCTCTCCCGCAATCGACATGTCTGCGATATTGAAGAGCGACTTAGGCTTCGAAGAAGCTGCAGGTGTCAAGTCCTCCAAGGACGAGAGCTCCCCTTTGACGGCCCTCCCCCTCTCATGGTACACCGCACCTGAAATTTACGAGCTCGAACGACGAGCTGTCTTCTCCCGCAATTGGCTTCTGACCACACACTCTCTGCGCTTCTCCAAAACTGGTGATTGGCTACGGTATAACGTCGCTGGCTTCAGTTTCATTCTGGTTCGCAACAAAGAGGGCGCCGTTAATGCATTCCACAACGTCTGCCGCCATCGTGCATTTCCGGTCGTCACCGAAGACGGTGGTACTTCGAGGATCTTCTCCTGCAAATATCACGGCTGGTCATATGGCTTGAATGGCAAGCTCGCTAAAGCACCCGGCTACCAGGATCTTGAAGGATTCGACAAGAGCAAGAATGGTCTTCTTCCTATCCACGTTCACACGGATGTCAATGGTTTCATTTGGGTGAATTTGGACGGCTCGGAGAAGCCTGAGATCTCCTGGGAGGATGAATCCAAGGGCATTGATCCGCAGTCCCGGTTCCAGGCTTTTAACTTTGAGGACTACACTTTCAACCATACATGGGAGATGGATGGCGAATACAACTGGAAGATCCTGGCTGATAAATATAACGAACGCCACAACGGCCAGACGCCACGCCTCGACGTTCCCTGCGGGGCCGGTTTGAGTTCCGACTCTGATGAGAATACTCAGAGCGGAAGTATCATTCACGAACCAAATACCACCCCAGCACAGCATGGCCTGAAGATTGCCAGTACCTACTACTTTCCTAATGCCACCATGACAGTATCACCAAATGTCTTCGTTATGCAGCGACTTGTACCAACCGCTCCCACCAGCTGCTCTATGCGATTCGAAGTTTACCGCAATAAAAACGCCACTGACGAGGATTTTGAATTGGTCAATTCCATGCTCAAGCGGATTGTGTCGGAAGACAAGACTCTCGGTGTCAACATTCAGCAGAACCTTAACACTAGCGGTGTCATCAACGGCGAGCCTCACCCCAGGTTGGAGGATAGCCCTCTTAATTTCCAGACGGTGGTGAAGGACATTGTTATCGATTTCCACAAGCGCGAGGAGGAGGTCGGCCATGAGATCTGGCCTTCACGACAGACTCTGCCATCCGAGGCTAAGACTAGCCAGGACGATATTGATTTCTGCTCGAAGCTGCAGAATCAAAGCCAGGCAAATGCTGACTGCTCCAGTCAAGTGGGTGGCTGTCGCGGTGGCGTGGCGTGCCAGTCTGGCAATGAAGCTTTGGCGTATTGATCTTCCCTTGGCTTCATTCAATATTTGCTTACATTTTAGCCTGATGATATTTACGATTTCTGCATTCTGATGAATTACTCCTACGTCAGATTATGATTAATTTTAGCTATATTATTTTTATTTTGCCGACAGAATCTATTTGCATCTGTTCAAGCGCAAGCGTTGTTCCCTGGAGGCGTAATTCGAATCGAGCAGATACCCCGACACCCATATCAACTCCAAAACTGATCGCCTGTGATAGGCCTATGAACAGTTGGGTTGCAGATCCGCGCCCAAAATATGGCGAAATTCAATGTCAACTATCAGCCCAAGAAGCGGCTCGCCTTTTCTCTTATTCCGATCATGGAGTTATCTCAGATAGTGTTCCGTGTGTGCGATAAGAGCCCAAACCAACGAATCTGCTGGCGTCACATAACCTTATTCTTATCAATAGAAGCAACAGCCAATTCTTTTCCATTATTCAGCCATTATCCGCATGCTGAGAGAGCTCTATTGGGACGATAAATGGTCTTTACCATGGATCTGCGACCGGGATCTTCAATAGAGGGGTTCTTTGGATGCAGGATACTTTTGCCTTTTTTAGCAAGATTTTAAGTTACATCACTAAACTTGGTGCCCACCCACGGACCAACCCCGACCATCACGATCGTGTCGACGTGGTTCTGACGCCGCACAGCAGGCCAGAGCCTATTCTGGAGCGAAAGGGCCGGGCCCCCTGCATAATCTAGAATACTAGTCGCTGGGTCTCCCCCGGCCGAGTGCCCACCATGTCTGGTTTGTCGGTCGCGGACAGGTCCTGTTTCCCCGCTCGTGTCGTGTTATCTTCTCCTCGTCATACCAAAACCCCCTCTCGCCCCCCATCATTTCCCGCTACTCCTGCAGCCGTCGCTTGTGATGGCAAGCTGGCCATTGTTCGTTGGATAAGAGTAACTCTCAGTCTACCGTTTTCGATCGATCTAGAAAACTGCACGCTTTTTGTTTCAACCCCAAAGTTCTCCTGGTCGTAGCCATCATATAATGCCACGTGAAGGCAATCGCGGAAGATTGCGCTCTCATGAGGCTTGTCTGAATTGCCGGTAGGTCACTAATTCCCATATTGCTACTCCATTTTCCATAATTCTGACGATTCACAGGAGGAAAAAAAACCCGTTGCCCCGCTGAGAAGCCAGCGTGTTCGAGCTGTGTTCGCCTGAACCAGCCCTGTCTGTATACAGCTGTGCCCAGAGGCTCGCGGAGTGGCCCTTCTGTAGGAGTGCACCTTTGAAGCATCCTAGAGTGAAATACATACTTACTATCCGACTAGGCTGACCGGCTCGCCTATCTGGAGGAGAAAGTCAACCTCATCTTGAACGGTGGCAGGTAAACATCCCTTGATACTCGCCTCGCTTCTCCAGAGGCTCTGACGCCTTCTTTAGATCAGTCCATCAGGATCAGAACCATGGCGGAAATAACGAAGCTCCTGACAGCGCCTACTCGGCAGCCTCATGTCCGTCTTCCGGCGATTTTGGACCCTCCCTCAATGACCCCTTTCTTCTCGGGTTGGGATTTGAGGACTCGAAAATAAATCCATCATCGAGGATCTCTCAGGCAGTTAACCTTTACTTTCAATACTGCCACAGGCAACCAATATGGTGCTTTGATCGCGAAGAGGTCAAGGACACGAGTTATATTTCGGAAGAGCTGGTCTGCAGTATTTTAACGCTCACTTCGCGCTTCTCGCAAGAGCGCGACGAGCTGCAGCATTACGGCGATAGCGCTCGAACTTTAGTCATGCTGCGGATCGCCAATGGTACCGTGGAGCTTGAAACGATAGAGAGCCTGTGCTTGCTTTCGTACTCTTCCTTCCTCGGTATGTATCGCCTCTTTCTTAGTGCCAAATTAAACCTAAAGCTAAAAGATATTTAGATGGAAATGCTCATCTCGGCCGCTTTCATCTCGGCCTTGCTCTTCAGCTTTGTCGGTCCGCAATGCTAGACCTTGACTCCACTTATGGTATCGAATGCCCGGCTGCTGAAAGGAAGAAAAGACTCTTCTGGAGTCTTCAGTGCCTTGAGCAGGCATATGGCCAAATCAATGGCATTCTTGGTGTGCCAGCAGAAGTTTTACGCTCCTTTTACGTTTCGACAGGTGATGATAAGGAGCTTCTAAGGAAGCTTGACACTAGGCCACCGCCACTGCCAAACGATGAGGTTGGATGCTCGGGCGCAGATGCCCTTGGAATTTGGAATTTGGCACTACATTTCGGATGGGTTTGGAGTAGGGTCAGATCATATGTTTTTGAGTGCGCGCAAAGCCGATTGAAAGAGCCGTGGAGGCATGACTCGATGTATGCGATGGTACTTTCCGACCTCACCGAGCTCGAGAACAAGCTTTCACTATGTCATCGATACGACTCGGTTAAATTTTATGAACGCAGAGCCGAGGAGCTCAGAATGAGTAGAGAATACTGGGCTCCATGGCTCAAGCTGCAGTTCACCTATCATTGCATCCTGACGGTCCTCAATCATCCATTCCTCTATATTGTGGCATCTCAATACAACCACAATTTGACGATCCCGAACACTTTCTGGAGACGATCATCTGAGCTTGTCCTTTTACATGCGACCTGGATTGTCCGACTCATCGACATGGTAACAGAAAAGAAGATGCGACTAATTGATCCATTCTTTGGCCATGCAGCCGCCATTGCCGCTACCGTACATCTTTACTATTGTTGTGCCACTGACCCAAGATTGAAGTTCAAATCAAAAACAGATTTTGCAAAATGCAGAAGATTCTTGAAAAGCTTTGTGTCATTCTCCCCTGCTTGTGAAACTCTGGTATGTCGTGTGTTGCACACCAAGAAATTCTCAAACTAACAAAATCAGGACCAAACGCTGGACAAAATGACTCGCATTGCATCCGGCTCGGAGAAAGTGGATTTTGACTGGGAACCATCGAAGATTCATCTCAGTATTCCTCTGATGTGGGAGCTTCTACAAATAAACTGCACACCAACCTCACCAGAGACTTCCGCTGCCGGCTTACTGCACCCTTCACTCAATCCTGCGGTCTTCCCGGAAGATATTGACAACCCATCTTCCACTCTTGAGATCATCGTCGCCATGTCACCAGAAATCACAGTCAATACCGCCGATGGAGGATCCGCCGCGCATGTGCCACCGAGTTTACCTAGGATCTCTACAGCTACAGCTACAGCTACAACTACAGCGCCAGCATCACCGGCAAGTACGGCACCGGGAGACAAATTAGTCGCACCTGCAGACAGTCTGATGGCCAATACTCCTTGGCTATGGGCTGATCCGTCACAATTTATTGATATGGATAATCTTGGCTATCCCGAGTCGGAATCTACCCTCGGAAATATCGACGGGTTTTCCACTTGGTGGGATTTTGGCAACCTATAAGAGTATAATATTCATTCATCTCTATTCCTCAATTGACGAGCATTCCAGGTCCACAAATGATCCCCAGGGTCTTGCGGGCCTTCCAGTCCCTGGGAATAATACACCAGCTTCTTTCTAACCGAAGCAACCCCCTAACAAGTCCCCAGATAACCCTCATGCGAACCAAATTGCCCCACTTTATGCCGCCCCGACAGTCTTCAACTTCTCCTGCAGTGCAGCAAAGTTCCTCTGCATCGCACTCTCGGTAAACTGAGCCCCGGTCACTATTGGATACTTTTTCAATGGCCCTTGGATCAATGTGTCCTTGCAGGGCTGGTTGAAGTATGCAATGCTGTACCGGTCCCCAAAATAATCCCAAGGCTCACACGGCGCCTTAACGCGGTGGAAAGTCGACTTAAACCGATCATCCGACCACGACATGAGCAAGTCCCCAATGTTGCAAACGATTTCCCCAGTCCTCGCCTCCACCTTGGTCCATTCGTCCCCAATGCCAAATTCGGTAACCGATTCGCGGCCCGGGCATATTTCGAGCCCACTTTGCCCTTCTTTCTGAAAAAGTAGAGTCAGAAAGTCCCAATCAGCATGTGCCCCTGCGCGATGATACACTTTCCCGTCGGCTTCCTCCGGCAGCGCGAAGTAATGAAGTAGCCGCATGGTGGTTTGAGAGTCCGGGCGCGCGACGTCGTGACACTTGATAAAAAACTCATCAGGGAATCCCAGGCCTCGAGCGAAACACCGCATTAGACATTCCGATATCTTCTGCACCCGATGCATAAATTCCAGGGAGGTAGTTCGAAACCCGGGGAGATGCTCGTCTGCTACCCATAACCCCTTCATGCTGTCTCCGAACTGAAGTTGATAAGATTCTTTGCTGTCCGGCTTTCCGGTGGATGGTCGAATTTGTGAGTTTCTCTCCCATCCCACGTTGTTGGAATTCCATGGCACGGTCGCTTTGGCGTCGCTGGGTAGGTCAAAGAAGCTCTTGGACGTCATGAAAATAGCCTCAATATCTTCCTTGGAGATTCCATGATCCACCAGGGTGAAGAAGCCAACATTTTCAGCGGCGTCTATAAGCTCTGCTGTGATTTTGTCGATCCGGCTCTCAAAGTCCGATAAGGATATTTGAGGAATAACGCGGTCGACGTATCGTGTTTGAGCCATCGTTCTCGCTCTTGTTAACCAAGCGTAGGTGACGATACTTTGATTTGTGTATAGTGATCGTCTGGCACCGCGGGGCGTTGTTTGCGACAAATATATATAGTTGTTGGTCGCGGACTGGCGTGTTCCCCACATTACTTATCTCCAAGCTCGGCCGACCACCTCGGCCGAGCTCCCGAATTTTTCAGGTCAAGAGTCCGGTATTGCCTGCGACCCTCTCAATGCCTAATGGCCTTCCTCCCCAGTAATACGATGCTAGTTGCCAGGTACCTAACAGCTTCCACAATTTGGCCATATGCCGCCCACGCTATCCAAATCAAAGATACTACAAGCCAGATAGCGATCTCACCTCCGCGAGGGGTCCAATATACATACTCAGCCTTACATTACTCCATATGATGTTGCGGGTCCTCCATTATAGTCACCAGTAAAAGGCCCATGGGGCCATTCTTGATGGCATTCCGTTATGTAGAACACTCGGTCGGCCGCCCGGCATGCCAGGTCAGAAGGATGTAAAGAATGTCTGCAAGTGCATGGAAGGGGAAAACGACAAAGGGATTTTTGTATAATTTCCGGGGGCGACAACCTCCTATACCGGACACGAATAGAAAAACCACTTTTTGATAAACGGTCAACTTCGCGGTTCGGGAGAAAATCCCAGAATTGTGACAAGCCGAAGGCTCTTACCTTATGGAGTTAGCACGGGGGCAGCGGAGCGAACCCGGGAGGGACCAAGTTCAGATTCTTGCCAACACCAAAAAAACCCCATCCTTCTGTGTACTGGTCGCTCCTACCGAGCCTGCTAAGCCCGAATGCATGGCCATTGAGCCGCGGTGAACGAGCACACTTTCCCGAACACGATTCCTGACATCGGATTTCCCCAGCTATTTCCTTGGTTTAGCCCTACCCGATTTTCGGAGGGAAAGCCGAGAATACTCAACTCATTGTGTTTCCACTCCCGAGTTAGCTCGATCTAGCCATAGGGTGTCCTATCTTGGCAAGAGTGCGATGCGAGGGAGGAGCCATGCCTCATGAACGTCGTGACTCCCTGACCAAGGGAGAAAAAACTCTCCATGATCAATCCAACCTTCTTCCCAAGAGACAATTAATCTTCTGCCTGTGTATCGTGTCCATTGCACAGCTTATCTCCTTTATGGATCAAAATGGCATCTCTACTGCTTTACCCACGATTGCTATTGATCTCAACGCCCGCAACACCATTTCCTGGGCTGGAACGGCCTCGCTTCTCGCGAACACCACCTTTCAGATGCTCTACGGCCGATTATCTGATATATTTGGCCGGAAAACTATCTTTGTCTCTGCCATCCTGCTACTTGCCATCGGTGACCTAGTATGTGGCTTCAGCACCAATGCGACCATGTTTTATGTTTTTCGTGGCGTTGCTGGAATTGGCAGCGGTGGGATCACGAACCTGGCCATGATAATTGTTTCGGATGTCGTTACACTTGAACAGAGAGGGAAGTATCAGGGAATCATTGGAAGTATGATTGGTCTTGGCAGCGTAACGGGCCCCTTTCTTGCCGCTGGCTTTGTATCACGAGGAACGTGGCGGGGCCTTTTCTGGATGCTCGCGCCCATGGGTGCTCTGAATGCATTATTGGCAGCCTGTTGTCTGCCCTCCAAAAAGTCCGTGACAACATTCCAAGAGGGCATGAAGAAAGTTGATTACTTCGGAGTACTTACATCGTCGGTCGGGACAATATTTTTGCTCATTCCCATCTCAGGGGGCGGTGCATATTTCCCATGGAATTCAGCTCTAGTGATCAGCATGCTCGCCATAGGCACCGTTTCGTTGGTGCTTTTTGTTCTTGTCGAATGGAAATTAGCGAAAATCCCGATGATGCCAGGTAAGTCCAGGACTCTGACTCGATGGAACATCCGAACTAACAATCACAGTCTCAATGTACCGCAACCCGGCGATCGTCATCTTACTGACCCAAAGCTTCGTACTTGGGGCCGTCTATCAATCGGCGGTATACTATATTCCACTCTATTTACAAAATGCGCATCAGTATTCCGCCATCGTCTCCGCCGCTATCTTCGCTCCCTTGGCTGGTATTCAAGCGGTGATGTCCACGCTCTCTGGCCTTTGGATCACCAGATTCAAAAATTATGGGTTTGTCATTCGGTTTGGCTTTGGGATGTGGACACTGTAAGATCCCACTATCTCTGACAACAAACAATTCACTTACCAACGACATTGTTTTAGTGGCACCGGACTGGCATTGATCTATGGAAGGCAAACATCCCCAGCTGTCTTGGTAGTAATCCACCTGGTCGCGGGCATTGGCATCGGCTGTGTGTTTCAACCTATGCTAGTCGCTCTGCAAGCTCACTCGACAAAGGCGAGGAGAGCAGTCATAATTTCGAATCGTAACTTTAACCGCAGTGCGGGCGGTGCATGTGGTCTTGCGATCTCAGCTGCAGTCTTACAAGCACGACTCCGGGCGACTTTGCCCGCCGACTACAGTTATATGGTGGATTCCACGTACGCATTACCCAAACTTGACGGTGCAACCCCCTCTGCTGTGCTAGATGCATATATGGCTGCTAGCCATACAGTGTTCATCGTGCAATTGCCTCTAATTGCATTATGCTTTGTGGGATCAATGTTCGTCAAGGACAGGGGCTTAGCGCCAAAGGATTAGCGGCCACCGGCTGCGGTGTCTGATAATATGAATCAGGAAGTCGAATGCGAAGTGTTTCAGGGCTGGAATGCGCCGGGAACCGCTGAAGCGCAGGATTTCGGGCTTGTTACCCGCAACGTCAGTCCAAAATGAGGTGGACACAAGTCGAAAAAACATAATACCATATAGCAATAGAAGTTTAAATTTCCGGCCGCGTCTTTGCTTATCAGCCTTGCGCTATCCTCATCAACTCGCACAGAGAAGCGATCTGCTAGTTGGTGAGCCTTCGGCCGAGGTATCGGACGATTCTCCGTAGAACCGGGGAAGAATAACATCAATGTGATTGAATATAATTGTAATCTTCTAATTGATTCTTTCGTCGGCTTATTTGTTCATAGAAATGCATGGGCTGAGTAAAATGAGTAGTAGTATGTCTAAGATAAGAAGCGCGAGATTGCTGTGTAATCCTGTGAAAGCGGCTGGTCGCCAACCTCCGAGGCTGCAGATAAGACAATCGCAGCCTCCACTCCGCGACTCCAACTCATCGGACTCGAAAGGAAAATGAGCAGCGGCATTCACCGAAAGCGTCTGGCGTGTGTCGAATGTACGCGTCGCAAAGTGAAATGTGACAAGATCCTCCCATGCCGCAACTGCGCCAGGAAAGGAACTCAATGCACTCGGCCGCGCGAGCGGGACTCTCCGAACCCGAGCGTGGGTCAACCCGAGGGACGAGCTGAGCGAGCTATACTGGCACGGCCGAGTACAGACGCCCTGGGAATCATTGAAAGGCTTCAGACGAGAATTTCACAGCTCGAATATGCGCTCAGAGAGGCCAACGAGTCAATAATCCGGTCGCGTTCGTCGGAGGTAGATACTCAATTACACGGCGCTTCCTTCTCCTCGACCGAATCAATCGCAGTCGAGCGATCACCGATTTCAGTGCAGCACTCTGCCCACACTGAGTCAGATGCTACTCCGAAAGAGGTGGAAGATGCCGCAACAATACTTGAATTCCTGGCCTGGGGCCGCCGCAAAGATCCTACTTACCAGGATGAGATTGTGAGGCGTAATAATCTCAATCACTCCCCTGGGGATGTTCCCGCGGAGGATGAATGGGAAGATATTCGCATGCCAGGACGCTCGGCTGCTGCCCTTTGCCAGGCGCTACTTCCGATGAAACATAAGGTCTATCAGCTGGCTAAATATCACTGCGAGTGCCTGCTTTGGTATCATGGAGCATTTCATGCCGCTACGTTCCTGCAAGAACTAGACGAGTTTTATGACAAGAAAGACGGTCAGGTGGAGGGCTCTGGCGTCAATCTACAATGGATCTCTTTTTTGTTCGCAGTCCTCACGGGATCAATGGCTTGTGCACCAAGTACCACTGCTCAGGCGTGGGGGTTTCGCGGTCGAGAGCGAGATACCTTGTCTAAGCGGTGGATGAAAGCTTCAATCGCATGTCTACATCAGGCTGACTATATGGCCAATCACTCTATCTACTCAGTTGAAGCCATCGCCTGCCTCACGATCTCAGCCCATATGCTTGGCCATTCGAATGGATTCTCGGTGCTTTTAGCGTCGGCTGTCCGGATCGCCCAAGGGATTGGGCTGCATCAACTTGATACCGATGATGATCATCAGTCCGTAACCTCGGTCAAGCAAGAGATCGGTCGCCGCATTTGGTGCCAACTATGCATCCAGGATTGGTTTTCTATCCCATTTAGCGAAAGCTATTTAATCCATCGCTCGTGTTTCACTACAGAAACTCCACAGAACTGTGACGATGATCTGAACACCCTCTCAGATGATCAGCCTACTGTGACGGGCTACTCACGCCTATTTTACAAAATTGCTGCTCTGATGCCAGACCTTCAGGACGATGTAACGTCTTGCAACACTCTCTACACACGGTACGAAAAGGTGCTTAAGTATGATCGCCGACTGCGCACCTTGGCCACCCAACACTTGCCATCCTACTTGCAAAACATTCCTTTGGATCCATCTTGGCCATGCTACGTGCCATGGGCCCGACGGAGCTTAGCCATCAGCTCCGCTCATAAGGTGATCATGATCCACAGGAAGTTTCTGAGTCTGAGCTTTGTCAATCCAATGTTTGAGTTTACCCGAAAAACGTGCGTGGCGGCATCAAGGACTATCATCAAAGAACAAAAGGAAGCTACACGGAATGGCGGGCCTATCCTATGGATACACCAGGCATTCAGCGTCACTGCAAGTGTAAGTCAACGAAACATATCCCCATCGTCACTCCACTCTTGGCTAACAGATCGAAGATAATTTTGTGTCTAGATATGTTCCATCAGCCGGTATCGGATCGCCAGTCTTCTGAGCATCGGCAGTTGATTGAAGATGGCATTGATATCCTTTCACATTGTGAGACGGACATGATTGCGCGGCGAGGTGTATCTCTTTTGCGAGCCATGCTCGAGGCGGAACAAAAGGGTCCCCGACCAAGGAGGGTTGGGGGGGAACTGCGAGAACCACGGCTCCTCCATGGAAGTTCTCTACAAGAAAATGGGTTGGACATCGCAGCGATCATTCAAACCTTTTATCGACATGATCGCGCAAGTGTCACCGGCGAATGCCGTGCAACCCTCCCAGGCCCGCCTGCTGCGAGACCTACGGGGCACAGCCATTGGCCTGATCTCACCAACGATATATCGGGAATGGCACCCAGGGTCGATCTCATGACGCCCTTAGGGGTTGATTATGCTGAGGGATTGGACGATATTTTCAACCTAGCAACAAATTATCTTAACTAGGTCAATTTGCAATCATAATGATACAGCAAAATCAAACATCGTGAACATCTCGCGGGCTGTGAGGATCGAGCTCGCATGCCTAGAATGCGCCGGTTTCAATTTCAATATCTGATTATGCATGGGGTATATCCGCAATAATTATATAAAATATATGTGCAGCGACAAAAGCGAGGGGCCCATAAGACAAGGCATGTAATTTCCCCATGGGCTGGATATCAACAAAAACAAAAAGGCTCCCGCATATTGAAATTTCGGATCGTTTCACTCCGTTTTTCGGACTTGCGTCACTGGTGCTTGATAGACGAGACGACCGTGGACAAGGTACTGGAAAACCGCGAAAATGACTACCACTCCAAAGACAAGAATGGACCAGTTCATGTTCACTGGTGTCGGGTTGGCAGCAGTGGGAAAGAAGGTGAAAATGATGGCGAAGCAGAGATAACCCACAGAAAACACGTTGATGGGCAATCCCAACCAACCGAGCGAGAAGCGAGAAGGCGGGATCCCACCGGGCTGGAAGCGAGCTCGAATAAAGGCACCGATCGACAGGATATACGTAGTGAACAGCGCAGCAATCATCACCGAGGCGATCGCATTGAAGGCAGCAGTGGAGCCGATGTTGATCAAGCTCAGCAGAAGGGTGATGATCGTCGAAACAAGCACCGAGGTGACGGGGATCTGAGTACGGCTGTTGACGTGAGCCAAGGCACGGGAGAAAGGGAGGGCGCTGTCGCGAGCAAAGGCAAAGGTCTGGCGGGAGGCAGTCGCTAGGATACCGATGGCGCTGCAGACTTCCATAACCAGAATAATGGCGGCGACACCGTTGGTGGCGGCGACGGAGCCGGTCGCATGGTGAACAGCAGGAATAAATGAGAAGCCGGTCGTCGTACTGAGCGCACTGGCGAGATCTCCCATGTTGTACAGCAGAGTGACAAGCATGATAAATCCCAGGCCACCATTGATTAGCGCCGTCGACACCATGCACCAGGGCACGACCAGAGCTGCATTTTGAACCTCCTCCGCTTTGGGACAGTCAGCACAGTGTCTATTGGAACTGCAATGTATCACTTACCCATATGAGTAGCAGCGTCGGGCCCGGCCCATGAGAAGATGGGGGTCAGCTGGCCCACTAGGCACGCAAGCCCCATACTGGACCAGCCACCATAGTTGGAGAACTCGGCCCACACTTCTGACGAAGGGGCCTGACCTGGCGACATCACCCACATTGGCACCAAAACTGCGACAAATCCAAAGATGTGGAGGCCAAGAATAACGCCCTCGAGCGGAGGCAGAAACTTGGCACCAAAGGTGTTGACCAAGGTTCCCACAGCGGCAATCGCCATTGTCAAAAGTGTTCCATGCCAGCGCTCAAAGACATAGACGTATCCCGTGGTGCCCGAATAGTTGAAGACGAGGAGTCCCTGGATCAGGGTACCGCAGAGGAAGCAAATACTGGCGAAGGCCGCTTGCCATCCCAGAACCGACAGCCACCCTAATAGCTGTCAGAAGACGTGTCCAGCGAAAATCGAAAAGCCATGTCGCCCTACCAGTCAAATAACTCAGGAAGCGTTGCCATTTCGGGGCAGCAAACTCGCTAACCCAGTGGTATTGCCCGCCGGAGGTCGGGGCACTAAGTATGAAAGCGTTAGCTCCAATCCTAAGCTCCGTCGGACCTAGTCCAAGACGTACATGGAAGATATCTCTGCCATAGAAATGACAGATGCGAAGAATCCGACAAACGACGCGAGATAGACATAGACCATGCCGGCCCGCCCGCCGTCGGTCAGGCCATATGTACTTGTGCTGCGCGAAAACGGGTTAATACAGCTGCGGCTGCGACCGGGACAAGCGAATCGTCTTACAGGAGAATTGACTCCCATGAGGCCATCAATGTGGTAGTAAATCCAAGGATCGAGTAGAAGCGGAAGTTTCGCTGTAGCGGGTCAGCCCGGCTCCTCTCATCCCCCGCATCCTCCACGACCAACCTTGAACTGCTGCGCCTTCCCCAGACGTTCCATATCCCGATCATCTTGGGAACTTCCGTCCAGGCCGACCTCGTGCGCCATAATCTCCTTGTCTCCGGGCATCTGCGGTGGTTTGTCTGCACGCGCACGCAGAAAGCCAAAAGCTCAAAAGCTCTAATGAAGAAAAGATGAAAAATTGAAGATCGGGGGAAAGGTGAGAGAGTTAGGGGGTTCCTTGCGACTCAGGCGACCACCGCCAATCACACGGCGCGAGAGACCGCATTCTTCTCGAAGTGGAGACACCGAAGTCTATCAGAATGTGACGAAAAAAGCTGCTCTCTTGGCAGCGCCAACGCCTCGACGCACCTCTGGGAACCCACGGCTATCGACTAGTGCCTCGGGGTTTTACTTCCCCGATAGAAGCCGGTGCTCGAATGCTGGTGCGCGGGTGAACTGCGTTTTCGACGATCACCCACAGGTTCCTGCGGAGCGCGACAAAGGGCGCCGTCCGCCGGCATGACCGTCCGTGGCCGACAGTGTGCCGCTGCTCGATATTGACGTGCATACACGACCCCTCTTTGCCCATCCTCGACGCAACAGCGCGGCGCAACCTGGCGTGATCAGCGAGGCATCGCACCTTTTTGGGCTCTCGGTCGCAGCAGGTGGAGAAACAGTCGATATTGGTCCTCTTGGGATAGTGGGCCCTACCGCCCGATGGTCTAGGCAAGGAGAGATGTTTAGAACAGCCCCCGCCCGTGGGGATTCCCTGGGATGTGTCTCGCCAAAGAGTCTGCGACCGTCAGGACGCATCTATTAAACTCACGTTTACGATCAGCCGAAGCATTGGCCCGTTGCTAGCACCGAGATAATGTCGCAGGTGTCTTAAGGGGAATAACAATTGTCTTGTCGTGGCAGCCCTCCATACTACCGTAATATTCAAAATCAGTTTTACCTCCGTTCTCTCTCACACTGTTTCCCACTACCCCATTCAAAGCGAATACCAAATTAGACCATGTTCCCGCACAACTTGCATCTACGAATTTACCTTCGATGAGTTAGGATAAAATACAGAGTTTACAATCGTCCATTGACAACCTACTATAGAATATTCATGGGGCGGATCGGAATGAACAAATCAATTTAACCATCTTGTTCTTGCATGGCCCCCAATTCATATTTGAGGTACGCTGTGGCTTTCATGGCTAGCATTATTTGACCGCTGCTCGCCGCCAAAAGAGGTGGCATTGAGATAGCTTTTGTATAACCGCACTTTTGGCTGTCGAAAGCAAATTATGGCCGGTGAAATCCGGGCAATCATCATATGTTGGGAGGTGCGTCCAAGGGAGTTTTACTATGTTGGATTTGCCCCCAAAAACTCCAGCAGTCTGTGCGCGACCGCAGCTGGTTGCTCTTCGGGGAGAAAGTGCCCACAGTCATCAATAGCGCCCCCGGAAACTTTGGCCGCGAAGTTCTGGACCAAGCGAATCATATCCGAACCGACGGAGCTGGCCCCACCTAAAGCTAAGACAGGGATATCGAGTGGTGTTTTGGCATATTCCAGATTCTGTTTCGCACTGGTTTCAAAAGCTCGATAATACTCGAACCCCCGACTCATCGCTCCTGGTCTTGAATAGGCTTGGATATAGCGTTCGAATTGATCTTTCGGTAAACCATCCTTTTGAACCGTCTTCAAATTAAAGAACCAGGTCAGTAGCTCCCGCTCCCGACCGCGAGTCAGAATTTCAGGTAATTCAGGAAGTGCGTTGAAGGAGAATTGCCAAAGACGCATGTTGGTCCGGTGAGACAACGGAAACTGAAGCTGGGGCATGAAACCCGGCACTGACGCGTCCAGTATACTGAGCGATTTGATTCTCGATTGAAATTGAGCGGCCCAAGGATAAGCAATCCATCCGCCCACATCGTGGCCAACTAGATGGTACGGTCTTTCTTTCAAGACATCGCGAATCGCTTCCGCCATGACTTTGCTCACGTTCGCAGTATCATAGCCATTGAGGGGAGGAGGCGAATCGCCCAAGCCCGGGGGTCGAGAGCGAAAAACTCATAATGTTTTGAAAGGGGCTCGAAGATATCGTTAAACGCCTCTGCTGTTTGTGGCCAGCCTGGAATAAGAACCACAGGGGGACCTTGACCGCCAACTATGGCTCGGACTCCGTGGAGGAGGCGTATGGCTTGCCATTTCGGTGTCATGGTGTTGGCGTCCGCTCGGTCGAGTGCGCGGATGGAGACTTCAAAGGACGGAGGATGGTAAGCATAGTAATTTCGTGCCCGTTGGGGGATTTCGGCGGCTTCATATCATTTCGTAATGAGTCATATATTAAATGGTGAATCAGGGCAACGAGTTTATTTCAGGCCATACATATACCCACATAGATGGCGGTGGATTCAAATCTGTGATGGGTAAAGACATCGCCTAATTCCCATTGGGTGCTCCGACGGTGTAGTAATTCTGATTTCAAATATTGTTGTTGTAACAAGGATGATTGGTTGGTACATTGGCCGTTCATTAGTATTGCACTGTGGTACATCCTGCCAATGCCGCGATTTATTTACCGCTCAAATTTATTATCTATACACTGCTTACTTTATCCATAATGCCTTCCACCCGTCATCATCTATCCTCTACCTAGTACTTCCTTATAACAGGGCGCAGGTTAGTAGATATCAAGCCTGGAACCCTACATCACGCACATTTGTATGCGAATTGATGCTTATGAATTCTAACGGCAGAAAATCAGTGGGTCTCTCTCAGCATGCTAAGGCATTACAGTAGAAATACTAATCAACTCTGACTGTACAGTAGTTGTAAGGAAAGCTCGTGCAAGACGCTGAAATACTGTAATATACTATGACTCATCTGAGGCACAGTTGGTGACAGAACTATAACCTGATTTGGAAGGCTGTGCTTAGAGTTGGGGCAGATAAACAATATGAGAGAACATCGAAGTAGGCACATAAATCTGATTTTGAATATTACTATACTGTATGGGAAAGCCTTTGTGGCTTTTGCGAATGAACGAAGAGGTATCACAAACTCATGCTTATCAATATACATCGATACCATCAGAGTAGCCCATGCAAATCACGCCTCTTTTCTACAGATTGGGTTCCACTCCGCAATACACGAAGCGCACTTCTTGGCTTAACTATCGGGCCTATCCAACACTGCCGAGGCTCGCAAACCTAAGCGTTCCCTTGTAGAACTGATAGTTTTGGTGAAAAGGGGAGGTGTAAACAACAGCAATGTTCAAGTTGGTCGGGATCACAATCCAACGTCCTGGATCTACGTTATGAGTATATATATGTATGTTCATGGTAGTCTTCAGTCGACATGCGTGAAGAGCGACCGAATGGAGTTAGCATGCTTGAGCGATTGTGCCTTTGCTGGCTACCTTCCTTATTTGGTCAGTTTACGTCCTTCCCGCCCTGTTGAGTGCCCCGTTACTATAATCTCTTCTTTCCTCCATCACATCGTTTGTAGATGGCCGCGATGTAGGTCCAGTTTGTGGTTCGTGCGAGGAACTCGTTGGTCGAATCTTCAACTATATATAACGCACACGGTGCAATGCAAACTCTCGATTGGCGCGAGTGGCTTGACTGGGAAAGGATATTTCTAGACTACAAGCGGTCATCTGATAGGTAGCAGAAATGACATTTTACGCTATTTATAAGTGCCGAGCAGAATGGCGCATAGTGACCGAATAGAGGAAGCGGATACACTCCGTGATGGCCGGACTGGCCGTTAATGTGCGACCGGGAACCTAGTTGGACAAGACGTGCCGACTAGCGATGGTCCGTGCAGCCATGAGACCGACCCTGCCTGCCCTTAGTTGGCCCGTAACTATTTCTACAGGCTCATGATTAGCCAAATCTGGTATGCGAGGCCGATATCTACGTGCCAGCGTCAGACAGACTTTCCCCAGCGAATAGGATGTATGTACTACGTAAGCCTCTCGGGCCGATTGTGAATTTCCCACTGTGGAGAATAATACGCGGCCTCCAGCGCGTTCTCGTACCGCTCGTACCGCTTGCTATTCTGAGCGGGAAGATTTCCTATGTGATTAAAGAGAGGAGAGGGGAACCGTGGAGGACCAAGACTGCTCCTTTTCAGAAACTTGGACTAATCTAATCTTTTCATTGACCTGATAATGTACGGGAACAAAAAGAACGAGCAACGACAGCCGTGTCTCAAAAACCTACTGCATGGCGTGTATAGAAACCAGCGGAATTGGCGCTTCCCTCACCCATCAACGCACGAATATCTGGCACAGACCTGATGAGCCGTCTATAACCACATTGACGTTATCTTGGTCTGATTGGACCCCGGTTGAGAGGCGCCCACTTTCGACACTCTGAGCCCCACGTGTCGGCACTGCGCCAAACGACGCGTGGGCTGGTGGCGCTGCGGTTCCGGGTGGCTTGGATGGCGGAAGGGGGGCTTCAAGAAATTGAAATCCACAATCTCTGACTGATCGCCCTCACTGGCTAACTTTTTCTGGGTGTTCGCTCAGCCAAGAAGGTTGGAAGCCGACAATGCGTCCGCCCGCTAACTCTATCCCCCAGTTGGATGGGTCACTTCGTAATCCCGGAGGCGCGACAGATCCACCCTCATCTTGGCAGATACCAAGTATGTATGGATAAGTCTTGAATGACCGAATGAACATGCGCGTCCAGAGGCGATCTCACCTTGAGTCCGGCCAACGAATGTGCCATGCGGGGAGGCATCAGTGAGGGTGGGTCTGTTGGGACGTTGGCTTTGTGGAGAGACGCATTTCATATAACATGGAGAGATTGCCCTAGTCAGTCACAATCTGCGTATTCTCCTGACGCTCTCTATCCTGACGGTGGCGGTGCTCTATTGCCCCTGAAACAAAGACACCCTCTACTTGCACCGCGATGCGCCAATGTTCTTGCGGGCTTCTTCCGCCTCTCTGCGCCTGAGCTCCTGGCTTGGCCGTAGAGATCGGCCAAAAACTGATCCCCGCCGCTTGATACCTGCAATCGTTGGGGTCATTGGGGGCTGTGTTCTGTTCTACCTTTTTGCGCTACCCCAGCTCATTAAGTTTCGGTTTCGGTCCGGGTTGAGCTGGTATGATCTTGGACTATATGGATTTGGACCATCACAAGGCTATTTCTCTTTCGACGAGGAGTCGCCAGTTGTTGAAATCTCCCCGTCTGGTGCGCAATGCGATCCACGGTATACCTTCCTTGCGCCACGAGGTGACTCCGTGGCACACCCGGGACCCATGATATTGGATGCTCACGGAGGGCTCGTCTGGATGAAATATAACTGGGGGACAACCCAGGACTTCAGAGTTCAACAATACAAGGGCCAAGACTATGTGACATTCTGGCAGGGTGACGAGGAGGACGGACATGGTCGTGGATCATGGTATATGGTAGGGCCGATTTTGCGCTTTTCTCGACCACGGAGACGGCTAATTATTGACATTTTGTGGCAGCTGGACTCGACCTATACTACGAAATTCATTGTTTCTCCTGTTGGTGCCCTGGATGGTGATCTCCATGAGTTTCATATTACTGTCAACGATACTGCCCTCGTCACGATCTACGAACCTATACCAGCCGACTTGACAAGTGTGGGAGGCCCTGAACTTGGATGGCTCTATGAAGGCGTATTTCAGGAAATTGACATTTCGACGGGACAGCTTCTGTTTGAGTGGCGCTCTTCTCAGTTCTTCTCACCAAATAGCAGCTACGAGCCACTCGATGATCGGGGTTATGAGCGGACCCGGGGTTACGACTACTTCCATATGAACAGTGTGGACAAGAACGACCAGGGCCATTACTTGGTTTCCGGTCGGCATACCCACTCTGTCACTTGTATAGATGGATCCACTGGCGAGTTACTCTGGACCCTGGGTGGAAAAGACAACGAGTTCTCGGATGCATCGAACGGGGCTGCTACACAATTCGAGTGGCAGCATGATGCCCGCTGGCATGGCCCAAACCAGATAACTCTGTTCAACAATGCCGCCAACGGCGATTATGACCTCAATAAAACAAGCTATGGCGCCCTGATTGAGCTAGATATCCCTGCTCGACGGGCGACATTGCGGACGAGCTACAACCATCCCCAGGAGCTGATGGCGACATCGCAAGGCAATCTACAGGTCCTAGACACGGGAAATGTGCTGGTTGGCTGGGGTCACAGTGCTGCATATACCGAGTTTTCCCACAAGGGAGATGTCTTATGCGATGTCCACTTTGGCGCTTCGGCGTACTACTCCTTCGGCCGGATTGTTTCGTATCGCGTGTACAAGGGCAGCTGGCTCGGCACCCCGAACACCTTGCCTGATGCAGCGATTGCCGGTGATAGTGTGTTTGTGAGCTGGAATGGTGCGACCGAGGTTGCGTCTTGGCAACTTGAAGCTTGGGATGGTATAGGCCTGGAAAATATGACGTTCGCGATGACTGATCGAGTTGACCGGACTGGCTTTGAAACCGAGATTCCTTTGCCACCGGATATTACCTCGTACTTCCGGGTGTGTGCCGTCAATGCCGATGGAGATATCCTGGGTACAACAGACATCTTGAAGCGCAGTTCTCAATCATCCAGAAGAAACTTCCTCACAATCCACTGGGGTGTGCTCCTCATTGCGATTTTTGCGTCGGGTTGTCTGGTGGGTGGCTTGTATTGTGCTGTGCATCGACATTCGCGACGTCGTCGGTCTGATGCCAATGGGCCCTACCAGCTGATTGCACACAAGGACGATGATGAAAATGATACGGAACATGCTCGTTTGCCAATTTAGCATCGGACGCCGGCGTCCTCGATACCCATTTTGTGTTTGTTTAGAATCGCGCTATCAATTCTGTCAAAGCCCCATTTCTGCATAAAGGCTACGGCCGAGTCGGAATCCTTTGTATTCACCTCATTCCTATTTCTTTTACTAAGAATACCATGCTTGAAGGGTCAGTTGGACGTTCCTGCAGGGTAAACCTTGCATATAAGCTATTTTTCGCAATATATATGCGCTGAACGTGCCAGACGAGATCCTGGGATACTCTCTGAACCTTTGAAAATTGTACACGTAGCGAGCGGTTGTACGGGGATGGCCCTCGGTAATTGAGGAAAGAAATTTAGAGACCAATGCGGGAGATGTCAGCAAGGGGTGAGGATTGTGATGATGATTATTATTACTATTACCACTACTATTGCAATTGTTGTTAGTATTTCATTATTGCTATTGAAACGAGACCAGGAACCCGCCACAGGATGGATGGCCCAAGGGGAAAATCACGAGGTTTTGAGAGCTGATCCCGACTCAAGTGCCTCTTTTGATGTGGGACGACGAGATCCACGAGGGAGGTCGCATAAAGTTTCAACAAATCCGCTCGGCGCGCAACACACGTCCGCGCAGAAGCGCTCTGTTTTTAACTGAGAAGAGAAAGAGGGATAATCCGAGTCAGCGACAATTTTCCGCGACCGCCTTGGGCACTCAATTCCCCGCCGATAGATGGAGTCCCTCTCGTCCCGAGAAGTCAAATAGCCAGTCTCGTCACACCAGCACGAGCTACACCGGATATTGCGGAAAAAAGAAATCCCCTCGCTACTCTTGTCGAAAAATTTATGTGGGAACACGGGCGCCACTAAACGCCACCGCACCCGGAAGGGGAGCTAGACCGACAAGTAATCTAATCAGATCCGTTTCACCGAGGGTTGGAAAAAGTATCCACCGACTCCATTGGTTGCTGGCGGCACAACAGGACTAGCTCTAGCTCGCAAGAAGCAATAGCACCAATAAACAGCCCTGTCACAGCGAGAGGCGATTTGCTCCGACGAATTCCCCTCCCTAAGGTTGTCTGACCGCACTCTTACTGGAAGGAAGCTCCGGTATGTCGCTCGTGTGCATCCACCAGCCACGTGTGCCCTGATCATTTCTGCCGCAGCGAAAAATTTTTTTATCTTTGTTTGCTGGGTCTTCCCTATAGACAGGGGAAAGCGGCAAATAATGAAGAAAGTTATCAGATCCTTTTCTGACCATGGATCAGCGCCGAGACGGGACCGAAACAGTAGGAGTGGCCCCATTCCGGAGCACACAGCCCGATTTGCAGTTGGCTGTTGGAAGACTTGTACTACGTAGTTGTGTCAGTTGCAGCAGAGTCATTCGGACCCATGTACTGTCTCCGTGGGGCAGTACTCTTTCTTGGACCCACGCTACAAGCACATACCAAGCAATACCAAGGCAGGGGATAGGGCGCTCTTGCCGCGCCTGGTCCAGGAGGATTTGTCCAGACCCTCCTGTGGCCTTCACTGTGAACCAGAATGCAGTGATCAATCAAACGAGCGTGGGTTCCAAGTTGGGGAAGCGATGTTAGGCTATCTCTCAAGGGATACTTGGGTTCCGTCGGCGATGCGAGGATCAGATAAGTGGAATAAGTGGGGTGCCGCCCCTCGCCGAGGGCCATCACACATTCTCGCTACCTGCTTTCCAGCTTAACCGAACCCATGAACAGCCCACATATAGCCTGTCACTGCATACTATATGCCCTGAGCTCATGTCGCTTTGATCCCAGTGTATGAATCCTGTCGAACGAGCCGCCAGTCGTGGAATTCGTCGAGTCTGGTGACGCTGCCATTATCCCCGTCAACACGGGATCCGTGGTCCGATGCAGGCATTTAGCCCGCGTTAGCCACAGCTGTAGACCTTCTGCCAAGAAGCTAGATATCATTGGGGCCCACCAAATCCACCCCTTCTAGTCCACTCTGAGTTGCTACAATCGTGTTCAGCGCGAGGATGTCCCCGAGTCCAGAAACTTTGGGCCCCTCGACAAAGACACACCCCACTGGTACCACTGATGACTAGGAGCATCGATTAAATATCCTGTTTTGCCATAGCCATCGACTAATCAAAATGCGAGGCCTGGCTACTCTCCGATCTTCGGCTTGCGTGGCGCTATTCGTTGTGCTGTTAGCTTCCTCGCTAGCCGACTTTTACGTTTTATCAATCAGTACATCGGCGGGCGCTAATTAGCGATGGAGGTGTGATCTACTCGGTATAAGGACAGAGATTTCCCTCGCTGTGACCATTCCTATCCGTCCCATCTTTGTCTCTTTCTGCGGTTTCCAAAAATGGGGCTCCGGACTGCCTTTCGTCGTCAGACGACTGAGGATACGGTCACTCAGGTCGATGTGACCACTACCGAGGACAGCAAGCGGGAGGCTGTGCCCGATGGTGTCGCTGCTGAAAACAATGGCGCCGTCGACGCGGATCAGCCGGCCGAGACTCCCGAGGAGGAGCTCCAGCGTGGTGTTCACGACATGGAGGCGATGACCATGACCTGGTCTAAGGGAGCGCTGATTGCAGTCTTTTTGAAGTATGTACCGCTTCCTACCGTCTGCCCAGCACCTGCGTGTCCATCTGACAAAACTACTTCTCACAGTATCTGGTTGCTCTACTTCACCAATGCGTTTCAAAGCTCGATTCTATACAGCTTGATTCCCTACCTTACCAGTCAATGGGAATCCCACTCGCTGCTCAACACCATTTACATCGTCGCCGATGCGATTACCGCAGCTTGTTATGTACCCTTGGGAAGAATGATGGACGTGTGGGGTCGCGCGGAGGGTTTCCTGTTCATGACCATTTGCGCCACTGTGGGCTTGATCATGATGGCCGCCTGCAACAACCTTGCGACATTCTGCGCTGCATATGTACGGCTGTCATGAACCGCAACCTAGATCAAAATTGTGCACTGGCTAACCACATCCCTAGGTCTTCTACTCGCTTGGATTCGGTGGAATGACGTATTGTGTGGACGTTATCACCGCTGATGCGTCTCTGCTGAAGAGTCGAGGTCTAGCCTACGCCTTCACCTCCTCGCCTTATATCATCACGGCATTCGCTGGTTCAAAAGCGGCCGATGACGCCCTATCTGACAGCGGCATCGGCCTGCGCTGGCCTTTCGGTATTTTCGCTATTATCTTCCCTCTGGTGGCCACCCCTCTCTATTGTGTTTTGAAGTATAATATCCGCAAGGCTGTCAAGGAGGGGCACGTCGTCAAGGCAAGCAGCGGCCGAACCATTTTCCAGAGCGTCTGGTTCTACCTCGTTGAGTTTGATGGTCAGTTAATATGAGCTTCCTAAATGATTAAGTTACTGACCTTCAATAGCGATGGGGTCGCTTCTCTTCTCCGCTGGCCTTGTGCTGTTCTTTCTTCCGTTCGATATTGCTGGGAGTGCTCCTAGTAGCTGGGATACACCCTATATCATCGCTATGCTTGTGGTTGGCTTCGTCTTGCTTTTCGCCTTCATTATTTGGGAGACCTTCATCGCCCCTAAGCCGCTGCTTCAATACGGGTTCCTCTATAACCGGACTGTCATCGGCGCCTGCTTGCTCGACGCGACATACCAGCTTTGCTACTACTGCTGGGATAACTACTTCACCTCTTTCTTGCAGGTGGTAAACGATCTGACCGTAGCCGAGGCTGGATACGTTGGCAACACATTTGACGTCGTGTCCGGTGTGCTGCTGCTGATTGTTGGTGTTCTTATCCGGAAGACTGGCCGTTTCAAGTGGCTTCTGTGGATTGCAGTGCCTCTCTACATCTTTGCGCAGGGCCTGATGATTTATTTTCGTCGCCCGAACCAGTCTGTCGGTTATCTTGTCATGTGCCAGGTCTTTATCTCTATTGGTGGAAGTGTCTTCATCCTTTGTGAACAGCTTGCGATCTTGGCCGCTGTTGATCACCAGCACGTTGCTTCCGTACTTGCTTTGCTCAACGTTGTTGGCACGGTCGGGGACGCTATGGGGGCCACTATTTCCAGTGCAATCTGGCAGAACACCTATCCTAATGCGTTGAGGATGTACCTCCCCGAATCGGCCATGGATAACTTTGATCTCATCTATGAAGATCTTGACACTCAGCTAAGCTACGCTGTCGGAACACCCACCAGATTGGCAATCCAGCATGCCTATGGTTATGCCCAGACCAGAATGCTTGCTGTCGGCACCGGTATTATGGTTCTGGCTTTTGTCTGGACCATGATGATCAGGAACATTGACCTGAAGAAGGTGCCTCAGGTCAAGGGTATGGTCTTCTAGGCTGATGCCTGATTTTATCGAAGTACAAGACATAGTTATCGCCCTGTTGTTTCTATCTCACTACCAGTTATATGGGCGAAAGGAAATCTCGGAGTGTTGTTGTATAATCCATGATTATTGTTTTAATTTTGTTTTCTTTCAAAGTTTTGAATCTAAACTACCACGAATCATAATGTTCAGACGCTTTATATCCATCTTCTAGTTTGCACTGATCGGTGCGACAGTGTATGTTGCCTCCTTCTCCTTAACTATTGCCTCCTCCAACACTGTTGATTCTGGGCTGTTGATCTGTGTTCTGGACTCTTGCCTTTTATCCCACCACAGACCAATCTGAATGGCAGCAGTCACAATGACTAAAAGGACACGTTAGCACCAACAATGTGCTGCTGCTTCTGAAGAAGATAATGAGACGTACTTGATAACACTTGCATAACAATCGACCAGAGGTAACCCTTCCTCGCAGCAGGAAAGTCTGTAGTTTTCCATACAAAGTTTGGAGCCTGTAAATGTCAACTATTGGTTCTCGACCTGCCAAACGGTATGGCTTACCACGGCCTGTACGACGTATGCAAAGTCGTTGGACATTGCGACAATCAAAGCTCTCTTCTCCGTGTCGGCTGAGCATATTTCGTTGGTCCAACTGAGAATGAGTGGACCAGCTCCAAGCTAGATTAAAGTGAGCAGGGAATTTTATTTTGGCCGATGCCAGGGGATGAAACTGACCCCAATATTGCTGAGCCAGTAAACAACCATGCGACCATCTATATTGCTATACAGTGGCATCTGCAGGAGGAGAGCACAGAAGATTATCTAGAAGGCATAATCAGTAACCATCCACACGGTTTTAAAAGCCGTTGGTACTCACTGTCATGAAAGCACCGGCATGAACGAAAGGCCAACGCGCTCCGCGGCAAGGGCCATCCGAGAGCCAGCCCCATACGAGAGCAACAATGATGAAGATCCCGGTAGTAAGAAGTGGCACTATTGACAGGTTAGCTGAGATTATCATTTGCGTGTGTTTACATGAACCTACAATTATTAATCTGTGGAATTGAATAGGAAGTGCCAGGGAGAGGAGCAGGTGTCTTATCAAAACTCTTCAGCCAGTAGCCCATTCCAGGCTGTGGGAAGCCGTTATTCCACACAACGTAGAGCAGAGCTAGATCCAAGGGTTAGAAGGAGAAGACCGGAGAATCCTAGGAAAGGAAGACATACGTAAAAGATAGGTATGCCAGCTTGAGAAAATTCTTTTCGCCTTCGCCATAGTCCATGGCTCCTTGCCAGCACGACCAATTTCTTCCATCCGCTTGACTGAAAGCAAATGCTCTTCTTCAGTCGTCCACCATGTCCTTTTCCCCCCTTGTGGCAGATTTGGAAAGAAAAGATAGCCTGCTAATGCAAGAGGAAGTGTGATAATCCCATCGATGATAAAGAGCCATCGCCAGCCCGCACGACCATGAACACCGTCTAGGTTTGTGTAGGCCGCTGCCTGCAAAAAACCGCTGAAGAGTGTGCCGATTGAACCAGCGAGCCAGAAGATCATGGCCCGCTTGCCGATCTCCCGTGGGGTGTACCATGACCCAAGCAGGTAGTGAATCCCCGGGTAGAATCCAGATCTAGCATGAGAATCAGTTGAAAGTGTCAATATATAAATGTGAAGAGTAAATGCTCACTCGAAAATACCGACAATGAAGCGAAGCGCATAGAGGGCTTGGTATGACTTCACACTCGACATACACATAACAGCAATACCCCAACCAACCTCGAGCTGTAGATTCTGTCAGTATGGAGAGAGACGCTAATGGTAAAGAATGCTTACTGAGGGGATCACCCATCGAGGCGAAAGGCGAGTTAGCAGTAGATTGCAAGGAATCTGGCCGATAACATAGCCGACGGTAAAGACGGAAGTACTTGTCACCAACTGATTTCCGTACATCTCCAGATCCTCCTCCATGCCGCTAAGGTAAGCATTGTTAACATTGTTGAGATCGAGGTTCTTGAGGAAGTAGCCAATCTGTAACAGGAAAGCATAGCAAAGTTAGAGATCTTCGATGAGTTTTGTGCATGTTCAACCCACTGAAGCAAATGTGAGGACAAACGCATCTAACTTGAATAGCAGCCAGCGCTGATCTGTAGGCAACTCCCAGGTATCCCAAATATAACCTTTCCATGTCTTGATGGGCTGTACCAGACTCTTTTCAGAGTGATTGGCCTCCGAATCCACTGTCATGATGAGTTTGTTCTACAACACCCAAGATATGGAATTTAGATCAATTTAAAGGTTTAAATGCTTGCGTGCGCCATACATGGCTGTATTGCGATTCGGAATCACGTCACTTCTTAGTGCAGTTCATCATCATTGCCCTGATCAGTTAAAAGTTCACAACAAAGGTGAGCCCAGTTCGACCCCACCAAAATTCCCAACCTCCACATGGGAAGCATGTATCTTTGCTCAAGAAAATAATTGTAGAAATACTGCTAGGTGTCTAAAATAGAACCATGGTTGTCTTTCTCGTGAACTCCTCGGACACTGCGAAGATTTTCGTTCAAGAAGTGGTGAGGGAAGGTGCGGAGTTGGGTAATGGCGCCATAGTCTCCACGAATTATACCTTTAGATGTCGTAAGGCTCGGGCTATAGGAGTTGGCGCGAACTGTTGATTTCTCATACGTTAAGTGTTATTTGAGAAGTGGACCTCGGAGAACCTTGCAGGATCTTTGTTGACTCCCACAGTCGCTGACCACGCGGCCCCTTAATTGAGTCTCGAGTCGCATAAAGTGCCTCTCCTGGATGATGCTTGGCTTTCCGTGCTCGCCAGCCAACCTATCAAACTAGCTTGAGCACACTGCACATATTCAATAATAGAACTCTGTTATCCTTAATTAAACCTTCTTGCCTATCTGGTATCGCAGCGTACAAAAGAACGTCCGGCAGTTCGTAGTAGCCCTGAAACTAAAGAGTCTGGCTCATCTTCCGCAACACAAAACTTGTGAATGATAGAGATGGACATTCCGGGGGCGGTGTACGTCCCTTCGGACGCACGGTCGCTCTCCTCCAGGTCCCGACTGGAGTCTAGGGGGGAATACACAAAGGAGATCTCAAGTTCTTTTAAATATACTGGCGCACCGGGGAACAGGACATAGATGCCGGTACCCCTTGGTGGGGGCGCACCTTTGCGAATCAATGCGTACTCTTTCCCTGACAGACCCTCATGTGAGTATTCTGGTCTCTGCCTCAGTGTCGATCACACGTCATCTGATGCTACCAATTTCACGGCTAAATACAGTTTACCTCGGACATGCTTTGCTCCACGTTGGTTACACAATATCCTAAGCCCCTAACTCAGCGGTGAAGGCAGTCGATACGGATATTGTTGTATCGTATAGGAGAGTGTTCACTACTTTGGTACGTGTGGGGAGTAGGGTGGGGTTGAGCTAAGCGAGAACAGACCTGTCATTCGCAAAGATTATGTATGGAGTAGGGACTACATTATCTCAATATTTTGACCCACAAGCGTCAAAGACAATCAAGGGAAGAATGTACCTTTTATAGGTCATTTCGTACAGGGCTCGTTCCACACTCTCTAGTCAGCAAAAGACGGGAGCTGTGGTCGTTGATCCTCAAAGAGCTCTTCATAAGTAGTCCAGACGCAGAGATGACTAACTGCTCCCTCTCTTTTGATGGATCCAATTTGCCCTTGACCGCTATACCAAGTATACCAAGGTCATTACTTGGTACACAGGGCAATATATTGCTACGTTCTTTCCCAGACAGATATAGCTTATAAGCTAGATCAAATATAGATACCTACCATAACAATTGAATGAACAATGAGCAACGTGGCACAAAAGATGAGGTGGGTCAGTATGCTTAATTCAGCGACTAAAGCGCGCCCGTGAAACAAACGGACACGAAGGGGTGGGATAATGCTGAGCTCTGTAAGGCGACCGATCCTGGGTACGAATGAAGGCTGATAAAGTACTCTATATATGACCATTTGAGGCTCAGCCATATACATCTTCATCCGACTATTGAAAATAAAACCTGGGAAGTAACTAAATTGACAAATCCGCTCTCGTCTAATATATAATACGGGAAAATTAACTGCGCAAGGTGAAACTTTCCCGGAGGTCGTATATGTCTACTAGACTTCCGTGGTTGTGGATTCAGTAATAATTGTCAGGAGGTGGCCGTGCAGTTGTTAGAAATAGAGCACCAAATTATGACAGCCATACTGCTGCATCACCCAGTGGACCTTGTTTCAATGGTTGCACGTTGAGTACGCGACCTGCGAGGCAAAAGAGTGACGACCAAAACGTAACTGAGCCCAACAATTCCAGCAACAACGCTATACGCAATAACGCCTCCAGTTGGAGCAAAGGGCGCACCAATCCCTGACAAATGGAAGCCCAATCCACCATTAATCACCCCGAGAATTATCATGCAGCGGCCAACCCAACGGTGTAAATAAGAAAGTGCACTCTTTTTCTGATGTTTGCGGAAATATATGTGCTGAAGAAAGCCGAAAGTGGGTTGAAAAAGAGCAAGGTATGCAATGACGATCATTCCAACGATCGGATGGTAAGACAGAATCAAATCAAGTTCTTTTGCCATCTTAATACCAATTCCAAGCCCCGCAACTGCTAAGGCGAGAGTAAATAGTTGGAGAGCAGCATGGAAGTTCACAAGTTTTGGAGATGAAAAAATGTGAATCATCAGAGCAAAGAAAGGGAAAAGAACAATAAACACTAGAGTCATTATGACAGCATGGGCAGCTCTGAGACTGTCAATATTTCCAGTGCTTGATGTAGTGACAGCTTGCCCTGAACTCGAAGTAATGTTGCTTGAGGTGATGAAAGGGTTATCTGACATGCCACCAGAAGCCTGGCGAAGGTCTAGATCTGCGACACCAGACGCATCATGTATGGTGATGGATGCAGACAAGCTATTCGAATCAATTGAGCTTCCGTATTTCACGGCCCACACCCATGAGCTTGACGAGCTGTTGGGTCTCATGCTTCCACCAGACCAGTTGATACAGGTGTCACATCGGATGTTTGCCGTGGTGACACCATTTTCTATTCCACTCCCTGCAAGAACTGAAATTTGGGCATCCGGATTAAACCTTGGCTCTATATGCTGAAGTCCGAGCCGCGGAGAGACCGTGATGTTGTCGCCTTCTTGAGATGCATACACGACGAATATGTTTGATCCAAACATTTGAGAGCCCTGGCCCCATGCGAACCACTGAATGCCACGTGTGGACTTTAGCTGGAAGAAGATAGGCCCGGAGCCAGAAGAGGCTGTGCTCTGGGGTACATTGACACTGTACGTAATTCCATCTTGCGCAGGAGGGTTGAAGGTTGTCAGCTGTGCAAACGCAGGTAGAAAAATCAGACCATATATGAGAATGAGTGGGATTGGCATCTTGAATACGATCGTGGTGATTTTTCCCGGAAAGTGAAGGAAACCCTGAAATATGACTGATGGCTTCAGATGTTTATCATGTGACCTCCACTGCAGCCATGCGTACTTCTGTAAGGAGGCTGTGCACTTTGCTTTGATTCTGCATGCATAAGCCGTAGTACCAGAAATGGTAAGGGATGTGCGAATACGAGACAGAGAAACGAGATGCTCAAGCATTGCCCAAATTCTGCAATATGGGAGATGCTTTTGAATGGTTGAATACTTCGTGGCCCACTCCCAATCGTCCGTGCCGTTGTTAGCCAGTCAGGGACAGTCGCGATGCCTAGATAGAGTTCGTTTGCCGCCAGTGGTGCTGACACCTTCCTAATTACGGCGTTTATTGTGAAACCTTATTTACCGTGACTTGTTGCTTCGCCTCCACAATAAGGAAAAAAGCAAGGGCCCTAGCCTCAATAGGCCTGATCAACATTTCCTTATGCTACAACGTTGAATTGTCTTTGGCTCGAATGACAAATCTCCGCTCGTATTTAAGGGACTCAGAGTAAGTATAGTTTTGGCTTTTAGTACCTAGGCCCAGTTCCCCCTCGCGAGATCCAGTAAAGAAGCGGGTCGCATTTTCTACTTTAGGTAAATAACTAATTTGAATGTACAGCTCATGCTCTGTTGATAAACATTTCCCAAGCTGCTACTAAAAGCTATCATCCATATCACCGGACTATAATGGATCTGTGGCTTTTCGAAGCTTTTCAATTCCAAATATCATCTACGCTTACAAAGAATATAGATTTAGTCGCAGCTACCATGGCTCTTCGGTTAACTATAAAGATGAAAGTCAGCGCTGTTATGTCGGAGTCAAACATACCTATATAAATTTACCAAAACTGTTTTATTGCCAACAAAAAATTACCGAGAGCAGCAAGATGGTGATGTATTCTTTATATACTGTTGTCCTTCTATGGAGCTCTTTTACTCTGGCGCAGTATGGAGGCTATGGAGATACTGCTGGTTCCTCTACAAGGTCTACAGCTACGACTTCAAGTGCAAAATCCTCGGCTTCTAGTGCTACCCAGACGGTTGACGTTGGCGAGAACAGCCTTGTCTTCGACCCTGATACTATCCATGTCGCACCAGGCGGCAAGGTTGAATTCCATTTCTACCCGGGTAATCATTCAGTGGTCCAGGCTTCCTTCGATAACCCATGCCATCCATTGAGTGAGACTAGCTTTTTCAGTGGATTTTTCCCCGCTACGAATGGAGAATCAGTAAGTGTGTTCCGGATAGAAGGAAACGAAAGATTCTTACTTCTGACAATTAGTCCACTACATTTACCTTGACTGTGAATGATACAGCCCCGATTTGGTTCTATTGTGGTCAGCCTGGACATTGCCAGGGCCGCATGGTAGGAGTGATTAATCCTACGTAAGTGGATTAATGGTCACTGTATTGCAACCCAACTGATCTTGCCTTCAGTACCGGAAGCTCCGATACTCTGGACGAATTCAAAAAGGCGGCCTCAAATGCAAATGGGGACAGTGTACCAGTTCTGGTCCAAGGGGGTGTTCTGAGCTCATTGAAAGAAGGCGACACAGGCAGTGCTACCGCGACCGTCAGTTCGTCAAGCAGTACAGGTGTTTCAAGCGCAAGTGCCACAAATATGGCAGCGATATGGCATATTTCAACTGAGATTGGAATCTTGTCTCTTCTAACCTTCATGGGTGTTGCTTTCTTGGCCTAAGTACAGGTGCTAGGTTTGGCGACTCCGTACCGAATCCTGGTTACCGCAGATTCTCTGATTTTGGCCTGTTTGATTTCCTTATACCACGCAGTACGAATCCAGTAAATGAAATTATCATGTGATAGTTCTCCACATGCAATATGCAAATGAAGCTAAAGCAGGACAGAAAACATCTCCTCTCCCAAAGAGTGTGACGGAAGAATCCCAGAGAAGGTCGAACGCCAATATAGCGAACGAAGCTTTAGGTCCAAATTCAGAACAGCCATGCCCAGTGGTGACCTGGCAGCCGTTTTGCCCTATTCTATCTTAATTATATCCCTCATTGTACTAACATGCCAGCATTTGCGCATACTATTAACCCAAATTAAGTAGGGAGAACGAGCGAGAGGGATATAGTGTATCAAGGAAATCGAGGAATCTCTAGTGAACAGAAGTGTAAGGGAAAGAGGTCGAGGTAAGAAAAACAGCAAGGAAAAGACAGAATGCACTGCAGGCGGCTGGGCTTGAAACAGCTGAACTAAGAAAGCATGCGCCTTCTATCACCTTATAGGAGGTCCCTGACTACACACTTTTCCTGTTCTAGGTACCATTTGATCATCGTCTCTCCCCTGTAAGCGATCCCGCCCAACAGGACGAGGGTATTTGTAAAAGCCAGAAGATAATCCGCTTTTTGTGATTCATATGGAATCCACAAAATATCTGGCTCATACTTGCTTCAGTGGAGTTCGTAATGGACCCGAGCGCCCCCGTTGAGAATGCCCGACCGTGAGAATAAGCAATTCGGGGAGGGTTTTTTCGACCCCAGAAAATATGTTCCCGCCTATAGATGGAAAAAGCCGGGCAATGATCAAAATGAGAAGTCGCATAATACTTCAACTTGGACATCAATAGCTTCAATCGCCTCTGAAATGGATACTACATCTTTTCCTTATTCCACGCGATCGATAACACACCGTCGAAGAGCTTTGGAGGGAAAGTAGCGAAGTGGATCCTAGGTGCACCAAGGGGATGAATTCCTGGCCTGAACTGTTAAAAGGCCCCTAACTGGCAATTTGGATGGGATGAAATACATGACTTTATCCTGGCGTGAGATTATATCCTGCCCGAGGGCCGTTACACTTGCCGAGTCATCAAAAAGAACAGTCCATTCAACGAAGATATGGAATATGAGGAGGGAAAGAAACAGAACTGGATATAGAGATGAGCCCTCTGTTTTGCTACTATAACGCTGGATCCTTCCATGTCTTGTGACCGTTCCACGGGGCATCATTCCGACGGTTTTCTCAATGTGGCTTAGTGGATGTCTCTTACCTCTCTATGATGTCCACGCTTTGCATTGCTGTTTTGCACTGACCACTTTTCCCATCAACAACCGTCACCTTCTTCACTCTCGTACAAACGCCAGCGTTATTAGGCTCTCATTCGCCAGTATGTCTTCATCCATCATTTCAATACTCATCAAGCCAGCATGAACAATCCCGGAACTGCCGATTTCCTGTGCGGCCTCGAAGGCACTGACGTCACTCTTGAACCACCATCCGAGCCAGGCCTTCATCTGCCTCGTCAACCCTGGGTGATCGAAAAGAAGCTCTCTGAACGAGCATCTTGGATGACGCAGGAGGAAGTTACCGACGGCCTTGGAATTCCGTACGCAGCTGCTAAATTTCTCTGCCATCGCAAGGAAAACCCGAGCAAGAAGGCTTTTATGCGGATTTATCTTCAAATTCCTGTCATTGGCACTCAATATCAGAGACATCATATTCAACGAAAGCAGGCTTCCAAGCCACGGCCGCACACTGAGTTGACGACCTTGAAAGAGCTTAAGAAATTCGAATGCGATGTTGTCCCTGACCTCCTTGCTTACCAAGAGGGAAAGCAAGATGAAGATAGTGTCATTCCAGGGGGTTATATCACCTATGTGGTCTAGGACAAAGTCTACGGGGAGCCTCTAGACCCAGAGGATTTCTGGGAGCTAGATCTTGAGTCACGCCAAGCGATCCGCGATAAATTTCGTGAAGCCTATCCGTAAGTTTCCAGATCTCTCTGCCTGGCGCGCTCTCAATTGACAAGGAAATTAGAAAGCTGCAGAAGCATGGTTACCTCCCGTGTATGCCAGCCATGTCCAAGATCATCTATGACAAGGTCACCGGGAATATGTACGCTCTATCCGTTGTTGAGTAGCGAACACTATAAGCTGACAACGATTAGGCATTTCTCAGGGTTTTCACGCGCAGACCGTTCTGATACAAACAAAGAGTGGCATGAGAAGTACTACGTTCTGTTTCGTTTGGCCAAGCCACCGAAGACGACTGACTGGGTCAAGGATCCCAAAGGCTGGACTTGGTGAACAGTGAAGTTACACTCAAATGGTCTCCTGGAGGGAAATATGGGTAGAGGGTTCTTCTCATTCGCACGAGTCTTCATTTCGTAATCGAAGAATTACAATCAGCATAAAAAGAGAGGATCCAAAAGTCAAATATGTATCGAGAATCAACCAGTCTGGAGATCGTAAACTGGGCATCGAGGACTGTGCCTGGCGCAAGCCTTCGTAGCGAGTGATGACGAGGTTGTATGAAAGTATCAACGCTTGGGCAGAATGCGAGTACTGGTGCCCTCTGAGAGAGCCCGCTGGGGGTAACATGCTGGCAGCATCGTGCTGACTCAACAGTCAAGGTAAAACGGTAAGGGGAAGGGGTTCTGGTGGTACGTAGGCTTCACATGAGGCGTGGACTATCCCCGCTTCCTTACGTGGGCTTTCGAAAGCCTTGCCCACCACGAGTACTTTTTACCAATGTTGCGGAAATGATAGACGGCATGTGACAGACCTGTCATTACAGACTGACGCCGATAGTAGCGTTCCTACCAAATAATTCGCCTCTTAATTTATTTCGAAATATGTGGAGCCTTTTTGCTCATATCTGTCCCGATCCTCAAGTCATTGGAACCTGTCTCGAAATGGCCCAGGGTATTGCAGTTTCGCATTCTTGACATGGCCTCCAGTTGCTGGGGCACTGGCCTCGGTAGACTCTCACGGCAGAGTCGATCTTAACTTCATGGGTATTCAGCTGTTCAGTGGAGCTAGCATGATATCTGGAGCTTGCGAGCTTATGATACTATAGTATTTACTATATAGACCAGGATGAAAGGAGGGTCTAATTTGAAGTGACGAGGTATGAAGAATGAAGAAGTTTGGTCTCCCATCCACAGGCCTGCAGACTTGTACCAAAATACAGCCCACGTTTACTCAGGCGGCATGCAGAAGTGCTCATGGAGTAGTCATCTGCTCTGATACGCATGGGTCAAATCCTCTCTGAAATTTCAGTTACTTGCGCAGAAGACCATGAACACTTATAAAATGCTGTTGCGATATGATCCAACAAGAGCTAAAGATGAAGGAGCAAAGGTGACTTCTCAGTTGTGCTATGATAAAAGAACGGCTGCGGCTAATTTGTGGGTTCGAAATCACGAATGTACCATTCAGCTCATTCGCTTACTCCTCCAGCAGGGCCCTCAGCACCTCAGCAGGTGTACCTTTGGGCGCGGCGAGCTCAAGTACTTCTTTGCTCGTTGTTGAAGTGGAACATTTTCCTTCCCACGCCGTCTCCGGTGCATTTTTGATAGACAAGATGACATTTTTTGACTGACGAGTTCCGGCATGGTTGTGTTCATAAAGCAACTCCACGAATGACATGTCTTGATAGCGAATGTCCTCAGCCCGCGTACCAATATGCTGCTCGACCATGCTGACTATTTGCTTCCCAGTTATATCTTCGGGCCCGTTAAGAACATATTTGGCTCTGTTATGCGCGGTGGGTTCTGGTTGAGACAAAAGATGAGCTGCAAAAACTCCAACATCATAAGCGTCGATAATGCCAACAGGTGCATCCTTCGACGCCATCAACTTGAGAGTTCCCTGCTCTCCGGTTTTGCGGTATTGTTTGATCCACTGCGCTGCGCTTGCAAGGTAGAATTGTGAAAAGACGTTGGGTTGAAGAGAAGTCCACTGTAAGTCGGCGAATTCGGGCGAGCTCAGAAGAGCTTCGATCGCCCAGTGAGTGCGAGGATAGTAGGCCTTTGAATCCGGGCGGACGTTGGCAGCAGTAGTCGAGATTCGCACAACATATCTGACACCAGCGTTCAAGGCCGCAACGTAGAATGCAGATTCTTCAGCGAACTGGTTTGGATCGTTGTGTGACGCGATAAATGCTCTTGCTACTTGGTGTTCACGGAGCCAGTCGGCGGTGATTCCGACCCAATTTTGCTCTATCACTTCAACTCCAGGCAGTTTGGCAAGCTGGTGTGCCACTGGACTCTGCGAGGAACGTGTAAGAGCAATAATGCGGTGCCCAGGCAAAGCATTGGTTGACTCGAGCAACTCTGGGAGGGTTTCCACAACACTTCTGCCAGTGTTACCTGTGGCGCCGACGATGAGGATGGTAGGAGCCATAATTGACCAATATAGGAAAATTTCGTTCTACCTAGCAAAATATTTGATAAGAAGATGAGCGGTAATCTGTGAACCACCGAAGTACTTCCTGCGACTTTATAGTCGTGTAGCGCGTTAAGTAAGGAAAAAAATTAGTAACTCTTAAGATTTGTAAGAGGATTACTCAAGGCTGACGAGCCTTGAAGAAAGCTTGTAGATTAGCGTACATCGCCGGCCACCCGCAGGCATCCCACCAAGCCTGAATAACCCATATGGAGACCAGTCGAGAGCTGTTTCCGGAATCTTCTGGAGCCATCTCCCTCTGCGACTAGGAATTTTATTCGTGTAACTACCAGAGACTTTGCGTTCTGTTAGCCACTCTGGTTTAACCTAACCTAACCCTTCAGACAGTTGAGGTGTGGGAGGCCGGTGGCAGATGGGGGAGCGGTGGGATGCCGGTGGGAGCCGGGAAGTAGCTTAGATAATCTAATCTTTACCACAATAACGTCAGAGGGAAGCTCTGCATGGGCCAGGCCGCCACGCAATAACTTCATCCACTCTGCGCATGTGTCCTATGCAGTAGGAACCTTTGTCACGGAAGGCCCATGTTCACTGACGTGATCCTGCTGATCACGGCCAGTCTTGACAAAATTATGGCAAGTCTAGGCAGTCAAACAGACCCCACACAGAACTCTTTGGGTGCATTCAAGTGTTATTTTCCTGGCTGCAACGCCAGCTACCGGCGCAAGGAACACTTGCACCGCCATGAAGCAAAACACTTTCAGCTGCAGGATTTCTCGTGCACAAATTGTGGTCGTGGATTTGGACGAAGGTAGTTTGACTCTTTGTATACTCATTCCCGTAAACACTCACTCTGACTCAAGGAAACTGAACTCAGTGACACACTTCGACGTCATGTCCGTCAGCATCACAAAATAATCGCACCTCCCAAGCGTTCCCAGCGTGCCTGCGAGAACTGCCATGCAGGGAAGTCTCGGTGCGAAGGAGGTGTGCCATGTTATGGGTGTCGACGCCGCAGGATCCAGTGCTCTTTGGACGACTCGGCTGGTTCAGCAGAAAATCAATTTCCCCGGTCTGCCACACATCGTGCATCAAACACGATGCCAAGATTACAGAATTTCGAGAAGGCCGAGCAGTGCATCAGTCTTTATTTTGAGGTATTCCACCCCTATTGGTCATTTATACACAAAGGGACATTCAACGTGCAGCACGAAATGCCCTTACTTGTTCAATCAATCGTTGTTATAGGCCTGTGGGCCAGTGGGGGAGAGTCTGCGCAGTCGGCTGCGGTAGAGCTTCATGGCAAACTTGACTTGGCTATTCGAGATCAAAAGGTTTGCAGTGCCAATATGTCTCTACTATCTGACAGCTTTACTGAGGCTTAATCGACAGGAAAAATGGGATGTCTCGGAAGTAGACGGAGCATGCAGCCCCGGTTTCTGGCCAATAGCCTCATATCAGGCTATCCTATTGCATATTGTCTTCTCTCTTGTCATCAGCAGCCCGGGAGCTATCGAGTTCGACTTAAAGATCTCCCTTCCTCCTGGTGATTTAGGATTACTCTATGCACTTGTCGGAAGTTGTCGGAAGCGGGGCATGTTCGCTTATCCGAACATCCTCGCTCAATATCAAGAAGCCAATCTGGCTTCATTCGTCTGGGTTAGCGTGGAGGAAATCAAACGATTTAATATAGCTCTGTACAAGGTTTGTAGAAAAGCAAGCAGCTCCAACGTGACAGATGGAAATCAGCGTGGCACTAGTGCAGTTAGGTCTCTGCTAACTGCAAGTGAACTTCAATTTCCCCTGCCAGAGAACTGCCCTCTGTGGAATGCGACTAGCAAAGACGAATGGACGGCTCTCATGAAGGACGAAAAGTTTGTTTCATTATATGATGACTGCCAGGAGAAGTGGATATCAAATTTCGCCCAGGTTTTAGAATTTTTTGAGATATAGAATCGAAACATAGAATCGAAAAATTCTTGCCTGGAATACAGAAGTCTTGATTTTAAGCCCTTTGGCCTCTAGGCTAATGAATTATCGTCCGCTCCTTGGAACAGTCTACGGCAATACACTGGATGCTGTTGATTCGACACTGCGGATCGGCTCAAAATTGAAGATCTTCTAACTATTCACCATATTAAAATTTATCGCTGTTATTTATTCCAGGACACTTCCCTCTTACATAGAGCCACCTGCTCCATCATCCACGAGACACCGACCATTTCCAGTAAGCGAAAGTGCTGAAGCTTTCGTCAAGCGATCCCGTCAATCTGCATCGAAAGCGTCCCACCAGTATACTGGACAAGGGTCCGATAACTACCCGTTAGGAGACGCAGATGTGATTAGAGAAGGGAAAAGACTGATTCTTGGGGACTGTAATGCGCAAACCCCCAAAACTGGTTAACATGACCAAAGCACAATGGAGTCGAGGAGACTTCGCCACCGAATCGTTCAGCTACCGGGGGCTTCTTGCAGAACACGAACTCCTTGTTGAACACATACTACTCGAGTGACACGAGCTGAATGTATGCCAGACGCAGATTCCCTGCAGGAGGCCTGCAGTTATTGAGTATTGCCGTGCGCCGTAAACCTTACTCGGAGAACGCCAGTATCTCGCCGGGGCCCTTTGTGCGGGGCACACCGTGACAGATGAACAAGCGGCGTTGGTGTGCATGATTTATCAAAACACTTGCTCGGCGGAAATTCGGCGCGATAGTGGACAGGTTCGGTATCTGATGGATCACGAGTCCCTGGCTTCTTATAGCGTCCCTTAAGGGAACCCTTGTCATTGAGAAAGCCCGAGAAATAATTGTAGATAAAAAACTGTCGAGACAGGGAGCGGTAACTTCTCACCTAGACAGGGATTATACTGAGTGACCCACTTTCCTTTGGGTTTTGTACAAAACTTTGGCATGTCAATCCGATAAGAATGATATCATCCTGCAGGAAGAGAGATTTTACTGTTCAATTCAAGTGTATTTTTCCTTCGTCTTAGAATCTGTGATTATTGCGCAGGAATAACAAAAGTGTGTTGTGTGACAGAAGATCACGGCGGTGAGCTATGCGAGTCGTCACTGACGTAGAAAGTCAAAGTGGTGGAAATTGGTAGTTACAGGGATCGGAGTACAGCTCCAATCCACATATGTCGATTTGCTGTCAGCGCCTCTTGTCTTTAAAAGCCCTTGTTGTTCCTAATCCTTTATCTGGTAGACACTGAAATGGCCTAATTGAATCATACCCACCAACTCCATTCCGGACTTCAATATGAGAGTAGACCAGATTTATTTGTATGCGTTTTGTCTCTTCAGTTTGCTGTACATTTGTGCCGTCTTATTTTATCGGCTGGTATTGAGCCCCTTGGCCAAATTTCCGGGTCCTCGCCTGGCAGCCGCCAGTCGCCTTTACGAGATTTACTTCCAAATCATTAAAGGGGGTACATTCACCTGGCATATCAACGACCTCCATGACAAATATGGCCCTGTGGTACGCATTACTCCGTGGGAGATACACATCAAAGACCCCGAATACTATAACACCGTCTACGCCGGCCCGGGAAAACACCGCAATAAGGATCCTTTTTTTAGCTTCATTGGATATCCTAAGTCAATCTTCTCTCTCAGCTGTTACGATTCTCACCGGCGCTGGAGGAAAATTTTGGGACATTTCCTTAAAAAAGGCGCCGTTCTTGAATTAGAGCCAGTTATCAAGGAAAATACTCAAAAACTGTGCGAGCACTTTTCCGCGGCGGTCAGGGGTAAAATGGTGCTAGAGTTGAACGCTGCATTTCACTGCTTCACTAGCGATACCCTCTCTCAACATGCCTTCGGGCAGAACCTCTCCTTTGGTTACCTAGACCAGCGGACACTTTCGGACAGTTGGAAGACAAAAGTAAACACCATGTTTGAATTCTGTCGGTTGGTTCGACATTTCCACTTTCTCGGAGACATAGCACATTTAATCCCAAACGTGGTTTCGTTAGCGGTTACTGGATTTAATGATGTCTATGCAATGGAACAGGTTTGTTGTGCCTATGCTTAGCTTGGTCGGATTACTTTTACTAACAAACTGGTTAGGCTACTAGGTCTCGAATTCAGCCGCTGATTGACGAGTTTGATCAACGGGAGGCGGAGGCTCAGTCAGCTAGTCGCATCATCGAAAAGCCTTTCGAGATGCCAAAGGCTATATATCCTGCAATCCTAGCGAATCCCGATATTCCTCTGCTTGAAAAGAGCCAATCTCGGTTGGAGGACGATGCAATATTTCTCATGTTTGCTGGCACGGATGCTCCGTCGCAGACTATTGCCATCACTATGTTCCATATTCTAAACAACCCTAGGGTATACCAAACGCTGAAAAATGAGCTCCTTGCTGCTATTCCGGATGTGGAAACGGTTCCATCTCTTTATGAGCTGGAGAAGATCTCCTATCTAGTAAGTGGCATGCAAAATGGCGGCCTGTCTTTCAGACTTCATTGTACTAATTTCACTATAGAGCGCAACTATTAGAGAGGGCCTACGCCTTTCGTCTGTCGTGACAACTCGACTTCCTCGCTCAGCACCGGATCAGATCTTGCAGTATCAGCAGTGGGAAATTCCAGCTGGGGTATGTGGAATTCCAGGATTCATATTCGAGCGCATGTACTAATATTCATAGACGTTTGTCTCAATGTCTACCTACTTTATTCTAAGGGATCCAAATATCTTCCCTGAGCCTGAGAAGTTCACCCCCGAGCGCTGGCTACTGGAGCCAGATGAGCTGCTACAGCTCGAGAGATATCTCGTGCCAGCATCCAAAGGAACACTGGGTTGTCCAGGGCAAAAGTACGATTCCCTAACGCCATGAAATCCCAATAGCATAGGACCTGGAACGTAGTAGCTGACATTAGAAAGCATGAATTGGAGTTGGACACATCATCTCATAAGTGCTCTTGTGCGTCGTTTTGACATGATATTGCATGAAACAACAGAGCGGAATGTAAGGATGGTTCGAGACAACTTTATTGGACAAACTGAGCAAGGTCTCAACAACATCAAGGTGAAGGTAGTGAAGGAGCACTTTTGACAAAGGGCTGTTGAGGCTGGACTCAAGTATAATATTTCGGTCAGAGGATATATCTGAAGTTCCGCTCTGTGATCATTATCGTCCCTTTCGACGTATCATATTGGAATACTGTTAAAGCACCAAGTAGGCTCGTAGATGTTCAATTTATTTTCCAAGAGGGTGAGGGTACAAGTTAACTGAATTCGGAAAATACGGTATCTGGCCATCAAGGTCGGCCTCGCGAAGAATCAGAAGATGCCAAGCCTGGTCACATCCTCCCATGCCCGGTATGCTAGCGCGTCCAGAACTTCTCCCGGTCACAAATGAATTCCACTTTTCTCGACAGGATGCGCTTCAGCGGCATTTCAAGACTCATAAACTACCAATATTCTTCGGCCATCCTGGTCGCCAGGATGATATCCCCGGCTGTGTCCTTATTTTCCCTTCGCTTCCTGGCTATAAGCTCCATCTGTCTGAGCACCATAGTATCTTTCTTTGATATTTTAATAATAAAAAAGAATGTTGTCACTGCTGGGCTCATGTTTCACGCGCCTTTGCGAGGTGCTGAGAGTGAGGACATACCTTGGCCAGTTGCAAGTAAAAATGAAAAGGAAAAAGGAAGAGCAGTTCTCCAATCATTATGATTAGATTGGAATGTCGCAATACAATCCAAGGTTCATACCCAATCTGAATAGCAGAGCGCGCTAGGATCCTTGGAAGCGGTAACACAATCACATTCTTGGCTTGCGTGAACTATTTATCAATAGTTTTGATGATGATTTGGTATTAATTATATGGCTGGCTGAATGCCAAGTAAGAAGAAGCAACCAAGTCAAAATTGTGTCAAGACTGTTTCTAAGGATCCCTCAAGACCGCTCCACGAGATACACAATTTAGTACACAGTCGTCCTTTGGATCCTCCTTACCAGATCAATCTGCTGTGAAAGCAAATACCAGGGCAATGTAGAGTGAACACATCTTGTGTAACATGAGAGAGGGGCATGCATTTGATGTGGCAAGGTAGGGAATACGAGGCTGTGGGATCGCCCACGCTATAACGCCGGCCGTAGAGGGGCATCTATGTAGATCGTAGCATTCTTTAATGTCGCACCAAATTTTGGGGTATAATACCACTAGACTAAAAATCCATCATGCGCAGCCTTCTCAGTCTATACGGTCATTTTCAAGTTCGACTTTGAATAATAGAAAGGAAATGTTGTCACTGCGGGGCTTGTGATGTACCTGACTTTGCTAGTGGCGGATAGGATATTAATGGGAAAATAATTTGAAATACTACTTACTGTATGCCTTATGGCACCGACACAAATTTCACCACCTTCCATGGTTCTCTCTGGCCACGCCAGGACGAACACGAACGATTGGATAAAAGTTTGAAGTGAAGGAGTCTCAGAGGAGACAAGAGACAAAAATTCTAAAAAAGAATGACCAGACTGGGGCTCGATCCCAGGACCTTATCGGTGTTAACGATACGTGATAACCAACTACACCATCCGGCCAACTGTATATTATCACATGATATTAATTTGATATATGTCTTAATGGGTCCATCAATTGTTATCTACATGAGCTCCACGCTAGAAATCGTCCTTACTGCGTTATACCTGGTGGTGCGGAAGTTCCGTGTTCATCTCCACGGTGCCTTCTTTACCAAACGGGATCGCCACGTGGCCTAAGTATGTTTAGCGCAAAGCGGATCATGAAATTGAAGTAAGCCATGGCATACGACACTGGTGTAGTTGAGTTCATTTTGTCACTGTCTAAGAACGTCTTAACTTTTGACGGTTCAAGGGTGCAACACTGGGCCGTGTATGCCCTGCCTACCCATCCTTCCTTCTGCGAGCTACGAAAAGCGAGGCGCAGTTGACTGGGATAGAGTGCTAGGGCCTTTAGCATACTAGGCTCTTAAAACAGCCTCCAACCAAACTACGCACTGCCATGGCGAGAATATAGGCAAAATATAAAAGGAAGGGACGTCATCTCGATGAGGCCATCAACAGTGTTTCTCGACAAGGACGCGAGCCTATGCCAGAGAGACCGAAATCAACCTTTGACAGGGTATTTAAGCCTGAAACTATTAATGACTTAAGAGGATGTGCTGCATTTTGTATGAGCAATCCCTCAACTATGGTGTAACGACGTGAACGGACCAAACACGATGATAATCCTGCCATCCACTACGGCCTGATCGCTTCTGCAAACCCGCTGATGAGGAATGCTTTGAGTCGTGATAGGCTCGCCGCTGAGAAAGGCGTACCGTGTTTCGAAATGACAATGGCAGGGCGTATCAACATCTTTTCTTGCGTTGTTTTTAATATGGGGCGTCTGTGACTACTCAGACTCGCATTATTGTATGACGTCTCAATCACACTCTAAGGACAGCAGGCATAAGGCTACCGTAAATATGTTTCTCGACAAGCGTGTGTCAACATCAGTGGGGAAGATGACAAGGAATCAAAGACTTTGTATCGCGCAGAATAAATAAGATGCGCGAGATCGTCATAGTTGCTGCTGCTGGAGAAAGTTGCTGCCAACTCTGGGTTGTAAGAATGGAAGGTACACAAGCCGTCACTCATTTATACTCAGCCGAGATCTTCGGGTTGACAGTTTGCCTAGTCTTTCAACTTCTTGCCTCTGCATTGTCCTCGGGTCTTGGCTTGTCATTGCAACATGGAAGCGATCTTGACTGTCTCTGGGGTCCTCCAGTTAAGGGATTGCTCGACGCCATCATGGGCCAGTTAAATGCGGTCGGGAAGGTTATTTCAAAATATGTCAATATCTTGCTTCCTCATCTTTGGTCACCACAACCCCAATTCAGAGTATACAGGTGGGGAGCTTTGCACGCCACTTTTGAGGGCTCTTGAATGACATTCCCGCTAGACGGCCGGCTTCCTACAAAAGACGTCACGATTTGGAACCTTGCATACCATCAACTTTAACACTCAATCTTAGTACAAATCCTAGTCCACAGGCGACGCCTCTGGAGGTTAGACGCCTCGGGCCGAGATTTTTAACGAGAAGCTGCTTACACCACAATAGACTGATTACAGACGCTTAAAACCAGGATGATAATATCAACAACGGAATCAAAGATTTTTAGAGTGAATCTTCATTCCCTTGACGTCATGGGATAGGTGGTCTAGAGTTTATTTTCCACCTACCAATTTCATCCCGGGCCGTCGATCAAGAAAGTCGCCGAAAACATCTTCGCTCGGAGCGAAGATTGTGCGGATAAAACTATTTCTTAGCTATTGTGGCAATTGTCTTGTTATTAATCCTTGGTTCCAGTGGAGCCTTGGGGCCACAGAGCTGTTGGTAGTGGCGGAAGTACCTCGGCTGGTGGGACGCTCGGAAACGTTTTAGGCTTGGTTATTGAATCATGACGATGGACCGAGCACTAAATTAGTGATTACCCCAACACGTGGAACTTTTCTGGAACAACCTTAATATCCTTTGCCTCCGAAATGAATCTTGCCGGGAAATTTTTTCGCTTCGGGGTATCCACTCGGGCCCTCGGTGGAACCACAGCAGCGTTAAGAGAAATGCTGAGAAATCGAGGGAAAAAGAGCCTGAGAGCTTCGAGGGCTTTTTGAATTATTTAAAAGCGGGTATCCCGTTCTTGGCTCTGTGATAATATCCGCAAACAAATAACCAAACCTGTTCTACCGTTCTACTATACATCTACTGTTCTACCATACAACCACCCAGTTTGCATCCTCGCCTCAGAATGAGCGTCACATTTGAAGTTTTCCGCGGGTCGAAGGACGGAAAAATTGTTGCGGACAAGACTACACGCACCCTGCAACCCAATGAGGTCTATATCGAAACCACACACTCCGGCCTTTGCGGCACAGACGAGCACTACCTGCGCTCCGGTCAGGCTCTTGGACACGAGGGCGTTGGCGTCGTACGACAGATCGGCCGCGATGTCACCAACGTCAAGGTTGGTGCCCGTGTCGGCTTTGGTTACACCCACTATGTGTGTGGAACCTGTGAGCAGTGCTTGAGTGGTATGTGGTGATGAGAAGACCCAGCAATCAAAGGGACCAAGCTAATTCGATACCTTCGAACAGGATGGGACCAATACTGCGAGAACAAGGAAGAATACGGTAGTCATGACCATGATCTTGGATCCTTCGGTGAGGGTGTCGTTTGGGATGCAGGCTGTGTTGTCCCCATTCCCGATGGGTATGACTCGGCAGATGCGGCCCCCTTGATGTGTGCTGGTGCAACTGTCTGGACTGTTCTTTCTGAGTACGGCGTTCGCCCCACAGACCGTGTTGCTGTCATGGGTATTGGCGGCCTTGGGCACTTGGCCATCAAGTTGGCAGCTGCAATGGGGTGCCACGTCGTTGTCCTCTCTAGCTCCGAGGCCAAGCGTGAAGAGGCGTTTGGCTTCGGCGCCTCTGAATACCACGTCTTCCGCTCGGGCCAAGAGATGAAAGATTTCAAGCCGGTGAATCATCTCTTGCTTTGTGGCAGTGCCAATGTTGACTATGCTGCGTAAGTTTGGATTTGCCATTTGACTACTCTCATCCAACTAACATTTAAACCCAGTCTGGTCCCCCTGATGGATGTACACGGATCGATCTACCCATTGACAGTCGATTTCGCTCCCTCTCCAGTCCCAATGCTCTTGATGAATGTGAAGGGCATCCGTGTGCAAGGATCTCTTGTCGCCTCTCGTCGCAGCCTGCGCTCTTTGGTGCAGTTCGCCGCTGAGAAGAAAATTAGCCCAACCATAATGACATTCCCATTGGACCAAGAGGGAGTCGAGAAGGCGATGCAGACTCTGCGTGACGGCAAGATGAGATACCGGGGTGTTCTTGTTCGCCAGTAAACAGATGGCATGTATATAGCGTTACAATGGATTATGGGTACATAGCATATAATAATGTCGTTTTCTTCAGACATTGGAATTTTGGTGAAAGCATGAGAAATTGAACTGATAGATATCGAGAGTTGAAACAATCACTTCAACGTGTTCCTCTTGCACTCTCCTAGGCGTCCTTATATTTCTATTTCTAGCACACACTTACTTCTCTGTCCCTTCACGTCTACTTCTATATATATCATCAATTCTCTATCTTACTATTAATACGTCTGCTGAAGGGAATCTGTGTCTTTCGCTTCCTCCAGATCATCGCCTCCCTCTGTCCTCTCAACTCAGGTCGGCTACTCTATGCCCTCTTTTAACCAGCAAGAGCTCTCATCCGACCTTTGCATTTGGTAGAACTCAATGCAGTTCACACGAATACTGTCAACCATATCTCTGAAAAACTGGGATTGGGGTCAGAACAGGACCGCCGCATCTCCAGCGGTCATATGGATTGCGGCACTTGATTGATGTTATCAGAATTGTCACCGACATAGGCAGATTCAGAATCAATGCTCTGCTCGGATATGCATACCATAATGATCTCAGTTGGAATGCTGTGTATTGCCATAGGTTTCTTTTCAACATTATGCCATTAGCGTCGGTCGATAGGGAAATTAATTTGTAGTATAGTGCGTCGACCTACACGCTGAACCGTTTGAACAAGGCCTTGTGACGGATGCCTTTGAAGGAAGTGCATGATATTCCTCAGAACGGTCCTGGATTGGTCGCAACAGGACAGAGAGGGATCTGGATATGGAAGCGGATCTACCGTGCCTTAGTCTACGAAGGATGCCGGGCTGCCCCGTCTGGTTTGGAGTTAGGGGCGGCATCCTGGGCATATTTTGTCAAGCCTGTTCCAGCTTCATATAGCAAATTTCTTGTACTTGCGCCATTTACCTACAGTTCGTTAGACTCTTTAGATCTGCGACGCTTAGAATAATACTGGCGCATGCATATCCATATTATCATTATAGCTACACCATAGTTTCTCCATTGATACAGCCGGTTACTAAAACCCACACAAGGAGATCTGACCGTGGAAGCACATTTGGACTCAAGCTACAGATAGTGCGGTCCAACTATTCCTCTTCAGCGAAGGCCTTCGGAAACACCTCGGATGCCACATATTAGACATGCGAATGCCCTGCGTCGGTTTAATCTCATTTAGAGGATGTAACCCCAAGATTACATACCCGGCCAATTTTCGGGCCTCCAATCAAGCTGCCCGCCCATGAGAGTCCTTCAACCTTTCTAATAGCCCCTCGCTTCGCTTGATGGGCATCGGAAATGGCTAAGAGCCGAGAATTGGCAAGGACAAATTCCGGTCATTAAGCCGGGCGCACTTTGAACGAATGGTATGTCTTTCCCGTCACAATACCAACAGTATTCTTGATCTCGGGACGATGGAACCGAGAAATTTGGTGTCGAATCTCCGGCGTGCCGATTTGAAGTTGCTCCAAAATCTCCGCAACCGCGGAGTACAAAATATCGATATTACCATCCTCGATCTTCACGGAAATGCCCAGAGCACCCTTGGCCCCGAGCTCTCTTGTTCGGTCCGAAGACTTAATGCCAATACCATAACAACCGGCTGCTCCAAGTTTGCCAATCAAGGAGCCCTGGAATGCTCTCATGAGGACAGTGCAAAATCGGTCGTCGCCCGCGACAAGCTCGGGATATTGAGACATAGCATGGAAGACACGGCCCAGTGCCTGTGTTCTTGGAGTTGTTTCAGAGCCATTGAATGATACTTGGCTGGCCCCCTCGGCAAAGACGGCATACATGCGGCCCAGGCAATGAAGCGGGAAACCGGGCGCTGGAAGGTTGCACCCATCGATGCCCCATTTCGATCCATTCTCATCAAGATGACAGATCTCATCTACAACCTGCTTTACTCGTACTTGCATGAGATTAGTAGGCAGATGGTAGGTTTGCACGTCTGCACCCAGCGCTTTCGACCCGGCGATCATTCCGGCGTGCTTTCCGGAGCAATTGCTGTAGACTGCAGTGGGAGTAAAATCTGCCTTGATCCACGACAGATTGACAGCATTCGAAACGGCAGGATGGCCGCCGCATTGAAGGTCGTCTTCGTTGGACTCTATTTTCGCCAAAATACTCCGTGCCCGCGCGATATGTCGATCTTCGCTGCTGTGCGACGCGCACATCAGGGCGAGGTCCGCATCGTCCAGGTTGAATTTCTGCAATGCGCCCGTTTCGACAATAGCCAGAGCTTGAGCAGGCTTGGCTGCGGATCGGACGAGGGTCATCCTGGTCGGATCGCCCACGGCATACAACAGCCGACCGCTGGCGTCGACGATGGCCGCGTGGACGCCGTGCCGGTTCTCCACGACCCCAGCCCGGTCTGTGACCACGAAATCAATCGAGATCACAGTTCGCATGATGGCTGGACAGTTGGGACGCGGTATTATAGTGAAATTCCAGTTTTGTCAGTCTTCGGTTTTCTGCACCTTCGCGATCACGCGGGGTACTTGTGCTTCTTGTGTGCGCTTACGCGAGCGGCAAGTTGCGACTGTGGAAGACCAAGTCCCTTGAACAGTTGCGGTGGGAGGGATAGAAAGTCGTTTAAATTGAGGCGGTTCCTTAAGACCGGAAAGCGTAGGTGACGTCTAAAAAGGCGTAGACTGCGGAATAATTAACGTACAAGGCTCTGCGAATGCAGCCCCTCGCTATCTTTCGCCGCGGAACCGCTATCATGGAGACTGAAGACGCTCAGACCCCAGGCTCCGCAATTTCCGGCCGGACTTTGATTGGCGTCGCTGCAGTAATCCTGTACTTGGTGATAATTAGCTCATGACTCAGAGGAAGATTCCCAGCAGCAGTGGACAAGGTGAAACCGAGTTAGCCAATGTCCGGATTAGTCTGACATGGATGGACGCATGATCCTACCATAACCCGTTTGAAGCCTACAAAGATCTCCCGTCCCTCAGGCCCATTGAATGGACTGACTAGTGGCACATGATCCTCGACAGTAGAAGAATCCGAGTGCTGACTGTAATAGACGCTATATCAACGCAATGGGCATAGTCTACGCCACGGATAAATTAGGGTTTACAAGCGATAATGCTTTTCTAGCGTTTCTGCGTGCACGGTGCCATGCGACAATAGGGTTATCATCGTGTTCTTGGTTTGAGACTGGAATAGCATCGAGGCATAAAAAGATTGCCTCTTCGCAATAGGAAATAAAAGTTTGACATGGGTGGGCGGGGTGGTTTTGATTACACGGTGACTTTGGAATTTTGAGTTTGTAGCTGGAATCGGTGATCTATAGTGCGCATTATGTATGGACATGCTGCCTCGCACACCATAATACTTATGGTACTCAAGGCGCATGCTTGCACCTTATCTGCTCGTTATGTAGACTAAGGAAGTACTGTGCGTGGTTCCATAGACATTTCAAGATGGGTCTCAACTGAAGAATTGGACGGCACTCCAGTCAGAACTGAAACAGCTGTAGTAGTCCTACGAACCGGAGACTGTCATGACGGAACAAAACTTCGCGTATGTAGAATGAGAATGAGATGGAAATCTAAATGACAAACACCATAAAACCAACCTCTTCCAAATGTATCCCATGGAAATCTCAAAACACCAATGAATCGCTAAGACGTTTTCACACGCACGCCAAAATCAAATATAAAAACCGCTAAATAACAATCACAAGAACCGTGTTGACCCCAAAATGTGCACCGTATATGGCAACAGAAATAGAAACAAAATTATATATATATAAAAAAAAGATGAGCCATGATGGACGAGAGTCAAGAATGCCCGAGAAGACAGAAAATTATGAACAGGTCTAGAAGCTGAACAAACCAGTTCGCTTCTTGCCCAAGGGGTAAACGACGAGCGCGGCAATAAATAAGCCCACCGTAATACCGATTGCAACCTGGATCATGCCAAAGCCAAGACTGGCCACCGAGGTGTCAGACAGACTGGTCGTACTATTATTTGACGACGCAAGATTATCCCGGACTGAATTGGCGTACTGCACACCCGCGATAAGCGAGCCACTGGACGCGAGACCGGACGGCACGAGAACAAAGATACCTGGCAAAATTGCGGTGGCGGCGTGGCCGTGCCAGAGACGGCTGTAGAGGTTACCCAGGACGCCAATGGTGAAGGCGCCCACAGTATTGGCAACCTCGGACTGGGAGCCAAGCTTAGTCGTGCTGAAGAAGTTTGTGACGTACCCCGCCACGGCGATGAAGACCATGACTGGCATCTGTTTCCACTTGCCGTGGTTGACGATGGCCAGAAAGACGGCGTAGATGGCGACGAAGGGGAACCGCGCTGTGTAAGCGGAGCCGTAGATACCTACGTTGGAGCAGGTCGTTGCGGAGGTGGCATTGCCATCCATGAGGCCATATACCGTGGTGCCGACCGTGATGCCGTAGCCTAGGAAGAGAGAGTAAATGATGGCATAGACCATGCGAATTGATCCGGCGATCATCTGGTGCGATTGCAGTTCCAGACTGCTGCAGAGGACCATGAAACCGGGCAGGATGAGGGCGATGGAGGACTGGGCGAGCGCGGAGAAGCAAAAGAGCTCCTCCTGCTGGCCGTTGCGGGTGATTTTGATGCTACCCAGGGCCCGGGCCAAAAAGGATGTCAGGACGGCGGCGGTGACTTCGAAGACGTTGGAGTAGAGGACAGAGCGGGGTGCGAGAACGTGTTGCATCAGGCCGACGAGGCAGCCTAGACAGAAGATAACGGGCAGGTCGATGGGTCGCGCACTGAAGGCGAAGGGCCCGACGGCGGCACTGGCCAGGCCGTACGTCAGGACAAGGATCCACTTGTTGAAACGCGGCTTGCGCGACATGATCTCGTCCAGCTCCTGGGTAGCCTCTTCGACACCGATGAGATCATGCACGACATTCTTATACACGTTATGTGTATCCGCCAAGCGACCCAGGTCGACGCCCTGCACCATGCGCACCAGCTTGACCTCCGCCGTACGAGTGGTCGGGTCATCGAAGGACATAATCATACACCCGGGGAGATACAAGAACTGCCCCGAGACCTCGAGCACCCGAGCTGTCATCTGCATATATTCCTCCAGCCGATGTGTCGGCGCTCCGTAGCGCATCAGCGCACGGCACAGCTGCATAATGTATCGATGGCGAGACAAGATCTCTGCAATGTGCACCGTGACCCGGATCTCGTCTTCCAGCCGAGTCTTGCGCCTGCGCTTGTGCTTCTTCCCCGGCTGAAGAGACTCGACTGTGACGGGCGGGAGAGTCGGGCGCCCCAGGTTTAAAGAAGCGTCGACCAGCGACGAGGTGGACCGGTGCGCGGATTTTTTGTACCACTTAATCTTCTCCTTGCGCGGGGTGGCGGTGCCAGAGGCCGGCGTGGACCGTGGGGCTAGGGAAGGAGACAGCGAACCGATCTTCCTCGGCGTGGCCCCGCCCGAGGACACCTGTGTGTCGCTGTCCGAGTCATCGGTGATGACACTCTCCGCCCGCGAAGAGCTCCCCGTCTGGGCGGCGTGCAGCTTGAGCAGCTGCGAAAGAATCCCGCTCCCCCCAGCCAGTCCACTGGACCGGCGACGCGCCGCAAAGTCCTTCAGCATGCCCTCGGGGGTGGTTTGCCCGGACCGCTGGTACGCCCCACGCGGGCGGCGCTTGCGCAAGGCGGGATTATCCTGGGCCTGGGTCATGCTGCGGACGAGGCGATGTGCCTCAGCGCTGGGTGGCGCCTCGTGCGGCTCCTCACCAGCCTCCAGCGTCCGCAATCGATCCGCAGCATGGCGGGCCCGGCGCGCCTGCAGTTCCTCCAGGGGGATACCGAGGTCCTCCGGCATGATGGTTGCGTTCAAGGCCTCGCCCTCGTCTGGCGAGCGACCGAGGCGCTCGGTCAGTCGCAGGGTCTTCTGGCGGAGGAGTTGGCCCGCATGTCGGAAGCGCTCGCGCGCGGAATGAGTGCGCTCCATTTCCTGATCATGATGCGCGTCTTTCTCTGAATCGCCGGGGACGTACTCATTGTTTGGCGTGCGGCCACCTGCGAGGCCCGTGTGGCGTACATGTGTCGGCGCCGGCGGGGTGACGCTTCCGGACAGCGGGATATCACTCAAGTCCGCGGGCGGCAGTAATGGATGATGGGAAGCGTCGGAGCGGTCTGAGGAAACTCGGTGAGAGTCGCTGCCGGGCAGATGATGGAATTGCTGGCTGATGGAGCGACTGATGGAGCGAAAGCGCACGCGTGGCGACCGGATTCGATGGTGTTCGGCATGGGCGGGCGCGGGCGCAAGCTCGGGCTGGGGCTCGGGCTGGGGCTCGGGCTGAGGCTCGGGCTGGGGCTCGGGCTGAGGCTCGGGCTGGGGCTCGGGCTGAGGCTCGGGCTCGGGCGGCCCGGCCTCGTACTGGTGAGCATCTACGGTTGTTTCACGCTCGAGACTCTGCCGACTGGAGGAATGGATGAGGTCGATAGGGGGGATGGGGGAGAGAGGAAATTCGTCGTATTCTTCGCTGGGGCTGGGGTGAGGGGCGTGCGGTTCGGACATGCCAGCGAAGGGATGAGTCCGGGAAGGCCGGACGGGCGGGGAATGTTCGTCCAGTCGAAAAGATGCAGAGGAGAACCTGAAAGAATTGGAAGTAGAGCGAATGGGCGGGAGAGAACATGCAGGAGTAACGATAGTAGAGAAAAAGGAATGGAGCACGATCGGGAAAAGAAAAATTGAACACAATTGCATTGAGAGAGGTGAACCCAGATCTATGAACTAAGAACGCAGCATGACACATCCGTCTAGATTGTTCGGCCCGGGGAAAAGGGAGGGGAGTATCCACGGATCCCGCGCTGGATGCAGTTCTGGGCTGCTCCTCTGCTCGTTCTAGAGCCAGGATCAACCGGAGTCCCACCGCGTACCCACGAAGAGTGTCGTTCAAGTCTCCTTCCGCGCCTAGCGGTTCTGTTTGAGGTGTGCTCGAGAGGTGCTCGGACCAGCTGCATGACAACCGGGCGGCATTTGGTGGCTGCTTGGGTTGGCCAGTGGCAGAAGCCCGGAGCAAAATGTCCCTGCAGAGATTTTTTAGCTGCAGGGCTGGCCCAACCACACCCTGCCGGTCCCTTATCACCGAAGTATACAGTCAAGTCCACCACACCAACTTCCCTGCTATCAGCTCCCCCTCGGCCAACTGTAATCCCCGTCGTGTGAGGCAATTCCATCATTCGAGGATCCCGTGTGTGACAGGCAGCGTGCATGCGTTCTAGAACAGCACGCGTACCACTGGTACATCATCGCGGCCAGGATGGTGGGGTCGTGGTGGCGACCCAACTGGATTGTCCTTTTGACTTGCTGTGGCACCGCGGCCATCCGGGCGGTTCGTTCCAAGGATTCCTCGGTCTCGTGGGCGTTGCTAGCGCGGTCGCTGGTGAGCCTAAAAGGGATTGAGGCCGGCTAAACACCCTAGGAGGACCCTAGCCCGTCGTTTATCTGGGCATCGTGGAACGTAAAGAAAATGAGAAAAACTTCGTGGCCCTTATCGAGCATCGTTGGGCTGCATTCGGCCTGCCCGAGGCGTCGGTTGCGGGACCACGATCGACGGCCGAGCAATTCATTGCTCTAGCCACCCCCTGAGACTTCAGAGACGAGAGTTCAGACGCTCTCGGGACTTCAGACACTCTCGAGAGAGAGCTGGCCCTTGCGGGATGGACAGGGGACAGGCATATCACAGCGTCATGATCCACCGAGATGGGATCATCATGGATGGGTGATGGGAGTTGTTTGGTCGGGGGGCGAGCGGCGAGCGGCGAGCGGCGAGGTGGGAAGGAGAAGTGGGGGGCTTCACAGAAACCACGCCCGAATAAACATAGAAACACTCGCCCCACCGAGAGCTCTCCAGGCGGCGTTCCAGCCGCCCGTAGAACGATGGTGCAATGAGATATCATATGATAGTTGTGACAGTCATGATACCCGTGCCCGCCATCACCTTGAAATATATCAATTGTCAAAGGGTGCCGATGCCGAGTTATTCACGGATCCCTTGGATCACATCATATTAACCGACTATGTGTATGCGTGGTGCCCCTTTACTAGCTAGGTGACTCGACTCGACGGCCACGAAGGAATGGAGGACCCGACCAGCTGATGAATAGAAATTGTACGACCGCCTGAAACCCGCGCTAGAAGGAAAACTAGCAAGGCACGGCCATGATATCCACTTCATATCAAAACCAGATCGCCGCACGGCCCATCCAGCTGCTTCGAAAGCCCCCTCGCCTATTCGCGCCAATCCCTATGCTGCATTACAACACCTGCTCTTCATCTCTCTCTGTTTTGCTTGCAGTCTACTCCGACCGCGGGTGCTTCTTAGGCAATGTCCACCCGTTCAACCACCCCACGCCCGCATTCAAATACGCTGCGTAGCCGAGCCACACGTAATACGGAGTCATCAGCCAGAACGCCGTGCGGTCGGCATCCCACCAGTTGGCCAGCAGCAGCGTGACGTTACCCATCAGCAGGGTCATGTCGCCCAGCGCGGCCGCGGGCCTGCCCAGCCCGAAGAACAGCGGCATCCACAGGAAGTTGAGCGCCAGCTGCGTGGTGTATAGCGTCTGTGCGGACCGGTTGGCGGCATGGACGGCGTGCGAGAGCGACTGCGACGCGGTAACGGTTGCGTGGTGCGAGGCGTAGCCCATCAGCCCGTATAGAAGGGTCCAGGCCGGGCCGAAGAGCCACGCCGGGGGGTGGAGCGGTGGTTGGCGGAGCTGACCGTAGGTCTCGTTCGTCTTCTTGCCTGTCCAGCCGAGAATCTAGTTAGCAGCTGGTCGAGGTTGCAAACAGTCGTATTCCCTCGTAGCCGCTAGCATGAGGGGCGGGGACGTACGATTGGTGAGCAGCGCAGACGCTGTGCCGATCGTGATGGGCGTTGCGACCGCAAGGAGTGGCGAGGTGGTGATGGCCTGAGGCAGCACGAACGACCACGGCATGATGGCGGCAATGAGAAAATGAATGGTTGACTCGATCAGAGTCGCTATTCTCAAGAAGACAGCGACGATTATAGGAGCGCAAGCCGGAGATCTCCTGGGATCCTGAGATCGAGCCCCAGTCTCAGCCGATCGCGATCGGTAGAATGCCGGCCTCCCGCTACGTCACCGGCACTGCCGTGACGGCCGCCCGCTCCACCTTTCGCTTATAGGTCAACGGCATGGAAGCTGTCCAGATCGACCTGCTGAGTGAGATTGGAGGAGACTGTTGGAGCCTCGATCGCGACGTGGGGTCGGCACATCTGAAATTAAGCTATATACCTACTCGTATCATATGGAGACTGCCGTCACTATATATCTGAGCTCCATTGGAGTGGTGTTGCGATCATTCTTCTCATCTGTCACAGGAGCTGAAATTAGACTGGCGACCGGGGTGCTCACCTAGTACCTACTAGGTACCTAGGTCTCAAATCTCCCTCGCTATCAAATATTTTTGTTCTAAGACAGGTGAATATCACACCGTGCCTCGCCCGATACCTAAGGGAAGAGGTAGCAGGGCAGGATCCCCACATGGACGTTAGCATGTTGTGTGAGTTTGCAGCACCATTTCCTTTGGCATATACCACAGCGTGCTTTTCCTTCATCGCCTATCTGCAGCTAGGCGCACCATTTCAAATTTGTGAGTGTATGTATGAGTTCATTGTAGACACGGAAACCGTGACCCTCGGACCAACCATTTACTCCTATAGGTAATGCTGAAAAGAACAACTCAAGCGCCAAATTGAATTTTTGAAATACCCCAGGAGCCACGCCAGTTAGCGAGGACCAACCAACGGCATCTTCAATTTAACTCCAGGGGCTGCATTGTGATACCGGTTTCGACCTGCTCAGCTCCGTAGTCATGTTGCGTCAAATGCAATTTCTGTTAGTGGGCTAGCGCATTATGTTCTTCAAACCTTTTATAAACCACCGTACCCATGGTACTGACCACCGTACCCTTGTGACCTCAGCCTTGCTAACCCGCAAGGGTAGGTGGGGTGGTCAGTACCACGGGTATGCAGTCGCTTTCGGGGATAATGATCCATTCTTTGTCAAACATTGTCAGACTATTCTGGCCCTCCGCGTGTCGTCAAAACGTTCCAGAAGCAATGCGTTCATAGATGTCGTACACAAGCGATTTTGATTGGCCCCCGACACGCGGCGCAAACTCTCTTGCGAGGATAATACTTCCCCGCCACGACTCGATCTCCGTTACCTTGGGAAGGCTGCGGAGAGCTACTTGGTGGCGGTCGGCATACCCTCGAGCCTGACGATCCAACTTCCCCATCATCAATTGTCTCCCTGGCCTCGTCCATGCTCAACTGTCCAGGCCTTGACATGCCGTTCATGGTCTCCTCGCGGCGGCGCTGAATGTGAAAGATGAAGCAGTTTGGGGACGCCATCATCATCGTCGATGTGGTGTTCTGGTTCCTGGCCACAGTGTTTGTGGCTCTGCGCCTGGTGTCGCGGACCGTCATTGTCCGCAAGGTCAACCTGTCGGACACGGTGATGCTGGTGGGCTGGGTGCTCACCACCGCCCTCTCTGGCGTCAATATCTTTGCGACAACCAAAGGCTTGGGATTGCGCGAAGGCGTCCTGCTTGCGTGGCGGCGGCCGCTGGCGGTCGCTGAGTATGTGTTTGCAGTGCTTTATGTATATCTGTCTGTCCACTGCGCTCTAGGAAGTTGTGTCCTCACTCACACATCTACTCAACTCTCTAGTATCCCGCTCTCGGAGCCATCAAATCATCCATCCTCTTATTTTACCTGACCCTCGCAGCCCAACAGCGCCTCTTCCGGCTGGGAGTCCTCATCACGCTTGTGGTTGTCATCCTCTTCACTGTGGCCCTCACCCTCGTCAACCTGTTCCCCTGTCGGCCGCTCTCGTCGTCACTCCTCATCCAGACCCCTCCAGGAACGTACTGCATTGACATTGTTGCGCTCTACATTTCTACTGCCCCAATCAATATTGTCACCGATGTCGCCATTTTCGTGCTCCCCTTACCGATGCTGTGGCGCGTACACCTCCCTCGACGGCAGAGGATCATCCTGCTGCTCACCTTTGGCACTGGCCTATTCGTCATCGTCATCAGCATTCTCCGCACCGAGTTCCTCTTGCAGACGGCCATCTCCCGGGTGACCAAACCTCACAAACCGAGCGTTCACGATTTGTCGTGTAAGTGCAAATTTCTGAGTCATTCGTCCACTGGTCAATGTGTGAGTTTTACTGATCCGTCTGTGCAGATTACGATGGCTATGTCTTGCTCTGGTCCACTGTCGAGCTGAATCTCAGCATCATGTGTGGCTGTGTGCCCAGCTTGAGGCCTCTATTCTCCCGGTTCCTGCCACGCATCGTCCACTCTCCAGTGCGAACGCAGCGCTCCACCGACCCAGGGACGTCAACCAGCGACGGGCAGCATGGGCTTCATTCCCTGTCCGGTGACTCGGTTCGCAAGTTCGGAAGGATGAAACGCAAAGGGACAAATCCTCAGGACTCGATGACAAGACCAGCATCGGGGTCGAATCCTGCAGCCAGAACGGAACGGCGGCCGCGGTTTGATTTTTTCCGCCTCTCCCGGTCTAAGAACATGCTGAACATGGGTGAACGAGAATCACGGACCCCGCTGGCCGTGATGGGCATCCTTTTCCTGCTATGGGGCTTTGCAGACGGGATCATCAACATCTTCTTTTGGCGATTCCAGCGCTATAGTAATTCTGAGGTGAATGCCGCCTTTGGAATGCATGCCGCGTATTGGGGGGCCTATCTGTTCGGGCCTCTTCTCATCTCGAGGCCCGTTTTGAAAAGCAGGGGGTTCAAGATCTGCCTCCTAACTGGAATCTCAATCTTCTGGCTCGGCATGCTGTTATTCTGGACCGGCACGGTGCTGATCTCCGTCGCGGCCCTCGTGGTGGCAAGCTTCGTCTCTGGGTTGGGTCTGTCCGTGCTGTCAACGGCGGCACACCTCTTCATTGTACTCTGCGGACCGCCGAACCTTGGCGAAATCCGACTGACCCTCGCCAGATGCATCTATGCCACCAGTGGGGCAGCCGCACTGATACTAAGTCAGCAAGTGCTCTTCGAAGATGTGGCAGATGCGTCCGGCCTGATCGAGATTCAATGGATCTTTCTGGTCATGGCGCTGGTGTCAATGGTATTGGTAGCTATGTACAGCTTCTTGCAGCTTCCCGAAGCCGCCGATGAGGAATTGAAAGAGCTCACGCGCTGGGACGACCCAGAGAACTGTGGCTTTGTGTGCGGGGCTCGTGTCGTTTGGGTGACTTTGGTTCTAGGGGCTCTGTCGCAATTTTGCACTGTGGGTGGGCAAGAGTCTTTTCGGACGAATTTCCTCTATTTCGTACCGTTCAACGAACCCGAGTAAGATTGGAACGGTCCTCCCCGTGCACCATTGATCTAGCTAACCCCTCCTGCAGCTCTCATCCTTCAAAATATACCTTTGTCGCCATCGGCCGCGGCGCCGTCGCAGCTGGCTACCTCCTCACGGCGCTTATGCTGCTCGTCTGCAAGCCGCGCTGGGTTCTACTAAGCCTGTATCTCTGCTCAATCCTATTTTCCATCCTCTGCATAGCCATGTCAGGATATGTGGGCATCACGATGGGTATCCTGCTCTTTTTTTCAGTGCTGGAATTTTCTCCATTAACTTTGCCATCTGCCTCCGAGGCATGGGCGAGCATACGAAGACCGCGGCCGCATTCTTGACCACGGCCTGCATCAGCGCTGCGCCGTTTCCTTTCGTCCAACGCATCGTATCCGAGTCCCACGGATACCGGTATGGAAGCGCCATTGACGTCGCGCTCTTCTCCACTGGCGCATTCTTTTCGCTCTATCTTAACCTCGTTGGGCCGGCCCGGATGCAGATCGATGGGTCTACTCCACAGCCAGAGATCCATCAAGAAAATCCCCCTTCCATTACCTACGCTTGATCTATCAGACCCTGTCCACAAGTCCGAAGTGTAGTTCAAGTCTTCGCGTCTTGACCATGCCGGATGAGAATGTCTCTATTGGGTGAATGGCCACATGTGGGTCCAAGTGGATACAGTATATCTGATCGATCCGCCACACCAGATCGATGGTCGGACGCACAATCGCCAAGACATAATAATCATCGTCATCGGCTCCAGGAACGGTCAACCCTAGGCGCTTTGTTGCTCCTGGGACCTCCAGTACAGCTCCCACAAGCAGCCATGTGTCCTCCGGGGTTCGAGTGGAGTGTCTATGGGATCGGTATCTCCTGAGGTTCCAGTAAAGAAACATCGACGGCTCCGCGGGCTCACGATTTCGATGTCACCTTTTCTTGCGCTCTCCTGAGCCCTTATTTTGACATAAGCAACTTCCACGAGACACAGACAGTTGGGAGATGGTGTCTAGTCAGTGAAATGCTCATTTGAGCTTCACTTTCCTGCCTAGCCCATCTCCAAAACACGTTGGAATATTAGCGTACGTTATGGATTGAGCCGGAGCAATGACGCCACTCAACCTTTTTAGTGGTGATCAGTTGGGGCTGATGGAGATTCGGGACTGCCAAGTTAAAATAGACTGTATGCCCTTTAAAATGCAAGGGCTTTCATATTCAACAACGCGACTGCGGCTGGTGGAGAGCACATACCAGTTCGGAACCCAACTGGTTCGGCGAAACAGAGTGTTAACGTTCGCAAATCAAAATATGAGGCCTAAGATAAGGCCTACAATCCGGTATACCTAAGATACCTGCCTATAGCTTTATTTATGTATTACTGGTGCGGTGCTGATAGCAAGGACCAAGCCCTGCATGGTCCGGTCCGGTCCGCGGCGACCTCACCAGGCCGTGTGTAAGCAAGCATATATCTTCATTGGCATACAGCGGCCTTTCGTGCAGCCATTCGTATTGTGGACATCGCCGCCTCGCCTTGTCGCCTAAAGCCTCATTAATATGTAATCTATTGGCATGGAGGATTGGTTAGACGGATGAGAACCCATTTTTTACAGTTGTAGCAACGGCGTCATACGGACCGGAGAGGAGGAGGCATCTCGTGTGCTCTCTTCTGCTATGGACTGACTGGCAAGCAGAGCTCAAACAATAAGGTGGCGATCACACTAGGCGCAGACCATGCGCAGACGTGTGGTTCCCCGGAAATTGCAACAGTGCTTTTCGATATGGCATAACGCTGTGTGCCTTGCAGGCTGTCTTCATGAAAAGAGAAGCCAAGAATCCCATTTGGTCTTATGTCAAGCGCTGAATTTCCCCTACATCATCCCATAGGTACATGTTTCCATCTCTTCTACTCACTCCAGTCAATATGACCTCTTTTGCAGACAAAGCACACGAAGAACTTCGGTAAGAGATCTTCTATAAGCATTATTGACTGTGCTAACTTGACATTGCAACCCTTCAATCCCCACGGAACCGCTATCGCCACACTCATATCTCTTTGAGAAATCCTACTTCAATGAGCTTATCTGTTGGCAGCCGGAGGTTGGCCATTTTGTTCCTCGTATTATCCCGGATCCACAGAAAAACGCGTAGCAAGGCTCTTCGGAAGTGCGCTGTGTTGGGCTTGATTTTCATCTGCTCCTTCCCGACAATGTAGAGCACCTTGTGTGAATATGCCGCTTCCAGATTGGCGATTTCAGAACCGAGGAATGCGCGCGCGTCTGTGCTGCCTTCCGCGGCGGTGCTATTAGGGGTGACCGAATCCTTTGCTTCATCCTCTTCGTCTAAGGACACGCTGGCACTTCTCGTTGTTAGATAATTCCGGACCTGGTCGACGATCACACTCGCCAAGTTGGGTGTGATGATCTCGTCATTATAGCCGTATCGAACAACCAGCCGGTAACAATTTGGAATGGCCAACCGCGACACGGTAAATCGATTCTCAGGGGCGATTGAAGGTTGCTCGAGGGGGCGGAGATGGAAGAAGACAATCACCTCAGGCAAGGAGGTGAGCTTAAGCACAAACTGGCTGAACACGGTCGGGGTCGTCTCGCCCGCTTTGTCGAAGAAGATCCCAAGACCGCGGGTGATGCTGACTGGAAGGCCATCATATCGTTTGGACAGGAATATTTGGCCATCTGGACTAGAAACGATGAAATGTGATGTGGGGAAGCGGTCCTCAGCTTCGGCGAACCATTGCTGCTCTTTGCCGTATCGCCACAACAGAAACAGCATGGCGAGGATTGCAGCGAGCGTGATTGTGAACCAGGCTCCTTGAGGCACCTTGTTCAGCGCAGAGGAGAGATATGTACCGTCCAGGCAGGCCAAGGTGAGCCACGGGAGGAGAACAAGGTACGGGCTGATCTTCCAGACGAACATTGCAGCCAGAGAAACCATGCAGGTGTCGAAAAATGTCACGAACATAACGCACACGCCGTAGGCATTACCCAGGGACGTCGTCTGGAGGACATAGGATAAGCCGCTGGAAAAGAGTAAACCAGGAGAAGAAAAAGGTCACTTACGTTATTATAGATGGATGCGATCAGGATGGTTCCAATCATCAGCAGCCAATTCGCGATCGGAATGAAAAGCTGCCCGTGGAAAATCTCAGAAGTATGTATGACTTTGATCTGAGGGAAATAGGAGAGTTTCATCACTTGTGCAAGAAGCTGCCAGCATTGTCAGAGTGGATCTTCTCCTAAATGAAAGGGTTGCAAACTCTCTCACCTGGAAGGTTGCGGTAATGATGGCCTGCGAGGCAACAACAGCAGCTAGAATGGCGATGATCAAGGCTGGATAGAGGGTTCCAGGTGGGGCCGAGTTGAAAAAGGGATTTGAGTACGCCTCTGGGTGGGTGCTGATATATGCGGCCTGCCCGATATATGCTAACAAAAGGCAGGGAAACGTGTAGCACAGCCAACTGATCTGGATCGCTTTTCGGCTGAAGGCACCCAGGTCCGCAAAGAGAGCTTCCACACCTGTGAATGCGAGCAAAGTACCACCCAGCATCTTCCATCCTTCTGTCTTATTACGGATCAAGAACTGAAACGCGAGGCCAGGATTAAAAGCCACGAAAACCCCGGCATCATACTTGGTGAGGTTGTATATCCCGAACGCCGCGTTAAAAGCGAGCCATATGATCACGATCGGTGAGAACGCGAAGGATAATTTTGTGATTCCCAGCGGCTGAATACAAAACAGCACGACGAGGATGGCATCAGTGACACCGATTACTGTGCCTTTGGATATGCTCGGTTGCACAACTTCAATGCCCTGAACGGCTCCGAGAACGGACTGGGCTGGAGTGAGCAGGCCATCGGCTAGTACCATAGTGACAGCCAGCACACCGATCACTTTTAGCAGCCCTCGCGCGAACCGACTGGACTCTAAGCGTTGGCGCACTTTCTGACCCGCGTGCTCCAGATCACCGGATAAGTACCGTTTCATCTGGATCAACGAAGCCTCCCTTGGATCACGGTGGGTGATATTCATCTGTGAGTCAGTTAGCTTTTGCGAGGAAGAGATCATGAGGAGTACTTACATAGCGGCTGAGAAGGGAATAGGTACTGAAAGTGCCACCTTCGCCGTCATTATCGGCACGAAGAATCACCAGCACATACTTGACAGTCACCATCATGAACAGGCTCCAAATAATGATGGAGAGGGCGCCGATTAGGTCTGGCCGAGAGGGAGGGGACGAAAAAGTGGACGAGAAGACGTAGAGGGGACTGGTGCCAATATCGCCATAAATTACGCCCACGGATTGATATGCCAGCCAAAAAAGCATCTTGCCTTTGAATACCTGTCTCTGCTTGAAGTCGCCCGGGTTTCGCAAGCCTGGGTCGTCGTCTGGTTGCTCAGCGGAGATCTTGCTACTGATCCGCTCCGGCATCCTGGGGTGGGAGCGGATATTGTAAATACTCTCGTGGACGTCCCCTTGATGGGATCGGGCCATCGATTGCGACTTGGAGAAAGCTGGGCCCATCGTTGATGCATCATCGTCTGACGGCAGCTGTCCGGGCTCATCTCCCGCATACGCGGGATCTGCGATTCGGACGGTCGCCATGCTGTTAGAAAACAGACAAGGAACGGTCGAAAGCGACGTTGAGATCGATGATGAGGGAAGATGGCTGCATGGTCGTTGTGCGTCTGCCTGGCAGGTGATGCGACTTATAGCGAAAACACAGGCTGAGCTTGCAGGGGGCTTATCTGAGGTTATCGTTGCGATCTTATTAAATTAATGATGGTCACTTACTGATCCTTCCGTGAATCCGCCGCGGAACAGCAACGCCACATGGCAAACGTGCACCAGAACGGAGGTTAGCGGTGAGCAAAGCACACTTGACACGGCACTAGGCATGTGAGATTACGCGGACTGAGCAAAATAAGCTTCCTCAGCTGTTGTGTGATAGGACCGGATAATTCCCTCATACCTCATTCTGGCAAACGATGAGCAAACGTCGGGCCGCTAAGTGACGAGATAATGAGCAACCCTAGAAACTAGCAGCCTTAAAAACAGACCGCTGGTATTATTGTCACTGCGTTCCTGGCGGATTTGGGGAATATTCTTGCTTGATCGGAGTTTCCGTGCAACTCTACGAGTTGAGCGGTGGCCAGAATAAGATCAATGCTAGGCACTAGATCTATTAAAGTGGGGCCACATCACACCACGCAATAATGACTGCAATTTGGTTATCGCATGCAATTGTTGGCTCAATAGGGTATTATATTAGCGGATCACAAGTATTTTACGGAGGCTGCCGCTTCAGCTCTTCGACTTCCATGCCAAAATCCACACGTTTCTTCCCTCCCATACTGGTCTCTGGGTTCTCAACGGACCAGCCCCATTGATAAACGTCATATGACCGCCACCACCCAGGTCATCTAAGTTGCCTCCCGCTCCATGTTGGCGACTGCGTCGATAGGCCTCGAGTCGCGTACGCTTCTTCAAGTCCTGTAGCTTGGTTTTGAATTTGGCTTCCTGGCGACGCTTCTTATCGTCCTCGCGCTTTTCAATTCCGCATTCAGTGCCTCTAGGGAGGCCCTTTTTTTTTTTTTTTTTTTTTTTTTTTTTTTTTTTATTATAAAGAGAACGCAATCTCTTCAATCTAATAGCGAAGCAATATCATCATTTTGTTCTAGGTCACCTTATGCGGATTCGCACGGTTCTATGTGACGGAGAAGCTCTTCATCTTTCAGATCGGCTGGGGACTTATTCGCAAGTCAGTGAGTGCGTGGGCTCACATGAGGGAAGTGTTTGCGGGGTTGTCTGACCACATTGAAGCTATACCAGATCCGGATAGGAAAGAATTAGCGTCAGTTTGATTTATTGCAGCTTACCCTTTTTATAGCTACGGTAGGCTCAAAAGTATATGCAAAGTTAGTAAGCACTGGAGCGGAAGTACTAGAGGTGCAATATTTTTTTTGGTCTGTCGCTGTCCGTCTCTTCATGACAATGAGCGCACGGGTCCTGCTATAGCGTCGTTCCTGTGTGTTGGCTTATAGCATCCTCCATTCGGAGACGCGGGCCGCTTTGACTGATAACGATAAAATTTGGTTCAACCTTTCCGCCCCTGCTTCCCACCTTACAATCTCCCGAGCACCCCTCTCAGGAAGAAGTCATCCATACCACGGTTTGATACACCCAGTGCGAAATCCTCGACTACTATACTAGAGCAAAATGCTGTCTAGTACAGATATTGGCTACTTGCGTCGGTGTGTGAAGCTAGCCCGTGAGGCGCTTGATGCGGGTGATGATCCGTTTGGGTCAGTGCTCGTAGATGCTACGGGCAATATTCTCAGAGAGGACCGCAACCGGACCAGGACCGAAGCAGATATCACCCTACACCCGGAACTCATACTGGCTGTTTGGGCCCGGAAGCATATGGCCCCCGCCGACCGCGCCGCTGCCACCATCTACACTTCTGGTGAACACTGTCCAATGTGCGCAACTGCCCACGCCTATGCCGGGTTGGGACGGATCGTGTATGCTACTTCGACTGCTCAGCTTGTACAGTGGAAGACGGAGTTGGGTGTGAAAGCTGGCCCGGTTATTCCACTCTCGATTAACCAGGTTGCGCCGGGTCTGATTGTTGATGGCCCCGCTCCCGGTCTGGACGAGGAGATTTATGAGCTACATCGGAAGCAGGCTCGAACTAGAGCCGAATAATAGGTACCTTACCGCGAACCCGAATGAGGAGCTTAGGTGCCTCCCAAACGTGCTATAACGAAAATGGTTGCAATGTTCAGGAGGCCCGTGGAAATTGTCCAGTGTTTTACAATGACTCATTACTCTGAAATCAAATACAGTACATTCTGAAACGTGATACGGCTAAGCAGGGGTTGTTGATGGAGTAACCCATTACGGATTAAAGTGGTTCTAGGTACGGGCCGAGAAACGATCGGTGTGTGTCTAGAGGGGCATCAGATTTCGACTCGCACTGTACTAGTACATGTAATCTGCCATGCATGCTTGGACCCCGACGCTTTCGAGTTGACATCAGCCCCGTCTAACATAACCGCACGATTTGCTGGTCATCGATGGGATCTTGGTATATGGTAACCATCTTATTCCTTCTCCTCTTCCTCACTCTCAACACACTTTAAACCATGTTCATTAGCGCCGATTTTTATACTCTGAGTTCTCGAGCTTGTATTGTCGACCCACCGCCTCTTTCCACCTATCCTTTATCTCGACCTTCGTGAACCCTCACCGTGGCCTACCCTTTACGCGGCCACTACTTTTTGAAAATTTTGAACCTCTACTTTCTTCTTATATTCAAAACATTTTTCACGCTACTTATCTTCAAGGGCGAGACTTGCGAGAATTAACATGGTACTCGTGCTTCGCGCCTCGTTGAACGCAATGAAACGCTAAAGTTGACAAGTCGATTTCACGTATATATGGCATCAAGCCCGATATATCGACTGCTTTGATTCATGTATAGGGCAACTTCATCTCTGTGTATACTATCCACTGCCAAAGTTTTGGTTATACTGACAGTCTCACTTAGACACATACCTGCCTTCCCTTCTCCGTGAGCTTGCTCGAGAAAGCTATTCTATCCTCGGCCGCTATCGCAGTTTCAATCTACTGTGGTATCCTCTCGAGCCCTCGAGCTCCTTGTCCCACGTGCTCATCGAGGCTTCCTGTTCCATTCTTCACCATCAACCCGACTCTGTTCACCATTCTGTTCAAACCCTCCGCCCCACCTTCTCCGAGGTTGCTCACCCATTCACAAACCGCCTTCTTCCCTCACTGTAAGCCCATCTCTACGCCTGATTCCACTCATTGCCTCTTCTTCATCCTAGACAGTATTTGCCCCTTGTCCTCGCCATTTCTTTGACTTTCGATATCCCCCCGCAAGTCGGCTTCATCAACATCATGGCAGTGCGAGAATGTGTGAAATGCCATAGGGAATTTGCCCTTGACGACTTCAGGTCTTCTAACAACCCGTATCGAATCTGCACCTGGTGCTGCAGATGTCGCGCGGCTGGCAATGAGGTGAGTCTCTCAGTACCTTTCGAGTTGCCCACAAATGAACTCATCTTGCTAGGGTCATAGGCGCTATGAGCAGAGAAAAAAAGAGAGGCTCGCTGTAAGTAATGCTAAAATGTTGGGTCCTGCTATCGAGACCCGACGTTTGGGAATTGCTTCCAGGGTTCAGAGGCAGTCCCGGATGATTTCGCCACCGGTCAAACACTGGGCAGTTCTTGGTCAGAGAAAAACCTCCAATGTCGTAACAAGTAAGTCATGATCTTTCTAGTTTTCTCTTAAAAGGCAATCCTGTTCTAAAAAAAAATTTAGGTGCTGGTGGTAGTCCCGTACTGTCCGTCTTGACATCTCCCTTTTCTCTAACGCCCATGCAACTATCAGGTTGGCATGTAGAAACTCTCCCTCAATTGGAAGACACCCAGTCCGGTCCCTCCAACGGCCATACCCTCGGCTTTGTGGCTGACGCGCTTAATGCATACTATATCGAGCGAGCATCACGCCATAAGACCTCCCGATTTGAAGACCCCGACAATAAAACGTCCGAGGACGATACTCCGGAGCACAATTTATCCGATGATGAGGCCTCCGATGATGGGACCTCCGAGAGTGAAGCATCTAGGGACAAAATGCCACAGGATGGGGACGATCAGGATGAAGAACTACGGTCCTTTGATAGTCGTAATGAAGAGAATTACGAACTCGAAGACGAGACGAACTCTGACTCCTCCGCGACACGATACTTTACCTGCCTGCACTGCAGCGTTGTGCGGCCAATCAATCTCTCTGACCTTGGGAGCATATGTCTTTATTGCCTCGAGCAGAAGATGTATTGCGTGAAAGGCGACCATGAAAATTTCGAGTCTGAGTTCTTCGACTCCAACGGTGATGGGCATGCAGTTTGCAAACAGTGCCACATTGTCCCAGAACCCACCTGATTTTTTTGACTGGCTGACGCCACTTGCTCGGATAAAGGGGCGTCGCTGCGGATTGTCCAATGTAATTCTGCGATGGGGTGGCTGGCAGCTGATCGGGCTAGTCCCGGAGCGCCCTGAATTGTTTCTAATTCTGGCTGTTCTTAGTCCCTACTGCTTTGTGGATTTTTGTCTTTCGAACTTGCAGTCCGTCTTCTCATGTTTTTATTCCACTTCAATTACTGATACAGCACTTATCTACGGCAATGTCATGTTTACTTTCGGGTTGTACAATTGCTGCTGATGTATGACTGACTGATGTAGACGATTGTTTGTCCTCCTCGCATGCCCCTGCTGATAAGGTAATTAAGTTGGAGACTAATCAGCTACATTCGTTCCCCTTCAGACGGCGCAGGCGGACTTGCAGTTAAACTCCTTCCCGCCCAGTAAAAGAACCTCAGTCAGCAACACCCACACGATTTGCGGATGATGATGATGATGATGATGATGATGATGATGATGCCTTGAGAAACTACCCGAAATATGTATCGAGAAAAGGGCTAGGCGACCTGCTGACCAAAGAACAAGCATGGCCGTAGTCAACACCAGTAGATCTGACGCCGCCGGACGGCGATCTTGCGCCAAGCGGGAAAAGGAGATCATTAGGATTAGACCAGTCAATTGGGGCCCATCGGAGAGATTGATACTCCGACACAATCTACCCTAACAGCTGTAATTGGTCTGCCGGGGAGGACCACGCGGAAAAGGCCGCGAAACTAAATGGCCGGAACCCCCATTTCCGCTGACTCAGCGGGCCGCCGCAAAGCCCGATCGCCGTGGAAAGTACAATGGCCAGTCACCTTCTCGCCTCGGCCTCTTGGCATTCCGTGCAACGAGGTGGATTGACTGATCAGTCAGTTGGCAGTGGATATACGGATAAACAATCAAGTGTGCCAGCACGCCGACTTGATTCCAGAAGACCGGGCTGATTATTGCAACATCCCCCGTCGCAGTGTCGCCCGCGGCGCACGAGCAACGCCAACAGAGATTAGTATCAGGTCCACCATTTGCGACAAGGCGTGTCCAAGTTAGTCAACTAGGCCCTGATGTGTCAGCGGAAGGGAATCCCTGGTCCCCTCCGTGTTGCCTTCTTGGGTCGTCGGAGGCTCCACAGCTTGTTCGGTTCGGGGCAGAGATTTCGACCGTGCGTGGACCACTGTGGGTCTGCCGGCCCGCTACGGCGCAAATAGTAGGCCTGACCAGGGGTTTCCGAAACAACATGTGCTTGTTGACTACGGTTTGCACCGCAATGCGTGGCCGCAGAGCTGCAGGTAACCCCGGTCAAGATAGCAAAGTCCGGTCGAAGCGGGCTATTCTTCGGCACGGAGGTTCGGCCACAGCTACCGCCGTCTGTCTTAAAGGTCCGGACCCACTCCGAGTGTAGGAGTATTATATGCCGGTATAAAGATATGGATGTGCCACAGGTGCGCGTCTTCCTCGCTTTCATGTGCGCAATCCCTCTCTCTCTCAACCATGGAGAGTCCCACTAAACACTCGTCCCCGCCAGGGTCGATAGAAGTCAAAGATGTGACCGTGAGTGCTGCTGCTACGGTCCTCGGTGACGAGACTCCTCTCAAGATCACCCCCTCGCACAGTCAGCACAACGAATGGAGCCTGCTGCAACGGGTTCAACAACAACATGAGCGGGACCTGGCCTCCGGATTCAAGCGTCAGGAGCTTGGTGTGACCTGGCAAAATCTCAGTGTCGACGTTATTAGCGCGGAGGCGGCCGTCAATGAGAACGTCTTCTCACAGTTTAATATCCCCCAGCATATCAAGGAATCCCGCAGCAAGCCCCCACTTCGCACCATCCTGAACAAGAGCCATGGCTGCGTCAAGCCCGGCGAGATGCTTTTGGTGCTAGGCCGTCCTGGCTCCGGTTGTACAACGCTGCTGAAGATGCTTGCCAACCGTCGAGGCGGATACAGGGCCGTGGAAGGAGATGTCCGATTTGGCTCGCTATCCCCCCAGGAGGCCAGCCAGTATCGAGGCCAGATTGTCATGAACACCGAGGAGGAGCTATTCTTTCCGACCTTGACAGTCGGACAAACCATGGACTTTGCAACTCGCCTCAAGGTCCCCTTCCACCTGCCGAACGGTACCGACTCTCCCGAAGCGTACAAAGACGAAGCGAAGAAGTTCTTGATGGAATCAATGGGAATCTCCCACACGGAAAACACCAAGGTCGGTAACGAGTACGTTCGTGGTGTCTCGGGTGGTGAGCGCAAGCGCGTCTCAATCATCGAATGCCTCGCCACCCGCGGATCCGTCTTTTGCTGGGATAACAGTACCCGTGGCCTGGATGCCAGCACCGCTCTGGAGTGGACCAAGGCTATCCGTGCCATGACTGATACCCTGGGCCTGTCAACCATTGTCACCCTCTACCAGGCCGGGAATGGTATATATGAGCTCTTTGACAAGGTGCTGGTCCTGGACGAGGGCGAACAGGTGTACTACGGCCCTCGTGAACAGGCCCGGCCGTTCATGGAGGAGGCTGGCTTCATCTGCCGCGATGGTTCCAACGTCGCCGATTTCCTTACTGGTGTCACTGTTCCCACTGAACGCCGCATCCGCGAAGGATACGAAAATCGCTTCCCCCGAAACAAGGACACACTTCGCCAGGCGTACGAAAAGTCCTCCATCTACACGAACATGGTCTCAGAGTACGACTACCCGAACTCCGAAGCTGCACGCGAATGCACCCGAGACTTCAAGGAGGGCGTGGCCTTCGAGACCTCCCAACATCTCCCCAAGAACAGTCCTCTGACTGTTAGCTTTACCGAGCAGGTCAAGGCCTGTATCGCCCGGCAATACCAGATCATTTGGGGTGACAAGGCGACGTTCATCATCAAGCAGGTTGCCACCCTGATGCAAGCTTTGATTGCTGGTTCCCTCTTCTATAGCGCCCCTGATAATTCGGGTGGTCTGTTCGTCAAGTCTGGTGCCCTTTTCTTCTCTCTGTTGTATAACAGTTTGCTTGCCATGTCCGAGGTAACAGACTCCTTCGAGGGTCGTCCAGTCCTAGTCAAGCACAAGAGCTTCGCTATGTTCCACCCCGCCGCTTTCTGCATTGCCCAAATCGCCGCCGATATCCCCGTATTGTTGTTCCAGATCAGCGTCTTCTCGCTGGTCGTCTACTTCATGGTTGGCTTGACAATGTCTGCGGGAGCCTTCTTTACCTACTGGATTTTGGTCTTCGCCACTACTATGGTAAGTCGACTATCTTGATGACTACTTCAATAACCTAACATTCCACAGTGCATGACCGCCCTCTTCCGCGCGGTTGGTGCTCTCTTCTCCACATTCGATGGTGCTTCCAAGGTTTCCGGTTTCCTCATCTCGGCGTTGATCATGTACACTGGCTATATGATTCAAAAGCCCCAGATGCACCCGTGGTTCAGCTGGATTTTCTGGATAAACCCGCTAGCCTACGGCTTTGAGGCTCTCCTGGCCAGCGAATTCCATGGGAAAGTCATCCCCTGTGTCGGAAACAATATCGTTCCGCAAGGCCCCGGTTACGACAACGCTGCGCACCAGTCTTGTGCTGGTGTCGGCGGTGCCATCCAGGGCAACACCTATGTCACCGGCGATCAGTATCTCGCCTCGCTCTCTTACAACCACTCTCATCTCTGGCGCAACTTCGGTATCAACTGGGCTTGGTGGGTTTTATTTGTGGCGGTCACTATCATTGCCACTTCTAGGTGGAAGTCCCCTTCGGAGAGTGGAAGCTGCCTAGTTATTCCCCGTGAGCGACTGAGCCAACACCAGCAGAACGCTCCCACCGACGAAGAGTCGCAGGTGCAAGAGAAGTCGAAGAAGCCATCTGAAGGTGATGCCCAGGAAGAGAATAACATTAACAGCCAGTTGGTCCGCAACACTTCCGTGTTCACCTGGAAGAATCTGTGCTACACCGTGAAGACCCCTACCGGTGATCGCATGTTACTCGACAACATTTATGGGTGGGTCAAGCCTGGTATGCTAGGTGCCCTGATGGGTTCCTCCGGTGCTGGCAAGACTACTCTGCTCGATGTTCTGGCACAGCGTAAGACCGAGGGTACCATCAAGGGCTCGATCATGGTAGACGGCCGCCCTCTGCCTGTTTCCTTCCAGCGTTCTGCCGGCTACTGTGAGCAGCTTGATGTTTTGGAGCCATTTGCCACCGTCCGGGAATCTCTCGAGTTCTCTGCCCTCTTGCGGCAGAGCCGGGATGTGCCCCGCGAGGAGAAGCTGAAGTATGTCGACACTATCATCAATCTCCTAGAGCTGCACGATATTGCTGATACCCTCATCGGTCGCATCGGTGCTGGTCTGAGTGTCGAGCAGCGCAAGCGTGTCACCATTGGTGTCGAGCTTGTTTCTAAGCCCAGCATTTTGATTTTCCTGGACGAGCCTACCTCCGGTCTCGATGGACAATCCGCCTACAACACCGTTCGTTTCTTGCGAAAGCTCGCCGACGTCGGCCAAGCTGTTCTCGTTACTATTCACCAGCCCTCCGCTCAACTCTTTGCTGAATTCGACACTCTCCTTCTGCTTGCCCGGGGTGGCAAGACCGTGTACTTTGGAGATATTGGCGATAACGGCCAGACTGTTAAGGACTACTTCAACCGCTATGGCGCCCCGTGCCCCAACACTACCAACCCGGCCGAGCACATGATTGACGTTGTCTCGGGTCACCTCAGCCAAGGTCGTGACTGGAATCAGGTCTGGCTGGAGTCGCCCGAGCACCAGAAGGCCCTCCAGGAGCTTGACCAGATTGTCGATGCCGCTGCTGCGAGCCCCCCGGTACGCTCGACGATGGACAGGAATTCGCGACCTCAATCTGGGAGCAGACGAAGCTCGTGACGATTCGCATGAGCACGGCCCTATTCCGCAACACAGATTATGTCAACAACAAGTTCGCCTTGCACATCGGTTCGGCCATTTTCAACGGATTCACTTTCTGGAAGATCGGCGATAGCGTCGGTGATATGCAGCTGCGTTTGTTCACGATCTTCAACTTCATCTTCGTTGCCCCTGGTGTGATCAACCAGCTGCAGCCGCTCTTCCTAGAACGCCGCGCGATCTACGAGCAGCGCGAGAAGAAGTCGAAGATGTATTCCTGGTGGGCCTTCGTGACCGCCCTCGTCTCCTCGGAGATCCCTTACCTCTGCATCTGCGGCGTACTGTACTTCGTGTGCTGGTACTGGACGGTGGGCGGCGACACTGCCTCCAGCAAGTCCGGCGCCACTTTCTTCATGATGCTGCTCTATGAGTTTGTGTACACCGGTATCGGCCAGTTCGTTGCCGCGTACGCGCCCAACGCCACCTTCGCCTCGCTGGTGAACCCCCTGATCATCGGAACCCTGGTGTCGTTCTGTGGTGTCCTCGTGCCGTACGCGCAAATCCAGGAATTCTGGCGCTACTGGATCTACTGGCTGAACCCGTTCAACTACCTGATGGGCGGCCTGCTGGTCTTCAACGTGTGGGACACCGACGTCAACTGCAAGGAGAGCGAGTACGCCATTTTCAATCCGCGCAACGGCAGCACCTGCGGCAATTACTTGACCTCCTACATGGAGACCATCGGCATGCGCATGAACCTGGTCAACCCGGATGCGACCGAGAGCTGCCGCGTGTGCCAGTACACGCATGGCAGCGACTACTTGTATACCCTCAACCTTAAGGAGTACTACTACGGCTGGCGGGACATTGGCATCGTGGCTATCTTCGTGGTTAGCTCGTATTCATTGGTGTATCTGCTCATGAAGCTGCGGACTAAGGCTTCCAAGAAAGCCGAGTAGAGTTGCATGGGGGCAAAGAATCATAGACTTGGATAGATTTCTTAGACGGATAGTTCTCGGCGTTGCATATATCGCAAACTAATCAGATTATTCATATTGCATATGGCCATTTGGTTTTTATTTTATTTTCACCCCTCCTTTCTAAAGTGGAATCCTCGTACTATCTGTCCTTGCCTCATGAAAGATGGCAACTTGCCATTCGTCTAATTTTCCGAAATGCCTGATCATCTAGACTCTTGACTCCTCTTACGCCACCCTCGCCTACCTTCCATCAAAGCGCTTCTACTACCGGACCGCACTCGATTATGGTCTCTCTCTATGAGGGCAGCCATCCTCTTTCTCAATTTTCACCCTGAAAGAGGCCATCCTTAGTCTGGGTCGAGAGAGTTCACCAAAATACCCTCTTACCGTGGGCATGTCGGGGGCCCGTTCCGGGATAGTTGCACAAGTGGGGATGCATGTCTCATAGTCCACGGCCAATAGCCAATGCCACCAGCGCTGTCGACACCCCAGAGTCGCCTGCCCGCCCGCATCGACCCTACTTCTCCAATGTGCTTAGCCAAAAGAGAAGCATCCCAGACGTCTCCAAATCTTCCAGCACCCAATCGCGCGTTTCCCCCCGGCCAATCCATGCGCGGCCACCATCCGGACATGGCGCCATGAGTCACCCGAGGTCGTGTGTCCGGATCGGACAATAGAAGAAGATCCATAGCTTTCATAGTTCCATAGTTCCCTAGTTCCATCCGGAAGGGCACTTTCCTTTTCTTTGCCTGGTTCCCAGCCTCTGCTACAGCTCCACCCTCTATACCACCGGCGGAATGACCTCGTCCCAACCGAGCCCCATCACCATGCACGATGAAGAAAGACCACCCCAAACCGCATTCTCCATCCTCGAACCACCTGCCTCCCTCTCCGCCATCACCACACACACGACACACCTTCGCCGGCCGGAGCCCGAAGACACCTTCCCCGATGGCGGGACCCGCTCCTGGCTCGTCATCCTGGGCTCTTTCTGTCTCCTCATGGCCAGCTACGGGATGATGAACTCCACCGGCATGCTGCAGAGCTACTTTGCAACGCACCAGCTAGCCGGGTACTCGACCAGCGCGGTTGGCTGGATCCCCGGGCTCTTCACGTTCTTCGGGCTGAGTCTCAGCGTGCAGATTGGGCCCATGTTCGACCGGTACGGACCGACGGGCATCTTGGTCGCTGGGTCGTGCTGCTATGTCACTGGGCTGCTGTTGCTCGCGGAGTGCCGGTTGTACTGGCACTTTATGCTCACGCTGGGCGTGCTGATGGGCTCGGGCGCGGCGCTGCTGAGTACCGCGGCGATGGCGGCGGTGCCGCAGTGGTTTGATCGGCGGGTTGGGCTGGCGATGGGGACGGCGATGGCGGGTGCCGGGCTGGGCGGGGTGACGTTCCCGTTGGTGCTGCGCGCGGCGTTGACGCGGGTTGGGTACCGCTGGGCGATGCGGTTGCTGGCGTTGATGGTGGCGGTCATGTGTGGGGTGGGCATTGGGTTAGTGCGGTCGCGGTTGCCGAGGGGCTTGAGCAGGTCCAGTATCAATTTGAGGGCCTTTCAGGACTCGCGGTTTACTTGGTTGACGCTGGGGACGTTTGGTGAGTCGGCCGCGCGAGAGGGAGAAGGAATGGGGAGAGAGAGATGGAGAGGGAGTGGGGAGAGATGCTGATGCGCGTGTAGGACTCGAGCTGGAGGTCTTTGCGGGCCTGGGTCTTTATCCCACGTACGTCGTGATGCAGGGTTTTAGCGTGTCAACGAGCGTGATTCTTCTTTCGGTGCAGAATGTGTTGAGTCTCGCTTTCCCCGGGCGCGCGTGTGCTATACTCGACTCACACTAGACTGACTACGGACTCCGACGGACAGCTTCTCCACGCTCGGTCGCCTCATGGCTGGGGCGATCGCGGATAGATACGGGCGAATCAACACGCAAGCCGGGCTCGTCTGCCTGGGTGCGCTCGCCATCTTCGCCATCTGGCTCCCCTTCGGTAACACGCTGCCGGGTCTGTACGTCTTTAGCTGCGTGTTCGGGCTGGCGTCCGGATCCTTTTTGAGCCTGGCGCCGGCATGCATTGGGCAGATCTCCAAGGCCAGTGAAGTCGGGGGTCGGTTTGGGATTTGTTAATCCATTGTGAGCTTGGCGTGCGTGAGATCCCGTTTGCGTGCATGAAGAGCTGGAATGCGCCGACGCTGACTCTGTTAGTACCCTCGTTTGCATTCCCATTGGTGGTGAGATGCTCGAGAAGGTGGGCAGCCGTGCCATGGTTGCGTATCTGGGGAGTGTCTTGATTGTCTCGCTGGGCATGTTCGTAATGGCGCGGTGGGCGAGCCTGAGTTATCGATGGCGGTGGCAGGCCATGATCTAGTCCTTTCACTCCCCGTGAGGTTTGCTTTCCCCAACTGGGTAGAAGGATTTGTGGGGTATGGAAGTGATCAACACGATGCAATTTGGCATTTCCATTGGGGTTTAAGAATATAAACACGGTATCGAACACAATGGCCGCGCCCGCAACGGCTATGGCGCTTCCAGGGCGGCAAATATAGTGGCAGACAGCAGGACCTTCATCAGAGATGCATGAAGAGGAGGGAGACCTGCTATCTTGGTCATAGATCAAGTCCAAGCAATTCAAACGAACGAGGGAAACGGTGGACCTTGGGGGCCCACAGGACGCGAGTCAAGGAAGTATATGAAAAACGAGAGATCACGCGGCAGTTAGTTTTGCTCGCCACCTTGGGTCTTCGCCAGTTCTTCCCTACACCAAACACCGTTAGCACAGCAATCCCACCAATAGAACAGGCGTAAGATCTTGTGGTGTCATACAGGTGCCGATCCAGCTCCTCCATGTGTTTCTGCGACTCCTTCATCTTCATGCGCAGACGCTCGATCCTACAGAGCCCAATGATTAGCACCGCTCTGCTCCGCAGACCCCACGATCCACCCCATCGCCGAGGGGAAAACACGCACTTCTCCACCTCCTGCTGCCGAATGTACATAGCCTCCTGGGCGGCCTCGCGCCGCTGGAACTGGTCCTTCCTGTGGTTGCGCAGTCAGCGATGGGATGACGTCATGCATTCCCGAGGTCGCAGCGACATACTCGGCTAGAAAGCCCCGCGCCTTGGGCGCGCCCGTGTCGCCTGCACCCATGATGGATGGGGCTGCCGTGAATGATCGGATTAGGGCTGGAGTCGATGCGGATGTGCGAAGGATGGGGCGGGAGAGGCGTTGCATGGTGAATGAAGCGGGCTGGGGGATGGTCTGGGGGGAGGTTGGGAGATGGATGAGAGGTGGGGATGTGGTGGGGAGAGACGGAGTATTGATCGAGGAAATGCGCAGCACAGTTGGTTATTCGTGAGACCGTGCAGTTGTGTAAGATAGTCCCCGGCTGGTAGGGGGCGAAGTTGAAGAGACGGAAACGGTCGGCCTTTATAGCCGGGGCCAGCTCAGGGAGGAAGTCGAGGTACGCCGAGGGCCGTTCTGGACAGACGCGGACTGGACGAGTCATGGGCTTGCCACTGGGCTGGTAGTCAGTAGTCATGGCCATATCGAGGAATCGGGTTGCCTACTTCGTCGTGCCATCCTTGGCCCGATCTTCCATGCGGAGAGGAGAGGCTTTCCCCGCACGTTCCACTCGGCCAGTCGGGAAGTCTGAAGGGGCTGGGGTGCTGGACCATCAGGGGCATGGGGGCCATTCTAGGCCGCTGATGGCACCACCGTGAACTAGGAGAGGGGCATTCAAAAGCACAACAAAATCGATCTCATTGCTATCTTGCATATCTGGCGTATAGCCCCTACACCACAAAACGGAAGCCCTTCTGCAACCGCCTCGCCGCCGCCACATCGATGCCCTCCAGGTCCGCTGTCACCTGCAGTCTTCGCAGCTCCTTCTCCGTCAACTGCACCTCCTCGTTCTCCAATCTCTCCTGCCGCTTGTTCAGCGTCCGCAGATTAAAGTACATAAACAGCCCCATCAACAGGCCGATGACCTGCAACGCAATGCACACCCCCATCGCGGTATAGTATTGCGGCGCTTCGGCGTCAAGGTAGGTATACGGCGTCCAGATACTGGCCGAGTTGCCGATGGAATTGATGAATGCGTAGGCGGCGGCGCGCTTGGCGGGCGGGCGGGGCAGCGCGTTCGCAATCCATGAGTAGAGCGTGCCGTTCTGCGCGAACACGAAGATCATCAGGAAGAAGGAGAAGTAGCGCGGGCCGAAGCTGCTGGTGGTCATGAAGAGGATGAAGCCCACGATGGTGATGGGGATCGGGTATGCGAAGAACCAGAAGCGGACGCCCATCTTGTCGGACATCCACGAGTGCGCGAGGCTGTACATCACCATGAAGACGTATGGCGGGGCCACCAGCAGGAGGGAAATCGTGTTGTTGTAGTGGAGGGTCTTCGTCAGCGTGGGGAAGAAGTTCTGGAAGCCGGCCGCGCCGGTGATGCACATGTATGCGATCGCCAGCACGTAGGTCTTGATGTCGGTCATGGCCAGCTTGAGGCCCTTCAGCTGGCTCATGCCACCTTGCTCGTCCGTATCGGCCTCCGCGGCGTCCACGGCCAGGCGTCGCCTGGCGATGCGGCGCATCTCGGGCGACAGCAGCTTCCACGTCTCCGGGAAGTCCGGGAGGAGGACACAGATCCCTAGGCCGACAAAGACGGTGACGCTGCCTTCGATGATGTATAGCCACTGCCACGCCGACAGGCCGCGTTTCCCCCTTGAGGCCGCTCAGGATGCCAGCCGCGATCAGGTTGCCGAAGGCGCCGCTCAGCAGGGAGCCGGAGTAGAAGATACTCATGCGGAAGGCCAATTCATTCTTCGTGTACCATTTGGACAGGTAGAATAGGACACCGGCGAAGAAAGGAGCCTCTGGAAACGACAGGTATTAGCGGTGAGACACATCATCACTCCCCCTCCATGGGGGCTCAACGTACCGACCAACCCCAGCAGAAATCGGCACGCGACGATCGCGCCATAGCTCTTGACCTGGCTGGTCAGGGCCGACACTAATCCCCACGCCACAACAAAGAACCCCAAGTACAGCGATGGCCGTCCCATATAGTTCAGCAGCAAGTTGCTCGGCACCTGCATTAGAATGTATGCCACGAACAGGATTGACAAGCCCGTATGGTACTGCGTATCCGTTAAATGAAGATCCTCCGTGAGACCCTGGAGCTTCGCTGCAGCGTAGTTATTTCTACCGGCGCATTAGTTTCCAGCCGGCAATCCCCCCTCGGCGGTATCCACTCACCGATCAATGTAATTTAAAAGATAGACCAGCACGACCAGCGGCATGATCAGTGAATCGATCCGCCGCAGCAGTTTCTTCTCGAGCAGCTTCTCCTCTTCCGTCAGCGCAGTCAGATGTATGACCTCATCATGGGTGATGTCAGCCTTTTCACCCATTGTGACGGAGTCGGGGACGAGGTGGTCGGTAGTCTCCATGGTCGGTGCCATGGTGGGTGGTAGAAACAGGAAAAGGCCCCTGATCGCAACCAGAGAAGGCAAACAGGAGATCAGCAATGAAATCAATCTGCACCCACCGCGACTCCCGGGTGGGGAGGGACATCGTTTTATGTTCACGCGGCAGGGAGGGGGAACGTGTCGCCGCCTAGTCAGTGTGTGACCATAGCCAACACGGGATGCTGCCCATCGAGGTGCGCGGCAATCGCAGTTACCCCGTCCTCCCCTCGCGGGTTATGGGGACGAAAGTGCGTGGGGGAAGAGAAGACCTACGCCACAACCAATGAGTGCTGCGGGCAAGAAGAATGTGGAGTGACCCGAGGCTCGACAGTGTCATGCCTCTGCGTCTGACGGGGCTGATAGGACGATACTCCGGGCCCCCACGGTGGAGGCGGGAGCCATGCGCCACGAAAAGTCCGGGGGAAGCTTCCCCCACGGGCACACGTCTGGCACGGGCCCAGTCCGGGGAGGACGACATGGCGGGTTTCGTGTCTGGCTCGGACTTGGTCCGCGGGCTGAATGATCAGCCGTGGGCCGCCCGTGGGGTTTGAGTTTGCTGGGCCGTCTTTGACTTTGGAGGCGAGTTCGCGGGGTTTGGTGAAAGCGAGTTCCAAGGTGGGCAGCTGTGGATGCCATGAGGGCGGATGAAGCCCGTGGTCATTGGATAGGTGACATATATCTTGCGTAGAAGCGTAAATTTGCGTCGGTGGAACGGTGGAACCAGACTGGAGAGGACGCCGAAGCTTTCTCGGGCATGAAACCTGTACATGGCTGTACCGGATAGCCACATGAATCCAAAACAAGATCCCTGTCGCTGAGCCGATGCCACACGTTGGGGCATCTTCCTCTCTGAGTTTCACTGCCAAGCCGCCTCTTCTTCTGATTGCCCCAATGCCCGAGACAATCCCCGACAAGCAATCATTCGCCACAGCTTGACCCAGCCACCAGCGGTGTCGCACTTGCTCCGAAGGGTCCCTGCATCCAACCCTTCTACTCGGCCTTTCTCCTAAGCTGTCGCTGCTGGGTACTCATAGGAGGGAGGCGAGACCGCAGATGCTTGTTGGCTGGATCCCAAAGTCGATCCTTGGCTCACCAGGCGTTACGTGGTCGACCAGAACATCAAAAGCCGGACCATGCCGCGATCTGCCCTGAAGAGCCGTTAGAAAGATAAGCCGAAAAGAATGCCGACCTCTTCGGAAGCATGGCTGGCCATGCTGACGTATTGACTCGGCATCGTCTAGACTCGTCCGTCCAAGCGTCTTCCGCTGCAAGTCATGGAGTTGGGTCCTCTCCAGTATCAACCGATGCAGCCGGGCTGCCAGTCGGGATGAATCCGGTCGGTGGGGGCTTATAGCTGCAGTGGTCGGCCCTTACGACTCGGCCGACATGTCACAGATTGAGAATAGTTCCGCCGGCTGGACATCCATACGCTAGTCTCTCCGAGCACCGGTGAGGAGCAAGTCGGCGACAGACGTGGTGACGTCCAACCATTTTAATCAAAGCCAAAGCATCTCCACGCCCTCCACAGCGTCGGCGCTTTTGGGATTCCATACCTTTTTTCTGGTGCGTTGTGACCGAACAGAATTCCACAGCCACTGCGAGTGGAAGTTCACGTGCCGCCGGAAATCGTCTTTGAGCCGAAGGCCCAGTCCATAGTTTTTCAGAATGACTTATAGAAGTGATGCAGCTTGACGTGGTCATTGATTTGCGTCTTTTTTCTGCAACAAACCAGTCTGTTCTGCTCTGGCCCGCACCATGCGAATCGCTAGCGGCGGGGAGCTTGTCGGGGGCGAACCGGGTTTCTTTGGAGCTGTTCCTGTAGTGGTTGAATAACTATTTCCGGGTCCAAAGGCCAGACGTTCAGTTGTCGCATAGGCTGCGAATGGAACGCTGGTCGATCGCACAAGCCGCACGACGATATTGTGGAAGTCGTGCCGTATCCACTCGTAATTCCACGCCGTTACTACTTAGAGAGTGGAAGAAAGTGTTATATCCCTGGAAAGATTCTCCATCGTTCTTTATACCCAGGAGCCCTTCAATCCAGACCACGCGCATCACAGCGGTCGAGAAACTCGGGTGAGACAACCGAGTCATGGTCGTCGATCGACAGGGGGCAATTTTTGTTAGATCTGCATAGAGGTGGAAATGAAAATCAGAGTATAGTCTAGCCTGTGGCAGTGGATTTTAAGTTCAACCGAGGACTGGATCAGATGTCGGGGGGCGGGCCTGGCCACAGTAAGTATACACCGCGCATCTCTACGAGTGTCGACAGCCGATAATAGAGGGCCCCCTATTATCTCTAAGGAACCTCTATTCTAGCCATTGTCGGGATACCTATTACTGCGCACACCGTTGGCAGGGACTTTCCGAGTTTGGTTCAGTATTATGCTCAGAACAGATGCTGGAGCTCCAAATCTCTTAGGTTGGTTTTGGGGGCCGGCTATCTCGATCCACCAGCGATGCATCATAGTCAATAGTGCCAAGAAGCGGAAAGTTTTCCGGACGACACTTTCTAATTTCTACCGAATTGCTACCGTATCTCAAAAGACCCTCTGGTTCAATGAGCGCTGCATGAGGTCTATTGACAACCTGCAGCAGCAACTTCGCTTGAGTGGAAAGCCGTTGTAGCACTGCAGATGTGGGTCTTGTAGGGACCTCGGCAAGGGGGCAGCTAGGCCTTCTGTCGGTAGTAGGTGCGAGAGGTGCTCGCTAGCTTGAGACTCTAACTGGGCTCCCAGATCTCCACAATTGGCATCCAGTTTCAATTTCATGTTTATGGATGGAAGGTGGTCCAACTATGCGCATTTGAGCAACCTGTCTCCCTACATTCCCCGTCTTTCCGCACGTTCGCCCTGTCCAAAAAAATTAAAAATCGACCAGTCCAACGGCCCTCCAACACCAACCAGCTGCACCCAACAAACTCGTTCCACTTCCAACCGTCAGCCCCTCATTACCTCTTCGAGCGACTGGCAGCAGCTACATCCAATGTTCCACCTGCATCGCGCCAATCGCAAGCTCGCCTAGCGGGCCCAGTCGCCGTGGGCGGGCCCAGCTCCGCCAGCCACAGTGCCGATAGGAATTCCGAGACCTCCAAGCTCCCCCGCCCAACGGCTTCGAAGCTGGTCATAAGCTGACCCAGATTGGATCCCCTGTGGCCTTTGGTTCCACCGCTCTCCCACGCCCCGAGCAGGAGATCTCGGGCTCGATCTGGCCCTCCTAATTCCCGCAGCGCCGTTGGCTCGGCATGTTCTTCTCCCTCCTCCCTCGTCCCAGTGCCGCATCCCCATGGTCGGTGAATCGCAACAAGCTGCCCCCGACTTGCGAGTCAGGAAGGCTCCCAACCGGCAGTCACGCTCCTGCAGAGTCTGCCGGTCCCGCAAAGTCAAGGTATGGAGAAGTGCTCAGGTCGTGACAGGACGGACGGTCCCTCCCGGCCGTTGCCTTGTTCCACTGACGGCCATGTCCATCCCAGCAGGACAGGGGGCTGCCATCGTGTCTCAGTTGGTGGTATGGAATCGTCCGCGACACCCGGCGCTAACGTCGATCCTGATCTCTAGTGTGACCGCGTAAAGCCCTGCCACGCATGCTGCGCCCATGGCTACCCTTCAAAATGCGTGTACGATAATATTCCTGATGAGGAGGCCCGCCCGATCAGCCAAGCCGAGGAAATCCGGAACCTGCGATCGGAGATTCGGGATCTTCGGGCGCGGATAGACGACAAGCATGACGGTATGTAGACATGGAGAAGGCTTCCGCGTTGGTGGCCGTCGACTGACGCATTGCTGCTGCAGGGTCCCGGGTCCAGAATCTCAAGCGGCTGGACCAGCTTGAGAGCTTATTTGAGTCTATTCGCTCGGCCCCGCTTCGGGTTGTGGACTCGCTGGTTCGGGATATTAGGAGTGCACAAAGCGGACTGAAGGATGAAATGGCGACGGTGGGGCCATGGGAGGGTCACAAAGGTACGTCCGAAGGGATTGAGAAGATTAACATAGGCCCCTATCCTAATCTGGCTAATTTCTGCAGCTTATGAGAGCTATGGCTCTCCCGGATCTCTGATGCCCATTCGCGAGCGTCTGAGCAATAGTAGCCCAGAAAGTGACTTCAATGATCCTATCACCGGCGATGATGACGATGATGAATTCGGAGATGGCTTGTCGATAGACGGATCCGACTCGTCGTCTTCGTCGGGCACGGTTTCCATCATGAACTTGCAGCGACCAGCAGTCGATGTGTTTGTCGAGCGCTTTGTGGACGCATTCGCTCCCCAGGTCGACTCCAGGCATGGCCGAGCTGGTGCAATTCGTGCGGCTGCCGGGATCCGCATGTTCTCTCCCCTCATTTCAGATGCATTCGAGGCGGTATCTGTCGCCTTCTTCGGCAGGTCCATCCAGAACAAGCAGATTGAAGCGTCCGGCTTCCGCTTGTACCCGCGTGTGCTGCGGGGATTGCAGGATGCCCTGATGGACCCTGAGCGGTCCAAGGCAGAATCTACGTTGGTGACGGTGACTCTGCTGCTTGCGTTCGAGGTGAGTCTTTCGTGACTGCGAACTCTTAACTGGCGATACATTTCCTGACTCAAGCAGAGCGTGGAACGCACGACTCAACGCGGGGTCTCGGCTCATGTACGGGGTGCGGTGCGCCTGATTGAGCATCGCGGCCCTGAGAATCACATGTACGGGGTCGAGCATCTCCTCTTCACCGAGCTACGTCCATACTGGGTATGCTGTTCGGTCGCCTCGCTCTTCCACGAATGGTACTAACAGCTACAGATTGGCGGCGCGCTGGCGGCTCGCCAGCCCTCCTTCCTTGCCCGCGAAGAATGGAAGACTATCCCCTGGTCGGCTGGAACGACTAAGAAGGACATTTTACATCATCTTATCGATGTTGCCACCGAAGTGCCCGGCTTGCTGGCACAATCCGATGCATTCAGCGAAGCACAACAGTCATCCGTGATGGGTGCACAGGAAATGGCCGTCAAACAAGCGGCCCTTTGGAACGGCATCACCGAATGTATGGCGCAGTTCCAGCAGTGGTATGCTGATTGGGTCGAGTGCTATCCCGACGGGTCGATCCAAGAATCCGAGCAGACGGGGGAGCAGGACTTCCCGATCTTCAAGCGGCGGGACCTGCGCACAGGCGCGATCTACGCGCCGACAAAGTTCTCCTACCCCAATCTCCTCTTAGCGCAGACCATGTGCGTGTACTACGCCGTCCGGCTCATCCTGTCCACCATCGATACTCGCCCAGAAGACCGGGTCACGCCCATAGAGCAGTACGAATTGGGATGTGGCATCTGCCGAACCTTGGAATGGTATATTCTGACTGCGCCGGGCAACATGATCAACCGGCTTGCCTTTCCGACTCGAGTCGCGTGGGAGGCATTCCCTGACGGCGGCCCTGAGCGCGCGTTTATGGTCGAGGTGTTGCATCTGGTGGAGAAACGCCATGCTCTCGGCCTTTGGGGTAGTGCGATGCCCGAGCTGTCCGTGCGAGAGAACTCCCCCCTCAATTCCGACCTTTAGTTCTTGTGCGGTGTCACTTTTGCGACTTCTGCATGGCGGTTCGCTTATGCGGTGATGTGGGCATGACTAGTATTAATTTCCACCATATCACGAGAGAGATATCCCTTGAGCGAGTTTGGCGCTTGGCCTTGAATGAAAACCAAAACCACACAATTCTTGCATTCGGCTGCGATCCATCGTACAATTCCATTGTTTTGCTTCTCATCCCAACACGTCAGATGATGAAGACTACTTCGGATGCTGATAGGGCCCCCCAAATCATTTCTGGTTGTGACACCTCTCCTCGGGCGGGCCAGACGCAGTTGATGCACCACGCAGGTCTGACAGCCTCGCCATTCTACGAGGCCCTCGATGAATGATCATTGGGCCCGCGTGCAACATCCCCCACCACGCCGCCCTGCCACTAGCCCCGATCAGAGTGTGGGGACCTGCACGGCACGCGAGGTTGGCCAGTCACAGCGCAGCAGGCCCGATCAACAACCGATAGTTCCAGGCACGGATGGACCCGAGCGAGCTGATTGCGCTGAAGGGAAAAAAAGGAGAGAGCAACCTCGGGAGATCGTGCTCTCCCCGTTGACCACCCAACAATAAAACTCCGGCCGTGACTCAATCCACGGGTTGCTCAGCCCTATTCCCTCCCTTCCACTCTTACCGCCAATAGAGGGCTTATCAATTCTATCATCACCAGAATGCCCTCTCTCCGCACACTCCTTGTCTCCTCCCTGCTAGCGGCCTCCGCGGCTGCGGCCACAAGCATCAACGACTTCTCCTGCACCTCCGACTCGAACCCGGTCGTCCTGTTGCACGGCCTGGGCGCCACTTTCTACGAGGACCTGAACTACCTGCAGTACTGGCTGCAGAACCAGGGCTACTGCACCTATTCCCTGACCTATGGTGCCTACGACGGCTTCCCGTTCCTCGGCGGCCTGAAGCCGATCAGCGAGTCCGCGCCCGAGATCGCCGCGTACATCAAGGAGGTCGTGGCGAAGACCGGCAAGAGCAAGGTCAACCTGGTCGGCCACTCCGAGGGCGCGTTCCAGGCGCTGTACGTGCCCAAGTTCGAGGGTGTCAGCCAGCTCATCGACAAGATCGCGTCGATCGCGCCGCCCACGCACGCGACCACCTTCGCCGGCATCTACGAGCTGGCCTACCTATTCGGCAATACGTCGCGCGCGGTGACCAGCGACGTCCTGCAGACCGTGGGCTGTGGCGCGTGCGACGATCTGGGCCCCGATGGCGCGGCTATCACGCGGTTGAATGACGGCACGCCGATCGTGCAGGAGGGCAACAAGGTGACGATCATCGCGTCCAGGAGCGACGAGCTGGTCACCCCGCCCACGACCTCCTTCATCCACGAGGATGGCGTGACCAACCGCTGGATCCAGGATATTTGCCCGCTCGACCCGGTCGGCCATATTGGCGAGGCGTACGATCTGAATGTGTGGAACCTGGTGAAGAATGTGCTAGATGACACCCCGAACCGCAAGTTTATTTGTCTGCTTGGGTCCCCTGGTAAGGTGTAAATGCTGCCTGTGGGCATGTCCCTTGGACCGGGATTATTTCATTCGTTGTACATACGTAATTGTTCATCATAGTATATTTTGCATGGTCGCGTCGCTCGGCCCATTGGGACTTGGGAATTTTCCAGCTGTAATATAGAGCCTGTCGATACTGTAACATGCCCCTCGTTTTCATTGTGTGCATATCTGGCCTGCATGCATGAATCGAGCGTGCATTCCGATCTGATCGGTTTGCACGTGGTTCCGCGTGCACAGTATTTAGCTATCCACGCATGCTTTTTCGACTGGCAGCAAGGTAAGCCAGTGCGGTTGAACGTGTTGAGACAAACTTGGTGCTCTAGGCATTGAATTCCTTTGTTTTTGTTTACGTCATCTAGCACTAATTAACCCCGGCTTTGTGATAAGCCGGGCGGATCCTCGAGGCCACGCCAGTACGGAGAGAATTGGACCAATGCCCTTCACACTCCCGGCCACGGTGGGCGACTGGGGGGGACCATCGACGTCTAAAGGCGCTTTGCATGCTACAATCCCGCGACCCCGCGATGGTTACTGATATTCTGCCTGGACTCGCAACTAATCCAAACATGACACTACGGCTCGCTCTTCACGCCCTCAAGCCGTATCCTGCATAATTCCGACAGTACATGGCCACGCTCCACTGGCAGATACAACTCTATTGCAGATCGAAGGATCTTTCACCCCCGGCCTCGCTCCTTACACACTTGTACCCCCGTGTCACCTCACCACTGCGCCCTCACACTCTCCAACCCCTCCGACCTCCTGAACCCACGATCTGATGGGACGCGAGTTCCGGTAGCCGGTATGGTCCGCGAAGCTTGGGAGCGATGGGCCAATCAACACTCCACCAGAAAGTACCCCACACCTCAAAGGAGTATAGCCAGATCAGAAAACAGAGAACCACATCGAAGGATGGCGCTCCCGCCAATGTCATGTTCGATCGACGCTAATTGGCTCCGCTTAAGCTTGCCTTAACTTGGCTGCTAATTAGCGGCGTTTCAGGGGGGTCGATTGGACCAGACTTTCTCTGACTGGACTTTGATTGGTTTGGCTTGTCTCAGAAGCTGAGCGGGGGTCGGCAAGCCGGAAGTTGTCATGATTGTTTCCAACGATAATAGTATGTACCAATCGAACAAGAGGGACCCTCGTACAGTGCGGACGTGGCTCTGTCGTCCACAGTCAGACCAGTGACCAGACTCCTCCGGGTATAAGAGGCGTAATCCCCCGCCCTTCCACCCCGTCGTCATCTGTTGACTTATCCATCCACGACCATCCACACGCCCCATCACCAATCCTTCACACTACAATCACACCGTCGCCATGGGCTTCTTTGACAGTAGGTGCTTCGAATCCTGCCATTCATTGCCACTGCACTCCATCCTGGGTTTCCCACGATATCTGACACTGACACTCTCTTCTCACCCGTCCCGCAGACGATTCCGAGGAGTACCGTCACCACGAAGTGATGACCAATCGCCCTCACGAGGCGAAGTGGTCCCACGAGCTGATCGGCGGTGCCGCAGCCTACGAGGCCATGAAAGCCTACGAAGACCATGAGGCTCGCAACGGTACCCATGCCCGGACACTCTACTCCCCTGATACGTACGCAGACCAGGCCACTGACATCTTTTTGGATACAGGCCAGATTGACAACCATGCCAAGGCCAAGGAGGTTGTCGCCGGCCTCATCGGCGCCTTCGTCGACCGCGAGGTGGAGACGAAGGGACTGGACTTCGTCGACCGCGAGAAGGCCAAGCGCCACGCTCGCGAGCGTGCTGAGCACCAGATGGAGCAGAGCGGCCGCTGGTAGATGGTGATACCATTGCCAGCCATGGAAACTCAATGGGGAATAAGACATGAAACACGGGGTATGAACGGGAAGTCGTCTGTATCAAATCGATTTACGCGAGATGCGAATGAATGGATGATGCCTGGTAGCTCAGATGTAACGGGCACTGCGTCCCTGAGGCTGGAAATAGTACTCTCTCACGCTGCGGAAGTAGACCCAGATATGTATTCCTGATCCATTTAGGTATTGTTAACAGTCATTCAATCCACTTGAAGTAGAATGACCGCACGGGTGTAGAGACGGGTTTCGCCATCGTTCAGCAACTTCATTGGCGAGCGGGAGCTCGCACTTCGAAGACTTTTTTACTCGTCACTATAAACAAGAAATGCAGAATCGTCGCCGGGGGCGTAAAAAGCGAATAAAATGGTACAGAGCATGTTAGAAGGGGAGGAGAGTGGAAAAGGAGAAAGGAGGGGGTTATTTCGCGGTGGTTTCCTCTGAATGTAAATTCAATATCTTCGCAGCTACCGCATAATGGCTCTGTCCTGAGGATGACTGGAATCCTTGGTTCTCTGCGTAGATCAATATGTCGGATATTTCACAGTGCGCTTGACGGACTAGCTACAGCTTGCTCGAAAGGCCATCCGCCAGATCGCGCGCCATCGCTTCCTCAACTTGCTCCTTGGAGGCCATGATCCACGCGTCTACCCAGCCTTCGCCATCCCTCCAGAGTGAACGTGATCCTGAGCTCTCTTGATCGTTCCAGATCTGCTTATACTCCGCCTCCGAGAAATACAAAGCCTCTCCTGTGCTGAATCCAGCGAGGATCAACGCATCCGGGTCCCCTCTGCAACAAGCACAGCCCTCCTCTGCAGATTCAGGAAGAGTGATAGAGCCGGTGTCTAAGCCTTCCAGGAGGGTCTGATATGGTGGACCGTAGAGCTTGTCAAAGACGTCGTCAAGAGTGAGGTGCAGCAGACGCAGGTGAAACGGCGCATGTTCGGTTTGGCAGCGACGGCCGCACTGAAGATAGTGACTTCCCAAGACATTCAGGTGGGCCTGGCCTTCGTAGATGGCGTGGTCAATGATGTATTCACCGGTAGAAGACACGGAGACTGTCAGGCCCGGAGTGAGGTCAATGATGGCTTGGATCGCCTCCGCCAAGGGCAGATCGGGGATCTTGTCAATGTATGATTGGAGTTGGGCCATTTTGACAGATGGGTTGTTTTGGGTGTGGGTGAAGGACGGAGAGCGGTGAATGGCGATTGGGAGAAGTTGGAGATTATAAATTCAGGAGCATGTCAGCGAATGCCCGTGAGAAGGTGTCGTCATGGCGGTTTGAGGCTCTGCGCTCTGCTGTGCTCCTCCGCTTGGTGCCACGAATCATCCTCGGCCCGCGAACACCTCCCCACCCGGTCGAAGCTCGTTGGCGAAAAGAATTTGAATCACAATCCCGAGCATCTTTGCAACCACATGAGCTAGCTACGAGCTGCTCATCCAGTGTTCTCAAGTTCCCATGTTCTCAATGGCTATTAAAATGGCCGTCACGGTCGCGCCCGCCACCATGACGAAAACCTGTCGCTAGGATAATGGGCTCAACAACGATGAGCATCCTGTCGCCCAAGGCAGACCGGCTGTTAAATGCCTATCAATCCTCAAGTCGGACGACACTTACCTCGGCCGTTCCGCGACCGCGACAGTGGCTGCCATTCTGACGCAGCTGCAGCCAGGCGCGTCGCCAACCCTCAAGAACCAAAACTAGACCCATTTGCATGCAGCTGTGCAACGCTTCGATGCACATTGAACACTATACACCATACGCAGGCAAGGCTGCGCCCATCCCGCCGATCCCAGAGTTCGCAATGCCACCAGACTCCGCCGATCGAGGAGCTTGCGGGGCTTCGTGAGCAGCCACTCGCCAACCACTCAGTCCGCAGGGGCTGCCGCAGATAAGCCACCCATTAACGAGAGCCGATTTCTCAGCAGTGCAGGGGTTGCTTTTCTTCCCTGCATACCTCGGCGGCCCTGGGGATCCCGGCAGCTCCAATGAGGGCACCGAAAACCAAATCGAAAGGGCATGAATGGATCAGGCGGGCGTATTGTGATCGACCAGTTCCCCGACCGCCATACTGCGAGCGTGTGATAGGCTTTGTCCTCCACCCGCTCCCCACCCTGTGGGCCCTGCGACCGGGTAGCCCATGGTTCAGTCCGCCCCAGCTCTTTGTTCTTATCTGATTCCTTTTCCGCCTGGGTGAGCTGCGTGCAGAAAGGGGATGACTCTTTCTCCGCTGTCGTTTCGGCAACACTGAGTGCCTAGAGATTGCGAGAAGCGTCAAGTCTCAGCGAATATCTAGGCGAGTTTGCAGCCTGCTCTGCTGAGTAGCGGGTGCCATGGAGGATCGGAAGTGGGCTGGTCCCAGACCTTTTCCAGGTCGCCGGATATTACCCCGCGAGCGCAGGGGTGCCATCTGGGCTTATCTCCTTGTTGGAACGTTGTGTATTTTTGGGTGGACACTTTCAGCGCCGTGGCGTGATTCGGTTCCTGTGTCGCCATCAACATCAACGTCCACTCCATCCCCATTCAGCTGGGAGGATATCTCGCCATCTGAGTCGTTGGAGTACCATGATTGCGGCGATGGATTCCAATGTACCCGGCTGGAGGTCCCGATGGACTACAATAGGACCGACTCTCGAGGGCGGAAATTTGCTCTCGCAGTGGTTCGGATCCCAGCCCAAGTACCCGTTGGAGACCCCCGTTACGGGGGAGCGGTGTTGATAAACCCAGGTGAGGCTAATACTCTACGATAGTTAAGACATTGAAGCGGCATAGCTTATGTCAACAGGTGGCCCTGGCGGCCCTGGAACTCTGCAGGCATTTCTATCGGGCCGTAATCTGCAGACTATTATGGACTCGGAGAATGACCCGAGCGCAGTGCCAGTTGAGGCGAGCGATAAGTATTTCGACATTGTTGGATTTGATCCCAGAGGGGTGGGAGCTACAACGCCGGCCGTAACCTGTTTTCCCGACCCCATCTCACAACGGAACTGGGAGTTGCAGGTTGAGGCAGAGGGGATGCTGGGTAGCGGCCCGGATGCCCTGCAGAGAAACTGGCAGCGCACCCATGCACTGAACGCGGGATGCTCGATGTATGAAATGGCCGCTCATGGCGTACAAGGCGATGAAACCATGATGGATTATGTCAGTACATCTCTCGTGGCCCGAGATATGATCACCATCATCGAACGCCATGGTGAATGGCGCGAGCGACAAGGCAAAAAGGCCCAGGCGATCTACGACCAGGTCAACGGTCCAGACGAGTCGCGTGCAATTTTGCGACACACGCAATGGCGGGTGGGCAAAGAGCCGCTCCTGTACTGGGGCCGGTCTTACGGGACTGTCTTGGGTACGACATTTGCCGCACTTTTCCCGGATCGAGTGGCGCGGGCAGTCCTCGACGGTGTGGTAAATATGGACAGATACTATGAAGGCCGGGGACCAAATGTAGTCACCGATGCTGACGCCATATTCGAGCGCTTTGGTGAGTATTGCAATCAGGTTGGTCCTGAGGGATGTCCGTTCTACATTGATGGGGGCCCCGAAACAATCAACAATGCCTACTGGGCCCTTGAAAATCAGTTACTGAACGCGTCGCTTCCGGTGATGGCATCTGCTACTCGCGGCCCAGAAGTTGTGACTTGGACAGACTTGAGGAACATTCTCCGCGTGGCGGTCTACCAGCCCCTGCTAGCATTCCACGTCCTGGCGGACCACATCAGCGAGCTTGCAAAGGGAAATCCGGCGACAATGGCAGACTTCAAGCATCGCAACCACTTTGGTGCTTGTCCATCCAGCGAGTGCCGCATTGCAGGGCCATGGTCGTCCCAGTGTGTGGCCGGGCAAGACAACTATCTGTACGCGAGTGCTGCTATTCTTTGTACAGATGCAGAGTACATGACTACCGGGACTATGGAGCAGTTTCAGGAAGTATGGGCGGGTCTGAGGGCAGATAGCAGGACTCTGGGGGATTATTGGGCGGAGATTGAATTGTCGTGTGTGGGATGGAAGGCGAAGCCAAAGTACAAGTTCACAGGTACGATATCTCTGCACATCCTTTTGTTCTATGGGGTTCTGATAATTATAGGTCCCTGGGGTGGTGTTACAGCGCATCCGATGCTATTTGTTTCGAATACCCTGGACCCGGTGACCTCTTTACACGGGTAAATAGGCTTTTCACCTTAAGCCGAGTGCTATTACTGACATCAGGCAGCGCGAAACATATGTCCAAGCAATTTCCCGGATCTGCCCTACTCCAGCAAGATTCAGAAGGGGTGAGTTAGCATGCTATGTTTTGTCCAACGCCTTATTCAGGCTAATTCATCTCCTATCTAGCACACCACCATCGCTGCACCTTCCCTATGCGTCGCAAAGGCTATCAGGGATTACTTCCAATCTGGCTCACTACCTGCTGCAGGAACCCTCTGCGAGGCCGACCTAAAGCCGCTAATCGGCCCACTAAACAAGGTCCATCGTCAAGATCTAGGCCACGCCGACGGGAAGCTCATGGACGCCTTGATGGCCGAGCTTGAGCATGGTTTCTTCCCGCGCCTTCCGCTGTGAATGAACGGTGATTGTCATGAGCGAATTGTTTCGTTTTGAATCCTCGAATTCTTTTTTTTTTCTTTTGCTTGAGACCCCTTTGACGGGTGCACGATCGGGAGTTTTGGTTAGAATTACGTCTTGCAGCATTTGTAGAGCGACTGAGCGCATGTTCCACCTTGAAGTTGTGTCAATATCCAGTGATTTAGTTGAATTTACTACAGCGGTTTTTGATCCCGCGGGCCACACCACTCTGTTATCTGCTTTTTGATCAGCGCTGATTTCTGGAGACCTACCACCAGCATGTCCGCCCTGTTGCACTTCATTGAGCGTGCACTTTCGAAGGCACATGACATTTGGAAACCGTAAAGTCAAACCCAAAACCGAATGGCTCGAATGTCTTCGATCTCGCGCTCAGGCACCCAAAGCCCCGCAGACTTTGTTCGGACCGTCCGGCAATCTGCTGCGGAGAAACCCAGGGCCTCGGCTCACTCCATCCAATCTGGGTGCAGTGGTAATCAGCAACACCCCACCCTAGGCCATTTCATAAAGCGCCCTGATCGCAATCGTGGTCGGGGAAACGTCCTTCCCCATTCACGCTCAAGGATTCACCATGGCTCCCCCAACAGCCACAGAAACTGTTAGCAACATTACGGTGCGGGCGCCGCAGTCGCAAGCGGCTGGCGCCGAGAAGGCCAAGGTCAAGATGCAGATGCCGTCTATGCCAAAGTTCGAGGATAAGATGCAGGAGCGAGAGTTTCTGAAGGGTCGCCTGGCCGCTGCGTTCCGGATCTTCGGCAAGTTTGGATACGATGAGGGTATGCAAGCACCCTTTCATGTGGAAGCCAAGTTACTCAAAGTGCAACAGGCGTCGCTGGACATATCACCCTTCGCGATCCTGTCGACCCGTCGACCTTCTGGGTGAACCCGTTCGGCACGGCCTTTTCGCTCATGAAGGCGTCCGACTTGATTCAGGTCGACCACCAGGGCAAGGTCATCGACGGCGGGCCGAACCGCATGCTCAACGCCGCTGCGTTTATGATCCATTCTGCTATCCACGCTGCGCGCCCGGACGTGTTGTGCGCAGCTCATAGCCACAGCCTTTACGGGCGCGCATTCTGCTCGCTGGGCCGGCCTCTCGATATCATTTCGCAGGATGCCTGTTCATTCTATGACGTAATGGCCCCCATTTGCAAGCTTACCTAAAGGAGAAACTAGCTGACACGGTCGCAAACAGGACCACGTAGTATACCAACAATTCAACGGCATCGTCCTCGCTGAGGAAGAAGGCAAGAGTATCGCTGCGGCCCTGGGTGACAAGAAAGCCGCCCTCCTGCAGAACCACGGTCTGCTCACCGTCGGTAAGACTATCGAAGAGACTGTCTTCTGGTTCGTGAGTCTGGAAAAATGCTGCCATGCGCAACTCCTTGCCGACGCCGCAGCGACCGGACGAGGTGGACAGACGGTGAAAATCGACGATGCGGACGCTGCCTTCACGTACAAGACTGTCGGAACGCCGCTAGCTGGGTGGTTCAGTGCCAAGCCACTGTTTGACGTTATCCACAAGGAGACTAACGGAGACTACCTGGAATAAATTATGGCTTTACGATTTCCGGGTGAAGGGGCGAAGCTGCTGATGACAGGGTACCGGGACATCAAACTCGTGTCGAGTCGGAGGCTTCGACGTGGTTTCAGGGATGCACACTTTTTTCCCATGAATGTCCAGAATTTAGATAGCAACGACAGGGGTGGAAATTGAACCGTCTATGAACAAGGCTCCTCGCGCATCCTTCGGTCTCATATTATCCACTTCTTCACTAGTTGGAGGGCCGCCCAAACAAGCTCCTTCGGCCTTTTCGGTGAACTTGCTCAATAATCAGGAGACTATTCCGGATTGGTAAGATTGTCCGTTTCCCGTTTGGTAGTAATTAATGTCAATCACCGCGTTCGTGGCGCGGAGGACCCGCCGTTTGAACTAGGCTTAAGGTGTTTTATGTTGAGACAATACTTTATTTCAAGAGTAGTCGCAACTCTATCTGTTTTCCACCACTTAAAGAAGGGGGGGGCCGTTAGGCAGACCGTGTATAAATTTCAGCCATTGACCCTGGGAAATTTTTGGGATCAATCAGTTTTACGTGTTGTTTTCCAAAACCAGCTTCGCGATCAGCCCTGTGAAAATGCAGTTCCTCCTTCTTCTTCCTCTTCTTGCCAGCACTGGCCTTGCTAGCGCTGCTGTGTTTGGCTCACCGGTCACACACGTCAAGCGCGACAGCTGGGGAGGCAGTGTTTCGCTCGGCCCGACCAAGTCGACCATCATCAACGCAGTCACCACTCTCATCCCCGGTACTGCGCCTTCCACCCAGAATGGTGAGCTGTTCCTGTGGCCTGGGATGTCCAACGGCACTGGCGACTTGGTCCAGACCACTCTAGAGAGTTGGCCCGACAACTCCTGGTGTGGTGCCACCACTGGTCAGTGGTGTGTCCGCGCTAGTGTGTTCGGATATTTCGGCCAGCTGGACGGCACCGCAAGCCCTGTCAGTGGTACCGACAAAGTGCGCATTGAATACAATCTGGAGAGTGACGGGCAGACTTGGAAGCAGTATGTTTTAGGTGTACAGGCGCAAACAGATGGGAGTAATAGTAATGTTAACTCGTTTCAGGACCGTCACCAACGCCGAGACCGGTGCCCTCCTTTCCACTTACTCGCGCGCCTCTGGCCCATACATGACCGGGTAAGTGTCACCTCAATAACAATTGAAAATGCCCTATTTCTTACTCCGCCTAGCTATGGTACCGGCACCGAGTGTGACAACAGCTGCACCGGCACTATTGCCCCCCAACAGTACCTCGACACCACCATCACCCTGGCTTCTGCCGACACCACTTTCGGCAGCACCATTTCCACTGCTCAGAGTGCCACCTACTCAGGACTGGAATCAAGCGAGGGTGGCAAGGTGTGGAAGATTGCTACCATCAACATCCTTTCCATGTCCTAGACTTGCAAGTTGTCGTCGGAACACCCCTCGCAGCTCCGGAAGCTCCACTGTCAATTAAGAAACTCGTGTATAATATGAAACTTCTGCACGCTGGCTCAAGATAGAAAACACCCAAGCTACATTTATACATGAAGAACTAAACATTATTCTGGCTCCTGGTAATCAATATCCACCACCAACCTCACTGGCCCAGGCGCGGCCGCGCCCCCAATGCCATCATGGTGCCGCTTGGACTCGGTATACGCATTAACCACCTTCTTCGCCTGCGGCGTAATGATAGAGCACCCTTGTCCATCTGCCATACAAATCCGCATGCCCTGAACATCTTGATGGGCGATCTGCGCCTGAATAGCGGAGACATCCCAGCCCGACCAGCCAGCATTCTCAGCATCTCCAAAGGAGAACTCACCCCACGTCGACGTATACCCGCCCCAGTTGTCCACGGGGAGACCCTTGGTTCCAGGCGCGGCGCCCCACGCTCCCTCCGAGTCCTCGTCGAACGCGACATACCGCGTCTCGCCGGGCGCAAGCACGAATGTCAATGCGGAGTGACCGTACCACCCGTCCATTTTCCCGTCTGGTCCCACCTTGTTCCAGATGGTGATGGTCCAAGGCTGGGTGTTGGGGCCGATGAATTGGACAACGTATTTGTATCGGTGTGCCTCGGTCGGACTCACCAAAATAACGTTGCTTCCCCAGGGGATACCGACATTGCCGTGATATTTGATTTGGGACCCGGACGGCTTGCTGCGGCCCCCGAAGCGCTCGGTGGCAAAGTTTCCATCGGCCGGAATGGCCGTCCAGTCAAGATTTGATGGCACAGTAGGTCCACTGGGGTCAAGAATTTGACCCAATGGCAACGATGGGAGGTCTGAAAGTGGGAGTTGGGAGACGACATCCTTAGGTGCGTCTTCGAGTAATTGAGGGAGCGGCGGTAGTTTGGGCAGAAGACCTCCTGCGGCTGGTGCTTTGGGTTTCGTAGTGGTCGTCGGGGCTGCAGGGGCAGGAGAAGCCTCGACTGATCTTGTTGCGATCGAGGTATTTGTGGAAGACGGGCCCACAATGCTCATGCCAACACTTGCGGAAGCAGCTTTGATGATCGTTATTGTGGTAGTTATATCAACGGTAGTTGTTATATGGATGGTAGTTGTTTTCTCATCCCGCATAGGCTTATTTTCATTCAGGTTGGCGGAGTTAGGTGTCGAGTGAGCCATCTCCTGCTTTGAGGGCTCGGGCATGTCGGGCGTTGCGACGGCGGGTGCACTCGTCGGCACGGGTATCAATTGTGCGAAGATGGTAGTAGTAGCATCGATGGTCTTTGTTGATGGGCAGTCCTCGAAAACGGTCGTTGTAGTGGTGCGGATTTCCATCATCATGTCTGCCGGGATCCGGTCGAGCCAGTCAACATCTCTCGGTTCCAAATGCTCCGCATGACGTTTGAGGCGGGCATGGCCGTGCCTCCCATGATGATTGTGGGTTCCGAGGGCGTAGTCCGCTCCTATAGCCGCAAGTAGCGGTATGTAACTGCTCAGATGCATTTGTGGACGTCAAGTGGTTGAAGCAGCAGATTGGTGGCTAGGACGGGCAGAAGTGGTGAAATATCTGAGCTATCTGGGACCAGCTTTTGTTATTGCGGAAAATGAGTGTTAGTAGCCACGTCTACAAAAGCATGGTCGAAACGGTTGTCAGCGTCATGATGTTGTTGTTGGCGAGTGCAGTCCAGACACGCGATCACGGGTGCGACGAGCTTTTATACCCCGACGCGAAATGTCTCGGCCATGGACCATCAGGAATGCTCCTTTCGCGTTGGATCTCACGAAGGGGATCTGATCTGGACTGTAGCAGCCCTGAATTCCATCCCGCCTTGGCTGCTGTCCGTGGCTTGTCGAGGGCTCCCCACGATACAACCCACTCCACAATTGGCCTCGATTAAATCCAAGGTGTAGTTGTTGTGAAAACAGCATGAAGACAGATAGACTTTGACTAAACTATTTCGAATTTCATAAGCAACAACAAAACAATAGGTAACTTCAGCTTGAAGGTTTGATGGGGTGGCGGGCGCGCCCTTGGTAGGGTCGCCCCTCGCGTGGGACATTCCAGCCCTGGTGATGACCACAGACCTTTGGTACACTGAAACGTGGGCCCTGGAAGTCAACAGACGAGAATCAAGTCTAGGTAAGGTAGACTTGAGATTGTAGGACCAACGGGACCCGGGTGCAACAAGGTATTGATATCCTAGCGTCGGGGTTCATTCGTTCCCGTTTCTGATAAGAGTGGCGAGGTATACATCATAGCGGTAGAATCAGTAGACTATTGCAAATACTACCTAGAAGAAATATGCACTTAGTGTGATCGGGTCCCTAGCCTGTGATTACACTTCGATGCTGACCACTGAGGTACCTCAGGTGGGAGGAGTCACAATCTTAACCGCTGTGGGAGATGTATATTTCTCGCTACCACGGTCGCATCTCCGATCGTCATGTCAACCCTACGTACAAATTTCCCCCCGAGCCTTCCCCCCGAGCCGAGGAATTCCTGCCAATCCGCGATACCCGAGGTGATGAAATGTTGTCCACTATATATATCACAGGTCCAACTTCGCACAGCTAGATCGACGATCTGTCGTCCAGAACGCGCAAGTGGATCCGAGTTTGTGATTACCGCTGGAGACCGACGAGCCAATCGGGACAACGTGGACTATCGGACGTTTGGTCCCCTCTTACAATTTTCATGCGCTAAACTGGTTTGAGGCAAAGATGCGCTCAGGTGGATTAGAGTTAGCCAATCATCGGACAAACCCCCGCCAGGTCGAAAGATTTACCGAAAAGAGGATCGGGGCGGTTCCTGGACCTGGAGAATATATAAAACGCTTCAAGGTCGCCTGGTTTTCGGTGCCTCGTCGAACCCCTCAGCTATCATGTCTTCACTTCACCCCTTTGACCCTATTACTCCTGGGGAGATCCAGCTGGCCGTGCGCGTTCTGGAGTCCGCTTTCCCGGGAGTTAAGTTGCGGTACAAGCGAATTGATCTCCAAGAACCCACCAAGCATGAGACCATTCCGTACCTCGAGGCCGAGCGCCTGGGCAAGCCGCGCCCTCGCAAGCCGGCGCGGCTGCTCATGGCCTTGTTCCATCGTCTAGACAATGGCTCGTTCTACAAGGCTCTGTTGAACGCCGACACCAAGTCAATCGTGTCGGCTAAGGAGCTTCCCAAGGATGTTCAGGGCCCTCTGGATGTTGATGAGATGCTTGAGATTGAAGAGCTATGCTTGAACCATCCGGCTGTTCAGGCGGAGATCGAGAAGCTGATGCTCCCAGCGGGTATGACGGTCTGCCTGGACCCTTGGATCTATGGCACCGAGGACGCCCAGGAAACCCGGCGTCTGTTCCAATGCTATATGTACATCGTGGCCACCGACCACCCGCAAAACAACCAGTACTCCCTCCCCTGCAAATTCTCTCCAGTATTCGATGGCATCACTCGGCAGCTGGTGCGCATGGATTACCTGCCTGGTGGCGCCGATACCCAGACCACCGAGACCCAGCCCTGGAAGCCGGTGGCAGCCGTCCAATACGCCCATGATCTACTTGATGAGCCGCTGCGCACTGACCTCAAGCCATATATCGTGCAACAGCCTGAGGGGGCCTCTTTCAATGTGGTTGGAAATGCCGTGTCATGGCAGAAGTGGCGGTTCCGTGTTGGCTTCAACAACCGCGAGGGCTTGGTCCTGCACAATATAACCTATGATGGCCGCAATACCTTCTACCGCTTGTCATTCTCGGAGATGACAGTTCCTTATGGAGGTAAGTTTTCATCTGTGCCCTTCCTGAAATGAAGGTGGCCAATAGCTTATAACGGCAGACCCGCGCGCCCCCTACCATCGCAAGCAGGCCTTTGATGTGGGTGATGTTGGCTTTGGTATAACGGCAAACCAGCTGTCTCTTGGCTGCGACTGCCTTGGACACATCAAGTATTTCGACGGCTTCCGCACTGACGCCAAGGGCGAGCCTATCCAGCTTAAGAACGTCATCTGCATGCATGAGCAGGATAACGGTCTCCAGCACAAACACACTAATTATCGCTCCGGCGCCGCAACCGTCGTGCGTAACCGACAGCTCGTGGTTCAGATGATCTGTACAGTGGCCAATTATGAATATATCTTTGCGTTCATCCTGGACCAAGCCGCGAACATTGAGCTCGAGGTTCGTGCGACCGGTATCCTTTCAACCGTGCCATTCGACAACACGAATGGCCAGACAGTGCCGTGGGGTACAAACGTTGGACCAGGCGTGATGGCCCCGTGCCATCAGCACCTATTCTCGCTACGCATTGATCCTGCATTGGATGGCTTCAAGAATACGATCTACTACGAAGACAGTGTGCCGATGCCTGAAGATGACTCAAACCCCTGGCTGGTTGGGTACACCACCGAGAAGAATGTTATCAAGAATAGCGGCAGTGCATCGACGAGCGTTGAGAAGCACCGCGTGTTCAAGATCCGCAATGACCATATCATCAACCCAATCACCCACCACCCCATCGCCTATAAGCTGCAGACCAACCCGAGCCAGATGCTGCTGGCTCACCCGAAGTCATTCGGCTTGAAGCGTGCGCAGTTCGCGACTCGTCCGATCTGGGTGACCAAGTATCAAGATGACGAGCTCTTCGCCGCGGGCGAATTTACCAACCAGAGCAAGAAGTCCGAGGGAGTCGAAGTGTGGGCGGCGAGAAATGATGGCGTGGAGGATGAGGATGTGGTCCTCTGGCACAGTAAGTCACGCGTGTTTTGATCCCACGAGTAACCCAAGGCTCACAATTTCCCTAGCATTCGGCCTGACCCACAACCCGCGCATCGAGGATTTCCCCGTCATGCCCATGGAGCGTGTCAGCGTCATGCTCAAGCCGGATGGGTTCTTCACCAAAAACCCAGCACTGGATGTTCCGCAGTCGTCGCAGTCCTTCAACCAATCGACCCAGCATCCGGAACCATCTTGCTGCTCTGGACCGCAGGATAGGAACCAGGTGAAGCTGTGACACTTCTTTGATATCATGACTTGGGGGATAATTTTGTCTTTATGATTGCGTAAGGCTAGCGATTGCATGCATAAATGAACTATACAGCCTATGAAGTACAATGATTTCTTGTCAGGCAACCATGGCACCCGTTTCAAAATCTCGCTTATAACCTGCGAATCTTGCCCACATTGGAAGTACGCTCTAGACCGCGCAGAACAATAGAGATATTTTCGTACATGTTGGATGGCTACTTTGTGTTTTGCACCATGTCAGAATTTCTATGGTGTGGTTAGGCTAGCAGCACACATAATCTTGTCTCTGACAGAGAACAAGTGATATCCATTTTAGGCGTTGTTTCCATGGTGCGATTTAACGTTGTCTGTGGTGGAATGATGAAAGATCCGACAATGGTCCTACCTTGGGAAGAGTATCCAGAAAGTGAGTTTCGAAACGCACTGGAGTCAAAATCTGCTTCGCCTAATGATGTGGTTGGCTCTTGCTCGCTGCTTCACCTGGCCTTTAGGCGGCCGATCTGAGTGCAGATTTAGCAGAATCGGGCACACGTTTTGAGCCGAATCACGGCCAGTCTTGCCCATCAGATCAGTGTATGGTCCATCGATGATATCTTAAATGGTGCATAGCACATAATGATCTGGAAAGCCTCTTGAATCTACTGCTAACCTTATGTCTGGACCGGAAAATTTGGTACCCCTCAGGAACACGATGATAATGTCAATAGATAAGTGAAAAGGTGTGGATGAAATTCAGATTAATTATACAAACAACATTCGTTACGCATATCAGCCTCGCGACAGATGTCCCCAGAACACGCCTTATGATTTGGGCTTAGGCCAGCCATCGATATCCCCATACCACCGTGATCGGTATATTTCATCACCAACATTAATCTTCTTTCTCACGCCATTGACAATTAGGCTGGTATGAAATCCCCGGAACTTTTGCCACAGCGACTGGACATAAATGAAACTTCCATCGGGGGCAAGGTTGAAGCTTTTCAAGTCTGACTCGGGGAGTTCTTCCCATTTACCTTCGCGATTATACCCATGGCGATCGCTTGTCGTAACTTCAAACCCTCTCATGTACTTCTCAATCACTTCCTCGAATTCGGCAACAAACTCGCCTTTCTCGATATCAAACTCAAAGACACCCCGATCATTCGACATGAGAAATTTACGCTGATTAGGAACAGGCACGAGGTCGTGAGGTCCAGCCCACCAGGAATATCCCTGGCCCCATTCCGTGTCGATGTCATATGCATGTTCCATTCGGAAGATGTATCTATCATCCTTGCGAAGCTGACCCGTCGACATGTCGAACGGGTAGCCCTGGATGACACCGTGTGCTGGAACAGGATCGGACCCGTCGGCTGCGACATCCGTTCCACACGCCCACAGCATCTGGGCCTGTTCGTCCCAAACCATGGCATGGATGGCCCGGAGACCGGTGATGTTCTGCAGCACGGGCGGATCATCGACCAGCGGGTTGGCCGTGCTGGCATTATACACCAGAATGCCATCCCAAGGCCGTTGCCCCGTGGTGGCTACTGCCAGCAGATCACCGGGCAACGGCTCTACACTGTGCGCATTCCACAGAAATTCGTTATCTCTGCAGACCGCAAAGGTGATTTTCTTGTCGGTCGTCGGATCATCCGGGGTATGATTGATGATCAGGGCAAGATCACTATAGATAGCCGCGACCGCGGTGCCATCTCGCAGCCATTTGAGCTCGGTTGCGTCGTTGGCCGAGGCATATAAGCAGCGTTGCAAGGCCGGCGGAAGCTCCTGATGGACGTCATCGCGCTCGAACTTCCATTTAACCGTGCCCTCTCGGTCATGGATTTTGATCAGGGGCGGAACGCCATACAATCCAGTGATAATCTCCTGCCAAGGCCGGTTCTCGGGACGCAACCGATCTTGGGGCTGAATGGGCGGGATATAATAGTCGGCCAGTGGCTCAAAAAGTAGGGGTATCCAACCCAGATAACCCCCCAACATGATCTGGGAGGCAGCGGGCTGCAGATTGCGAATTGCTAGCAAAAAAGCCCGACAGAATCTGACCCGACCCCGAGACAACCCTGACGGGCCCCTCTTATGCGAGTGGAGACAAGGTGGGCAGTCAACCTGGAACGGCAACGAGCGGAGCGCCGGAGAGTCGCCAAGGGATAGTTAGGGAACCAATTGGCAGGCCGTCCGACTGAATCGCACTGGATCCTTCAGCCTCGACGATCGTAATCACGCCTTCAGCCTTGTTAGCCACCTAATATTGGCTGCTTGGCACGATGGGGTCCCAGTCTCTTATCTTTTTATGGAACGGTTAAACGAGCACGACCCTCGCATTCATAAACGAAAACGATACCCTGAGCACGCGACCCCCTCTTCGTCGCATTTCCTCTCCTCCTTTCTTGCTCTCTTGCTTTCGTACCATGTGGTGGTCTCTCGGAGACTCTTGTTAGATCGGAGAAAATGGTGAAGGCGATCGGCACTGTTTTCTCGTCCTTGAGCCACCTCATCCATCAGTTTTATCTATTCCCCTGCCGGACCCTGGAAGCCTTTTGGGATTTCTCTCGTTGCTATTTTTACGCTCTTGCATTCTGGTCCCTGTTCTGCGCCAAGTTCTTGCATCTTTACGCCCATATTCATTCTCTTCCTCCTAGCAAGCTCGTCGCTTGGGGTATCACTTTTTATTTCCAGGATGTTGTCATTCTCCTGCTCTTGCGGGTATTCGCCCAAAAAAGCCACACCCGCTCGCGGCTGCGCGTGGCGCTCGACGTACTGGTGGTCGTCCCGTTTAGGTAAGTGACCATGTGCCCAGCTGCCCAATTCATCAACCACGTGGAACTTTATTTTTGACCGTCGGGTTCGCGATAGTTTGATTGTCTCCGTCATGGCCGCCGCCAATTTTTCAGTCTATGTGTTTACCGGAGCGGAAATCCACTGGCGCCAAGCGAAATCCTTTACGGGTGATACGGCCGCTATACGAACTCTCCTCACCGGCCTGACCGGATTTTTAATCGGCGAGGTTTTGCTATCGATGATAGCAGTCATCTCCGCCCGCCCAATTCACACACTCAGCGGCGGCATCTTACATGTGCTGGCATGGCCCTTCCAGTGGCTGCTACCTCGCTTGCGACCGTACGTAAAGCGACCGCTCCAACGGTTACGAAAGCGAAACCAGCAATCGGCCCTCCCCGACCCAGAAATATACGAGCGGATCGCACTGGAGGATGATTACTTGAATGATTCAAGCGATGACGATGAGTCGGACTTCCTCATAGGAGCCCCAGCTGGCGGCAGCTCCCAGGAGCTGGGGCGAGTAACGGAAAGGACCCTCCCTCGGGCACTCATGCTTGCGGCCTTTTGTCTATTCGTCGTACTGCGACTTTGCCGACCGTCCGATCCTATGTATTGGTATCTCTCAGGGAGTTTGCCCATGGCTTCACTGTTTGAAGGTGGCCACCATGAATCGCCGGTCAATGTAGAGGGGATCCCTAGTCACTACGGCTATCTGAATGCAGCCTCATCTTTGCGTCCACCACCTGCGTTTGGATGGATGCCGAGTGAGGCTGCCCCCGGTTTCGAGGATTGGAATAAGTCCGACACATATGCCCTCCATTATAATTCGGAAATAGCGCCACTTCACATATCTAATCTTGACCAGCCTGTCCTCGAGCCGGTCCGGAGGGCGTTGGCAGATGGCCATGTCAAGATCAAACATGTGGTTCTACTAAAACTCGAGAGTGCCCGGGCGGACATCTTTCCTCTACGAAAGGACTCGTTCATGTTTGAGCGCATCGCCGAATCCTGGAAGGACAAGGTTATACCCGAAGATGCGCTGCAACGTATCGCAAACCTGACTCCCACCGCCGAGTACCTAACCGGCTTCCCAACTGGGTTTGACGATGGAAACACCTCACAACCAGAAAAGAAACCATACGGTGGCCTTAGCGCAAAGAACGCCTACACAACCTCTACCTACACACTGAAAAGTTTGGCAGGTACCCTGTGCGGTGTGACACCGTTGGTAGCTGACTTCAATCGCGAATGGGAGCATCATATCTACCAGCCATGCTTGCCACATGTCTTCAACATGCTCTCCCAGCAGCCTGGTATTACGAAAGAGACCGATGATTTTGCCAAGTGGCCCTTTCACTCAGTGTGGATGCAGTCTGTGACCGAAGGCTATGACAACCAGGACAAGTTAACTCCCGTCCTGGGCTTCGAGGACAAGAAGACCAAGGAGATCATCGAGAGTCCCGACGCCAAACACCCAGTGAAAGGCGAGGAAGTAAACTATTATGGCTACGCCGATACCGAGCTCGAGGACTACATCCGCGATGCCATTGATAATGCAGAGCGCGACCATGAACGTTTGTTCCTGACACACTTGACCGGAACCACGCATCACCCTTGGGGTCTTCCGGGAGATGAATACAGCCAAATTCTTGGGTCCCAGAATGGCCAAAATGAGGATTTGAATCGGTATCTGAATGCTGTCGGCTTCGTGGATGCCTGGCTTGCGACTATTTTGGGGATTCTGCAGGAGAAGGGAGTGGCCAACGAGACCCTTGTCGTCATGGCTGGCGATCAGTATGTTAACCTACGAAGTTGTTTCATGATACATGGACGCTTTGCTAACCCTTTTTGTCAGCGGTCTCTCTCTTCCAAATGACGGCGGCATTACTCCCTACGACAACCCGCACGTCGGGAACTTCCACGTTCCCATTGTCTTCGCGCACCCGCAACTACCACCCGTCGAGATCAGTGCGCCAGTTATGAGCGACCAGATAGTCCCTAGCATCATCGACCTGTTGATCGAGTCATCATCTCTCAGCGAGACTACCACACCCGTTGCCCGTGACATTCGTTCGCTATATGAAGGCCAGTCACTCATCCGGCCATTGATACAAGAAAAGGACGGCAAGCAAGACTGGCAGTTCACCGTGATGAATACCGGTGGCTCATGGCTCAGTGTCCGCTCCGCGGCGAAGCCGCAGTTCCGACTAGTTATCCCGCTCGTCAACGATGTGGAGTGGAGGTTCTCTGATTTGAATGAAGATCCAAATGAAGATCGGCCTGTTTCCCGGTTCAGCTTGTTAGACCTGGCCGAAACAATTAGGAAGAAATACGACCAGGAGGTCCTTCACTGGCTGTGGGATGCGGCGTATGTTTCCAATTGGTGGGTTGGAGAGAACTGGCATCGCTACCGATATGTGCCCGGCAAATAACGGACGCACACGCAATGCTGGGACACTGCACCACCTCCACTATATTTTGGCATCTTCCGGATGGAACTGGTGTCTATATCATGGTGTCTATTGCCTCGGTCTTGGACTAAATATCGGTCCAATTATCATGGAACTCCAAAGGCGCCAGCGATCCATTGCAATCGAATGCAAACCTTCGCGAAATGGCGCTGTTGCTCCAGCCTCTCATACGCCATCTTCATCCCGGCAAATTCAAATACCCGGTCACCAACAATGGGTTGAACTTCCTTCTCCTCAATGAATTGATTCTTCTCTTGGACACGATAGAGGGTCTTGAGAAGTAACCCACGAGCTGTACAAGCACGGACGGTACAATGGACCACTGAAGGCAGTGATGCATCCCTCGATTTGTCCAAAATACCGGCGAAAGCAACCAGTCTGCCAGTTCGAATGGCTCTGAGAGAATACGACTGAGTGGATGCCGCACCTACATTCCACCACGAAATTGACACCTGACTAGCCAGGGTCAGGCCTTTGGGCCGTCCTGCCCCAGTTGGGATCTACGCGATAGTTTATGAGATAATGAGCGCCAAGGGAGTTGTCTTTCCGCTTTGGTTTCTGTGCTGGTGGTCGCCATCACCGTAGCACCCACAGCCAAAGCAAACTGCATATGGATTTAGCATTGGGACATATTGTATATAACTTGGACATATAACTGCAAAGCAGCAATAGAGACACCCCCTGTATCTTGCACAAGCATATAGTCGCTTTAACACCCTGTGGCCTGCATCCTTTAGTCCACTCAGCTCTAAGGGCATTATCAATTCAGCATACATTAATATTGTAGTTGAAACATATTTCACCATCATACATTCATAGGCCATTTGCGTAATTTTACTTTATTGGGGTGCGTTTGGTCCCAGCAGAACAACTTAGGTCAATCGTTAATGATAGAGATTGTACAACTTAACTTGACAGGATTCTGAGTCATGTGTGGGTTGGGAAATGACATTATTAACTCATTTTAATGTCGTCCATGGAGGAATCTCGGTCTAGTGGGCTTTTCCATCCACTTTTTTCCCGACAGAATGTGCTAAGCGGACAAATTGGCGCTGATCCGCTCCATCCACTCCTGTCCAGTGATCACATCCGTCTTCCCCTTAAAGACCTTGTCCATGAGCAGATCGTGTACTTCTTCATCGCGGTCCATGCAAAGGTCTCGCAGAACGGTAATGCGGTAGTCCAGATCAGACGCATGTCGAATGGTGGAGAGGACGGCACCGCTGGTAGCAATGCCCGCCACGACAAGTTGCTCGGTGTCGAAGCAGCGGAGGATCATCTCGAGTTCAGTACCAAAGAACGCCGATACGCGTCGCTTGGTGATCACCACCTCATCTTTGGTGGGTGCCACGGCGGGGTGGATTTCAGTAGTCCAGTCGCCTTCCTGGAACTTCCCCATTGCTGCCATGGCGGGCACCAATGAGTTCGATGGGTGGCACTCTGGGTAGCCAGTTCGAAACGCAGTTATAACGTGGACGATTTTGATATTGTTGCTGCGTGCTGCGGCCACTGCTGAGCCGAGACGCTGGAGGTATGTTCCTGTGTTGCCGAGCATGTCGACCGTGCCTTTCTCGATGTCAAGGATGAGTAGTGTGGTGGTCCCCATGATAACGGCAAGAACGGGAATGGGCGATGTTACAACCAGCACATGAGCGGGCTGAATTCGGATTAGACGAAGAATATAAGTTCGCAGTGCTGTCAAAAGGCAAAGCCGTAGAGATGGGCGAATGCGATTCCGGTTCCGCTATCCCCGCATGCCGGTACCGGGGCGAGCAGCAGTAAACTTCTCCCGACAAAAAGGGAAGAACAGAACGTAGAAGATGCTTTCCTGGCAAAAAGTATACTTTACATGTCAGTCTCTTATTTGACTTCTGCCTCGATCCTTGGACTTTCGCTTTTCTCGGTGCTTGGTCTTTCGGGACTTGGTACTGCTATCACCGATTGGTGATGGCTCAGGCGACCCAGTCTTAGATTGCGACTCAGATCGGGCCTTGGATGAGTCTTCGCGGTGGCCTTTTTGTCTCTCATTCCTCTTCTTCTCTTTCTCTCGCTCTTCGTTTCCGTGCTCTTCGTGTTTCGACCGCTTGAGTTTTCGGAGTCTTTGGATCTCTTTCAGTTCTTCCTCCGCCCTTGCCATCTCCTGTTTTTTGATATTCTCCTCCTCTTGGAGCCTCTCATCTTCCTCACGACTCTTCTGCTCCTCGCGCCTTTCCTGCTTTCGGCGTTTTTTGCGCTCTCGTCGCTCCTCTCGCTTGCGCTTTAGTTCTCCGTCAGAGTCGGCTTTCTCCAAGTCAGTGGTGCTACCCTGAGGATGGCCGCGGGATAATTCCTCGTCCGGATCTTTTTGCCCCTGTCCATTTTCACTCTCATCCAGGCTTGCTGCTTGCTCCAGGAAGTGAGTCTCCTGGAGATTATTGGTGGCTGCAGACCCCTGGTCCGTAAGAATTCTCGCCAGTGCAGAGTATGCTTTGCTCATATCGCGGTAGGTGTCGATGACTTTTCTTTGGCATATCTTTTTGGACGTCGGTGAGGTGGCGTCCATGAGGTCGCGGACTCTTTTCATCATTCTCTCGGTCTGGATTTCTTTCCAGCCCAAAGTGTGGTTCGACATCTCACTCAGACTAGAAGAGCAACGATAACCGGCCTCTGATGTTCCGGTGACTGACTGCTCTGGTGGTCTATTGTTGACTAGCGTCGACTCATCATTGTCCAAACACATGGGCTCGGGTTCTTCGGCAATGGCTGGCTCGTTCGGTTGGCGCGGTGTAGGCTCCACAGTCTGTGATAAGCCTTCGGCGTCTTTTTCAGTCATCTCAATCTCCTCAACCTGAAAGTCGTCCAGGGAGCAATCAAAATATTCCTGGGAATGATCAAGTACTGGCATTTCCCCGACCGACTCAGCATCTTCATGCTGAGAGGGTAGGTATTCCTCATTCTGGGAATCAGTTTCTTCTGAGATGAAATCCTGTAGATCCTCAAAATCCTCCTGATCCGCTGCATCCTGTATAAGTGGGCGATGGGGCGATGCTGCGCTTCTTTCTTGGGTAGAGGGCCCGGGAGAGAGCAAGTCCACTTCGGCCATTTGAACATGAATTTCACGCTTGGACCTCAACCTTGCGCGAGTGGGCGTGCGTGGAGCGCCGGGTGATGGGGTTGTCTTTGCATCTATTAGCTTTCGGATTGCCTGTTCGTTTTTACTGCGAAATAAGCAGGTCTGGTGCCACCCCGTCATGACTTGGTCCTTCACAACTGGGCGAGACATGATGTCGCGAATCACTGAGGCAAAATCTCTGGGATCTGCTTTGAAGTGATCTAATTCTGTTTGGTCACCTTCAACTTTGTCCGTGATCCATTCAGCGTAGAGGTTTTCGATGAGTCTGAACACCCCTTGTTCGAAGGGATTGAAGTAGCTAGCCCCATTCCTTGTAATGCAAACACAGAAGATATTCTGTTGCCAGCAAGTCACAAAGAATTCGGGGGTGATGTGAAACCTGTATCCATCGATGAGCAGCAATCGACGGGGAGCGTTCACCCCAGCTGCACCAGTGGGGTTGGATGCTAGTTCGAAGACAAGCTTCATCCAATCCAGGAGGTGAAAGTCCTCGGCCCATCCGTCTGAGGTGAAGAAAATGGGAACCCCGTCAAAATTATCATGGGTTTTCTCCACTCTTTCAACTTTAAACGTGACTGCAGGCATCAGAGGCTCCCCAACATACGGCATGCAGCATATCACCGATGCCAGATCCCTGGGCTCACGTCTTTGGCCATTCACAGTCGATGGCCGTGGGATAGACAAGCGTCTGCTCCATCCGGAGGATGTTGTTGCCAGAGCGAGATCACCAAGTATGAAAACATTGTCCCTTGGGACATTGAGCCGTTCAAGATCATGCTGAAATTGCCCAGGAAATCTCCGAAGCCTTTCTTTTTGGCATTTGCGATCTTCCTTTTTCTTCTCAAATTCTCGCGCGATCTCCATCTGGCTGCCAAAATTCTCATGGGTAGAAATCCTTCGAGAGTGCCAGTTGTGCGTAATTCGCGTATCAACTTTTTCAACCAGCTTCAAGTACGTATTGGTAATATCGTCGATGAGTGTGCCCCTTAGCACGGGGAAGCGGGATTTCACCCATCGCTGATTCCATAACTTCGCGCCCTGTTCTTGTCTAAGAGACAGTTTCGAATTTGATCTTTTGAAGTTACTAGGACGTTTTATATAGGGACCACGAGCAGAATCTGGCGGACTCCCGGAGCTAGGTATTCCATGCCGATTTTCCGCATGGTTGGCGACGGGGGCTGCGGCCGAATCCTGATTGCCATTGAAAGTAGGCACGCTGTTCATATTGTTATTGCTGGTAGAGGCGCAGATAGCACCATCAATTCGTCGGGCCTTGAGATTTGGACTTTTGGCATTGGCTGTGTTGGCATTTTGGGAGATCCGCGCACTATCCAGAACGCGAATACGGCCGTTTTTGGGAGCCCTGTTCGAAATAGCGCGTCGAAAGGACACTGGAATGCTACCAGTCCCAGGGACAGCAGGGGTAATCTGGACTGCCTCCAGCCGCTGCATGGCGTATGGATTTTTGCGCCACAGGCTTGCCGCCCCTATGTTGACCGCCGCTTCGTGGTGAATCACCTCCTCTGAAGATGGCCCCAAAAGGAACATAAAATGTGGGCAGGTTGAACAGATCTGAGAAAGAAGTCAACTGGCTGTTGGCATGGGCTGGCATCCTTCAGACACAATTCCAAAATGACACTCACCGGAAATTTTCAACCCGCGATGCGGGTGCGATAGCCCCAGTAACGGTGCTGTTATGACATATCTGAAAGAAGCAAGATCCCGGGTGATGATTTTGTGAGCAGTCGCACGCCAATCGAATCTGCAGCGCTAGTAGCAGATTGGGATGCTTCACTGGTGAGTGCCCTGAAGAAAGTTGAAATGACCGGGTGACAGGTTCCGCGAAAAGTCGAGATGAGTTTTTCAAACGGGGAGAAAGTGTGACAGCAGAGGACCAGAAGTCCTATGCGTAGGAAGTGTTCCGCACAGAAAACAAGGCCTGCGAGCCGGGAAATGGCAATAAAAGGTTGGAAGCGTAATCTTCAAATCAACTCCGAGGGTTGCAGGAAGGGAAGAAAAAGATGAGAAAAATTGGCATGAGATGGAAGATTATGAAAAAGAAGCCAGATGAACGAGCGGAGTGCATTGAAGCGAGAGGGTTGGGTAAGGGAACTGGGGAGCGAAAGGCCGCCAACCGCTCTGAAATAAGCAACGAAAGATCGAGACGGCCGCGACACGTCCGATGCCAAGGCCGCTGCTATTTGAATAGCATCTCATGGGCTGAATGCCTTAACCACAAATATAAGGAAGGTGGGGAAGACATGTGGGACAATGAGGAAAGATCCAGATTGGACGCGGAAAATCTCGGAGTTATAATGGAAACCGTCTGCTGATATGTGGGAGTAAAGTTCAGACCGCATTTTTGGAAAGGCTTTGCACCCAAAAAGAAGAATTCGATATATATGACCTTTGAAGCAAATGCCGACTTGCATAAACTATTGATAGAATAGCAGTGATGCTCGGGCTTTTGATTGTCTTGGCTTTCTTACGAGCTCAGCTCTGTAAGAGAATACTCAATTAGATGAATAGATTTTTACCTCAAACATAATTAGGCTGGTCAGCCAAACATCAAGATAACAGAAAAGATGTCGATGTTTATAACGAATGAAAATTTTGGGTAAGCTGGCTGAAAAGGACACGGCGAATGTTATCTATCATCTGGCGGAGAGGAAACAATCCTATTGAGGCTAATGGATTTATCTGAGCGGAAAAGACCCGGAATTGGGGTGTTATTGTAGACACTGACCAAGCAGTCTGGCCCATGCTGGTTGGAAATCGAGCTGAGAAAAAGAAGTATTTGCATCTGGGAGGTCGACTGCAGCGGGAATGATGCCGGCCAACCAAGCTCCCAGGGTGAACGTAGTCTTGTTTTGGTCGGGCCGTCAACAGTCCTTACACAGTAAGCCGTCGTGTAAAGCAAGCTCCGGGGGTTAGACAATGGCGTGTGTATGATTAGGAATAGTTGCCTCTCCTTTCAGACCTTCCCCTGTTAACTCGGGCTTTCGTCGAAGTAATCAGTGGTGTTGGTGGTTGTTCAGGCAATTTGCGCTCCTTCTGCGTCACGATCCCGTTTGATTGGGCTCGCGTCTGCGGGACATTTAGGAATCTGAGCAATATTTTGAGAACATTGGAGCCAAGCTTAGCAGTGATTTGCGGTGCTTCCGCCTCTTCCAGTTCCCACGCCTTGGGTCGACAAGTTAGCCTTTAACGGGCATCCAGCTAAGCGAGACCCAGAAAAGGTTCAACGGGACCTAGGGTAGAAGGCCTATCAATTAGTTAACGAGGAACTAGTAACTACAGTTAGTTAATTCAAAATAAATACTAACTCTTAAGGAATCGAGAAGAAACAAGTTTGGGAAAATACCGCTATCACATGACCTATTCTTAGTTTCTCAGCAAAGGTCAGAAGTCGGTGTGTTCAAGTTCAGTGGTCACCCCCTTTTAAGAGCGCCACGTCGTACTCTTCAATCAAGCATCTCGCGTATTCACGTTCTTGTCCATCACACCCACAATTTCAGAGATGCGGACTCGCATGTACTTCGATGATGTCGCGTGGGAACGGAGTGAGGCCATCCAAGACGCTTGGGTACACGAACTGTTCAAGGAGGAGACTTTGATGGCTATAGGTCAATTTATCCTGAAACATCGAAGAGGAAAACCCGTTGAGCTGTGTGATCCACAAGCTGGGGGGTTCAATGTGTCCTTCAGAATGAAGTTTGAGGACGGCGGTTCTGCAATCATTCGATTTCCCAAGCCCGGTGCTACGATGTTTCCCGAAGAGAAGGTGCGCAATGAAATCGATATAATTAGGTATATTCACCAGCATACGACAATTCCCGTGCCAGTTGTTCTGCACTGGGGCACCAAAGAGGAAAATCCTCTCGGCCTTGGTCCATTTATCATCATGGAATATATTGACCATGTAATGGACCTGAGCGACGTCCTTAACACCCCTGGATTTGCGATTAAGGATCGTCCGATTCTCGACCCAAACATTGATGACGCCAAGCTTGAACTGCTATACGGACAGTTTGCGGATAATTTGCTTCAGTTGTCCACGCTACGGCTGCCTAGGATAGGATCATTGGTCCAGATTGACGGTTTCACCTGGGAGGTGGCTCAAAGACCACTACCCTATAGCGCGAATGAACTCGTGCGTGTAGGGACTCTACCGCGCTCTAAGTTGCCAAGAGCGAACGAAACTTTTCAATCAGCATCCACCTACTTCAATACACTGGCAGATCTCCACCTCGAGCATCTTATACACCAACGGAACGATGCCGTCGAATCCGCGGATGACTGTCGACGAAAATATATTGCAAGAGTATTGTTCCGTAAGCTCGCTAGGGAGGGTCGATTCACGACTTCTTCCACGAATCTCGGACCTTTCAACATCTGGTGTGACGATCTTCGGCCCGCTAACGTCTTGATCAACGAACATCTTCAAATCGTAGGGGTTGTGGACTGGGAATTCACTTATGCTGCACCAGTGGAGTTCTCTCACGCCCCACCGTGGTGGCTGCTTCTTGAGCAACCAGAGTATTGGCCGGATGGGATAGAGGCGTGGACAAAGGTGTATGAGTTACGCCTCCGGACGTTCTTGAAGGTGCTACGCGAACAGGAGGATGCAGCTATAGGCCACGGTAGACTGAAAGATGAACAAAGGCTTTCTAGGCCAATGCAACAAAGCTGGGAGAGCGGTGATTTTTGGGTCACCTATGCCGCGAGAAAACCCTTCGCGTTCGATGCTGTATTCTGGAAAAAGCTTGATGGCCGATTCTTTGGACCTGGAATGAATACCGAAGACGACCGTTGGAAAGGACGGATAGATCTTCTTACCGAAGACGAAAGAACAAATATGGAAAAGCTAGTCGAGAAGAAACTGGAAGAGACGAGAACGAGGGTTTTAGCCTGGGAGCCTGATGAGGTGGATCCGAATATCTTGAACTAGTATGTACCTGAGATAGGAGTACACGAAAAGGCATGGTTTTGAGAAGGCCTCCCATCTCCATTCACTGTTTGAATTCACATTTGCCACCTCTAATTACTTTGGCAAATATGTTTAGGTACTCTCCATATAGTAGGCTTATGTGGATAAACCCTGAGGTAATATCGTATGAAAAAGATACAGAAGTTTTAAATGATGTAGGTATAGGTGCTGAAGGGCGACCCAGGATTAGTGGGAACCCGTTTACGAACCTTAAGGTGCACGGTTGAGCGCGACGATTACATAATAGATCGATTACGTCGTTGCCATGGGTTCAACTTAGAGCGCAACCTTACCTCACCACCACCGACCAGCATGGCCGATGATGAGCTTCTGGGCTGCGCAGGAACATATCCTTATCACATGGCCAGATTCCTTTGAGGCAAAATTCGCCCCGGCCAACCATGGCGCAGGCGCCAGTCCCACTTACTCACGGCAAGCATGGTGCGCGATCCAGCCATCCCTGCCCCGGGTTTTATCCGAACCTGATCTAACTCTACGCAGAGATGCTAGCTCCAGTCGCGCGCTTGAATGCCAGAGTGTTTGAGTACGACCCAGTCATCGCGTATATGTTACTGGATATGTCACAGGAAGAGCGGCTAGCGTATTTGCCTTCCTACTGGTTGACACTTGTCAGGTCGGCTTTGCTTAATGATGCGCTGATCACCCAAGCCGATGACTGGAAAGCCGCTTCTGTCATTATTCCGCCCGGGAGACATGTTGATAACGTCTGGACACTTATCTATGCCGGGTTCCTCTCCGTCTTATTCAGGATGGGGTTTTCCGGTTTGAAGGTATGGTAATCTAAAGAAACGAAGACAGGTTGACAACTAACGACTCCAAGCGCCTTTGGACGGAATTCTCGGGCATGACCGACAACGCTAAGAGGAAGGGTCTCCACGGGCGGAAGCTGTATTACTACATCTTCAGCATCGGGACCGAGCCCGAGCACCGTGGAAAAGGTGGGCACATCTATTTCCCCCCCCCCCCCCCTTCACCCGGCCTAGCATGACTTGAGCAGACCACTCACTTGGCTGCAGGCCTTGCCAAAGCCATAATACGGGACTACATGAGAAGGGCCCAAGCGGAGAACGTTCCAATCTGGCTCGAAGCTACGACACCCAACTCTAGGAAGCTGTACCTCTCAATGGGGTTCGAGGAAATCGAGGAGGTTACACTTGGGAAGGGCAAAGTCGACAAAGACGCCAACCTTGAGCCTGGTGGCCCTGGTGTTCCCCTATGGGCGATGGTCTGGTGGCCCGAGCAGCCGCCGTGCCATCCTTCTCTCTAACCTAAAACTCTTCGCTGTGTCCCTATTCCCTCCTGCTATGCGTTAAGACACATCCCTACCACAATGCACAGTCCACTGGTCTATAGACCTGCTATTACTTCGCGAATATCGACTCGATATAGACTTTGGGGAAGCTTGGATTCGAGGGCGAAACAAGTACACAGTACGCCGCCCACTGGTGGACACGCAAAAGGAAATATGTTGATACATCAACAGAGGAAACAAAAGTATAAATGAAATGATACAAAGCAGATTACAAGACAACTCGCACCCATATGCCTTCGAGAAGATTGCCGGAATGAGTTTGGCAAACCCTCTCCAGCAAGTTGAGGTCCTTGGGAATCACCCCGCTCTTGACAGCATCTGGAAATACATTAGCAGCCATCCAATTTTCAATACGATGAGAGGGCACACTTACCCTGGTAAGACCAACGGTAATCATTAAGCTGAGCCTTCCAATTCCAGAACACCCAGCCCTGCAGCTTCTCGTACGAATGCGCCTGCGCAGCAAACCACGTCTCGTAGAAGTCAGTGTTCGAGCTCGGGTCCCAATCAGAGGACTACTGGGCATCATCGGGAACAGCTAGACTCCACTCGCCAACGATTGTGGGAGTGTCTCGGTCGCGGTTGTTGCTGTTGCAGGACTCTCTGATGTAGCTGTCGTGGCTGACATCGACACTCGTGTCCCACTTTAGGTACCGGTGGTCATCATAGGCCGCATAGTACAGGTTATCAATGTACTGGTTCGGGTCTCCGGAACCTCAGTGTTGGTCCATCATCTGGATGTGGAGGTAGTTGTTCTCATCGATTCCAGCGTTAGACTCATTGGCACGGATGCGCTGTGATGAAAGTTAGGTTTGCTGAAGATGCAAGTTTTGAGTGGAACCTACTGCAAAGGCCTGTGGGTAGTAGGTTGGACACAAGGAGGAGGCCTGGTCATTGTACTGCAGGGGTTCGTTGAGGTTCTCGAGCATTGCGCACGTTGCGGAACTCATTGGTGGAATGAATCAGACCACTCATCCATTCCAGGAACTGCAAAGCACGCTCGTACTGGTAGTCGATATAGAAGCCCGCATCGGAGGCATACTGGCCAGTAAGGGCATTTTTCGGAGTCTGGGCCCTAGGGGTACTGTGCAGGTCCATGATGATGTACATGCCGGCATCACTGGCCCAGCCGCACAGTCTCTTGACATAGTCGAGACCACCCTGGGGAAAATACTCGCTGTCCGAATAGACCAAGTCCACGCGGAGCCAGTACCCAACAGGCACACGGATAGTATTCAGGCCGTAGCTGACCGTCTCGGCGATGTCGTCCTGGGTAATCCAGCTATCCCAGTGCTTCTGGAAGGCGAGGTTGGCAGCCTCCTGGCCGAGCAAGCTCACGCAGTCAAACTCCGACTTGGTGCCACCGCAGCCCATCTCGCTCCAGACACTCTCGCCGCGCCAGGACTCAAAAATGAACTGTGAGCCCAGGTTGACGCCGCGGATCTTGCCATTAGAGGTTGAGAACAGATCCCGACCATCACTCCCTGTGATCTGCTTGTTGGTTGTCGGCAGCCGAGCCGTGGCTAGGGTATTCAGCGCGCTCAGCGCAACAAAGTTGGAGAAGAAGCCCATGATTGAGATTAAAGAGTGACTTGGGTTCTATGCTCAGGGCACAATGAGGAACCCTAGGTTGAACTAAATAGCCTCTCGGGACCTCGTGTGCACTCCGCGATCTACCTTAGGGCTCGTCAGTTCTCCGCGGTCATGTCAGCTTGGGCCGGGGGATGTAACCAGTCTGCAGGATCACAGCCTCGAGTTACAACCAGAAGAGCAAGGATGTGCGCTGTGTCAGGGTTGGCAATTGCCCTGATTGGATCATTGGCACATAATTCAAAAGGACAAGCAGTTCCTCAGATTCGTTAAATCGGTCCCTTTTCCTGGTATTAGCAACTTTTGGTCATATACCGCATTCCCTGCTCAAGGCAAAGCTCGTACAGGCTTCAAAGACTCGTTCCTGACTGCCGCTTGTTTTGGGAGCGAATCCTTTACGACGATGAGATTACGTGGTGGTTGGGGGCCAAAGTCCTGTAAGATGATGGGCAGTTTGGCCTCTGGAGATCTTGGTTCATCAGCATCCGATCTCCGATCGGCTACATAATCAAAGGGAGGACTTGTCCACAGTGACATCTGGATAAAAATGCGGTGCTAAGGGGAGTTAATGGTCTTCCGCCTGCTGTCCATGTTCGCGAGAAAGCCTACCCCTTTCCCCCAAGGTCAGGGACAGTTGGTTCCGGTTTTAGATGCAGTGGGGCCGTTTTTCTCAGCTCGGTACTCCGTAGATACCTGCCTCATGGGGCGGCACTTCACAAACGGGGCTGTAAAATAAAACCTGAATTATTTGTTATGCATGTGGTTGTCTCGAGCTCGACCAGTGGCCTTCATTAATTGTCATGTTCCCGAAATACACTTGGCAGGGCCGTCATTTCAATCTTCGCTCAATTGTTTATTCGGACCACTTGTTGCCACGGTCTCTCATAGAATAACGCTGCTGATGAGCCAGTGTATCTCCCACTGCCGTCTAGAGCAAGTGGACCCTGACGCCTTCTGACCTTCTGGGCAGTCAGGACGAAGAGTTGAGTACTTCTCCTGCTCACATAAATCAGCACCTTTCCACCCCTGATGTCACCGAGGAAATAAAGAGGAAATAAAGACATAACACAGTTTGTGTAGCCAAGGGCATTGTCATCTCTCATCAATGGCACTCCTCTGCCGCAATCGGGTCAAAATGTCAAGTATGATCACCGATCCTCCCATCGCAAACCCAATCCAAGTTTCTGACCGAACTGGCCCCAACCGGTTTTCTTCATAAAACCGGGTTAGAGTCCTGATGTTGTCGTAGTGATCCTTCAAGGTAGGATCCCTGAGCAGGACCCTGATGGTGACCAATTGTGCGGCAGGGGAGCCCTCAACAGGGGGGGGGGGGCTTGCCGTGGTGTTCACCGAGAGGAGTTCTCTGTCCGATCCCCGTGCCAGGATCTACCTTGATCACTTCTCTGAGTGCGTCGTAGATTGTCATTGGAGTTCTCAGCTTGGTGTCTCTTCTGACGATTCATTATCGGGCCGGGGTGTGTCTGAGAGCACGCCGCAGGCTGGATCGGGGGACCGAGGCTCTGGGATTCTTTGTGGACTTTCCATCTGCTGCTGGATTTTCTCACCAGGCAGAAGGCGAAGGTTGACGAGGATTAAAATCCGAGGAGGAAGTCCAAAATCACGGGGATGTTGGAAACCATTGCACTCAATCCGATGGATGCTTCTCGGAACGGCGAGCGGTGGAGAGTGAAGGAAGTGAATCACTCAACATGAAGCAGTTCAATCCCAGTGGATGGATTGTGACTTTTGCGACCGCCCTCTGCTCTGTTTCAACTGAAATTCCCAAGACTTTCGTTCAGGGTAAGATCTTGCCGATAAATGCTGTTTCATGTGTTGGCAGGGACTCACCACTCCGATGTATGTCAGTCGCCGGTCATCATAGACACGCGCCTATGCCCAAAACAGTCTACGCTCTTCTTTTTACTGGAGCTGATCGTGAGACTGGCGCTGACTCGCTTAGCGCGATGTCGGCCCGATTGGATCATGTGGCTTCAACAGAGAATCGATGACATCTTGTCATGACGGAGCTAAAAAAAAAAAAGACATCCCGGAACGCCTCCCCGCAGAACACAATCCAGACCACTCTATCAGCCCCCGACGCTCACCAAAAGCCACCGCCATAGCATCCATCACCCCAGTTCTCACTCCGAAAACCCTTCATCTCCCCAGCAGCAACACGAGGACAAGCTCTACGTATCACAAAAGCAACGTAGGCAGCCTACGAAACGCCTGCGGACTTCACCCTAACCCCGAAACATCACAGAGCGCCGAGTGGGGACGATAAGCATGGTCGATCAGGCGACTCCGCTGCGGGCCGCGGGGAATTCTCGGCCGGCCGAACGCTGGGCCCGGTCTGCAACGCCAGAGGACCACTTCCGGGTCGTAAGGCTGTGAGCTGCGAATGAGAGCGCGGCTCGCACCCGAAGAGGATGAGGGGCCGGCGGATAGGCCCGGATGATACGCGGACTCTAGCTTGGGGATGGGCTCGATCGCGTGGGCGAAGGTTATTATATGTATGGCTCGGACGCCGCGGTCTACTTGACACTGCGAGGGCGGCCGCATTTGAGCTGCTCAGGAGGGAGAGGATTCCAGCTACTCTGGTTTCGCGAGCAGGTTTGGCCGCGTTGTTCGCAACGCTTGCTCAGAGGAGAGGGTACAATCCGGTCCGCATGAAGCAAATGAGCAATTCAGGTATGTGTTGCCCAAGTTGATATCGCATATTAGTGGGTATGCTGTTTAAACCGCACTGACAGACCCAAGTGCCATGCAGGGTATACAAAAACGGTACAAGGATTGTCACATTATTCGCCACGGCGTGCCTCCCTCCCCAAACGCCCAGGTCAAAACAGAAACCAGCATCACAAGTCCTCCCGACGCCATGATGGAAAAAAAAACCAGGAAGGATAGACAAAAAGAAAAGAGCGACCAGCGACTTCACACAGTCGGGCTGGCGCCGCGCATACTGGGGAACAGCATGACGTCCGACACACGTCCCAAGATGTTCTGCATACTCCAATCCTCAAGCGGGGGCGCGGAGCCACCAGCGGGCGCCATATTGGGCGGCAGATCCGGGGTGGTATCCATCGAGGGCGGCGACGGCAAGATCAGCGGCGAGTACGTCCGTCGGCGGTGTGGCGCAGCCGGCGCCGTTTTGCGGTCCCGGAAGGCTTCACGGATCTCGCGCAGTGCACGCAGCGATGAGGCGAGATGTTTGGCAGAATCGGTGCGGTTATTCTGGTCGGTCTTGCCGTCCGCATACACGTGGTCGGCCAGGACGTTCTCCAGCCGGTCGATCAGCTCCCAGGTCTGTGGGCCGTCGTCGGTGGAAACGAGCAGGAACGCGGATGCGATAGATCGCTGCAAGCTGATCCATGATCGGGAGCAGTGCGAATTGATCTCGTGCAGCTCGACGAAGGCCTCGATGGTGCTGATCAGGCTACTGATGCACTCGTCGTGGATGACAGCTCGGCGCGACTCGTCGAGATGGGTATGCCGGTCTAAAGATACCCGACACAAGACAGAAAGGAGATACGAGGAGTGTAGGCGCAGCTCGGTGCGCTCAATGTGCTCCGCGAGCGACCGACATTGCTCACGGTGTCGCAAATGTGGGGTGGCTTCGGCGATCATCCGCTGTATCCGGTGCTTGTACTCGCGAATCTCATGATATCGTGGCTGCTGGGACTCGGGGTACATGCGGGATCGCAGCACTTCCAGTGCAAGCGAGACCACGCGGCAGAGAGTCTCGAAGTATGTTCGATAGCCCGGCATGGATTTACGATCAAAGGGAATCTCGGGTTGGCTGACCATGGTTATAGATGGCCGATCATAAGCGAGCGAGAAATGGCTATTTTGAAAGGCCATCGCCCACCTGTGCAGCATCAGCATCGAGCTCAGCAAGTGGCAAGGGGCAAAGAACCTACCAGACGCGCCTTCGATTGGCCTGCTCCTCGGCTGTGAATCCTGTAGTCTCGACGTGAAGCCCAAGAACAAGACACATACGCTCCGTCATGCCTATAAGGTACATTAGGTGAGAAAGGGTCCCATTGTGCCCAAAGTTCCAACTTACCAAGCAAAGTGTAAGAAGCACCGGCGTTCATGTTATATGACAGAACATTGCTAATAATGAGCAGAATTTGGATGACCTCTACAGTGGGTTGCGACACATAATTCAACATGCGCAGGCATTGGTATGCACAAGACACTGGAATGGGCATCAGTACAATGGCAACCTCAGCATTCTCCTTCGTTTCGTGTGGGTCATACCGTATATCCATGAAGTCATTTCACGGTCGGCACTTGCCAGATCGGACAATTGGCACCCCGAGGCAAGCACCGCAAAAAGCAAACTGAGAAACGGCAGGTCCATTCCGAACGGCTTGACTAACCCATTCGCATCTGGTTTATAGACACCCCCAGCCCGTCGCCTGCCTTCGAGTAACCAATGTGTCTTCTGTTCAAGCTTGCCGAGATCGGGTAGTACCGGATATAACACGGCGCCGATATCTTTATAAAACCCCAAAAATCTATGCAGAAGGGAGATAAATCTGAGTCAGTAGTCCAATCGCAGCCACCGTTCCGCACGTTTCACGCGACATACCGTTGACATTTCTCGTCGTCCGGGAGCACCGCACACACCCCGGCAATATTGAAAGTATATGGATCGGAGGACCACAAGTCCACAAATGGATATGCCGCCGACTCGTTGCCCAGAGCGAGCTCTGCCAGCAAATCCTCCTGAGGCAGCGCCTGCGCTGTATCCTCAGAGCCCTTGGACTTATCCAGAATGTCGACGAGGGCGGACCGAGACCCAAGATGGACGGCGCCCGTCTTCAACACGTTCGGCCCGTACACGCCCTGCGACCGGGCGGAATCCTTTCGTTCCAAGGACCTTGCCTCGCTGCGTTTGCGGGACGAATGTGCGTTGAACAGCGAGTGTAGGCTGCCAAGGATCTGCTCCATGACCCTCATCTTGGTATTCACGTCGTCCCATTCCGTCTGCGAGATGTCAATGATCTCGGGGAGGTCCGAGTCGTCGCTGGCTTGGGTGTACTGGGTGTACCGCTCGGGAGCGCAGGAGGCATCGCATGTAGAAGGCGCGGACGCAGCATAGGAAGGTGGGATGCCTGGAGAGACAAAGGAAGGCTGCAGCGTTGTGGGGGACGCGGTAATAGCGGCGGCGGGTATGGGGAGCTCGTCGGAGGAGGGCGGGCGACCGTAGGAACAGGTGAAGCTGCGCTTGACGCAATTGCTACAGGGCACGTTGCGGTCGCAGCGGACTTTGCTGGCGCGGCAGGGCAAGCAGGTCTTGCACTCGCGCGGGCGGCGGCGGATGGGATACGTCGGCATGGTTCAACTATCTGCTGGACGAGCGGGGACGGCTTGCTTGCCTACGGCGAGCGGCGGGCAGGGGAGGTAACGGCATAGGCAGGTCGGGGTCGGATGAGGCCGAGCGAAAGACAGGCGAGAGAGAGCACGTAGCCGGCCCTCGGACGCGGGACTAGGCGACTGGGCGAGTAGGCGTCTTAAGGCAGGAGCTGCTGGGGCGGGTTCGTTTAGGATGAAAGGGAATGGCTAGAGCCGCCACGGGCGCTGCTGGGGCAGGGATGAGGTCCGTGAGCGACGCGTGAGATGTATCGAGTTACCGAGGAAGTTTTGTTGATTGAAGCTTGCAGATTGGAGACGGGGCAAGGAACGAGATCGCGGGAGGCCCGCAGATGTGAATCCGAGCTGCCGAGAATGGTGTGCAGCCTGACGGGTGCCGATCACAAAGCCAATTTTCAGAAATGACCGGATTGGGATTGACAGCACTGAGATTATTTGAGTTTATCTCGACGATGTCGGCGGATTTCGCGGGGTCAAGTGGATGAAAGCTGGCCGAAGTGAATGATTTCATAGCGGGCTCAAGTCCCGTGGTTCGCAGTGCCGAAAGCGGGCAGTCAACTGCGTGTTAACTAACTACAGTACTTCCTGTATCTATTTACGAATGATGGGGCCGTTGGGAGTGGTGGGGCCCTTAGCCTGTTCCTGAGGTCGATCCTAGTAGGAGCACGGGATATACTTGAAATGCTGACAGTATTTGCTCGCTATCGTAAAAATAGATGTTATGCGGCTCTACGCCATTCCTCGTATGCCTCAGTCCAGGGGCACAATCGCTCACAGCGCCTGCCAGATACAACAAAGCCCATGACATGCAACTACCTAGCAATGCAATCAGAAAGGGGGGCTAGTGGGGTTGGGGGAGAGACAATCATTTTTCATTTTCACAGTTCCCGAGTCTCTTTCACAGAAGGGAGGCACGGCTCAAGAGGTAGGGGGGTTTGCGGTTTTATTTTCCGAAATCTGCGGCACGATCCACCAGTCATGCCACTGCGTCTTCGAGCCAATCTCGGGGATCACCACCTGAAGATTTACCGGCTTCTTCTCGGAAGGTGGGGAATCGCCCAAGAGGGCCTTCTTGACGGTCTCAATCGCAATGCTGGCCCCGATGCAGGCGCGCATGGTGTCCTTGATGTCGCGGCGCCAGTCTTCCTCGATGGCGATCGACGGTTCTCTGGTGGGTGAGGAGACATCCTCACTGAAGGCACCATTAGCAAGAGTCGCCTCCCATGCCTTTCGGGCCTCGGTGATGGCCTTGGAAGCACGGTCCAAAATGGTAGTGTCCGCATCGCCGTCCAGCGTGGCCTCACGCTGGTACTCCTCATACGGGACCAGCTCGGGTAAAGAGATGGGCATAAAGGGCTTCATGCGGAGCTCGTAGCGTAGTCGGTCACTCGAGTAGGCCTCGGGGCTCGAAGCAGATGGAAGCACATTGTGTCGAGCCAGCAGAACATAGAGGGCGTGGAGGGCGATCGCGAAAGCATCGATCGCAATTATATGCGTTGTCAGCCTCTCAAGATAAAGAAATGATTTGTGGAATGCAGGAGACGTCTGCGCAGGATTTTCGGCGCGACTACTGCTTGACACTAGATCGCGCTTTCTAGCTGCCACAATGAAGGTGCGAATCCGATCAAGGTGGGCCAGATGGGTGGAGCAGATGTGTGACAGGTACCAATACACGCCAGGGAGCTCTTCGGGGGCGTAGATCGATAGCTCGAATCCCATTTGCAGGATGAGTCGGAGCTGGATAAGTTTTTGATGGTAGGCCCAGCTACTAAGTGGGTATGAAAAGGTAGCTTCTCCGCCCGGAAATTGCAATGCAGGCTCGGCGCTGAGGTTCTGAAGCTGAAGGTCGAGCTCCTCGGCCTGGAAGTAAAATAATGTAAGCTTCGATGAATCAAGATTGGACTCTGGAGTGGATATACCTCCATCTGCAGATTGTCCCAGTCGATAACAGTGTGGCAGATGGTTCGACGGATCCGACATCGGTTCAAGCAGGCACATCGTACAGTATCCACAAAAGGCTACAAGCAATTAGGAAACTTCCTAGTGAATCTGGTCTAGGGTGGACCGTACCTGAGCAAAGCGTTTCACAAATCCTTCCATCTGTTGGGCAATTTGGAAACGTGGATCTGACGGTACTTCTACCTCATCAGTGTTCGCTCGAAGCAATATACTTGATGGCAAGACGAGCTCCGCAAGGTCGTCATAGAGAAATTGTTTGACAGAAACAGCCCCAAGAATTGTCAAGTCGCTCACGATCAGGGCCTGGAGAAGCGATCGAATATAGACCGACGGCTGGGGTTTTCGGGAGAGTAACGTCCACACGGCGGTCTAGCATCGAAGACTTAATAAAACTGTGCACAAGTGAACGTTTCCATAACCGTACCTTGAAGTTGCTTGGACCCCGATAGTCGAGTATCTGTTGCAAGTCAATTGCATCTTGACATAGCCGCTTCATGTGCGCAAAAGCATCCTCGTGCTTGATGTGGACAATTGGACGAGGCGGCACAGTGCTGGCAAGCTTCCGCTGAAGCTTCAGGCTAAAGGCCTCCGGCACCGTTGTCCCCAGAGATACGGTCTCAGCCAAAGCCTTCAAATGGGATAAGCATGACATAAAGCTATCTGTTGACCTGGTATCCAAGATTTCGAGATCCTGGTCCACTGAAGCCAAAAAGTCCCGGCGAAGCAGCAGCCTGCTCCGAATGGCATCTCGAACCTTTTGGTCTATTCCTTCCTCGACCTCAACCCAATCCACCGCCTGGTCCAGCAGGCGATAGAAATGCGATGAGTCGAAAGCGGATAATAGGGAGCGGTTGTATAATTGAGTAACGAAGTCTTCTTCCTGTATCACCAAGCACCGTCAGCGCGGTTGGTCATTTTCCCAATAATCATCCAACGCACCTCATAAAAATATTCGGAAGCCACACGCGCATGCACAAAGTCGCATGACTTTATCAGTGCAAGGCAATATGCGCGAAGGACGTGGCTGACCAGTGGCGATTCGCTGGGCACGCGATCAAACCGCGCATCTTCCATTGTTCTCGGTACGGGCCATAATAGCTTGTCGATGTAGATGGACGTAAAGAGAGTCTGGGAAAGAGGGTGGCCCATATGCCATGCCATCTACAAGGATACTCAGTAAACAATCGGCCCATAGCTATGCGATACACCCACCTCATGACAAAGCAATTGGTCCATCAACCCCACAACCTGCTTCGGTGTCAAATCCCGTCGCACATCGTAATTGTCTTCCAGCGCCTGCGCCTGGTTCTCTCCCGGCGCTATATAGCCGCTGTCCATCTTGGAGTCCATGATCTATCATAAATCCCAACAATTATCAGCATTCATCCCTCTCCTGCACGCTGCTAACCCAGGGTGACAATGACGCACCTCCAATGCGCCCACGGCCTCAAAGAGCGTGAACGTTTCATCCTTGACGAGCTGGCCGGTCCGCAGTTCTATGAAGTAGGATATTCGTTAGCTTTTAGAGACAATGCCAGGAATGGGGGACAGTCTTACTCGAGGAGGCCTCCGTAAAGTCGGCGGTGATGTCGCGCGGAACAGCCGACTGCGCAGCCGCCCGCGGCGGGGGCACGCGAACCTCGTTATTCGGCAGCATCGCACAGAGAATCAAGGCTCTGCAGTCCGCTGCCGGGTCTTCTCATGGAATGAAGGGGTAAATCGAGAGATACAACCGGCGGGGTTTCGAGTGGGAATAAGATCGAGGGGTGAGCGGGGGGACGTTGGCGGGAAAAGCGCTTCGGGCAGGGCGGGCGGGCAGGGCCCTCTGACGTGCAGCTACTGCGGCCGGCCACCGGAGGGTACAATTAGACCAAGCTACGACCAGGTTCCAGCTACAATTCCACAAAGTTGGGCGCTGATGGATATACGAAAGAATGCGATTTGAAGGTCTGTTTGTCCGTCCAGACACAACCTGTATTGCTACACATGTACAAAAAAGTTCAATTGTCTTCCCGGGGTCCCTCTAAATCATCGCTCATGTCCGATCGCAGCCCCGGGTCCATCGCTCCGCTAGAACAACATGACTGTATCATGTCCATTCGTTCGTGCTCAGGTGAATGCTGGTCGTCTATTTCTCGGCGGCCTGGGCAAGGGCCTCGTTGTTGGCCTGGGCGAGCGAGCGGACCTCGCCCTGCTTGCCGTTCTGTTTATCACAAAAGATCGCATCAGCCCCATCAAGCCAATCCAGGAATATATTCTGTTTCAACTAACCTCCCACTTAGCGAAACGGAGGTCCATCTGACCGCGGCGCTCGGCGTTGAGACGGGGAGTCTCCTTGAGGGAGCGGCGCACCGCACGGGCGGCAATGGCCAGGTAACGGTTGTAGCTAGACTCAGGGTTAGCATTGGCGGAATTTGGCGGGATCGGATGAATCGTACGTGAGGCCGGCGGCTTTCCAGGCGGCAGTCATTTTGAAAGGTGGATGCGGAGAGATGGGTGGTGGAATTGAAGGGGGTGAAAACGGAGTTTGGAAGCGTTCGACTTCGGAGAATCGGGAAGGGTATTCACGTGACACTTATGGGTACGATCTATAGGTCACGTGTGTCCGACGTCAATCCAGCTTTGCTTCAATAATAGTCGTTTCGTGTCACTCATTTCTCGCTCTCTATCAATTACTGTTAACGAGAAAACATGGCCTTCATACTCTTCACAATAATTTGAAGTGTTCGGCGGATTTCTGTGGGTCTCCGCCTGCGTTTACGAGTACAATTGCTCAGCAAGCTCTCTCGTTCGCAATGCGATGGAATAGCATTAGGTGGGAGGACGAAACGATCCTCGGGATTTCAAAATCGTGATCGATCGATCCATTGCTTCGCTTCGGCCTCTAATTTACGCTGATTCATCACCCTCGATCTATGAGTTCTACTCGGCGGGGAACCTAACGTTCGACCCACCTGACCAATATCAAATAACAGCGGGCATATCTGGAGATTGGTAAAAAAGGGAGCAAGGCCCATCATCACCAGGCCGCGTTCGAAATGTTGATGGATTTGGAGTACACTACCCCGTGGGGTTGCAGCACTGACGCTCTTTTTGGGACTACCCTCTCCCCCTCTCCACTTCTCCCCTGGGAGCTTTCCTTTTTCCAAAGATGGAGGTCGCTGGTGACTGCCATACCCCGCAGTAGTGTGACTGTCCTAGTTCACGAAGGCCTCTGGGCCGGCCATCGATAATCACATCCTCCTATCCTCCTCTTCTCCAACTTCCCTTCGAGCCGTCACTCAGCAAATACCACTCCACGGTCGTACATTGCTCTTTCCTTTCCAAGATTTGCGTTTAGCCTTTGGTTATCCGGTAAGTACCTTTCCATTTCAAACTGTGCATTGTTCGTCCCGCACTCTCTGTCCTTTCAGTACCTCTCTCGGTGGGTCCTTTCGTCACCGTTTGAGGCGTTGAAGATCCGGGGTATTCTCTCTGCTGGCCATGATCTTGTTCGAGACGAGTACGACTTCATGGCCATTCGGCCCAGCTACTTCCTGATACTCGAATCCCCCTGCTCGCACTTGTTTTCCGCCTGTATGGGGTCTCCGGTGACGGTTCACCGTCACCAGCATCTCGAGACACACTGCACATACGGAACAGATTCTTGCCCTTGCCTTTCTACCCGACCTTGCCCCTGCTGTGCCAGTTGCCGAATGCCGTTTCCTGGACGTTGAAGTCTCTTCACGGCCTGCATTCTTTCAGTTCTGTGGTCCCAGGTAACAGTCCACCGCTGGCGTCGTTTGGGGACGGCCTGCTCATCTCTTCACCATTCCAGGCCTCCTTTGCAGACTAAATTGGCCATGGGTTCCTGCTTCCGGCTCCCCTGAATACCCCGCACATCTATTTTCTGTCGTGCTTCGCACTTCCAGGGTGACGGTTGGCCGTAGCCATCACCTTGAGATATCCTTCCCCGAGGATGACAATTTTGTCTCGTCACTTTTTCCGCACCCTGTTGCAGACAAACTCGATCGTTACATGATTGACAGCCCGTTTCTGTCCCTCCGAATTCTCTGAACACATCTTCCCTCTTCCACGCCGCAATCTCGGGTGACGATTCGCCGCCGCTATTGATTCGGAACATCCCTCCCCGATCCCCAACACATTCCAATCCAGTCTTGTACCTCTACTCCTTTCCCGAACTCGGCCGACGCTGGTGAAGACATACTTACAGATATTCCATTCACCAGCCCATTGATCGCCTCTCTCAAGACTCGAAAACATGCCTTCTGCTCCCAAGGGCGGAAGTGAGCAGCCGCCCGACAAGCCTGCCAGGTCTGGAAAGGATAGCAGGAAGCCCCGCAAGGAAAAGCGCCAGCTGGTGCGCTGGGACGGTGAGCTGAATTCCGCCTTTTATCCGAATGCATCCCACTCATGCATAATGAGCTTCTATCACATCTGAGCTGGGTTTGCTTCACATTTTCCGCTCACCCGGCGGTTATGCATGAAGTACCCCGTTGTTGCCGTTGATATTTGGGCTTTATATACTAACAACATCGATAGGTGATCTTGATACCCTGCTGCTCCTCACGGTGCAGTCGGCATGCAACCTGACCGGGGTCAAGATTCCCTGGGAGAAGGTTGCCGAGCTCATGGGAGAGAAGTTCACGGAGGGTGCTATTGTCCAGCACCTGTCAAAGCTGCGCCTTCGCCGCGAGGCAGCCAATCAACGTGTGCCTCCGCCATTGCGCCGCTCTGTTACAGCGGCTGCTGCTAGTAGCAAAGGGACTCCCAAGGCAGCAAAAAAGGATACGCACAAGCCCAGGGGCCCTACTGCTGACGATGATTCCTCGGATGACCTGGACGCCCAGGAAGAGGATGAATCGGATCCGGAGTACATCCAGAACAAAAAGACGCACAAGTTCAGAAAATTTTCCATTGTCAGCCCCAAGAAGCGCCAGGCATCGACTCAAAAGCCCAAGGCGGAGGGAGATGACGATGACGACCTTATGTGTGGCGGAGCCCCCTTTCTTCGATTGAAGCAGTCTGAGCTTAAATCTGACCATTCCAACAGCGATGACGAGGATTATGGTGATGAGGATGATGACGAGGAGGAGGCGGCTGACAACGGAGATGTTGATGATTCAGAGTTCTCTTCAGGAACCAAGATGAAGGTCGAACAGCCAAGTCCCATTCCTTGGCGATCGCGCGTTGTCAAGCTTCCAATGGGCCGACGTCTGGACGAGAAGGCACTAAGGGAGATTCGTCGCATGGCCGAGCCGAGCCCGCCCCCTACGGATCTTATGCCGCCTTCGGCTCTTATGCCGCCATCTTCCGGCAGTCAGGGTCGAAGCGTCAGGACCAACGAACCGGCGTTGATGTATGGGACTCCGGATACCTGGTATTCTGATACTGCGGCCATCGGGCAGCAGTTGCACCACTACCCGTTCACCCCTGGATACAGTACTACTCACCCGAACCCGATTCAAAGCAACATCGATCCTCTTCTCCTGGGTAGTGATATGCAGGGATCTTACCCGTGGTCTGTGGGAGGTCTCTATGGACCCCAGTATCCAGCCAGAGCTGGCCCTCCCCTTTCAAGAACAATGCCGCAGCCATGGGGACCGGAGTACAACACCGGGGGTATCAATGCGACGACCATGGACTGGGCGCTTAATCCTACTAACTTCCAGGAGGGCGACGGTCGCGAAAATAAAGGTAGTCACCAACAGCAGGACGGCATGGAGGAGTATTGAACCCGGGGGGGAATTGGGTGGGCTGTCAATCTCGCGTCCGGTCGGTGGAGAGTTTGATGATTTCGGTGGTGATGATGGCAATGGTGCTTCGGTGGTAGTAATGATCCTTTTTTCTAACAAGCTGGACTTAATCTCATGGTAAAGAGGTATCAGCAGTCTCCTGTCTGCATAACAGACGTCGGATTCGCGTTCTATTGGCGTTCCTTTTGCGTCAGATCAACTCAAGCCGGGCGGGCCAGGGCCCACGGAACGAAGGGTGTAAGATAGGAGGAAGGCGTGACATATTTAAGCGGATCTCATAGCACCATGAACATTTATATCCTTATCAATACTGGGTCGTATTTGTAGTTGATAAATGCAAGAAGTGTCGATGAAAGACGGAACTAGGAGGTCTGCCGTCATCCCCATACTTTATGAGCGCTACCTAATGCTTAGGCGTCACATACGCTTTAGTCTCAGATACCCGCCCGCCACTTACAGAAGAGCGCATGCCACTGATCTTGGGCAGTGTTTCCTTCAATTCGTGACCTTTTGCTTGCTTTTCGAAACTCGGGTTGAGTTTGCATCGTTATCATCGACTAGGTTATTAGTCCACATAGTGGTCCACAATGAAACTTGAACACGCATAGGTTAATGATCATGCTGTGCTGGCTAGGGTTTGTTGAACAATGACACAATATATGTTGCCAGTCGGAGGACACTCCGAAGTAAATATCTCCCCCATCCAGTTCCATTGGCGTCACTGTTTGACTTCATATCCATACCTAATTAGAATTGAGTTAGACTCTACATGAAAAACTGCTCAGTCGATTATGATTGCCCCATTGCAGCCTCAATTGGTCTTCGATGATTGCTCGACCAGACGCGAGGCAAATAGCCGGTCACCCGAAGCCTCGGGAATGCCCTTCACGTGACCTTCTAGCTGTTTCTGCCGCCAAGCTTCTGGGGATGGGGAAGATGGAATGGCCTGGAAAATTTTCGAGACTTTGGCTTCATCTTCACCAGCTTTCCTCACATCCCTTTCATCCTCCTCTTCCCAACCCGCATCGATTCCGGCTGGGTTTCTCTCTACCTCCTTATTTCATACCCTTTCCCGTCTCCTTTCCGTTCGCGTGTTTCTTTCGCCATGCAGCGCGCGCTGTCTGCCCGGACTTCGGTCCTCTCGGCCGCTTCCAAGCGTGCCCCTTTCGCCCGCTCCACCCTCAACCTCCAGCAGCAGCGGTTTGCTCACAAGGTGCGTGCGACAATGCTATTGCCATTGCTCTTCGAATGGAGTCCTTGATGCCTGTCGGCCGCGACTCCCGTCAATTCCGGAGCCCTCCGTGTATAACCCTGGCTGACCGTAAAGCAGGAGCTCAAGTTCGGCGTCGATGCTCGTGCCAGCATCCTCAGGGGTGTTGACACTCTTGCCAAGGCCGTTACTTCTACTCTGGGCCCTAAGGGTCGCAATGTTCTGATCGAGTCTCCCTACGGCTCCCCCAAGATCACCAAGGGTACGTTGTTTTTTTGGTCTAATTTTCCTTTTGCGCGCCTCCATCCCTAGGCTCGGCAATCCACGACGATTCAAGACAAGAGCTAATTCTTCATCTTCAATTGAATAGATGGTGTTACTGTCGCCAAGGCTATCCAGCTGCAGGACAAGTTCGAGAACCTCGGTGCCCGCCTCCTCCAGGATGTCTCCTCCAAGACCAACGAGCTCGCTGGTGACGGTACTACCACCGCTACCGTTCTCGGTCGTGCTATCTTCTCCGAGACCGTGAAGAATGTCGCCGCTGGCTGCAACCCCATGGATCTGCGCCGCGGTATCCAGGCTGCTGTTGAAGCCGTCGTCGACTACCTCCAGGCCAACAAGCGTGACATCACCACCACTGAGGAGATCGCTCAGGTCGCCACCATCTCCGCCAACGGCGATACCCACGTCGGTAAGCTCATCTCCAACGCCATGGAGCGCGTTGGCAAGGAGGGTGTCATCACCGTCAAGGAGGGCAAGACCCTGGAGGACGAGCTGGAGGTCACTGAGGGTATGCGCTTCGACCGCGGCTACACCTCCCCCTACTTCATCACCGACCCCAAGTCCCAGAAGGTCGAATTTGAGAAGCCCCTGATTCTGCTGTCCGAGAAGAAGATCTCCGCCGTCCAGGACATCATCCCCGCCCTGGAGGCCTCCACCACCCTCCGCCGCCCACTGGTCATCATCGCCGAGGACATTGAGGGTGAGGCTCTCGCCGTCTGCATTCTGAACAAGCTCCGCGGTCAGCTCCAGGTCGCCGCCGTCAAGGCCCCCGGCTTCGGTGATAACCGCAAGAGCATCCTGGGTGACCTGGCTGTCCTCACCAACGGTACCGTCTTCACTGACGAGCTCGACATCAAGCTCGAGAAGCTCACTCCCGACATGCTCGGCTCCACCGGTGCCATCACCATCACCAAGGAGGACACCATCATCCTCAATGGCGAGGGCAGCAAGGACAACATCACCCAGCGCTGCGAGCAGATCCGCGGTGTCATGGCCGACCCCACCACCTCCGAGTACGAGAAGGAGAAGCTCCAGGAGCGTCTGGCCAAGCTCTCCGGCGGTGTTGCCGTCATCAAGGTTGGCGGTGCCTCCGAGGTTGAGGTCGGTGAGAAGAAAGACCGCGTCGTTGATGCCCTGAACGCCACCCGTGCTGCCGTCGAGGAGGGTATCCTGCCCGGTGGTGGTACCGCCCTCCTCAAGGCCTCCGCCAATGGCCTGGACGGTGTCAAGCCCGCCAACTTCGACCAGCAGCTCGGTGTCAGCATCATCAAGAGCGCCATCACCCGCCCCGCCCGCACCATCGTCGAGAACGCCGGCCTCGAGGGCAGCGTTATTGTCGGCAAGCTGACTGACGAATACGCCAAGGACTTCAACCGCGGCTTCGACTCTGCCAAGGGCGAGTACACTGACATGATTGCTAGCGGTATCGTCGACCCCCTGAAGGTCGTCCGCACCGCCCTGCTTGACGCCAGCGGAGTTGCCTCCCTCCTCGGCACCACCGAGGTTGCTATCGTCGAGGCTGCCGAGGAGAAGGGCCCTGCTGCCCCCGCTGGCGGCATGGGCGGCATGGGTGGTATGGGCGGCATGGGCGGCGGCATGTTCTAAATGCATACTGTCCTGCCTTCTGCGCCCTCACGCGCCTTCGTGAAATGATTACCCCCCGCCGCATCCCTTTTGCATCGCCGTGCCATCCTCTCGCGGCCCTGGATCTTTTGTAATGCCTTGGTGTTGTTCTCTTAACCTTTGTTTTATCACCCTTTTTCTATACCTGTATTTCTCTTGTCCCCCCTCCCCTCTCCACTCCTCCTGGGGCTCGAAAAAGGTTCCGGCGCAAATCCTGTATCATATTTTTTGTCTCCATCTCTGTGTGGCTCTAATGCATTCGATGATGCTAGAATACTCTGTTTCTTCCCAATCCCGATCAACGTAGTCCGATGGTCCCTCCACTGTTGGAGTGATCGCAAGTAGGCTCGAATGTAGTAGATGCACAAATGTAGTAATCCACAAATAACTCAGGAACGAATCTCCGGGGATGGCCAACCAGCATCGAGCGACAGTGGACCTGCGATCGACCGGGCGATCTGCACGTGCAGTGCATAAACAATCTCTCTTGGTTGAGCTTTGCCTGCGATCGACTGTACGTGCTCCGACTGACCATCAGGAATACCTCCAGCAGGGCTATCCTAGACAATCTGGGACCACAAAAGCCCCCTTGCCACGGTCCGTGGCCCGTTAAGTGCCCCGCCCGCTGACTGGCATTCTGGGAGGCGTCCCTCGCGGGGCCATTGGCTGTGTCCGTCGGCTATTCGACCATGGTTTGTTTTGGGCCGCGTAGAGAGCGCCATCAGCGGCGGTCTAGACTCGCCTGCCTCAGACAACTTCGCCTGGATTTGTCGGTCGGTCGCCTTTCCCTCCTTGCGAGGACCCCCGGAACTTGCCTGGTGTCACCCCAGACCGTCCCCTCCTCCACTCTCCCTCTGCTGCCGAAACTTGAAACTGCCGGGCAACCTCACTGCTCATATTCCATCTCCACCAAATCAGTTCTTCCAGTGGGGATCTGTTGTGGTACACTTGAGCGTCGGTTGGTAATGTATACAGCCGCGCCTGCTCAGTCCCTGTGCTGCTGCACCTGCCATCCATCTGTTTGCTGCTCTCAGAGGACGAGTCCGCCCTGCCTGGTGAGTTCCCGCCCTCTGCTTCTATGTCTCATGCCGGATGATTGGGGTACCACACGGCCGATTCTTGCGTCCTGCTGGCTGACACGAGTTTATCCAGCCCAGGTGCGATTGAGGAACCTTGACCAGGCCCGAGAAAGGCTGGTTGCACGTCAAACCTTCTATTCCTAGCCCGCCCAGCACCGGTCAGCACTGTAACTGTCTACTATGGCTGCGCTAGTGGATTCTCCACGACTAGCACTGGTCAGCGATGCCGACCTCCTCCAGGCCCGCGCCGCGCTGCAGCACCAGGAGAGCCCCAACATCTCCGTCCCGCGAGAATTCATATCTCTCATTGTTGAAGAACTGATCTACCGTCGCGAGTCCCACTCCGCCATCGCGGACGTCGAACATGAATGCTCCACTCTCCGCAAGGAGCTTCGCAAACACACCCACATCAATGAAGCCTTCCAGAAAGAACTGCGCGAGATCGGCGAGATCATTACGCAGGTTGCTCATGGCGACTTGTCCCAGCGCGCACGGCTACATCCTCTGGAGATGTCGCCCGACATTGCGACCTTCAAGCAGACAATCAACACGATGATGGACCAGCTGCAAGTCTTTAGCCAGGAAGTGTCCAAAGTGGCTCGTGAGGTGGGCACCGAGGGAGTCCTCGGGGGGCAGGCCAACATCGACGGCATTCAAGGAATCTGGCAAGAGCTTACCGTCAACGTGAATGCCATGGCCAACAACCTGACCACCCAGGTCCGCGACATTACCACAGTCACCACTGCGGTGGCCAAGGGCGATTTGACCCGGAAGGTGCAGGCGGACTGCAAAGGTGAAATCTTGTTGCTCAAGAACATTATCAATTCTATGGTCGACCAACTGCGGGAGTTCGCTTTTGAGGTGAGCCGAGTGGCTCGTGAAGTTGGCTCGGATGGAACACTAGGTGGTCAGGCCGTGGTCCACGGCGTAGAGGGTACCTGGAAGAACCTCACCGACAACGTCAATCGCATGGCCTCGAACCTGACCCAACAAGTCCGTGAGATTGCCAAGGTGACGACCGCCGTGGCCCGTGGCGATCTCACCATGAAGGTGACAGCCGACGTGAAGGGCGAAATCCTAGATCTGAAACTTACTATCAACGCAATGGTTGACCGGCTCAACCAGTTCGCCTTCGAGGTGAGCCGTGTGGCTCGCGAAGTAGGCACAGATGGCACATTGGGTGGACAAGCGCAAGTGGAGAACGTGGAGGGTCGGTGGCGCGATCTGACAGACAACGTCAACACAATGGCCCAGAATCTTACGCAGCAAGTGCGACAGATTTCAAATGTCACTCAAGCCATTGCTCGGGGCGATCTAAGCACCAAGATCGAAGTCCATGCCCAGGGCGAAATTCTCACTTTGAAAGAAACAATCAACCGCATGGTGGACGGCCTCAGTCAATTCGCACGAGAAGTGAAGATCGTGGCGAGAGACGTGGGTGTTCGGGGCAAGCTTGGTGGGCAAGCGAAACTTGACGGCTCATATGGTATCTGGCGGTCTATCAGTGAAGACGTCAATATCATGGCCGATAACCTCACCTCGCAGGTGCGAGCCTTTGGTGAGATTACAGAGGCTGCGATGAGCGGAGACTTTACAAAGTTGATTACGGTGTCGGCGTCTGGTGAGATGGATGATCTGAAGCAGAAAATCAACAAGATGATCTGGAGCTTGCGTGATAGTATTCAACGGAACACCGCTGCCCGTGAGGCGGCGGAGCTGGCGAATCGCAGCAAGTCTGAGTTCCTTGCCAATATGAGGTATGTGCGAGATTCAGCGCCCTCCCTTCTCCCGGAATCAAATAGCTAAATATGGATAACCAGTCATGAAATTCGAACACCGATGAACGGAATAATTGGGCTTTCGAGTCTAGCCCTCGACACCGACGATCTTGCTGCTCCTGTCCGAGAGACGCTCAACATGGTGCACAACCTCGCCATTAGCCTCTTAACCATTATCGACGATATTCTCGATATTTCCAAGATCGAGGCCAACCACATGATCATTGAGAAGATGCCATTCAGCCTGGGATCGACGGTACTAGGGGTTTTGAAAGCTCTGTTGGTTGAAACAAACGAAAAGGCCTTGACCTTGTCCTACACCGTCGACGGCAACGTGCCCGACTTTTTGATCGGCGATGCATACCGCCTGCGCCAGGTAATGCTGAATTTGGTCGGCAATGCCATCAAATTTACCGACCACGGTGAAATTAGCGTGACGATTAGGCGTGCTGAGGACAGCAAGTGCAACGACGACGAGACAATGTTTGAGTTTTCGGTCACGGACCCTGGCATTGGCATTGAAGAGAGCAAACTGGGCCTTATTTTTGGTAAATTCCAGCAAGCAGACGGCTCAATGACTCGCCGGTTCGGTGGCACAGGTCTGGGGCTGGCCATTTCCAAGCGCCTGGTTTCTCTGATGGGCGGTGATATCTGGGTCACGTCGCGCGTGGGTAAGGGCAGCAAGTTCTCGTTCACGTCTCGAGCGAAACTGGCCGAAGCTCCATTGGGCTTCTCAGAGCAGCTAGCACCCTATCGGGGACGTCGAGTTTTGCTGGTAGACAATGGGGACTCGGCAGGCTGTCCTGTGTTCCGGATGCTACAGGACTTTGGCCTCGAGCCCGTCGTTGTTAGCGACAGCCAACTGAATCCAGGTCAAGGTCAAACCGACTGGGGCGGCTCGTTCGACGCCATGCTGGCCCCGACCATTGAGACAGCTGCGAAATTGCGCGCCGATCCAACTCTTTCCACAAATCCACTGGTCGTCGTGGCGCCTGTGGTATCTCTGTTTCTGAAGAGCGCGGGCGAGCTCGGCATAACATCCTACATCACAACACCCTGCCGCCCAATTGACTTCTGGAGTGGCATTCTCCCCGCCCTGGGCAACCGCACCAACCGCATCTCCGACGGGTTCACGCGCTCCCTTGCAATCCTGCTTGCCGAGGACAACGATGTGAACCAAAAAGTTGCAGTCCGTATCCTCCAAAAATGCAACCACAACGTGACCGTCGTCGAGAACGGTCTTCAGGCCGTCAAAGAGGCACAACAGCACCGATACGACGTGATCCTTATGGACGTGTCCATGCCCGTGATGGGCGGGTTCGAAGCGACGGTCAAGATCAGACAGCACGAAAAGATCAACAGTCTCCCGCGGACGCCGATCGTGGCGCTGACGGCACATGCTATGCTCGGTGATCGGGATAAATGTATCAAGGCCGGTATGGACGAGTACCTCTCGAAGCCGCTGAACTCCAGTATGATGATGCAGACTATCTTGAAGTGCTCGGCCATGAACCTTGTGTCGGCTGTTGAAACATGAGGTCGGACTACAGTATATGCCAGGCTTGACACTGGCTGATACTTGACATGACCAACTACTCCCCCAATGTTTCAGTACATGACCCCCTTATCTATCGTCGCGCATACACTGCTACTGCGGCACACATAACCTTGACCGAAGGCCTTGTTCCTTTGCTTGGCGGGAAGTTTATCTTGACCAGGGGGCATGTTTCTTCCTTGCACATTTATAGGTGTGCTTCTTCCCGAGCCTTCTCAAATTGAAGGCTCTAGTGATTTCAGAGTGGTGTCATGGTCGCATTCATCTCGTCCCTTTCATCACTCATTCATACCGGCATTTTTCACTATATTTCGTCAAACATCAATATCCCATGAATCTTAACTGAAATGTATGCTGGCGTTTCTGGATTCGGCGTCCTTGGATTTTGCTTTCCTGCTGGAGAATCATTCCCTGTTTCCTGCAGACTACGAAGTTGCAGCCTTAGATCCTCTTTCAGGCTTGGATTGAACAGGCATCCTTCATCAAATCATCAGGGGTTGGAGTAACAGTTATACTAGAGAGTAGGTTCATCATGGACTTTCAATCAAAAACCTTCATATAAGACATCCGTTAAAGCTTCCAAGCTCCCACTTAGATTGTTCTAGGACTTTGGACCTAGTGAGACGTTGATTGTGTCTACCTAGATTTCTCATCCACCTCAAATTTCCCTTTCGACGGAGGATGTCCCTGGGGCTTATGCGATATCGCCTGGACGCACGGCCTCTCGTTGTGCAACTGCTGCCACTGCACTCCTGTCAACGTGAAACTGGGGCAGCGTTCGCCATCAATGCTGTGATCGGCTCTGGTAACCCGCCTGTCACTAGCACCAACTTCGGTCAATGCGTCGAGTACTCAGGATGTAAAGCCCGCGGCACCGCGCCACACTAGCCAATACATAGGTATGCCAGCGCCCATCAAGGCATCAACATCCATGTTATGTTGACATCTGTGAAATGCAAATTGCTACTCTAGAAGTCGATTTAAAGCAATTCTGATGGCCAGGAGATATGCCATCTCTAACTCCGAATCAAATATACTGGTAGCTTGGCCAGGGCAAGGTATTTCATAGCATGTAAGCTCACATTCTATTCAATTGCGCCGTAGCCAAAGATACAGTATCATCACGCTAAAATGCTCAAGTGCTCATCTTGAAGTCCACCATTGGCGAACAGGCCAAGTCAATGCACCAGCCATACCAGACACCCAACCGGCCCATCCTCTTGCCTTCACAGCAGCATGAACAACCGTGAGCATCCGTTGAGTGAAGATATCTGCTGGGTCCGAGTCATGTAGATAGCACTCCCAAACAGCTCTTTCTTTATCGTTTCCATCATGAAGAGCCTCCAATTCTCCCGTCGAAGAATCAAGTTTCAGTTTGGGCCCCGTAGCCAGGGATCGACCAATACACGCTGTATCTGCAACCAAATATGACGCCGCATCGATAACATCCTCACTTCGCCCGAGTGGCACCCCCGCCAATAGTACCCGAACAGGCGTTTGCATGAATGGGGAATCGGTATAGTATGGGCAGATAATATTGACTCGTACACCAGCGCTGACGGGAGCTGTTACGCGTAGACTCCGAAACAACCCAAGCACCCCATGCTTCGAAACGGTATACGGCGCCTGCGTGATCAGCGGGTGTAAACTGGCAACAGACCCCATAAGCAGGATATGTCTGTCCCGCCCCGACTCCGAGGCAGCCGATTCCTGTTGACACGGCTTCGAGCCCGGATTCTTCGGTAGAAAGAACAACGCCAGGTGTACTGTATACATAACGCCGGTGAGGTTGACATCTAGTGTCTTGAAAGTCGGAGCCGGCGGGCTGGGATCGTTCAGATAGTCGACGTGTGGATTTTCGAAGGCTCGAGATTCCTCGCTATTGTTGATACCGGCATTCGCAACGACGGTATCTATCCCACCATGCGGGCTCAATCTCAGAGATTCGCGAAAGAAATTGACCTGGGATGTCCAAGATGTGACGTCTAGCTGGATGAAATGAACATTTTCGTTTTGCGTGTCCTGGCGGATTTGCGCCGCGACTTCTTCGCCGGCTGGATTGATGTCGCCGAGTATCACGTTTGCTCCGGCAGCTGCCCAGCGAGCACTGAATCCAGCACCAAAGCCCGAGGCGCCGCCGGTGATAAGAATGGTCTTGCCTTTAATGGGGGCTGGGTCATAGCTCAGATCCATTTTGATTTGGCTCGAGTGGAAAAAGAGAAACGGGAGTGCGGTGCCCTTGTTAACCGGATTGCATTCACAGTGCAGATGTGTCTGGTCACGATTATGTTAGGCTGGAAGGAGAAATCTCAGTCAGAGCACTCGAAGTGGAAGGGAAACATTCGAGCTAGAGTTACGTTGCACAGCTCATGTGCTGAAGGTGGGGGGCCAGCTGACACTAGGCGGCGAATTTCTAGCCTTTTTAGCCGACTCTCAGCCTCGTATAGCCTTGTCTGTTCACTTCTGGGATAAGGATAAAAAAAGTACTTGGGAATAATTAAGTCAAGGGAAACGTCAAAACGAACATTGTGGAATGGTGATCATCAAAAATACGCCTTTTCTAATTGACAAGGGCCAAAAAGAAATGAGACCAAGAAATAAAAAAAGAAATGGAGCAATGCAGCAATGGAGAGCGCTCTACCCCTGAGTTAGTTAACGTAACCCGTAAGCGAGCCGAATGTAAACAAGGCGATCACCCCAAAACACTATAGTGAAGACGATATTTAGCAACTCTATAAATCGATAACTATAGTTTCTTATAGAGTCTCACTAGATATCTAGGCTGTTCATCATAAAGATAGTCTACCTAGAAAGCCTGAAAAATGTTTTGGGACATTCTAATTTAGATATGTATATTTGTAGCTAGATAAACCTGCTTTCTTGGTGATCTCATAAAACCGGCATGAAATTATTCTTAGATTGATATATGGTATTTCATATCACCATAATAAACTTATGTTTGATATTAATATAAACCAATTAGTGGTTGTTGAGTTATAGAATTGCTAAATATCGCCTTCACTATGGTGTTTTGGGTTGATCGGCTCGTTTACATGATCGGCTCGCTTAACGGGTTACGTTAATAATTTCCGTTGTCTGATTAGATTATTAGGGGTACCAGAAGGAGTGTCCCCAGGAGCTTATAGTATAAAATGTACCTAATACTGATTGGTTGACGAAGTAGCAGGCTCCTTTATTGCGCAATTGACTGCAGTAAGATTACCAGGATGAATTGTCATAATTGATGATGCCAGTGCTTTTTTTTGATGGGATAATGGGGGTAATTTAGTGAGGGAAGGTGGTACGTGAGCTAGGCTAGCGTGAGGCGTTTTATTGAGGTCGCTTCGTGGGCTGCTCACCCCGATGCTCAGACTCTGCTCAGTCGTACTGCTCACTGATCTGATCCGACCGCCCAGAGGCGTGCTCAGTTCTATTCAGTGAGCCAAAAGCGGCGAAGTCTGAGCACTAATACCGAAGGGGAACGCCAAGCAATGGCAGAGGAAATACGTAGGTGTTGTTGAGTCCGAGATCATCAATACGCCATCAGAATCGAGCAAGGGTCAGCGAGTAGTCAGATGCCCGGCATGTCGAGCCGCTGTGTGGTCGCACTACGGGGGAGCTGGTTCTTGTTCTTTGGCACATTTTATTTTGGATTTAGCCTGTGAAGGTCAACCTGATGTGCACGTGTTCACATCGAGCAGGAGAAGTTTCTCCATATCCCTGAATATAGCGCCTTATATTCCGACAAAGACAATATATGGAGCCGAGACAGCATGGTTAGATGGCAGAAATTGTGGGAAACGGAGGATTCTAAATGCATTTGTTCTTTCCTTTCCTCCATATCTCATGAACTATCTTTCACTATCCCAAATAGACCCTCAAATATCACTTTGAAAATGTAGATGCTGATTGGCAGTACTTGGAAGAACAATCACTTACCAAGCAGCTCTTCTATGTCGCTGGCTGAGAGGGACCGACAAGGCCGGCGGTGGAATTGCGTACCGTATTTGTGAGCAAAGTCGAGGTCTTCACGTCTATACAGCAATCAATCAGCTTTTTAGGCGTTGATCAACCGTCCGCAGATATCAATCTCACGAAATTCGCTCCAATGCGTCACAGTATCGCCCAATCACTGACTTTTCCGGTCCGCGACCCGGCTCGTACATATAGATCGCATCGCGCCAACCGCCGCTCAGTACCCATAGCTTGAGAGAATTGATACCGTTCGAGATATCGGCAGTGGACTTGGGACGAGAGGTGATATTGGCGGCTGTTTTTTTTTGTATTAAACCGTCAGACTCTTGAATTTTTCAGTCATTGGTTGACCTAACTTACTGGCGCCAGGGTGCACGTTTCGCAGGTGTTTGCGAAGCTGGGCTTGAGTGTTGAATGACATTCCACACATAATAGGGTCATAAATGGCGATATCGCAACTTGAAATACTGATTAGTATTTCCTCAGTACGGTCAACACAACCGCTGAACCAACACGAGACCATTCTCCTTGTTGAGCGTCACAAGGGGATTAGCTGGAGGGTTTCTGGCCAGTCCATCTGTGATGTCCGAGGCTTTGATGAGACTGACACGGCCGCTTTGAAGTACCCGGTCAATGACAGCCAGGGGGAGCCATCCGGGATTGTTGTTAGGGATTGGGCCTGCACGAAATGAGAAAAGGAATTATTGTCTTTGCTTTCTTGCAGCGTACCATGGACATAGCCGGTGAGGAAATCCGGGTTGCACGCATTCAGCACTTCTGGAGTTTCGAAGTCCGCTCTGGTCAATGAGAGGTCCAGAGTCTCCATACTGGAAGCCAAGGAGGTAAGGAAACTGTCAAGGTGGAGGATGTAAACACCTTCAAGGTAGAGTTGACGGAGCTGTTGTTCTTGTTGTTGCCTTGACGTTCCTACGGGGCGAACTGTATCCCCGTTTGGGAAAGCATCATTGACCAGAAGGAACGTTCCTTCCTGGAGAATTATTCCCTGATTGGGCTTTGTATTCCTGGAACAATCCTACAATTTCCGCAAGAGCTCTTCTTAAATATCTTCGTGGTACGCAATTCATAGTTGTTCCTGCACAATGGAAAGTCCTAGTTGCAGCAGATAAGTGTCTTGGATAACTTGATGTAGCAGAACCGCCGAGCTAACACATACAATGTTACCATCCTGACACAGTGTTACTTACGTCTAAATGAAAGTGTTGGGAAACTGTTTGATTAGGGTGCCTTAAAGTGGTAAAATCAAACACTGCAACCTTGTATGCATTCCGCCGCCTCCACCCTCAACTTTGCATGAAAGGATATCTCCAACCTTATTCTCGTGAGACCACACCACAAATCCTCATGGTCCATCACTAAGTATGGCAATATACCTGGCAGAAAGATTTCAAAACATGTAACCAACTCGTCTGATATATGCGGGCCTTGATTCACCAGGTCTAGGTGTCTGCCTCGATTCCGTTTCCGTGCCTAGATCTTTTCGCCTCGATATTTTCGGCAACCTGATCACTACCAGGTACATTCTCTCTCTACAATCCCCTGTAGATGCTGGGGATGACTGAAGTCGCTTGGACCTTCCGTTAGAGCTGATCTTATTCCGAATATACTAGCGTGTCTGATAGGCCCAGAACAACTATTAATTGCTGCTTCATGTATCTGGCTGATGGTCTACCGTGGGAATGGACCATACAAAATTCGGATACGGAGGATTTACACAATGCTGATGCTATATATGAATGGCCGAAAGTGGCGTGTCTGCTGGAACAGGCCGCAGATTGTGTATAGCGTCCTTGTAGTGCTGCATCTGTCCATGAAAAATGAAAACGCCAAAGCAAGATTATATATACCATGTGTCTAGCGTAATAGAAGCTGAATCAAACATTGAGCCCCCCTTCGCTGACCCTCCGCACCTTCTCCGCCAACGACTCCCCCCATCCATTCGCCTTCGACATCGATTTAACACGCTTCCTCCTCCTTCTCTCCAGCTCCTCCAGGGGGCTCCGCTCCACCTGCCGACGCTGCCAAAAGTCCTCCTCGAACTGTGTGCGAGGATTGCTGTACCCAAGATACTGATTGAATCGCTTGCGCATCGCGGAGTCTTCGGCAGGGATCACGGAAGGAACCTTGCGTTTAAAGGATTCCCAGTGGAAGATTATTTTGATGGGATGGGAGACGAACTCTGCTAGGAATCCACGGCCGATCTTGAAGGATTTGGTGACTGCTTGGCGGAGTTTCTGGCTGAACGCCATGAGCAAGGCAATGGTAATTATTGCGAAGGAGGCAGGTGCTGCAAGAAGGCAGGTGTTAGCATTTTGGGTCGACAGTCAAAAGGCATGAAGGTCAGCGCGGTGTTGGCTTACCGCCGATCTCGAACATGGCGGACAAGGAAAGGTTCTCGGGCACGCCGCTCCATTCACGGGCGTTAATTCCGAAGAGGGAGGTGAAGAAGGACAGAGGAAGGAAGCTTCGCTGGTTAGCTGTGTTGATAGCTCCAGTGGCTCTGGGGTGTCTTACATGACCGTGAAAATGGTAAATACCATCAACGACCGCGACTGATTCTGCGTTTCCTCAGCCTGCCACCGGGCCATCTTCGACTCGTCGACATTGGCCTGCTTCTGCTTGAGATCAAGAAGGGTCTCAACCGCCTTCTGAGCAAGATGGCTATTCTCCTTCATCTCGCCGATCTGCGTCCGGTATTCATCGATTCTCAACTGCGCCGCATCTAGGAAGACTTTGCCACATCCGTTTCGGTCGAAGTATTTCATCATACTCTTGATGACGGTGTCCTGCTGATCAAGCAGCTTCATGATTGTGGAAAGCTCGTCTTCGATGTCGCGCAGCTCGAGAAGTACAGAAAGGTCGTCACGGTTCCGACGGGCTGTCTGGCGGTCTCTCGTGTCACGCTGCGTAGCGGTCATATCCCTGCCATCGGCAGTGCGGTCGTAGTCGGCTGCACCATTGAAAAAGCCTCGGTTGCGGAAGCGCTTGAAAGATTTTGTCACCGATTCAGTCTAGCGATCCCGGACCTTGTTAGCTTTTCGTTCCGACCCATTGAGACCAGAACCTACCAGGATACTTATGGACTCTTCAAAGATTCGTAGGACTTCTAGGTCACGATGAAGAGTCTTATCTAGGAGAACCGTCGTGGCGTGTAGCATGATGAGAGCCGCAAGATCACCTGCAGTCTCAAATCGACGCGCCAGGTCTCCATTTAACTCATTGTAGATACTGCTGTGTAAATTAGTCTGCTCGAACAACTTGCCCTCAGATGTAGTCGCCTCTTGGTTTGGGAAGAATGTGACAACGGTCTTCTGGTCCACGATCCAGAGCCAGAGCTGATCGACCATCAACACATTGCCATCCATAAACTCCGTCGGCTCTGGGTCCTCTGGGTCATCATTGGTGGCTTCGAGGTACTCCCGAAGCTGATCGTCTATTCGGGCTGGCTTGCGAGTGCGCTTCCAGAGCATTTGGTCGTCATCGCGAGCGATAGTCGAGCGTAGATTGGGGTATCCGAATTGGTCAAGCGTGCGTCTAAAATGAATCGGTGGCTCACAACCCAAGTATTGCCAGATAAGCTTAGCCTCAAGGCTGGATTTGTCGATTCGATATGGAACAGGCCGAGATCGTCCTTGGTGGACTCTGTCTTCGACAACCTTACGACGTTGGATCAGATTGCGGTACGTATCCCAGTGGAGCTGCATGAGGTTAGTAGAGGAGTGGGGGATTGAGCCTGACACACTCACGTAAGGTGTCTACGACGGGGGTCAGTAATCCTGATATAAAGCTCGAGAATGCGGCACTTACGTAGAGAGCTAGTTGAGGATCTGCCGAGTCCCCTTCTTTGGTCCCCTGGGACAAGTCCATTTGTCTCGAGTGGATACATTTTGGTCGTACGAACCGTGCATGAGGTTCCCTATGTCGAGCACGGTTGAGGTTCAAGTACCAATTTTGATCGTTTATAAATTTCCGTAAGCTGAAAAATCCAGATCAGTATTTGTGTCGTGCTTGGGAGAAACCCAAAAAGCCCATACAAGTTTGGTTCTTGGCGGTCCTGGCATGCTCGTCGGATTACCTGTGACACCCATCCAGTATGTGTATACGGGACATGTATCCAAAGCAGTTTCTCCGTGCCAGGTTCCGGCCGATCAAATCGTGGTACTGATCGAGGGATGTCCGGCGCTTCGGCGTTCTGATTTATACGATCCCGGGTAGATGCGGGAATTGTTAGGAACCCAGCTTGTTGCGATGGGGATGCAGAGCTTCTGTAAGAATGAATAAGTATACTTGTAACGTATGGAGTGGGTGTGCTTACGATGGAGGCCGGGAGCTATTTTCATGGGAACTGCTGTCCGATACATTTCGCGTGTGGGAGTTGACGTGAGCCAGCCCTAGTGCTTGAGCAATCGTTTTTCGCCGGCGGCGTTGGATAGGAGGAGGCGGGCTTTCACTCGCCGGTCTGTCAAAGAACCCATCAACAGATGCCTCGGTAATGTGAATGGTTGGAGACTGGAGCGGCGGGTCTATATAGTCCTGGTAGCTTGGGCTGTGGCTTATGGGGGGCCTTGAAGGTCGGTCATCACTTTCAGACGTAGTTTCATGACCATCATGTTCTTCTCCTGCGTGTTTTTCTTCATAATGTTCTTCACCATGTTCTTCATCATGGTCTTCATTATGTCCCTCTTCCTCATTCTCTTCATCGTCGTGTTCGTGTTCGATTTTATCTTCATGTGCAGGTTCCTCTGGTCCTTGAACTACCCGCGGAGAAGAATATCGGCTATCGAAACTGCTCACGGAGGAGTCATCTAATCCGCCAGGCTGGATCCGCTTCAAACGTTCACGCAGACATGCCGACGGACCTCGGGCCAAGTAGTCCTCCAAGGAAACCAGAGTAGACCACATCTTCAGGGGGCTCTCATCGCTAACACCCAGTGCGATATCTTCAAAGAACCCGTTGATTTGGACCATTACCTCATTCTCAACATGTAAGGGGTTATCCACATTCTTGGAAAGCTCGACGGCTACATTAATCGAGTCGTTGAGTTCAGTCAAAAAAGCCTCTAGCGCCGATTCTTGCCCCTGAAAGCAGGCTGTCCCAACATGATCCGTGCCCATGGGGAATTCGTTCTCGTGCTCAATGCCGAGTAATCCAGATCGGATAGAAGTGATCGGGGCATGGAACTCCACAACGTTGTTCGACTCTAGGTCTAGAATATGCAGCGTCGAGTCAATTGTCTCAAGGAACGACCAAACTTTCATGTCTGCAGAGAGGGCCTTGAACTGGTTCGAAAGATGCCACAGTCCGTCCTGTCGAGGCCGGAACTGCTCTCTCAAGGAGAGCGGGGTTTCGTGCTCCAGATGAAGCAACCATTGAATACTCGTCTGGTACTCCTCCGCCGATAGATATGTCGAGCCCTGATGAGGAGTTGCGAAGAACGCGATGCCATGGCAGCTGGTCAGGATGGCCTGGTTCGGCTCGGCCCGCGATGCTATAGCAAGACACGCTTTGGCCACGAGGCCGCCCGTACTATGACACAGGAAGAATATCGGTCGTCGACTGCTGTCATACTTGCGCTCATCAAGCAGCAGGTTCAAAAGTCGTTGGCCAAGGATATCGATCCGATCGCGCTCACGCAGCTCCCCGTGGTTATACAGCAGGACGCGGGCGCGCGGCATGCGCTTAAGCAACTCCGTTTCGAGCCACGGCGAGTTTGATCCATGCGCTGTCCAGGACTTGTGAGGATGTGCGCCGATAGGCGGGATCGCAACAATACTATGAGCAGAAGAAAGTCAGCTGGTAGCTCGAATCGCGGAGAAAGGGCGCACAGACTCTACGTTCGTGTTCTTCGCCGCCAGGATATGCTCGAACCATGCAGAGCGCGTCGGCCCTGTCGCCGGGGGCGGAGGCATCATGGATCTAGGACACGCAAGCAGAACTCATGGAAGAGAAAAGATTCCCCGGGGAAACAGATGGCGACAGTGCAGGAGGGGGCCCATCTTAAATCAGACGGTACGCCCGTTCAGCCTCAAGTTGCGATCATCTGCTTGCGCCCTGCAGCCCGCTTGGCCCCAAGTCGGCAACGTGCGCCGATCGCGGGTGTCAAAGCGCATCACCCGGGTGGTCTGCTTATATATGCCAGGGCGAGGGACCCCTAGAACCAGTAATACCGTGAGATAGAACAAGGGTAATAATCAGCACAGGGGAGAGTTGGAGGAGATGATAGGTGTAAATTATTGGAGACTTTATTCACGAATTTCGTATTTACAACAGACGGGGTGCTTTTGGTTCCCAGAAAACCACTTTAAACATGCCCGGACTAAGAAACCACCCCAAAAAACTTCTCTATCGTTTGGCTGATGCGGTATCATCAAAACATGGACGCCGGAAAGATAAACAAAAGTAAGGAAACGGTGAGTAGGGAGGAGGCGATCGAGGCACCAACCGCATGCAAGATAGAAATACAGAGATGGAAGAGCATGAGAAGGGAAGGAAGACAGGATTAGGAGCTTTCAGTGTGCCGCCGCTCGTTCACCTCGCGAGCCATGCGCTTGCCGAGCTCATAGGTCGAGATCATGATCGCGCAGGCCGGGGCGACCTTTAGGCAGCGTGCTGCCCAGCCCCTGAACAGACCGGCCGTGCCTTCTTCGCGGAGGATGTGCAGAAGGAATTTTGGAAGGGAGAGTTGCTCGGGGACGATGGATTTGGGAGAAATAGATGGACGTTGGCCGGCACTCGTTGGGACATGGTCATCCATGTGTCGGAAGACCTGCTGCCTCGTCTTGCCCACATCGAAAGGCGTCGTTACCAATGCCGCCACCGATCCCGAGGTGGCGCCTGCAATGAAGCTCTCAAAAAAGGCCGTCGCACTGGAAGGTGACTCCATGTCCGAGCCGGAGAGATACGGCGCACTCTGCCGTGTATTCTCCAGCGCGTGCTTCACCTTCTCATAACCCCACCAGTATAGACCAGAAAAGGGCACGTCGCGCCACATGGTGAGCGACAACCCTCGCCACAAAGACGTATAGCCCCTCGCCTTCGTCATTTGGTGAATTCCTTCCAATGTGGCCTTGAAGTGGCCCGCGCCATGGCCCGGCGTAGCCTGCAGCCTTGTCCGGAACATCTCGACCGGACTCGTGGCCGCTGCGGCGGCTGTACGAGCGATGGCACCCGCAACGAACGGCGCATACACATCCGCCACGTTCTTCTTGATGGGACTGCGGTCATCCGCCCGCAGCCAGTCGTATCCAGCAAAGTAAATGATGTTCGCCGGAATCCCCATCATTAGAGTTGGACTGAGTCCGCGCCATAACGTCCAGACACCCTCGTTCCGAGCAATCTTCCGGAGCCCATCAAAGGTCGAGGTAAAAGTCCGTCGCTGCGTTTCCTCCACAGCACAATCAATGGCTGGATGTGCCTGGCTCCCGATCACGCCACCTTGCGGTCCGAGCATGCAGATTTGCGCATTATCTCCGACCCAAAACACTTCACGGCAACAGGCGGTAATCCCGAGGTTCGGAGGAAGGTTCTTGAGAGTTTGTGTCGTATGTGTGGTAAATGGAGAGGCGAGGGTGGTCTTCGACTGAGATTGTAACCGTACGCGCACGACGTCCAGGGGAGTTACTAGAGAAAAAACGTTAGTATAGGCTCGAGTGAGGACCGTGCTGCCAGAGGCCGATACTCACCTAGCAAACCGGTCAAGATATTCCCCGCGGTCGCAGAGACCATGCGTTGTCCAAGTGAGATATTCTCTGTTGGGGCTGGAGAATTGACGCTGGGAGTCGGGGCTACGCCCGTCGGTGCTGTGGACGTCATTGTCGAAGATTCGTCAAAATGGGATGTCCATAGTGATTCCGTGGAGGAGTCGAGGTCGGGTCCACGGACACCCCTAGGAGCGCTAGGGTGGTTCGAAGTTGCAGAGAGATCCAGCCCGGGCGACATTCAGCCGGTAAAGACCGACCTTTGGATGCGTTGGGAGGGCGATGCTGGTCTCGCGACTGCTGGGGAAAAGTTGGTAGAAGGGCAATGCGTCACTCGGCAGGGAATATTTTCGGGGTTTTGCGGGTGGCGGCGGGCGGAGATAAGCGGCCGTTTGTCGACTCGAGAAACCTGCTCTTTCACCGTTCTTTGGAGCAACCAGATCAAACTATTCCACCACGCAATCAATGGCGACCGCGGCGATTGTTATATAGTTTCTTTACTGGGTGTTCTTGCTTAACCTTGATCGGTGGAACCCCCTCGGTGGGCTTATCAGATTGATCGATCTCCGACACCGGACGTCGGGACCCTCCCCGCCATGGATGACAATGCCGAGCTCGAGTCCTTCCGCCGCCAGTGGCGTGAAGAGGTTGCTCGTCGATCAAAACCCACAGCCTCTGATGATGCTGCGCCCTCGATCACATCTCCGACCCGGTCGCTCGCGACTCGGCATCCGCCAACGCGCCATGTCGCCTCAGAACGCAAGGACTTGGAGGAGGAGGGGCCTGCGCCGGCCTCATTTGACCCGGAGGAGCTCGCCCAGCAGGTTGGGGAGCTAAGTGTGGCCCCAGAGGAAGACGAGGAGGAAGATGCTTTCACCCGTCGGGCACAACTGGAGCCCAACTCAGCTTTGGAGCACTTTGAGCGGGCCGTCGAGAAGGAAGCTGCGGGCAACTTGGGCGATAGTCTTCAGCACTACCGCAAGGCATATCGGGTGAGTGTGGAAATCAGTTGGTGTTCATCGAACGCTTTTTGTGCTAACTGATGTGCAGCTGGACGCCGGTGTCGATAAAGCCTATCGTAACAAACACTTCGCCCATGTATGGAAGAAACCTGCCCAGCCTGGGCCAGCTGGACCTGCAGCTGCCGTACCCGTGACTGCCCCTGCGCCTGCAGAAGCCGAGGTCATTCCAACGCTGGAACTGATCGAGTCCTTTGCCCACCTTCCTATCCCCCGTGCAGACCCCATCATCGAAGGCACTGCTCCGCCGCCGTGTCCGATCGCGAATGTTCCGTCCGAGGTATTAGTCGAGATCCTACGACATATCGCCCTGCGGGACCCAGCGACTTTTGGCCGGATGGCATTGGTATGCAAGCGACTCGCATATCATTTTGCACACGAGCAGCATATTTGGCGACGGATCTGCCAACGGCCAGAGTTTGGATTCCATGGGATGCACTACGCCTTCGTCTGCGATACTCTCGGGCGTCCTATCTACACGCTGGACGGTCAACGGTACACGCCATTCCCGACAGAGGTGCCTGCAGAGATTCCCAAGCCACTGTCTTCATGGAGTCAAGTGTTCCAGTCCTACCCGCGCATTCGCTTCACTGGTATCTACATCAGCACTGTCAACTACACACGGCCTGGAGCCACGTCCTCTTTTCAGAACGTGTCATGGAATAGTCCCATCCACATTGTGACCTACTACCGTTACCTGCGCTTCTATCCGGATGGATCCGTGGTTTCCCTCCTCTCCACGACCGAGCCCGTGGATGTAGTCCCGCACATCAGCAAGGAGAACATCATGGCTGCGCGCGTCCCTTCCCACAGACAGCACCAACGCCAGACTTCGGACCACGGCCAATCAATATCTGGGGCCACTGAACCTATCCCGCCAGTGGCGATGAACGCCCTGAAACATGGCCTTCGTGGTCGCTGGCGTCTGACACGTCCCGTCGACGTCTCGGATAGAGCACCGGAGCAACAAAAGACCTCTTCCCTCCCCAACCAGTCCCCGGAGTCCTTGGACCCCCGTGATGTGATCGTCGAAACCGAGGGCGTGGACCCGAAGTACGTGTACACAATGCACCTCTCCCTGCGATCTCCGTCGTCATCCAAGGCGCATTTGAACCCATCGCGGAACACCAAACTGGTTTGGCGCGGCTTCTGGAGTTACAACAAGATCACGGATGACTGGGGGGAGTTTGGGCTGCGAAACGACCGGGCGTATGTTTTCCGACGGGTCCGCGGCTGGGGCCTAGGATGAGAGGACGATGATTTATGAATTATTTGACAATATCTCCCTGGCACGATAAAATAATAGAGATTTCCATATCATCAGCACATACACATTAGAATCTCGGTTCCGGAGACAAAGCATTGTTCGCAGCACCCTGCTTCATAGTAGACTCCTTCCTACTGTGAGGCTGAGCATCTTTACTGCGCAGCCCTGCACTGCCCCGGTGCGTGATGTCAACCTGACTAATTCCTTCCAGAAATCCCCGGGCGCATACCCGGCCCCACGGGGTTGAATAGTCGTGCCAGGAACGTGAATACCCGGGGAAGGATGGCGCTAGCAATTTCCTTTTTCTAGAGAGTCCCTGGCCCATAGTAAACAACGGCAAAGGCTGCATAGAAGGGAGAATGTCCACGTGATGAGAGACCTGTTCGTGTGTACTTTGAAATCATGTCAGGTGTAGTTCGATTAGACGGCAGCGACTATGGCGGGCCTTTCCTAGTTTACTGGGCCGCCCATCGCGCTTTCCATGTTGGTGTCCCTCCAACCCCAGCTTCAACCCCAAGATCAGCTCCTCCGCATAGAACAGAACACAGGTCAATCCCAAGCCGTCCTCTCTTTATTCCATTCCATGACAAATGGATAGCATAGGCCCCGTGGGGTAGGTCTGCCCGGCCCGGCGCAACAGGCTGGTAAGACAATAGGGGTCCACAATAGTTACATAAAAGATACTTCCTTTGAATATTCCTTGATCATATCAAATTTAGGTATTTCTAAAGTACCATCTCTCACCGGGCCGGACTCGGTGTAAGGCAGATTTTGCGACGACTTATGTCAGCAATGCCCAGCCGTTTCGGCATGCCGCCGAGAAGCGGACAACAGGAACAGGCGCGAACAACAGGATAGAGGTATAATGGTGTAGTTCAACGCGATTCTTCGTCAAAAACAATATCACAGCGGCTTTTTTCGCCCAATATTTTCGTGTCTTTGAAAGCATTACAGCTCGGTGGATGCCGTGAGAACATCATCTATCCCCATTCTCCACGTTTGCAGTTAGTTTCATGTGGAGCATACCCTAGGGTATGGTCCATCGTCACGGCCAAGAAAAAAAAAATGGGTCAGTTATGTCTTCAGGTTCTGTGACCTCCACGATGTGCGGACCCCGAGATATTTCTCCCTCGTCATCCTCGCTCGGACGCGTGCATCTTGTCTATATTCCCATCCCAAGTCACCATGAGCGTCCCCGAAGCCCCTCATTCAGCCCCGACGCGGGATATCGAGGTCTACCAGGACCAGGACGAGACAGAGAAGGCGTATTCTGAGAAGCCAGCTCCTGTGGAGGACCCGTTTGGAAATGAGGAATCCGGGGAAGTCAAGTATCGTGTCATGAAGTGGTGGTAAGTACTAGTTCTGTTGCCGTTTTTATGGGCGACTTCATGTATACGAGCGACGAGATTTGACTGACGACGATGCAGGCAATCTGGGATGCGTAAGAGCCCAGTGCTGGCCATAGTCGACGGCATGGAGCCTTATTCTAACCTGTTCCCTAGTTATGGTTGCCGAAAACATCTCGCTCGGTATTTTGTCTCTTCCATCCGCTGTGGCGACGCTCGGAATTGTTCCGTATGAAAACTACCTCGATGCCCTACACCCCGTCGATGACGGCTGACAAATTTCTAGGGCGTTCCTCATTATCCTTGGTCTCTCTGCGATCTCCTGGTACACCGGCTATGTCATGGGCCAGTTCAAGCTGCGGTATCCTCATGTGCACAGCATGGGTGACGCGGGTGAGATGCTCCTGGGTTCGTTTGGGCGAGAGCTATGCTACTGGGGCCAGCTGCTGTTCATTATCTTCCTGATGGCTAGCCACATTCTCACCTTTACGGTGCTGTTCAACACCATAACCAACCACGGCACCTGCACTATAGTCTTCGGAGTGGTTGGCTTGATCGTCAGTTGCATTTGCGCCCTTCCGCGAACGACTGGCAAGGTTTTTGTGATGTCCACTGTCTCGGCTGTCAGTATCCTGGTGGCTACCATTGTCACCATGGTCTCTATCGGAGTCCAGGCGCCCGATGATGTCCAGAACGACATCACTACTTCTCCTACCTTCGTGGATGCCTTCCTGGCGGTCACCAACATCGTCTTTGCCTTCATCGCTCACGTGTCTTTCTTTGGCATCATGTCGGAGATGCAGGATCCGGCCGAGTTCCCCAAGTCCTTGGCTATGCTCCAGATCGTCGACACCACCATGTATATCGTGACTGCCATGGTCATTTACTGCTATGCTGGCCCGCACGTATCTTCTCCGGCCCTCTCCTCGGCGGGGCCTTTGATGAAAAAAGTCGCCTACGGCCTGGCCATCCCAACCGTGTGTTTACTCTCTTCGAAATGGTCTCCTTTTGGAATCTTGTCTAACTTACAATAGGTCATTGTCGCCGGTGTTGTATTCGGCCATGTTGCATGCAAGTACATCTACGTTCGTATCTTCCGTGGCGAGCGCTCGCACCACATGCACCAGCGTAGTTTGTTGGCCACTGGTACCTGGGTAGCTATTGGCCTTACGACCTGGACTATCGCTTGGGTGATCGCCGAGTCAATTCCTGTGTTTAATGATTTGTTGAGTTTGATTGTACGCTTGATCAGCAGCCCCCGATTAGAAGATTCACTAATTTCTCTCTGCAGAGCGCTCTCTTTGGTAGCTGGTTCAGCTGTAAGTCCCCACGATCAATACAGTAAATGATGTACAGCGGAATGCTAATGATAGACAGACGGCCTGCCTGCCATCTTTTGGATGTTGATGAACAAAGGGCAGTGGTTCTCGTCGCCGAAAAAGATCCTTTTATTCATCGTGAACCTGGTGATTTTGGGAATTGCATTTGCTATTGTAAGTAATGACACTTCCGATGCCGACCAACATGTTCTAACATGATCAGTGCGGTCTGGGACTCTATGTTTCGGGCAAGTCAATTCACGACAGCTCATCCAGTGCCAGCTGGACCTGTGCCAACAACGCCACTTAGATCCGGACGAAGTATTGACAGGTGCATATCATTATGTCCTAGACTCTTTGATTCGTTTACGTATAGACGGTTCGGCACCTGTGTTGATAGATGGATATATATTGTGTATAGCATCGATTGGCTGGGCAAGTCTAGTCGTTGTAAATAAGCCTAGAATAAACAAGATGAAACGTCAACCAGTTGATCCTGGAGACGTTCCGAAAATATGGGACTACGGGTCTGCGTGGATATTAATATCTGGCCTGGGTTGGCCCGGAATAGCAAGTCAACACCTCCACGAACTCAGATTATTCGCTTGGTTACTTTCAATGATCGTCAAAATGCATCTTCTTGCTAGTCTGTCACTCATCGCTGCTGCGGCGCACGTAGCCACGGTTAAGCCTGTGGAAATCAAAGTCGAGTGGCTCCAATCTGCCAGTGTATGATTCAGCTTCTGGCATGGCTGGTCCCTGGATTGTGGAGGTCAACCAGTGTCTGAACACTACCACACCCCACAATCACTTCACCATTAAGGGCCTCAGCAGCGAGGCTGTGTACTTCCTCCAGCGGGTGATACCCCAGCGCGGCCTCCTAAGTTCCAATCCCTATCATCCACTGGTCGCATGCTAGCAAATCCCGAGATCGCAATTGTCTCCGAGAACGACCCGGCCAACTCCCCCTCCGCTGCAACGATGTGACCTCATCGTTCGAGTCCAACGTTCCATCCGGTGTCAGTGGCTATGAGTGGAAGTCCATCAGCATCACTGAGTACCCTTACTCTGGGCAACTGGTGTGGTGTCTGGGCCAGTATAGCCTGCCCATCCAGGCATACAAGCACTATGTAGACGGTGCCAAGCAAGACGGTCTCTTCTTGGGCGCACACAATGTCTCAACTTGGGGCTTGAAGTTGCAGTATGGATCTGCTAGCAGCGGTGGTTAGCCGTACTGGCTAGTTAGATTGCTTGGTTCGAATAGTGCGGATCCCGCAGACTGGTGAGCCCTTACTGGATGGAGAGTTCCGGACTGTCATCAAGATTCAGGACAATTAAATGACACATAAGTCACTGCGATATATTATGATCGGATATCATGATGCTATTCGGGCAAGAGGTGATGCATATGGACACAGGGAAGGCAATCAAGGGAAAGGAATGTATGTACAAACGAGACGGAAAGTGTGGTCGCTTCAATACCTAGTTCCGCCAATTGATGACCTGCTCTTCGTCTTCATCGACAATGACAATCATCCACACGCCAACTTCTCCGTTATTAGCGTATAGCGGCGTGCAGTGGACCCAGCGATCGCGGCCTTCGTTGTTGAATCGGGTGACCCATTTAATCCGAGCTGTGACACTGTGACCATGCTGCATCGCCGCCATTAGCTCCTCCTTCACGGCGGAAGAGCTTCCGATACGAGAAAGGAATGATGACTGTAGCATGCCAGGGATTTGGAGGGATGGAGAAGTGAAGAGGACGCGGAGGGAGGGGTAGGGTCGGACGAGAAGATACTGCGTCATATTAACATCTGTGAACAGTCGGGATATAGCTGAGGGGCACTCGCATTTTCATATACACCCGTCAGTGACCCACGCAACAAAGTCGATTTCAAATCTCGCAGGCGGATAGCTTCTACCTCGCTATCTATCGATGTTCCACGCTGTAGCCAGTGACGCTGGGTTCGCGAAGCCGTGTGAGTATTCAGTGGTTGGAAGAGATCGCCGCCATGATCCTGGACTGCAGATAGTTCCCGTGGGCTGAGAAGCTCACACATCTGTTGAAACTCGTCCTTGGTTTGTACTTCTGGCATTTCTGCGACACTCTCTTCGTCAGCGTCGCGGTACCGTGATTGCAGTTCGATGAGAGACTCCATTTGGGCTCCATCTAGTGCGAAACCGGATACATCGATTTGTGCGCCGATGAAATATTTTACCTGGCCTTTGCTATCACAAAGGGGTGCACATTGGAGAAGATTCATGAACGGGGAGCCATCGCGGCGGCTACCAATGTCAAGGAAATGCCAGAAAATAGAACTTGGGGAATACATACTAGTTGAGGAACAGCTCTGAATGATGTCGACCCTCTCTCAGTGCTTCTCGGATTCGACGTATGCTGTTCGGACTCGTCTTGGGGCCTTGGAGGAATCGACAATTTCTCCCAAGGACATAGTCCATTCCATACTGGGTTGTTCGATGGAATTCTTGAAGAGTATTAGGGATCACATTGACGAAGTTTGGATGGGAAAACATACCTTTCGAGGCGAAGATGATGGGATTGTCCGGTCGTGATGTGTCAGTCAAACAGAATACTTCCGCCAAGGCATTTGAAGTATCTCGAAACTTCATTGGCAGGGTTCCTCGGACGCGCTCCTCGACAATCTTGCTGGTGATAGTAATGCACCTTGAGGTAATAAATGCAGGCAGTTCTTCAGCTGCTAATGCTCTCAGACCATCTTCGACTCGTTGCTCAAGAACCTTGTTCTGCGTGATTCCGACGATCTCACTGCCTGTCTGAACCATCTGGACTGCTGGCGGGGGGACATCGGTGGAGAGGCGGACCAGCGCATTCGCGTATTCCAGTGCTTTTAGCGCCTTGGATGCATTGAGGTAATATGTCAGAGTGGAAATTGACCGCGGCCGCTCTTCCAGTAAAAATTCTCGGAAGCGGGCGAGATATCGGGGGTTATTGAGAATGGATAACATATGCTCCCTCCCAAACATCACATCCGAGAGGCGCTCCAGTTTGTGAAGCGGCGCATCAACACCGTCCCATGGAGCGATCAGATCATAGGAAGCGCCTTCTTCATTGACAGGATTGAATTCTTCGGCTCCGTCATAAGGGTTCATTTCTTGAAGCAAGGGCAGCTCATTTGTGGTGACATTGCGCCGCATGTTCTTGATAGAGGACCGGGGGGTTGGGTATGATTCTTCGGCATATGTTTGGTCTTGAAAGCCTTGCTCCTCCACGATGGCATCGAGAGCCTTTGCCCGGATGGGTGGATGAGGGAAATCGTCGAGAATTTGACCATTTCTGATCCGATCGATCGATCAGTGGAAAATATTCGCATAGGCTCAGACCGCCACTTACCGGGAAGTTCTCCCGGACTCTGCGACCCATTCATGGTACTCGTCCGGGAGTGATTCTGAGAAGGATCGCAACGACTCATTATCGAGGCCCGCCAGTCCCTCATGAAGATCTGTGCAGGACATGCTGAGCGCTTGAGGAAAGAAAAAAAGAAAAGAAGATTAAAGGAAAAGGAGAAAAAGAAGAATTTCTGCTGCAGGTCCTCGGCGGCTGGGGAGCCTGGCCTGTCTTTAATAGCCTCATGACCCTCTGCTGATGGGCATCACAGGTTGATGCATCAATCAATCACCTTCACTCGGTTCCCAATTTTCTTCCTGGGCAAACGATGCGTTCGTGAGACAATGACAAAGGACCGCAGACACGAACTCGAGCTCCATGTCCACAGGTCACAATTGGCCTGAGAACCGATCGATCGAAGCGCCGCGGCTGCTGCCCACGAGATCGGTGTCGATCCCTGGCTGATGATGCAATGGCGCAGGGGAGGACCCTGTCAGGGAGAGGCTGTTGCGAATAACGTTCTGTGATCGGCGCCGGAACCTGAGTCTATCGAATTTCGCGTTCGTGCATCGAGCCTTAGTTGTAGCGTGGCGGGCGTGATTGGCCGGGGAGGTTTGGATACATCCATTGTTCCGCCATGCGGCACCGGCTGGGGTTACCAAGGGCGGGATCCCTCCGTACATTGTCAAATGCGGGCGTGGGGTGGCTGACAATTTCATGTCTGCGATCACATTGACTTGACATGCTGGTAGTGTTTGGTGGCCTCGACACTGTTCTGAAGGCGGGAAGTATATAAGCGAGTAGTCAACCCACCCCCTACACTCGGTCTTGGCAATCGTCCCTGGAAGTCGGTGAAAAGATATCCATCTGCGTCTGAGCGCCTCCGCGATTTGCGGTTGCGGTCTAGACTTGCTCGACCCCAGGAACCAGTCTGCCTAATCCAACTTTGGCTTTGGCCCCGTTTGCCTAGTTACCAGTTCGCCGGAATCGTCTGATAAAGCACCCTCCGCGCGGTCGCAGCGAGCCCCTTTTCTCGAGTTGGCTCAATAATTCATCGACTACCGGGACTTTGACTCGCAGATATGGCCGACAAATTTTGGCTTCCCTAATTTCTTTTAAAAGAAAGTGCATGATTGGGGCCCAAGCCAGGGCTTCCTGGTAGACCAACCATCACTGCGCTGGCGCGGGGAGCAGAAACAGAAGGTGAGATCCACATAAATCCCAACAATTGCAAATTGCTGGTGCGAGAAATCAATGGGCAACCGCCACTTCTTCCAGAAGTACAGCCCCTTTAATCGTGGGCCAGCTCCATTCGTGGGAAGGTAGTCGGACGCTGTCCTACATTATTTGGAACGGAGTATGTGAGGGATCGGCGGTTTGGTCGGAGACCGCTCTTATCGATAAGCCCGATAAGCGAAAATTTTCGAGACGCGGTGATGCGGCATCACGAGCCATTTCTCCGCAGTGACGCTCACCCACCATGCCTGAGAAGGTGCACACTCATTTTGGTGGCTTGGACGACGAGTCACCCAACAAGGCTCCCAAGATTGTGCCGGAACCTACCCCGGTAGACGATACTGGCCGAAAACAGAAGCGAGCCAAGAAGCGGAAGCGCGACGGGCTCGCCGAGGAACCCCAGGCGCATCGCAACAATGAACCACTTCAGACCAAGGAGCCGGTGAAGGTCATTCCGCCGGTTACAAAAGAGCCTTCTGCAGCACACAAGGTGAAAAAGGCTCCTGAACCCGAACCGCCCTCCGACCAAACGCCCGCGCCGAAGCCGAAAGCGAAGTCGAAACCCAGGTCCTTCACCGATACCAAGACCAACTTCACCTCCCTCCGCGAGAAAGCCAATGCCCTCTACGAGCTCCGCAAAAAGCTCCCTATCTTCGGTCACGCCGATGAGATCCGACAGAACCTCCGCGAGCAAGATGTCATGTTGTTGGTTGGTGAAACCGGTAGTGGAAAGAGTACCCAGATCCCGCAGTTCCTGGTGAACGAGTTCTGGTGCCGACCGACACCGGCGAAAGTACTGCGAGAGGATGGGTCCGAGAAGTCCATCATGGTCGGCGGATGCATTGCGATTACGCAGCCGCGTCGAGTCGCTGCGATTACGCTCGCACGGCGCGTGGCCGAGGAGATGGGTACACCGCTTGGCTCTTCGTCGCCGGCGAGCAAGGTCGGCTACTCGGTCCGTTTTGATACCTCTACGTCACCGAGTATCCGGGTCAAGTTCTTGACGGAGGGTATGCTGCTCCAGGAAATGTTGCACGATCCCTGGTTGACCAAGTATAGCGCGGTCGTGGTGGATGAGGTACACGAGCGCGGTATCAATGTGGATCTGGTGGCGGGATTCCTACGAAACTTGGTTTCTGGGAAGCGCGAGGGCCGTGGAGGGATCCCGCTCAAGGTCGTGGTGATGAGTGCTACGGCGGACATGGAGAGTCTAATGGGGTTCTTCCAGGAAGGATTCCAGGAACAGGAGCAGGTGCAGAAGCAAATATCGAACGGGACTGAGAACGGGACTGAGAACTGCCAGACGAAAGAGCAGAGACCCCAATCCAGGGCGATCTCGGCTTGCCATATCAAGGGCCGACAGTTCCCTGTCAAGACGATCTATTCGCCTGAGCCTGTCCACGATTTTGTGGACGCTGCGCTCAAGATTATCTTTCAAATTCACTACAAGGAGCCGATGCCCGGCGATATTTTGGTTTTCCTTACCGGCCAGGAGACCGTGGAGAATCTTGAGAACTTGGTCAACGAGTATGCCATCGGGATGGACCCCTCGCTGCCCAAGATCCTCGTCCTGCCACTCTTTGCAGCTCTCCCTCAAGCTGCCCAGCAACGCGTCTTTGCCCCGGCCCCTCCTCGCACGCGCAAGATTATTATCGCTACCAATATTGCCGAAACTTCCGTCACTGTGTCTGGGGTGCGGTACGTAGTCGACTGCGGCAAGGCCAAGGTCAAGCAGTTCCGCACCCGCCTGGGATTGGATTCGCTTCTGGTCAAGCCCATCTCCAAGTCGGCGGCCATCCAGCGAAAGGGTCGTGCTGGTCGTGAGGCCGCCGGTCAATGCTTCCGGCTCTACACTGAGAAGGATTACTTGGCTCTCGATGAAACGAACACCCCCGAGATTCTACGCTGTGATTTGAGCCAGGCGCTTCTGAATATGAAGGCCCGGGGCGTCGACGACATCGTCCGGTTTCCTTTCTTGACTCGACCCCCACGCGAGGCACTCGAGAAGGCCTTACTGCAGCTCCTGAACATTGACGCCCTGCAGGAGGATGGTCGCATCAGCGATGTTGGTCTGCACCTCGCAAAGCTCCCGCTTACCCCGACGCTGGGCCGCGTGCTCTTGGCTGCTGCGGAGAATGGGCATGACTGCTTATTGGATGTCATCGACATCATCTCATGCCTTAGTGTCGAGAACATCTTCCTCAACACAATGTCCGAGGAAAAGAAGGAAGCCGCCGAGTCGGCCCGACGCGAGCTGTACCGGCGCGAAGGCGACCATCTGACGATGTTGGCGACCGTCCGGGCATACGCGGGCGAGAATGTGGACCGGAAGGTGTGGGCTGAGCGGCATTTGGTGTCCCATCGGGCCATGCAGTCCGTGATGGTATGTTTGTTCTCCCTTTTGACGTACACTCTTGTTTTCATGATTCGGATCTAACCCGCCCTGCCTAGGATGTCCGCAAACAACTTCGGACTCAGTGCCGCCAGGCCCAGATGCTGCCTCGCGAGGAGCAATCAAATCACACCAGCGATCCCTCGCCGGAACTCATCCTGCAAAGCTTCCTGAGTGGCTTCGCGACTAACACCGCCCGCTTGGTCCCCGATGGCAGCTATCGAACGGTTGTGGGCAACCAGACGGTTGCAATCCACCCCTCGAGTGTGCTGTTTGGCAAAAAGGTCGAGGCGATCCTGTACAACGAGTTTGTGTTTACCAACCGCAGTTATGCGCGCGGGGTGAGTGCGGTGCAGATGGATTGGGTCGGTGAGGCCTTGGCGGGATGAGGGGACGTAAATTCCGGTCATCGATCCCTCATTATTTATCCTTGTTGTTTCTTGAGTGTATATACCCATGAATGAGCCATCATACTAGCCAAGTGACGATAATCCCCCTCCCCTTGATTAATCTCCGATCCTTCAGCAAAGTACGTTGGGCGGATTGAATGCGGAACCATCCTCGCATCAATCCACGAAAGCGGGTATTACGTCGATCCCTTTCGCCACTGGGCGTTTCCACGTCAGACACGGCGAAACTGGGGGGAAACCAAGGGGTAAACTGGGCAGGTTAATAAGACTATTGTGCTGCTAGCCTACTTGCGCAGCCATCGCTGCAGCGGAAGTCACACGCGAGCAGTCACATTTGGACGGGTTATCGCCTGAGCCGACTGCGTCAAGGGGAGAATCCTGGCCTTGTTTCTTTACTTTTTACCCTCTCAGCACAGATATTATCTCCAACCTCCAACACATCTCTATTTTCTTTCGGCCGTTTTCGCCATTCTCTCGACTCCACCATGGCCGTCCTCCAGCGTGTCCACTTGTAGGTGGTCCGACCTCGCGACTTGCTTCCTCCGGCGACTCCACCGTCCGCCTTATCAATCGCTCGTTATCAACGCATCATTTGTTCCCAACGCCCTCGCGTTCGTCTTTCAATCTCCCCCCCCTTTCCCCTCCTCTCACTCCCGCTTTCGCTCTCGTAGGGCTCCCTTCTTCGTTCCCTGTTCCATTCCTCCCTGGGACACCCCGTTCTTTGTCCGATTCTCCGCTACTGATCGCACACGCGGTCTTTGGTTGCGGGGAAGATCCACACCATCCACCTCAACCGCTCCTCTGGCTTAAACACAACTACTCAGGATCAGTGATCATCCACTATGGCCTTCCGTGTCCCAGCTCAGGCACCGCGCCGCAGAACCTCATACTCAGCTCCTCAAAGTACTCCTCCGCTCGATATCCCGCCTTCCCCTAGCGAGCAGCAAGAAGACGATACCGCCCAATGGGTGCTCTTCTCCCCGACCGCGCACACTCACACGACCTCGACAGAGCATACCCGCACTGCCGGAGCATCTCGCCTGAGCGACTTTGGCTCGTTCGGCACCGCAACTCGATCCACTGCTGGGCAGGAGGGCGAAGCAGATGAAGTAGACGATGCGCTAGATGATCAGCTCGACGAGGATGGGACGGAGCTCGATAGCTTGGACGATGGGCTCCATGCATTTCGTGCCCCATCGCTGCTCCCTGTGTCCCCCGCACGGGGCGATCAGGGACCACAGGCGATGCTCCCTGCCCACGATGGCCTAGGAAGTTTTCAGGCATCCAGTCAGTTAGCTCAGGAGCAGCTCTGGCAGCACGAGCAATATAATCCGCAGAGGCGCGGGGGAGTTAGCCCCAGACACCGCCGTCGGTCCAGTGTCCAGCGACACTTAGACACGGTGAACGAAGGGGACGGGGACGTCGAGCGGGACCGTTGGCAGAGAATCGAGCAATGGCGGATGGACCAGAGTCGGGCACTGCTACAAGAAATAGAGCGTGAGACCCGTCGTCATCGGTCCAGTCGTATGAGTCGATCCAGCGTCCCGCACTCCGTGGATTATCTCTCCCCCCTGGCATCACAGAAACACAGTCCAATGCCGTATGTCCAGCAGAGCCAGATGCGGAGATGGACGAAACTTTCTGGCGCCGCGTCACGCGCAAGGTTATCCAGGATCTGATCGGAATCGACGATTCCCTGCTCTCTGTTCTCTTCGGCGAGTCTCTGCCGCTGGACGAGCAAACTCCCGAGAACAAACCATCAGAGCTGGACATGGAGACCGTGCTGGCACGTGAACCTGAACCACAGAATGTCGATGCGCCTCTCTGGCAAACTCACGTTCTTCAACGAATCACCCACGAGTTGGGTATTCTGGTGCACCAGCTCTGTGAGCATCCCGGTGCCTTCTCTACGTACTACCGAATGACCAAGGACATATCGAGTGAATATGCGGGCATGTCACTCAGCCGCCTCGCGGACAGTACTACCTTGCAGCGCCCCTCTGAGCCTGCGGCCGAGACCCCTGCAGAGACTACTCCCTCTGAATCCATGCCATCCCTACAATTTGCCCCAACACTTCGCGACCCTAATCGCGAGCATGAAGAGCAATGGGGCATCGAAGATGACGATACCATGGGCAATCCCGTCTCCGAGTCAACCCGTCTCCAGCAGGAACACGAGTACTGGGAGCGCGGGCTAGATGTCATGATGGTCTTCCGGTACCTCCGCACGCGCTTCAGTCGCCGCGGGTACATGTCTAGCGACAAGCACACCGCGACGCCCCCATCGCGCCACACACAAGACGCCTCCCGCCGCGCAGCGATCATCCGCCAACACCATCCCCTCGTCGCACGGGCCTACTCGCGCTCGCAGACCCAAATCCGCCGTGCGTCCCAACTATCAGGCGTCTCTGGCCCTGCCGGCCTCGCGTCGCCGCTGGTCCGACCGCACTTGGGCCGCCCAAGCTCCAGCTGCGCCAGCCAGAGCAAGCTCTCCGCTATCTCCAGTCATCGCACCCTGACGGGATCCAGCCGGAACTATTGGGATATTGGCGGATCCGTGGAGAGTGGGAGTGCGATTGGCGTGGGTGCTGGAGTCGGCACGTGGGGTGAAGCGTGATTTCACTTAATCTCCTCTCTTCCTGGGTTTGTTTTGAATTCAGACTTTGGTTGGAGTTGACGGTGGGAGGTGGGCGGATGGCTGGTTTTACATAATCTTACGACATGATATACATCTGATGGCGATGTGGGTGAATACTTGATGTTTGGCTTTGGTTTTTGGTTTTGTTTTTCTTTGGCTTTATCTCAACACCTGTTCATAGTCCGGATGTGGTGTTCTTCGGTCGTTTGAGACTGACTCGGAACTCTTGTCTCTTCTTTACTTGCATGCATATAGCCCTATGATATACGAAGGTTTACTCAGCTCGCCAGACATTTACAGAATTCTTCTGTATGGTGGCAACCGTTATTACCTTCCATGTTGGAAACATAGACTCTTTCAAACCATAGGCACATGATACTGTACACCCTCAACACGCTAACCCGATTGGGTTGACTGACCAGCCAAGCATGCTGGAATGAGCGAACGTCACTTCACCGCCTTTGGGAATCGTCTGAGAAGAATCCGGGGATCCTTGCCAGCCCCGCTCGGTGTTTCATCATGCATAACTGTAAACTTTCTCCATCACACTGCAACGTTCTTAATCATTGATCACTATCGTGGAACCCTGTTAATCCCTGCAAACAAAATTATCAAAATTATTCGACAACCCTTTCTGTCGTCTTATATCAATTTCTCCACCTCACAATCTCGTTCCGAAGAACTACTTGAGGTTTCGAGTTAGGATAGACCTCCTATGATGAATATGGCACAAGATGGGGCTACAGCGGCATCAAGAGCTGATCGTAGACATCACACTCCCGAAAGCGTTTTTTTTATTAATACCGCCGTTGGATCCGAAGCCTCACAAGCTTCCATCCGAAAGCGGGCTCGTTCGCACATTATGACTCGGTATCATAAAAAAGCCCGTGAGTTGCGTGTAAGTAAGGCATTCTTATACATTGGGCTTGACGGTCCTAACTAATTTTAGGGAGTGGAGCGACCCAGTCATGATGACCCGGCTTCTTTTTCACCCCGAGGAATAATATTAGATGAGGAGCAGTCACGACTTGTGGATGCTAATTCAATACCGATGCCTAGGATTGGCCCTACAACTGATGACTTCCAAAGCGGATTATGTGAATGGGAAAAGAGGCTCAGGTGTATTACAAGGCAGACAATATCTACTCCTTCTGGGCTTGACCTATTCGGTACAATTCCATTTCCGTTTCACTTGGACCACCGGGATCGGAATCTGTTATTTCATTGTAAGTTGCCGGCCTCCAGCCTTGTCTTTCGCTCGACCATACATCTGACTGATTTATAATAGATAGTACGGTCTTTAACTACACGAACATGCCTGTTAATTCCAAGGAGGAATGGATAAAATTTGCTGTGACCGACGCTGCTCTTCTTCATACTACATTGGTCATCTCAGCCTTACACGTTGCACTCATTTGTGGACAAGAATTCAGCGTTGACGCATTCCGACATCAAAGGGCGGCAGTGAATATCCTTAATGATAGGCTCAATGATCCTATTCTCAGCAGCACAGATTCCACCATCCTCTCTATTTCCTGTCTTGCATTAATCGACGTGAGCATGACATCGATTTTTCTGATCTTCGGATCTTCGGATCTTCGATTGACAGAAGCTAGATTTTGAACGCATCGCCGCTTGGAGCAGCCCCCCATACGACGGCTCTTGAACAGCTTGTCAACCATAGGGGTGGGCTTACCACCTTAGGATTCAATGGTATTGTGCGAAGAAAGGCCCTTTGGTATGATTTTTACATACCACTCTACGTCATTTGAGGCTCACATTGTGACGATCTAGGGCAGATCTTAGCAGCGCCATAGCGCAGCGAATCGCACCTCGCTTTCCATTTTCCTCGGAAAAATTGCCGATGGGACGTCCATCTGATGCTATTCCAATTACAGTCAATACATCTGCAGTAAACATCTGCACCGAAGTTTCCGATTGGGTAGCAGGCAGTCCGTACCCTCCTGGTATTGAGGCTATCATCCACGACCTTCAACGCCTGTCTCTAGTGCTCAGTTCTGCAAATCGTGCTGACATGGCCGAAATCGATCAATTAATGCTGAGCGACTCCTTCTACGATCTTGAACGACGTGCGTACGACCTTCTTCTTCAAGCTGAAAACCGAAATTCCGTCTCCCAGATTGTACCAAAACACTCGGCTAGCATTACCCCCAATTCCTTTTTATATCCAGCATGCTGTCTGACAGCTATTATATACGTCTCTCTCGCTCTTCGCGAGATCCCACCGCGTGCTGGGATATTCAATCCGCTCCTAGGACGCCTTACGACACTTCTCCGTGATATCGATATTTTCGCAGCCTGCACTACTCACCCCAAAACGTTGTTATGGATCCTAGGCACCGGAGGTGCAGCGGCTCTGGGAAGAGAAGAGAGGAGTTTGTACGTGAAATGGCTTGATCATTTCTGTCGTACACAACACATATATGAATGGGATGAAATGAGAGTCGCATTCAGCAGTTCCATTCATTTGGCTCCTCTGTATATGACGGAGTTTATGGACGTTTGGAATGATGTTGAAGAGTTCAGGATCATGAGAGATTTAATTGAAATGTGACTGAAGATCCCTACAGGGGAGCGATAACATATTCTTCGATACAGGAATAGTACAACTTTAACTCCTCACCGATAAGCGGGCATGGCCATGAGAGCATCAGGCAAAGTCCTCTCTTCCTCGCAATCCGTCGCCCCTTTGATTACCGCCCAAATCTCTGTCACAAGCTGGACCGTCTTCGGCCGAGTCAGAAGCTCCACAAACACCTGAAAGTCTTTCTCGAATGTCTCCAGGGATGATGCGCTAGTAGCATCGTTGACTCTCTGCTTGGTCATAGCCAGTGCCGAGAGTTCGAATTTTCCCACGCGACCAACATAAGCATCCACGAATACATGCATATCCTCTGACGTTTCAAACACCCGGTTTATTATTCCGTACTTCTCTCCTTCTTCCGCCCCAATGTCACGCCCTGAGTAGAGATACTCCAATGCTCGTGGCTTGCCCATCTGCTGGACCAGCCGCATGGCACCTCCACCTGAGGCATACACACCGAGACATGCTTCAAGATGGGATAGCCATGTGCGACCTTTTATTCCGAAGCGCATATCGAAGGCCATGGTGAAGTCGCAGCCTCCGGCACGTGCGCATCCTTCAACCAGAGCGATTGTCACAATGGGCAGATTGGTCAGTTTATACATGAGGCCAAAGAAATATCCCAATGTTGGGTACTCAGGGTGCATTTCTGGAAGCGTGGACTCTGGCCAGGTAGTTTTGTAAGACACTTGAAGAAAACGAGACTCAATATCAATCACTGACCTGGACGGGGGAGCAGATCCAGATGTGCAACAAAGAAGTCCGGATTTGCACTTTGAACCACGAGGATCTTAATATCACTACTTGAAGAAACTTCCGTGAGGAGATCGTTAAGGTCAGACACGAACCTCCAGTCACAAAGGTTGATTGGAGGGTTGTTGATAGATGCGGTTAGGACGGTGCCCATCTTTGACGTATTGATCGTACCGTGACCCATCATTTGGTAATAATAAAGGCTGTTGAAGAACAGATAGGCTTTGGGCACCGGGCAAGAAGGGACTTGAGCGCTTCTAAAGGATTGAGACGCATAACCTGTTGGGACAGCGTGATAGTCACCTCCAATTTATACATCCCAAAGGGTTCGGCTCCTGGAATACGGGAAGACTCTATCCTAAAGTGGAATATTACCAGAAGCATCTTAATCAACTTCTATCGCGCTCTTGATACTGTCATGATGTCATAGACTTCTCTTGAATACAAACACAATACTTATCGCAAATTCACGTTTTTACCCGATCCGCAAAGCTCAATTCGAGCCCGTTCCAACTTGCATTTGGTTGGGTGATGTGTTGTGTTCTGACGACCCACAGTGTCATAGTTTTTTTTCTTGGCATTACAGAAAATGATGCGGATTCTACTTTTTCATATAAATTTATCTATATATCTATATGCATATTTTTTGTAGCCAACCAATAGCTACCAAACACTATAAGGACTTCCAAGAAAAACGAACCAAGATGTATTTTATGGGCTTATTATCTGTTATTAAGCTTAGTTGTTCTGTGTCAGAGCAATAAAACGACGGTATAGATTAAGAATGTTGCCTATAGTGCATTGTTGGTCTACAAGTTATTTTGCCTATGATTTGGCACTCTTTTGTCTTGACATTATGTTACTGAGGGATTTTGCCGGAACCTAATCACTGCCCTGATGCTAACATTTTCCAAGGCTAACTATGAGTGGAATATTACCTGAAACGGATCCAAAGTTTAATCCTAGTAATTGAGGAAACCTCCGGTAATCAAAGCATTGCGCTGTTGGAGTTGTATTAGCGAGTGAACCTCGACCGAGAAGGCAACACTTTCAGGCTGGATATTTCACATAATAGCCCCTTGCAGCAGCTTGAGTGATCTGAATCTCGCCGTAGTGTAGGGCTTTAATTGAATAATATATTCTACCCACTTGCTGGATCGTCAAGTTCGATGATCGAGGTACCACCATCCGAGTTGAATTTGAAGACATTGGAGTGTTTTTATTGCGGGGCCCGCTCAGCCCAATCATGTTAACTCGGACGTGCCGGGATGAAAGTTAACTCAAAGAGGAGTATTACCCGATAGGGACTATTTTATCGCCACTATCCCATTCCGACCCACCACAATTGATCACGAGGCATATACTCTGTACTGTGAACAACATTGGCTATGTAAAATAACTGATGTTTGGGTGGTCCAAGGTAAACCTCCATCCAGGAGCGCTAACCAGAAGCAGTAAATTTCTTGAAATAGAAATGGTGCCCTTCGTTTTAGCATATAATAATACTCTGGCCTCGGTTGGAACACGGCTGTCTGCAACAGGCCCTGCCTTTATCCATTTCGATTTGCAACTCAAGTCAATTCAGAACATGGCTTCCACGCTCAGATTTGATGTCTACGTGGCTCCTGGAATACCTTTCCCTTCTCCTGAGGGTTTGCCACACTTCGTCACGCCAGTCTGGTCACCTATGGCTATTACCCTACTTTCTGGAAACAAAGAAGCCGTACTCGTGGATGCACTTCTCACAACCGCTCAAGCGAATGACCTAGCGGATTGGGTTGAATCTTCCACAGCAAACAAGGTGTTGACGACAATTTATATAACTCACGGTCATGGTGATCATTTCTTCGGTTTGAAACGGCTCCTGGAACGGTTTCCAAACGTGAAAGCTGTCGCAACAGCGAAAGTTATCGAACATATGCGGTACGAGCTAGAACCCGTTAATTTTCAACCTATATGGACCAGCCGATTCGGTGAACGGATCGACGTCGATGGTGATATCCTTTCGCGAATTGAGTCATTGGGCGATCACGACAATACTATCCTCCTTGAAGGCCATAAGCTCATTGCCGTCGATGCGGGAGAATCAGACACATGGAATACGACATACCTACATGTCCCATCTCTCAACTTGGTCGTTGCGGGCGATTGTGTGTATAATGATGTGCACCAATTCCTTGGTGAGACGAACACGCAACAGGGTCGGGGCTCGTGGATCTCGATCGTCAAGGCTATTGCGCATCTCAAGCCTTGCACCATTATTGCGGGGCATAAACGACCCGGGGCAGTGGATGGTTTCAATAATCTCGCGGCAACGATCAAGTATATCGAGGACTTTGGAGACCTAGTCGAAAAGACTGCATCAAGAGAACAGTTGTTCGAGGAAATGATGAAAGCGTACCCGAACCGGGTGAATCCGTATGCTCTGTGGTTATCCTGCCAGGGGGCATTCAAAAGTTGAGATAGTGCGGCTGTACCATCTGTCTTACACATTGTTCCAATAGCCTCGGCAAGTACAGTAATTTGACTACCACGTCGGAATATAACTGCTTGACTCGGTCCGATTGATGGAAAGATGCGTAATTCATAACAAGCACGGCGTGTGTTCCGACCACCCACAATTACGCAATAAAAGATTTGAAAAAAGTAGCATCAGTACGAGAATGGATAACACTGTGTTTAGTATAGGCTGGCAGTATCTAGGGGTGGCACTTGATGACTGTGCCAATCCCCATGTGTGGCTTTACTATGTCTTACGGAGGGGAAACAAAGCAAATAATAGAAGGGGAAGAATAAAAACAGAAGCGCAGCCCCTTTCACCGGGCATCCTGTAGGTCAGAAAGCAGAAGCAGTAACAAAACTGACCTGACCTGATAAGAAACTGACCTTCGGCAGGAATAGCTCTCAACCCCGCCCACGTCTCCCATGACAGAACGGTTGGCCACAGCGGCGATCGAGACAGCGAGACAGGTAAGTTGACATGGCCGCCAGAGTCCTCTCGTCTGGATTCAGCAAACTCCAAGCCTCTGCATTTCTCCTCTCGAACGTCCTGATCTCGCGCTCCTGGCCCGTTGCATAGGCGTCATCGATATCCAGAAGGCGCAATCGTCCAACATGCCGGCTGATGACAACAAGGGCGTCCACTGCCAGATTTGGACGGTCTCGTACCAGTATCATGAAAACTCCCTCGAGGACCTGGGCAATTTTACTAATGTGGAGCTCTGCACAAGACATCCGCCTAGCGCGGGTAGGAAGGGGGGTCCGGTGCAGTTCGAGGATAGCACGGTCCAGCCTCGGGAGTCCTTGCAGGGCCTCGCGACAAAGCTTAGTTCCATCGTGAAGGTTGGCTGCTTCTTCCCGCATTTTCCTGACGAGCTTCCCTCGCTTCTGGTAGAACCCAAAGCGCGCAACAAAGCGGGTGATTGGGGTCCTTGTTGAAATACGCATCTCTGCGAAGCAAGTTCGTAGTAGGAGGTACTTGAGTTCGACAGAATAGCCCAGTGGGAATTTGGAAGACGTTCGTATTGATTTCAATAGTCGAAGTCAGGTTTTGACACTTGTTGAGTACTCGGTACGTAGGTATCGGCGGCATTTATAATCACAGCCTCTTCAATATCCAGACATAGCACGGGAGAATAATGCTTCTTTGGGCATGGGGGATGTATTCGTGTAGTACTGATCAATGAATGAAATAAACGAGTCCAGGGTTCTACAACGAAATTGTTTTGTTTGTTTCTTTCTCTCGATTTCATTTATCACAGTTTACTGTGTCAGCCGAGAACCAAAACGCCACGCTAGACCCAAGTGAGAATGACATTCCTAAGTGATTGAAATGAGTGCTAATTATTACACAATGCCATTGTGAAATCTGAACTGCGGCCAACCCGACAAAGAAGGTAAATGACGGTATTGCAATGCCAAAAAGGATGGTGAAAGCAACAACACACCAAGTCGACTTGATCGGCAGCCAGAAATGGATATGGTAGGATTAGAGACCCGATCTGAGCTTCATGGGAATTCAAGCTGGTGATCGAGAACTGCTTGCTTTGTCACTTAGTGAGATTGTATTACAGGATGGATCGAAATCAGTTTCACCACTTGCACGCAGAGATTCTTTCTCGAACCCTCTCTCAAAACACGCTATGCCTATTACAGTTACTCCATCCCTGACTCCTTCTCTTGGCAGGATTTCAGTACAGTTATAAATAACTGTCGAAATATGGCCTCCACCAGTATTATTCAGCTACCTACTGACCTGTTTTGATTAGCTCCTTGGCACATTTCCCCCTATTTCTATACGCGCAGCTTGGCTTTCTACAATACACACTCTCTGGCTTCATTAGCCTACACGTTACTAGGCGATACAATTCTTCCCCATTCTGTCAATAACACCACAAAAATAGCTACCGTATTAGGCTTGTATGGCTTTCGGAGCTTCTAGAATGTTGATCCTACAATAAGGCAAACAAAGGAGGATCTCCCTAATCCGGTTACTAGGCCAGAGTGCGGATTCGAGTTTGTCAACCACTCAACTCCAGAATATTTACGTGGGTGTGGTGTATACTATACAGCACTAGTGGGTTACGTTTCTTGCTTTATATAATAGACTGTATTAGCGACTAGCACTCGCTACACTCTGACTAGATGAGACTATGCTGATGTTAGATCTATTAAATTCATTAGAGCCTTAAAACGCACAATGACCGCTAGCTTATATTACAATAAAATAATCTTTAGCCCTACGACTAGACTGCGCCAAAAACCGCAAAACGGGAAAACCGCAAAAAAAATAAACCGCAATTGGCGGGTTTTTGGGGCCAGTTTCAGAAACCACAATGGTTCTTGGGGCCCCAATGGTTTGGTAAATAATATAAACTGAGTAGGTCCTTGTCACTGTATATTTTATGTATTTTTCCTCTGTTTCTTTGGGTATTTAGCTTACAATAAAGGCCTCCTTCTATAGCATTGGTTTCTAATATACATTAAATAAGCTCTTTTAGCTATACTACTAATTTTCTGAACCCGTCAGAAAATGAGGTTAGGGAGCTACTATCTACATACTAGTAAACCTAACGGGCATCAGAAAAATAGTTAGGAAGCTATATTATTGATCGCTAATAATACGTATATAGGTCGTAGTCGCTTCCTTCATCGATGATGACGTCTCGAACTTCGTGGATTGTACCACCAGGGCGGCCATCTCGATATGGGCGGAAGATTCTATAGAGAGCGCCATGGTAGCTGCTGTATCCGATTAGCTTGCCTATCCATGCTCTATCTGCCAGATGCCTACCTAGAGGATTCCTGCGGATTTCCTCTTGGTGTCGAACAACGTAGGCATTACTCCCTAGAATGCTTAGGAAGCTTAGATCTGGCTTGTGTCCGTAGCGAAGTTCGTATAGTGATTTTGAGCCATCAACCTTCCTACCGTAGTAAGGAATTAAGTTTCTAAGGAATGCGACCGCGCGCATGATCTCCGCCCATAGGTATGCTAGTAAACTGCTATTCTCAAGTACTACGCGCGTCCTCTCACCGAGGATTCGCTTAAGGCGTTCGACCTTGCTATTTTGCTCATGAGCGTAGGCCGCAGAGAAGACCCATTTAATACCACTATCCTTGGCCTATTACTGTAGCTAGGCATCTATGAACTCGCCGCCGCGATCTAATTGTATTCCAACGATAGTATCTCTTCGCAGTAGAAGCTGATTAGCTTTTAGAAGCTCAGGGACCGTTCCTGGCTCCACGATATCGGCTAGTGAGTGGATCTGCCGCACCTGCACCTAGCGGTCTCTCTCGTACTCCGTAACGACCTCCTTGAGTACATACTTCGCAGCGCTCTTATAGCGGAGGAATTTGACCGTACACTAGCCGCTATAGTCGTCGATGGCTGCTAGCCAATAGCGAGCCTAACTACCTAGTGCGCGTGGTAGCTTACCCCCGCCGCCGATGTCGATATGGAGAAGCTCACCCTCGGCGGAGCTTTGGTGGAGGACTAGATCTCTCCTGATGTTTTAATGCGCCTTTCCAATAGCGCACGCGCTACATGGTCGTTTCGGCACTAGTAGGCCTTTGATATCGATACTATTAGTTATGTTAGCTGTCTTAGCGATAGCTTTCATGCCTGGATGTCCTAGGCGTCGATACTAGGTCCTGACGTTAACCCGGCGCCTATCTAGCCTCTGTATGACTTTCTGCTCGTCCTGTTCTTCGGCGGAGATATCCCTTCGGCGTATATCTGATAAGTCTAGCGCTATAGAGGCTTGTATAGATGTGTCTAGTACGTTCGCGCTATATTGGATGACTTCTCTGATACGAATCAGCCAGCTGCGTCCGCGAGGGTCTCCTAGACCTAGTGTAGAACCATCCTTTCGCTTTATAGTCAATTTTGACCCTTCGAATTCCAGTTTAATGCCTTTAGTAGTCAATCTTGACCCACTAAGTAGGTTGAATCTGATTCCGGGCACGTATAACACATTGGTGAGGCGTACGCGGTTCCCGTCTAGTGAACCGGTCTCTAGGACCATTTCGAGGTCGCCGACTATGATTTCAACCTCTCTCGAAGCCATTGCCATTCGGATTATCCTCATGCACTTCCTAGTAGTGCCAGGCACAAAATATTTAGGTGACGCTATCATATAGTCGTCACACGCCGTATCACATACCTAGCGGTCGATTGGGACGCTAGTCGTGGTGGAAAACGCTTGGATAACGAGGTCTGGTAGCTCTACGGCTTCGGCGCCTCCTATAGTAGTAGGGGCCGTCGCCGGAGCTTGTAGTTCAGATATCTCTATTATTAAGGCCTCTGTAGCCTTAATCTCGGTCCTCTTCGAGCTAGTGTCGCTCGTTGGCGGCTTTAGGTGCGGGGGCTTCTCCTAACATCGCTCTTTAGTATGTCCTGCTTTCTTGTAGTAGCCACACTGCGTTCTCGATGGCTTCTGGTTCTCGCTTGGCGCGCTGGTCGTTTTACCGCTACGTCCATTACCCCCTCGGTTACCTCGCTTACCTCTTTTGGGCGCCGTTGATGTGTTAACGACGGTGGAGGAAGAAGTAGATATATGCTCTTTTAGCTGTTTCTCAGCCTGTAAGAGGGTAGAGACTATCTTGCGGAAGTTGTATAGTCTCCGAGGGTTCTTCGACTGCTTGACTAACAAGAAATAGCTAGTCTTCCAGTTCAGCTAATCTTCGGAATCGATTCCTGCCAGCAGATTTAGGCACCGGCAGTGTTCACATTCATCGCACCACGCCCACCCGCTAAAAATATCCTCCCACGCAGCTTCGACCTGATTACAATAGTCGGTGATAGAGGAGCAGGTACTCAGGCGGAGATTCATAGCTTTCGTGAAGCCTTTCTACGCGATGTGTGCGTCTAGGACCGTATACTACATCTCTAGCAGTTCCCACGCGGATTTTGGTGTCTTGGCCATGCGATTGATCTTCTCGTTGATAGAACTGACGACATTGTTAACGATGGCAGTTCCGGCTATCATATAGAGCCTTTTCCCAGTCAAAGCGAAGGTCGTGGCCTCGTGGAGGCTCTACAATCTCTCCGGTGACGATCTCCATAAGAAAGTTAATATCATGCATATTGACCATATTCTCTCGCCACTGCCAGTAGTTGGAAGCTCCGGTCAGCTACGGAGACACCTTGGGCAGGCTCGTCACCTTCTTCGGCAGGCGTGCAGCATATTCAATGCGCTTCCGGCTATCCTGCGGTACTGGATCGTCCGCGAGGTTTATATAGGTCTCTTGGGCCTACGGCTGGCTATCAGACGGCCCTGGAGATGCAGTCATATCTCGTTGGATCTAATCTGCTAGCTCCTGTTGCGCACGATCCTCAGCATCCTCCAGTTCACTATCATTATCCTCTTGTTCCAAGTTCCTTCGATTATGCGTAGCCATCGGGCTATTCGGAAACCCTCCAGCAACGCGATGATGCCGGCTCGATTCGGCTGCACGGCGTGTGTTCGGCGCCATATTCGATTCGGCGGTCGGTCGGAGGACTCAGGGGTTGAAGCGATCAATCGAGCTGGATCGAAGAATATCCAGCGCCCGATTGATAAACAATCGGGCTCATAACCTGTTGAGATGAGGGATACGATCTAGGAGGAGCGATGGTATCTGCCAGCAATTGTGTAATATTGAAGATGTCTAACTATCTAAGATAGCCCCTGAGTGGAAGCGTGCTTTACACGCTTCCCAAAAGCCCACTTTACCATACAAAGTCAGCGTGTCTCAGGGAGGCCAGAGAGCAACAGAAGCTCTCAGTCACGTGATATATACCAAGGAAGCCTCGGCGGTATCGGACTGCTGAAACCTCAACATTATCCAATAGATTATAATTTAATTATAATCCCATAAATAAATATCATAATACTAATAATAATGCTTCCGGTTCAAGGGATGTCGCTAGCAAGGGCTCGTTTCGCGCGAATTCCTTTAAAAATCGACAGCCAAGAATAAGAACTACGAGGTCTATGTCGAAGCTAGAATCTGGAGAGGTCAGTACCAGAATACCAGGAAGAGGAGATGGACTACCAATATAGTTATTTGGAGTGAGCCGGTTATATAGTCCGTAGTGTATTCGACAATCTGATATGATCCCGCAGTTTAGTTTTATCTAGTGACGTCAGCCACTGGTGCTCATCCAATCCCAATACTCTCCCAACCTATCTAGAGAGCAGATGACCAGATACCCAGTTTCGCGGGCAGAGTGGCAACACCCAGAACCGTGACTCGTAGAAGCGGGTCACTGCCACTCATCCAGAATACCGGTACTGTAACCGAGGGAAAGAAAAAAGGAACTTCCCGTAGCCTCTGCTGCAATAGATAGGGGCACAACTCAAGATACAAGATGGAATATATGGTACTACACCCGTACCGCTCCACCAGGTATACGATGCTTCATATATGCGTTCATTCTAGTGTTAGTGCAAGATTGGGCCCGTCTAGACTGTCGGCAATGGGGATCTGGGCTTGATGGCAGCCCTAATCGAGGATGGAGCTCTGGCCACGAAAGCTAAAAGGTAAGAGTAAGTTCGTTAAACGATGCGTTGACTTTACAAGACTCCCGAACTCCCCAAGAATGACATAGCCTCACCCTGAACCATGTCAACCTCTCGCACCAGAGCCCCGGGATGGGCTGGAGGCACTCATAGGCCCAGTAGTGCTATATAAGCAGCCCTGAGCTAACAACCGGGTGGAGGGATGCTGGATCAGATATGAGTCCGATCAACTCTTCGAAAGAAAACACTCAGTCATCTTGAGATGTCTGCAAACCAAAATCTAGCCGTTTGGATGAGACACGAAAGAACCAGCTTCCATGTTTCTTGTCGGCGGTCGTAACACAGGCATCTTCGTTGGAGTAACGGTGACCGTGATCCTCGCTAGCATCTTTGTCGCCTTGCGGCTGGTCAACCGTTTCGCCATATCTAAACACAGTGGATGGGATGATTACAGCATCATAGTAGCATGGGTGAGTGGAATGGATCCCCTTGAAACCACAAGCGAGACTGAGATATCGTCAGATCCTTGCCTTTGGCTTGTCCTTTACGGTCGATTTCGCCGTCTCCAAGGGCCTAGGGCTTCACAAGGACCGCATCCCTGCCACCGGGATTCACCAACTCTTAGTGGCGAGATATGTGGCCATCGTTCTTTTCAACCCAGCCCTGATGATGACCAAGGTCTCGATCCTCCTGTTGTACCTGACTATTGCCCGACGACCACATAATTTTCTACGCATTGGCTCCTACATTACCCTCGCCGTCGTCGTTGTCGGTGGCCTGGTCCTCACCTTCATCACCGCTTTTCAGTGTCGCCCTGTGCAAGCCGTCTACGACATTAATATCAAGAACCCCAGCTGCATCCCCATCGAGGATATCTATCTAGCTTCCGTCCCCGTTAGCCTCGCCACGGACCTTGCCATCCTTGTCCTCCCCCTCCCGCTGCTGGCGAGCCTGGCTCTTCGGCGGTGGGAGAAGACGATCTTGCTCCTGACGTTCGTGCTGGGTGTTGTCTTTATCATCGTGGTCGATGTCACACGTATCTACTACCTACAGCTGGCCGCAGCCAGTCTGAGGGAGCTGGCCAACGCGAAAGTCCCCGTTAGCCTCGACTTCCTTTACAATGCGGGTCTGGTGCTCCTGTGGTCGGCTGTGGAGGTGAATGTGGCGATTGTCGGTGCCTGCATCCCAACCCTGCGGCCGTTGGTTAAGCTCTTGATCGCAAAGATGAAGATGGTCTTGAGTTATTCTCACGGGAGCAGCGAGGGCGAGCTGATACGGTCCCCTTCATCGCCCAGTACTCTGGACGGGTTTGGTCCGCCCAGTCTCAATGAGCGTCTTCGTCATTCGATGAGATCGGAGGCACCTCTGGTCGACAACCAACAGCAGCATCACCCGTACCAGATGAGTATGAGATCCTCCCACACCCTTTCAGACCCGGAGGCAGCGCGACGGCCCTCCCGACGCACGGAAACATCTGCTCGTTGGAGATTTTCCCACACGGAACCGCCCAAGTGCATGCTCGACATGGAGGGCACAGAATCTGTCAAGTACTGCGCCATCGTCACCCTCATCCTCTTCGTGGAGGGATTCATTGTGACCATGCTGTTTTCCGTCAATGGGAAGATGGTCGTAGTGACAAGTCAACAGCAAGGCATCGGTATCTCCTCTGCCACGTACGGCGGTGGCGCTATTGGCTGCTTCCTTGCGTATGGGCTCCTGCGTCGCCTGGGATTTCGACCCACATTTGTGACCGGGTTTGCGATCATCAGCGTGGGAACCCTGGTATTCTGGCCATCCGGAGCCCTAAGTTCCTATACCGGGTTCATTGTCTCGAACGTGCTTGTTGGGATGGGGATCCCCCTTCTGGAGCTGACTGGGATTGCATTTATTGTCCTCTGCGGACCACCGAAATATGTGGAAATCCGCCTTCTCTTCGCGCTAAGCATCAGTTATATTGGCTCAACCGTGAGCCTTGTGCTCGCGCAGAAGGTCTTCTTTAAAAACGTGGCTGACGCCCATAGTTTGATTGTTATCCAGTGGGCCTACCTGACGATTGCCCTCATTACTACCCTGTTATCCCTCCTCGTCTACTATACACCCCTTCCGGAGGCCACTGCATCAGAATTACGAAGCCGAGAAAGGAGGCTGTGGATCGACCCTTCACAGAAATTGTACGGTCGAGTTCCGGTCCTTCACTCCACACTCGCTCTCGCAGTGCTCTCGAGCTTCTGTTCTGCTGGTGCATTAACATGCCTCCGTACCTTCGTCGGCACTCTCCTTAAAAGCATCTCGACCGGTTCCGGCGCCGGTACTTCGACAAACCTCGGCCCCTTGGATCTGAACATTGTGTTAACTGCTATCTACGCCGGTGCTCATATGATCGCTGCCTTCTTGGCCTGTCTTATCCCCCCGCGCATCCTCCTGCTCTGGGCGTATGCCTGTGGTATCGTATTCTCCACGCTCATCATGCAACTCTATTTCTCCTCCGCCGAAACAACGGAATATCTGGTCATCTTCTTCGCCATCGTCCTCGGCCCGATCCCTAGCTTATGTCTGGCCGTTGCATTGCCCGGCATGGGCGCACACACCAAGATTGCGACCACTCTCATGGAATGCTCTGCCAACTTGGCCGCCTGCGTCACTGTCTGGATCATGTTTGCGGTGACCCATGCACCCAGCCATTCGGTGCAATACTCGTTCTGTGTGCTCGTGGCCTTGTATGCTGCCGGGGCCGTTTTCCCACTCTACGTCACTCTGGTGCCCTCCTCGCTACCCTACAATCGACCCCCAGCCTTGCGGGCGGTTTGGAAGCGATTCAGGCGGCAATGACTGTCCTGTTACCGCTGTTACCCTTTGCTTACATTGGTATTCTGTTTCTCTGATGATTCGATCTCAATAGTAGAGATTTCCACGCTTGATTAAGCGGACATATCCTAACTTTGTGGACGCTGGGAGGAGGGGCTTCCCATATCATGGACCACTGGGTCGCCCTTCGGCTTTTCAAAGATCTGGCTGTAATTTGGAAAGGGCAAAATCCTCCTAAATAGGGGTTAAGGGATATCTCAATCTTAGTGCAGAAGGAATTAACGTGTTCAGTATATGCTTAATAAATAGAGGATTAGAGATAATAGAAGGAAAGTGAGCACTAGCAATATACATATACACTATTTTTATTATAGGCTTTCCGCTACAGATAATAATAGTTGACGTATAAATTCAATATAAGCTTCGCGGGTATGAGGAGAAAGTATTAAATTAAAATTATATTAAGCGCTAGCTTAGTAGAAAGAGATTGTTTAACTATTACTAGTACATACATACCTCCCAAGTGATTTTCAAAGAGCCCCAAATTATAAGCCTAATCCACTCAGCATTTCCGGAAGTAAGTGCCGTAGCTAAGAGAAGATCTTGCTATAGTTGTATTCTTCCTAGTGAAGTCAGCTTCACCGAGGCCATCCCCGAGCGTTCTAGGCCAAGTGATATCCGATGGTCTCAGCCTCTTCCCAGACTATTAACTACTATTACCACGGAACCGGGTCGTGGAGCTCCACGGTTCGGCCGCTCACTTCCCCGCCTCTTACCATCCCCTTGGAGCCCGGTACATTTTATAAGTATATAGTTCTGGGCATTACTGGACGCATATAATTGATGACGCGCTGTTTTTCGTAGAGTATGTAACACAACACACACAGCTCAAAGTGCAAGCCGCCGCTTGACTATGGTATGGCCTAGTCGACGGCTTTAATGACGAGCCCATACTGCCAACCGGTGCGGGCATCACAGTTGAAGTATTCCAAACGGCAGCATCCTCAACGAGATATCTGAACCACACCATGCTGACTGCCAAAGAAGCCCAGTCGCCGGGATCCCAAGGGCGACGGTTGTACGAGACGGCTAACAACGATCTGAACGAGTTATCAACCAGGCATCTCCGTGTTTATAACTGGACCTTTTAATCATGATAAAGCACGGTAAGGTGGGTACGGGCCTTACCTATTCCGTGACGTTTCTTGCCGATCGCGACTTGAGTTGGACGAGAAAGGGGGGATGCGATGACCGTTTTGTTTAAGGCGGTGAGTGTGGGTATTAACCATGATTGGACGGATCCTGTTCAACGAAACTGATGGATAACTATGTACCCTTGAGTTGACTAACGGACCCTCCAGTAACGTAAGTTAAATGAAGGGTGTTTGACTGGGACTAGGCCAGTGGTCCGTGCATTTCCTAATACCCTCGCGCTCCCAGGTCATCCTGCTTGCAAGGACAACGATATATGTACCTCCGCTCCATTCCGAGCCCTCGGGCCAGACCGGACCACTTGAAATCAGATTATCCATATCCGATTATCCTACAATGGTTTTCGAAAACAGCTATACCTCGACAAACAGGCGAGTCCTTTGCCGGATAATATATCTGCAGAGGAAGAAATTCGATTGGATTGTTCTAAGATTGGCCTCTCGTGTAGACCGCGTTCTATATATAGTGGCCGTTCATTAGTATTTGGAACATAGTACAGTACTTCCGCTTACTGGCAGAAAGATAGGTGGGGCAAGTACCATGTTCCAAATACTAATGAACGCTGACTGTATATATCTTTCCTTACATTACAGACACGTAGCCTGGGGGCCAAAGCTTGATCTCATTCTCATTGGTAATACATGAGTGAGGCAGTCTTTTACCACGCCTCAGATGGCCGCTGAAGATGAATGCAGCAAAGTTACGATCATTAATCTTTGCAGAAATTTACGGCAATTTGGTATCATCAACCTTATATCAGTGCCAGCTGGTACTGTATAACCTAGTATGCGAAGACGACGAATGATATCAAGCGGAACCAATATAGATGAATAACATTGATTGATTCAGTAGAAAGATGGGCGGAGAAGCGCTATTAAAAGTACACACTTAGATACACTTGTAAATCGATAAGTACACTAACGTCGATAGATATAGCCTAGTGCCTTTATCGTCGAACTCTACGCCTACCGTAACGCCCGTTACGCCTATTACGCCTAGATCGAATAGATATAAGCGACGGCTGATCAAGAGGCTATGTGAAAGTGCCAAAAGGGATAGAAGGAATCCCTATCCGAGGTACTCGAGTCGCCTTCTAAATTACGAACCTCCCGGGTAGTAGCGGGACGAGCCCGCGCTAAGGGAAAGGCCCCGGTTAAAAATCAAGGGTTTGAAAAATAAGGGGTTGAGGATTAAGGTTAGTTCGATATTCTACTATTTGTTTATATATCTAACTATATATCTTATGTATAAGACGGAATATCGGCTACTAGTAAGTATCCGTCTAAGGAAGGTATAGCCCTGGTCCCTGGCGCATCTGAGGACGAAGCGGATGATGTTGGTGCCGAAACGGATAGTGCTGGTCGAACTAGTAACGAGGACGATGCTAGTAATGAAGACAATACTAGTAACGAGAGTGATATAGGTGATGATGACGATACTACGGACGAGGGCGATCCTAGTAACAATCAGGAAGAGACGGAGGGTATTATTGGGATTGAAACTAAGAGTGAGGAGGAGGTTAAGGCTAAGGATAAAACTAGCAGTCGTGCTACAGAGACCGCTAGTCATGCTAAGGATATCCCTAGCCGTGCTATAAAGACCCTCAGTTACGCCAGGGACGATACGTCTATATAAGGGGCTAATCCTGGCAGTCTAAACGATAATACAAAGCCCCTACCTGGCTGGCTTATCGCGTCAAAAGCTCCCGTGCTGACGCAGGACGAGAAGAAAGAGAGATATGAAGAAAGAAAGAAGCGCCGTGCAGATAGGAAGGCAAGTAAAGAGAAAAAGGAACAAAAAAGAAGGCCCTGGCTATGCCAGGAGGTACGTCAATCATATCAGACTATTTCAACAAGAACTAACTGCTACGGGCTGTGGTTGAACAGGAAGGGGTTAATTACCACAGGTATCCGTGTACATACTTCGGTACTGTCTCTGGACGCCGCGCGTAGCGCGGCGCGCAGTCTAGTATAATGATCAATGGAGAACTGCCGTAAGATTGAAGAGATTGGCTCCGACGTCTACTGAAGAATAAAGTACCTAAACATTTGCGCGGAATGAGAGCACATGGCAGAAACATCCAAATAATATTACTTTCTAACCTCTCATTATATCTCTCTGTTCCTCCTCAATGTACTTCCTCAGCAATTAAACTTGACACTAAAGTCACGGAATCCGTTATTAAAGCTCTTTTTGCCGGGGGTGAGATCCTCAGCCCCGTATTTGCACGTAGGAGGCGTTGAATCGTCCTTTGCGCTGTAGCAGGTGACAATCCACTTTAGAGGACCCTGGATATTGACTGTATCCTTTCCATCACCGCCGGCGCGATTTGTCTTTTCGGTATACGCAATGAGAGCGTCGTCGTTATCGTACAGTGTGAGCTCCAGGGCATATGCTCCTGGATTGAGATAGTTGCTCATCTCATTCTGCTGGTATTGGCGGATGTGCAGTTCGCATGTGCCGGCCTTGTAGTCTTTGGCATTGTCAAACGACAACGGTGTTCCGGTTCCCTTGAATGCATTGACGATGTTGGTGGGAGTTGCACGAGGAGGATTCCCCTTCGGGTCCTTGTCTGGGTTATTGCAGGTGAAGCCACAGAGCCTTCGCGCTTGCCGTTGTCGAATGCGCCGATGTTGCATTCGTGCTTTTGGTCAACTTCCAACCACCACTGGTTGTTGAACCAGAACGAGAGCATGTCTTTGTTGTCATCGCCCTTGTAGCTATCTTGCACGATAAGCGGATATGTCAGGTTACTCTCGATTGCGAGGGCTCCGTCCACTGGTTGCTTGGTGGCATATGCTCGCGCAATGCCCTCTCCATCAAGTAGGGTCACTGCCAGTTGATATTCATTCAGCGGGTTGATGTATTCGAAGTTCTCGTGGGTTCCCTGTTTATACTGGTCTGGCTGGAACTGTGTGATGTGGATCGTGCACCACCCCGGGAAGAAGCCAGCCTCGTTCTCACCTCCAGGACCGTCCTTGGCATCGACAGGCACGGTGCCACACGGAGGGTGCACAAGGTCCATGATATTGTCCTTGGCTTGTTTCGGATCCATGCAGATGGTGAAGTTGAAGAAACCTAGTCTCTATTAATGATGGATCCACCGCTCGGGTTGACATATTATGCATACCGGGGGTCTGGATGGTACCGAGCATAGGCCATCCATCATCCTCCAAATCCCAATTTTCCCCGACCACCGTCGATTCACCCGATTGCAGCGACTGAAGCCAGGATCAGTGAGGATCTTTGCAATTCCAGTCCTAGTTGACGTGGACTCACATAACCATTTTGCTTGTTGTTCTTGAGGAACCCTCCGTAGCTGGAGGTAATAATATCCTCGAGCGAAATTCCCTATCGTTTACCATTAAAGGTCACGTTAGCACCACCCTTGAGCACGGTGAACGGTTGCCAGTCAGCATTAATGCAACTAGAGCATTTCGGATAGTTGGCGTTCAGAAGCCAGTAAGTCGCAGCCCCGGGGAAGATTAATCTTCAACTTTCATGAACCAAATGGTTTTCTGGTGCAAAATCACATACTTGGAGGTGTCGTTGTTGTCGCACCAATGGGTCCCGACATTTGTCCCGGGATCCATGTACCTTCCTGGGTTGTATTCGCTGACACTAAAGGATTTGCCGCCACCAACCTCGACCTCATCACCACACGTCCAGTGCTCAGGGCCGAGTCGTCTATTCGGCTGTTATGACAAAGGACGGGAATGCAATGTATCGGGGTCACTCACAGAATGAAGGGATGCATCGGTTCTTCGGAGTTTTCCCAGACCTCCGGCAGCATACTTCCCCAAAACAAACTCTTCAGATCATTTTACAGCTCTGTCCAGCTCGAGTCGGTCAAGGTGGACATGTTAAACATACCACCATCCGCGATCATGCCATTGACTTTATCCCGGCTCTCGGTGTTGTTGGCCCACATGATTTCTGCAAGCTGGTTCTGGAGGGAAATAATGGTACTATTGAAATAGGCCTTACCAGAGCATTTTACCGGTGATTTCGGTAATGGCGTCGGTAGGGGTAGACCTGGAAAATACGTGCGTTAACTACATCTTTTCAGTTGCGACCTTTTCGGGACTTACAAAGTGTCTTTGCCAGCGGTCATTCCGTACGCAATAGAGGCACTGGACACATCTTTCCACACCGATCGTTCGTTCCCCTCTTGGCTTTCAGAGCCCTCCTTGGCTTTTCCATTGTTCGGGAATCTGACGCCCGTCTTTCCCTTCAGATATTCTGTTCTTAATTTAGATTTGGCTCGTGTAGACAGTTTGGAGCACGAACGTGGGAAGACCTTGGCCTCTTTGAGGACTCCGGAGAGAATTTCATCAGCACAATGCATGCAGCAATTTTATCTTCAGGGTGCATAGATCTACTGTCATTCCATAACACTGCGGATGACAGTCCAAGCAGGAAGGTAACACTGTCAATGATGAGCTTGATCGTCTTTTCATCCGTTGTGTCCTTCCTTTCAGCAAACGATTGCACAAAGTTTGACATATCTCCCTGGGATATGATTTGGTTGGTTACGACCGAGTCCCACACGGTCGTGACAGCCTGTAAAGTGTCAATGGAGCTGGAGGAAGCCAAGTTCAAAAGCAAATTACCTGGTGTAGATACGAGAAAGATCCCAGAATGTAGGTAGCAGCAGCGGGAAATTGGTTCTTACCGCACTCGGGAGGAGCACAGGGAGCATCGTGCACAGAGCACTGGGGATCCGTGTTGATGCTGAAGGCGTTCCACAGGTATGAGTCGAGTCTGACCGGTCCTCCGCTGCCCTTTTTGTTCTCGTCTTTACCGCGATAGGTCTTGAAGTCATCGAACAGCTGATCCCATGCCTCTGTTTTACCACGTCAGTATCCTATATCATTTGGAGCTCCAAATGGCATATGTAGCGTACTCGGCACCTCCGCTGCATTCCATTTGTATATGAATGTCCCAACAGTAATATCAGTATTGTTGCCCGAGCATGGCACATTCACCCAATCTCCCGAAACAACAACTTCACCGCCAAATTGAATTTTTGAAATATCTCAGGAACCAGACCAGTTAGCGAGTAACAGACCACGGCAAATTTCATCTAACTCCCTGCGCTACACTTTGATACCGGCATTGACCCTGTCAGGCCAGTATCATGGTGGTGCGCGCGCAAAAGGATGATGGGCCTGTCCTGTCAGGGGCTTCCGGAGGCCCAAAAAATTTGCCATCGAACCGCGAGCGCGTACTGAACGCAAATCATGATGCACAAGCACTGTTAAAAGCACTGCGCAGCAAGCAGAGCGGGGCGAAGGCCCCCGAGACGCAGTATTCCAAGATTACCGACTTCCTGAAGCGTATAGAGGCCCTGACGAAGGAGCTCCTGTTGACACCGCTGCAGACAGACTGGCAGGCTACACTCGCGGCCATTCGCAAAGATATGCAAGATATCAAGAGGGCAGTAGAACCGCCGGCGAAGCAGACAGTCAGATCCTTCGCTGAATAGGCCAGAAGAGCGCCTACGCCCGTATACTACCAGTCCTCTAGCTTATCTGATTCTGCGCCTACGCGCCCGTCGGAGGTCGCACGTAACCGCGAGGTGGTAGTGTGCCTAGGCGATCGGGTATAGATTAGCAGCTTCCGTCGTCTATCGCCAGTAGAGCTTACCAAGAAAGCCAACCAGGCCAGGGCCAAAGCCGCATAATCAGCCCGCGATCCTACGCCCGCACTCGCCTAGGTAATGATCCTGGCGTCCCGGTAGCTCAAATCGGGTGATATCCGGTTCACCGTACGCGACGCGAAGGAGGCAGATATCCTGCGGATATACCGTGAGAAATAGACTAAAGGCTCTGCAAGACTACCTTCGTCCACCTACCGACGTAGGGAGTGGTGGTTCACGACGTCAACGTACGCTCTCTAGGCGTTAACCGGGCGTCGGAGGAACTACCTCAAGAGAGCTTGACTAAAGATCTGCTGGCGGAAAACATTCGGTTCTGGGAGACGCGGAGATCACCAAGATCTATTATCTTAAGATTCCCTCGGGGAAGAGCGGTTCTCTCGTCCTCGAATTCACCTCGCTAGTCCCTGCGAATGCGGCCATCAGTCATGGCGTCCTCTGGAGATGCAACAACTTAATAGCAGTCTTATACGACCGAGAGTCTCGCCTACAGTAGTGCTTCAACTGTCAAAAGTTTGGACATATAGGAACCACCTATTCCCAACCCGTTAGGTATGTGTATTGCGCGGATAGGCACCAGTCTCGGGAGTGCCCCCACAAAGACACACTGGAAGGAACCACCAGAAAATGCGCCAATTGCGAAGGCGCACACGCTGCATGGAGTCAGGACTGTCAGCTTCGTATGCAGGAGGTTGAGCGAATAAACGAAAGGGCTAAATACCGGGGAAGATTCCATCCAGTTCCCGCGCCCTTCAGCATCCGCCAGCCGGCGCCGAACCTGCAGCCCTCCTCCGTCAGCTCATAGGGAACGCCCCAGGAGAGCTCATCTAGCGAAGAGCTCAGCGGTACGAGTAGCGGCGTACCAGCCGCACAGCCCAACAACGGAGGCTCGCAGGATACCGGTCCTGCACCAACTCGGTCTACCCAAAGCGTGGCTACGCCAGCCACCAAGGCCACGGCGGCCACCAAGACCACCAGGGTCACAAAAAACAGAACCAAAACAGCCAGCAAGCTAGCTACAGCTGCCAGCGCTAGGCCGACAACAGCTCCGACAAACAGCAATGTGGAACAGGGACAAGAACCATCAGACTCGATGGACACCGGGGCGGATGGGGCCAGGGAGGAACCTACCTCTGAACCTATACAGGCCCGCCCCGATGCGGAGTCAACGGACACTAGAACAGATGAGGCCAGGGAAGCCTGTACCGTGTTAAACTCGACTAGCACTGGGACAGACGAGGATAGGGGAGAAGAGGCTAGGGGAGGGCCTACCTCGGAACCCTCACAGACTCGCCCTGTGATCCCCCTGATCTCGCTCGATTCACTCAACAACCACCAGTTCGGGCTAAACGACAACGCCCAGATCTTCAAACGAGCCTTCCCTCCACAGGACAGGCCCCAGGACAAGGCCTCCAGGTCGGAAGCGGCCAGAGAGCGAACCGCCAAGGCACGCGCTACCCGCATGAAAGCCGTGGAGGAACGGAGAATCGAAATCAGCCAGCGAGGGAACTCAGTCAGGGGACTCTAGCAGCAGGAGGTCAGTGAGAATATCGAAGCTGATTGAGGACGCCAACCGGCGAAGGGCGGAATCAACATCCGAACCCGAAAGCAATGAGCTTGAACGCCAGCTAGTGCTATACAACACTAACGAACCCTCGATATCTTCCCTCTCGTCCCTGCCGGAGCAACCATCTGATCAGGAGGAGTTCTAACCGTCATCACTACCGTCGCTACTATCGCTACCAGACCGACCTAGCTCACTTCTAGAGATGAGTAGCAGGAAGCGAAAGCAGCCACACGGCGAAAAGCGTCAAAAGGAGAAGCTAGGAGCCCGGAAAACCTAAGGAAGCTAGCCACGCCTAAGCATTAATGAATCAGCATAATCGGCAACAACACACACCAAGGGAACTCAAGATTTATTAATACAACGTGAACTGACAAAAAGACAAGGTGATAGCCCAGTTTCTACGGGATCCGGAGGTCTTATCAGCCGATATTATCGCTATCCAGGAGCCCTAGAAGTTAGAGTTCAAAGATGACACTCACCGGCTATACTAACGCACTCACGACCTCCTCCGACCACCGATAGACCCGAGCCTACCCATCGAAGTAGCTCGGGTACGCGTCTGTATATTTATATTAAAGAAACTAGGCGAGTATACCTACGTTATCTACTCCCGCGATTTGTAGGAGCTCCGGATGACGCTGGTCGATAGCAAAGAGCTTCGGCTGTTTAATCTATATAACGAGAGGGGTAGCTAGGGAGCTATAGATCTACTAAAAGAACTCATCCTATCAACTAGAGAATGTTAGAAGGGCGTCTCTTACCTGGTTATAGGGGATTTTAACCTACACTACCCGGTATAGGGAGGTGATAGGGTTTAACAGCCAGAGCCTAAAGCCGATAAGCTACTAGATCTAATAGCCGTCGCCGCCTTAGACTTATGGCTACCCCCAGGCGTAATCACCCGCCGCGATAGGGATTTAGAAACGACGATTAACCTAGTTTTGGCCACAACGAACCTACGTACCCGCTTAGTCAATTGTGAGGTGATAGAGAAAGTCTATACCGATTCTGACTACTTAACTATCTGTATTACTACCGATATCTCGCCTATCCTAACTAAGGAGGCCCTACGGAGGAACTAGAAGGCGTTAGACGTAGAAAAGCTCCTTAAATTCGTCGAGCTAAACCTATACCAAGTCAACAGTAACAGTAACAGCCTCTAGACCCCGTAATAGATCGACGAAGCGACCGACTACCTTATACGCACCGTCTAGTAAGGCATTTATGCGTCTACGCCTTTCGCTAGGCTATCCGAATAGTCTTAGCCCGAATAGACCCTCGAATACACCGAGGCTATTAAGGAGATACGCCTCACCTTTCGACGATGCAAGAGGACAGATGCGACGGAGGAGGACTGGAACGAATATAAAGAAATGAAAAACAAGAAATAGAAGATAATTAATAAGGCTCTATATAACAGCTTCCGCGGCTAGGTAAGAAGGATAGTCGAAGACGGCCCTCGCGGTCTATAGAAAGTCTCTAAATAGGCACGCTTACGCGACTAACCGGCCTACCGTAACGTCCCGACACTTAACGGGAGAGATCGCCCAGCAAAGACGAACTAGCAGAAAACGGAGGCTCTCCGCTAGGCGTTCTTTCCGTAACCGCCAGAAGCCGATCTCTCTAATATCCCTAGCGCTCACTTACTAACCTAGCTGGACTTCCTAGCTATCACCTAGCAGGAGGTCAAGGACGCCATTAAGCGAGCACCACCTGATAAAGCACCTAGCGACGATACAATCCCGAACCGTATATAGAAGATCTTAGCAGATAATAGCCACAACTTCGTGGCTAATTTAATAGCCATCTTCAACGTATATATACAAACAGCCTACAATCCCCGCTACTTCTAACACTCGACAACAGTGATATTACTAAAGGGAGGACTAAGAGACTTCCGCTAACCGGGGTTATAGCGGCCGATCGCCCTACTAAATACCCTCGGCAAGATACTAGAATCAGTCATAGCCGTATATATTACCTAGGCAGTAGAAGAACACTAGCTTCTGCCAAGAACACATTTAGGAGGGAGAAAGGGAATCAGCGTCGATCGTGGAATTCAAATGATTCTTGACATAATATATACAGCCTAGGGACACGACCGAGTAGTCTCTGCGCTATTTTTAGGTATAGCCGGCGCATACCACAACGTTTCCCACCAACGGCTAATACACAACCTCCGTAGGTTAGGCCTAGGCTATTTTACTGCGTAGCTAGAATCTTTCTTAACTAGCCGATCGACACGTATCAAATTACTAACTGGCTATATCTCAGAGGTTTTCCCAACGCTAACTAGGATCCCCCAGGGCTCACTATTATCACCCATCGTCTTCCTAATCTTTAACACACCCCTCATCCTCGCATACCTAAAAGGCACGAGTAACGATGATTATATACACAGAATCGGATAGGTCGACGATATAGCTACCATCGCAGTCTCTGAGTCCTATTACCAGAACGTGCAGCTATTAGAGGGCGCACTAGCTAAGGCCAACGTCTGGGCCGATCGATACGTAGCTAAATTTGCACCAGATAAATTTAAACTCATTCACATTCGGAACCCGCAAAGGCGTAATAAACCTGACCACTACCGAATCATCCGGCCAGAAGACAGTGACTTTAACATATACAACTTCGACTATGCATTCCCAGCAGGCCACGACTAGATAGCTGTACAAACCGTCACCTAAAGGATCCAACCAG